AAAAAAGTTCAGAATGAATATGAGATTTTACAAAAATTATGTTATAAACAAAAATGATAAATTCAGTGACAAGTTTCTTTAATGCATTACAATATTTTATATAATGTAAAACTTGATTACAATCTTTAATTTGTTAATAAAATTACAACAAATTAAATATTTAAAATAAAGGTATAACGCTTGGTTCCCATTAAAGGATTTATTTTTTCTCAAATAAAAAACTCTAGAAAAGGAAAAATCTTATTGATATTTAATAACTACAATTCAAACAAAATATTAAAATCATATAACATTATTTTTTTAAATCAAAAAATAATATCATATTAATTTATTAAGAATTAGGTGCCGAAATAATTTGAGGAGAATAAATGACCTTATTTCTGAAATATAATCAAAATCTTCCTTCATCTTAACAGACTTAATATAAGAGAAAATTAGAAATTCTAACCTCATTATTAACTAGTTATTTCTAACACTAATGAGTGATAATTTACATTTTAGTAATCGCTTAGAATAAGTATAAATGATTTTGAATATATTTTTCTCTCGGATTATATTATATTTATTGTTTTAGATTGAGGTTAGTGAACTTTATTTATAATCTCAATATAAATATCCACTCTAATCCTTTGGATGTGGGAATTCATTAAATTTACTCGCAGCTTTAAAATGATTTTAATAATTAATTACCAAATAATTAAATATAAAATAAATGTGAATATTTTTTATATAAGTAACTAATGATATAATTTGAGTTTAGAAAACTAATTACAATTCATATGGTAACAAACAGAAAGGTTTTTAAAATGATATTGAAATTTGCTTAATATTAGAGATTGTTTATAATTTAGTGAAATATTAAAGAATAATGTCTCATACAGTTTTATATTTACATCTCTTAATAATATTTTGATCCATTTTTTCCATAATATCGAGTCTTTTGTTAAAATAGTTCAAATAATTTTGACGAATTTGATTTTCATTTGACCACCTTTCATTGTATTCATAAATGTAATATTAGAATTAAGTATAAGATTGGTCCTATTCATTATACAAATAATAATTTTATTGATTCAAATATACCGGAAATAAGCTTCCGTTATAATTGACAGCTTGTCCTTATATAGGAATTTATTTTTCGTTGCAGGAAAATAATACCAGCAAATTCTAATCCCATTGATAATCTTCAGTTTATTGATATGGCCATGGTAAGCATCCTGTTGAAGTTATATAATCATAAATCATTGTTTCATTTGTTCCCATCATTTTTAAATATTGATCATTCATAACCCTTGCTACTGTAGTTAGAGTTCCATTTTTGTATTTTTAAATATAAAGCGAATATGCAGAGGAGATGTTTTTTTCAAACTCATCTATTGCTTATTCTGATACTACCTTAAAATTTTCTGGATTTAATTTAGTTTAATGCAGGCTATCAAAAGCCTACCCAAGTCGAGTATTTTATTGATCGAATAAATCTTTGATAACAGATGCAGGTGTGTATGACCTTTCAATGGGTTCAAAATGAAAGATGTGAAAATTCTAACACTTATCATACCTCATAACCTTATAATTAAATGAATGAGGATCAATTGATAAACATCCAAGTTGATAATCGTAATTAAATGGTTAAGGCATTTAAATATTAGAATTCAGTCGAAAGACTATGTTTGATGGAACTGAAGGTGGTAAAATTTGCGAAATTTTTGATATCGATTTTAGAATAGATAAGTCGATTTTGCTTCCGAATGGGAATTCAACCGTGTACTGATTTTTTCGTTTTTGCTTTCTAATGGATTTAGTAATCAACTCTTTTTTCTCTTCATTTTTTTTTTTTTGGTTTTACAAGATCAATGACATTTTAAACAAATTATTTATAAAAAATTATCCAAATTGAGACGAACTTATGTTCCTATGTTTTAATATGAATTAAAACAAACAATAATAACCAAAATATATTAAATTCAAATATTATAATGTTAACTGAAAAAAGCCTGGATGATAGCTTAAATGACTCATTGCAGCCATCATAGTTGAAGAATCTTGAAGAAGAGTTCGAGACTAATTAAATGATCAACCAAGAAAGCTCTGTCAAATTAGTAAATAACTCATCCTATAATTATGTTAAACCTTAATGTTCATATAGGTATACTTATTCATCCGAAGAACACTCATCAGATGAAGAGGAATGTTAGTCATCAAAAATTTAATAACAACCATAATTTTTGACTTTTGGGTAAATAGATTCTAACATGGGGGAAATTAAAGAGTTGATTAAATAGCACAATTATCAATAAGCTTATCAATAATTAGTTAGATTTCAAGAGGCAAAATAAGACTAATTGTCATAAGAAAATAAATAATATTTGCAGTACCTCTTCACCTAAATTTACTTTGGATTGCAAATGTATCGTGAAATGTTTTAAATTGCAAACTAAATCATCAATTATGATCGAGATTATGTTGATCATACATTAGATATGCTAATCAATGCCTCTTTGCTGATTAATAATTTAGAACTAGCACTTTAATATTAGCTCTAATTGATTAATAGGTCAAATTATGACTAAAATGAGTAATTAAGACTTGGTAAAATTTACATGCTATTGGGAAAACCAGTGGAAGCATATTTTAGTTTTTTGGGTTCATATAAAGCTGGAAATTAAGAAGCGTTAGAATAATTAATCGAAATCGGAAATGACGTGGATTAAAGGGCTTTTCCAGAACTTGCTTATAAGTATATTAATAACAAAAGCTAAAAAAACCATAAAGTGTTAGCAAAAACTCTGTTTACTCTTTCAAAAATTGAGTACCCAAACAAAACCTCCTTACAGCATTAAGAATAAGGATATTCAATTTTAGTTTAAGTAAATGGGGTGAATGATTAAAACACAATCAAAGCCCTATGTAATCTAGCATGTATGAGACTATAATTCTAATAATGGTAAGAAGCAGAAAAGGATTTTGAACTTTGCTTATAAATAATTTCATAATTAGAAGGACAAGCTAATAAATAATTTATATTTTGTTTGTAGAAGCTTTCTTAATGCCAATATTAATCGAAAAAATATGAATAATCTTTAGAAACTCTTGAAAGATGCTTTAATTTATCTTCCTAATCAATGAATGTTATAAAGAAAGAATTTTTAGATAGATTACTTTTTAATATTGCATATGTAAAAATCACAATGAAACAAAATTGTTCTGATACTTTAGCAAAATTAGTTACAACTTAGAATTCAGTATTGTTGAATGAAATTGGAATTATTTTATAAAAGCATGAATACATTGATGAAGCTATTGAACTATATAATGAAGCTTTGAATTGGAGCACAAATGATCAACATGTTTTAATTAGTTTTAACTTAGCAGGTTGTTATGGATTAAAAAAGGATTATACAAGGAGTGTTGATCTCTATAAATAATGTTCAATTGAGATGGATGATAGATTAAAGTGCGATATTGAACGTAAAATAAGTTAAGTTTACTATTCCTGCTCGAAATTCAGAGAATCTTTATTTCATTTAAAAAGAGCATATCAATTAGCAAAGGAGTTCAATTTGGATTGTATTTCAGAAATTAAATAAGAATTAAAAAAATTTTGATATTTATCTTTAAATAAATTACAATAATTTATTATATTTTAGGTTTGATCATATAATTCTAAATTATTGTTATCAAATAAATAAATTATAAAGAAAAATTTAAGCACCTAATGATAAAAAAACTTATTTTTTTTTGAACCCTTTTTATAAGGTTTCACTGAATTAGAATAAAAACAACAAAATTATTCAGTTTCAAAGATCCTTAGATGACTAGAAATAGTTATAACAACTTAATTAATAGCAGTGTATAAAGAGATCTAATGGTTCTTTGAAATTTAAAAATGTTTTCTATTTTAATAATTTAAATTACTATTATGTAAATCTTATAATTATTTTATTTAACTTTGGAACAAAGTACAAAGTGATGTATATGAATGAAAGAATTTATATATAGATCTAAAATAATTTATTCAAATTTCGGTCTCTAGATTCTCTGGATTTAAAATACATATATTTTTTGTGTTGGCTTAGAGCTTAAAGAATAGGTTATAAATCTTAGGACTCTATGTGTAATAATTGGTTTATGCTCTTGAAGATGTTGTCGGCGAATATAATGTACTTTTAACAGCGCCTAGAGTATCTCTGGAAGAGAGAGCAATTTCTGTTTTGATTTTACGATGAGACTTTTACAAATCTAATTAAAATGCACTTTATTCTTTTTATTTTATGTTGGATTTTAATCTTCCCTAATTTAACCTATCTAAAAATTATCTTAATCTTGGATTTCTTTGATTTAATTTTTCAACTACTGATTGGCTGCTTTCGTTTTCTATTAATTAGATTCTATAGTTCAATAAATTTGTAAGTTCTTTATTTCTTTATTAGTATAATTCTTTAATATCTTCATTATCAATTAAATTCTTTGATCTTATTCGAACATGCGGGGAATGAAAGGCAAATTTTGGTTTAGAAGGTGATGAACTAAATTAGAATTCGAGATTTTATTTATTTTGTATAATCATTGAGGAGTACTTTTAAACTCTGTTATTGATGTTTTCATTTATCATTAAATTAAATGATTAATTTTTTTAGAGCAGAAAAAAAAATTACACTTTTGGTATTTCCAATATTTCTGAGTGGGTTGAAATGCAGGATATTCTATAAGTTCTCCTTTATTTTTTTATAATTTCCTATTCTCCAAAATAATTTCCTCTTGATAATATTAGTAACGGTTTGTATAATTCTTTATACTTGTAAGATATTTAAAAATCTCCTTCTAAAATGATAAACCAAGATTAAGGATCATCGCCTATGTCGAAAACGATTTAATTGTTTAGATAATTTAATGTATTACTGCGTTGAATAATTTACTCAATAAAACTAAAATTTAATATATCTTATGTACTTAGGCGACATATCTTGAAATTGTGAAAATGACAAGATATTATTAATCAATGATTTCTTAAGTTTTCTCTTTTTGACAAATTTATAAAAATCATCTTAGTGAATGTAACAGATTAAACTTTCTTTTTGTGCTATGTAATTGTATTTGGATGATTATCTTGATAAAAAGAATTCTTCTCCTAATATTTATTTTTCGATGATTTCAATTTGGTTTTTATCTTTTTTCGAACTATTGCGTATAATCATTCCTGAAAAGAAGATGTACAATGAGTTTACAGATTTTCCAGCTTCGATAATATATTCTTAAGGTGTAAATACTCTATAAGCAATATTCTAAATGAGACGGTTGAAAAATGATGCTCCTTGAGTTTCTTAAAAGTCTTTTATAATTTAAAAATCCAAAAAATATTCTGTTAACGCCTGATAGTCTCTGTTGCTATCATTAAGAAGTGAAATAAGATGATCCATCTTTATATGAATAGAATTTTACTTTAGGAGTCGACATGGTAATAAATTAATATATTTATATTATTATTAATAAAATCAAATTACATATTTAAACTTGGGCCTGTCTTGTCTTAAAGGATAGTGTGGAGGCTCTTAATAATCTATTTAAGAATATGAAAACTCTTCTAATTAGTTATTATTATTACCTGAATCTTTTTCGACTTTATTTGGGTCATCGTTTAGAGAATCCTCTTCATCTATAGCTTCTAATTTTACGTCTTCTTAAATTTCATCCATTTTGCTTTTTTGCATTTCAAATTTGATTTCATTCTCTAGGTTCTAAGAATTATTTTATAAACTAGCACTGTTATCGAGAACATATTGTGTTCCTATTTTTTCTGCTTGCTTTTCCTTTTCTCTTTCCACAAAACATTGTAAATGATACTCAATCTTAATGTTAGATGGTCTAACAAATTCACTTTTGTTTTCATAAAATTTCTTAATGGCTAAGGCTTAATTAAAACCATGTTGCTTAACAACTGCTGGTCTTACAGTCAAAATGGTGAATAATGAACTTATTATAGTTACAATAGCTTTAATCAAAGTCAGAATTATCCATCCACTTAAAAACCAATATGGATCAGTATTGTCAAATTTTTATTACTTGATGTAATTGAACTCTCTTGAAAAGAAACTAATAAAAATTATTAAAAACAATTCTATAGTTAAAATTCTATATGTTTCGACTATTATTTCATAATTTATTTTGATAGCTTTAGTTAGTTAATACCCTTAGACTGGGCATAATGAAACTAATATATCACTTAAAACATAGTAGCTTTAGTAATGGAAATTTCTTTATAATAAAGACAGGTAGAAAGCCTAGTCTTTTCTTGGTGTTGCCATCATGAATTTGATTAAATTAATTATCGAAATTAAAAGTGTTTCTCCATATCTCAGCAGAATAATAATCCCAAGAATATATTTATAAACTTGCAATTTAAAATAAACTGGTTCATAATCTAAGCCATCATCTGTTAGCACTAACAAATATGATAAAAATATTCTTTCAGGGAAAGTTCCTATTTTACTGAGAATTGAAAATAACATCAAAAATAGTTCTTTTTGATGTGGAAATTAAGAGTGAAGATATTTTAATAATGATGGATGCACTATTTAAAATGCAGGCTAAATTTTTCTTCTCAACGTAACAGTAACAATAATTTATGATATTTCAATCGCAATTGTTGATGCAAATACGATGACGAAATAATATACATCGCTAATAAAGTTTGAGTAACCAAAATTTTTACACTCTTCCGTCTAGTGTTTCATATCAACAGGACATGTTTAATTATAATCTATCAATATAGTATCTAATGGTTTTTATTGACTACTTAGAATCTATAAAAATTATAACAAGTTAATTGCAAGGAAAGTAATCCAAAATATCATAACAATTATTTTAATATTAATATTATTTCTTCGGAATTTCCCAATAAAGAGTGTACTAACTATGAACTAAGGAGGCTCTATCTAATCCAAATAAGCCATCAGCTTATTAATTTTATGGATCAACCAGGATCCACACATACCTCCTATAATCTACTGGACACCCACTTGTGAGTCAAGTTAATTGTTTGGAACTCCAAATACCTCGGCTTTACTATTTTGCTTCTTTATAACATTGATTTCAGTTGGAGGATATAAAAAATTACGAAATCTGAGGGTTAGATATCTAAGCAAGCCATCATCAAATAATTTTCTTGTTTCTTGAGAATCTGTTATGTACATAGCTTTTAACTAATGCCTTTCATAACTTGTATCAAATAAATGAAAAAATAAATAAACTTTTCCATACATTGTGATGAAAGGGTTATCAGAAATATCAATAAATTCAATAAAGCCTAACATTGGATAATATTTTCCTAGAACCTCACAAAACTTATCAGTTAAATTGGATCTTTATATCTAAATTTCCTTTAAAAACTAAGGAATAGCAGATTATTCTAATTTATAGGTTTATCCTATCCTAGTATATTGTTGTAATATTATATCGGCATCACTGTCATCCAATTCTGACCATATATTATCAATGAATAGGTTTCTTATTTTAAATATTATCTAAGCCAATTTCTTTAAACCTATTCTTGTGAAATTGTTATCTCTGAGCATAATAAACTCTAAATTACTTAATTCTTTATTTTAGATTTACTCATATAATTTTAGAACCCAAATATCATCCAATTTATTACTGCTAATATTGATAGTTCTAATAGTTTGGTTAGCAAACATTCCTTCAAAAATTAAAATCATTCCATTGCTTGTAAATAGATTATTCTGTAAATATAATTCCTTCATTTTCGTTGAGCTTTGAATGATTTATTTTAATTGTTATCCTACGTTATCACCTAATTAATTATTGCTTAAGCTTAAACTAAGTATATGCTAAAAGGAGTAATTATCTTTATATAGTTGTTGGCCTTGTAAAATATCTTTGAATAAATCTATTTGTAAATGACAGTTGGCTAAATTTAAATACCTTAATTTAATATTTTTGCCATTCATGTTATTTAATATTCTTGGAATAAACAAATCTAAAATTGATTGCTTATCCAACGGGTTTTCTGCTAAATTTAATTCCTCTAATCTGCAAGTTTAAGCATTCTCCAAAGCCGATGTTAAGAAATTATCTAAATTATTCTTAATCTAATTCTTTGCGATTTCCAAGACTTCCAAAGTTTTATTTTATGAAACTGCTATACCTAAAGGTGTAAGATTCAGGAATCCTAAATTACAATCGTTTAACATAAAATTCCTCAATGAAGAATTATTACTTATCCCTAAACATAAACTATTCAACCATAATTGTTATAATTTATTTTAACTCAAATCTAAAGTGTTTAACTTAAATTATGACTATATAACTTACATTGCAGCATCCAATTTTGGAAAACCAATCTTGAAGAGCATTAACGAAACAGTCCGCTAAAGATACCTAATTTAATTTTAAAATCCTTAAATTTTTCAATTTCGATATTAAACTAATAGTACCTTCTAAATCCTTATATATTGTAGGATTGTAATTAATTGCAAAGTATGTAAGCTTTCTGCTTTTTGAAAGATGCTCAAAAAATTTACAAAAGTCTTTATTTTAGAAGATACAAGAATCCAAATTAACACCGAACAGATTCCTCTTTTGATTTTCTATTATTGTCATTAGACTATGATAATTTGCATTATCAAAATAAACTTAAGATAAATGCAAAAATTCTTGTTTCTGAGTTGAACATTAATAAAAGAATGTTTTTAATTTTGTCGTGTATGGGTTATTGGCTAAGTTTAGTTCCTAAAGGCTTTCATTTCCTAAAGTTTAACTTAGAATCAATAAATCATCTGCACTCAATTTCTGATAGGACAAACTAAATAAATGTGTAAATATACTTCAATCTCTTTAGAGTTCGATTGGCAAATAAAGATCGATTGATAGCAGCCAACCCTTCAAAATTAATGCAATTTCTAGAGAAATTCACCTCCTATAAATTTTTAAGAGACATTAACATTTTTTCTATATTAGGAGCATGTTTAGCTTCCAAATAATTATAACTTAAATCTAAAACTTCTAATTTGTAATTTGATCCTAAATTGTTTGAATTAAAGAGTCTTTTAATTTACTTATACATTCTATTTTTACTTAAATTCAAATATTTGATACTACTATTAAACAAGGCCTCACTTAATTTTTTGATACAATCCTTTTTCATGTTTCCTAAATTTAGATCTCTCAAATTGAGATCATGTATTATGGTAGACTTTCTTAAAAACAAACACAGCAATTCTATGTCTTGGTCTGTAATAGGGGCACAAGAAGATAAATCTAGTTTCTCTATTTTGTTATAATAAGTTGATAGGGAAGCCACAACAGGAGTAAAAATCTCCTTATTTCCATGGAAATCTAATTCCCTTAAATTAAATGATGTTAGTTAAAATGCTGCATTATTCGATTTTTATTAATGTTCATCTTATTTAATAAATTTCGCATTTTAATCAACATTTTAGTCTACTTTGCGAATTTCCTCCTCTTTTTCTAAATAGGAACATCGTAAACATCTCAGGCATCCACTCTTTATAAATTTCAAGAGCACAAATATAATGGCATGTCTTATTTGATTAAATGAAATGTCCAAATGCTCAAAATATACTTATTCATGATTTATCATGTAGCAAATGATAGCTTCCCCATCCAATTAATTTTTCGCAACTATTAGTTTTTTGAGCATTCTATTATCCCTCAAACCAAAGATTAATGAATTAAATCCTTCGCTTTTCAATTAGTTGTTTGATAAATTGAGTTCAACCCATAAAGGATTCTACCTAAGAATGCTTGACAATTGAAATGCTCCTTAGCTGGATATATTATTATTTGATAGATTTACTACAAGAGTATTCATAAAAAACTAAGGTGGAAAACACATTATGACATTATTACTTAGGTTAATTTCATACATTTTTCTTTGAAGTAAGTCTTAGCAAGTAAATTCTTCTATTTTATTATTTGAGAGATCTAACTTCTATAGTTGTGATATCTTTCTTAAAAAAGCCTCTAAAGATGCGATACCTACCTAATGAATAAAGTTTCTTCTTAAAACCAGTTCTTTTAAATTTATCTTCCTCATATTCCAACTTACTCTCTATGCCAAAGTGTCTAATCCCTCATTTTTGATATTAGTATCAGAGACATTTAAATATTCTAAAACTTTATCACCCTTATAATGTTATAATGCAATCCCTAAACTTGTTAAAACTTCTGTATTAAACTACATCATTGAGATATCTAAAGCATTAATAGTTTCAGAATATCTATGAAAAATATGAATAGTTACTTTAAATTTCTTAACAAATAACTCATGGCTGTATTTGATATGTTGCAATGGGTCAGTTTGAGTTTTTTAAGATGATTTTTCCCTTTAAAAACAAATTAGCTAATGTCATTCATTAGGTCTATAGTAAATCCTTGATTGTTGTATAAATTTATAGATTAAAGAGTTTTATGATTAGTTATGGAAGAAAATATGTATTGCAAGCAGAAACTATTCATTTTGCATCCTGAAATATTGATCTCCCTTAATGAGGCATTATGTTATAAACCCTACCCGATTTCAATTGCTAATAGAGGGTGAATGTCCATTCCTGAGATATCTAAGGATCTAAGTCTATAGTAGTTAATAATACCTAAGACTACGAGCATTTTACAATGCTTAGCTGAAAAAGGAAAAGCATTATTAAACTGGAGCCGGAGTTTCTCCTGAGAAACCTTCTAATATTTTACGTTTTTTAAGACTGGCTAGGTTTTCTTTCAAGTATCTAATGGGTAAGAGAAAACTGATACATGTTTTATTTATTATTAAGCAGCTGTCTTAATTGCTTTTTGACTTGATATTTTTTTTAGCTTAAGATCAAAGTTTGTTCATCATTTTTATCATCTTGCTCTTCTTTAGCTTCAATCTCTATTATCTATCTTTCTTCATTGAATATTGTTTTTTTTGAAGCAACATTCAATGGCTGTGTAAAAAATAGTTATTGCATCAATAATTAATATGAATAATAAATTAGGAAATATAAATTTTTCATATTTAATAACCATTTTCTTCAATGTCTTCGTCAATCTTACTCATTCCTTCCTGTTCTCCTATTTTTGGAAAATTATTAATTAAAGTATTGTGTTTATGTTAATGTTATTTGGGTTATTATTGTTATTCATTAATATCATTTTTCATTATGAAGGAAGGTTTAAAATTATTAATTTAATGTTTAAGACCATTCTAATGTTGTTCAAATTCTTGCGTTTAGCATTTCTTGAAATTTCTTCTTCCATTTTAAACTAGCTGAGATTTGTTTTTTTCTTAATTAGAATTAGCAATAAGACCGAAAGATTTTAGATCATTCATAACAGGAACCTGTAATTTAAGGCAATTTTCATCTTCAACCTCATCATCATCAATATTTGTTAATTTTGAGACAGGTTGGAAATTCTGCGTTTAAAAAACTGGATTTTATTTATTTAAATTAGAAGTTTAAAATTTTTGTTTTTTTGTCTCGTATTTTTACGAAAAATAAGGGTGACTAAGAGCCTCTTGAGCAGATATTCTCTCTTTAGGATTTAAAGTTAATAATTTCTAGATTAGATCACAAGCCTCAGGAGGAGTCTTATATATTGCAAGTGAGTCTAAATTTAGATGACACTTTTTGTTTAATTTCAATATTTCCTTGTATTCTGTACCTGGAAACAATTCCTTATTAGTACATCTGAAAATATTAATGTGACTAATTACAATTTATAAAAAATGCATCCAACACTGAATTCATCGCATATCATCTCATACTTCTATTTAAGATCTCTTAAATTGGCCACTTCAGGGGCTACATAACCAGGAGTACCACATTTTGGAAATGGATATTCTTCAGCATTAGAAAATGTTGCAAGACCAAAATCTACAATTTTTAATGAATCAAACTAATTTAGTTATTTAAACATAATGTTTTCTGGTTTTAAATCTCTGTGCATGACTCCATTTAAATGCATATGGGATACAGCTTACAGCAATAACTTTTATAAATATCAGTTTTACTTTCATGATAATCTAAATCTAATTTTGTTCCAAAGTTGTTTGTCTTCTATTAAACATTTCATGTAGACTTTCCCCAGCTAAGTATTCTAGAATCAAATAGAAGGTGGATTCTCCTTCATACAAATCAACCAATTAAATGATATTCTCATGTTTTAGTTTCTACATGATTTTTATTTCATTAAACAAAGCATCCTACTATACTAAAAAGAATCATACATATCCACCATCTTCTTGTAAATATCTCTTATCTACACACTTTGAGGCATATTTATCGTTGCTGCCCTTTTTAGTTACCATGTAAACCTTCTATTAGATAAAATTTCATACCTTTGCAGAGCCTCCTTTTCCCAATAAACTTTAAGGCTTATAAAAATCACTTATTTCTTTATACATAATTTATCCCTATATACAATCCTTTAATTTGTATAATTCCATAGATTGACCATAAAAATATTTTATTTTTCCCTAATAAGAAAATCCAAACTATTCCAAAATTGAGGTTTTATTTTTTGTTACCCAATGAATTTGTTTCTCTACACTAAATTCCAAAATATATTTTGGGTTAGATTATCGAGGGGACTGATAATATTAAAAATGTCAATATACACTAGATAGAATTAACTGATTGGGGAGTACTTGAGCATAATATTTTGTATCAATGATCATATGTTTTCTATAACATGAGACTGTCAGAATGGTTTAGTCATAATTGATTGCCTTCATTCTTGAAATAATATAAAATAATAAATCTTAAACATTATTATTAAACTTCTTGGTTGTACATAAATATCAAATTAAAATAATTTTAGATACTTAATTGAGTGATTTATTCCTTGGTCTTGGAGAGTCAAGAACCCCGTCATATGTATTTTAGAAAACTTACTGAACTATAAATCGTTAGGGGATAAGAGAAACATAAGATAAGAAATCACCTTTATGAATCAAATTATCCATCATAAAGATCAATAAACTCAATTAACGTTGAATCAATATATACAATATGATTAATCTTTATTAATATTCTAGATTTCACTTGGATTTAATGTAAAAAAATAAGATAAAACTAGAGTGATGAATGATTTGGAGAGTAAATAGTTTACTGTTTTGCATTAGATCCAATTATTATTTTTCAAAGGAAAAATATTAATATTCTTAAATATATTTAAATATCAAAATATTTTATTAATGTGATAAAGGATCTTGGGTTGTTATTGAAATTGGCAATTTAAAAATACAAAATTAGGGCAATAAATACATAAAATATCCAGTTATGCACTTAGTATTTTCATTTTATAATTTATCAAATAATTTTGTGCTTTTCACAAATTATGAATACTTGTTCTTTCTTTTCAAACTAAAATTCTAAATTTGAATGGATGTTCTCAAAGTTTCCCATCATTAATTAGCAATACTAGTTAACAGATGAATTCAATGTTGTTAGAAATGGAGTTGTAAAACAAAGATAATTTCATTTGATCAACAACTATCTGATAATCAAATCTAAAAAAGTACTACTATAATTTATAATAGGGGAAAACCAAATGGGTAAATTACGAAAATGCTAAATTAGCAATCGTCAATGATGATCTACATGGATATGGTTTATCATTATAAAAAGGTAATGATAAGTTTGACTTTTTTGGTGATGTAGAAATCTGGTTTAATTCAATGAGAAGATTTGCTATCTAATCAGATTTCGACTTTTTCTATGTTTTAGAGAAGTAAATTGGAAGTGGTAGCTTTTCATAAGTAAATTGTGATACAATGTTAGGTTTTCTTAGCCAGGAATAAATACGACGGACATGAATACGCTGTCAAATATATATTGAAAAAAGAGGAGATTGTTGAAATTGATAAGCAGTAATTAGTGAAAGAGATCTCAATTCTTCGCTAATTACAACATTAATCTATTATAAAATTACACGAAACTTTTGAAACAAGTGATGCCGTGTATCTGGTGATGGAATATTTTAAAGGAGGAGATTTCTTATAATTTATTGAAGAGAAATAAGACGGGATGTTTACAGAAGAACAAATAGCAATAATTATTTATAAATTATTAAAGGTTATCCATTACTTACACCAAAAAGGAATCATGCATAGAGATCTAAAGCCTGAAAATATATTATTTAAGGAAAAAGGAGTGATAGAATCTTTATGTCTTGGAGATTTTGGATTAGCTGATTTTTATAATAAGGAAGGTAACTACCTATTTACAAGATGTGGAACACCGGGCTATGTGGCCCCAGAATTACTATAAGATTAATAATACGACTATAAGGTTGACATTTTTAGTATTGGCATAATAATGTTCATATTATTGACCGGTAAAGAACCCTTTTAAGGTGACTATCACTAAAAAGTGTAATCAAACTATTTTGGAAACATAGATTTATCGAACATAAAAAACTTGACTGATATAGGAAAGGACTTCCTTAGGAGAATACTATAAGTTAATCCTTAAAAAAGATTGAATGCCAACCAAGCTTTATATCATTATTGGTTTTAGATGTTTAAATTAGCAAAACCCATGCTCTTAAATAATAATAATAAAGTTAAGAGTATGAAGAGATTGTCCTAAATTGAAATTAAAAACCCTTCATTGAATACGCTTGCCCTTATCAGTCCAAGATTATCAAGACAGTAATCTAAAGACAAAGATAAAGGTTCACTTCCCTTAAGTCCTAATCCACATCTATAAAATTGCTTTACAAGTCGCCAATAATATTCACCTAGAATGAGTACTCATTTTACACTAAATTCTTTGGTTCTTGCAAACAAAGAAAAATAGTGTCTTAGATCTAGAATATAAAATTTGATGAAATATTGAATTATAAATATAAAAAGTATAATTATCTAATATTTATTATAAGAACTCCATTTTTATCTCAAATCTTTGTTTTATTAATTCTATTTATTTCAAAAAAGTTTCTGTCCGAAATTAATTCTTAATCTATAAAATCTTCTTCCAAATTGAGATTTCTATTTAGAACACATAATAATAAAGAATCTTTATAGGTCAGTTTTCTATCATTTATAATTTTAGATGAATCTAATAATCCTTCCTCATTATCATCATTCTTCAAATTGTAAATTTAATTATTCTGCGAATCCTTTTCTAATGATAATTTAATGCCAATCAAATGTGATTAGTACATTTCTTCTTTTCTTAGTATAGATTATAAGAGAAACTGAATTCTGGAGACCTCATAGATCAAATTCAAATAACTGAATTTACAATTAATTAATTTGATAGTTTTGTTTTTGAATTCGCTGTAACTTTTTGGATTTATATCCAAGGAGTATAACGAACATTTAGTAATTAAGCCAAACCAGTTTTTTTTTAATTTAATCGACTTAAGTTCTGGATAATAAAACGATAAAATTTAGTCTTACATACAACGTATTAAGCATTCTTCATTAATTTTATATATAATATATTCGATTAAAAATAGAACTTCCACAATAGACCCAATATTTGCTAATATGTCTCCAATTTCAGGGTATTACATTCTCTACACATAAGCGACTTAAGATGTTGTAATCCATAATAAAGCATAACTTTCTTCTACAAATCTTTTAGAACAATAGTCCTTTGTCCCATACGTTGTTTATTCAACGGTTTCACTTACAAATATTTTATTTAGCGGAGTAGGAAATATGAAATCTTTATAAATCTAATAATGTGTATATTCCATGCTTATTTTAGTGATTTAGCATTCTATTTCTTCTAAAATGATTCCATATGTTTTTTTAATTTATCTTTCCATGAATGTTCTTGGATCAACTATTCTCAGAATTACGTTTACTTACAACTCATTTCCACTCTAATTAAAAAAGTCATTCATTATATCTTCGCTAGCACACACTTAACCTTCAACCACCATCTCTTTTGTACATCTTGCAAAAGAAATTTAATATTCGCTTTTTGAATTTAGTCTTAATTTTGGAGAAAATACATTTTCAGACACGTATTGAGAAAAATTATATCCGACTGCCTACTCTTTTCCATTTGAATAATTCTTCAGAATTGGAGTCAAGACTAGTTGGGACTAATTGAATGGATTAATCAATTCTTTTCCATTGGCTGTATTATAGATTTCAAACTCAATCGATGCGTTAGATTCATCTAAAAGATTTTCAATGTCATCATTAAAACTATGAATCTCTGTTGTAACAATAGGAACCATATCCATATTCATCCATCTATACATTTCATATAAAAAATAAGCTGCACTTAGTGAATAAATTATCAAAGTTAAAATTCCTCCTAATATAGTTTTATAACTAAAATTCAATTTGTTGTTTAGAGCAGGGTTAAACTCAACTCCAAATGAATCGATTTTTCGGAAGAATTCAAAAGCTCTTTTCATTAAAAAATTTGCGATTTATTTTATATAATAGTATTGATAATCAGTTTTTTCATATATTATCATATCTATTTAAGCATATAATTAATTATGTCTTAAGTCAAAACGAAATTTTGATTTTATTTCAACTAAGCTATGCTCTCATTTTAATTCTCCTTTTCAACCTTCTCAAGCAGAATTTCATCTTCGAATTGAACTCCTTCATCACCATTCTCTTCAGAAATATTAAATTCTTCAACCGCAAAGTTACTCAACTTCACTTTTTTAACTTTTGGCAACAGTTCTTGAATTTCTACCAATTCTAAATCAGAATCTTAAATGTCCTGAAATTCATCAAAAATTGAGTCATAATCATTTGAACATCTGTTAACATCCTACTTTTCTGAGCTTTCAACCATTAAAATTTCATTAATATCCTTAGACTATTAATTAATAGGTATTGGATCGAAATAAGAATCCAGAATTTATAATCCCAAGCCTCCTTGCTTATCTAAAGAAAAGATAAAATATTTCTTATCAAGATAGATATACTAAAACCCTCGATTTTTTAATCTTTTGGAGAATATCTAACTATTTCCAATAAGCATAGGGAATCCATTTTATGTCAAGTCACTTGTACCATATTGAAGAGAATTATCAATTAATAAATTTGTACACATTCTTAAACTTGGGAGGTTCGTTTTTACTTAGGTGACTAATCCACAATCAAAATTGATAAAAATTGAATTTCCAATATTTGAATAACCAATTACACTTTCTGCATTAGAATAAGTTTTATTCCTGTTTAATTAGAAATCATCTTGATCAAAAAGATCATCAAAATTTATAGTTTGATCACTGATACTCACAAACTAAGATATGCCAGTTTCCATACATCCATGTTATTATGTGCTGAATGGATTTTTTAAATTTCTTAAATCATAAAACTGAAGATCAGTATTAGTAGATAAGACTATATATTGACTTTATTAAAATTAATGGACAGCATATATTCTATTTGTGAGTAAATTGTGTACATCAATTGGAACAAGCACATTAGTATTTTATTTCCTTTAATCAAAGAGCTGTAGTTCTTTTTAACTTTACAAAAATAATAAAAAGGGATTCTTATGTAAAGCAATAGATTAAATCCAAAAAGCCTCAGCTTATTAGCTAGAGAACTATTACAAAATTGTGTCCTCTGTTTTTAATTATTTATTTGTCAAAATGTATAATCTATCAAAAGCTTATTCATATAAAATTTGATTTATTTAATCAGCACTCGAATATTTCTATTAATAATAAATAATAAATAATACAGAAACTGATTTTTCATTCTTTACTACTTCTACAGAATAGAGATGCTTTAAATAGAACCTATCATTTTATTTAATTAATTGCTAAACACCTGTGTGATCATTTAAATATAAATCCTTTTCAGTAAACTCTTAAACTAGAAATTTGCTAGTGCCTGCACAGCATTTCCACTCTAATCTTCCTATTGATTAATGAATCCTATATACTTAATTTTTCCTCAAAAATATACTCAAGAACATTATGGTCTCTAAACTCAGAGGTCAAGGTTAAGCAATTCCTGTATTGTATTGATGAAGGTGAAAAATTTGCTTCTTTGTTTTTAATCTCTTGAATTAATTCTCTATCAAAATGAGTAGCTTTAAGTTTTTCAAGGTATTAAAGATTTGAATGTAAGTCGGTTTTATGTTTAATTTTAGGGTTTTTCAATTTCTAAAAAGGTTTTGGTTAGATTATATAGCCAAAATATTTCTACAAAATTGAATTCACTATTTTAATGTTTGGGATTTGATTGATTAGCTGCTTGCCTTTAGTTATTAATTCTTGAGAATTTTATTTTTCACTTTCAAAGCAAATGTGATATGCTACTTTTTCTTTTTTTCTTTATTTCATAATTAAATTTTAATATTAAAATATGATTAAAACAATTACATGTAATATCTTGTTTTGTCAAATATGTTAATCGGGCATTTCATTTGATTTATTTGGGTTTTGATTACGAAGTTTGATTAGATATGAAGAATCTCTATTTTTGTATAAAATGAGTTGATATAATATATATATAATGACTTAATAATTATATAAAATTAATGAAACGACCGCAATCTGCAATTACCAGAGTTGATGACGCCAATTCAACAGCTAGTAAACCAATAAGGCCTTTAAGTGGTGTCAGCGATACAACGCTTAGATTTTAGAATTCAGTTGATTAATTATTAAGCAAGGCAAATTATTCCTTATAATTAATGAATATTCATGATAGTCTATAGTTATTTGAATAAGCATTCAAAAAAGGGGAACATCAATTATCGTCTATTAGATTAGTTAAATTGGTTGAAGATGTTGTATTACAACTGGTTAAAGTAATTGTGAAATCAGAAGATAACCTGATATCATAATAAATTTTGAACAGATTATTGATATGGTGTCAAGTAAAAAATATTTAATTTAGATTCAACAATCAAATGAAGACATTATCCATATACGATGTCCTCCCTACATATAAGTCAGGGTTTTGAATGCCTATGGGGATTTTTTAAGAAAACAAAATAAATACGATGAAAGTACCCATTATTTATAACTTTCGTTATAAATGTTGTCCCAATACAAGTTTGATTCCTCCATAGATGAATTGGTGGGTCAAACTTATATGTTATTGTCTTCTAATTCGCTATATACCAATCATTACGCCTAGGCAATTCAAGAGGCATAGGCGGCACTTTAACACTTGCAATAAGCTGCCATTTCAACTAATAAAATAACCGAAGAACTACATGAATCAATCTGCGATACTTATATAAATCTTGGAATTGCAAAGGAACAAGAGAAGTAATTTTAAGAGGCTCATTACAACTATTACAGTAGTTTAGTATACTCATAATAAAACCTGAATGAAAGCAAACAAATGAAGATACAATAGATTTATGATTAATTTTTATCGAGATAGGCAGCCTATCTATAGAAGCTTTAGTTTTAATAATAAAAGTCTTTAAAACAAATCAACTCCGTCACAGGATTCAATCAGAAAAAACCATAGTAATCAGCATTACTTCAATAACCCTTCGTAGATTTGGTCAAGAATGCCGCAGATCAAAGTAATGGAAAGTTAAATAGTAATTTTTTCAAAAAGAAACAGAAAATCATAAAATCTGTTGAAAGATAAAAACAAAACGAGGAAAGAGCCATCCTAAAGTTCAAGCCCTATTTGAATAAAATGCCAGGATAATCTAGTTAAGTTCTAAAATTCAAACCCAATTAAATGTTATTAAACAGTTAAATACCTAGACCTTAATCTCCTTTAAAATAACCGTTTGTAAATAATGGTATTAAAATCATGAAGGTGAGTAACAAACCGGAATATAAAGTATAGAATAAATCCTTGCCCTCATATAAATCAGATATGTTTTTAGCTAAAAAATTATAAGGTTAACAACAACAATAACCACAACCATAATAGTTCTCATCATCCACATCATAATTGAATTCCGCTAAGATTTATAGTAGCAAGTAGACCTATGGGTAATCTTAATAGACATTTCAATCTGAAGTACTCTATAAGAATAAAACAAATTAAATCGTGAGTCAATAAAGTAACAATGTGCATTAGGTCCCATCCAAATTTATTCAATATCTTGAATAAAATATCAACGAATCCAATTTATTAAAGAATGGAAATGTATAATTATTGTAATCATACCACAATATTCATTTGCCAAGCATCGAGGTAAAAACTTCAATATTTTATAGAGTTAATCAGGAATTCAAGAGATTTATTAAGGCACCATGAGCATTTACCTATTTTCTTAATAAAATATTCTATATTTCCAATATTTAGCAAGTGAGATCACAGATTAATTTGCTGTAAATTTGGGACCTAAGAAGATTAAATTAATCGGCAATAGTCTTAATGTTAGCGATGTAAACAATCAATTTAATACAATTAACCAAAACCCTTTAGGAATGAAAAACGTATTATTAAGTTTCAGTGTTGAGTATTTCAGATATGCAAAGATAAACTTAGATAAGCAATGCTTTTAACTCCCTTACAATTAGGCAAACTAATTTTACATTTACATTCCTGAACAGAATTAGAATCTATTAATTCAAGTGAAAAACGAATATGAATCTTTGGTCTTTTTAGTTGATTCATTCGAAGAGAACGGTCAAAATTCAAAAGACTAAGAAATATAACCGATATTCAATCATAAATCTAATTCGGTAGTTTCTGATGAAATTCATCCCTTATTAGCTGAATAGATCAAATAAATTGATGAAGATGTGTAACCAGTTTTTGAGGAATAGGAAGAGAAGCTTGCTACATCATAAGAGTATTCATAAGATTTTGAGCCTACTCCTATAATGGAAGAGGCTCCACAGGATAAATTTATTCAGAAGTCCTCTTCTTTACCCTAAAATAATAATAATAAAAATCAATATGACGGCATGGAGAAGTTCACAATTAAGATAGAATCTGAGGATCAGAGATAATAAGTGATAGAGGTTTATGCAACAGATAAAAAGTAATAGCAAGATGAAGAAATAAAGGAGGAGGAAGATCTTGAATTGAATGCAGCTGCTTTATTAATTTAAAAGAAGTTTAGAGAAAAAAGAATGAATTTGAAACATTGATTGGTTGTTTTATTATATAAAACATAATATTTAATATGTAAATATTAATAAAATAAATAATATAAAATGGGAGGAGATCATCATGAAGATCACGATTCAGCTTTATCACATGAAATAAAAGCCGAAGAAATTAAGAGATTATAACCCTTCTACCAAAAGAGATTACCATATATATTGAGACCATTTGCATCTTTCATTTATCACAGTGTTCCAACTATCAACACAGATAATTACGAACACAAACCAATAGAAAATTATTGTAAATATGTCATATCATTTAAATAGCTGAGTCCCAGATTATCAATAGAACCGTGTTTGCCCTTCAAAAATTACAGCTTTTGAATCCCAATTTCTTCACTCCATAAGAGTATTAATAAATCAATATTTATTAGAAATCGTATATTGTCCCCATTACCTTCTGGCATAGTGTCATATACCCTTCAATTCGCTTGCTCAGCCATGAATGCAATTTACGGAGTGTATTTATATAAGACATGGAGTATCAATGCTAAATCAATTGGACTTTGGGCAGTATTTTTAGCTACCCAATAAGTATGCCTTTAATACCCAAACTTCTTAAGTGAAGTAAACTATCAATCTAAATATAAAGACTCTAATTCAATGGCCAAGAAGAAGAAGATTAGCAAAACAATATCTTGAAATTTATGGTCCAAATTATTTCCATTAAATCATCGACCCAAGATTCAGTGTTCATAAACTAGAAACATTAAAAAACATTGCATGAGAGATTAATAAAATCATAAAACAAATAATAATTTCATTTCATTTTATTATTGTTATTGTTTGTGCCATTCTTTTATTATTAATCATGAATAGGCAATTCATTTTATTTCAAAATTTGTATTTATTATTTTAATGCCTTATTTTCTTATAGATATGACTGCTTCTCCTATTCTAACTGTTTTACCTCCTATTGGGAAATGTCCCTATAAGCTAATAAATCTTCCTTTAACGAATTATATTTATTTTGCATATCCTTGTGATCGTCGATTATTTGCTATATTTTCTTTTTATCTATGTGTTGCTGAGTGTTTTCCTTCTGATTCAATTAGCATGAAGATAATAGGTTGTTTTTAAACATCTTTTGTTGATATTAATAGTTGGTTTCAATCCGAAGCAATATTCGTGGCTATTCTATGTCATCTTCGATAAAATTTCCATCATATTGATCATCCTTAGGATCGAATAAAGTAATCCTATTTAATCTTGTAAATATACCATCTCACTAGATTTAATTATTTAGTTAATTATTTAGGAGGAAAACTAATGCTTCCAATTGTAATGCTGCCATCTTTGAGGATTATTTTGAATTCTCTGCCTTCAATCAAAGTTGATATTGGTAATTAGGAAACTAAATGAGTTTCAACCGTTTAGGAATTGGATTATATTGCAAAGTAGAGTTTATGAAATTAACATCCTATATCAACATCATACAAAGTCACTTATATCATACCTGATAAATTGAATATATATATAATTTCAAATTTTATTAATGTGTTTTATTCCTTTAGTTATTTTAGGAGATTTTAGATTCTTTAAGATTCTAAAGATTAATTCTACATAAGGTTAACCATGAGATTTGAATTTACAATCAATTTTAATTAGAATTCTCAAAATAATAAGCTATTATAATGTTTAATTGATTAGTAAATTAAATATCAATTGATTGATTTCATTATTATGCACATATCAAACAGAAAGCCGAAGTTCGGATACGATCTAAACCTACCTACTATACATAATAAATCTACTCCAAAAAGAAATGTCAGTTCAGGATAGACTAATTTAAAAGCTTAATTTTTGAAATGCTAACAATGTGGTGATGTGTCAGTTCCAGTTTGTTGTGTTGATTGCTATATGTTATTGTGCATAAATTGTGGAATAACTCATTCTAAGTAAAATTAATCACATAATATCACTAATTTTCGTGAAGCATTCAGTTTACTAACAGATGAAGTTAAAATTTTAGATGATAAAATTAAAATTATAAATTAAACCATTAATAAAAAGAACAACAATCTGAAGAATTAGATAAATTGTTAGTTATTTGAAGAAAATTTACAAAAAATAATCTCTTTAAGAAGATAAGTTGAATAATAAATTTCAAATTTTTTTGATAAAATTTACAATTAGTATATTTACATGTGGAATAACTTTATTGAATTGTGGGGATCAAACAAAACCTTCCTGGATAGATTGAATTCTTTCTAATTAAAGATTTTATTATTTTTATAGAATGAGCTATCAGATCAGTTATAATTGGTTGAGTCACTCTTCAAAGATAAAGTAATCTAACAATCCAAATCCTTATTAAATTAATACGAAAAAAGAGAATAACTATTAACGAAGGATGAGGTTTCCATAATATACCCTCCCAGATTGCTTATAGATTTAAATTGCATCACTAAATAGCATTTATAATTATCCTAAATGGTCTAGCTTATTGACTGGTATGAAGATGCCAAAGAAGAGCTCTACAAAATAAGAGGAGCTGACTATCAAAGTGTACCTTTGATTCCAGCATTCGCTAAAGTTATGTATTTGTATGACCCAGAAACTCAGGAATACTAAATAGGAGAATTTTAAGATCTGAGACATCAATAAATACCTCAGTTTTTGAAAACGGTATTTCTAAACGATGGAACAGCCTACATTGTTGGTGGAGCTGATTCTAAGGGTACTCCAGTAAGGTCGATGTTGAAATGCAAGGATGGGGAATTACAAAATCTTGCTCCGTTGCCGAAAGCCAAGAACCCAACAAATGGATTAATCGTATTTGATAAATACATTTATGTTATCGGAGGTCTTTAAGTTGTGGATGACAAATTATAGTGGAGTAGAACGTGTTCAAAGTATTGCATCTAAGAAAACAAATGGTATAATGTTGAGTCTATGAATTATCCAAAGCCCAATCAAACCATCTTTAGGATTAATCATTTTATTTATGCTTTTGGATTTCAATAACACGAATTTATTAACTTCGAAAAGTATGATATAGATGAAGAAAAGTGGAGTCTGATTACTTTATCGTCAACTTCCTTAAATCCATTTTTATTTGGAGGTGGATATGCTTCGATTCAAATAAATGAATTTTAAGCTCTCTTATTTGGAGGAAAACAATGGAGCAGAAAATTCATTGATGATGAAAAGGAATTCTATTTTGATGATGAAATTATTAAAACTGTTTTTTGTTATGATTCTATTTAAAACTCATTTATTAGTTTAGGTGATTGCTTACCTGGAACAGGAGTGTCATATGGTGAGTTCTAACCTATTTGTTATAAAGACAAAATATTACATTTCGAAGCACCCATTTCAAAATAGAGAAAGATAAGTTAATTGCTATAAATAATTAATGTAGTTTAATTTTAATTTGTAAATCAAGTCTTAGAAACTGAAATTGTATAAATTTTAACTCCGGATTGAAATAGTCGACAATTTGAGTATATTTAGATAAATTTAATTACTTATTATGCACAAATTTCTAAGTTCTATTGAAAAAATTGATATTTTTGGTGTCCCAATAAGTCTTCTCACTCATAAAAACGAGTCAAAGTTTCAAAGTGTAATGGGAGGGATTATTTCTATTTTGTTAGGGAGCCTAAGCCTTGCATATTTCCTATATATTATGGCCTAATGGATAGATAATGAAATCACTCCTAATGTGAGTTCGAAGTAATAAACTACTGGATATGCTGAATTTGAATGGAAGGAGACTCTGATTCAATTAAATTTGGAAGATTTTACTAGCGACATCGATCCTTTTAGGAAAGAAAACAATATCATTACTCCTCTGCTATTCGCTATTCTTGGAAGTAATATTGAAGACGATCCCATCCCATATTTTAGTACGGATTCTATGCCTATGACTGTCATATTGAGCAATGGTTCGTTGATTCTGAATAACGCCTATGATGAGGATGAAAATCACAAAGTTATGAAATAATATCTGTTGGTTTTCGCAACTTGTTCAAATGACTATGAAATAGCAGGTAGAACTTGTGCAGATGAAAAGACGATCAATGATTACTTATCTAAATAGCATGGCTTCATGTTTTTGACAATAAGACTCAACCAATTAAACTATGTAACAAGAGAACTAGAGTTATTCGCTAAGCAATATTACTTAGCATTTAATCCTCAAAGACCAATTTACTCTTAGATCATGTTGAAATAATAGGAGACAATTATTGATGATGGTATCCTGTTTAAAAATTACGAACATTACTATTTTTTAAATAATTATGAACTAATTAATTAAGAGGTAGATACTACTTTTATGCCAGGTGTTGTATAATTTATGTCTAACGGAAAATACAATTTTGATATATTTAATTCCTACTTGTTTAGGATCGATAACATTTCAATTATTGAAGAAGTCGCCATGCCAAAATTAGGTTAAATACTGGCTTAGATAGGTTCAATTGTTCAGCTAATATTTATTTTCAAATATGTCGCCATATATTATAATAATAAATTATAAGAAAACGAACTGTTTCACGATATTATTACTATGTATTATCCTGAGTTCAAGGAGGTAACATTGAATGTGTTCAATTAATTTGAAATTTCGATGGAAGATAATGGGAAACTAAAAAGTGATTTATAGAATATAAAGAAAAAGTATTCAGCGTTATTGCGAGGAGCAAAGGAAAAATGCCGGCTTAATAATATCCTGTATGAAATTTCAAGATTATAGTTTATTTTATAATAACAATTCGGAAATTAAGCGTTCTTGTTGTGTCACAACTTAGGTGCCAAATTAAGCGAGAAATAATAGGAAGATCAAAGTTTGAAAGATACTAATAGGTTAGTTGTTAAACCAATCAATTCTTTGGATCTGGATCATCGGTGTTCTTCATTAGAACCCCTAGAAATGTTATTGAGGTAGCCTTGAGAATAAAATTGAGATTATATTATATATTGGACATATTTTATCACCCTGCAGATTGGATCTATCTAAATTTTCAACTTTGGAAGGAGGGATGTATAAAATTTTGGCGCAAACTTATTTCGTAATTTGATATTAATAAAATAGTATATATGTGGGTTTGTTGATATAATTGAGATTTATTTTAAAGATATAAATATTAAACATAAATAGTGAGAATGAAAATTATTAAATAAATAAGTATAAATGTTTAGCTATTCTTTGCCGAATTTACCTGATTCTCTACATTTTTCGCACTTATTATTACTAACATTAACAGCACCACCAGCGAATTTGAATCCAGAATATTTTAGCTCTCTGATGAGTCAGTAAGTTTATTCCGTGATATTTTAAGGTATGGACCTGTTGCCAATGTTAAAATTCTGCATCGATCATTAATGGAATGTCGAGTCTTGGTCGAGATGGCTAATATTGAGGCAGCAAAGAATGCCAAAAAAGCATTAGATCAACTTTCATCGAATTTCATCAAATGTTCTTACTATTAAGATGATAAACTAATCCCACATGGCTCATTCACGATTGGCTCTTATGAAACTATCGAAGATACAACTTCAAGTACGTTTAAAAATAGGCATTCCACATCAATTAATGATAGTACTATATATAATAATATAAAATTAGTCATACAAGATGGAGACTCTAAACCACACAGCTCAACTGTATTGCCAATCAGTTAGAAACTCATACCTTCTCAAAAAAACATTCAATCAACGAAAACAGTGTGCTTAAATGGAATTTCAGGAAAAGAGTTGGATGCGCATAAGTTATACAATATTTTTAGCAATTTCGGTAATGTAGACAAAATTATATTAATAAAGTAATATATATTGCTCATAGATTTAGTCTTAAAAATTTTGCTTTAGTAAAGTACTTAAAAGAAGATCAGGCGTATTTCGTATATTAGAATTGTCAGAATTTATCATTTTTCGAAAGTTCTTTAACAATCACATTCGCTGCAGATGATTCAATTGAAAAGTTAGTCGGTCTGGATACTTTATATAGAGACTAAGACTATTACGTTGGATCTCAAGATACTGACAGGTACATGCTCTGTAAATTCATCGTAGATTCAATCCAAATAACAAGATGATTTTGCTGCCTCCCAGTCAGGTTCTCCACATCTCCAATCTGAAGAAGGTGTCCTCCAATGCAGAAACCATGTGGGATATATTTTCTGAATTCGGTGTTGTCGAAGTATTCTTTGAAATAATCTGTAGGCAGTCAAAGTTCTAAATTCATAGTTTAAATTTATGTGTTTAATCAAAATGGAAACTCTGAAGCAGGCTTTGGAAGTCATGGCACTGATGCACAATGAAGAGGTGGACGGGAGAAATATTTAAATTTCATTCACCAAAGCCAAAATTTGATTATAATAAGAAAATATTTAAAATAATTATTATATATTAATAATAATTATTGTCATATTTAAATTTATTTCTAATTATGATATTAATTATAATAATATATAATGATATTCATATAATTATTATAAAATTTGATTCATTATAATAATGCAAGATCATTTGTAAAGATCGCCTCAAATAATCTGTGACGTATGATTAATTGCTACTAAACCAAATCTCCAAATCTTTTTTTCTTTAAATAATTCCTTATATTTCAATGAATTCCTTCCATCCCTTCGATCAAAACCTAATTCTTCAACAACAATTGATCCTCCATCAGATGTTAATTTATAATCAGATGCTCAAGTATTTAAAATTGTCATCCATTAGAGCCTCAGTTACCCAAAAAATACCTCCTACCAATATCCTGACCCCAAAACTAGAAGAAATAGACATATCCAACTCCCAATAATTCAAACACGATGATACTCACGAGATTCAACCCACAAAAAGAATTAAATATAAAAGTGAGATCGACCAAAATCTCAAAGAAAATTGAAAAGAAAAAACCTTAGAAGTAACACCCTGACAGTAAACAATCAGATGAACTTCCAAAAAAGAAGAAGGTGTTTCTTTCAATGCTGGATATTAAAGAGGTACAATATAAAAAGTAAATATCTATCCAAATATATTAGAGTCAAAGCTTAAAACAATGAAGATAACTAAAAAAGTGTAGCAGCCTTTGTAGGTGCTCCAATTTGACTATAGTTTATGATTTTATTATTGTATATAAATGTATTTCACAAATTCATACAAATACATTCTATTTGATAAAATTAAGGAATCTCATAGCATATTCCCTAGGTGGAACACATGAAATGTTTGAATCAACAAATGTATGTTTCAATGAATATTCAATTTGCTTTTGCATACTTTTAGATGAACAAAATTAATTACTTATATTCTGTTAGAATATCAATTATTCCAATAAAATACACTTCCTTTTGATCATTTGACACAACTTGGTTTTTGATATTGCTGTCGTGTCTTATTGAATGTATACCAATCAAAAGACTATAATCAATAATTGAACAAGATTCCAAAAATAGTACATCATTTTTAAATTAAGCTAATAAGGATTTCGTGAATTCTAATTATTATAATTATATATTAATAATTACCTGAATCCAACAATATTTTCTTCTTATCGTCTAAAAAGTCCAGATCCTTCAACGCAACATTCTTATCAGGGATCTTATTGGCTTTTTTCGTTTTCCTACCATAAGTGGATCCCTTAAGATCATATCTTACATCAATAGATAACGGAGATTAAAATACATTTACAATTACTATTATATAGGTCTTTGAAATCAGTGTCTTATCCTTAAATGCCTTCAAAACATGTTAACCTAATATCTTAGAAAGATACGTTGAACCATAATCCCTTATATATTGGTAATACTGTTAGATAATTCTTGAAAGCAATTTAAATTCGTTCTTAGATATTGTCTTAATCATAAAATCTCCATTATCAGTAAAATAAAAAAAGCTTCCGCTCTTCCCAGTCGAACTTAACTCACTCAAACTAGTCAACTTTCCTATCATCAAATTCCCCAATAGGTTTTCAGGACCAATTGATGTTAAATAATGTTTCTATGAAATTTTAAAGATTGATCTGATCCTCTCATAAACCAATCCTGCATAATCAACAAACTAATAACAAATATTTTAATTATTTGAATTCGAAATATTATAGATGTATTTGCTCTTAAAATCTTTGTCTTTTAATTCAATGGACAAAGGACACAAAGCCTAAGCACATGCTCTCATTCCTATCATCATGGATATCACTAAATTCCAATTTTCATGTCCAAAATAAATGGCCTTGTGTTTTTTAGGAATGTTTGCAATTGTGGCTCTTCTAAAATCTTCACTCATTGGTTTTTTCATTTTTTTCTGTTCTAAAACAATTAGTTTGTCCTGCTTTCCAAAACTAGCAATTTTATGAATTCTAGAATCATTCTAAAATAAAGAGAATTAGGGTTAATTGGCTTAATATTTTACGCTGACCTCTTAAGAGGGATCAACATCACCAGGTCTTTTTGGAGTCTAAATGCTAACATAAAAGGGCCCATCTATTTTATTGTCTATTTAATTAATTTAACTGATGTTTGCATCGAAGATTATTGATTCTCCTCCTCTTTTGGAATTCTTTAACTAAATGATACAGGATAACACTTCATCTTATAAATTATCTATAGATTATTATAATTTGTTATTGTCAATTTCTTGGGTATGTATTGATTGCTTTTCAGTTTTAGTATCATTAAAAAACTCAAACCAATCAATTGCATTAGATATATTGTCATATGCATCTAAATAGGCTGAGAAACTTATTTCTCCTGTCGATTGCATCCCCAATGCTTTGATCAACATCTCCACTTTGGAGAGATTCGGCAATACTTTTGACCCTGTAATTTAATGCCAAAAGAGTAAAATATCAGCACATAACTACTCAATATCATTTTATAGAATTCTCCCTGTGTCAGTAATATCTAGAAATCGAAAGCTCATTTCTGCTTTTTATTGTTTATTTCCGTTGACAAGTATGTTTAGATAGTTTAAGAAATCTTCAAATGTTATCTTATTTTTGAATTTTTATTACTTTATTGGAATCTTCTATGTCGATCACGTGAAATAATCTTAGACTCAAAAATTCAGCATTAGCTAATCCCATGATCCCTAAACTTTCACGAAATTATTAATAATTGATATATCCAATCTGTGCGAGTTTAAGAAATCTGATACTATTACTTTAATAAAGAAAACCTTTATCTAATTTTTTTAATTTCCTTTTCTGAGAATCCTATCCTTCTTTTAGAGAAATCGTATTCATCATACTTCTTGAATTTTTTTTTATCATTGGTGTGAATAAAATTAATTCTTCTTTTCATTATTGAATTGTGTGTATATATATATATAATTTTAATAATAATCATATTTCAGGTAATTTAATTTAAATGGGGCCTTGTGTTTACTGTATTAATTTATTTATCTTATTGACATTTGAATTTTATTTAAGGAGAAGCATGTGTTTCATCATGGTTGTATGCATTTTTCTCATTCTATGATTCATTTTAAATTATTAATTGTTCAAATCTAAAACATTCTACAATTTTTGAAACTTTTGTTTGATAGGTTTATTAATTTAAGGAAATTGATCGTCATTTTCATCCTTATCCTCTTATTCTTCAAGCAACAAAATGCTATCCACTTTTGATTGAGTACTGAAAAGCTGATTCCCCAAAAGTAAACTATCCTATTTTTCAGCGTTATTGTCTCTGGGACTGATCTTCTGATCTCTGGGGGTGTTTTGCATCATTTATATAATGTAACTATACTTATCCTTGGCATCTATGTTTTCATTATTGATTTTGAGATACATCTACTTTCGTTACATCAGTTCTCCTAATCTAGAGAATAATCCAACTAGAGTCTGAGGAGTTGAAAATTAACAATTTTACAAAAATGCATTATTTCCCATTAATTAGAACACTTCTGATTTTGGTTTCTTTCTGTATATCATCTAAAGTTAAGGATTATGCATTAATTGATGCAAAGAATGTAAATTGATCATTTAATTCAATTACTAGTTACAATATTTGTTTGCATTTAACATTAACTTCGCTAAAATTGAAAATGGGATATCTAATTTCCAGATCTATGAAAATGTTAAAGCATACTTTTAAGAGTTTAAATAAACCGACTAAAGTAATATTTTCTTATTAGACGTCAATTTGATTTTCTCGAATCAATAAATACAAAGGTCTAAGTTACGATTCGCATTCCTCATTGTTAGATTAGTAACAGAATGAATTTAAGGCTGGGAGTGATTACTTTTGAAATAACATTAGATTTGATAATTTATTATTGTTTTGATATTATTTTATTCACAAAATGTATTTTGCGTGGTTTCTTTATATTGCTTTGATTTTGGTATTCTCCTTATTTATATCTAGGGACTCTACTTTTTATCCAGAATAATAGTGAAATACTACATAGACCCAGCTGAGTCTTATAACTTCGCAATTAACTCCATTTGTTTGAGCTTCACTGTATCCATGATTTGCATCTTAATGGTGCCAATCGATGTATTTGTGACTTCTCATCCCAACGATGTCATCTCCACACTTCATCAACCAATCAATAAGTATTTTATAAGGGAGGTCTTTATCTGTAAGAATGACATTAATCCTTTTAGACCTTTACATTGGATTACTATTTATCACCTTTGTTATCCTACCATTTAATTATTTTTATTCCGAAGAGAGAGCATTGAGTTATGATAACGACTTTGACTTAGATTTAAGTGAAAAACGTCTATCTTCCAAAATAATTAGATCAGCCAAATAAACTGTATACTTTATCGGGTTTATTTGTGTCTTGTTAATTTCAGGACTGGTTTTTAATCCCGAAGTCAATTACAGTACTTCTGAAAAATTAGAATGGGTTAAGACCATGTTTGATGTTGATCATCTAGGCGAATAGGCAATCTCATTTTGCATCTCAATCATATTGACATTTGGTTTTTGCTTATGGGTTATTTATGGTTCCTATGGATTAACTGCTTTGCCATTCCAATTGATTAAAGGAGCCAGGTCTTTGGAAGAAGAAAAGTCATAGGTCGATAATGATTTAGCCAAATTAAGAGAAAAATATAGGGCGATTCAAGAGAAATATTAGAAGAGTTCCTCTAAAATTTCGAAAGGAGATCAGAGGGTAACTATTTTATTCTATTCATGAGGCCTTAACTAATTTAAAAAGAAAGGAGAGGTTTTTGAACCTAAAAAACGAAAAAATTATAGAATTGGAGACATAGACGAAATCTTTATAGACAATATTTAAAATCATCTCTCCTTTTAGAATAATTATTGGTATGATTTGCTTATGCTTCTCAGTCCTAATATTTAGTTCTTTGGCTATTACTACTTATGACAAAGTATTAATATGATTAATTTTGATAGATTACAAATTCATCATGTGGATTTAAATGTGGATATTTAATCTAAGAAAAAACATTCTTGAATCCAATCGATACTTTGTATGTTTATTCGTCTTATTATTTCCCACTGGATTATTTGTTCTTCTTTATCTTCACACTTTATATCTTTATATGCACTTTATATGGAATAATCAAATGTGGAATCATCTTCTTGAAAGGCTTTGAAATTAAAAAAGAACAAACTTAACCATCATCTTTGTTTATAGTAGCTGCAATTTTAAATATCAGCATTTTGGTAGTATGCAATCAATTAATGACTCTATGTCCCTAATATGCGACTTTTGGCAATCAGCATTATTATGATATTCGAACCAGATAGCAATCCTTATGCACACTTGAAGCTGTGAGTAAAGTGGAGGCTAAATTCATTTGTCAGATGACTAATTTATCCACGTTTTACAATAAGTATACAGTTCATATTTATTTAAAATAGAATTTCCTTAGGATATCCTATGTTCGCAGTAATATTCTTTTTAGCTAATGCTTCCTTTTTGGGGTTGTCATCTTTGATGATATTTATTTTTATGTGCAAAAAGAAGGCTAGTTAAATAGATGTCAATGAAGATGACGAATTAGATGATGAGAGTAAATCATTAATTAATATATGAATAAGTATGATATAAACATTTTCATCTTTTTCTAATGCTTGTCATGTTGAAGAAATCTTATAATTTTTTATTTGCGGTTCCATATGTTGATGACAATTGTGACTTGCAAATTTATAAAGGTAATTCCAATTTCTGATCATTTGAAACCTTCGTATTACACTTAGATCTTGTTGAAATTAAATTAGTGCTATTATTAGTATTGTTTAACAATTTTGGGCATTTAGAAGCTGTTCTTAGAATGACATTATTCTTTTATACAGGTGTGGATATCAGTTGTAAATTAGTAATGGAATCACGAGATAGCTCTACACTCTTTTTGCTGAAGAACACATCAAAATGATGAGGAGGGTTTGGTTTCTACTGGGTTGATGATCGATTAAGGTTCTTCATTTTCCTATTCATGTGATGTAAATGAATAAAAATCGGGTCAGATTGCTTTTGATTTGCTTAAGATTACGAACAATTTGGTATCTGAGAATCGATAGTAAAGATAAATCTTTTAATTTCATTTGGTGATTGCTCTGTCTTGGCAAATCTAATAGGTAGTGGTTTTGGCGTTGGAGATTGAGTGACTAATTGTTTTTAAGATCTCATTTCAGTAAAAGGGGATGGCTATTCATCAAAGGGTTATCCATTCAATGGTTTTAATTGTTTGATTTTATTCTCAATTACATCCTTTTTCCATTCTTTCGGTTTGAATTCATAACTATTCATGTGCTTTTCCATTAAATCTTTTAATTTATACTTTTGTTAAAGGAGTTTAGCAGAATTTTGTTACTCCTAGATGTTCTTGCAGTCAATGATCGCCTCTTCAATGAAATTTAAAAGGAATTTTAATTATGTTCTTGCATTTGTTAGAGCTACTTAATAGCCTTCAGTTTTAATCTTTTTCAACACAGTATCTAAATTGTAATTCTCAAGTTATGAAACAATATTTTATAAATCAATAATGGAGAAGAACTAAGCCAAAATTGGGTCTTAAATAATAGCGTCAGAAATTAATTTCAATTCTTCTTTATTTAATACAGAACCTAAAATCTCTTAGACCCCTTGTTTCTGAGCTATGGGAAGCAAGGTTTTTCTTTTATGCGAACGATCTTCGAGATGATCATAAATAGCATTCAATAATTGATTTGAATTGCGAATAACAGGATCTTTTACAACTATCTTAATTTTGAATTGGTTCTCCAATTAATCATAAATAGTATTTAGCTTTGAATATAATTTATTATATGTCCATTTTAAATAAAAACTAAGAATTAGTAAATTCATACTCTTAATCAAACAATTCTGAGGGACAGGTCTTCAATACTTCTTTGATGTTTAGGAGTGAATTAATCATCCTAAATAATGCATTGGTTAGCATACTGTACATTCTCAATACAAATTAAGCATTATTCTCAACTAATCGAATTTACTAATTCTTAGAAATCAAAGCTGCCTCTACATTCAATTCTTCAACATTCATATGTTCATCATCTCTTTCAAACAAAATGTCATCCATTGCATAGAATTCCAAGGAATTTAAATCTTCTAAAGTTTATTTCAATTTTGCTTTTTAATCTAATAAATCTTCATACCTATTTTTTTAAGTCATTTCATTAAATTATAATTTACGATATACTTAAATCAAATCATCTATAGATTTTTATAAATTATTGTGGTGGAATTTAAAAAAGATCTTCATTCTCGAACTTACACTACTGAATCTAGCTCTGTCAATATATTCCTATTCACTATCGGCAATTTGCATTCTATTCCTTGGTTTTTATAATTGATTTCTGGCATTTTCCAAAATTTCTGGCAGTTCAAAATCTTTGGGATCCTCCATTACAAAGATTAAAATGATCTTATCGAAATCATCCAATTCATCCAAGAACTCTGCGCATTCCTCAATCTTATTGAACTTAGTCGATATCTCTAAGTTAATATCCTAAATCTATAATTCAGTCAGAATCAATTATTCCTATAGATATTTTAATCTTTCTTCTTATTGACATAAGCCTTCTAAATTTTCTCTAATAAATTGTAATCACAAATTACTTGACAATTTAGTTTTTATGTTCATAATTTGAAGTATTATCATGTAAGTATTACTTAGACCACTCTTTTTCCTCCTACAACGCCTTTTTTATCTTTTTATTTTACTTTTTTGCTGCATTAAAAGCCTGCAAATTTTAGAACTCCTTTAACTAAATATGGGGTTGTTTCTGAGTGTATAATTATAATTATTCAATAATAGTATTGTTCCTCTTTTGATTTTCCCTCACTGAATGACCCAATACTTGAATTTTATGCTATAATGTTTGATTTTATTCTTATTCAGCAGCTATTTAATTGTTGATAGCAGCCAAGTCATTCTCCTGGAGAATGGAGTATTTCTTCTATTCCACTTCTACCTAATTGTATTAAGTTAGATTTAATTTCATTAGATCATTTTGATATTTGATATTGGCCAACAATGCCTTTAACTTTTGAGTTTCAGTTTTTCTGTCATATTCTTAATAAATTTCTTCTTATTTCATTTCCTCCAACAATTCAGCCTTTCTTTTTACAACATATTCATTGATGATCTAAAAATATGCATGTGTCTACTTCTTTTTTCTTATTCTCAAATTATAAATTCAACAATTCTGCATTAAATACATTCGGCATTGATTCTAACGACTCTCGTCTACTGATGTTGTTGGTGTAACTTTTACGGAAAGAATTCATTTTATATTAATAAATAATTTCAACTCTTTGGATGCTATACAAATTCTAATTCATTGATTCCGAACATTTCTTTTACCCATTGTGTGATTTTATCTTCCTAGTTCTAATGCGAGGTCATGTCCTTCACCCAAATTGAAACCTGAGTAAATGACCTTTTTTAATTGACGACCACTCCGCAAATGAATTCATTGCAAGTGCATTGATTACCTATATAACTCAAGAGGATGTTTTCCCAGACTCGATCAACATTATTTTTGCATCTGAAGACAAATCTTCCCCCATTTTGATTGGCCTTGTCCTCCCACATTGGTTGGATTTCCTCCTAAAATAACAGTATTTGGCACCCTTCTGGGATGGTTGAAGGCTTTGCTATCCATTGATAGTACATCCAGAACGATTCTGCTGTTTCAAAGTTGCCTAAATTTAAATCATTTCAGTATCATACACACTTTGTACAGATTGTCATTGTAATTATCCTTGTCAATCTTGGTCTGTGTTCTCTGAGTTGACACCCAAAATGTATATTTGCTCTTTAATAACATATTAATTTTAACAATGAATTCTAAACTTTTTAGATAGAGTAAGTCAACTTAAAAAATACCATAATAAGTTTCATAATAAAAGAATCTAGAGTAAGTTTACATCAAACGACTTCAAGAACAAGAAGCCTTCATGCCCAAAGACATCTACATATAGAAACATAAGAGCATGCATCAGATAATGAATAATTAATAGTCATAACCATTGAGATATTATTCTCATATCAACGAAATTAGATCAATAAAAGAATTCATCTACATCTCAGAAAAACTAAAACAGAAGAATATTGAGAGGAAAATGCAAGAGAGATTGGAACTGAAGGGCAAACTGAATTAAATCAAGTAAATTGAAATAGGAAAAAAACTGCAATATTACGTTGAGAGAAAAATTCGATTATTCATTAAGGATAGACAACATGAAGAAAGTATAATTACATCTCTAATAAAGATCCATATAACAAATCCTTTGAAGCATTTTATGAATTCTATAGCAATGATCCAAAGTTAAAAACCTTCGAAAAGGAAAAATTACTCAGTGAATTTAATAGGCTCTCCTCCTAGGTTCTCAATGTTCCCGTCAGTAGATCATAGCATGCTAAAATCACAATATCCCCACCTCCTAAAAACATATACTAAATTGTATTAAAGTTATTCATCATCAATAGAATGAGGATAATGAACCCACATTAAATGAGGAAGATGATGGAACCAGTAAGTTTTTGACCATGAAGGCAGCCAATCGACTTTTAGGAATGATGATGGTTGAAAGCAGTAAGGGAAAGAGAACTCCTATAGTTTGGGCTCTTAACAAAAAGAAAGAACTACAAGAGTTACTCAATAAACCATTTGGAGGGAAGATGAATTTCACGATGAACGCCTTCAATTGGCTAATAGATAATGCCATTCAGAAAAGCTAGGCTTACATCAATAAAAATTAAGTTGTTGAACAAAAGAGTGTGGATCCCAAGAAAATTGGGGAATTGATTGATAAGGGACTTGTTAATATTAAGAGAACATTAAGTAAGAGACCAGCTAGTTCAAATAATGTGAGGAGTTGTTAATAATTGAAACATAGAAATGATGTAGCCTTAGAATATTGCATTTCGGAACGTGTTAGACAGAATGTCATATAGCAAAAACTGAGGAATCAAAAGATGCAAGAGTAATCAAAAATTCAGAAAAGTTATTTATCAAATGATTCTTATGTGAATCACTACATCTGAGATTATTATTTAACTATTTGGAATACTGTTTTGAAATAACATTCAAATTATTAATACTCATTTTAATTTTATTTATTATAATTTATTATTTTTATAAGAATGATATTATGCGTTGGTGATATTGTGCCTCCCTCAACCGAAAAAGCAAAAGTGTTAAGGAGAATAATTTTCTTTATAATCTTCTTACAGATATGTTTAGCATTAGGAAAACTGTATTATGATATGTGGGCAGGTGTGGCAGAATTCACATCAGCATTTATCTTGTGGTATTATTGAAATGTAAGACTAGGTGTGCTTAGGCTTAATTAAATTATTGCAATTGCGTTATTTACATATTCTTTTGTCTAATGAACACTTTTCTGATTGTGGTTAATTTCTTGACTGACATCCAAAACAAAGTCAACCTCGAACAGTTGTCAAATGATGGCAGGAATCAGTTTCTGCTCTAAGCAATCTCAATGACATTTTACATAGTTTCAGTTTACTTCACTTTTCAAGCATATAAAGAATTCAAAGTAAAAATTAACTTAATTTCAGGGAATAGCATATGATGTTTATGCTGCAACCACTAATGATTAAGTACTATCAAAATCAAATATAAGATAACAACTAGAAATGCATAATTTTGAAAATTGAAAATTGACTATTATTTCTTTTTTTAGTTATAATAATTTTACATCATTTAAATCATTTACTTTTTTACAAAATTAAGTTGGTTGCAATAAAATTAGCAAACCTCTCGGCATAACGAGCTGGAGGTACACATGAAATGTCATTGGATACAAGTGTTGATTTAAAACCATACTCTAAATATTTCTTAGTACTAAAAAGAATAAAGGTGAAATATCACTTGAACAGAGTTAGAATATCTATTATGCCAATAAAATATATCCATTGTTTATCCATTGATAATATTCCTCCCTCAAAACTTTCAAATGGATGCGAATTGTTCTAAACCTACTAACCATATAAGCTCGACCTATCTGAAATTTAAAAATCTTGTACTGATATCTCTTTTATGAAATCCAACCAATAGACTGTAATCTATGATGTCATTATCTTTCAAAAATGAACAATCCTCCACTATGGTCTTGAGCAGTAATTGTTAATCTTGTGGTTCCAAATTCAAGTAATCCTTTTTTTATAAAAGATCCAGATCCTTTAAAGCTATTGTGTTGTCTTAAACTTTTTCATTAGGATTCGTTGAAGTCTGTCTCCCATAAAGAGATCCTTTTAATCTAATTGCAATAATACCTTTGATATCATAACGAACATCAATATCTAGCCCAGATCGAAATATATTGACTATTGTAACTAAATAAATCTTAGTGAATTCAGTTTTGCTTTTAAATATCTTTAATTGATGCAATCCGAATATTCTACTCAAGAGAGTATAAGGATGGGTTTAAACATACTTATAATATCTTGCAAGTATTTTCCTTAGTAATCTGGCTTCGTTTTCTGATATTGTCTTAATCATATACTGACCTAATTAATAGATACAGAACATTACAATCCTATGTATAATAGAAAAAACTCCCACTTCTACCAGTTGATCCTAACTCTGTTAAAGAATCCAATTTGCCAAACACTAAATTGCCAATAAGATTTTCAGGACCTACAGATCTTTAAAAGTCTTTATTGCTTATCTAAAATCTATATAAAGAATAATTTATACTATCGTCTGATTCTTAAGAAAATTGAAGGTGCATAATCCTTAAATTAATAAGCCTTTCTAAAATCGAAATTGCTGCATCTGTTCTATAATATATCATAAACGTATCTCTCCGCAAATTCGTGTTACAATGCATTTTTACCATAAAATTCAGGTTGGATATTTGATAATGCTTATTTCATCCCTATCATTAAATTTAAAATCAGATTCCAATTTTCATGTCCAAAATAGACAGACAATTTTTATTTTGCCTTTCTTTTTGGCATATTCATTATTGTATTCTTCTTTCTTTAGGTGCTAAGTCTAGCAGGACTTTTAAAATAATATGGTTGTACAACTTAAGGCAAATTAATTGCTTGTTCAATCATTTATTGTAAATATTCCAATCTATTTAATACTTGATCTAAGGGGTGATCGGATGAATTAGTCAAACTAAACGAATTAGTTTGAATATTAGACAAAAAACTAATTTCAAAACTAGGATCATCATCCCCATTCTTTGCTATTTAGCTAGTACTAAAATTGCACGGACCATAAACAAAGCTCTCATCTATGATCTGCTTTTTATTCCTCTCGTAATCTGATAGTAAATTAACGCAATTTCTTATTTCATTCTACAATTGATCAATCATATTCTAAAGGATAAACGCTTTGTTTGCCTATGGACAACTCTGCAATAGAATTTCTGTTTCATTAAAGTACTCGTACCAATCAATACTTTCCTGTATTATTTAGTACTTTTAATAAAATTGCGGAAAGTCCAACCTTTCACATTCAAATTAATCCCATAAATTCCCTATGTATGATTGCCTCGGAGTTACTCTTGATCCCGTGATTTAATTCCAAAACATTGTTAAATCCAATAGCATCTATTGAAATTCCTTATATTCAATATACCCTTTTCTCTATAAATCTATGAAAGCAAAGCTTAATTGAGCCTTCTATTGCTCATTTCCAAACATCACTAGTTGTAAATAATTAATGTATTGATTTAAGGTGAATACTTTTTTTCCTTCGCTAATTACATTGAAAATCCTGTCGAGTAAAAATGTTGCATGATCCAAACCCAAAATACCCATAGTGTTTTAAAATTATTTATAGTTAACTTAACCATTATTTGACATTGCGGAGAACCTCTTTTAAATGGATTCCAACTCTTTTTAAGAAAACTATTTCATTACAATATTTATCAATATATAATTATAATATAATATTCATTATTTTTTCTTTAGATTTCCTTCAATTTACTTATTCTAAAGCCAATTCTCAAATACATATCTCTTGAAAACACTTGATTTTGTCACTTTTCCATATACAAAGTCGACAAAGAATAAAATAGAAAATTAGAATATATTTAACACGACAATTATGGGAATACTTAAACTTTTTTAGAAACCATAGACATGCTTCCCTTTCACTTAGAAGTAGCAGCCTATAAATTAGTATTTAGATTTACCATATATTATAAAATAAATGATAGTGTATGTGAAAAAGAATACAAACAATTTAATTTTTGGTACTTACTAATGTTCATAGAGGATATACTCGATTTACCTAAAAATAAATATCATATTATCTTACATCAACAGCCAGTTTCCGAGATGCAAATATGCAAGCAATACCATTTACCATTCTGTTGGATAAAACCCATCCAACACTAAAAGTTTAGGATCAATTATGATAAAACTCTAATAACTTGCCATCACCAAAAATAAAATAGGATTAAGTCCTTGAAACAATATATTGACAAATTATGGATATCTATCTTGAATTTTCTTAGCATTATAATTTTTGAGATCGTACATCACAAAGGGGATTAAATAAGTAAACATAGCCCAATTAGAAAAATTAGTCAAATATTTCACTTGATTCCATAAAGCTTCATCTAAAACCCCAGGGTTGAATGCCAACATTTATTGATACATAAACCAAGAGTGAATAACAAATTAGATCAAATGGCTTACTGTGACTATCAATTTAATCATAACTTTATTTAATAAATTCTTAATTTCTTATACTTTATCTACGATCATTTGCTAAATCATAGAATAATAATCATTCTGAAAATAATAAGTGTCCTTATTTGACTCAAAATCAACTTATGTGATTCTAAAATTTAAATAATTTTTTGATGATGTATTTATCAATAAATCAACATATCATAAATTTAGCAGTAATATAAGTTGGTAATTATAATAAATCATTACTGAGTATTAAATTTAATAAATATTTTTTACGTAATGCATTTATTAAGAAACATTGATTAATTTGGAGTTACATATCAATAGGAAATTGTCAAAGATGAGAAAGAATATAAAAGCGTCATGGGAGGAATGACTTCCTTGCTCTTATACACATTAAGCTTTGCTTATTTCATATATAAGATTTTTCTATGGCTAAATGGAGATATTCTTCCAAGGGTTTCTTCTTAAAGATCTTCTTAAAGTTATGCTGAAGTAGAATTTGATTATGACCCAATAATGTTTTAAATAGCTGGAATGAGTGGTAATTAAAATATCGATCCATTTTCGAAAACTGAAAATATAATCACTCCGTATTTTTCATATATTGATGATATTGTAATCTCATAGAAGTAATCTTTTTTGGATTCAGCTGTGTCTCCTGCAAGAGAGGGCATTTCCTCATCAGTTGTACCCTAGAATCTAACTTTGATTCTTAATCAAAAAGGAATTAGCGATCAAACACCGAAATATTAGAGATAATTAATGATATTATTCGAAAGATGCAATAGAACAGAATTTAGTAATTGTGCCAGTTAAGAAAAGTAAGATGCATTTTTTAAACAACCATTAAATACGTTTTTCATAACAATCTAAATGAGATAATTCAATACAAAAAAAAAAGAATTTGAAATGATAACAAAATAAATCTATTTTATATTAGATGAAATAACAGTGTTATATACCTAATTATTATTTTAAATAACCGAGTCATCAACTGACACAGGGTTCTTTTTAGAATCAATCAAAAAGTCTAAATATATTAGTGACTTCCAGACTACTTCATAATAATTACCCCAAAACAATTTTAAAAGAGTGTTTGGCAATGAATATCTAGCAACCTTTCTCATAAGCATTGATAGTTTAGGCGAAAACCAACTGATAATCTACCCCAAATTAGGAGAAATCTTAGCTGATGTTGGTTCAATCATGTCCACTTTGATGATTTTGAAAATAATAGTAATCAAAATCAACTTTAAGATGCAAGAGGACAATTTACTTATCACTATAATTAGCTACTACTATCCTGAATTCAAACAAATTAGGATTGAAAAAAATATACTAGGCTAAATCAATAATGTAGAAAAGAATGGAAAAACCATAGATGATAAAACCTAATTTATCAAATTCTATGATCAATTGAAAGATCTTACTAAAGAGAAACTAACCCTTACAAATATATTGTATGAAATTTCTCGATTACAATTTATTGTTCAATCTATGTAATCTAAACAAGAATTACGGCAAAGTCATTAAGTAGGAATCAAGTTAAAATGTACATTCATTGATATATTATTTTATAGTCTTTGATGAACATGTTAGTCCCTAAAAAGTGCCTATAAAATCAGTAGAAAAAAGTTAAGATGAAAAGATTGAAATTTGTCCTCTTTAACCGAAGAAACCCTAAGAAACATTGGAACCTTAGAAGTAGGCAGAAATATTGCAAGATGAAGACTATACTCTTTTTTCTAAGATTAATCATCTTAAAAAGTGGCCCTACGATATTGAATAATAGGTAGTAGGATTTTATTAAGCAAATAAAGTCTTACATTGAAAATATAATTTATGTTAAATTAAATAAGGAGATTGATAATTTCAATCCTAAAATATATTGTTTCTATTTAATAAACTCTAAAGATAATCAAAGATTCCAATTGATTTTAAGGCATTTAATAATTGAAAGGGGTGTAAATTACCTATCCAAAACACAAGTTTGTTTGTAAAATTTACGATATTACTCTAATAATAAGCTATTATTTTTGTGAACGCATAAAGATAATAAATTAAAATAACATAAATAATAACAATTAAAGTTGTATCAGTAGTGAGTCTGATAATTATAATTTTATGCTCCTGTATTAATAAAGAATAGCGAAAATTGATTTAATGTATGAGGGGACCATCTAAGCAGAAATGCAAATGAATCAGAAGGTAAATATTCTTGAAATCACATTACTGCCAAGGCTAATTTAAAATATATTGAATTTATCTTTTAGTCAAAACTATATTTATATTTCTAAATATTGTTTATGGTATCGTATTTCTTCATTAAAGAAATGAATTTTATTATGTTTATGATCCTATAAAATAAGAAATATCAAATACGTTTTAGCTTATTCCTTTATAATTAAATTTTTTTCATTAATGAGTTGATTGATGCTTCTAATTGATGTGTTTCATTAGAAGTTTCAATGATAAATTTGAAAAATTGAATTCTGTTGTTTATAATATTGGTATTAATTTCAACAAATTAATGGTGGAAAATCAATCCATTGTATTTTCTAACAACTTTATCTTTGATAATATCTATTATAAGTTTAATTACATATGTGTTGTTATATTCGAATAAATAATAAGATAAATAATCATTCTGAATGAAAAAAACAATAACTTTAGCGCCTGATTACTCAAAATCATCTTTCTTTAATGATGGTAATTTTCTATTCTGCAATGCATTTACGAAATAATTGCCATTTACAGACTTTGGAACCTTCTAAATGAAATACTAAAATAAACAAATGTCAGTGTCTATTTCAACATCCGAGTTAGCCATAAAAATAGAAGATGAAGTATGCTTTTTATCTAAGTAGAAAGGTGAAAAATATATTTAAATTGAAAATGTGTGCTTCAAAAAAATATTACATCCTAAAACTTAATAATTAGGGTTTCGCTTAAGTAAAAATGGGTAATATGCTGAATTTTTTGGGGAAATCGTTGACTTGTGGAAATCTTTAAAAAAGTATGTTATTCAAGCAGATTTTTTGCTTAAGTATAAGTTGGGATCTAAAATAGGGGAAGGATATAGCTCATCAGTATTTATTTAAAATTATAAAGGTTTATAAAGCTTTTAAAATCATCAATGGTGAAAAGTTTGCAGTTAAGATAGTAGATAAGAACATGTTATCTCGAAGTAATAACTTAGAAAAGCAATATTTGCTTAACGAATTAAGTATTCTTCGATAGATCAATCATAATAATTTATTAAAATTAGAGGAGATATTCGAAAGTGAGGAGAATATTTATATTGTGACAGAATTATTGGAAGGAGGAGCTCTGAAGAATTCTATCTTTAAGTTTAGATTCGCAGAAGAAGAAACAATTATTTTAATGTAGGCGTTGTATCGCACTCTCAACTATTTACATTAGATGAATATATTTCATCACGACATAAAATTTGATAACATTCTACTAAGAGATTAGTAGGATCTCACTTCTGTTTGTATTATTAACTTTGGGAAAGCATAAATATTGAAACCCAACATATCTAGTTGCAGAAATCTCAATCACCATGATTCGACTTCTCTCATCTCATTTTTTAGAAAAAAAGATATATATGCAATAAGCATAATTATTCTCAGCATATTTACAAAGAAACTATATTAAGAAAGCTCTTTGCTTGATGAATTATTAATGAAAAATTATTAAAATGTTAGCTATATTGAATTTATGAATCTTTTACCGCCTCTTTAGTAATTTTTTGAATTATTGTTTACAGAAAAAGGAAGATTATTAATTGATACATTAACCTGTCATGATATTTTAAGTCTAGAAGTGTTCAAATTACATTTTTAAAGAAGATCATCAAAAATGAACCATGTTTTACACATATAAACTTTTGATGTAAAAAGATAATCTAGGTTTCTTCCTAGACCCTCTTAAAAGGATAATCTTTAACTTTCCTACCTTTAAAAAAGCTTAAAATTACCTAACATAAATGATTCATGTGAAATTAAGGTTACATAAAACCAATCCTACAGTCCTTAAACTGAAAACTGTCTTTCTAATAGATTGACGAATGAATGCAAGATCAATAATTAAACTCCAAGATATAGTATCTTGAGAAAATTTTTGAGTCCCAATATTTGATGTACGAATTGGTTGATTATTACTTTGAATAAAATATTGATTATTTTTAATTAATGCCTAAAAATATAAAACGATGATTATCTCCATTTATTTAAATCTTTTAATAATAGATATTAATTTTCCATGCGAATTGCTAAAAAATTAAATTTAACCTCTAATTTCTCAGTATTATATTAAAATTATAAAAAAAGTTAATTATTTGCATTTATGCTCTCAAGTAATAAGCAATATCCTTAACATTTTGATATTCAAAACTCGGTGTTATCTACTGATACAGAATTTTGGGTATCAGATGTAAATTTTTCAGCAATATCTACTTCTTTGGTGACAGTGAAACGACAGGAAATTATTAAAGAGAAAAGTATTTCAATTGGGAAATAACATATCAAATATTCAAAAAATGTATAAGTATTGTTATTTTTAGAAATTCATTCTGTATGCAGATGCATTTCTAACTATTCTAAGGAATACTAATTCAGAAATAATAGGAATATAATTATAGAAAAAAGGAAATTAAATTGAGCTTTATGGGCAAATATAACATTGGATTTGCCTATTGATGAAAGAATGCGTTTCATTAGACTTCATTTCTAACTATTAAATTGTTAAACTAATTGGTAGTGGATCCACTGCTAATGTAATATTTATTTTTAGTTTAAGGTTTATTAAGTTCGATCGAAAATAGATGACTTAGATTGTGGAATTAAAGTATTCGATAAGGCACAATTTGAAACAGACTATTAGATTAAGCAATCTATATTATTTGAAATTTAATATTTAAAACTATTAAGTCATCCGAATATTGTTAAGTATTTAGGAGTGTTTGAATCAAATTCATAAATTATTTTAATATCAGAATTATTAGTAGGAGGAGATCTAAAGAGCATAGTAGAGGATAGGAAAATTGATGAAGATAAAATTAAAATAATTATGAAATCTATTCTAGGTGGTCTTGAATATATGCACAGTTTTGGCATATTCCACCGAGACATTAAAAAATGTAATATAATGCTGAGAAACTAAAATGTCTATGATTCCATTTGTTTAATTGACTTTGGTTTAGCTGAAAAAGCTAATAATGAAAATAACTATTTATTCAAATATTGTGGTACACCTGGTTGTGTTGCTCCTGAAATCTTGAGAAAATAAAAATATGGATTAAAGGTTGATATCTATAGTGTTGGTATTTTATGCTATCAATTGATGTTTGGAAAAGACCCCTTTAAATCTAACACCACTAAGGAAATACTAATCAAGAATTACTTGGGGCATATTGATTTATCTAAAATGTCATTGATTTCAAAAAATGGGATAAACTTTCTAAAAGGACTAATTGAATTAGACCCTTAAATTCGATTTACAGCTACATAAGCATTAAAGCATCCTTATATATCTTAAGAGAATAATAAAATAATTGTCAGTAAAAATAAATTTGATAGCTTGTTAAAAAAGGAGACTCTCAAGCCTTTATATTATAATAGTCGTAATTAGTCACCAAATAACAGTTCAAAAAGTTCACCTTTCAAATATTTGCTTAAAACCGAGGTGAGTCCAAGATCAAATTAACAGAAATCTGGTTTGGAGACTACTAGACTAGTATCAAGATCTTTTTTCATAAGAAATTTTTAAAAAATGAATACAAAATGATCTTACTTCAATTTGTCTTAAAGTAATAAAATAATCATCCAATCATTCTAAAATAAGTTATATATATTTTAATAGTTATAAAATTATCACCTGCTGAAAAAATGTATTGAAATAGCTTTAGAAATCTAAGAAAACAACTATAGGATCTATCGTATAGTGGTTAGTACCTGAGGCTTTAACCCTCAAGACCTTGGTTCGAATCCAAGTAGGTCCTTTTTTTAATTTTTGATAATAAAATATTTTTATTTTATATCTTTATTTCTAAATTATAGGAAAAATTGATTAATCTAATTACTAATACTAATATGTTGATCAAAAGATTTAATATTCTAAATTTTTTAGAATATTAAAAGCACAAGAGGATCTATCGTATAGTGGTTATTACATGAGGTTTTGACCCTCAATACCTTGGTTCGAATCCAAGTAGGTCCTTTTTTTAATTTTTGATAATAAAATATTTTTATTTTATAGCAATATTTCTAAATTATAGGAAAAATTGATTAATCTAATTACTAATATTAATATGTTGATCAAAAGACTTAATATTCTAAAATTTTTAGAATATTAAAAGCACAAGAGGATCTATCGTATAGTGGTTATTACATGAGGCCTTGACCCTCAATACCTTGGTTCGAATCCAAGTAGATCCTTTTTTTACATTGTTTAAAGAATTTATTATTTCGTTAATATTTATACTAATTATAAGTATATTTGCATATATATTCTATGTTAATTAAAATATTTTTGAAGGTTCATTAAAAATTGAGAATTTTATTCTTTGTCCATATTGTTTTTTACTCATCACCATTTTACAATAATACAAATAGTCTCTTATGACAAATTAATTATTAAAAATATCTTAATTCAATCTTTTGGGATGATCATTATTTGTTCCTCTAGACAGTAATTTATTTGACTTATGAAATTAATTAAGCCTAATTTTTATATCAGTTATTATTTTTGTTTTTACTTCATTTTGAGAAGCTTTTAGAATGATTAAAAGAAATACAAATTTTATTATTGAAAAAAACTAATGTTACCACTTAGTTAAAATGACTTCCCTTTATAAAGTCAAAATCTTGACTTCCCTTTATAAAGTCCAAATCTTGCGAATTCAATGGTACTGATAAGCAAAAGAAATCTCCATAATGAGGAGGATGAATTTTTAACCAATTTTAAAACCAAGCAATCCTAATTTAACATGCTTGAAAAAATAAAGATATCTCGAGAGGCTAGCGATTAAAGCATTGCTTCTTAAGAGGAGTCTGATGAGTTTAATAATTAATTAGGCTTTAAAAACAGGATATGGAAAGACAGAGCCCTTAATATAATAGTTCTTGTAGCCAGATTTGTGACTTACCTATTAACTAATTCTGATAAATTTAAATTAAGATATCTAGATCATCGGCAATTCAAAGTTATTGGGGATAAAGCAGCCGACTTCAATTTTTACTTGACCCACAAATTAATAAGAGCTAGAGAAAAGGAAGGATCATGGGTAGTTATTACTAAATATTATATTAGTAAGCATTGCAAACAAAATTTAAAATGTATATGGGTTTCTTGCGAGTTTTTTCCTCGATTATTAAGCCAATCAAACCAGATAATATACTAAAGTTATAATGGGATGTTGTGGTATTTTTAATTCTTTTGATAAACATATTATATATTCCACTTAAGATATCATTTGATATAATTGTGGTTGATGGTGTAGATTTTTTTCTTGACACTTTGCCTTAGTATGTATTTGTATTTGAAATTTTATTGAACTTCAATGTGGCATATTATTCAAGAGGAGTGCTTGTTTTGAATCGAGGATAAATATTTAAACATTATTTAAAAGGAAAATTTATTCTAGACTTTATTGTTGTAATCCCTTTTGTGATTGGTCGATAAAATATTCCTTATATAGAATTTGTGCTATTATTTAGAGTTTCAAGAGTAAAAGTAAATAGTTACTATTTAGGTTATGCATATTTTTGAAAATATTGTTGAAACACTTAATCTTAGAGTTAATTTTGCATCTGCAGTAGATATTGTATCACTACTGTCAACTTTTTTGTTTGCATCTCATATCATAGCCTGTTTTTGGCATTTTATTGCCATACAAGAATCGGAGTTCGAAAACAATACTTGGATATAGAGAGCTTAATTATCAGAGGAGAATTGGAAGGTTAGATATCTTACAAGTTTTTACTGGGCATGTATTACAACCTTAACAATCGGATATGGAGATATAATACCAGTATTTATACCTCATATTTTGAGGTAACCAAGTATGAAAAAGTATTTGTCATCTTTGTTACATTATTGAGTTCAATCATCTTTGGTTACACCATTTCTAGTATTGGATCTATTTTTGCTTAAATGAGTGAAAACAAAAATTATCTGAGAGATAGAATGACAATGATCGACTCTTTTCTTAAAAAGAGAGGCTTAAACAAGGATTTATAAGTTAAAGTAAAGAAGTTCTTTGAATATTACCTAAAATAAGAAAGAGATACGGAGTCAGAATGCGAAAAATTAATGGTTCATCTATCAGGAAATCTTAACAAAGAGGTTAAAATAGACTTTTATAAGAATTTGTTACAGAATTCCAAATTAATTAGATAGAATTTTTCTCAACAATTTATAGAAAAATTATGCATTTTGGTTAAGGAATAGACCTTTGTACCTGAAGAAACCATATCTATTGAAGGGTAAGAAATTTATCATTAGTAGATAAAAAGTTGACCGAATCTACTTCATTCTAAAAGGAGAGGTTGAAGCTTATATTAGCAACCATAAAATTATTAAAGTATACCAGAGAAATTAAGCTATCGATGAGAAATCGTTTATTTCTTAACATCCTGCTTTGTTTTCAACAAGAGCTGTCAAATTTTCAAAATTAGCCTACATTACATACGAAGATCTTCAAGAATTGTTAAAATATAATCAAAAGGATCGAGAGCATTTTTATTATGTTAAACATTAGATTGAATTTAATGGAAGAGTGAAAATGGGAGGATGTGAATTGTGTCGTTAAAATCATACATTTACTAGATGCCCTTTTGTATTTTATACACCTAATTGCTTAAGATTATTTAAAAAAAATGATCATGATGAAAAATAAAAAAGAACCTTTAAATTAAGGAGAAATGAGAAAATACATAATGTAATGTAAATTAATTATTAATTAATAGAACACCTTTGGTTCATTGAGAAATCTATAATCCTTGGTTTTCAATTTCTGTGCAGCTCAAGGATTCCTCAATGAAATAGGACTTAATTCTGAATTTATTATTTCCAACAGATTCCATATGCAATAAGATTCAGCTTAAGAAGAATAAGAACCGAGTGAATCAATCTCATAAAATGAATCAGATAAAAAGATTCGTTCATAAAATCTATTATTATTCAAAAGAGATTCTAAAAGAAAGGATTCAGATATCAATAATAAAGAGGAAAAATCAAGTAGATCAAAAAAAAGAAGACCAACTAAAATATCTATCTAAAAAGCCTATTAATACAAAAATTTAGGATCACAAGATAGAGATACAACTCCTTTAGAAAGAAAAATTAAATAAAGTGGTAAAAGAGGAACTATTATTATAAATTAAATCAAAATGGACTAAAGTTAAAAAATGGAAGAAGAACAAAATTTATACTAATCTCCTTTGATATTAACTTAGCAGCAATCCCAATAATAATAACAATAATAATAATAATAACAATAATAATAGTTATAATCATACTCTTCAGAATAAAATAAATTTTATGAAATAGACTAAGTTTTATTAATAGAAATAGAAATTTCTAGATTGATGGCTGCCAAAGAGTGTGATATTGATGCCTAAACTGAAATGGAGTTTTATGATACTGGATTTAACTTAGAATAGGTTGTTACCAAATTAAAAAAGGCTACAAAAATACCAATAAAATTAAAAAGAAGAAAAATGAGAAAATCATTGGCGCGATCTTAGTCCATTCGCCATATTAGCCAAACAAGGCTGTGAATATAAATGAATATAAGCTAAAATTAATTAATTAATTAACATTCATTTTTTACATTATTTTATAAATTTCTGATATTGTTATTTATGAGTTACACCACTAATCCTTATAAGATGCTATTAATACTTACTGTTTATTTATAGAAATTTCATACGAACTGATGGCGATTGATAAACTATTTTCAAAAAAAACTGGATTTTTTTTAGAAGTAATCTATATTTTATTGATTGAATTCATAAATAAATTAATAGTTATAACCTAAGATCTTGAGGGTAAATCGAAATGAATATTTTGATTCTGATTATGGAAAAGTTGATCAATCAGCAAAATTATGAATCGATATGTTTTACAAAAATAGAATTAGGATTAATTTATATATTTTAAGTTTGATGAGAGATAAAGAATACAATAAATTGAAAAGAGATTAACCAATAAAATTTAGAAAGGGAAAAAATGTGTATAAAATTTCCAAATGGCCAAAATAACAAAGATTTATAATAGATAGTACTTGGGATTATGGGGATAAAATATAGCAAGTTCTTTAAAGCGATAATAAAAATTAGAAATCTCTATTTGATGTAAGGAACCATTAAAATTAAATATATTTTCTAAAAAAAGCTATATTGTCAGGTCTTTAAAAAACCAGATATTTATAAATTTAATATGCAAGAAAGGTGAGATAGATATTATCAGCCTGTTTACAAGAATATTCGTGTATTTTAGATTGTGACTAAACGAAACTTAGTCAAAATTCTCAGTAATTTATAAACAGTAACAGGAATATGATGATTTATGAGAGCATGAAGAAAGTTCATTTGAAATTAAATTTTAAAACCATTTTGCTAAGTTTATAAAGGCTGCTAAATGTTTTTGCCTACTAAAATTATTTGGGAAGCAATTGATTAATATATATTCACAAATAATAATAAAAAATGAAATCATTTACCCTAATCTACTACATTGTTCCTTAAGACAACGATGATGTTGAAATACCTAATGCATTCGGGTAATTTCTATATTGATAGCAAGAATAGGTAAACCAGTAGATCAAGTCACCCTTAAGGATGTTAAGAGTAGTTTTCCGCTTTAGGGAGAATATATATTCAGATTTAGATATAAAACAAGTCATAATACAGTCTGGCTTGATTTACCTACAGACACATCTTAGATTCCGTTATTCAATAATCGCATCTTGATTAAAGCGACAAGAATTAGTTGGGAAACCTAAAATAATTAAAGTCAATCGGCTTCAGTATCATAACAACTTAATAATCTTGCGCCATAACATATTCAAAACTAGACAGTGAATTAATAAGCTTTTGCATAATTTTAATAACCGCAGCCGACTCAATAGCAACCATAATAGTAATAATAATCGTCCCAAAACTAAAATTTAATTGATTTTTGAATATTGATTGTTGTGTTATTTAATATAATATATATGTATTGCTGTTTCAAGTCCAATATCTTTAACTTGGTTCTCTTGGGAATTTCATTTCTTCGATACAGACGATAACATCATCATAGATTGAGTTATTAATGAATGGTAAATTTTACAATGCAGGTCCTTGTCTCACTCTTGCATATTTGTCATAAACTGAACCATGACAAATGCAGACCCAACCCTATAATATTGAGGGATGATATTTACATTATAAGCACCTAAATATGGGATTGGAATGCATCCTAAATGAGTACACAATGCACTAACAACCAAGACTTTAGTGTTTCCACAATTAGTAAGAACAACTTCAGAACTAACAATTAAATTTAAGAATTCACCTTGGATCTAAAATTGTTTCTTTTGGTAAGTTATCTTCATCCTTAATTTCTTATTAAGTCAATCTTCTAATGAATACTGGTGTACCATTCCATACGATTTACATGACTTCACCTGGTGGTAAATCTCCGATGCTATGCACTAAATGTTAATTATTACTCCATCTCGAGGTATGTGTCTCTGTCATATCTCTTCCAACCATCTAATCTGCCAATAATTCCAACTGCAAACAATCTTGCAAAGGAGAGTAATCCACCATAATAGACAGCATTCAATGCATAAATTTATGTTCTTTTAATTTCAGTCTCGTGTTCATTATGAACTCTAGATTAACTATGTAAACAATAAGTACCTATTCTCATCAAACCAATTATCCATTTGAACTTTGAAATCAATATGATCTCCAAAATTTCCTGGTCTTGCAGATGTAGTGAAGAATTGTGGTGCTTCTGATACTTGTACTCCCTTGTATAACTTCTAATTGACTCTGCTATTATATTCTGAAACAAGACCAAAGTGAGCTCTGCCTATAAATGATCTTCGGAATGCTCCACTAATCATTTTAAATCTTTTTTTATATAATTTATTAATAAATAGTTATTATTCTCATATTTTCATCTCTTATATTGATTGTCTGATAGTCATCAAATTGCTCTTCGTTATCTGTTCTGGAGTGGCTTGTAGAATTTTATAGATTTATGCTTTCTTGGTGAACACCTGGAAATTATTGTTATTTTCAATTATCAATTTCAACAAGCTGTAATAAAAGGTAAGCTATTCTAGAACATATACCATGGTTTCCTCTTGTAATTGTAATTACTAAGAATCACTGACTCCTGCTAATTTATTATTACATTTATTGAACAGATCTCTTATGCATCTCTGCAATAAAGTACTAAATAAGAGATAAAATTCATAGCTTTCTGTTACAGATTTGAAGTTTTCATATATTTTTTAGAAACATCTATCTTTGAGCAAAGATTGCTTCAGTTATTGATTACCTTCTATCATTTAATACTAAATTTAGTTTTAAATAATTACCTATTTGTCATGATATTCTTTTGAAATCAAATATAATTGATTTACTTGGCTTGTGTATTTTCCAATTGACTCTATGTACACATCAAATTCATAAAGTTAAAATACGTTCCGCTTCTTTTCAACTACTTCCCTTAACAAAATGGTTTTAAAAAACATATTCTTAATAATCAAGAATTTTAGTTTGATTTATTGTTCCTAATTGAACACAACTTATTTCTCCAATATTCGAAGTATCCTGAACATTAGCTCCACGAATTGGAATTAAGCCTAAATAACTTCGTCATTTTGAGTCATAAATCGAACACTTTCTCTACTCTTCAAAGCTGATTGAGGCATTGCAGTTTGAGCTACCAAATTTATTTTTCTTGTTGGCTGATATTCCGTGGCTCTCTGAGGAGACCTATGATCTCTGTTCTGAGTTGATGAATTTCTGTCTGCCAGTGGTCTAGGCGCAGTCATAGTATGTCTTCTATAGAAAATAGGATGATGTTCTAGATCGCTGCAGCAAAATCTTTTCGTTTCATCTACTGATAAACATTTTAAAATAAACTCTATTGTTTCTCTAGACACAGGGACTTATTAAGGAAATGCTGGGGTTGTTCTCAGCATTACTTAGGCTAAATCTTTTTCATTTGCTGCTTAAAACGGTACTTATCCGTACAACATCTCATAAAATATGACTCCCAAGCTCCAAATATCAGTTTTCTCGGAATAAACATTTTTTATCATCGTTTACGGACTCATATACAGGGCTGTACCTACATTGTAATATATTGTTTCTGGAGGAGCATTCATCATTTTAGAGAATCCATAATCAGCGATCTTCGGAATGCCATTTCGTATTAAAATATTTATTGGCTTCAAATCTCTATGTATCACTCCCTTGGCTACCTGCTCTTTAAAACCATTTACAATGTGCTTCATTATTTTTATAGCCTCTATTTCATCTATTCTCTGTTTCTTCTTTATCAATTATCCCAAATCACCTAATGAATTTAAACAATTTGAGTACCCTAATTACAGTATTCAGTAATAATGTAAGTGCAATGAGGCTTATGATAATAATCATACATTTTCACAACATTTTCAGAATTCATCAACGACAAGGCTCGTATTTCCTGATTCAACAAAAATTCTTCAACCTCATTCGTTATTTTACTTCTATCTATTATCTATCTATCAGATGAAGATATTATACTTTTATCGCAACGGTCTCATTAGTATTTTCATTCTTCCCTTTGTACACAGAACTGCTGAAACCAGACCCTATTTGATCATTCGCACTATAGCTGTAGTGTTCAATCTTAATTAATTTTCCAGACTGAAATGCTGTTGCTGGCACTTGTGCGTATTTCATTCTTATTTAATTAATTTTATGTATTATAAATTTATAATCAACTATTAATCAACTTCCTGAACACAGATAAATCTTTATTAATCAACTTCAATAAAATTGTATAAATTTATTTGAACTACTTCTCTTAAAAATTAATCGCATCTACATTACACATTTATTATATTATTGATGTTCTTGAAAAATAATAAATATATATCTTGATTCTTGTCCATATCCTAATTTAAAGTGCATATTATTTTTGTGTATTTGCTTCAATTTGAGAATTTAAACTTAAAAGAAGAATTTTTAATATGCACTTTAACTTATTATCTAGCCAATTCTTACCAATAAATTAGTAAAATTTTAATTGTTAACTTAACAAAAGCAATTTAAGTATTTGGTTTCAATTATCATACAAATCAGATTATTGGAGTTCGTATTTTGAATCAAAAATTTGAATGCCATTTTAATTCATGTTTATGATGTATTTATACATTCTAAGCGCATTAGTTAACGATTTAGAGTAAATAATTTAAAATAAAATTTCTAAAGTTAACTTATAATTAAATAGAATGGTAATTGAAAATCATGATATTCATTTGATAGATTTAAGAGCCCTAAATTAATCCATAGATGGGACCAATAATTGCAAAACAATTGCAAAATATTATTAAATAACCTATTGATGGTAAAATGTAAAATATATTGTATTAGGTGTTCATGTGATGTTCAACGAACAAGATGTTTTTGATATTTAAGCTGATATCGAAGGTCCAGGTAATTAAAATAGAAAACTTTTTAGTTGATACTCCGTTTTAAGGAGGAGTTTTCAGATGTAAATTAATTTTGCCACCTTAGTTCCCATAAGTTGCACCAAAAGGTATTTAGAATATTTATTTAGGCTTGTTTAATACTAAAATATTTCATCCAAATGTATCTGAAAAGGGGGAGATATGTGTTAATACATTAAAAAAGGATTGGAATCCTCTTTAATGGTCGTTAAAGAATATTTTTGAGGTGATTAAATGCTTATTAATTGTTCCATTCCCTGAGAGCTCTCTAAATGAAGAAGCAGGCAAACTCTTCATGGAAAACTATGATGAATATTTTAAAAGAGCAAAATTACTTACAAGCATCTACGCTATAAAATAAGATGGAAATGTCTTAAAAGGAAATAATTAAGTAAATAGCTTAAAATATTTAAGAATGTTAATGATGATCTAGATAAGAAAAATAAATTGGCTCAAACCCAATAAAAAAAAGAAAACGATTAAAAGAAATGGCTGAAAAGAATTTGATTACTAATAATTATTTAAAAGTCATTAATATATATTGTGTATTATATTTATATTAAAATAAGAATCTACGATCAATAATTCTTACCAAGCCAAGTCTTTTTAAAGAATTTTGTTGATATAATTTAACTAAACCTATCATATTGACTTAAATTAATAGTATTATTCAACCTTTCTTTAATCTATGGATTAATTACTTAAACCCTATGATGAACTAATAAATTTGATTACTCTTGTCCATTTTTCTATAAAGGAAATAGTACTTGTTAATTACGTATAAAATTAATTCACTATGTAATTATCTTAATTAAATTGTGATTTCTTTATTGGAAAACAAATTAAACTATAAATTATCTTTTATTTTATTATTCTATGAATTTTTTCTGGGTTTCTAAATCATCATGATATTTCTAGAAATTGATGAATGATATTTAATGGATATTTAGTTATATAAAGTTCTCAAATCAATTAATTATAATGCATTTTCTATCTTTCTCGACAATAAATAACAAAGATGAATAGCGTATATTTTTCATTTTTTTGATATATATTATTTTTTAATAAGTGAAAAGGAAAATTTTCAAATAAAGTCTAACATTTTTTAAGGATTTAATTGCAAGTTTCTATCTCATTTTTACATATAATAATTTATAATTTTTTTTTCGGTAATAAAGGAGAACATCCAAACCAGGATTTTTTTTTTTTTCATTATTATTTTTAAAATAAGAATTCAAAATGAAATTAGATAATAGCTGACATCATTTTTTGACAGTGAAAACATGCAGGGTACAAAATTACAGATAAAAAAAAGTTATAATTTCTTTTTAATCAACGATTTGTTAACTTGAAACTTTTGCAATTGGAAAACTGTATGGAATAATTAGAATATTTAGCACCTTAGAAAGTTGGGGTTTACTTGTCCTTTTTTTGACTTATACCCAATATCGACTCAACATGTTTTAAATCAGAATTCAAATGAAGCATGGTTTAATATTTTTGACTTTTTATATCTTAATTAAATTTTTTAAAAATAATAAAACTGAGATTGAATAATTATAATGATTCTCATTCAAATGATCCCGAGGCCTTCTCAAAATGGATTTATTAATTAATATTTAGATGTGAGGATTTTAGAAAAATTTACATTACATTATAGAGAGTTGCTGATTTCTTGAATTTCATCAATGTTTTGAATCCTCACATATGCTAAGTTGTCTGGGTTTAAGAATTTTTAATATTCTTCACGTAATGTTGTTTTATCCATTTTAATATTTCTTAATGGATCCTATGACTTGCAGACCCTTTATTTGATCATTTGTTTTCTTTCAGTATTACTCACATTTTATTTTATGTAATCGATGAACTTTGGTCGTGTAGCTTCATTGTTTAGCCTATTAAGTAGATCATCTAGACTTTATAATTTCTCATATTTTTAGAAATAACACCTTCTTTTCATTTTCAGATATTCTTAATAATAATAATTAATTATTCTTATAATGTTCCCGAAATATACAGGAGTGATAATTACACCAAATTCTATTTAATGATGTTGATTCTGAAGAATTTAAGAAGAGTTTTTTGTGTTGAAATTAAATTTTCAAATTTGTAAAATGAACTAAGAAATTATTATAAATAATGGAACAAAATATATACTATAATTATATTTTTATAAATGAAAACAAACAATAAGAAAATTTTTCCGTCTAATACTTAAAATTACTAATCCGTTCCTTAATTGGAGCATGACAACGGGTCTACTTACAAAATGCATTAATCCACAGTTTCAAAGCCTCCACTTTCCATAGTTCCAAGTGAAGCAAATTAAAGTTACTATCAAATTATAGAAAAAAATAAATTGCTATACCTTGATTATTATAGTCAATACAATGACATGAAATTTATGGAGAATATGGCAAGTATTATAATTCTTTAAATACAAGGTTTGAGACCTAAACCTGAAAAGCTAACTTTATTGGAAAATTTTCTCAATATGTTTGAGGACATGATATCTTGTCTTATAGTCATTCAAAATACTTTACTTCTTATGAACTTTGACGCCCCTGATTTTGCATAAACGTATGGCTACTTGCCAAATATAATGGCTGATATTTTGAATAAAGACATTAAAGTAAGAAATTTGATTTATGAAGACTTTAGAGGGACTGCATTTAGAAATAGAGTTTTAATCATCACTAAGATTTTTAGAAACTGTGCTAGAAGCATTGCAATTTAATTCTGAATAAGCTAATAAAATACATCAACTTGACGTCAAAGCTTGGTCATAAAAATGCTTTAATCATCTCAATAGCTACATAGGCAATTTATAAAAATCTTAAGTATCTTAAACTACAATACTATGTCCTTGTTTTAAATGATTTATATTATATTAATTTATATATGATGTAATTAAAATAGAATCCAAATCAAAACCATCTACAATATCATACGAGAAACCATTCTTTAAATAAATCATACTCATCCAAATAGCCTTCTCCAAATCTACCATTATTACTCAGATAATAAACAACATTTCCAGACTAGAAAATTCACAATCAAAATGAATCTAGTTATGCGAACTAGAATATAGAAATTTTGGGGGACTTTATATTGCCATCCTCTAAATTTACAAAATAGTAGAATATGATTTTGGCAGATGAACTCACAGAAAAAATCTCATCGTTACGCAATAATAAAAATTTAAATATTATTAAATAAATGGTAAGAACAAGAGTAAAAACTTAACATAGTGATTTAGAAAATTCTATGATCTCATCCCAAAGGTTGATCACAGATCCAGGTATAGTTCTTCCAAAAAAGCTGTAAAACAATTAATTCCTCATTGATAAAGAGTTAGTTTTTGAGGATGGAGTCAAATATCCTTATAGATTATATATGATGAATGTAAGGAGAAAAAACTTGATATCTTAATTACTTACTAATACAAATATAAATTCTGTGTCAAAGGATTGCTATAACGATTCTAAAAACAAAGATTTAGCAGAAAGATTGGTCGCTTAAATTAAGAATTCATAATAATAAAAATCTAAGAATGCATTAAGATCAAAGAGTTATATGAACAATGCCTTTTATTCTTTATTGGCTTTAAACAAGAATTCCTAGTAAGCTGTTAAATTAAAATATCGATAAAATTTACCAAAAGATTCGAGGTTTTATTTAATATGAGTTAAATATTTGTAAATACTGCTATGTGATTGATATTCCATGAAGTCATTTGTTTTATAATGCTTTGATTATCTCCTAATCAGTTTTCTAACTAAAATCAATATTTCATATTTTTTATTAAGAGAAACATAATTTAATCAATACATAATTAATAAAGAATATTTATTTTATACATAAACTAATAATAAATATATATATAAATGGTAAGTTTTATTACTACATTAGCTTATTACATAACAATTTAAGTTATTTGTTGTAATTATTTTTTTAATCTTTATCATTTATTGATGGTATGACAGAGATATAAAAAACATAATAATAATTTTTGTTTCTCTAATATTGAATTTCAATATAGAATTCTAAACTATCAAATTAACTAAAAGTAAAATACTAGTGACAAATAATTAAACTCATATTAAAAATATTATAATTAATTATAATGAAATATTTACATTTATTTAAACTTGTTGTCTTTTTGCATAGTTCATATATGGTATTAGGGGATGAGGTTGAAAATGAAAATGAGCCTCACCATCATAGATATAGCCCCTCAGACGGAACATTTTGGGTATTCCTTTTATATGCAATTGGATTGTCTCTTTTAGCAGCATTCTGTTCAGGAAATACTCAAGGATTGCTATCAATAGATATGTTGAATTTGGAACTTAAGTAGAAGAGTGGAACAGAATATGAGAAGAAAGTGGTAATAAATCTATCTATTCAAGGCTTAAATACTGCTGCCTGTCATTTCTCAGCACCACTTATTATTATCAACTTTGTTGGTTGGAAATGCTTTTGCTTGTGAAACCTTGCCAATAATTTTACATCAATTGGCCCCAGATTGGTTAGCAATTCTGATATCTGCAGGGATCATAGTGTTGTTTGGAGAGATAATTCCATCAGCATTTACAACAGGCCCAGATTAATTAGTAATTGGAATGAAAATGATTCCTTACGTAAAAGTATTACAAGCCATACTATACATAATTTGCTATCCATTGAGTCTGTTGCTAGATTATGTATTGGGAGTGCATCTCCATCAAAGATACAAGATAAAAGATGTAAGAGGGTTGCTGAATTTGCATGCCCAAGATAGTGGACACGGAAATAATGCTTAATTGTCTAAGGATTAGATGTAATTGCTGGATTCTATGATGGAAATGAGAAAGCAAACAGTAATGAAGAATTGCAAAGACATAAAGAAAGTCTTCATGATAAATGCAGAGGAACGATATAGTTCAGACTTAAAAAATAAAATCAGAATAAAAGGATTCTCAAAGATTCCAGTTTATCAGGGATAAAACAAAGATTAAATAATCGGGACAATACAAGCTAAGTCTATTCTGAAATTGACAGCTTAAGATTATGGTAGGCCATTGTCGTCTCTGCTATAGATGCAAGAACCATTGATAGTTCCAAAAGATACCACCATGTTAGAAATGCTTATGTTGTTCCAACATGAACGAAAATCGCTGGCTTTCATTTGTGATAAAGGAAAAAAAGTACAAGAATATAATACAATGAATGTAATTCTATTTATCTCATTTGTAGATATCAAATTTAATCGTTGAAGGATAAAATAATATAATTGCATTGATTGGTTTGACGGATGTATTCGAAGAGATGCTTGATTTTGAGATTGAAGATGAAGATGTTCATGGAACCTTGCGTGATTATCCAAGATAGAGAAATAAGTATACTGAATTGAAAGTCATAACTGAAGAGTAAGAAAGGTAAGGTAAGGGACGCGAATTGAAATAGAAACTATTATCATGATATCAAATTGCGTTCATTGTATCGATAGTATTACAATTTCTTTAAAATATCCTTTACATTCTTATTGCTTCTAATATAGAGTGGTTCTTATGTCAAATTCAAAAGGACTGGCTCTGGTAGAGTTCGTTATTTTTATACTTTTGTTGTTGTATCCATTGTAGGAGCAGTGGGTAATCTACGTTGTACTGAAATAGCTCTTCTTTTTGGTACTGATGTCCTGCTTTAGATTCTTGTATAAAATTTTTAACTCAGAGGTTCTAATATTAGAGTTTAGTTATGTTGAGCTTTGACCATTTTATTCTTTGCTGAACTAGGATACCAAGGACCAAAAGTACTGGCTAGACTTGGAGATTAATTTGATTGCCAATCGTTCATTATTAAAATAATAATGATCAAATTATCGAAGGTTGGCAATTGCATCTAAAATCATTTAAATCAAATCTCTCAAATAAATTGCTATGTCTTCTATTGAAGAGGAAGATACTTAGAAATCTGCTGATGTTCAATTTATGCACTCTAGAATTCTAAGAATTCTTAAGGTTTAGCTCATTTTTGTGACAATGTGTGATTTACAGGAACTACTAAACCTGCTATTGAATTTGAATATCAACATTTTATATCAAATCTTTCTATGATGGCTAATGCTGATATCTGTCGTAACGAATACTTATTTCGAATTTACTGTAACTTATGATTAATTAGATTGAGCATTAGATAGATTTTGCTAATTCTTCAAGCATCCTATTTTAAAGAATCACAAATTTAAAGAGAAATGCAATTCAATCGGTATTTACAGTGTGATTTTTGGATAAAATTTTAATAAGTAAAATATTAGAACCATCTAAGTCCTCCTATTAGTAATTTTTTATAGGAAATTAAGATACCCTTGGTTATGGTAATAGACAATAAGTTGTAGATTTTCGTTACTATCATATAGATTAATCAAATTAGTTATTTATGAATAGTAATTTGTTGAATTATTGTTAAACTAAGCCACTCATATGCTTTGCAATATTCAAATAAAAATTTCAATAGACCAGATGTAGAAATAGAATGTTCTCAAATCAAAAAGAGGATTGCATATGTATTTATGCTTAGTTGAATTTCTGCAAACAAAAGCATAAATTTTCTAAAAAGTTCAATCAAACTAACTCTTTACTTTAATTATCTTGAAAGAATAAATCTTTTTGATTTATTAACAGATTTATGGGTGAATTTATTTTATAAGTAGAAAGTAGAACTGTGAGAAAATAATTGATTGTAGATTTGATAACAAATATAATTAAAACTTCATTTTTTCTTAACTTAGAACTACAGAGTAATTGGATTATATTTTACTCTCTGCTTCAATAGAATTGGAGGCCTAACATGATTCTAATTTATAATTTAGAGTACAGAAATGGCTAAAATATCTTTAAACTAGGGTAAGGTATTATTTTTTAATAAAATAAATAAATCTAGAGAATTAATAAGGGCTTATGTTATAGATGATTTGACAAGAGAGTAATTTGAAGAATGTAACTAATCAAATAATCCTATCCCTACTATAGAAAGATTTCTCTATGGATGCCGAATTTGGATGCTTTTGGAGAGAAATATAATACCATCAAAATCTTTTGACAAGAAAGAATAATTTTTGGTTTGCTTGTGAAGTTAGAAATCAAGTGTTATTGAGCATAATCACACATTTGCAGAGATAAATATAGGTTTCATTACCTAACTAATGTGCCACTTCTTCCAGATATATATTCAATATTGTGAGTATATTATAAAAATATATTATAAAATGAAATCTCTCCAAAAATTACTCAAAAATAACAAAGACATGGGACATTAATACATTGATTTTATGTAGCTGTTTGAAAAGAAATTGAAATCGTGTATCATAAATCACAATTCACGTAAAAATATTCTTGCTCAATACAAATAACAACAATACATCCATTCTCCAATGCCTTTTTTTGAATCTGAAGAGCTGGTAGTATATGGTTCTTTTGAGAATAGTAATATTCATGGATGTTGTCAAGAAGAAAAGGGAGTGTTGAATGTTCTACTTTCCAGTGATACTAATACTTAGGGTTGCACTTAATGGTTTTACTTTGGAATTAAGATGCACAACAAAGGAAAACTAAAAATACGTATATTAAATAATCGTAGATAAAACACTCTCTTTAAAGACTGCAATCATGTTTATGTGTTTGATAATGAAAAATGGAGTGTTGGTTAAACCTAAGAGATGTACTATTATAGAACAAACATTAATCACCCATTCTATCATCACGAAGATGCTGGCATAGCTTAACTTCAATAGAACTTTTCTTTGTACACATTAGAGTTCACGTACGAATTCAAACAGAGTGAAAAAATTGTATTTTTTGCATTAACTCGACCATATCCAGTCAAAAAACTTTAAAGATTCATTGATTAGTGTCCATTAAAAAGAAAGTCAGTCTGCATCACAACCTTGGGATTGCCAATTTGGTAGATCAAGACTCCAAAATAGAATGGATAATAAATTGTTGTAATTTTGGCTCGTCAACATCCGAGTGAAACAGCTGGATCTTTTATTTGTTAAGAGATCTTACGTATACTATGTAAAGGACATTAAAGTATGTAAAAGTATAGATTCATAATATATCCAATGGTAAATCCAGATGGTGTTTTTCTGGGGAATTCTCGTTGTAATTTTAATGGCGTCGACTTAAATAGGTAATATGAATATAAATTGTAGAAAATGGGACAATCCAAAATAAAAAACAGAACCTGAGGTGCATTATGTTCTTAAATCAATATCAAAATATTCTAACATTGCATTTATGATAGATTTGCATGGTCATTCAAAAAAGTTCAATCAATTTCTTTATGGTTGTTTACATGGCAAGAGTGTATCAGAGTATATGAGGATAAGATAGTTTGGGAAGATTCTCGCTCATCATAATGAAGTTTTCTCATTTAAAGTACCTTAATATTTAATAGAGGGATTGTTCATATGGTGTTAGTCCTGATAGATTTGGTACGGCTAGAGTGGCATTATGGAAGAGATTGAATATAGCAAATTCAATGACAATAGAAACGAGCATCTACGGTTAAATGGGACGAGCCTTTGGCTTAGAAGATTACCATGCCCTTGCTTAAAATATATTGCGAGCACTTGACCTTTATAATGAGCAGGTGGACTCGCCAGAATTGAACATCAATAGAGAGATGAGCAAGGCACTAAAATATGATAGTGGAAGTGATTCGGAGGCAGAATAGGATTTGATTATTCCAAAACCAAACAGGATTAAAATCACGTCGAGAAAGGAATCTTCATGTAAGCATTAATCCGTTGGATATGGAGGAATTAAACAGAAAATAGAGACTCCTCAATTGATACACCAACATAGTTAATTTTTCAAAGATTAGTCGTTTGTTGAATTGTTACCGCAACCTTCCAAGCTTCTTAGTCACAGTCAAAACAGAGTTCAACTTTAGAAGATAAGGTCTCGAATGAACTCATTCTAAAGCCAATACATAGAGGAATAGCCTAAATTAGGAAGTATGATATCAGCATTGCAAGTGAAATAATTATTTAAATGAAATTAATTCTTGCTCTTCTCATGACAATAGCATATTGTACAAATGATGCTATCAAAAAAAATGTCGATAATATCAGATAAGCCATCAATAGTGGGCCTAACAAGCATTAGGCTTATGATAAATTGGCTTATATTGTTGACACATTTGGTCCTAGGATGTGGGCATAACCTAGTATGGCATTAGCTGTTGATTATCTTTATAATTAAATACGAAATTGGGATGCAACCAAAAGTGGTTTGGTGGAGGTTAGATTAGAAGAATTGGATGAGATATCAACTTGGGTGAGAGAGAGCGAACAACTAATTTTAAAGAGTCCAAGAAAGAGACCTCAAAAATTAGGAATGATCGGACTTGGTTTTAATTGTACCAGGCAATATAAAGGATGGAGAAGTCGTCGTAGTTAGAAACTGGAGTGAATTGGATGAGAAGGGTAAAGCCAACAAGATTTAAGGTATATTCAACATACATTTTTTAGGAAAAATTGTGTGTTATAATGTTGCATGGACAACCTATGATGACTTGAAGTTTTATAGACAACAAGGACCAGATAGAGCATCTGCCTATGGAGCTATTGCTGTACTATTGAGAAGTGTTGCTTCATTTTCAATCTATAGTCCACATACAGGAAATGTGAGATATTCTGGTACATTCACCAAGATTCCTGCCGCTGCTATTACAGTTGAAGACGCTGAGATGCTCCAAAGAATGTAAGACAGAGGATAGAAGATTACTGTGGATTTAGAATTAAATAATAAAATGATGCCTTCTAAAAGTCATAACATCATTGCTGAGATCAAAGGTTCAAAATATCCCGATTAAATTATTTTGATGGGGGGTCATTTTGATTCATGGGATACAGGAAGTTAGACAGGAGCCATGGATGATGGCGCAGGAACTCTAGTTACTCTAGAAGCCCTTAAAGTAGTGGCTGATCTAGGAATCCAACCTCTGAGAACTTTGAGATGGATTGCTTGGAGTGGTGAAGAAATGGGACTCCCTAATAATGGAAATCAACACTATGCTAAATATCATGGAGATGAGGATCATGTAGTTGCACTTGAGAACGACGTTGGTCAATTGACAGCCATAGGATTTGGATTTTCAGGAAAATTATAAACTAGTAGAATGGTCAGATAATTGATTATGAACTATATTCCTGAATTGTCAGTTGTCAATGAAAATGATGGGTAAATATGAGTTGCTTATGTTAGATCTGGAGTTATACAAAACCTTAGGGGATAAAGGAGTTCCATTGATGAGAAATATCTACAAAGATCCTAATGATGACTATTATTTCAAATATCATCATTCGGCTGGAGATACAATGAATATTTTAAATCCTGATGAAATGGATTCCAATGTGTTTGCCATCAGTTCAATGATGTACATCATAGCTGATAATCCTGAGAGATTACCCAAATGATTTATCATAATAAATATTGATTAAAATTCAAATGAAAAGAGATGATTAAGTGTATATGTCCTCCATACAACTTTGGAATGGAATCGATACTCCTATTCATTAGAGTACTAATCTTTTTAGCTAAAAATTTAAGGAGAGTTAAGAATTTAATTGCAATAGTCTCCAGGCCATGTGTCATCACCATCCTCAAAAAAAAGTACATATTTTATCTTGATTTTCAGGCTAAATACCTATTGTTGAACGATTAAAGACCAAATGAAAAGCTATGCACTAAATGCGCTGTTCTATTAGCTCAATAAGGGAATAAAATTGAAAATATAGAAGAAGGTAATTTGCGTAATAATTCCTAGACAATATCAAGAAAAAACAAACTGATTCATTCATCGAGCAATTATTATAAACAAAAAGTGAAATAGACAATGTTCATTCCAATTTATTATCAACTGAAGCCAATCTTAAAAAGTTTTATAATGACCAATATACTCAAGTTGTTAAGACTTTTGGAGGTATCGAGAAATAATTATAAATGGTAATTTCTACTATCTATCTTCCAAGTGCAAATCTAAATTACTCTGTTCCTTATCATAATCACTTTGGTCTGGAGTGCAGATTACCAATTAGTTAAAAGTATAATCTAAATAAATTGAACATTAATTGGCAACCTACATCACAGACATCAAAAATCATTATGATAAAATCGTCTAAATGGGTACTCTACCATTTAATCAAATTATGGGTGGGTATAGTAGTAAACTATTCAAATTATAACAATATCTTAAAGATATCCAGGAGAATAAAGTTGCCTATCTCCATTATGAAGGGAAAGTAAGTACTTTGGATACATTTTTAAAAGAACTTAGCAAATTGACTGAAAAGGATTATCAAAATAAGAAAAGAAATCATGAAAGCACGAGATCAAGTTCTGAATAGAAAACTTCTAAAAGTGCTGAGAAGGAAAAGAGGAATCAGAGCCAACCTAACAGTAAGGATTTAAAAAGTTTTGAGAATTCAGAAAAAAAAACTACCCAAACTTTTAAAATTACTGAAGAATCAATTGAAGAATGGATGGAAAATTCTAACTCTAAGCAATAACGCACAGAACCAGCTGAATAATTATAAAGTCCAAATGTTTTAACCTCTAAATTTAATAGAAAACAACTTCCTCCAAGTAGAGCTTCTATGAAATAAGAAACTAATTAAGCCATACTAGATAAACTAATTTCAGAATTTTCTTAAATCAAGTAAGAAAGAGCAATGAAAAAGTAATCTAAGACTCCTGAATTAAGTAAATCAGTTAAGGAAGCCTTTCCTAACAAATTATCACCCAAATTTCTTTACAAAAATTATTATAAATGATTTGATTCACTGATTCACAACTTTGTATTATTTAAATTTGATAATGAATTTTAGGTTTTAATTTTACTATCATCATTTTTTTAAGAATAGTTTCATAAGTTGTTTTTAAATCATCTTAAAGAATGCATCTATAAATGCTCTGATTAAGATGAGGAATTTGTTAGTTTTGGCTTAAAGTTAAGTCATGAGAGCATAACTTTCAGTTTGCATCTCCTATATTCATACCTGGCTATACTCATTGAAATAATAATAATAAGTTAGTTATTTTATTTTACATGATAAAATTCACTCTATTGAATCAAAAATATCTCCTTTGCCACTTCTTCCCTTTCTCTTCTTGAACTCTTTATTCTTGGCCTATTAAGATTTTTCTTGGGCAGCTTATTGAATTCTTTCATCCATTTCATCAAATTCATTATCCTATGACTAGCTATTATCGATAAACCATTCTTTTGGAAGATCATCTGGATTAACAGTATCCATATCTAAAGACTCAAAGTGCTTCTTCTAAAAGTCAGTAAGTACTATTATATATTATATATTAATAAAATACAATCCTTCTTTTCCTGTTCTGTCAATTCCTTATCGATTTCTGCATCATCATCTTCGCCATCCTCATCCTTCATACCTTTTCTCTATTCCTTCTTTAATTGTTCTCTATTTCTCTATTATTCCACCTTATTGAGCATAAATTCATCATACAACAAATCATCCAATTATTTCTCTTGAATCAATCTCTTTTCTCTTTAAACCTCTGCATCATTTCCCAAAGCCTTTAATTTCAAATATTATTCTAACTTTTCTGGTTAGTAAAGATAATTTCCTATGAATTATTGGGGTGCATTTTCTCTGATTGATTTTAATTCTTCCATAGTTCTATAACGTCTTTCATCTACATTGTATAGCCAAGAAAATTTGGGTGTAGTTTTCAATCTATTAATAAGGTGATCAATTTCTGCTTGGATTGATCTTGGGAAATCGCCTTCAGTTTGGAGTTTGATAAGAATATCTAACAATTTAATCAAGTCTGGTAATCTAGATATTTTTTGTTATCTAACTATGTCTTTCACTACAGGATCAAACAAGTCAGGTTCAAAATATTTGGCACTTATGCAGGCATTCAAAATTCTAAATTATTAGCCAGGCTGATATTTTAGACTTTTCTTATACTCTTTAACGAGGATATTGTGACATTAGGATTTCATCAAATCAAATAGATATTTTCTTTACAGATTTTTATTTTTGCCACAAGCTTCAATTAATTCAAGTGCTTCATACCATTTTCTCTTAGATTTTGGATGCATACGAAATTCTGCATCGAAGAAATTGTGTAAGTATTGATTATCAATTGAAAGGGATATAAATCCATAGAGAGCCCCAAATGCTAATCTTGATGGAAATTCACCTTTGAATTTATAAAGACATTTTTCTATCTTTTTAATAACAATTTCATCGTATTCCCCATCTTTTCCCATATGATAAAGAAGTTGTCCTATTGATTTTGCATAAAAATCATTATCAGGGTTTTCTTTGACTGCTTTAAGTAAGTCTTTGCTGCTTGAGTGATAAAAAGTCTCTGAATTGATATTGAGATCATCCATATAAGCTCCCCAATTGGTATTGTCCTTTATGAGCTTCCAGTCTTTTTTAAGTACAAATTTGCAGCCGTATGTTGGGATGAAGCATAATCTGAGATATTTTGCTTAGAAGCAGCATAATTAATATATTTATTATTTCAGACAAATAGTTAAAACACAAGTAATTTTTAAATTGAATAAATACATACAATTTTTATTTTGAATTCAATCAAATTAATGCTTGATCATCATTAGCTTTCTCTTTGTAATATTCAGCAATTGTAAAGTCAAGATTGTCTCCATGTTCTTCATCTTAATTGATTCGATGTCGTATAGGTTATAGTTCATTGCTCTTTTCGCTCTCTTTCTTTAAGTCCACTACCAACAGAACAGCAATATAAGAAACCATCATCAACATATTTATCGGATTAAACAAGTGATGATCAAATCTTTCATAATACAAGTAAAATTAACTCTTTTAGAAGGAATAGACGATGAAAAAAATGATGTCAATTACAAACAGGTCAAGTCCTAACAGATAAAAGGTTAGCTTATACTTATTAAATTCGAATGTAAACTAATCATGACTTCGTAAGCAAATATCCCAGAATAAACTAAGAAGCATAGCCAACACACAATCATGATTGTATGAATGTTGTCGACTTGATTTTCTAAGTCCTTTATTACAAATGATTAACTATCAAAGGCAATTAACCATCTATCGATACTAATAGGGATAATGACAAATATTGTTATTAGTGTGTTTCTACCTTTATTGGTGTTGTTATCCTACCCTTTTAGGAAGGAGAGAACTTGTAGGAAGTATCTCAAAAATAGAAATTCTCCAATTGCATAGCATGTTTATCCGATCAACCACTCTACTGCTTCGAATTCAGAGAAGTAACACAAGGGTCTAAGTGGTTGAGCAATCAAAATTATAATCAAAAGCATGTGATGCTAATTATCTTTGATATATTTTCCTAAAGGCAGAAGATTCTCTTCATCCTCATTGATCATTTTGATAGCCAATGCCAAAATGACAAAGCATAAGAAGGTAACAAAGGAATCTTCTAAATATTTTAAATTATTTTTGAAATAAGCCTCTAATTCTATGTCCAAACCCTTAACAAAAATAACATATGCTGAAACTTTGATTAATTCAGGTGTCATTAGATAATTTTCATTCCCATCTGAGTCACCTGATTTAAACTCATAAGGTAAGGCTTTTAAATGATGCCTACTCAATTCCTCAATGCCAGCTTAATTCTCATTGACTATGGGGAATGAATTATTAGTGTCAACCACTATCAGTTCAGTTATATTTAGTTATTACTCTGCAGGGAATTACTAGTAATAAATCACAATGTCAGGTATGTGTTCTAAAGGTGTTTATGTACGAAAGTAGAATGTGACCATAGTTTCATTGGATTCCCAAATGTAGCCACAACATTATATGCTTTTGTTATTATTGTCGAGCTTGGTTTCACATTGTCGATTTAGCTTGTCTGATTCAATGAATTAGAGATCCAACGATTTATCAACAAAATAGAATACCGCTATTGATGCCACATAAATAATTAAAATTTTCATTATTTTATTAACTGTTAGATGAAGAGAACATCATCTTAGTAAAGTATAGAAGGAAGGAGGGATTCAAATCATATAGTTGGACTCATGAGTGAGAATGAGAAACTTCATAAATAAAATGAATCTTTGATGAAAGAATTGAGTCTAATTAAAAATGATTTTGAAAGGATGTCATAAAATGGTTAAAAGACTGTAAAGAATGGACGTAGAAAGAGTTGTGAAATCACAGGTGAAATGGTCACTTAGTAATAAATTAAATCTCTCGAAGAAGAACTACAAAATTCATAATTGAGATTCAACACTTTGAAGAAGGAATTCTCAATCAAGACTACTCAATATTAAAATTAAATAACGAAATAGGCAAATCTAATTACTTAGCTATAAAATGAAAATGAGACGTTGAAAATTAAGGTTGAAAACAAAGAAAATTAATTCTATGAGTTTAAGTAATCTTACTAAGAGAATTATTTAGAAAAGTCAGGTATCAAAATTATGAATGAAAATCAAAAAATTAAATAATTATCTGAAAGCAACATCAAGTTGACAAAATTGCTTGAAGACAGGCTGATTTAATTAGAATAGTTAACTAAAACACTAAATTAAAAGAATTAGGAGCACATGAAAGAAATTGAAAAATATGAAGTCTTACTTAAAGAAAAAGCTCATCATTCTACTTTATCATAAGGAAAAAGTTTTGAATCCTTATAAAAAAAGATAGATCTTCTCGAAAAAGATAAAATTCGATTAACCAGTGAATTAACTAAAAATAGAGATTTAAATACAAAGGAGAAATAGATGTTGATGAAAGAAAAACAAAACTTAAATTTAGAAAAAGAGAAATTGCACTCAGACATGTCAATTATTCAGCAATAATTAACTGATTATTATAATTAATTACAATAATGTGGATAGTAACTAAAGTAAAAGGACGAAAACATTAAATAGTTTTAATAATCTGAGAGCTTCTAAGGATACTAAAATTTATAATATGAAAACTAACAATAAAAGTCATTGATTACTCAATTGCAAGTACAGATAGGAAATCTTCAATAAACCAATAAAGCTCTACAAGAAGAACTATTGTTTTTAAAGACTACAGCCCCATTAAGCAATAGGACAAATCTAAAGACTTACTTTGGATTAGATTCTCCATTCAGAAATATTGCAGATGAATAAACTAAATATAATGTCACTTTAAGTAAGTATTAAATTAATATTTTTTTAGAAACAAGAACTTAGAGTTCATTAGATAAGAGAGGCAGATCATAGGACATGTATAAAAGGATAGAATGATTGATATAGTAACTTATATATATATATAACGGTCTCAATTATTCATTAATCAATAAATCAATCTCTTTTGCAGCTGAAAAGGTAAATTCACAACAAAATATAATTGATCTACAAATATGATTAGAATTAATTTAATTTGAATACTAAAATCCTTTAATTTAATTAACATTTAAATTTATATCATTAACCAATGGCAACTTTTAACTTCTGTTCCTTGTGTCTTTTGTATTCGTTTATAATTAAGGGAATGAGGAAGCAACCTGCCACAATTGCATTGAGACTGCAGTATAAGAAAAGAATTGATTCTAAATATGGTACAATCAATTGATTTATTGCTGCAAACACTGCACCATATCCCATGACAACTGAAGTAACAGTAGCTGTAGATTTCTTGTTTCCTTTAATTTATAAATTATAATTGTACCTTTCAATTCTTTCATATTACTCAGTTCAATCACAATGGCACCTGAAACATTATTATACACACCGCCGATCATTAATCCTGTCAAAAATACTAAGATATAATAGAGAGCATAAGGTTATTCCAATTTTGATAAAAAGTTTATGCTGACCATAACTACTGTTCCAACCCACAATGAAGGCACAATAAGACTAGCCCTTAGATTCCAATAGACTCCTGCATAACTAGAATAATCACAGTATAATACCATATTAAGATACCTCCTGGGATTGTACCCCATTCAATCATTTAAGTGATCCATGCTACTCCTTCCAGATTTTATCCCTTCAGATATGAAGGTAGCCAGAAGGCAAGAATATAGAAAACAGCCTTTATACAGCCAAACGCCAAAGCATATAAGGCGACATTAGGCAATTTCCAAGCCGAAATCATATTTATACTATCTTTTTTATTCTTCTTTGGCTTAGGAGGGACATATGGATTCATTTGAGAGTCCCTGTCTACAGTCATAAGAGTCTAACTTAAGTCAGTGACAAATGATTGTTCTGAGACAGAAACTACTGAAGCAGCTCTGCTCATGTACTCATCATGAGCCTGTTTATAAACTAATGATTTAGTCAATGGGTTTTTAAATTAGGCTATGTATTCTTTGGCTGAACTAGCTTCAATCATATAGATGTTGATGACTGACATAATTAAAACACCAATTGCAGATACATAAATAGGAGCCATAACACTCATGCCTAATTATTCAATCAATAGAGCAGCAAACAGGTCTCCTAAGATATTACCAACGTTTGTGCAGGCTGCGAAATACCCCATTACTATGACTTTATTTGGTTTACTCTGCCAATTGTTCATTATAGCCATCAATCCTGGCCAAGCGGGAGCCTAAGAAACACCATTCAAAATTTAAAGAACAAGCAATAACCATCGATTATGTTTCTCAACTGGCAATAAGGCAGCTATCATGAATTATACGATTCCTGTAGAAAATGTTCCGCATAACATAAATAGTTTTGGACCTATTCTATCTCCAATTTGACCAAGACTATGTAAATTACTAAATATACAAAAGCATTGACGATCCATAAACAAAAAGGAACGAAAAATTTATGTATCCCAAGTACTTTTTATCGAAATCATCAATTTTTTCATCGTCATGTTCATGATCATCCTATTTTGCCAAAATACCACTTGTGAAACTCCAAGTTGATCTACATGAATGTAACATAGCGTATTGCATAAAGCAGCAAATGAATACCTGAATTCTTTTAGCCCTCAATCCAGGAACAGCAGAATCAAACATAAATTTAATTTTAACATTTATGCGTACTTAAGAAGGAGCTATTGAAACATTCTATTATTATCTATGGTTGTAAAATGACTCTATCATGCAAAACGAAGTTGAATTCCAACTCCCAGACACTCTCATCTACAGATTAGGAGTCATTCAAGTTTATTATACATAAAATAATTCAGGCATGGTATTTCACTCATAACAATGAAATCCTTGTCAAAAAACTTGAAAATAGAACTATACCAAATATAGAAACTGCCTTCCTCAAAGACTGCTAGAACGATATCTGTGCCTATTTTATCAGTTGCAAACCCAGAAGAGACTTTTATCATACTTAAGCAACTAGAGAGGAATTCCTTAAAGATTAACTCAACTTCGATTGCAGAACCTCGATTCTCTACTTAAACCAAGAACAATTTAAATCCTTCATCCACACTCCAGATATTCATAGAAATGGAATTTTGCAAAAATTTACTAAGCCTGCATTGCCAAAAGAAAATGTAATACAAGTTATTTGGAGCTAAAATATCTTACTCTTGAGTTAAAGAGTCAATAATATCGAATTAAGTTCTTCTAAATTTGATGCTCAAGAAAAATGCTCGACGTTTAATAGTTCAGAATCCTTTTCCAAAGCGTACCCTGTTAAATCTAAAGTAATAACAACTTAAATTTAAAGAATCATTAATTACATCACCACAAGAATTAGCGTTCTCACTTATGAAAAATTTAGAGTAAATAGAGCTGTTCTCTATTGTAAGGTAGACCATCTCTAAAGAATTAATATTTTATATTGCACCTCCTTAAGATCTAATGATGAATGTCCTTATCCTATTCAATTTGGACAATTACTCAGACCTGATAATGTTAAAAATGCTATTACTACTAATAAATAAAAACCCATTAAATTGATAATGGATGTCTAATGTTTATCATGCCAATAATATTGTTAGACTGAAGATTTACACCCAATCAAATATTCAAGATTAATTACTTCAGGAGAACATTACAGAATGGACATTAAATCTTATTCAACAGGTGTTAAAAGAGCAGATCATCAAATTACTGAAGATAATCCAGAAAACTATATAGCAAACACAACTAAATTGATCCCAGATATCCTTAAGAAGCTTTTCCCATCTATGTCCTACAATGTATAACTTTAATATTATACTTAGGAATTCGCATCAATTAAAGAAAATTAAGCCTTCTTAAACAAAGAATTACTTGTTTGTTTTAATTGCTATCTTAAATTTACATAAATTAAATTGAAATTTACACAAACAGGTAGAAGACTGACAATAAAATAAAAAAATAGATCTATTACTGATATGATTAGATAAGCAACTCAAGAAGTATCATAAAGACATACTGAAAGAGATCATAGAGGTAATAAAGAACCCTAGAAAATGAGTTTTTGTTTAACTTAAAGAACATCTTTACCAACAACTGCCAAACTTATGACGATGAAATCTTCTCGAACTTCATCTATTATGAAAAATAATATCACTTTAAGAAGTACTGCTAGAAAATCTTCTGTCTGATTATGATTTATTATTAATAATGGATACTACAATATTTTATTTAAAAATTGAAAGAATATAAATTATAAAGGGTTTTCTATTCTTATAAAATAAACTTTGTTATAAATTTATTTCATATTCTAAAATGGTTAGAAATTATTTGTTAAGCAATTTAATATTTTAATTTGTTTTTACTTGCTTATAAACTCTCAACAAGATTTCCATGAATTTAGAGCAAAGCATAAATTTTTTCTCTAAATTCAATCTATTCAATAGATTCTGAAAATTCATCTAATTTTAATGCAATAATGGCTTGGTATGTAAATGGTAACTTCTCGAAAATAGTTATAGAACCGATTTCTTCAATTATAAGCATAAACTGTATCATATATCTATGAGGCATGTTTGTCAATATGCAAATATAAATGCCAATTAATTAGTTGAGAGGTTTTTGTTTTTGATTTCTGTGAAATGAATGCAGATTTGTAAAATTAGAAAAACTATTCAAAATATCCTCTTTGTATTAATCTATTTTTATCGTTTTTAATCGTAAACTAGCTTATTCAATTAAGAATTCTTTAACATCCTTAGTAATTATTTCATTTAAGATATATCTTAACTAATAGTGATTTACTTTAAGTTTAGATTGAGTAATACTCTCCATCCAAACGTTAACTCCTATAGTTGAATCATATGAAATTACTCTAATAATTAGTTGAATTAATTACCTATGGAACATTCCTTAAGGAATGTAAAGCATTTCGTCTTTTTGGAGAATAACAAATTTGGATAATAACTTTTATCCTTTTTTAAGATGATTATACTATTCAGAACAAACTGATTCGAACTAAGACCAATTCTTACACTTATTTCTCAAGTAAACTATTTTAGTACCCTCAACGACACCCAAATAATTTTCATAACTGTCATAATGCCAACCACTATCTGTAAATCCTTTTGAACACCATAAATATACATTGCCAGAATCGCTCAATACTTTTGGGCAAGGCAAATCTAATTAGATTTATGCCAAATACAATGTAAGAGGTCCTTTGTAATTTGAAAATTCGTGATAGGTCATAGTCTCCTAGAATATAGTATTGCCTGTAAAGGAATTAGATGTTGAAACTACAATATCCAGCGGTTTGTCATTTAATAAATCAGCAATATTTTTGTGGGTGAATAAAGACCATAGATCGTGAACATTGAATTTGTAAGGTTTTGATGATCTCTTGCCTTTAATTTCTGACAAATTGTAGGTAATTGGAACGTATCTCCATTTATTTTAATTTTTCATGATTTTTCGTGACCTTTTATTTTTAGTGAGCATATTAATATACAATAAATAAATCAAAGCAGAATTCTATTTTATTCCAACCATTATTGCAATTTGGCTATGTCTAAAGGCTTAACAAAGTATCCCACCATGCCAGCTTTCAAACATTCTTCTTCTTCCTAACCTCCTGAATAGCCACTATGTCCTAAAATATACCCATTAAATCCCATGGTGATCAGCCTTTTGCACGTTTCAATTCCATTTAGATTAGGTAAATCAATATCAAGAATCACAATTTTGTAATTTTTACACGCACAGCTGGGTCCATGTTGAAACTACTCAATTTTCTTAATGCATTCAAATCCACTAAATGCCAAATTAACTCGATAACCCTATGATTCAAGTTATATCTTAAGCATTTATAGAATGAATGGTTGGTCATCTACAATTAAGATTTCAGGACATTAGCATCTAGAGTATTAACTTAATTCTAATCCACTCATTCTAAAACTATCACATTATTTGATTTAATTTAATGGTGCTTAAAAATATTCTCTTTATTAACGAACTACTGATTCCTATTAATACTTTTATTTTTCTTCATTAAAAGAGTGATCGTAAACCTAAAACGAAAACTTAGATCCTTTGCCTTCTCCTTCTGAAACAGCGGATAACCCTTTTTAATCATACGATAACTTTCTTGCCAAGACATTACTAATCATCAATCCCAATCCTATTCCTTATGGATTTGAATTGGTTGGGTCATCCAACTTACCAAAGGCGGTGAATAATTTGTTTTAGTTTGCAGCAGTTATACCTAAACCTGTATCTGAAACTGTTATTTCTACTGATTTATTAGTTGCTCTCCCTGAAATAGTGATAATTCCATTATATGTGAATTTCACAGCATTACCCAACAAGTTAATTAAGATTTGCCGTATTTTAAAAGGATCTGAGTATATTTTCTCAGGAATTCCTTAAAGATTAATAACTAAATCATTGTTCTTAGCATATGCCTAAACAACCATAATATTGTAGGTTTCTTTGATTAAATGATGAAGATTTAATTATTGTATGTCTAATTTAAACTTACCTGCATTCAATACCGACACATCCAACAAATCTTGGATTAAATTAGTAAAGCAATCTAACTAACTTAGCATAGGCAATAAATACTTTTGAACCATTTCTTCACTACACATAGGTTGAATTTATTAAACCATCAATTTTATAGATTAAAGAGGAGTTCTGAATTCGTGAACAACTGTACTTAAGAAATTTGATTTATCTGTAATCACTCTTTGAAGAAAAGTCACGAGATTCATTGAAGTCATATCTCTTACAATCAATAAGATAAATTCAGATTGTTTATTTTCAAACCTTTTAAAGCTTACTTAAAATAGAGATTTTTCATTCTAAGGAAATTGGCAGAGCATTTTGATAACTCCATTTTTTTCATGCCGATTTTCTATGAGATGATCAAGCAATTTTTTCACAGTTTCAAACTGTTGAAATGAATATGATGACTTTAGTTCTGATTAATCATCAAATCGAGATTCATCAAAGGTGCTTTTTTTAAAATACGTTTTATTATCAAATTCCTATTCATTTAGTATGATTTATTATTCTTAGAACAATGAGTTGATCCTTTCTAATTCATTAATTTATTATTGAACATTTTTCATTTGCAAAAGATTGTAAAAGGCTGCCTTCTTATTCATTCCTCCCATCATCTTTTTCAAATGTTTATTAATGAAAATTACTTACTTTTTCATATTAACCATAATAATACCATCTGGAAACATATTGAATATTTTTTAATATTAATCCATGCATCCAAAATCGTTTATTTAAAGATCTTATGATGGTTCTGATTAATACTCATGTTAACTGACTTTTCTTGAATAATTTGGTGAAGTTTGATTTTTAATCAGCTCTGGAGAGGGTAGTTTCGCAGTTGAAATCTATCCCTGACTTTCCTTCTCTTTTTTATTTTAAATGTAATATTTCATGCAAATATTTAACACCATAAAAAGCGATAGCAAAGTACCTGTTATAGTATTCTCATTGGTCTCACCCCACATTATAAAATAAAACATGCAAATCAATGCATCTACCAATTTTAAAAATATTGATTGTTTTTTCAATAAATACTGCATGTATGAACCAGCTAGAAAACTCTAAATTAAACTTTGTTTCCTTTATAAAATTATTAATAATAAACTTAGTTTTATACACATTTTCACACTTATCTAAATTTTTTCGTTCTAAATTTATTTAATTTTTAATATAAAATGAATAGCCAGCATCAAGAACTGAAAGCTTAGCAGTATAGTATTAATTAATCTCGAATCATTAAGTTGATAAAATGTGAGCACAACACAAGTGACTAAGTGAGATATTAGTAAACTTCCAAAAATATATAACATAATTAATATTAATTTAAACAATGATTAATACTATCACAATCCCCTAATAAATTAAATATTTTCTGAATAAAAGAAAGTAAAAATACTTACAAATTCATTCAATTTATTAAGTATTAATTTCTTATCATTAAAATATTAATTGTATACTTTAGAACCATATTCTGAGTGTCTGAAAAAAAATATAATTTTGTTTCAGCAAGATCAGGTGAATTTAAGAATTATATAAAATAATATATTAAAATTTCATTTGAGTTGATAATATTGGTTCTGTTAATATCAGGAATATTAATCTATAATTTTTCACTCAATTTATTTTGTTTACAAACATTTTTTAATAATTTTTGTTTTAAGAAAAACGAACAAATCTTTTATTTAATTAAGTTGGACACTAAAATTCCATTTATCAAGAAAGCATTATAAACCATGATGAAAAACATAGGAAACTCATAAAATTATATTAACTGTATTTTACAGAGGGAAAATAGGAGTTACAAGTAATTTGATAAATATTAGATTGATCATTTGTAATTACAACCATGAATTAATCAAAATTTAGTTACAACCTTAATTTTTCTACATTCACACCAAGAAAATTACTTTAAAATTAATTTTTTTCATCCCGAAAATTATATTGTAATTCATCATTATTTAAAGAAAGTTTAAACAATCAATATAATTCCAATGTTAGAAAATTCAATTAAATCTAAGTTCTAAAATAGAATAATGAAAAAAAATGGGGTCATATAAATTACGAAATTTACTAAATGAACAATGAATGCTAGAAGAAATTTAATGTACAATTGCAAATCACATGAATTCCTACTTGATTGCAGTTATAAATCTCTGTAAACAAACAATAATTATGAAAAATGAATACTCCATAATTTGGAAAATATAGGTTTAATTCATTTTAAATTAATCAAGATGTTAAATTTAATACAATAATATAATATTTCTTAAAATTTAAATTTACTCTTATTTTCTAATATAGTAAATTAGGATTCTATTGACAAGTATTCTAAAAAGGTGGATGAAAATTTGATTACTGATATTAATTTTTCAAAACAAATTCTTAAAACAATTCTCATAAGAGTATGAGTATTTAAAGGACGTAAGTTTATGATTAAATTATCAAGTCTTGAGTTGTTATCAAAATAGATGTCAGCTTGTCCTCTTCTTAGATTCTTTATTTTAATTAATTTAAGATTGATAAATTTTATTTTAGAAATCTTTTTGGATAAAGGAATTTAATCCCTGCTCTGTATAATTGTTGAATATTGTCATATTAATAAATAATAAAATAAAATGTTCCATTTTTTGATTTTGTTGATGAATATTACATAGAGTGTTCCCGTCACAGAATTTATGGAAGGTGCATCAAGTTCAAATGCATAATGGAAAAAACAAGATTCCACACCATTTAATGATTAATTTCATTGTGACGGTGGATAGTTGATAGGCCCTTTTATTGGAAAAGTCTAGACGAATATTTAAAATACAATTACCAATCTTGAACCCCATTTTTAATTATACATTACCTTAGACATCGTATACACAGAATATTGGTCTGGAATATCAAATTATGTTAATCTATTAATAGATTAATAAGTAATTTACTCTGAAACATCTATAAACTCTGCAAATTTCAACGCTCCTAATAATTATTGCAAGGCAAATTCATTTTAGTAATTTTTTAAGTAATATTAGTACTTTTTTGTATAATTAATAATTGATAACTATAAGATAAAAGATAAATAATCAAAATATAAGTCCATCTTTAGAAGTTTAATCCAGTTTCTAGTGCACTTTATTATCAACATACTCAGTTTGTGAAAAACTACTAGTGAAAAATATAGTTGTCACTCCCAGTGCATGTGATTTTACTTGTCTTACGTGTGATGGCCCAGATAATAATAATTGTCTTACATGCCCTTAAGGAACAACAAAAAATGGAAAATGTTCATGCTAAAACGGATATTATGCTTATAGTCATTAATGCCTTTAAACATGCCCCTAATATTATAAAGGCTTGGGTAAAGAATGTAGTTTGAATTGTTCATTAAATTGCTCAGATTGTAGAGGTTAATGTAGACTTTGTGAAAGTGGTTATATATTTTATAATGGGTAATGTGTCAGCAGTTGCCCTAAGGGTAGTTCATAAAAAAATGGTAATTGTGTTGATTATTCGGATTAATCAAACTTTGGTTCTGAGTTTATAGGAAAGTATTTTTATGGCTTAGAAATTGATCTTGAAAGCCAAATTAATTAATTTACATTTACTTTTAATCCTGCCTTATCAAAATTAACAGGACAAATATTTTCAACTTACAATAATTAGTATCTATTAGGAGGGTTTGGTGTTTGGAGTGAAGGATACTTCAATATAATTTATAACGGACTTGCTAAGCATGAGTATATAAGAATTTATTTAACTGCATGGTTTATTGATAATTGGACAGATGAGCATTTTATTATAAAATTGGATAACCAAATAATACATGATGTCTCCTATTAATCATAAAAGGCAACCTCTAATTTATTTTATTAGAGCACTAATGATTATATTGAAGAAATTAATGTGAATGTTTAACATACATCAAGTTCAGCTTAGATAACCTTTTAAACAACATTATCAACTTCTGCTTATTAAGCTAGTTTAGCCTTAAGTAATATATTTATTTTAATCGATTATTGCGATCCTTAATGTGATGTTTGTTAATCTACGTAATGTACTTAATGTAAAAATCCATATTAATTAATTAATAATTAATGTGCTTTTTGCGATTCTTCTAATTTTAGGAATAATGATTGTACTTGTTAAAATGGCTATTATGATGATCATATTAATTATTAATGTTAATTATGCAAATATGAATGCGAAACATGCATCGATGCTAATTCTTGCACTCAATGTAAATTAGGATCTAATTTAATTACATTGCCTAATTGTATGAATTGTAATTAAGGATATTATTTTGATAATGGAATTTGTTCTAATTGCGATTAAAATTGTTTAACTTGTTTTGGGAGTGGATAGTCTTAATGCTTATCATGCAAAAATGATTATATTTTGAATAAATTTAATTAATGTCAAAGTTGCATGTCAAATTAATTTAGTTATAATAATTCTTGCTAGGATTGCTAATACAATTGTGAAACTTGTAAAGATCTATAGAATTGTCTAACTTGCAAGACAGGAAGGATAAATGCTCCTTTGTGTACATGTCAAAAAGGTAAATGATTTATAGCATATTTAAGGATATTATGAAAGTAATCAAAAGGAATGTTTACCATGCAATTATGCATGTTTAACTTGCGAAACTCTAAGCGATAATTGTTCCGCTTGTTCAGGCAATCGAATAAATCCTCCATTATGTAAATGTCCTGATGGCCTCGATTAGGATGATAATTCTGCTTGGTGTACAGGTACGAAATATATTAATTAGACTGCTATAATGTTAATCTGGATATTAAAATGAGTAGCAACAGCAACAAATTAATGATAAAATTTAGTAAAAAAATAGAAAAAATTAATTCTTAATGCACATCACTGTTTGAGGAATCTACTCTCAATTATTTAGGAATTAATCCAATTTGTTTTGTTAATTCATATTCGATAGATATCCTTTTAGGTTAAAATTCAACTATTTATTTTGGTCAGTCCATCATGTTTAAACCTTCTATTATTAAATTACAAGAATGCCAAAAGTCAGTCACTCATTTTATAAATAATATTTTATATCATACAACAGATTTGGAAGTTCCTTTAATATTATTCTCAAGAAACTCGGTTTTATTATCAGCTTGCTCTAACACTTCAGATAAAATCTAATAAATCTACACTTATAATTTTGGAAATAGCCAAATAACTTTTATTGAATGGAAATTAATTAGAATTTAAAAACAAGATCCTAAAATTAGTGAATTTTTAGATACTCTAACAAATTAATTTAAGAACTATGGTCAAACGAATAAATTTGAATTCTCTAATGATATTCTAGAATAAGATAACTAAGTTTTATTGGAATTAAAGTATCAAAATTTCTTAGGCATTTAAGGAAACAGTTTTATTAACATTAAGTAATTTAAAACGAAATATTTCTTAAATGTCCAAACACAAAAAAACAAATACTTAAATTCTCAATTGATTGAAATTTTTATTAAAGTTTCTAATTGTTAAGAAGGATTTACAAATAATGTTAGATTAAACATATCAATTGGTACTCTAAACAAGTAGGTTGAAATAAATGTGGGTGAACATTATATCTATAGGATAGAGCCCTATATTCTGAATGTGGGAGTTTAATAGTTAAATATAAGAGTCTATAATCAAGAACAATTAGAGGTAGAGGATAACTTTTAGATTCTCATAATGAATGAGGAACCAACAATATTATTATTTACTGAATCTAATTATTTAAGCTTTTCATAACAATTAGTCATATATGGATAAGTGAAAAATATTGATTAGAAAAATCCATTGCTGAAATGGGATTGCTTTGATCTTACTTAAAATTTTGAATGCTTAACTTTAAATTAGGCCTCATTGATATTACCTGATTCTTAAAATATGACACTCCAACCTTATACTTTAAATCCCTTTTCGGTTTATAAGTTTACAGCCTCCTTCTTGGATTTACAATAATTTGTAATCGTAACATTAATTGAATCAAGTGTTCCAAAAATTTAATATGAATCATACCCAGACATATCTGATGGATATATCAACTTTTATGATTAACTCCTATTTAAGTTCAAATTCCAAGAAATAGTGTAAAACCCTGATTTATTATTGTATACAGGAATATTATCAAATTCGGATTTAGAAGTAAAGCATTTTTAATTCAACTATTTAGAGTTATAAATGAGTCTTTGGCATTATTTTACTATTGATTAATTAACAAAATAAATGATATTAAAGATTAACATCCATAGTCCTGATTACTTTTAACCATCTCAAGTTACTATACCATTAAATATCAATATCCCACCTTTACAATGCAGGATAGATTTTGACTCTTAGAATGCATCTACAATTTCGAATTTTTCAATTAAAGTAGCTGATTGTTAAGATGATAATATTCCTTTGTAGTATAGATTGGTCCTTTATTTTAATCAATCCGATCTAAATTTTGATTATTCCATTAATAAAATTTAAAAAGGAATTATTTTATTCGATTATTAATATAATAATATATTCCAAACCAAATTGACAGGTAATGGAGATATTTAATTGATGGTTTAAGTAAAAGACACTCTTAATGGTAAGAGTAATTACACATGGTCATTAAATTTTACATATGTATAAGGACAATTAGCAACATTGCTTATAAATTCTATGTCAATTTCTGAAACATTAATTTATGCAGCCAGTTTAGAATTTGAAGAGAATTCAATGTCTTTAGAAATATCATAAGTTCTCTCGAAATAAATTCAGTACTTTTCTAGTGGCTAATGCATTTCAGAAAAATAATTGCTGACTTTAAAAACATTAGCTAAAAGACATAGGAATTGGAGAATTAGTGATATTTAAAACGAATTGATATAATAAAAAGAAAGATTAAGTTCACTTAAATAAGAGTTGGAAAACTTAAATTAAAATTAATATCAAAAATATGAGCATACATTAGAAGAATTTAAAAAAGCAACTCTATTGGAAGAAACAATAGAGATAGCAAAATACATTAGTGATTTGTATGAATTAAATAGAGAACAATAATAGAACACAAGAATTTTGATTAGTGATGAGGAACAATAAGGAAAACTCAATAACAATTACATTGCCATGGATTCAATTAATTTAATTAGTGAAATTCAATTTTAAAATTAAATCATAAATGAAAAATTATAAACAATAGTTACAAAACCATTCAACATTTCCACCTAAAAAACTACTTAAAAAGTATTGGAGTACTTGATAAGTAATTCATTAAATGAACCACAAGCTATTGGATAAGAAGATCAATAAGTTGATTAAAAGTAAGATTTGGAGACTTATTCTTATAAAATGGTTAAATACTAAACGAATCCTTACGTTCATGACTCCTATTTTATTAATAATAATGCAGATTCATACAATTACCCCATGTATTAACCTGAAATTAAATAAATGTCCAACCAAAATCTATTAGAAAATATTACTACTTCTAAAGGTATCAGATATAATTTTGAGACTTAAGATTAAAATCTAATAGTAGAATGTGTGGGTAAAGTTAAAGAAAGTTGGAGTGCAGATTCTTGTTCAACAGTTCAGGAAGGTAAAAAAGTAACATGCCAATGTACATATATTTCTTCAACAACGATATTGGAAGCAACACAGAAAATACTTGATGAAGCAGTAGATTTCTTTTCGGTTTAAACCATTTAACGAATGCTTGAATGCTCATACTTATCAATCATATTTACATATATAGTGATGATTTACACAATATTGTTTCTTTGGTTCATTCTCTATGGGTACAAAATGGATATGCACAAAAATGAAGAAAACTTATTTCATTCAACCAAAGTTACTCCTACTGACTGGGACTAAGCAACAGAAAAACCTGCAAGGACAATAAATATTGGAGAAACAGAGTCTGAAAAATAATATCCAGTAAATGATGGAAATATGGTTAGGAGATAAAGCCAAAAAAAAACTGTATTTAATTACAACGACAGCCACATCACAACTAATGATAAATACTTGAAGCGCCTTAATGTTGATTATTATAATAAAACTTTGGCTGCCAGGAAAACAATTGGAATAACTACTAATGCTTGTTCTGAGAGAGTCATGGAAGAAAATGAACCCCAATTATCTCCCAAAGATAGAATTCCTAGTAGCATATCCTTTAAAATAGTTTCTTCCCCACTTTCAACTCCTAGATAATCATATTTTAATAACTAAGATTCTCTGTATGAAAGGTATACCACTTAAAGAATTACCTTAGGCAAAGCCATTCTATCCTATATGGAAGTATTCTATTTATTTAAATCTTAGATAAATCATAAGGTTCTTAGTTTGTATTATTTATATGATAAGGATTGTTCTAGAATCTATAGAACTATCATTTTATATGTGTCTTTATTGGGGGAGATCAGTATTTTGACATTTTTTGGGAAAGTAATAATTTATTATAATGTAGATCATTAATTTCAATTCAATAATAGCACTCTCAATTTTATAAACCTTATTTGGAGTCATTTTTAGAAAGTTACTTTAAGTATTTCTAAAGTCAGATAAAAGATGCATTAATTATATAGGGTTTAATCTTGTAATCTTAAGTGTATTATTCTTTTTATTTATGATATTTGGCAGTGTAGCTAGATATCAATCAGTTTTAGAATCTTCATTATGGGGAGTAGCCTATTTAAGCAGTTTTATATTAGATTATATAGTCTATACTAACTTTCAGATTCTTCTTTGTTTCTCAATAATTATCAAATTTGGGAATTAATAAACAGTTAAAGTAATGTATGTGAATATTTTAGAAATATTTAAAAATGTTTTTGAATGACAAGGTGTTTATCTAAACGTTTGGAAGTTCATGATTATATATATTTGTAAATATGTTGGCATGTTTATTTACTTAATAACTATTAAATTATTGATTTAAGACAAAAATAAATGATTTTATGTTATTTTATTTTATTTGATGTCATAATGTATTAATGTTCATATTCATTGTCCCCAAGAAGCTAATTGTCTCTTAACATTATCGTAGTTCTTAAGGGTTTGATCAATCTTTGGTTCAGCTCTTAAGAAATCTTCCTTTGCTCTGATTTTATTATAAACTATATATACTTTTTATCATTAGCTTGGATGGCAGCCAATTAGTCTTTGCTGAGTGAGATCAATTTCTTCTATCTAAGAGGAATATTATATATAGTTACTCAGCTGGTGAAAGGTTCTAAATTTTGCTGACATGTTCTGTGATGGTCTTGAGAATCATATCAATTAAGGGATCATTTTCATAAGTCATCTTTCCTTAAGCCAATCCTCTAAGAGCAGACTTGAATAAGGCTTTTTTGAATTTCTGGAAGATTGTTCTTAAGATTGGTTTCAAGTGACTTTTGAGCAGCTTCAATGATATCTGAAAGAAGTCTATTTTGATTGATCTTAAATTAGTGAATCTACGTACTTATTCAGCTTATTATGCTTATTTAAGAATATTTGAAGATCTCTCTGCAACATGTCTTTGGAGATTTAATTATTCATTCATGAGGAACTTAAATATATTTGATAAACACATACTGTATTAATTAATTCTGCTTTAACATCCTTAAATTCCTTATGTAATTATCCATATTCAATTTATCCTTTGGCTGCTTCAAGGAGTGTTCTGATTTTGAGTTGCATGTTTTCATGGTAATATTGATCAAGTTAGAAACACTCATTTCCAGCCACTCTTCTGTAAAATCTAGCAAGCAATGGTTTCATGAATGATTTACGACCTTCCAAGTAGAAGTACATAATTTGCATCCAGAATAGGAATGGCAAGAATGATGATTTAGCAATCCAATGAAGATTAGTAGTGCCTGCAGCAAATCCAATAACAATCAAACCACCATATGTAAGAAGGAGGTATTTTCTAGCCACGAGGAAATTTTCATAATGTGGGGAGACTTATTCTGGTCCAATAAAGTTGTAAAACAATTCAGATGATTTGATCTAACTTAGGAATTAGCACTTACACCACTCATATTTACAGGGTTGTGTGGATTGTTGTATGGGTGTTCGAATGCTTTGCCTTGGGGTGCAACATTTGGAGCCTTATTCTCTTTTTCAATAGCTTCACTATCAAAGTTTACAAAGACATAGATTACAGCTTTTGATTGAATTGAGTAACATATTCAGCATATTTGCTTTAGAATTTCAAGAAATTCTTTCCTGCAATATCTTTATGTGTAGCTGTGGCTGTAGCAAAACCAAAGAATCCAAGTCGACCTGAAGATTTTACCAAAAATTACATTTATTTAAATATATTTAATGAACAACGACATCTGTATGTTTGGACTGACCAAATCTGGAAAAACCTCAATGATTAGGGTGATATTCTAAAAGTTAGAAATCTACAGAACATTCCAATTAGACCCTACAAATAGAATGGAATCTGTTCCAGTCAACTTGGGATCTCACATTCATTTTAAGATTTATGAGTTTTCTGGGCATTATGATTTGAATGATCCACAACCACCTGAAATCGCAGCCATGGAAACATGCAGTCTAATGATCTATGTTATTGATTCTTAAGTAATAAAATGTTCTATGCGCATTTTTATAGGCAGAACCATTTAATGAGGCTGTCTAATATATGAGACAGGCCATCCAAACTGTAAAATAAAGGTCTCCACATTGCGAATGTCATTGTTTTATTCACAAAGTAGATCCTGACATCGAGGACAACAAAAAGAATGGTAATTTTGACTAATGAGTTTAAGAATTACTGCAATAAATCTAAAAAGACATTTCAGATGAACTATCCAAGAATGGCATGAATTAAATCAAGGTTGATTTTCATGTTACTTCCATCTTCGACCACTCATACTTGGAACATTTTAGTAAGGTAATCCAAAGGATATTGCCATACTCTTAATCTATTTCAACTTTGCTAGATTCATTCAATCTCGCAAGCAAGATAGAGAAATCCTTTTTATTCGAAATCTACTCAAAATTATACTTGGCTAGTGACTCTTAGCATTTTCATAGTACAAACTTCTAGTTGTGTTCTGAGATGATCGATGTGTTTATTGACGTGACTTGTATATATGGAAAGTTGGATGATGCTGGCCAAAGCTAAATAAAGTTATCTGATGGATCTATCTTAATTTATTAGACAGTGAATGAGTAATTTAGTTTGAATATCATTTAGAGGCATTTCGTTAATAAGTATCTTGAAATCGGAGAACTTGGAAAGACCATTTTTATTGGAATACAATATAAATTAATTCAGATAGGGTTTAGCATAAATATTTAAAATTAAATGAAACAATAATAATAAAAATTAGTAGTTAAATTTCAAATCAATGTACAAAAACTAAAAATACTTCTACGATGCATTAAAAGTACGAGATAATCGTGATCCTACATATAGTGTTAATCTTCCTTCTCATTCTCCAAAGATGCCATTTAAGCGACCTTTTTAAGCAGAAAACATTAATCGATCAATGGAGAACAACAAGTGTCGTTACTCTGAAAAGCATCTTGATTAGAGTCCCAATTAAAAATTGAAGCCAGTTGCCCAACCAGCTTATTTTAGTCAAGAAGGTTTGTTACTAACAAGAAATAGCAAATTGCCAAATTACGAACCCACTCGTTGTTCTAGCAATGAAAATGGTATCATCAGAGCCTATGCTGCAAACACTAACTAAGGGATTGTGAGAGATTACAATGAAGACAGAGTATCCATAATATTGAATATCGTTAAACCCCAAAATAGACAACATGAGAATTGGCCTAGATGTTCCTTCTTTGGTGTCTATGATGGTCATGGTGGTTCTACCTGTGCAGATTTCCTAAGGGATAATTTACATCAATTCGTAATAAAGGAATTAGATTTTCCTTGGAATCCCTATGAAGCCCTAAGAAAAGGTTTCGCAGCAGCAGAATAATACTTCTAAGACTTTGCAATATCTCAATTCAACAAGGGAATAGCTGAAAGAAGTGGCTCTTGTGCAATAGTGGCTTTATTAGTAGGCGATGTTTGTTATGTTGCAAATGTTGGAGATAGTAGAGCAGTGTTATGTGGAGGCAATAATAAATCAGCATTGCCACTATCACGAGATCACAAGCCTTGTGATGAACTTGAAAAACTGAGAATATAGAAGGCGGGTGGGAAGATATATTAGTAATCAATTTAATATAAATTAAAGAACTCAACAGTAATAGGACGATCAATAAGTTCTCGTTGGACCTCTAAGAGTGTTACCTGGAAGACTATCAGTGAGTAGGACTTTTGGAGATATAGAGGCTAAATTAGAAAGATTTGGAGGTAAACCAAATGTTGTGGTAGCAGAACCAGAACTAAGAAGCTTTAAAATTCAAGAGGATCATCAATATATTGTGCTTGCAAGTAATATTTTGATATCTAAAGTAGGTGATGGAATATTTGATAAAATGTCTTCGAATGAAGTTGTTGAGATCATGACTAAAGAATTAGATGCTAATTCCAATATACATCAAGGCTGTAGCATTGGAGTAGAATAAGTTTTGAAGGAAAGTATCAACAGGAGAACTTTGGATAATATTACTGTTGTTGTGGTGGCTTTCCAGGGGGAACAAATGAAAAGAACGAAGAATGAGATTGTCAAAAGGAATTAAATTAAGAAAACTGTGTAGGCTGTGTTAGGTAATTAGGAAGATTAAGAGAACACTCCTGGATTAATTAATACGTATAAACGATATATTTGATTTAATTAATTTTATTTTGTTATATGGGTAACAATATGACAGTGAATTGGAGTGAATAATTAAAGCACTCATTCGACTTGTATGAAACCAATTCTTAGCATAATGTTCTTGGAAATATTGATATTTATTAATATATACCAGACAAAAAAGTCAAAATATTTAGTACGCATGATTATTCAAATTTAATTAGGTAAAGTTGCTTATGTCCCTGATAAAGAGTATTTCCTCTAAAAAACTAAATTCAAGCATCCAAATTTGCTGAGGGCCTTGGCTCTAGAGAAATGCTCAGGATCATGTAGTGGAGACAAAGATTTATACAAAGTCTATTATGATTACCCAGGAATTTAAACTTTGGAAGAGATTATTAATAAAAAGTATGAATTCTCTATTTAAGACAAAGTACTAAAAAGATTACCGAATAAACCATTTGGAAAATTATATTCTAAGTAGTTGATTGTGCTGAATATTTACAATCTCACTTTAAAACTATTGGTAACATCAATCCTAAGTCTATCTATAGCTTAAAAGATGGCATCAAAATATTTGTAATCTAAATTATGATGATAGGAAGTTAATCACATTTTTAATATTGAATCCTCTTACGAATAAGCACTCAAAAACTAAATTGCCATCTTGTCTCCAGAGCAAATTGATTAGCTGCGAAGAGATATCCTTATTCCATCAGTCAATGGTTTCAAAAGTGATGTTTATGCATTCGGAATAGTCTTGTTATGTTTGACTACAATGAGCAATTATACTAAATTTTACACTCCCAATTAGGAGTTGGACAAGAATCAGATCTTTCAAAATATCCAACAGATTAAAATGCAATATTCTGAACTCTTATGTGGTTTGATTTAGAAGATGCTCCTTGAGAATCCTTCAGAAAGATAATCCTGGATTGATATTAAAGTAGCTCAAATTTCTTAATTTAGAGATTCATTGACCCATTCAAGATCTTAGAAGAAAAAGACTAACCATTCTATTCAGACCTGAAATTGTGTCCTCAAGTCATCAATAAGATAAATAATCCTACTGTTGAATCAGTTTAATTAAACACTCAAACTTCATAAAAATAGGTTCCAATAGTAGTTGTTTCTCCTAATACAACACCCAGAATTACATAAAGTTTTTAATAATTAACAGTGGTTCCAGCACCCACTATTAATTAAATTTATGCTCCTTCTAATACGACATATCCAAATCAACCAATTTAATAGAGTTTAGAATTCAAAAACACTTCCAGTAGATAAGCAACTATTATAAGTCCCCCTTTAAATTAACCTTCCTAAAGAGGAGGAGCGTCGCGAAATGACGCATAATAACCTCCTTTTCCTTAAAATTAAAAATCATTTCAAAAACTTCCTATGCCTCCTTAATCAGTACCTTCTTAATCGAGGCCTCCTTAATCAATGGCCCCCAATTCAACATAAGCGAATACACTTTACAATCCCTATTCAGCAAGGCCAATATAAGGTTGATATATATATATATATTCATTGATATAATAAAATCATAAAATTTAAAAGAAAAATCACACTCTATAATTTTACTTACTCTGCTCAGTCTTATTTTGTGTTTCTACACTTCTTCTGTTTTTTCTTTTGTAATAGCCTAAAATTTATCTATCTTCTAATTTAACTAGCATAAGTGTAGAACTATTCTAAATTTCTTATTTCAAAAAGAGATATCAAATTTTGTAAGAATTCTTTCATATCAACATTTTTACTTAAATTAATCTGCTAATAAATAGTTTATATAATTATTTCATTTATGATTCTATTATCATTTGAGATTGATTAATTTTTACAAAAATTAGAATGGCTTAATCTATTTTGCAAAAAAGTTAGTTTTAATGAATTAGTCTTTTTGTCTTTCTAGCTAACTTGTTTTGCTAGTAATTTAAAAATAATTTGAATTAGTGAACCTATAGTAACTGACATAATGAAAAATAAAGAATATTTTTAAATTATGATAAAACTCCCCTTTATATAAATTAAAAATGATTAAATAATTAGAAAGTGGCGATATATCTAATCATGATACTATTATAATAAAATGAGTATATTATTTAATCATTTATAGCGATATAAAACCATAGAACATTTCATATATAGTTAATGTATCTAATTTTTAGAAGTAAATCCAACTTTAAAGAAATAACAGCAGTAGTACAATAATAAAAAACACTATCTTTTGGGATTATTGAAATAATTATTCAACTCTTTAAGTAAACAACTATGCAAGTAATGTCATCTCTACCTAAACTGTGTCTCTTCCAGGCATTAATAGATTCAGCCATCAATCTATCTGCAGCTAAATCAATGTTATCTTTTTCAATAAATGGTATAACTATGTTCATAACATCCTCATTCGAAAGAAATTCCCAGACTCCATCAGATGCAATGATAATGCATTAATCATACTAAGTGAGTGTGAATTCAAATATTTCAGGATCAGCTGTGACTCCAGCTTAAGCACCAATTTTATCCCCTAAACTTCTGGTCATAGCCAACCCTGGAGCATCTATATAAGATAACCAAACTCTTTCAGGTCCTACTGAATTTCCATAATAATCTAAGATAAATAAACTAATAACTAACCTTTTTGACTCTCTACTCTACCTCCTGCTTAAAGAACTCTTTATTTTTCATCTTCCACATTTGGTTTATGGTCTCTTGTGATTTATATTGCCTTCCAATTCCCTTCTTGATTCCTACAAATAATGGCTCGAGAATCTCCAACGTTTGCTGTCCATAGCTAGTCCTTTTTCATAATAACAGAGACTGTTGTCGATCCTGACAAAGATGTATCTGTTTCAGAATCCCATATCTCTTTATTAGTTTATTCGAATGCTTTTTAAATAGCTTTGTTTTTATTGTCTTCTTTGCTTAATAACATTTCGAGATGCTTGGGTAATGCTTACCTTATAAATTGAGATACTAAATGACCATTTGAGCCATGACCATCACATACTCCAAACATACTGTAACCTAAACTTACTTATTTTAAATAAATTTACTTCTCTAAACAATTAGGTAAAACTATCCCAGAATCTTGATTAGTTTTTGACGTTTTATTAGCTAAGCAACCAGCTTTTGTTTTACAAGCATATTATCCTCCATTCCATGTTTTTGCCAATAATCTTTTTTTATTTAATGATAATTATCTGTCAGGACTCTATAATCTTCTTTCAGGAGTCACACTATTGTAATGAATTATTGCATCTTCCAATCTGATTTTATTATATCTTCAATTATTACTTCAATTATTTTGGTACTTCACTTTTAGCTTCAAGCTTTGGCAATCTATTATGGGGTTTGGAAAGATTCAACAATTCTAATTTAATAAACACAATACTTTAATCGCTTTATAAGTCTGTTTTTTTAAAATTAGGTAAACTAGGAAGAGATACTTTTGAGTTCATTTTTTGTTCAAACTCATCATTCTTATAACGACGTTGCACATTTCCTTTCAGAGTTCTACTATTTCTGATATTGATACCTCTGAATTTCTAATTGGTTTTCAACTGAAGTATGTTTAGGTGGCTTGAAATCTAAAATAAGAGTTTATAAATTTGATTAATATAGCAGTATCAATAATGAATCATATGCTTTCATGTGTACCTGATAAATCTGGGACCTTCTTATTACTGTTGTTCATCTAAATTTATTAAATTAATAAAACTAATTATAATTATACAATTCATTTCGTTATTTAACAGTATCATAAATCTTTGATTTATATAATGTATAGAAATAAAACTTTATTTTGAAATTCATACATTTCGAATCCCTATTGTAATTTGTATTAAAGCCTATCAAAATAATTAAGCATCGCTAATGGTTAACATCAATAAGTATGTTTACAATCAATTTATCTCAAGCAACGCTAAAAAATGAAAAGAAATTTATAGATATATCAATTATTATCACTTTTGAATATGTATAATTGATCAATTATCTAAATAACATTTAGAACTCTTGCATTCTTTATTAACTTAATCACACATTTTTTTGCATTGCGATTAGCTCTCTAAAGACTATCTCATTTAAGATTATGCGCATGTATATATACAAATATTAATCTAAGAATCACATTTTGCTTAGCATTCTTTTACTTTACTAGTAAGAACTAAAATGAATTAATACCATACCTCCACTAATGAGAAAAATCAACATAATAATAAAGACTTTAAAATTCATTTTATTAATAAATGATAAATATATCATATAATGATTACAAATTGCATTGATATTTGGAACTTAATTATTAAGATACTAATTCATCTTCAATCCTATCATAATAGAGATAAATATGCTAATTACGATAAATTTAATTTATTCTTTGATAAACTCAGTTGATTAAATCAATTAAATTTCTAAAATAGTGACTATTTAATTAATAAATTTAAATGAAACTTTATATGTTTATTTCTAATTTATGTTCAGAATATTATGAATACAATAATAAATAATAGATTTAAAAAATATACATTTAAAACGCTAGAAATTTTAGAAAATATTATATCATTTTAAATGTTCATGTATTTATTTTCAAGTAATGGACACAAATTAAATTAAGATTACAAGATTTATATGTTTGAATTTGATAAAGGAGATGTAGAATTGAATCATAAGGTAATGCTATTTAAATGCATTTGCAAACACAAACAAAATTTAATAAAATTTATGAACTAATTCTCTTATTTTATTATAATAGAAGAATTAGTTCAAAAAAGAAAGAAATTAATTAACAGGTTTTTAAAATTTGTATTATAATTATCTGATTTCGAAGTCTATCATATTTAATTTGGAACTCATTAATTAGTTAGCTTAACTTATTATATACTAATATATATATTTAAATTATTAAAAATGAATATTTGCTAATGTAGTGATAAACCTTAAAATAAATTTACAATCATTGTAGAAAACCATGAAAATGATAGAGATTATATAGAGGTAGAACTCAAATAAACGATTTCTGATGTCAAAAGGAGAGTATTTAAAAATGTTGACCCTGCGAAATCCTAATTATACTTTAAGAGAACAAAACTTCTAAATAACAGGACAATTCAAGATTGTGGATTGACAAAGGATAGTATAGTTTATATCATCTATGGAGACAATATTTCAGAATGAAAAACTAATAGATATGAATAAGAATATATATTATAAGTATTATCATAACTAGATTTTCATCAATAATCGTTGGCAATTAAGTCAATAAATAGTTAGTTTAAAATTTAAAAAATCATGTAATATAAACAAAATTCACTTGTATTTTAAATTCAAGATGGTTCTTCATCATAGAGTTGTTTAATTCTTTAAGATTACAATTGCCCTTTGAGTTGTAAGTTCTCACAGATTAAATCGAAGTAGGATTTTCGATTGAATTCTATTAAATAAAATATTAATTACAAGTTTATTATAAATCACAAATCCATATGACTAATGGAGATTATTTGCAATTAAAATAAGTGTTAAAATCTAGAGTGTTAGAATCATTTTCATAAAGGAAAATAGCATCTAGTTCAACATTTTTAATCATCCTTTTGCCTGTTATAGTATTTTTCATTTCTATTTTTCCAGTTATTAAGGTGATTGGTTTTGCTCTATCAACTATATTGTCATTAAACTTCTAAAAGGCCAATTCCATAGGAAATAAAAAGGATTCTCCGATTTCCAGATTAGGAATTGTGATTTAATATTAATGTTAATTTTGCAGTTCAATCCACCCTTCACTGTGTATCTCAGAAATCATAATCTTTTCAAATGGAATATTTTATTGGTTGGTTGAGATTGTAATAGTTACATCATCCCATAGATTGAATGGAAAATTGGCAAAGGTTTACTCCAAACATTTAAACACCTATTATTCGCTATTTATAATATGGTGTTTCCCAAATCTTAAATTTGTTATGGAGGATAATCGTTTGCTTGCATTTGAATTGCTGAATCCAAATGAGTCGATAGTGAAAATATCATAATTGTACTCTAATTACTTTTTAATTTTAGTAAGAGCAATTTCATCTTGACCATCTGAAAAAATGAGAATTCTAGCCCAATTATTTTTATTTTTTCTTTAATTGATAACATCAAAAGCTACTTCTGTTCCTTTCCATAGTTCTGTTGTCCCATTACATTATAAACCATCAATAACGAATGCAAAATACTCTTGAGTCTCTGATGTTACCTTTTACAAGCCCGTTAACAGTTTGCCGTCATTGTTGAAACTAATTAAGCATAATCTATCCTATTCTCTTAGATTGGTTAATATTGAATGCAAGATTTGTTTCACATAGTCAATTTTTTAACCTTACATGCCATTGCCAATGTCAATTAAACAAAACTTATATTGATGAATATTTTACTAAATCTACACCAATCTAATCTAATTCTTCTAGAGTTTTTGTTCTTAATTATAGCACAATAGGAATAGTGTGTTAGGTTAAATTTAATATATTGGACCCAGGGTTGACAGAGAACATATCAAATTATATATCATCATCAAGAGGCTATTTATTTATGGAACTTCTGCTTGGTATACTTTGCTGAGTTCTTTGACTGAATCTATTTTTAGATTCACTTTAACTATTTTTCAGATCATTATTTTCTTGGGTTTAAGTTTGGAATTATTGAATTAGATTGTGCATTGTATTTGATTTTTGGATAGGATTTTTCTTTTTTGGTTGGAATGAAAAGGAAGACGATCCTCCATCAGTTTCCAGTAAACCATAACTTCTCCATTTCGAGATATTGTGATCTTAGCCTACTGCACTCCTATAAGCAATTTATTATATATTTACTCCGTAGACGAATTTTACATATATTTATAATTATTATATTGTTAATAATAATCATGGTTTGCATTTTTTTTAATATTAGACCTTTTTAACCCACATCATTTATTTTTGGTTTTAGAACTAAGATTGTTCCTCCTATTGCAATTGAATTCCAGTGGCATCAAATTTTGCATTAATTCCTTATTAGTTATAATTGTTTGAAATGATCTAATACATTTATTTACTTCCAAATTTATTGAAATACTCTTGTCTGGCTGCCTATTTGACTTGTTCAAGATCAGCCACAATGTTCTTCACTTTCTCAGTCAACTATGGATTTTCCTACACTTTAGAAATCAGATTGCCAATCAAATTTATGGCTTACTAATTTTATCTATTTTGACACTTGTGAAGAGCATCCTTGATAACCTCAGCTGATTCAACTCTGAAAACTTATTCAGTGACAAAACTTAACAATTATCAATAATAATGTACTAATCTTATTCTTCATTGATAAGTTAACTTTCATCAACGAATCTTATAACCAATTCAGCTTATTTCTCGATAGTCTCTCTGGTTTGGGAACTGGTAATTCGAGCTGATGCTTTGAACATAACCACATTTTCTGATTGCACCTTAATAAATAATGATGAAACGATACATTGTTATTGATATAAGGGATGTTGAGTTAAAAAACAAAATCTCTTCTCTATCCTTCAGCAAGATAAGGAATCTTCAAATGTATAGTTTTATTCTGATAGTTCAGTTTTTCTTAACCATAGAATTTAGATAAAGATATAGCATCATAAGGATTTTGCATTATGTTTTCCAAATTTATACTAATATCGGTTACCACCATTGAAGTCAGAGCACCTAATGCATCAACGAAAAACTCATCAAGCAGAGATATATTGTTAACAAAGTAGAAACTACCCTTACCCAAATTAGAGATTTTAGTCATTAATTTAGCATCATGATCACTACCAAAACCAAAGGAGTGGATTGTAAGAGTTTATTTATAATAGGCTAGTTGCTTTTAAAGTGAGGAAATTGCAGCCTCATCCTATCCATCAGACAATACGAAAATTGCAGTCACATTATTAACACTCTTTCGGTATTTAATTTGTTTTAAGGCCATTTGAGTACCTAAACCAATTACTGTACCACCATTTGCATATATTTTTGAAATGATATCTGAATAATACGTTTTGTTCTCATCAGTCACTCTTCTCAAATTAGTCAATCGCTAACAAGTGTCATCAAATTATATTAAACACAATCGATCCTTAGGTCCCAAGAAATTTAACAAGATGTTCAAGGTTTATTTTACCATCTCTATCTTCTCTCCACTCATACTGCCACTTCTATCAATTACACACAGCTAAAATATATATCTAGATATATTACTAAATCCACTCCCACTTTTGAATGTTGCTATTAATCCATGTTAAATTGGTTTTATGCATCTCCTTCTATCTATTAAGGAACTTAAGGCTAATGCACTTCTTTAGCTTTGATACCCACCAAACATGAGAGTGCTTTCCTATCATTGAATCTCAGAGTCTTGTATTCAGATGTCAAATAAAATTCAATATTTTCATTGATGTTATAAGCCTGAGTATCTTGGAATTATTATTGTTGTTAAATTTAATCCATATCCAGATTTTCATCATCATCAAACTAAATTTATTTGGCATATTTATCATCGATATCATCTTGTTCTACATAATCAGCTGTCTACTACTAAGTTTAGGCTTATTATTGAGATTATTGTTATTACTATTGTTTTATTTTTTATTATTTCTTCTTATTGAGAGTAGCTATATTTTCATACTTCCCTTCTCTCACCTTAACACCAAAGTAATCTAATTCTAAGTTGCCATTTTTGTTGCTCTAAGCCACAGTTTCCAAGACCTAAGCTAATTGATTGGGAACAAATATTTCATTTAAAACCTCTTATTGTATCATGATATTTATATAATTTTATTATGAATATTTATTAAGGATTATCATTTCTCTCAAAAAATATTGCAGGCCTCACATCCTCCAGTCTTCGTTTGGACAATTTCTGTTGGTGGTTATTGTTGTCTAAAATGAGATAAAAAACTGTAAATTACAAGTCTATCTACTCATCTTATGGTGTTTGTTTCACTTCAATCACATTGACTTTTTATTGATTTTGTTATTGTTACTCCTCTACTACAACCTATTAAACTTTCATTTATTGGTTGTCTTAATTTTCAATCTTCTCATGTTAAATAGTTTGTACTATTTATGGAACATATTACTAAAAATAGATTAACTGGTTTTACTTGATCGTAACTTTTAGAGAAATCTAAATTGCTAAAGCTTTGCTCTATTTGCTCTGTAAATTTATCATTTAAAATTTAGGCTTGTTGATAGCTGTGGATTTTCTTGACCATAGCATCGTACATGAATTGATAGCCTTTATGAATGGTGTCTAAGAAGGTTATTCTATCCTTTAGGATTTAGGCCTTGTCTTAATTTTTGTTGGTCTCTGATTATATTTATTGTTTCTCATTAGCAAGCTACTATAAATTTTTAAATATAACTTATTGCAACAATTTCTCATTATTGTGAATCAATTTGGAATGTCTCTCAACCTCTATCATCAAATCCACAATCTTAAAGAAACTGGCAATTTAGGTTTTGATTGCAGGTGTCAAGATCTCTGCTGCTAAAATCTATTCCCTTTGTTTCAATAAATTTTGGGTTCTTTCAAACTCATCTTTTTTCATGTCCACAGCTTTGACTCTTCCCAATCTATCCTTGAAGTCTTGAGCACCTTCTGCATTCTCAAACACTTATCCCTAAAAAGATATTTCAATTCTATATATATACTTTGAAATTGTTCCAATAATAACTTGAGGCTGGTTCCTTATAAATCACAACCAAAGACCAGATCCACAATTCGTTGACAGGACTCTCCTTATCTTTGTTCTTGATGTTCAATTGCTCTATAAAATTGGAATGGTATTTTTACTTAAATCATTAATATTCAATCCATTGGCTTCATCTTATCTCATTTTGTTCAGCTTTACAATAGTCTTCTTGGTCTCCTAAATCTCGTTTTGAAGTTATTTTTCATCATGTTGTGGAACTATTGCCTTTAATCTAGCAATTTCCTCTTGTGATATTTTTAGGTCTGCTTCAATCTAACAGATATATTCATGATAATTACTTATTATTTTTATTCTCTGTTCACTTGTAGATGTTATAGGAGCCTATTATTCTCAGTTGTTAATGTCTCAATAATATTTTAAAGTGTAGATTTCTAAAAATCACTCATTTGATTACTTCGCCTGCAAAGTACTCCTTATCTTAATGTAAGGAATCTCTAACAAATTTTTCAAGGGCATTTATACGATTCGATGTGAACTTCACTGCAGCTGCCTAATCACCGTGTTCTGGATTCACTTCCTTAAGCTACTATATTTAGAGGTTCTGATTTCATATAAAGACAATTACTTTTAGATTATCAAGTTTGCTCATAAATTATTAATATTTATCATTTTTAATTATTCCAGGATATATAGATGTCACCCAATGACATCAAATCATTATCCCGATTATCATCTCCCCTAATTAACTATCTGTGTTATTTATCTTAAGTATTATTGCGATTTCATTATTCAAATCGTGTTAAATTGAAATTTCTATATTTAGAATTTTACAATCCACCTCCACTCCCAATATCCTCTTTCTTTGACTTTACCCTCCAATACCATTCCAACTAAAGTAGACATCTCTCTGTCAACTTGTTGTCTCTAACTTCTCATCAAATCAACCACCAAAGGGATGTTTGAATAAAATCCCAAATTTTTACTATTGTAATCATCAATATCACCAAAGCACTCATGAAAACTATCTTAAATGGCCTCAAACTCATTTATGATGTAGATTTATCTAATATAATTAAATTAATGGATCTAGTCACTTACCTTTGGTCCCTGTAATTATTGTTTCACACTTTAAAAAGAAGTGAGGTCTTGTTTTTTCCAACTCGTTGAGGGGAAGCAATACGATTATCTGAAATGATAATTTTGTTAGAAATCTAAAATTATCCATCAGATCTTGAAGACTTGCATATGTACACTTACTCTTAAACGAGTTAGAAGACGATTATATGATTCTTTACCAAAAAAATTTGGTTTGTTATTAGAATTTTTAAAATATATTATGGAAGTGAGATTTAATTATAATAACTTATACTTAATTGCAACGAAAGAATATGGAAACAATCTTTATTATTTTGGTTAAAAATTTAGAATGCTAATATAATAGATTATTCATTAAAAGATACATAAAGTTTTTAAAAAAGAAAGTTGGAATACATAAAATAACTATTGTTTGTATCTATATCATTTTGTAATATTTAACAGAGATATTTTATTTTTTCCCATTTATCCTGTTAACAGTCTTCTCCTCTTAATCAAATGCAGGGCTAATTACACTTAATCTTTAATTAATAGTATAAATATTTACCTGATTTCAAATAATACCATATTAATAAATTTAGAATGGGCACTGGAATTACCTGATTAATTTAGTTTATCACAATTTCACAACAATTCATCAATGATTATATAGAGTTCCAAGCCTATGGCAAATTATTATTGTGCAAATATAATGCCGCATAATTAAAGTGATTTATAGCCTTAGGACTATAATTGGAAAAGCAAGAGGTTTGTATTCCAATAACATTCCTGCATTAAAATTACAAATTGCTGTTGATAATTTTGTTTAAGAAAGTGGCAATCGCATTACTATTCAAAAAAGTATTGGCTTCCTTAAACTTCTATGTTGAAATGTAGGCTTCCAAAACATATTATATTATCTTGTATTTATTGTTCTCAGACAAGTTGTATTCCAATGCCTCCTTTCCTTATTGCAAGGCTAAATTATAATCTCCTCTACAAAGCAATGTATACGTCAAAAATACAATGGAAGATTCAAATAATTGTGAACCTGCAATTTACAATTATTCCTAATCTAACTGAATGAGTTCTTCCCTCTTCTCTTTCTTAGATAAAATAATAGCATTACGGAACGATCTTTAATAGATTTTATTTATCATACTTAATAGCATTATTTAACAATTCCTTTATAGCCTTTGGCTACACCAATTTGTTTTCTTCACTCTTTTAATCTATTTTATAGAACTAATCCTAGCACTCCTCATCAGCATCACTATAGATTTCTCTGCTTTAAAGTATAATTTTCTTTTCATCATCCTAAGTATTAATTTGAGATTGCTCCTCTGATATTTCATAAATCTCATTCTTTTCAGGAATTGATTCATGATATAATTGTATATGACAGACACCTCTATTGTACCAAAACTTTGCACTTTAATTACAAGCATCTTATAATTGATTGTATAAGTTTAGAGCCTTTTAATATTTTTAATCCATAAACAATGCATCAGCTAAATTCTGATAGATAGCAAATTATCTTTGTTTAATATTGGTCTAAATTATGTTTTCATACAGATTTGCTGATTACAAGACCTACTTTGTTTAGGAAATGGCCTTATGGAAATATATAGCAGCTAAGGCATACTTGCCAATCTTTGCATGCACACATCCTAAATTATTATAAATTTAAGCAGAATAAAGGTATTATTTATTCTAGATAAATTCTAAATTCTATTAATTTTGAATTTCCGCCTGTGGATTGATCATTTTAATACAGGTTGCTACATTTTCATTCAGTGATGAAAGTTTTTGAGCTTTCAATTACTTGACAATCATTTATGCATGCAATTTCAAGTATGCTTGAATTTCATATGAAAATTAGGGTGATTATTATTATTACATTCCTGGTTGCTAATCTAATTAAAATATGTAGTTTTTAAAGGATTATTCTAAATTTGCCAATTGTTACTTCCAATCCTTCAGGTTTTAAAACAAGTAAAATCGAAATTTTATTACATTTAAAATGAATAAAAACTCTTCCTTACTAAATGTGTTAGGGTGTGCATCAGGATATGGCAAATCTGAACCCAATAATAAGGAGGTATATATTAATTGTGATTGTTGTTATTGATCATCTGCTTGATTGGGCTTGTGACTTTTATTTTATAATGATTGAATTGTGTCTTCCGATGATAATTTCTTATACAGTTCACTTGCATACACATATTCTTATAATTAGAATGAAGTTTCGACTAAAAGCAAATGCACCTTAATATTTAAGTAGATGTCCAAATTATAGTTGTCTTTCAATTATTTCAGTAGGTTATGGGCCTATCTTACTTTTCCACTCAAGAAGAGCAGGACTGCTTTGTTGAATTATAGAATGCTGTCATCTTCTTGTTTCTTCTCTAATAATAGGTAATTCATGAAAATTATTACTTTTTTGAGTTTAAGGCTTTTTAATTTCGTCTATAATTTCATCAAGTTTAGCAATACAAACATTCACATCTTTGGTTATATTGTATTCGCAAAGGATGATATTTTCATTAATCTGCACCATAGACTAATTTTGATCAGATTGTTCCTTTAATTGCTTAAATTTCTGCAATTCCCTACACTTAAATAGTTGATTACTCCATTGACTCTTTGTAATGGCCCATTCCAAAATGTTTAAAGGAATTTTATAAGATTGTGAAAGACTATGCCATAAATTATAAACAAAATATATCAATTTCTATTTATCAATTAAAATCTGAGTTCCTATTATTATATATACCTTCTCTAAAGCATGTAGTCACAATTTAATAAAATTCAGATGCACAACATTATTGAATCATTTTTGACATTACTATGAAATTTATAGAAGGTAATCCTCATATTTAAGAGTAGGATCTTGACTTTAATTTAGATTCTGATGCAAAGTCGTATTAAAAATATTGAGAGATGTGAGAACAACGTAACATTTATACTTATTTTATTTTATTATGAATTGATTATCTCTCACATAGTTTATTGAGGCTATTCAAATTACCCCTTAACAACTCTAGGCACTTCTAATTTAACTTCAATAACTCTTTTAATCAACATGTCAACCACAGCTAATTTGTTGGCTTCATAATCAGCATAAATCTTATCTATTTCAGATTTTGTCTTTCTCTCTAATTCTTCTTCTTCCTTTGTTGATCCAAAACGCTATAAGTCTAAATTTTTAATTTACTCTTAGAATTTCTTAGTTGTATCTAGTTTCTTCTTCTCTACGGAATACAGCAATTTCTTAATCAGCTGCAACCTTAGCCTCTTTAATTTTCTTTTCCCTCTCCTTTTAAGCATTCTTAATGATGGCATTAGCCTCTTCTTCAGCCTTGAGTAATTCGTCGACAGCCCAATTTTCTCTTCCAGAATCAGCCATATGTGGATAATATAATTTATTTATTAAATGATTTAACGAAGCATCATGTTCTTATATTGTATTCTAATTCATAATCATAGCTATTCTGAATCTCCTCCATCATATTCTGTTGCTTCAACTTAATTATTTTAAAGTAATTTACTTTTAGGAATATTCGCCATCTCTATATTTAATTCATTAATTAATTCCTGCTGGCTTTCTTCATAGTAATTTAGTGAATTAGCATCTTCCGATAAATCATCCTATACATCCTCGTATTCAACATAATCATAGTCATTTAAATCCATCTCTTGATCTTCTTGATTGGTGATATTGGACTCATCCAAAGTTTAGTGCAATTACACAAATGAAGCCTCTGTATCTTTTGGTATTGGAGTACAAGAATATTTCTTTTGATCAGATTCCTTGGCTTTCTCAACAACAGACACAATTTGATTGAAAAGTTCTTCTGGAGCTTTGTTGGTAATGATCATAAAATAATAGATTGATTTCACCTTCTGAATTCCGTTTAATTCATCATACACTAACAATTTCATTCAATATCATACTTTCTGGAGTTTGGGTTCTCAATTTCCTTTTGATCCCACTGCTTGTAGGTTCAATAATTAGAGCACTATAAAGTTTTGAACTACCAATTTTGACTGCTTAAAATGCACCACTGTATCCTTGTGAATGAAAATCATAATCTTGTACATTACATTTCAATGCCAACTGAGCTGTTATTGAGACGAATTTTTAATTGTTAGGTTAAATGGTTGTAAGAAGCATTCCATTATTAGGTTTATCTAGATATCTAAAATTCTTATCAGTTTGAAGAAATGGTACTATTAAAATCAAACACACTCTTTACTTTTTGTAAATAATAGTTTTGATTGACCTCCTTCTGAATAAGCACATTATTTTTTAGTGCATGTAATTTTATTAGCAGGTAAGTCAGATAATAATTTGCCCAAATTTTCTAATGATGGAGGCTTGCAGAAAAATTGATCGCACTTTTCTAAGGAATATCATTTTCTTATTACTTCCATTTTGAATGTCATCCAATATAGTTTTCACTCCTTCAAGGAAACTGTCATCGGCTGTAAAATCGGAAATAGTTCCTGTCTCCAAAGTAGCGAAAACTATGTTTACGAATTTTTTTGCAAATTGTAATCCAGTGAACTCTTATAGTTACAAAATTTTACTGATTGCATAGTTTCCTTCTCCTCTTTAAATAATTCTCGCTTCATTTCTTTTTTGTCACTCATAGTTATCTAATGAATCGCATATTTTTTCTATCCCTCTATTGTTGTCTTTAAATAGAAGACCTATGGAATCTGAGCTACTTTATAACTTCTCTTCAAGCTTGTCTTAATGTAAGTTTGAATGATGTTTTCTTGAGATTTCTCAATTATAAAAGTATATATTCCATTTTAAATAGAGCTATAATGAATAGAATTCGTTCCAAAATAATCCTTCCCCTCCTTCAAACTATCCATTGTTTGTTTATGTGTTTTGTGAGAAAACCTAACATCGCCTTCAAATGTTATGTATCGTTCTTTGCTTGCATCGACTGGCATTGGATCGCCTCCAATTAATCCAATTAGTTCAACATTTGCACAGTTGTAGACTTGCCCTCTAGCATCCTCTGGTGAGACTACAGCGCTTCCATTTTCAATAATAAATAGTAGCAATACTAGAACCGTTTTAATTAAATACATAATAAATTAATATTACTTAGAACTAGAATTTCATGTTCACTTTGAGAATTTCAAATCAAACTCATTCTTTCGCAAAAAGAGTTCTATTTCAAGAAGACTTATTTAAATAGATGCTAGATTAATTCAAATTATTTTATTTATCTCAAAGAAATCATATTGGTTGATTATTTCCTCTGGTATCTTTTCACCGGATGCGATTTAGGTTCTCTCTTCAACAGATAAAATGCTTACATCTTCATCATTCATTTAAAATTAGCCATCAGACGAGTATTCTGATTTCGAATTAAAATCCTGAAATAATTCTAAATCTTAAACGAAACCCATTCTTATGCCTATTTAATGAGTCTTCCTAATCACATCCCTCGATTGACTAGATCTAATTAGAAAATATAGTCTAGATATTTCATATAAGAGGTTTAAATAACTCATTTTATTCTATATTTTTTCGACTATTTTATTATAAAACTATTGAAACTAATTTACATCCACAAACTTATCCCCTATCTTCACCTTATTTATCTAAAATTTCCAATTTCTAAAAATTTTGACGTTTTTAAATTGAGGATAATAAATCCTAATAATTGAATGTATTAAGTTCTCCTGTAAGAAATGTTGATTCAACAAAATAATGATATACTTGATCATAAACAGTAGTGAAACTATAGACCCTATATTTGCCAATAGATCTCCTGCATGAGGATATTCAAATATGGTTTTAATCTAATTAGCCTACATTGTTAGATAAACTACTCCTAGAGCATCATTCCCATAAGCTAATTTGCAATAATTAAATGTGTTTGTTTAAGTTTGAATGAATGCGCCGTTTATATATTCCTAAATTTTTGGTGATCCAAAGAGAAAGTAATCTCTAACTTCGTAAAGGTTGCTTTAAAGAAAAATGTTTAGGGTGTAACAATTACTTGGTTCTACTTGAAAATAGTATTCCTAAGTGCTTGTTTTCGTTTCCCCATTATTAGAATCTATTGATTTATATGTAACTTCCGTTGTGATTACATTAAATGGTTGAGAAAAAAATTAATCAGATTTTTCTTAATCGGCACACTATTCCCCATCTTCTAAATATTCTTATTAGCATTTTATAAACAAAATCGTAGCATCAGATGAGATGTATAAGTTTCCATTCTGATATTCCTCGCCAAAATGTAGCTTCGGCAAAAAATACTTATTTCCATCTGATGTTGTCTCAATTGACATTTTAATTACTTTGCTCGAGATAGATCCATCATAATTCATAAAAGACAATACTGGCAATAGAACCCTTTCTTCAAACGGATCAATATAGGTGGCATCGAGTTTCCAGAAATAAATTCTTACAATATCATAGTTGAAATCAATCAGATTGAAATCTGAAATGTATAAAGAGTGAGATATTTTTGGGCTGAATTAATTCGTTTACCATTAATATAGTATCCAGGTTGTATATGCCAAACTCGCTGAAAATATAATCAATGTTATTAATCCCCCAATAGCACTTCTGTAAATGGATTGCTTTTCACTTATTTATTGAACAAAAGGAGTCCCAAAGAAATCTGCATTACGTAGAAAGTTATTAGCAATTTTCATAATATCTCTTCAATTTAATTAATTGACTAAATTTCAATAACTACCCTTGATTATACATAGTCATTTTTATCAAGAGGACTGGGCTTGCTATAAGACTTTTTTATATATCACATAAAAAATGAACAGTGAATATGTATAACCTCAAAAAACCAGATTTTTTAAATCAAATTTTGTTAAATAAACTTAAAACATAATTCAAAAGCAATTTAAGTTTCAATTTCTTTAAATTTTAATATAATATACATTTTAAAGTATAGTAGAACAATGTAGATTGGAGCTCACTTAATAAAATCTACATATTAATATTCATTAATTAATTTTGGGTTATTAAAATAAAAATTAAGTTATAAAATTATAAGTTAATTTGTGCTTTCCAAACTAATTGGATTTCTAAAAATATTTATTTTATGGAATAATCTCCATGAAATCTTAGTTAATGTTAAAGTAAAGTAATCAAAAATAATTTAATAAATAATAAAATTGGGGAAATAAGATATAATAAATTTTTTATTAACCTTCAAATCCTGATTTCATTTAAGCAAAAGTAAAAAAATTCAAATAGATCATAATTTTAGGAAAAAAAAAATATACATCCTTAAATATCATTATATAATCAAAGTTGCGAATAAATATTCGAGAATAAATAATTAATAATTTTGATTTATAATAAATTATTATTTTCAGATATAGGTTTAAGGTTGAAACTTCAGGTTAAAGATTTTCCTTTCATCTAAATCCTTATTTTTTTAAAGTAAAAATGTTTCAACATATTTTTATCTTTATGTTTTAAGTCTGATGTCAATAATGAATTTTTGATTAATTAGATAGCTATTTACTTGATATAAACTCAAAACAATATTTATAATAAGTTGGCAAATGAGAAAATTTCTTGATAAATCCCTATTTTTAGAATCATACTAAATTTTCTCATGATGAAAATAAAAGGTATTGTTTCAAACTCAATCTGAATGCATGTTTAATTCAATTTATTCAATAATACTATTCAATATATTTTTTCTTCATTATGTATTTATTTTACACATTTTAGTTATTTATATCTAAGTTTTGAATATATAATAAGCTGCTTTAATTAGCTATATAAGAATTAAAATGAAATGGATTAATGCAAAAAAATTGTAATATTGGAGTAAAGGAGCCTATTATTGATTAATTATTTTTTTGTTCAGAAAAAATTATAAAATGAAATAATTGATCCCAAGCCATAAAGCTTAATCTCTTATCAGAATTACACAGACTGGATGCTCCAAACAATCCCCAATCAAGAGTAGGTCGAATTAAAGAAATCAGAGTTTGCCTGGATTTCCCACCTAGTAAATCGATAAGGAAGAAGATGAAGAAGTAAGTGGTATGTTAATTTAGACAAAAGAAATAAACAAATTAGTGTAAGATTAAGAACTATGCTCATTGGAATAAATATTAGATAAAGGGAGATCATATTTGATTGATAACCAACATCAAGTGTTTGATAATAATTTGCAACTGATTAAACCAAATCTACCTAATGCTAGTGAATAGGGATTGAGAAGGTATTATCTGAAGTCTGAACGATATAAGGAGATGTAGTAATTTTATCATGTTGATAAAAATATATACGGAAGAATGAATGAAAAGATATAAACAGAGAGACTGATGCCAAGAACATTAAAGTTATTGGCAGACTCTCCTGATAAACTAGTAGCCAATAATATATTTGGAAGTGATAAATACGTATAATTATTTGCTGAAGGGATCAGCAGCTCTCATTTTAACAATTTAAAGCGATTACAATTAAGAAATAACAAGCTAAACAATAATCGAACTTGCTTATTAACTCAGAGGCTCCCTAGTTCTATAATAGAGTTAGATTTCAGTAATAATAAAATTGGTACATCTGGAATATAGAGCATTTGTAATTATATATCCTCTAGAAATTATAACATTCAGCATTTGAATCTGGAGGATAATAATCTTAAGGATCTCGCTGTTCTTACTATTTTAAAAACATTGAATGACAGCAAGTCAATTCGAGTTTTAAAGCTTTCTAAAAATTAGATTACTGATATACCAATGGACACATTAGGATAGCTACTGAAGAAGGTATTAAATCAATCACATGATAGAATAATTCATTGCAAGAAGTTTATTTGCATTTCAATTAGATAAAAAATGCTGGAGGGTTGACAATCATGAAAGGCTTGATAAAGAATTAATTTTTAAAAGTCTTAGACTTATCGTTTAACAAATTAGGACAAAACCAAGAATTCATCTCTGCATTGTCTGAGTAAGATTTAGATTAGATTATAGCGTTTTGATAAAGCCGCATCCTGAGCTAACCCACTTAGACTTGTCATTCAATAGATTTAATGATGAAGATGCCATGGCCATACATAAAGCCCTCTTATATAATCAATAATTATTTGGGTTTCATTTTTCTGGCAATCCTCATAATTATTATGTAAATCCTAGAGCCTTTTTGGTAAAGGAGGTTCAGTATGATGAGAATAAGTCAGATCCTAAACTCTTTAAGAGAATCAATAGTGTGAATTGTATAAATACAAAAACTAAAGAGAATTGTTGGATTTGTGAAGGTTGGGTAGAGATAGGATTTCATTATTCAGGAATTGAATATTAGCATCCAATCTTTTTGCATCTCGATTTTGAGTAGTATAGGCCTATCTTAATGAATCAATAGGCTAATAGCTATTATCTGTAAAGAATGTGTCCTCCAAACAAGAAGATACATTACTTTTTTAGCAATCCTGTCTATGATGTGAGATTCGTGGCTAAGGATCAAAAGACTTTAACTCTTGATATCAACGAAGAGATAAGGAAAAAAGGCATTGAACTACAATATGCAGATGGTTCATCAGCATTAGTTTAGTTGTCTATTGTGAATTATATACAATCAGGATAGAGTGGAAATATTATCGATTCTACAAAACATTACATGGCAAATATCACATGCAGACCAAGGGAATCAGAATCAATTATTGATATTGATTTAAACAAAGCAAAAAAGAGAGTTTGGTCGTATGAAAACTCGATTTTCAAAGACTTTCAACCAGATACAGAGGGGCATCTTTTGGATTGCTTTGAATTTGACTTTGAATGTGGGAAATTGATAAAGCATTTGCAGAACTAGTAGGAAAATGAGCAATTGAAAGATAAAATGAAGAAGATCTACAAGTATATTATTGGGTGTTATCATTACTTCTGTGCTAAAACACTCAATTATGATCTTCCTTGTATCAATTTACAAAGCTTTTTGGATTTCATTTCACAAACTAGCATCCTTGAAAAATCATTGATGAATTCCCTAGATCTATAATTAACATTCCTATCCAGTTACGTAGTGATGAAACAAACCAATTATATTCATATCCAAGAAAAATGTTTAGTGAGATTCTAATTTGTTGAAATTATTGTGAGATTGGCAAAAGAACAATATATTAGAACAGGTTTAGCTAGTAATATGGCCGATGCCTTGGAAATGTTGTTTGAATAAGATGAAGTATTGTAATTCATGTAAAAATTTGGAATCTCCTAAGATTGGAGAGATACTCGTTATTGGACTGAATTGATGGACTACACAATCAGAATTAAGATGCCTATTTTGGTTATACTATATGAGAATGGTTGTAAATAAACAATGAAGCATGGGAATAAATATATGACATTATCGGATTTTAAGTTATTTGTTGATTAATTTGAACTTCAAAAATACATTTCTGAAAAAGAACTGTATTTGATCTATCTATAGAGTATGCAAACCCAAAGAGATGAATTAAGAGAATCAAGGTTCTTGAAAATGGAGTTATTAGAATTCATAGAAGCCATAACTAGATTGGCAGAGAGAATTTCACCTGTGACGCCTATGTATGCTAAGAAACACAGCAACTTAATAAATGATGTTTCAAGAAGAACCTTTCCTTTGTTTGTAAAATTTGAAGGAATCATCATAATTATGTATCAGAAGCTGAAGTCTCTATTTTTAGAAATTCCTAATGTAGAAAAAGAAATCATTTATAAAACTGTCATAAAAACAGAGAAAGCAAGGAAGTTGGGAATCTATGGTATAAAATTAGTATAATCATTAAATAGAAGAAGACAACAGTTCCGATGAGGAGAAAATAAAATCTATCAGAAATTTAAATCTTCTACCAGAAGAAGGATTATTACCTCCATCATCATAGTCAATGGGGTGGAACAAACTCAGATAATGGGCTTCAAAATAGAAGAGAATTTCAATGGAATCCGCAAACATTTTAGAATAATTGGAAAAATATCAAGTTCAAGAAGATGAAATGTTTTAGAAATAAGGAGATGCTATATCTGGCTATGATAGATTCAAGATTACTCAAGAAAAGAAGAAAAGAGAAGAATATAAAAAAACTATCCTATACTAAGATCCTTAATTCAAATTCGAAGAAGAAGTGCCTAATTGAAAATATACTTTTTTATTTAATAATTATGATTAGAAGATAAAATTCACTACCTGAAATCCTCTCTATTCTCTAGGAGAAAAAGAAGGCGCAAATTGAACAATAACAACCTGCTTAAGTACCAGAATAAGAACCTTAGCCAGTCTTCAAATATGTTTTACATGAACACCAAGAAAGAATTCAATTAGCCAAGATGTTTTATTAGAATCTAAAGAAAAGATCAATAGCAAGAAATGTCAATGAAATCAAAAGCATGGCTACTTTAAATGGGTTTCAGTTAAAACAAGGCTAGGTTTTAAGATAAAAACTATATGTTGAATAAAATTAAAGATAAGAGTAATAACTTACACTATGATAGAAATCCTCAAATATACTTATGTCCAACACAGAAGATACTTCCATAAAGAACTAGTCCTATTAAAACCAATTAAAGAACTTCTCCATAATAAAGATCAAGAGCAATCACTACTAAAAGCAGTTTCCATCTCAAGAGTACGGACCTAACAAAAAATGAAAGCATGATCTCTTTGAAAAAGTGCTAGGAAGAAAAACCAAAGGTCAAAACTCGATAAGTTGATGAAGTCAAAGGTTAAACTAAATTATTCACAATAGTGTACAAATCATTGAAATAGCAAAGCTGAATCTATAATCATTTCACAGAATCACTTTATTTAAAAGACATTCTTCCTGATTTCCAAATATTCTCTCATGTAACTTGAATAATAAACCCTCTCTAAAAATAGTTAGAATAATATTTCTCTTTCTATGATTCTTTATTTTCACGTCATAATTGATATCTGAAGTTAAGAAACTAAAAACTACATCATCCTCTTCTATATCTGATTTATGCCATTTTCTTTGTATATATTCTAATTAGAAGATAAAGTTTATATCTAATATTTTTATTTGAAATTTAATTATTTCCAAATAATAACAAATATCTGATTCATCTTATCCTCAAGGTTTATCACAAGAGAATCAAGATAAAAAGAAATTTTATAGAGTTTAAAATTTTTATTGTTAAAATAATATTTGAATAGAATGTAATTTTAATGATATTGCCGACTCAGTCACTGTCCCAGAATTTATCATCTCCTAAGCTTCCTACAAGTTGTAAGAAAGAGAATTTAGGCACTTCCATGCATGGTAAATCTTTTTCAATTCTGATTGATAATCCTTTAAGGTTTTCTTCATTATAAACTTTTAGAACTTTTCCGTCAGGAACTTTGAAACTTTTAACCTAGAATATATAAAATCAATACTGGTTTATTCCATCCATCTTTGGGGAAAGACATCTTTCTATCGCATACAGTAAATGAGTCTCCTTAATAGTTGCATGATTCCCAAACTTAAGCACAATCAGGATCAGTAACACCAGCATCTGGTTTAGGAACATAAACGAACCAATTGAGTTATCCTTCCAATAATTATGAATTCTACCCTAGGTTGATATATGGATCAAAAATTACATGTTCCAATTTCAACGGATAACTTATCTTTAACAAGTAAATAGTTCTTAGTTAAGAATCTGCAGAATGCACCATAATTGTAATATAAACCACTGATTCCGTACAATGTATATCTTGGTGTTTTAAGGAAAATTTCATCAGTGATCTTCTCTTCGTACTTCTTGACTCTTTCTGATTCAGGAGCAACAGCGTTCAAAGGATCAGCAGCTCCACTTGTTTTATGTGTAATAGTTCCAACTAACAAGGTATCCTTTTCACCGATAATCATATTGACTCTAATGAATTCGATTGTTCCCTTTTGTCCAACAGTCACTTTGAATTAAGCTGATGTTTTGGTGATGACTGCCATGTTAACTGCAATTTTAGGCCAAGCTTCAACCATTTTAAGTCCCAAGATAAAGATGGCAACATTTGGGGCACTTTTGAGTGACCAATTTTCTGGGAATGTCACTTCTAATGGTTATGCTCTGGTGGTTCCATCTTTATTTGATTTGACGACTGGTAAATTGTTTGTTTGCAATTCGTATGTATAGATATTGCTATCCAAAATAGCAGCCCATGAAACATCAAAACCGAAGATAGTAGCCGGACTTAATGCAACATATGTGATTGTGAAGCCAACGGTATTGACAGCACTCAATTGAATATCGAAACCTTATGGTAAAGTGTCTCCAAAATCATATTTGATTGGTGCCAATATTACAGTGGGTGTTGATTTGAAGGGCTTGTTGAATTTGACTAATGTTTAGAAGCTTCTTCCCACTCTAATCAATGTATATTAGGATGAATTACTCAACACTTTGCTGTAAAGGATGATAGGGAGTTTATGCCCAATGCAAACTTTAATCAATTCCTGAATCATATTGGGGTTTAATGAATCCCAATACAGACAATGCGCAAACTGATAGGACTAAGTATTTCATCATTAATCCGTTTTTAAATTTAATTATTTATAAACACCTTTAGAAATAATTTCATATATTCACAATTTATTGATTTCTTCAAACTAACTTGTTTTTCTTCATCAACTCATCATAAAAATTGAGGCATTACTCAAATTATTCCTCTGTTATCATTTTATCTTTCCAATAATTGAAGAGTTGCTTCATTTTTATAGGCACTGATTGTCCATTCTCTCGAATATAATATTTGCCAGGAGTATTGGTTATTAATTGATTTGGGCCCTCTTTAATTGTAATCTCAAATCTAATTAATTTAGATAATACATTTTTAGATTGTTCACAACATAACATACATCCTAAAGTAGCACTCCGCACTCATGCAATTTAACATTCACCCATTAATCGCAACCAAACTCCTTGCATTTATGCATTATTGCAGTCATCACTTAATAGGCCTTCTTCTCTTAACAAAAACACCCACTAACCACATAGTTATTAAGATCTTTGTCAAATGAAATTCCTATCAAAATCTTACCTTGTCTACGACTATTCAAAATGCTGCAGATGACCTTCATTATCTATTCTAAATAACTATTACTATAATTAAACCTGTGTTGTTGATCAAAAGATCCACCTTATATGACTTAAATTCTATTTTATCATTCTCCTTCAATGTACATTCCTTACCCAATAAATAGATAGTTTTGTTCCCTTATACTACGTAGTCATTGACACCATCATATGGTACTTGAACTGAAAGTGTAGCACTAATATGAAATGTTGGTTTGATACAGCAATTCATCTCTTGATGTCTGAAATTTTAAAACAAAACTATATTTTTTTAAATGTCTTTTACCTTAGTCACTCAACAATTTCAATATGGTATATTTTTAAGTTCTTCGAAACATACTAATTTTTACTGCTTTCCCAAAATACTCTTAACCCCATGATTTGTAATCGAATCTTTAATTTGTATGAACAAAAACATATAAAATCTAGGAAGAATATTCATTGTTAATGGGTTGAGGTTTTTGGTTTTCTGGAGCAAGGATTAGATTGGAGAAGTATTATATCAAAAATTCAGATTCATCAGAATCGGTACTCATTAATTTTAATAATATAAAATGGATTTAACTCAATCACAAGAACAAGACAAAATAATACAATACTACCTCAACTAATAAATTAAAAAGGTGGCTGATGAAAAGTCATAACTCACTCTTCAATAGGAATAAGAAAGAAATAAAATCAAATTATAAGTTTGGGAATTTCTAAATCAATAATAATAATCCATTTAGTAGTCTCGTCTCAATGCAACACCCTTGAGTCTGATATCTAATAATTCTGCTTAATCTGATCGTTTTGATTTTCAAATGGATAGATCCAAAATGAAATAATAGAGTTAGAAATTTGAATAATCAATGCAATTCTAAAAAGACTACCCTAATCTCCAAATCAATTATCATTCCTTTGTCGATTCCAAAGACTAACAATACAAACAACTGGATTTTCTTATAGCACAATATGAGCAGAAAACAAAGAATTTGCCTAAGAATTATTTCAAAAGACAACAACCTGAAAATATTTCAAATTAACTGTAATAGGATTAAGATGACAATGATGAACAGTATAATCAAGATTTTGAATAGGATGAAGATATCTAAGAAGTAATTGAAGAAGAATTACAAGAATCCTAAATGTAAATACAATAAAAGTCTTAAAAGTTTAATTAATAAGATCATGAGACTGCTTATAGCAATTTAATCAAATTAAGAATCGAGAGATTGGATACTAGTGTTGCAAATGCAGACACTTCCAAACTGAATGATTTAAGTAAGATATCTGAATCATTAAGTGATTTGAAAGTAAGTCCAAATGAAGTTAATAAAATACTTGAAATTAGTAGATAAGTAGATGCTTCCAAATAAACCACGTTCAAACTTGATCAAACTCTATTGCAAACCAAATCCAACGAAGAACCATTAATAGAATCATCTCAACAATCAATGTCCTCAAAATTATTAGAGTTATCATAACAATAATCAAAATTCTATGAAAGATAGAAAATAGATTATCCTTAGATGCCTGTACTTGATTAAGAATTCTCTTATAAGTTAGAAGATCAATCTCAAGTTGCAAAGTCTTTCTATCCGAATAAAGTAGCGGATTAAGTTTCTAGATTTGAGTAATCAAAAATTTAGTAATCTAACTTTGAGCAATCGAAAATATAGAGTTAGAAGAGTTAATTTGATTAAATTTAAAAAAGCAATGCAACCAATGAAATTTAAACTAAGTCTAATCATTAAGAACAATCGTTTCGGGTTTAGGAACAGCAGAAGAATTTAGATTTTCAAGAAAAATCCAATATATCAAATTAGTTGTAATCTAAATTTTAAGATTAATATCAAAACTTTTAGTAATCTCATCAACCTTCTAAATATAGCGAACCTACAAAAAGAATATAATCATCAGAATTTGAGAAATAACAATATTATCAAAATTATACATGCGCTAATTCTAATGCAACTAGATAATATTAGCTTACATCGGCCGTAGAAAATGATCAAAAACCTGAAGAGTTTTAGCAAAGTTAATAAAATAATAATTACCTTGAGGATGAAGAAGAGGCATTTTCAGAAGAAGAGGATCATAATAATAAATTTTACTAATTTAGTATAAAATTTGAAGATTAAGATGATAAAGATAAATAAAAAAAATTTGAAGCATTGAAAAAAAAAAAATTATAGGAAATGGAAGAGCTAAAACAACTTAGATAATAAAGAAATAAAGAATAACAACAACAAGTCGGTTAGAATAATAAAAGAGATCAATCTCCCCTTATGCCTAGTGCTTCATTGAAAAGGATATAATAATAATAGCATTAATAATAATAATAATAATAATAATAATAATAATAATAATAATAATAACAACAATAACAATAGCAATAACAATAACAATAATGGCAATAGTAATAATAACAATAACAATAATGGCAACAGTAATAAAATATACTATAATAATAATAAAATTCATAGAATCAATTTTATTAGCAATAACAACCATAACAAAGAAATTTATTCCAAGATAATTAGCCTTAATAAATTTAAAATTCTCTGCCATAATCTAAACGTAATGCATCTGCTAATAGGAAATCTCCAATGGCAAGATAAAAGGAAACAGCACATTTTTGTTAAGATATAGATAGATCAATATCAGTAGAGAAAACTAAAAAAAATAATAAAACTATTCTAAAAAATGCTATAACTTATGTGTGTTTGGCTGGAGAACCTAACAAAAGGGAGAGAGAAGCAATTCTCTAAAAATTAGATGGAGTTGAAGCCGAACATTTTATTATTTTATTCAAGACATATGGCAGATCGGTAAGAAATATAAAATATTAAGGACTTTCGAGCTTTGTATGGCTATGCTGCAGACTCATAACCTTATTTGATTTTCGGATAAGGAAAATGCCCTCAAGTTTTAACCTCTGAAATGGTAAAAACATTTTTCAAATATGATTCTGGAGCTAAATAATTTAAAGCAATAGATGGAAACAAATAATTTACTATTATGGTTGATGCTGTTTAATTAAGAAAATGAATTGAATTATATAATTTATGGCTAATATATTTTATAATTTTATAAAATGAATATGGACAATCAAGTGATTCGAAGAATGGAACCCCTATAATTATCATTATATTAGTGATTATACCTAATTCATAGGAGAATCTTTAGATTTAATATTTGAAGAAATAGGCCATCTAAGAAATTATATTCAAGTAACTAGAGGATAGTCTTAGAGAAGAGAATTAATATCAATTTAAAAATAATTTTAATCTTAAATTTCTAGAAAGAATGAGATTTAATCAGAATCTTCAGTTATTGACTTTATACTATTGCAACTATAAAATGATCATCCCCATTTATAAATGCGCTAATTAATATTTATCTGTAATTTTAAGGAATAAAATTTAACTTTATGTTACTAAATAATTCTAATGAATATGCTGTCACACTACAAATTTTTGGAGAACCTTATGAATAAAAATTGAATCAAGAGTTGCTTTTATAATATATTTTGGAAATAAATATGGAAAAAAAAAAGATAATTAATGCTTTATCCTACCTTATCGATAGATTTACAATATGTTTAATATTGAAATAATAATAAGTAAACCAGGTGATTAATACTTTCATTTTAAAGAAGAATAATAGATATTTTAATCGCATGTTTAATAATTAAACTATTGCATTGATGTAATTAATTATTGGCTCTTGCCAATTATAAAAGCAAGTTAGAACAATTAATTATTTGAGTGACGTGATATTTCTTGTGAAAAGTCAGCGTCCAATTTTCATCAATTATCACATGTTCTAATTGCCAGAACTTTATTATACTAATAATATCCAAGGACTCTAGAATATGAATATTTAAAAAATATCCCTTCATTATTGGCAGAATATTTAAAATTCGAAAAGAAGTTATATATTCTTAAACTAAATCAAAACGGAATTTATATCACTCTTTGCCGTAATCTAATTTAGTTAGCTTCAAATTAATTTAAAAGCTTGAAAGATTATCATAACATATTTCCCAAGGGGAAATAAAATAATTAATCTCTATTTATATTTTTAATAAATTTTCATTGGTTATTTATATTAGGAATTTCAAAATTAATTTATATTGCAATGCCAATACATGAGAAATTAATTGGAAGATTAAAATTCAAATGTAAGAATTATTACCTTTTAATTTTAATTAATAAAATAAATTATAAAAAAAATATAAATCTTAAAATAATCAGCAAAATGAAAGAAAAACATAACTCATTAAGAGTCAAGAAGATCAGAAAACTATCGCCAAAAAAGCATTAATAATAAGATGATTTAAGTTCTCCAATAATAACTAATGAAGACCTATTATCAAAGCATCAAAGTTTATGTTCAAGTTTACTGTCGAGTCCTGAATCATCAAAATTTGTTCCAGGAAGTATGCTAGAATTCTTACTTAACATAGAAGAAATTCATTTCCCTCTCTCTTATTGATTATTAGTCTTCTTTATTTATACAAACTTAACATAATACGTATTATTAACTTATTTATAAAACAAACAAATCTTCAATAATCATTGTATTGAAAACTACAAACATGACCTGTTCTTAAAGTGATATATAATTAAACGAGATCTCAAAGTTTATAATTCGATCTTTTATTATTTCTCTAGAGTCATATTTTTTATATTAATATTCATTGGTTTCTTGAACATTTCATATCAAATATATAACATTCAATGTAAGAACGAGTTTGGGTCTGGATTAGAATTGAGGGTCGATTCATGTTTATAACCGAAATAATAAATATAAACAACTCTATATTATCAATAAATTCAGATGAACTGACAGTAGTTAGAATTCTCTAAATGGAGCAAGAATTCCAACATACTACCAGGTTCTTCTCGTGCAGAGTTGGGACTTGAGATATCACTTGGGCAATAGATAGGATATTTCTATAACAGAATCTCATTCGTTATTAATGGTGAGCTTAACTAATCATCTATAATTTGAAATTTTTTTGGGGATTATTTTTTTATCTTCCTTCTGATCATCATGTTGTTCTTATCTTTCATTTTATTCAGGATGGTTATATATTTAATTTTTGAGTTTTCCTTATTTGTTTAATTGTTATTATTAATAATGAAATTTATATTAAATTCAATTCCTTTTATAATCAGTTCAATTGTTATTTATAAATATATTTTATTTCAAATATTTAATATTATTATCATCAATTTTTTTGTCATTGATTAAACTTATATAACTTCTTAAATTTAAAAATAATTAAACAAGGTTGGTTATTACTCGAATATATATGAAAATTAATTACTTTAGATATATTATTAAGAGATGAACAAAAAATAGAATAACAGATCATATTAGAATAAAGAATTAAATCTTTAGAAATAATAAGGCACATACCATATTTTTTAATACTGAAAATTATTTTAAATTTTTGCAATTTCTTTTTTGAATCATATTATTATTTTTAAGCCAATCAATAAAAGTATCAATTCTATATATGATTTCTGGTTTTTTTGAAATCAAAATGTATATAATGAAAAATTGAGAGGTTTTTGGGATTTATAAATTTAATCTATGTTTACATGTATTTTATATTATTCTAAACATCCTTTTTTTTACATAATTAATGGAAAGGGTAATTTTTTTTATACATACACTTCTTTTGTTAAATCAGACAATCAAAATAGAAATGTCCCTATATTAGTATATTAATATGATTTAACAATAAAATTAATATTAAAATATAATAAATTTATTCTGTAAAATTGTAAAGTGCTTTACTATATTTATATTTTGGAAATAGTTAATTGATATCGATCCTTCAAAATTATGACATTGATTTAATCTCACTTACAACATTTCTTTTTTGAAATGAATTTAAAGGAAATCTGTTAATAGATTAGAATATAAAATTAATAAAAGCAAATACTTCGTATTACCGCCAAAAAAATGACGTAATATTTAGTATATTTTAAGTTAAATTTAATTTATTTTGTAGATTAAATAAAATAACACATGGAATTCATTATTGTGTCATTATTGCTTATCTCAACATTTGGATGGGTTGTGAAGATTGAAAATCAATGCTCTTGCTCATAATATCGACTTTAAGCTGAATGTGTATCATCTCTAGGTTGTCGATGGAATATAAACTCTAATTTATGCCTTGATATTTAATGTAATTCAATAAAAACTCAAGCTGAATGCCTTTAGTACTCATAAAGTTGTTCATTTAATTACTCTACATTAACTTGCGCAACATTTACTTCATGTAAAAATTTAAGCGGAAATACTGTCTCATAATGTTAAATTTAGAATCCTATGTGTTTATGGGTATCTGGGAATTCTTGCATAGATTACGATTGTCAAAATTTCAATTTGAATAGTTGCCCTTAATTTTGTATTAATACAGGAACTGCTTGTGAAAATTTTCCAACATGCGAAAAATTAAACTAAACCTATTGTTCAATTTATTCTGGAGTTTGCAATTGGAATTCAAACAGATGTCAGAATTATGAATGTTCAAATTTTGTAACTATATCACAATGTCAATTTGTAATGGAATCAGAAAATACTATTAAACCATGTTATTGGAACTAAACTTAGTGTATAAATGCTCCAGATGCAAGTGTTTTTAATGCTAATTAGTGCTTTATTTAAACTGCTGGTAAGTATCATTGGTCAAGTAACAACTCTACAGCTGGAACATGCGAATAATGTTATGGTTCTTCATAAATTTACGAGCCATTGACATAGTATCTTTCAAAAGGTTTGATTCTGAACATTATTGTGGTTGGTATATTCATGGTAATATGAGATATTATCAAAATAAATCATTTAAAATTTATAATTCTATTTCAATATATATATTAAAAAAATCATTTAAATCTTAGAGAATTTTTGAGTCTTTTTGACTTCTTATCAATACCATAAAGAAATTAATAAGATTATTTCGACTTATTTTAAATTTCTGAATTTTCGAAATTATTCTACAGAATTCAAGTATCTAAATTTCATTAATTGATTAATATTTAAGAAATGAAAAAGGCTCACAAATATAAAAAGAAGAATTTAGAAGTTTGCTGCCCTTATAATCCTAATCACTTAATGCCCTTCAGTCAATTATGGTTTCACTTATCCTCTGGCTGCGAAGACAAATAAAAGTTTGGTAATAATCCTTCTTAATTTAGGTCATCTATATTAGATATGTCCTTATAATTCATTGCATATCTTATAAAAGGAGCACTATGAAGATCACATTAAAAATTGCCAAAAGAAGATAGATGTAGATGATGATCTATTAAAACAGATGAGTAATGTAGCTTAGGAGTAATTTGTTGAGGAAAATTAATTTCAGGATTAATTTATATCTAGAAATTGCAATAATAAATACAAGAAATATTATTGAATAAGATGCAATTGTTTTATATTTATCGTTAAACATTAAAAAAATGTATATTTAATCTGTCAAGAAATCTAAAACATGCCATTTTATATAAAAAACCCAATTATTCACTTCATAAAATTAACATAAATCAATCTAAAAATTGGTCCGCTCACTAATTAATTAAATATTCATATGAGTTGGAATACTAATAACCTTGAAGAAGGTGAAGTTAAACCAGTAGATTCCACTCCAGTATGGGGCGGTGAATAAAACGCAGGTGGATAGTAAATAGATGAAGTGAAAAAAACTTAAGAGCCTTAATGGGGGCAGGATGAGAAAAAGGAGAACTAAGAAACTAATGCTTAAAATGGAACGGCAGCAGAATCAGGAGGTTGGGGAAATCAACCACAGCAGCAATCATCATCTTGGGGAGAAACTAAAACAGATAATAATGATAATGCATGGGGATCTGGAACTACAGGGTTTGGAAGCACATCAACAGGAGACAATGGAGGTTCATCTTGGGGAGGTGGTTCGACGTCTTGGGGAAATGGAGGAAGCTCAGATAATAATTTTTAATCAGATCGACCTAGAGGCAGAGGAAGAGGTGACAGAGGAGATCGAGGAGGTGGTTATAGAGGAAGAGGTGATAGAGGTGGAGAAGGTTTTAGAGGCAGAGGAGATGGATTTAGAGGAAGAGGAGATAGAGGAGATCGAGGAGGATTTAGAGGAAGAGGTGATAGAGGAGGAGACAGAGGTGATCGAAGAGGAGGTTTTAGAGGTGGAAGAGATAATGGTGGAAGTTGGGGTGGCAACTCAAGTAATAACAACGGAGGAGGAAATAGTTGGGGAGGTAATGCAGAAGGTAGCTCTTGGGGAAATTCAGACAACAAAGATAATGCTGGAGGTGGTTGGGGTAGTACTTCAACAAATGAATAACCAGCTCAATCAGGTGGATGGGGTAGTACAACTACAGAATAGCCAGCACAATCTGGAGGATGGGGAAATTCTACTGAATAACCAGTTCAATAAGCATCTGAAGGTTGGGGAAGTAAAACAGAATAACCTCCATAATAAGCAGAATCAAATTAAGGTGGATGGGGCACTACTACTGAATAATCAAACTAATAATCTGGTGGTGGTTGGGGATCGACAACTGAATAACCATAAAAATAATCCAACGGATGGGGAAATTCTACTTAAGAATAGCAACCTTAATAATCTGGAGCTGGAGGTTGGGGATCTTCTAATACTGAACAACCTGCATAGTCATCAGGAGGTTGGGGAGCATCTACAACTGAATAACCTGCAACTACTGGAGGTTGGGGTTCTACAACTGAATAGGCAACTACATCAGGAGGATGGGGATCTACTACTGATTAAGCAGCATCTTCAGGTGGAGGCTGGGGAGGTTCATCAGATCAATAAAATGGTAACTCTTGGGGCGGAGGAGGATCTGGAGATGGACAGAGAGGAAGAGGTCGAGGAAGAGGAGATCGTGGAGATAGAGGAGGTTTCAGAGGTCGAGGAGATGGTTTTAGAGGAAGAGGAGACAGAGGTGGAGAAGGTTTTAGAGGTAGAGGAGATGGATTTAGAGGAAGAGGAGACAGAGGAGATCGAGGAGGATTTAGAGGAAGAGGTGATAGAGGAGACAGAGGAGATAGAAGAGGTGGATTTAGAGGAGGAAGGGATAATGATAATTCTGGCAATGGTGGAAGCTGGGGTGGATCATCAAATGATTAAGGTGGTGGAGGATGGGGATCTTCAACAACTGATTAACCTGCATCTAATGGAGGTTGGGGATCTACTGCAACTGAATAACCTTAATCAAATGGAGGTTGGGGATCTACTGCTACTGAACAACCAGCTTAAACTGGAGGTTGGGGATCTACAGCTACTGAAAAACCTGCATAGAATGGTGGTTGGGGATCTACAGCAACTGAATAACCATAATAGAGTGGAGGTTGGGGATCTACAACAACTGAATAACCATAAGCAAGTGGAGGTTGGGGATCTACTGCTACTGAATAACCAGCTTAAAATGGAGGATGGGGATCTACTACTACTGAATAACCAGCATAAAATGGAGGATGGGGATCTACTGCTACTGAATAACCAGCATAAACAGGTGGTTGGGGAAGCTCTGATGCTCCATAATAATCTAATGGTGGTTGGGGAAGTAGTAATAACGATTAACAATAATCTAATGGATGGGGCTCCAGTAATCAATAATCAAATGGAAATGGCGAAAGAGGAAGAGGTCGCGGCAGAGGAAGAGGTCGAGGTGGTGATAGAGGTGGTGATAGAGGCGGAGATAGAGGATTTGATCGAGGATTTGATAGAAATAATAATAACAATTACAACAACAATAACAACAACCACAACAACAACAATAACAACAATCATAATAACAATAACAATACTGAAAATGGTGGAGGAGATTTACCAACTGCTAAAAGAATCAAACCTAACCCTGTAATAATTACAATATCAGATGATGAAAACGGAAAGGCATCTCCTCATTTCAGTGAGGATGAATAAGAAAAAGTAAATATAATTAATGAGGCATTGAAATAAACTGTTGATGCAAAATAGGTTTCATTGTAACTACCAGTATTGGATACTAAATTTTCACCTCTTTTTAATCCTGAGCCTGATCCAGATAGTTTAAAAACTGATAATTTATGTCACCTTAAGGGAGGTCTTTATCCTCATGAATAACATAAAAAGGTGAAGTTTGTATACACAGGAGGAATAAAGGTCGATTCAGATAGACAACCAGTTGTTAATTTAGTTACTTTTGATAATGATTTAGAATTTATTGAATCTTGTCCTAAAGTTGATTTAGCTGAAAAATAAGGAATAGAAACTGTGTTTTTGAGTCCATTGATAAATGAATATAGAATTCTGAAAAATGAATTGGTGTAATTAAGATAAGAAGAGAGAAGAACATAAATTAGGAGATAATATATGGGAATAGTGGAAGGAATTGATAAAGAAAATTAAGATTTAATATGTTAAGTTGGATTGGCATTGTTAAAAGAATAGAAAGCAATAAGATTAAAATATGGATTTCTATTTGCTGAATTAACACTCTTTCACATTAAATAGATATTTGGAAATATGGATCAAGTAGAACATTAATCTTTGCAAGCAAGAGAAAAAGAATTGAGACCATCAAATGTAGTTTTTTCATAGTTTCCATTACTTAGAAATGGTTGAATGATGTGCCAAAATTGAAATGCAGAAGAAGAAAAGAGTTGTTATGATATATAAAATTAATATTATAATTACAAATTTGAATTAAATGGTGTGTGTTGACATTCTGAAATAATATCATCCTGAACAGTAAGGAAAGGTTTACATGAAGTAAGATCGATACTTAAAGAAACGTGTCTTATATTTGGATGGAAATATGAATACAGTTGCCTAGATTACAATACCTGTCAATTTGAGATAAAATTATGTAATTATTCCCACCTATATAAGCTTCACTTTTAAATTTAAGTTCCTTCCACAGGTGTGTTTATAATTTCTATAAACTATTAAAATAAGGGGTAAAATTTCAAAGTCTCAATTAGCAATGTAATTTGAATTATTTTTTAAAATAGTTATTTAAATCAGTTTCATACCCTCATGAAAATTAGATAAATCAACCCTGTGAAGGATTACCAAATTGGGGTACAATTGTAGTGGACTTGAAAAGCTTTTATAGTTTTACAGAAATTACTTAATTAAATATTAGTGGAAATATTGCTGTTAAAAATATATATAATACAAATGAAGATTAATTGCTGCCAACCGATTGTCAATTAAATAGTGTGCATCGAGCTTTTATTAAACATGTGAAACCAAAATTAGCACCTTTGAAAGGCATTTTGAAAGCAAAAGGGAAAAAGCAAGAATAGGCTCCTTTGGAAGAAATCCCTTTACCACAAGAAAGAGTATCTCCTATGAAATAGGAGATAAGAGAACCCATAATAGAAGAATAGGAAGCCAAAGTAAAAAGCAAACCTTAATCAATAATGAAATTAAAACATATACATGGTTATACTCCAAAACATTAAGCAAATGTAATATTTTTAGATGATAATTATTTTGCCTTTCCTTGTGATAAAACAATTGTAATTATGTCAGAAAAAGAATAAAAGTTTTGTTCAGCTACAAGTGAAATATAATCAATAACAAAATATAAAAACGAATTGATAGCTGCTTGTGACTCTGAGATCTTAACTTTTGATTATACTACATGTTCAATACTGAACCATTATAAATTAGAAGGATACAAAGCTAAATTTATATAAAATTGGGATGACACATTAATTGTCTTAGCAAATGATGAAAAGCATTAAATGTTATTATTGATTAGGAATGAAACTGTTGTTATTAAATAAGCTTCGCCGTTTCATATCTCGACATTTAAAATACAAGACAAAGATAATTTCATATCAGTAGGTAAGGAGAATATTCGGTACTGGCACATAAAAGATACTTGTCTGCAAGGCCATTCTCCATATTTGGGATAGTATGCTAGAGAAACTGATTTTACAGACGTATTAATACAGGATAAGAGAGTTTTGGGATGTTGTAAAAGAGGTCGAGTTTTTCAGTTTATAGAAAAGGAACTAACTGGTGTCTGGTAGATTTCAGAAACGCCTATAACTACAATGAACAAATTTACATCTTTTGTGGTCACAACTCATAAAGATGGGATCAAATTTTGGAAGCAAGATTTTAGTGAACTTGTCAGAGATATTAAATGTGAAGTTGAAGTAATTGGTTGTGATAGTCGATAAAAACTAGTATGTGCATTTAGAGATAAATCAATTGGAATTGTAGATGATAAAACTATTAAATATTTGGTGCATTCTCATCAATAGAATATATTGGATCTGATTGTTGTTTAAGATAAAATAGTTTCATCTGCAATGGATCATGAAATTAAAATATGGAACAAAAACCTATCATTAGAATATTAATTTAGATGTCTCGATGGTTTGGCATCATCCTTATGTGGGTTATCAACTAAGCCTTAATTTATAGCTGGGTTTGATAATGGTTACATTAGAGTTTTTGAATTACAAACTTACACAGTCATCTTAGAAATAGATACAAAACATCCTATTCTAGCTATGAGTGGAAATTTGAATGATACTTTATTTTTAATAACCCATGAAAATGAGACACTTATTTTAAATAATAAATTACTAATTATCAAACAACATCAACATCAAATTAAGTACAATTAAAATAACCAATAAATTGCTTTCAATGGGTTTTTTAATGAATATTATTATATAGCAAGTAGTTCTCATATTAAATTATATTCTTGCGATCATTTAGCAGAAAAATATCATTTGAATATACCGATCAGTGCCATTGATTGTAATGATGAACATCTACATATTGTGAGCAATGGTAACATCAAGAGATTTGATAAACAGTTAAATTTTCTTTAAGAGTTAATATCCAATAGTGTTTATATTAAGAGTTGCAATAATTATGTTTTCAATGCAAATAATAAAGATTAATTGGTTGTATATGACTATTTATTTACAAGTGATGAAACAGGCAACCCCATCAAATAAGTTTACTAATAGAAAGTCAAAAAATTAGTAATTTCATCTTAAATTATCAGCTTTGTTGATGATTTCATCTTTATCTGGGATACAAATGGTTTACACTAAACTTTGTTAACTCATCCAATTGATAAACCATATATCAATTAATTAATAGATGTCATCTAAGAATCAATGAGTCCACATAAACAAAAATTAGAAAAAGAGAAAACAATAAAATAAGGGAAGGAAAATAAAAAGATTAATTAATAAAAATAATAATAAAATTAATAGTAATAATAATAATAATAGTAATAATAATAGTAATAATAATAATAATAAGTAAGTCCAAAATCATCTCCTAAAGCTGTTCTTCCAAATCAACATTTAAATATTTAAAATTAAAATAAATAACTAATAATAGATGAATAACAATTACCAAAAATAAAAATTAAGAAAGTTATGGGGTATAGATTTAGTGATGCATACATATAATAATTTCCATGGAATAAGGAAGAATAATTTTATGTTTTGCCATCAGAATAATTTATTTCTATCAATTATTATGCGCAGCAAAAGTAGCAGCTCATTTTGACAACATAGATCTAGGCCATACATTATAGTATAAAAGGAATAATTGTATTACTTAAATAACAAGTTCTAGTATTTGATTTAAAAATGGACTTAATAAAATAATTTGATTATGCCGGATAATTAGCATGTTCCACAGTATCTCCATGCGGGAATTATTTACTAATGATAAATGAAAATAGAATTTAAATATATATCTTAAGTAGTGGTAAAATACTGACTCAAACAATAATACAATATGGAAATGGTAATATTTATACAGATTGGTGTCATGACCAAGATTTGATGTTTGTGACTCTGAGTGGAATCCAAAATTAATTATGGAGAGTTAACCAAAAGGCATTATTAGAATACTGTGATTTAGATATACCACCTACTTACTATTAAAGTAGTGGATATTATAAGTAGTCATTGGTAGTTTCATAAGGACAAAAAGTTCATCACATTGATATCAAATAGGCTCGCACTTTATTAACAGTTGAAAATGCCACTTCTCAAGATATTACTTAAGTAATCTGCACTAAAGAATACGTTCTATTGTTCACAAATTCGCCGAACATCTATATTTATACATATCAATTTAATGATAAACACATTATATCTTTAGATAGTATTCCATTAGGTTATTCGAACATGTTTTAACAGGATATAATAGTGGCAACTAGATCTTAGATCTGGTTTGTGGATATTCAATCAAGAACTACAGTTAAAATTGAACCAAATATTCCATTAGAACATAAGATCCTCTGCACTCATTAGGATATTCTTGGTACATCAGAAGGAACAATAATGATTAACAATGATGAAATATTAGTACCAAAGAGATAGTGCTTACAAATTTCACATTATAAAAATTGCATAATAGCTGGATATTCAGATGGATATTGCAGAATTTTCAAAGATTTTTAATTGATTGGTCAAATCTAAGTAGGAAAGAGTGTGACTGCTTTAGTGGCAAATTCAAAAAATTATTTTGTTGTTGGAAATGAATTAGGTTAATTGTTTTATTGTACTGGTTTGAATGAAATTAAAATGCATGAAATAGTTAAAGAGAGAGGAGATTTCGCAATTATTTCCATTGATATGAAAGATAAGTTAATTGCTTATAGTACTGGAAATTAAAAGGTTTCCATCTTGCATTATAAAGAGAAAGAGGAGTTTATCATTAAAAAAGCCACCAATGTAGTTGATGATACTCCAGAATATTATTTAATGGATAGTTATAGGTTTAGATCAATTGAATAGTGCTAAATCTAGTTTAGTAAGACTAATCAAGAACAAATAATAATGTTGTGTTCCTAAATTGTGATCAGAAATTACATTGAACATTTAAATATCATCACTATAGAATGTAATGGTATTTCGTTTATGCAATTTAATTAATATTTAATAGTTGGTCGAAAAGATGGTACTGTTAGTATGTATGACAATGAAATAGAATTGGATAAAGCCTAGATATCCTAGTTTCCTATTCATATGATGCAAAATGATAAAGTTGCATATGGAAACATGATAAGTGAATTAATATAATGATCTATATACTTCAATGATTAATTAATTCAACATCATTTTATATTAACACTTTGTCGAACTCTGACTACATATCTTGTCCAGGTAAAGTTGAGGGACTTTTCCATAATGATGCATGTACGATTACGATTAAACATCCAAGACCCACATAAGTCAATATTTGAGGACCCGAAATAGCCAAAATAAGTAAGATATTAACTAAATTTAATGCTATTCATGTTACATAGTAGTAAAAGTATCATTTTTTTATCTTGAGTATTGACGAATCCTAAATCAGGTAGGAAATCTAAAATAGCACTTTATTTCATAACATATGCCCATCTTCAATTAATAACACAATAATACCCTAAGTAACTAAGAAAGAGTGTTAACAAAACCGCGAAGTTTGTGAGTCTAAATTATTAATTTTAGCATACCCTCCAATTGCAATTGCCACTACAACCAATTGAGTATATCGAACACCATAAAGGGAAAAGTTCTCTTGTATTCTCACAGATAAGGAATCACTCTTAGGCAAATTGTATGCAGACAAATCTAATATTCCTGGTTGTGATTGCATTAAATTAAATCAATTTTTTTATTTATTTTATAAATATTACAACAATCCGTGTTTCCATGTACCAATGATATGAGTTTGTATCGTTACTTTGCGTAATGATTGTTGAGCAACTTCTGTTGGAGTGCAAACAAATAATCTGGTTTTGAAATTAACAAAATCCTTGTTCTAGTCTAAAAGATTCGTAGCTATAAGGCCTGGAGTGACCAGTCTAACATCAATTTTTGGTGATAGTTCAATTGCTAAAGATCTAGCTAAATTTCCAATGTAAGCCTTTGTGGAAGATTAGATGGCACAACCACTATGTGGCCTTTCTCCAGTTTCTGACCCAACAAATACAATTAAGGATTTTTTGCTTCTCTATTTCATATGTGGAACTAACATTTGACTTAAATAGGTGCAAGCATTAACATTAACATTTATCAAGGTACTAGTTTTTTATTCATGTTCAAATGGGTGCATTTCAAAAGTTCCAACATTGTTTATCAAAATTGCAATTTCTCCTATTCTGATTAACTTTTGATGCAATTCTTTGTATGAAGATTCACTAGTGGTATCAAAATCAAATTAAATTGTTTCCATCTACACATTATATTCTTATTGGATCTGCTATTTAGTTTAGTCCAATTTATCTTGGGTTCTACCTACAATTATTATATTGTATCCCATTTTTGCTAACTCTATAGCATATGCTTTTCCAAGACCATCACCTCCTCCTGTCACTATTGCCCATCCATTTCCATATTATCTTTGTAAATTTGACTTCCATAATAAATGAACAGCTATGGATTGGACCATTGGTAATATTGTCTAAGCAAACCTGTAAGTTCCATCTAATTAAATTAGGTATATTTACATAGCCAAATTAATTTCTAAGGTATTCCTGATTGAAATATTCTTAGTGCTTTAACTTTCTCTATATACTTTGAAACCAATTAAAATTACATCAATATTAATATTAATGAAAACTAATTCCGAAATTAAGTCCATCTACGACATTGTCAAAGGATTAAACTTTTCTAATAAACAAGCCTTAGCTCTGAAAAAAGAAGTTCTGTAGCAATTAGAATAGAAATTCAGAAAAACAATTGAATTTAGAATCAAGTCTCAATCAATGCATGCAATTCACTCAATTCATACAGGTTCTGTCTCAACATAAAGACACAGACAACTATCCTTCAAAATTACTCGATAAAAACCATAAATGCTATTTAGAAATTCATCATTAGTATCTCTATTAAAAAAACCTAACAATATGTGAATTCATACTTCTTGATATGTTAATTTTTGACTATTGAATTAAATAATATTAATTACTCTAACTGAATAAGTTACTCAATATTATATAGAGGGGATTAAACTTAAATACATACTATTTTAAATAAAAGTTATATTATATCTAAAATTGTGAGTATAATTCTTATTTATATTGGTTGTTTTAAGAAATCATATTTACAATTTGAGCTTCTATTTAGATAAAATAATTAATGATACTTCAATTAATTATTGAAAAATTATAGATTTTTATTATTGATTTGTTTCATTCTATGGATTAGATAATATCTTAATCATAGGAAATTACTTTCATCTTTATATTTAATTTAATCTAAATTTTATCTAAATGAAATTCTAGATACATAATACTAGCTTATCCAATGTAAAAAAATATTTTTTATATTTAATTGAGTATTATTTTCCATTAAAAAGTGATTATAAATTATAGGTTAGACTGACCGTCCAAATAGAATTATTAAAATGAAGAATCTAATCAGCTAATCTTGCCAAGATCTTTTTTATTAATTAAACCAATACAATTATGAAATGAGTAATCTTTTTAATTATATTTATTTTGAATTAATATTTATAATTTATTATATTTTAAATAAAAAACCAAAGGCTTAATTACTTTTTCACTATTTTATAGTATAAGAGTTAATAGATTTATGACATTTTTATAAAACTTCATCTACATACTCTTATCTATCATTATAGATAAAATTTAATAGCTACATTTTAAAATCATTAAGGATATAAATTTTGATTTTGTTGATAATTATTACATTTATTGAAATATTTTTAAAATTTATACCAGCAAAAAATATCAAACAATAGTATAAAAAATATTAATAATTTTAAGAAATGAGTCTTTTTGTGAGTTATTTAAAATAGATAGATTTTTTTGGAGCTCCATTAGTTTAGCAAATCGATAAAGAACAATCTATTTATAAAAGTATATTAGGTGGAGTAATGACATTGCTAATTTGTTCAGCTAGTCTTTCTTATGCCATCTGGGTTATTTATTTATGGTAGATAAACCAATTTAGCCCTAAGATTTCAAGTTCTGTCTATGTTTCAGACTTTAGATTATTGGATATCAACTACGATGTCATCAAAATTTGTTATTATAAATATGAGGAAAACCTAATTGATCCCTTTGAAGCGAAAGTGCTTCTTCCTTTAGTAATTTATACAGAAAACTACACATTTACTGAAACGACATTGTTAGACATATCCAATAAAACAACATATTACGGAAATAGATTTGTAATTCCACAAATGAGATTAGGATTCACAGATATAAACGATTAATTGATAACTACGTCTGAAATGTATATCTAAATAGTTAAGTGTACACCTGAGTATTTAAAGGATGGAGAGGAATGTGCAACAGAGGAAATCAGTAATTAATTTTTCGATCAAGCACAAAATATTATTATAATGTAAGTTTCATACAAATAGTTAAATTCCAAAGATGGATCAATTTAGTCAAGTATTTAAGAATTTTTTGTTTAAATAGAAAAACCTAATTGTTATTCTTTGAATACATTCTTACAAAGTAGTTTTTATGAAGTAAAAGATTCATTTCTTTTTGGGTCTCCAAAATATTTCGAATTTGTTAATGGTGCCTTAATTTAGCCATAAACAAATTCAGTTTAATATTGTCAATAAGCATTTGGGGATGAAACATATGCATCTCTTTATGTAGTAATGAAAGGGAATTAAGTTAAAACTATTTTTGAATATCCAAATGCAGGTGACCTACTTGCTAATATTGGGTCGATTGTTTCTATCTTATTCATGTTTAGACATTTAATAGTGATATTCAATTCATATTACTTAAACGAAAAAATAGTGCATGACTTAATAACCTACTATTATCCACAATTTCCTTAGATCAAGATATACAAAAATTGGAAAAGAGATATAGTTAAGGTGATACTTCATAATTAACAACTGGATTTAAATGAATATTTAAGGTTCTATTAGAACATCAAATAAAAAATAGAGCAAAAACTAACTTTTGTAAATATGGTCTATGAGATATCTAGAATTTATATATTAATTAGAGCAGATAAGTTGTAACATGAGATTAAAAAATGCCATGCAGTAGGTTTGAAACTTGATCATCTCAAATTGTCTAGTGTTGTAATTGATCCATTTTCTAAATCGAGTTGTTCTTCTAGAGATATAGAGGAACAAACTCTCAATGATGAAGATATCGGAATTCTTTCTTTGTAAGAGCGATAAATTTAGTCAAAAGTTTAGATTCCGGATGAGGAGGCTGATTTGATCAACTTTTACGATATAAATAAAGTTAAATTTTGATATTATTATAATCTAATAAAATCAAATTAAACGGATTATTGATTTTCCTGTTCATGTATAATTTTGTTATTACTTAATATGATTTGAAGTCATAGAATATGCTAAGGAAACATTTTCAACATACTGAAATAACATAAGAAAATAGGTTAATAATTTATTGAAAATAAATTTATTATATAAGTAAATGTAAAAACTTACTGGTAGTCCTCATTTCAAACTTAATAGATTGAGACTATTTTCAATGGCATGCTGATAGAGGGTAAAGAAAAGATTTGGGAACTGCTTGCTCCAGTAATCAAAGCAAGTTTCATCAGTTGGTCCTAAAAGTAATTTACAATCCTCTGTGAGTTAATGGTAATGATTCTTTGTATTTCGGATTAGCTATCTTAAAATATTATATTACTCTAATTAGTTATTAGGCTTAGGTTTGATCATATCCTCTAATTTAGCATTTGAGTATCATTCCGCATCGAGTACCCCAATTGTCTTTAAAAACAGAATTTGCTATGAATCTGTCATGAATCGAAACTTGATCGTTTGGTAAAGGGTATGTTTCAACATAGTCACTAAATTCGCAAATAAAAGATAGTTTCTTTTATTTGGTCCAGAAGTAAGGATGTGTAAAAATACATTAAGGATTACCGATTGATTGATCTAACAAAAGTTTCATCAATAAATCCTTAGTTTCCAATTCTTTGATATTAAATTTCTTGAATCTTTCCATTAGAAATTTCTAATCAATAGCTTATCTAAAATTATTAAGAGTATTACTTCTATGAGAAATCATCCCCTTTAGATAGTAAGAAATAAAAAATCAGGCCCACCTATTATAACATTGAATAATTTATTTTCTTAATAACTTTTTTATCATTAGGATTTTCTTAGTAGTAATCTGTCAAAGTCGATAGTCCAAAATCAGCTAATTTTATTTTTAAATCCTAACTGAATAAAACATTATCTGGAGTTATCCCATGATGCTAGGTATTATTTTCCAATAAGGTCTGTAAAGCATTCAATAGATCAAGGAAGATTTCCTTATAAAATTCTGGATTTTAAAGATTTTACTTAATATTTAATTTTTACGCTTCATTCAATTTTTAACAAGATTCATATTTAATAAATTCTCTAAGATTTATCATACATTTCTCCATAGCCAAATACAGACAATCATTTCTTTTTTCAAAGAAAAAGAGTTTATTTATTTAAGGAGAATTTAAAAGCATTTATTTAGATATTGACTCTTCAAGCAACTTCTCTAAATATTTATTTTGCAGATTCTTAAGATTAATTTCTTTGACTGCTACCATTTTTCCCTGGAATATGCCTTCATATACACAAGTTCCATTCATTCCAATTCCCAGAATTCGTTCTTTGTTTATTTAAATTTCCTTAGACTTTATGTATATATATTACACTTGGGGTTCCTTTACTATGACAACCTCTTTGGGCTTTTATTTTTTTTTAGATGACAGTAAAGGAATATAAGCAATCACCATTGATAACAATAATATGGATAAAAACTGATTAGTGTAATTTTCAACGACCTAACATTATTCTACTTTTTCAGATGTCTTTTCCTATTAATATATAACCAGTTAAGTTTAAAATTTGATCTTGTAGAATTAATTCAAGCATTGCTTAAATTGAGTATCTTTATAGACTCCCAAAGCATGAGGATCGGAATTAGAATCAAATTAACATTGTCCCTCTAGTTCACATTGATATTGATTATTAACTATAGACATTACTGTTAAACCAGTGCTCTTAGTGTGATCTTTAGAAAATAAGATGGAGTAGATCCCTTAGTCTGGTGTGTACTCGAATATTTCAAATACTTCATCATCCAAATAGAGATCAAGAGTTTTATTAGCCCATTGAACTTAAATTCCAGTGTTGGTTTTGTAAATTATAGTAGAATTAGAATATTTTGCTTAAGTTAAATCTCCACGTAAGTATTTGAGTAAAAAATTAATTTATATTCTAGAATTATGTTGTTGAGAGTCTTCATACTCCAAATCTGAAATAAACTTTTATTTAACATGAATTAGCACTCCCTTTTCATACATTTTCGGTTAACTCAAGAGCTGCTAAATGTCATATTGAGTCAACTCTTTTATATTTCCTGTGGCAATATCTAAAAAATACATTAACTCATTATTGTAGGTCAATGAGTTATGAAACATATTGCAAGTCTTAAACAGAATATCTAAATCTTCGGAAGGTATTTCCTAATTTAAAGAATCTCGTTACATAGAATCCTTCATCGTAAAATAGAAATGAACCATCCTTGTATGGTTTCATAAAGTAAGTTCCATTCTGGATACCATCTGATTAGAGCGATATGCCCAGTTCTGATCTCCATCTTATTTGTTGATACTTTAAGTCATATTTGTAAATCAGTCCATTCTTAGTCACAATCTAATGTATTACATTTATGATACTAACAACTTATCTTATAGCAAAGTGTCGTATTTACTATACAATTTAACGTCACCAGAGATGACAATTCCCAGGCACAAGAAGAAAACTAGCATAAAAATATATATATTATAAAATAATAATGTTTATTCATGCACATTTCATACCTCCAACTTGCTCAATTACTACGTCAATTTCATCTCCCGTCTCCATTCCAATCTAATATATATCATATAACTCTAACATCAGCAGGGGTTTGAGTCTCCAAAATTCTTTCGCCGTCAAATAGGAATCTCACATTTTAGATTTGAAGCTAAAAAAGTTAGTTCATAATTACATTTTGTCTTGAGCAATAAGCATCCATTAATTTCTTGAATTGGGTTTGTTTCTTGATTTTGAAGAAAACCTCCTCTCCATCTTGAGACTTAACTTTTAAGTTCAAATATTCAGCTTATGATTGATCTGCCATTTTTTTTAATTTAATTAATTATTTATACAATCTCACTCATTTTTGGTAATATTCTAATATAAATTAAAAGCTTTTAATATTAAACATAAACAATAAACAAAAAATCTGTTATCATAAGAGCTTTCATCATTTCATTGTCGAGTCAATCAAAATTCTTAAGATTTATTAAAGATTATTAATCTATTTGCGATTTGGGGATCCCTATAAGACTTTATAAATTATATTACTTCATCATTTTCTTTTATATGAAATTACTGGACCTTATCATTAAAACTTTGCATTTCTTCAAAGACTTCCTTAAAAATAGCATTCCTTTCATTATTTACACAGATAAAGGCTTCAAATAATTGAAAATAACACTCTAAGGAAATAATAAATAAAAATTCATACATTTAAATATGTAATTTATAACAGGTGTATTGATTATCCACAGATTAAACAAATGGTTCACCTATCCCATTGTGTAATTGTGTACTACGCAGTCATAATTCATAGGTTAAGAGCTCCAAACGATAGAATCATCATTTGTACTTTGCGTCATAGTCTCGCAATTATCTGCTAGAATACATAAACAACAAAAGTTTACTGTTTTCCATCATATTAAAGAGTCTCTTCGGACTTAAACTGAAATCATCAATCATTATTAGGATGAAATGAGATTGTTAAGTTGTCTTTAAAATTGGATTCCCTCCAAAGCAATCAAATGTAAATTAAGAATTCATTATAAAACCTTCAAATGTTTCAGTTTCTTAAACATAGGTTTTTCTTTTTTGTTACTTTTCCATTTTGCCAATTTTCTAATCAAATTATGATAAAAATTAAATACATTCAAATAATCTTCCTCAGAATCTGCATGTACCCCTCCACTTCTCATTCTTCTTAAGCTCATTTTTTTAAAACTAAATTTTTTGTTTATTTCTTTTTATTTATTTATTTAAAAACACAATCATTTAAGCATATAAATATTTAATCAGCTTAAATATTATTATATACAACCATTACAATAGTAATTTAGACTCCATAAGGCTAATCCTTATAGAAGGACTAAAATTATGACAGTTTTATTTTTTATTTGAACATAATATTGTTAATTTAATCTATCAAGTAGTACAAAGACAAGTGCTCAAATATCTTATCTTATTTTGCTACATTGATATCACTTAATTTAAGAGGAATTTTAGGATCTAAATCTTAATCAAAAATGGTATAAATTCAATAAATTTTTAAAATTGTCTTAAAAAACTTTAACAGATTTGAAATAACTTAAATTAAGTAATTAATAAAGCTTAAAAGGAGAATTTTGATATTGGATAATTGAATAATTATGGTGTTAATTGCATAATGAACTCTTTTTGTTTGGAAAAAATTAAAAGCTTTAGAAAAGTTTCAGAATTGAAGATTATAAAATATAGAAATTTAAATATATGATTTTACATTTAAATAAATTAATATACTTTATTAAATTAATTCATAAATAGAAATTTGAATTTTCTCTATTTCTTTATATTATTGGTTAGCTTCCGCTGATGCTAGAATTAATAAGGCTCTTTTGTTATTACAACCTAAAGATAGGAATTTCTAGTTCGGTGTTGTCATCGTTTTTGTTTTATAACTTTTTAATTTTAGATAATTCTAAATTTTGCGATGATCTGGCTTATCTCTTCATGTAATTGAGTAGAGTGTCTTTAGAAACCTTCATTGTGAACATTAATAAATCAAGAATAAACATAGATAGTACAGATAAAGCAAGACTTAAATAAAATGCGGGACTGGAAAATAACATCCTAGTAGTACCATAGATTGATGATTGAGGAATAATGTTTGAAACCCACATATATGCAAAATAGGTGCCTAAACTTGTCCCAAGATAAGCAACCCAAGTAATTATAGTCCAAAATTAAGTGTTCAAGGCTAATTTCAAAGTGACAAGCTGATGATAAAGATTTAGTTTACAATCATGATGGCAGTTGACATTGACATGCTGAAAAACCAAAAGTCATTGTTAAGACCAGTGTGTTTGATAAAGGTTGTATCATTTAATTCAAAGTAGAAAGAGAAAAAGCATGCTAGTCCTTAAAAGACGCCAATAAAAAACCATTTAAAGAATCTAAATAATAAGGATGGATTACTTCTCACTTGTGAATACTGTATTCCTTTGTCCAATATAATAGAGAAGGGGGTAATTTTGCCTAAGAATATCATTTTCCTATTCCCCTTCTTTGATTCTTCTACTGCCCAAAAGAGTTTATTTTCTTTTCTAAGTATAAAACACGTCCTCATCAAAGATTGCTCTTATCACAACAGGCAAGAAGGTGAATACTGTATTGTAGAATGACACAAAGCTATTTTAAAAAGATAAAGACTTACAATTAATCGAAAACACTAGTTCCAGTATGTCCACAAAAGAAGGCAAAATAAAATTAAGGAATAGTGAAAATAATGTTTTTGTAGAAGAAGTACAAGATCATTTCAGAAATACGTATATAATTCTACCTACCGTGATATAACACTAATTTCCAAAGACATTTGAATTATCCAATAGCATAATTACTAGCTTAGACTGCCCTCATTCCTTCTTATCCATAAATACCAATTCCAATGTGTGCTTCCTAAATCATATTAACATCGTTAGCTCCATCTCCCACTGCTAATGTAATTTTGCCAAGCGAATTTTTAACTAATCTAACCATGTCAGCCTTTTACTTTGGAGTCACTCTACAGCAAATCACTGTATGTAAAAATGGTACTAGAGTAATTAAGTAGTTGATTAATTTCTCGTCGTCAATTAGTGTTGCTAATACTATACCTTCAATGATGATAGCTCTTTTCGTTGACGATTTATTAATAATGTGGTCTGCTACTTCATTAAATATTTTAATTGATTCACATCCAGGAGTTAAGAAAAATACATCCATGTTATCTTGCAATAGATTACAGGATCTTCCAATATTTTCTGCTGTTTCTAATTTGTCTCCAGTCAGCATCCAAACATTGATATTGGCTTTTAAGAAATCAGCTAAGGTTTCTGGAACATCTTCCTATAATTTATCTTCTACTGCTGTTGCCCCTATAAGAGTTAAATTCTTTTCAATTTGATTGATGAGATCATCTTACAATTTTTCTGTTTCTCCACTTCCTAAAGCATCATTCATTGCTTTTGAAAATTGATTAAATTATTCCTCACTAAGTACTCTCATGGCTAAACATAAAGTTCTAAGTCCTTTTCTTGAAAACATGTCTAATTTTTGATCAATTCCATCCAAATATTTTTAATTTGGAGACAACCTAGCCTTGATGATTGCATCTGCTCCCTTAGTATAGAGTTTAATAACTCCATTGTGTCTGACGATAACAGACATTCGCTTTCTATCGCTGTTAAATTCAAATGAAAACAAGAGTTCAACTTTTTCAATCTCACCAAGAACATCAATTTCCATAATGCCCATAGTTATACCTTTATACACAACATTGAGTCTTCTGGCAGCATCAACCAAGGCAATCTCGTCTGGAGAAGGACCTTAATAGATGAATGATTTGTCTTCTTGTTATTCCAAAACACATTCATGACATGTGGCTAAAAGCATCAAATTTTCTCTCACTAAATCTCCTTAATTGCGAATGATATATTTGTCAAACATCAAATCTATGTTGGGATTCTTTGAAGGGTCTGTTTCTTTTATGACTTATTGGATTTTATCCCCTGAAAATGCATATTCAATTCCAGCCTTCTCATTCACTAAAGTTGATCTTCTTCTATGTAAGGTACTTTGTCTTCTTAGAATTTAATTCCCAACAAAAGTAGTTATTTCCTATTTGTTAAACATACTTAGATCACCGTATATGGTTTCTCCACAGACACATAATTTGAATTCCATTTTATTACAAGTTAAAGTTCCTGTTTTGTCAGAAAATACATATTGTACTTGGCCTAGTTCCTCATTAATAGTCGTGCTAAAGACCTTGACGTACTTATCATTCTCAGCAGAATACATCTCTGCATCCTTCTACATAAAAAATCCTTGGCCGACCTTAACAAATTCTAAAGAGACGATTAAACTTATGGGAATTAATGTATTTAGGAGTAAAAAGTAAGCAGCGAAAGTCATTAAAGATGCCAAAGCACAATTGGGAATGTCTGGATCATAGACTTTATCTTCATCATTGTAGGATTCGTACCCAGCAAAGTTTCTACTAAAATAACTGAAGTTTTGACTTTAGATTTGACAATTGATACCATATACTATGGCCAAGACAATGCAAATGACAGTTTGCATAATCAAAATGTATATGATTCTTAGGTTGATGAGTCTGTCTATGTTACTAACTTTATTCTTTTGACCTTCAGAATTTCTCATAACTTTGGTGTCAATTCCAGTGTAAACAACAACTCCGATTGCTTATTTGACATTTTTTAATTTGGATCCTCTTAATAAGAAATTTTTATGGGTGATTTAGATCTTTTTGGAATCCAAGTATAAAGTACCATCAAATGTATAAAGAAGTGGATTTGGATTTATACATTCGATGATTCCTGATCTACATTCAGTTGTTTAAGTTTCTTTGATTGCCTATTTGGGTTTGAGATTCTTTTCTCCGTCAAGAGAAGAGGTTTCTATGAAGCAAATGCCATCTTAGGATGTCTATAAAACAACGATGTCTGCTGAGATGATTTCTAATTCATCAATTCTGATAATATCTCCGATGAGCACATCCTTCCATGTTTTTTTAACGAACCCTTTTTCTGTCCATATCGTTGCAGGCGAAGAATTCAATTCATTATCGCTTATATGCTTTTGATAATCCTCATATCCGTCCCTTAACATTGATAAGGATACAACAAAAATTAATGGGGCAATAGAGGAGACTGGACTAAAAGGGGAAATAGATTTAAAAAAGGATAAGACTGCGATGATAAGAAAATAAATATTAGCCATTCTCTGGAATTACAATGCTAATGAATAAGGAAGAAATGTAAATAAATTGTACCTTTTTAAATCATAAAGAATACCTGCTAGTTTTAATGAAATTGGTTGGAAAGCGATACTACTTGTTTTAAGCTTGCTCTTGTACTCCAAAATAGAGTTTTCGTTCCATTTTTATATATTATTTAAATATATTCCATAAATTCACATTCTAAAAACCCCATGACCTGTTCTTTCGTAATTATAATGTTGCATGCTAGTTAAAAGTGCCAATCCTAATGTTTGTCTTGTCTAAGTTGGTAAAATGATTCCATCATCCCATAATCGAGCAGTTGCATAATACGCACTAGATTCATAGTCGTATTTTTAGGTATATTTCTATTTTAAATCTTTCTCGACCTTTTCATTCCACTCCCCGCCATTTCTAACGATGGTTTATTATTATACAGATGTTAAGACTCCCGCTGCCTAATATGTTCTATATATTGATATTACCTAATCACCTCCCATAACTGAGATTCTACTACTGGGCCATGAGAAAAGGAACTTGGCTCCATAAGCCCTTCCACACATACCATAGTTACCAGCTCCAAAGCTTCCACCAAAAAGTAAAGTCAATTTGGGAACAGTTGCAGTAGCCACAGCATTAACCATTTTGGCTCCATGTTTAGCAATGCCTTCTGTCTCATATTTTCGACCCACCATAAATCCTGTAATATTTTACAAGAAAATCAAAGGCACTCCTCTTTATTAGCATAAGCTCACAAAGTGTGCTCCTTTTAAGGCTGATTCACTGAACAAGATTCCATTATTTGCTATAATTCCTACCTCTTAGCCATACAATTCCCCAAATCCTGTAATAAGTGTAGTACCATAATTCTCCTTAAATTCCATAAATCTTGATCCATCTAAAATGCGTGCAATAAGATGACGACTATCCATAGTCTTTTTGAGATCACTGCTCATCAAATAATTTAGATCCTCGATATCATAGAGTGGTTAGTCATCTCTAATATCACCTACTTATTTAGTTGTTAGATTCTTAATGATGGATCTACCTTTTTATAAAGCTTCTAATTCAGAAGTGCAAAAGTGATCAGTCAATCCACTAGTGAAACTATGCACTCTAGCTCCTCCTAAGTCTTCTGCAGATACCACTTCACCAGTGGCTGCTTTCACTAAAGGAGGACCTCCTAAAAAGATGGTTCCATTTCCACTTACAATGACATTCTCATCACTCATTGCAGGGACACTAAAACTTAAATGCATAATCATACTAAGCACCTCCAGCTGTACATGAACCAAGCACTATACTGATTTAAGGAATGCCTTATGCAGACATATTGGCTTGATTATAAAAGATTCGACCAAAGTGATCTCTGTCTGGGAATACTTCGTCTTATCGCATCAAGCTTTTGTTATTTATGCATAATTACTTAGCACCACCAGAATCTACCAAATAGACACATGGCAATTTATTTTCCCAAGCGATCTCTTAGGCTCTGACATGCTTCTTCACTGTAATCGGATAATAGGTGCCTCCCTTTATTGTTGGATCATTTGCCACTATCATACAGAATCTCTTATTAATTAATCCTATGCCAGTTACGATTCCTAGAATTCAAATATACTTGACCTCCACTTGGTACTTCTTCCTTTCCGTATAATTCATATCCTGCTAATTAAGATAATTCCAAGAATGGAGATCCTACGTCCAATAATCTGGTGATTCTTTCTCTGACAGGAAACTAAACATCAATAAGGATTTCTACTTTGTTTCTCTCTGCCAATTTTTGATGAGCCACTGTCCCACCATAATTGATCACCTTGTTGGTGATATTCAGGAATCTCTCATTGCTTTGTTTCATCAACTCAAAATTGGCTAATAGACTGGGATCAGCTCGATCACATAAAGATTGGAGAACAGGATAATGGGAAAATCGGAATAAGGATCTATAATGCATCATTTATATTATCTTATTAAAAATAATCATGGACTAAAACATTTAATACTAAGAAATTCAATCAAGAATGGTACTCCTTAATAATCGATCTAGTAATTTACATATTGATTTTGTCTATCAACTTCAAATTTGGACTATCCTTGTTATTTGTAATTTCACATTGTTAAAACATGAGTATTCTGTCTAAGGATAAATCTATTTATTAGATGTTCAGAAAATTTAAAGTAATTTATATTTTTTGAATGATAATTAATATTTTATATAATCGTTATGAATGGAAGAAATATGCCTTTAGGACATCATTATGAATATTCTCCTCAAGTGTAGTAGAGGAGTCTCGCAACATTGAAAATAATAGCTCCATTATGCATTGTATTGGCATTGAGTAGCATCGTAATTGGATTCGTCTGGTACTCATTTAATGGACTGACTGAATATTTGTTAGTAGGGATCAACAATGTAATCTCATTCTTTAATTTAAGATAGCAATTCTATTCACTTGTATATTTTCTCTTTACTGGAGTTTTACATCCAAAGTGGTTGTCAATGAAGGAATCGATATACCCGAAGGACACCCCAGTTCCACATTACCCTACCTTCATTCCCTCTTTACTTAATTGGTTTGCGCAATCGAAGGTGGGTTAGTCTTGAGTTTGATTGAATATGATTCCTACAACCAGTTTTTATTAGTTTTGCCACTCCAGATCCTTGAGATATTTCTCCTATTGTACATGGCAAACGTGAGTCGGTAATTCAACATCAGAGAATACGGTATTCAAAGATTGATCGTCTATGGAACATCTACTGTAAACTTAATATTTTTGATATTTGCTGCATTCAGTCTTAAATAAGTACCCCTATTAAGTCTATATTAGGTCATATTATAAATAAACTCACAATTATACTAAATCTCAGCTACTAACATAGAGGTAACTCTAGTCAAAGTAGTATTGTTTGTGCTATTTATCACAACATTAGTAGTTTCAATGTTCAATTTGAAGAGAATCAAAATTTACTTCGTAACCCTCGCTTTTCTGATCCTGTGCATTTGCATATTAGCATGCTGCTGCAATGGCTTACTAGTCAGAAGAGTATAAGAATTGGAAGTTGAACTTTCAACCAACAAAGGTTGTAAGTTTGCAATGTAATCCATTTCGGAGAAGAGTTTGAATGATTAGTTGGAATGTTCATAAAAATATTTTGATTTGGAATTATCCCCTTATCTTCCATGTGAATAGGACCTCTAAACTTACCAGTGGGAAACCAATTCAAAAAATACTAAACTGGGGTGCATCAATTCAAAATGTTGTAATAATGTTAAGCAATATGTGTTCAACCAAATCAATAGTCTTACAATATGGATTAATCTTATAGTAATGGTTGGAATTGTGCAAGCTTTTAATACTGCAATGTTATCGGAAGGATCCTATAAGAAATTCAGAATGCACATAGTTGGAGATGCTATGGTTTTCATCATTCTTGTTCTCTTAGCTATTTTAGTGGTTGTAGCATATAATATAACTCCGGAGTTATCTGTAAATGTACAGCATTCGCTTGTCAAGTATATACTTATACCCAATAATATATAGATAAGAATCCATGTTGAATCAGATCACTGTTCTGCCATAACCAGTTTACAAAAACTTTGATAAATAAGAAAGATTAGTTGGATTCTACAATCTGTAAAGTTGTGAGCCTATCTCTTCTATTATGATTCAAAAGATTTCATTTAAATCTACTGAAAATTAACAGGGGTAAAACGATAAAAATAATTAGAATTACTCTAGCCATTTCTGGGACAAATGGATAATTTGTTGCCTTAAAAGAGTATAATACTGAAAAACTAAAAATAATAATTGATGATGAAATAAACAAATCTATATTCTCAACATAATCTCAACCATTTGATGGGATTATAATTTAAGGAGAAATAGATGAAGTTGAGAAGTTCTACAATAATAATTTACATTATTGTTCAGATAATCCACTAAGTGCAGATTTTGATTTCATGATTGATCATTATGATATTCCTTAACACCATAATAGAGTTTTGGAAGCATTAACCAAAGAACAATAGCAAATTGGAGATCAAGCATTTAAATTCTATAATGCCTAAATTACTATTGAAAATTCTGTAGATTTTTCGCCTATAGCTGATGCTGTAACTAATTGATTCCTATTCTAGTTAATCGAAGTCTATGAAGGTAAATTCCTATCTTAATCTTGTCAAATCATCAGGCAATTAGAAAACAACCTGCATGAACTAAAAACTAATGAGCAAGGGACTGCAGTAATCAATAACTTAAGTTAAGGATACTCTTATACTGTGTTAATCTATAAATCAGGTATAAATATCATAACATATTTAAAGGGTACAAAAAGTCGTGTTCTGTCCTTGATCTATAAAGAAGAGTGCCTAAAACTAACTATATTTTCAGATTAACAAAGAGTATACCTAAACATTCAGTTCGGATATTGTTAGAATGGACATCAAAGACTCTCAATTTGGATTTATACAGTGTGTTTAAAGTGGGAGAACACTCTTGTATAACTGGTGCTCTCTCTAAGTCATGCGGTGGAATGCAATAGACAACTTTTTCAAAAAATGATTAAAATATAGAAGTGATCGACATCTATCAATTGGAACCATAAGTCTACACTATATTTGTGAAAAGATTCCTGACTAGGAGTTAAGCTTTAGATCTCTTAAAGAATCCTTTAGTCGGCTAAGAATGGATTGACGCAGATCCTCATATCACTGTGTACTTGAGTGAATTAAACTACCCTCTGATTGAATTTAGATTACCTTAAAGTACTAATTTTCATTAACTTAGATATCAATCTATAAATGGATAAATTAGATTTGACTTGGATGGTCTTTAAAATTGATGGACAATAATCAGATGGTCCGTAATCTATACAAAAGATGGAATCTCTAATTACGAATGAGGATATCAGATCAAACACTGCATCCAATAAACCTTTCTGGCCAGAAATTTGAATTTTTTTGAACACATACACAATTATGTATTTATATAAGAACGAATACATTTATATTAATTTAATGATGTGACTCAAAATCAACTTATAAAATTATAGGCATTTAAATTATGTAATAATGTTCATATATTATTATTTAAATTTGATCTTGGTGGAGCCTGTGGTTATACCTTTTAAGGGGCGGGCTAATATTAGGGTTGATAGGCTGGGATCACTCTTGAAGAAATTATAGGTGAGGCATATTGTGGGGCATAAGTTACAGGCACAGCCTAGACTGGTTGCTGATAAACTTAAACAGGCTATTGCACAACTTAGACTGGTTGTTGAACAACTTAAACAGGTTATTAAGCAACCTATTAGTGAACAACTTATCTTTCAACTGGATAATATTCAACTCTTTCTTAGTATCTATCGACTGGTACGTATTCTATGAGATTACTTAATTATGAGTACCTGTATATTTCTCCTAGAACACTTAGGGTACGTATTCAGTCTGATATTCCACAGCATAGTATTCGGTCACTTTTCTCTCTCTTGGAACATATTACACTACTTCTTATTCTTCGTACTCAGTTATGGCCTTTTAGTAAGGAATGTATTCGATTCTTGACTCTCCCTTGATGTTTGGCTAAGTCTCATTTTAGATTAATACATGAACCGATTATTGGACAGGTTAGGCGATGACTGGTTAAGCCACGTATGATTGAGCCAATAATGGTTGTGGAGCGACAACCTGTTGAACGACAGGCTAGACAGGACTGGCAACACTGTAAGCCAAAGGAGCATTGATGGGCTGATATTAGACAGGGGCCAGCGTGGAATAGGGTTGGTAGGTTTAAGGTTATCCAAAGAGGGCTGGTTGTTATTAGAATTATGGAGGTGCTTGAATTGGTTTATTGGATGGAACTGGAGGAGGAGCCATTTAAATGTTTGAACTGTTAAAAGAAAATAAAATTTATTGTTCTTATTTTTTATGTGTTAAACTTATATACAACAACAAATCTGGGTGGTTTTGAAATTTTATATATTTAATTTTTATATATGAAAAGAAGATAAATACAAGTTGGAAGCCCATTTGATGAAGCATAAAGTATATTGGGAGATCCATTATGGTTAGTTAATTACGCAATTTAAGTACCAAACCAACCTTTCCAGGAGCCAATTTAGTCTAATACTTAAATGAATGTACCAACCATTCCAAAGGTCAAGGAATTAGCCCCAATCCAAGAAATCGACTTTCGAGAAGCTCTGCTTCAAGTAATAATCTTCTTTCTTCAACAAGGAAATTGATAGCATATAAAAAAGTGAATAATAGGGTGCCCCTGTGGTTTAATAATAAGTCTTTCTGACATAAGAGAGGACTGCTCCACAACAGAGCTAACCTGTTACTTAGCAGACTCAATCTAATTAGCAATAGAGCAGAGCACAACAATTGATTTAATAGTCATAATAACTGATACAAAGAAGGAGACAGCCCAAATAGTAGGATCAGCATTAGAAGTAAAAAACTTAAATATCCAAGCGATGTTAATTAGCATTAGCAATAATCCAATCCAACTTAATAAGCTAATTCTTTTCAATCAACCAAAATCGAAGAGAATATTCAATAACCTGTAATTTAAACAAATCAAAAATAAGACTCACAGAAATTAAAGGAATAGTAATATGAATCATAATAATACCAATAGTATGAATAACCACAATAACAATAAAATCAAGATAATCATCCACAATTTTAAGTTGAAGTACCTAATGACTAATTACAAAAATTAATTGATCCTCCCATAACTAAAGCAAATGCAAATTAAAATGAATAATTGAAGTAAAATTAAGTCTAAAGAACACGTCAGTAAGTCCCACCTCCAATAAAAAAAGAAATTTAGTAATAACATTAAGTTGCTCAAAATGAAGTTAGACAACAAATACCTCAATAAAATCAATAGTTGTTGTTAAATAATCAGAATCACTAAAATCAATCATCAGTCATCACTGCTTAAACATTTTATCATGGGCTAGTAAGCTATGATATATGTAATTATGAATCATAATTAAATTAGAATCAAATAAACTCAATAAACTTAGATACACCTCTCTTGTGTCTTAATATCCTGGTCCATTCTTTAAGAACAGAAGCCCAGATAATTTAAGATCGTTGCGTTACTTTTGGTCCTCCTTCACTACAAATAATGCCTTGTTGTAATTAGCCATTGATCACCTTGAAAAGCCACTCGAAAAGAATAGTGCTTTGTACATAATAGAGTCTAAATTGCTTAATGATTAAAGTGGCCAAGCATTTGTTGAAGTACACATATATGTGAGATTATCTTAGGCCTACGAAAGAATATACAATCAAAATGATTGGGAAACTAAATTGTTGGTGAGCATCTTGGAAGGAGAATTCATAAATACTAAGTAATAATAGAGTTTAATTGAATACATAAAAAAGAGGTCTTATCATGATGATTAAGAGGCCTGGCTAATTCGATTGGCAGTTTTGCTTAAGATGATCCCAATTGACCAAGAATACTATTCAGAATTACTCATCTAATTATAGCATCTATATTCAAGCGAATAAATCTAGGCTCGATTATTGTGGCTATTATTAAAGATGGAGATTTAGAATACCTAATTGGATGTATTTTTGTTGAGCTTTTTTACAAAATTTAATTACAGTCTATGTCATTCTGAAATTCAATTGTTGATTGGAGATTCTCACATGTGTATCCATAATTAATAGAACGCTGAATTATACTATAAGTTGAGTTTGCTATTTGTGGAATCCGAGAATTACGATAAGGCATTGGAGTGTGTCAAATTCTCAATTGATCTGGGATATCATTCCAAAGCCAGAGATTTGAGAGAAAGAATATTGTAAGTGATAGAATTGAAGGAAAAAAATAAATCAAATAACAACAATAGTGGTCTTTTTGGGTATTTCGGTTAGGCGGTCAATGCTGTCAAAAATATATAGAAATAACAACCTTAATAACAACAAGCCACCTATTAGCCATAGCCATAAAACTTTTATTATGACAAATAATTAAAAGCTTATGTGATTAATGGCGTTCCGTAAATAGCTCCTCCTGAAGAGGAATAAAAGAAGGAAGTAGTTGTGGCAGCTCCTCCTCCTCCTAGAAGAAAGATTGATCCACCAAAACCTGTTGTCTATGAAGAATAAATAACTTAATAAACATAAGAAGCAACAGAAGACCCTTTTGCATCTTAATCATAAGCTCATTAATCAGAACACAATAAGAAAAAGAATAATTTATTGAGGAATAGATATGTATAATGAGTATAATATCATAATGCTGACAATTCTTAACCAGGACCATCTTCCTTATCTATTTAAGATTGTTTGGTCAAGAAATTCTTGTTCTCTTCTAACTTTTCAGTTCTATTTTTGCATTTCCTATAACAAACGAATCCGACTATCAATAACCATACCATAATAAAGATTATGATGAATGCAATTACAAATAGAATAAGGTTAGCCTTTGAAAGTAATGATACGTCATCTATTACTATTTTGAATACTTGATCTACTTTAGTTGCTTCAAAAGGATTTGTTGAATTCTAAAAGTAACTTGAAACTAAATAGTATTGTTAGAACATTTCCTAGGATTCACACTCTATATGGGCAGGTATAATCGATAGATTGAGTAATCTAATTTGTTTTTTTGATAGGCCAACGACAGAGTTATTCCAAGATTTGAGTTACAACATTTAAGGGAATTCGAAATAATTATTGCTTGTAAACTTGATAAAATTAGAATAAATAGAATGCTGAATGATTTTATGGACTTCATAACCAATCAGTACAGCAAAATGCTCATATACTTTAACATCGTAGAATTGCATATCATCAAGGTAATAATGATTAATGTAAAAGGAATTGTCTGTAAAGTTTAAGAAGGCTTCAACTGCATAATCTTATCTGGTTATCGATTCAGCTATAATAAAGAAGGTATTATTGTAATGCCCAAAATCACTTCCCTTTAATATTGGCACTCTGAATTTAACCTTAAATTGATAATCACAAATATATAGTCCGTGATTATGATCCAAGATAAATAGATCTAAAATAATAATATGAGTAGAATACTTTCATCATCACCACTGATATCCACTGCATCCAGATGTGAATTATCTATTCTTAATTGTACATTCTCGTGTTTCAGCACCCCATCCTTGAAAACATAAATGTCGATTCCCTCATTTCCGCAAGCCACATAAATCCTATCATTCTTAATAAAAGCATCGTAGATCATCGATCTTTTCTTGAAGGGTTCCTCGTTTATAAAAAATACTGTTGAATCCAAGGGACTAAATAATCAGATTTACTGCCTTACATCCAATCTGGTATGCTGACACCTCCACCTTCTGAGATGATGTAGATCCTTTTATTGATAGGATTCTATATGAAAATGGGATGACTAGTGGAGGTCTATTAAATTTTTATTTTTTTTTATTAAATGGTCTTAATGAATTGATTCTCCGATAAATTTATTTCTTATAGAGTGAAGTCATTTCTGATAATCAAAGCTCTATTTTGTAAGATAATCAGATCAGTATAAAATATTTTTTCATCTGCTGGTAATCCCATTCTTAGTTTTTGTTAGACAGGGAAGGACTTCTATATAGCTCGGCATCCAGCTGTTCCATTTAGTTTGTTCTCTTCTTAAACCAATGTATCGTAATCATTATCTGTGTAGGAATAAACTCTATGGTCGGAATCACTTCTTTTCCATAAAAGGATTTAAAAGCAATTTGGGTCTTCATATAGTGTTTTGACTTAGTTCATGATTGCATAGTGGGTTGTGGAATTCAATTTTTTTGTAATTACTTGTGCTTCCTATTTGGATGCCCATACAGATTAAAGTAATAATAAAATAAACATAATATTAATAAATGATAGAGTCCAAAAAGTCAGAACTAAAAAATGATTTGAAGGAAACCAATTAATAGATATACGAATTGATCGAATAAGCCAACTAGCAATTATAAACCTCATTTAACAAAAGAGAAGAGGAATTGTTGAAGTTATATAAATAGGAGATGCTTAATGTTTAAAGACAACTAGTTAAAATAAGAGATGAGGAGAGTTAGACTGAGATTGAGAAAAGAATTCAAAAGAATAGAGAGGAACTAGCAAAGGAGAGAGAGTTGTATCTTGAGAGGAGCATTAAGTTGAGTGATAACATTAAAGAATTGGGTAAAATTGATCGTGATATTCGATAAAGTTTCAATGAATTGCAGAGTGAAATCAAATTCTTGGATGAATAGTTGATTTATGCTGACAAACACAACATAATATTGCAAGAGGAATTGAACAGTTTGGGAGAGGAAGAGCAGCAAATTCAGACTTAAATTAGAAGATAACCGAAATCAATGTAGCAATTATAATCAGTTCGTTTGATGCCATTGCCACAAATCAAGAGGAATTCATGTCATTTACAATAGGAGCAAGAATTGAATGCAAAATTAAAGTAGCAAATTAATTAAGTTGAGGAATTCTAAGAATCAGAATTGGAGCGATGTTTTGATGAGTCACTCTTAACTGTAACGGAGTAGAGTGAGGCATCTACCAATATTGATTTAACATGTTGTAATGATTTTTCTGAGTATTCTAAACGAAGAATTTTCGAAGACTTTTTAGAAAAACCATATGTAAAATAAAAAATCTATGAATTATTAATAAATAAATGAATAAGTATATTACGTATATCAACATTCCAGAGGTCCGTGGTAAAATACCAAAGTGTTAGATATGTGCAAAGGGCTTTTCAAAAGTGACAACACGAGAACATATGTGCAAAAGGTAGAACAATTATTTGATTATTTCATTCCAGATGTTTGAGAGTTGTCTGTAGTACTTGTTCTCCATTCAAAATTACATTCGAGTTGAATAAGGGTAGAAGACTATGTAAAACATGTAAAGATGTAAATTAACACCTTTTCTTTTAAGGAATAAGATTCAATCAAATCCTTTGTAGAATATTATCATATTGCTTATGGTGTTGATACCCTCTCAAAACAATGGCTTGGAAGTGCATTTAATTCTTAAGATTACAAGACTGCGAGAGAATCCACTAAACTTAAAATGGATTAGATTGAGTTTGCTGGTTTAGATAACATTAACTATTCCTTGAAGGATTTCTATGCATTAGCTGGAAAAGATAATGTGAAATTGTAGAATGTTTGCATGACATTTTGTTCAAAGAATCCAGACATCAAATTGACTGCTGATATGATTTGTTTAGCTAATTTTTTGCTTTGTTTCTCATCTGAAGCTTCTGCCTTTTAGCTCCTAAATATCATATACAGATAAAAGCCACCTGAGGAGTTTTTAAAAAGCATAGTAACTTGTTGTGTAAAAGGATTCAATATGTCTGAGAGTGATACCATATATTTGAGACAATTTTTGGAAGCCAGATTAAAAAGATATTTGCTTACATTTTCAATTAATATGTTCAATTTTGATACCACTCTGCTGTTGATTTAATAACTGATACAAAAATATGATTATTTCATTCAAGGGTTATCAGCTATTTTTATGATTGCTAGTCCGAATCTGAAATCCTCGACTCATGAAGAGTTAGAGATTTACATTTTAAGAGAAATCAGAAGAAAAGAAGTAGAACTTAAACTCAAAACTATTTAATAACCAAAACCAAAATAGGATTCAGAGAATAAGGATCGAACTCAATCTATCATGAGTTTGGCTTTTTCGACTTTCGAATAATAAGATACATCCCAGATAAATGATTTAAAAACCGAGATTTCAAATCTTAAATTATAATTGTCATTGAAGGATAATGAAATTGAAAGTTATAAGTTTCAGTTATCTTAACTTTAAATACCAGATTAATAAAAAAAAGAAAAGTTTCTAAAGTAAAAATGCGATGAAATTGCAATTCTATTATCTAGAATTGACGAATTAACACTTGAGAATTAGGTCTACTAAAAAAAGGAACGTACTAATTCAGATTTCTCATTAATGTATTAACAATCATAGAAAATCATAGAGGAAAAACAGAAATAAATTAACAGATTGAAAGATAAAGTGAAAGAGAGTTCTTTAGAGAATAGGACTATGTCTTTATCCTTGGCTGGTGGAGTTTAAGGTATTCTGTCAGGAAAGGAGGTTTAAGAGTTGAAATAGGGTTTTGAAGAGGAGAAGCAATTTCTGACTGATTAAATAAAATAGTTGGAAAGTAGCAAGGCCCTCTTACAAAAGAGTTTGGATGCTCAAAAGAAACTGAATCAAAGAGTAATCGACTATATTGGGTCTATGACTTTAAATAATAAGTTAATTGAATTGTAAATTAAGACTTCTGAAGAAAAAGAAACAATTTCATACAAAGATGAGGTCAATAACTTGATTGATATAAAAAATTAGTAGAACCAGATGCTGTCTAGATTACAGAGTACTAATTTGCAATAAATTGAGGAACTCAAAGTTAAAATTAAGAATTTGAAATGAATGAATTAATTGTTGATCATTAATTATAAAATATTTAAAATGTAAAAGAGAGAATAAATCAATCAAATAGTCAATTCTTTAAAATATAAATTTTTCAAGTAATCCTCCTTCTATTTAGAGTTATTTATCTTATCCTTAAGTAATGGTCGAACTATTAGTGGATCACAATAATTATATGCTTAACCTAGTATCTGCAATATACCTACTTAAACTTTGGTCTCAAGGTTTAGTATGTATGGAGAAACAAGGCCTATAGTGATATGATCAACCTCCTATTGAAGTAAGTCTCATATATGAAAAATAGGTATTTTACAATAACAATATCTGTCAAGAATCTAGGAATCGGAACCTACCTCACCATCTTTTACTTTTGTTTGGGTTTGGTGTTATTTTCAATATTACTGATAATGCTTTTGGCTTTTGTGATTTAAAACAAGAAATTGCAGAGAGGACCCTTAATATTGCTACGCCTTTTGTTGAGAATTATTCTTACCTTTGGTTTCTGGCCAATAGTGAGGATGCAATTTGGCTTATTGGCTTGCGAATACAACAAGAAAGGCAAGCTGATTATGATGTTCGAGTAATCCTAAGAGTGCTGGACATCAGACTATTATATTCATGCAATCGTAGCAATATTAGGATTAATAATCACATTGAGCTTTGGTGTATTGATGGCCTTCGTAACTTATGAATCAAGGAGAACTGACTAAGATGCAAATGCAATGAGAAATGGAAGATCCTATTATTAGTTGTTGATCTACATATTCACTCAGATAATGACATACTAGTTATTGGCAACACCTGAATACACAATATTGATCATAGCAGTCTTTTTGATTGGGAGTTCCATTGTATTTATAAATACCCATATCGACCAACCTTACTATGATACATTCATATAGAAAATGTGGTCGATCTTGGCAGGAGTAAATTTTTGGACAATCATTATGATGTTCTATTCATATCTTCTGGATGGCAAAACCTTTTAAAATACCATCTAAGCATGGCTGCTAGGGATTCCCCTAATTATTGGCATCATAATATTTAGATAGAGAGAACAATTTGATTTGATGAGGGCAAATTTAAGAAAGTTTCAAGATGGGGGATAGGTCATAAAGTTATGCGAATATCTTTTGCTTCTCATTCACAACTCAAGTAAATCTCAGAGGTATTAACTGCTGATTGATAGTTATATTGAAGTCCATAAAGAAGTTTGCAATAGAAACGACTGTGTTGTCAAACTCAAGGAGGAAATGGCAAATAAATTTAAGGGCAATCCCAAATACACCAATCGAAAAAATATAGTCAATGAGTTGATCACTCAAATTTATTAGGAATCCATCAAGAATTTTCCAGAGGACATTCAATTAAGACTTAGTTATGTTTACTTTCTTTATGATAATAAAAAATCTTATTCTTTAATCATGTCAGAATTAGTCCAAGCTATGGAATTCAAACCAACCTTTGATTATGAGTTTCATATTTACAGATACAAATTAATTATTGAGGAAGAATCCCAACAAAAAGCAGAACAATTTGATATATCCAATTCAACTAAATAAACCAAATAATTGATTGAAGTTCTAGAATAAGCAGCATTGCAAATGATAGAATTTTGGATCTCTATGTCTGATGATCATCCAGATATGAATAAGCTCATGAGTTTGGGATTCAAGATTTTGAAGTAAAAAGAAGAAATAGATTTATTTTGGTCTAAGTTGAAAAACAGCGATTCTTTAAAATTATTTAATTTGATGGCTAAATTTTACCTTTTGGTATTGGATGATTAAGAAGTTTCAGATCAACTACAGAATCAACTTTGGGTCTTATAGAAAATTAAATAGTAAGAGGTAACTGAAATAGAAGAAGTATGCAATAAATCGATTCCAACGTTAGTGGTAACTGCATAATTTTAAAACTTCCATATCTAAACTGTTAATAAAGCTTTATGCAGTCTGCTCGGATATTCTAAAACGGATCTTATTGGGAGATCTGTCAATCAAGTAATTCCAGAGATGTAAATATTTATATATATATATATTTAATTAGATATGCGACTCAACATAATTCTTGTTTGGAACTATTTATTGAAAATTAAGCCAAATATTAATAAAATTTAGTTACTTAGATTGTCTACCTTTAAGCAAAAAGTAATTATATAATACCTCTGTATTCAAATGTAAAATTGATACAAACAAATAATAATCAATTGTATTTCATTGCATAATATCAATAAACCTTCAGTCCAAAATAATAATGTATTTTACTCTTAGACATGGAAGGATACATAGAAAACATAACAAGTTCTTGCATTATATTGTTGAGATTGGACATTATTAAAATACAGATGAGAAGAATCAACATTAAAGAACTATTTCCGGATTTTCATTTTAGAAAATAAGAATTTCTATAAAAAAGTGGAGCAAAACTACACCTTATTCCCCATGGCTTGAAATTCAGTACTAGAACTGTAGACACAGTAAGTATTTACGAATAGATTGATTTTCAATGTTATTTGAATTACATTTAATTTCCATGTATCTAAGATGAATAACTTTATGGCATAGTAATGAGATTAGAAAAAATTATCAGTCATAATGCTTCAGAATCCATTTTGAAATTAACCCCATAATAATAACCCAAAATAACTAGATTTCCTATTTTTTAATTCATTCCTCCATCAGTTTATTATTTGGACTATTTAAGTGTAACAGAGATTGAAGAGTCGATGGATCTTAAGTTGTCTTAAGACAATTAACCTAAATTATCTAAAATTGTGAATTATTTTTGCATGGTAAAAAGGATGTCATAATCTTAAAAACAAAGCATTCATTATGATGATGGAATTAGAGTAAAACGATTATGGGATGGGTAGATTAGAGATTTAGAAGATTTTGATATTGAATAACAATAATTAGAAGATGATGAAGAGGAATATTTAAATTCTCAATAATTAATTAAGGAAAAAGATAAAGAGATGCAGGAATTTCAACACTACTTTGAATTATTTTAATCTAAAACCTCAATGTACAAACTATTAATTAATTCTAATGTTTCAAGAGGATTTTAAATATTAAACTATTTAGTGAACATATCACTATTTGTCCTTTACATATCTGGTTTGTTAGTATTTATATTCAATTTGAACGACGACTTAAATGTGTCTAATATGATTTTTAATTTGAGTTTGAACAATAAACGACTATCAACTTGTTTGATGATCTAAACAATTTTATAAGATGTTAGACTACTAAATTATGGAAAAATTAATGGTGATTTTGATTACATTGAATAATAATTTAAAAGTAATTTAGATTAATTAAATTCAGAGATATAGGACTTAATTTAAATTCATACTTCATTAATGACATCTGAACCATTAATTAACTAAGAATACCTAGAATATTCTGATGCATATTTTTCACTAAATATAGAGCTTTAATCACTTGATGGCAGTAAGAAAAATTACACATACAAGGAAGCAATTGATTTGTTGATTGGCAAGGCTTTATATTTAAATTCTGGAAATATTTCTAAATTTGATGACTCAGATGTTGATTTTTATTTTTACAACTACAACACGATAAATTCAATAACTAAAAATTATTAAATTCCTTTAAACTACCGATATTATTCAATCAAATCAGTTGCATAGAACTCGTTAGATAATAAATTGATTTTTTTGATTCTGCAAACCTTATTGCAATTAATCGCATATATCCTAATAGCTTTATATTTAATTTAATTCAATAGATTCTAGCATTAAATTTATTAGTTATTTTTTGAAGTAAATCAGATACAAATAAAATCTATAATTTAGAAATGCGAGTCCTTCTTATCATTCTTAAATATTGGAGAAGATGAAAATGTATGAATAATATCACTATTAAATAGGATGAAGTCCAAGATGATAAACAAATGAAGTACACCTCTGACTAGGATGAAAACAAAATGATGAATAACAAATAAATTAAAAATTGGAAAAACAGCAATAAAAAGTTCAAAAACTTTATGGGTGTTGTCTTCTTGATATTTGCAATCATCGAAGGATATTTCATTTATTAATATATCTCAGCTTAAGGAGTTGTAGAAGCTACTTTTAATTTGAGTCCCATTCTGAATACAACATCTTTGTTAGAATCACAATATAGATTAGGAGACAATGCTATTAGAGAGTATTTAGTAAATCCAAATTAGAGTATATATTGTAATCCTAATCCTTTGAAATTCATCAATAATTATTTTGATAGGCTTTACGAGACTAATGCGGATGTGTAGACTAAATTTACTTAAAATTTGGATTTGTTTTAGCCTGATTACATTAATTTATTTCAAGAACTATTTGTTAAAAACCCCTGTCCTACAGTGGGTATATTACAAGATTTCATCACAGAGGATTATTGTAACACATTTTTTAATGGGGTTGTGTCTGAAGGGTTGTCAATTGGGCTAACCAAATACTTTGAGAGTCTAGAACTCTTCCTTTTACAATACTAATCATATTAACTTTAGGAAGGAAAGGATGAGATTAGGAATTTGGTGATATATTTATTAAATACTACCTTAAGTGTTGAAATCAGGACTATGGAGAAAGTAGTGATAAGATACACTTAAAGATATTTAATTGATCAATTGGAATAAAGCATTAAGGATTCATTTAGTGAATTATCATTAACAAGAATTCTGCTCTTTATTTGTTTTACGTGGTATATATTATTTATTACTTTCTTCCTTTGGATTCCAGCAAATTAGGCTTTGATTAAGTAAATTTAAAAAAGCAGAACCTTGATTTTAAATATGCCTATGTCTACTTTGATGAAGTAATTAGTTATTAATTTTCCATTAGTTCTGCCTTAGTTAGAAGATATATAAGATAAGTACTGAAAAATTGATTAATGATTTTATGGCAAATAATTAATTTAGAATACAAATAAAAATTTGAAAATCTAATAATCTTCAAAAAAGATAAGTCGATTTAGATTGGAAGTGTAATATATATATATATAAATATTCGAATAGTATATTAAATGAATAATGATTGATAAGGTGGATTGAGTGAGATATTTATTTGTTTAATAAAATAAAAAATAACTGATGTTCAAGAACTCATTCTAAAGTGGATTTCTTTCAATATTATATTCAATAGGATCAAAGCCATTGTAAATTTGGGATAAGCAAAGTAATTTATGATTGGATTATTTAAGTCAAGAATGGACATATTAAACGTATCACAGATCAAGACATTTAATCATCAGTACTTGAAATAATGGGTACCAATGTGAGTACTAATTTCATAACTGCTCCTGCCGATCCCAAAGAAACATTGGGAATTAAATTGCCATTCTTAGTCATGATCATTAAGAATGTAATTTATTGGTATTATGATTAGCTTAAAAAATACTTCACATTTGAGGTGTAGGTATTGGATGATAAGAATGTCAGAAGGAGATTTAGAGCATCGAATTATTAAGTAATTAGTATAAAGAATGTAGTCAACTACGAGAGTGAAACCTTTCATCTGTACAATGCCTATGAGATTGGATGAGGGATGGAATCAAATCTAATTCAACTTGTCTGATTTCACCAGAAGAGCATATGGTACAAACTATATAGAAACACTCCGGTATCCATATCAATCTCATTTTCTAGAGTTCAAATTCATGCCAATTGCAGAATCAGAAGAATCTATTTTAGTGATCGTCTTTACAGTGAAGAAGAGTTACCCCCTGAATTCAAGTTATTCTTACCCATCTAAAAACAAGGATGATCAATATTATATATATATATATTCATTGATCTATGAAATCAACTCAATTTTGATATTAATTCATCTAATCTTGGTTTCCATTTTTCATCGTTTTCCACTTGTTTTTGTAAGATTTCTAAGAGTGGTTTGATATATTGCTCTTCTTCCTTCAAAATAGTCAATCTAACATCAATATCTAAAATATACCCATCCTTATGTTCAATTACTTTGGCTAATTCGACAATAGCTTATTGTTTGTTTGTCAAATAAACATGAGTAAATAAAACACTTAATGAAGAATAGATGTCATTTTCATTTCCATTTTCTTGTGCAAATTAAGTCATAAAACCACTAATCATAATAAGAATAATAGTTATACACTTTTCTAACTTTATTTCCAGACAAAAACTATCTTGCAATCCTATATAAATCTTTAGGTTATAATTTTATTTTCTTCTACAAAGCCACTCTATAAACCTCGTATGATATTTTGGGATCATCCTTAATCAAACTTGATAGATTAGCACTATCAATTCTCAAAAATGGACATGTTTTCAAAATTTTGAATAATTCAATCAACCCTTCATCATCAAGCTTTTTGGCCAAAGTCATTATCACAGAAGGATGAGGGAAATATCTTATTGCTGAATGAAATTTCAAAGCATCCATAACATATTTTGTTTAATCGAAGTCAATACATTTAAGCATAAACTTATCTTTAATACCACAATGCACTTAATTATTATGTCCTAATATATTATTAAATCCCTAATCAATTTAAGTACTTAAAATACTTCTATTGCCTCCTTGATGTTATCCTTTTCAACCATGTTAACGAAATGCCCCACATCACTTGTCTCGAACTTGTATCTCCCATTTTTATTTGTTGGAGTATTCAGTAACAAATTATTATAGAAATCAATTGCAGTGAATGCCTTGGCTTTGCTATTAACAGATTGCACTCTTGTAGCAAAATACTAGACTTTGAATGCCAATTTTATTAATTTACTCATAATTATGATTATTAATTTAATTTACAGCTTTAAATATAAAATATATTCAAAGAATAGTAATATATTATGATTATCAATGTTTTATCTGTGCCAATCTAAAATGAATAATTTCTGTCTGTTAAATTGTATTTACAATTTTAGTATTTTGTTTAAATCATTGTTAATAATCTGCTTATTATTGTAAGTTTGAAATTAAGATATGAAATGATATGATTTAAATATATGGTTTAATTCTACAAAATTGAAGCTTTCAAGTAAACAAGAATTAATAAATTTAACAGAGATATTTATCTTTTATAAATATAAGAGAAAAGCTGTTCTGTATAAGGCTTATACTTACAAAATCTATGGCTTGATAACTATATTTATTTGATTTTTCTACAATATTATATTTCTAAAAAAAAAATCTAATGAAATTTTGGAGATTTATTAAGCAATATCTATCATCTAATGAGATGAATGATAATATAAGAAATTAAAATTATTAGATTTATTAAAATTGTGTATTTTTAGAAAATATATCTTTATATTGACCTTTAGAAATGCTCAAACTAAATAGTGATTATTCATTTAGTATATTAAACAAGTTTTGTATTTCTAAATCTACGATAATTAACTATATTCTATTAAAAAAAATTTAGATATGAAAGTATAATAAAAGAATTATATAAATTACTTATTAGTTTACATTTATAAAAATAAAAAAGGATTATACGTAAATTCATTCATCTAAAATTGGCTTAAAATAAAGTACTTTTGTTTTCATACAGTTACCATTTTAATTTCACATTGTTATGATCTTAAGAATGTTTAATAAATGTCATCTCAACGAATTTTTGCACTTTTTAATGATTATAAATGATAGGTTGAATATCTATAATATTTTGAGATACAAATTTTAAGTTAATTATTAATTAAATTTAATTTATGGGAAGCAAAGCTGAGAACTAAATTGAACAATATTCTGGATAAGACTTCGGAGATAAGATAAGTTTTACAGTAGGTGTGAGTTACATGCTTGGTAATAGAATATACCCTATTTTAGCTTCATCTATTGGATTGGTCAAGGGAGCAATTGAAGGTTTCCCAAGATCACTTAATATGCCAAAGAAGTTGATCTTAAACAATTTCTTTAATGCAGTAGGAAAGCGAACATCATCATATGGGTAGGCAGCAGCTAGTGCAAGCATGCTATATTATTTTGTTGGGGCAGGAATGAATTTATTATTTGAAGATGAATTGGCAGATATAAATTAATTGAAAAAGAATATGTTGTGTGGTGCAATTTCAGGAGCAGTATACAAATCAACTCTGGGTAATTCCTTCTGAATAATTTTAAGGATTTGTTCCTTTTATTGTTGGCGGTATTGTTGGAGGAGGTTTGATTGGAAGTGTAACTTTATTGGTTGAAAATCTCAATAGAAAAGGAGTAGTAGCTTTTGAAATGAAGTTTTGAGAATGGGTTTTTTATTTCTTTTAACTAATTTAATAACTAATTGATATATTCTATCAGAATTGTTTTTTTATTTTATGTGTTCAATTGATATCTGTATTAAATAGTTGGTCTGTCAATTAATACAGAAATTGAATCTATATCTTTGACTAGTCGATTTATTATTCTTTTATAATTTTCAATAGTAGATATTTTTATCATTAATGTCATCTTTTAGGATATTAATAATAAAGAGAAACTAAATTTATAATGATATATGTATGAAATTCTGAAATCAAAAACTAAGCTTAATAAACAATGGAATGATAAATAGTTAAACTGAATATTTTTTTGAATGATAAAAACTTAATAATATCATAGCTATGATTTGAATTCTTCGAAAGAGATCTAATCATCGTGATTCTTATCAAAGACATGGAAAACACTGGCAGCCTCATTTCTACTTATTTTACCGTCTATAGCCTATTTACAATTAGATTATATTATGTACTTTTAATAATTAGAAAAATTCTTCTTAATCAATAGCTCCATCACCAGACTTATCAAAACGTTGAAATATTTTACTGATATCTAAATTATTAATCCTTATAGTATTTTGTAGTTGTTTTAACACTCCAGATGCTCTTTAGGTAATTCCATCTTTTTAAGTTTGACCTGTGCCTTTACTGAGTACATACTGAAATTCAGGGAAACTGACAGCACCATTGTTATCTCGGTCAAATTTTGTAAACATCAATTGAATTTCATAATCTTTAATTCCAGGCACAATAACTTTGATTAAATTGTAAAACTCTTAATAGTCTAGATCTCCTTAATGGTTCTTATCATATTTATTGAATATTTAAGTAATATTCATGTTATTAGCCTTGATTACAGCCTAAATATCTTTAATAATATGTCCTGCTCTATCATTGAGATCAGAGAAATCAAATTCTGTGAATAGTTTTTAAAACTCAATGTAATTAACGATTTGATCCTTACCACAGATCCTTGTGAACAATGTTTAAATTTCATATTGAGTAGTATTTGGATCAACGGCCAAAATGAGTTCTTTAAATTCCTTAGCATCTAAAATATTATTCTTGTCTTTATCGAATCTTTGAAAAATGAAATGTGGATCAATGTTATTTTCAGTAACAACCTCCTGCATCTTCCTTAAGATCTTGATACATTATTAGGGCAATTCATAATTTTGTTTCTACTACATTTGTCCAGATTATTTCATAGTAAAAATTGGATGAGTGAAAATTTCGTTCCATCCAATTCTATTGGCCTCCTCAATCATCAAGCACTTTTTAATAAAATCCTTAGAATTTTCACTGATGGGTCTTTCATAAGGAAATCTTAAAGGCTAAGTCTTGATACTCCTAAGAAGACTGTTCATGTCTCTGCAAGACCAGGCAGTTTTACCAAAAAGTATTTCGTAATACATCATCCCAATAGACCAGATGTCACTTTTGGCAGAGTATTGGTGTTTATTTAAAATCTGAGGAGACATATATATAGGAGTGCCAACACATTCCCTGAGCAGTTATCTCCCTGTTATATCAACTTTAGTAGCGAAACCAAAATCAGCCACTTTATATACATTACTTTTGACTAAACAATTTTCAGGTTTTATATCCCGATGAATGTAGTTATGAGACACCAAATCCTTGAATCCATTCATCAATTATGCAAGTACTTCTATAGCCTATTACTCCTATATGTGACCCTTTTTGTGCATCACAGATCTGAGATCTGAATCACATAATTCTATGGCCATATATGTCTGTTATTTATTGCCAAATACATCAAGCATTCTAACCACATTAGGTGAAGTCAAGGTTTACATTACTTTAATTTCGTTCTTTAGTGAGTCAATCATAAACTAATCTTAGAATAACTTCATATCCAAAACTGAAAATGAATGAGAATCAAATACTTTTTAAAGCTACAATTTCCCCTGTTTTTATATTCTTAGCCTTGTATACACTACCAAAACTGCCTGCTCCTAGAAATCCCTTCTTGTCATATTAATAGTTCTCTATGGTTTACATTATTAATTGAATATATCAAATTTTATTTTAATGAATTTAATATCAAGATTGAGATATAAGCTACATTATGTTATTTGTTGGATATAGTTTTTATTAAATAATTTTTTATTAGATATTCCTTAAACTCAATTATTGATTTCCTCATTCTTTTTATACAGAGTCTGTCTAGCCTCTAAATTGAATCTATGTAATCCGCTCTTTCCTGTATCATAATTTTCAGCCAATTGCTCAGCTTCTTACTCCACAATTTGACGATGAAGATATTTGAAGGACAAACCCTAGAATTTATTGAATATACTTAACTTTCTCTTTCATTTCCTTTTATGCTCTTCTCTTTAACATCAATTTCTATTGTTGTCTACCTTTAGAAGTCAGGAACAATTAGAATCTTCTAATTTTAGCATAATCAGCTTTTTCCCTAACCAATTAATCTTTCATTAAATAGGAGATAACACTAGGAGTTTTACCTTAGACAAAATCTTTGAACATCTAAAAACGCTATAAAATAGAAATTAAACCTCTTTAGTAGGCCTTTCTTCTAAGATGACTTTGATTTGACTGGTCTCTCTAAAAGCTGGATTGATTCTAGCTTTGGCATGAAATCTTGCCTTTCTGAATTTCTTATATCTGCCAACTTAAATTGATTGGACATAGAGTCTTTCTGGATCATACCCTCTTTAAACAGCATGAGATCTAACCATTACCAAGGTTTTGGCTAGGAATTAAGCTGCCTTTCTTCCTGAATCAGCAATTGCCTCTTGAGCCTAATAAAGATGCATATTAATTAAAGGTCTGCAAATAGGAATTAATCTTCTTAAAGAAGCAGGCACTTTTCTATTTAAATGAATTGTTATAAACAATACCTTCTTACTCCACTAATTAAAACTTTCTCTTGTTTTGGGACTTTCTTAACAATAAAAGGAGTGACATTATCAGTCTCTGTTTTTGTTTCAGTTGTTGTTACTTCAGCATTCTTAACTTTGACTTTAATGAAATTATTGGGATTGCTATCATTTTGTTTCAAATTGTAAATGTATTGCTTAAAATTTTTGGCATCCTCTTCTAATTAGATTTATCTCAATCTTTCTGCTTAGAAAGGATCTTCAATTTCCAATCTGATTTGCTCCCTGGTCTTTTTCTCTGGATTGATTGTTTTGATAATTGAGCCAGCTCTTGTACGCAATCCAAATTGAGCTTGGCAAATGTGATTCAAACGAAAAGCAATTTATTTCATAAATTAATTTACTCTTATATATCTCACACCCATTCAACTGGTTTAAGTAACACACCAACAATTCTTGCCTCCTCTGTGCCTTCCTTTGGATGATAGTTATATTCCCATCTGGCTGTGAGTGGCAATGACATCAATATACTCTCGATTCTGGCATCTGGAGTCATCAAACCAAATTTGGTTCCTCTATCGTGAATCAGATTAAATTCAGCATAACGACCTATGATACAATCTATAACGTACCTCTTCTGAATGATCTCCAACGAACGTTCTCATCGTTATAAGGAGTATCCTTTCTCCTTTTTAGGATAGCTTCATAACTATTCAAGTTAGCGTATGCAACTCCTTTTTAGAACTACAAACCCTTTTCAAAGGATTCCAAATTGAAATCATCATAAAAGACTCCACCAATTCCTCTGGCTTCCTTTCTATGATGATTTACAAAGTATTCATCACACTCCTTTTTGTATTATCTATATAGTTTGTCATCTCCAGTCACTTCTACTATGGCATCTTTAATATTCTAGTGATAAAATTTGGCATCTTCATCAAATAAGTAGATTGGAGTGAGATCACTGCCACCACCAAACCAAGAATCGATCAATTTTCCTAAGGAGTAATATATATGCATTTATATACCTGTCTCTCGTTCTTTGATTCTTATTGTACGGAAGTTGGCATGAACAGTTGGACAGAAAGGATTAATTGGATGAATCACAAGACTTACTCCATTAGCATAAGTATCATATTGAGCGAGATTGTTCATATCGATTTAGTCCACTAATTGATTATTATTAAGAATAATACAATTGCTTCCAGGAACCCTTCTTCCTTTCATTTATTGATAGATTCCTTAACTCAATGGAATTGTGATTCTTGAAACATTGACACCAGCTTTTTCAAAGAAATTGCCGTCCTTAAGATATATGATGATGGGTATACTTGAATAACACAAGTCAGTCCATGACCTCGGCCATCTTCTCTTGTCCATGCTTCTTTTATGGGTTCAGCTTTGCCTGATAAATATTATAAATAGTAAACTCACTTTCAAATCTGAATAGCATATCAAAGAAGTTTTTTTAGTATTCATCAACAAAAGCTGAGAAAACATCCTCGTTCTAATTTAGATCCATTCGGAAAATATAAAATTAAATCAAAAATATTTTTAGGATATTATCAATTTATATACTTAGTTAAACACACCCCGTTGATAAATTTGGCAATATATTTTTATTTTTTATATCAATTATTTTATAAATGAAGAATGTAGAGTTCTTTAGTAGTGATTAAAACTAAATAAAAAGATACAGGTATGTTACTAAATTCTTTAATACTGAATAGAAACAATAAGTCAATATGAAATAGACCTAATTATAAATGAATTAGAAAGTTAATAAAAATTAGAATAAAATAAACTTGAATTTAAAAGAATAAGATAAAGAAATGATACATTATTATAAGTTTATTGAAGCGGAGGAATAAATAATGTAGTTGCCATATTCCAATAAGAATTAAGATATAAAAATAGAATAGAGAATTAAGATTGCACATTTCATATTTCTAATTTTAGAATGAAGTAAAAGACGATGAATCGAAAGTGAAGGAATAATCCTCTATTTATTTGTAATCTAATTCAAATAAATATGACAATCAAAAAAAACTCAGTTTTTAAAATAAATGAGACAATATGATTAAGGAAATGAAGGGAATAGCAAAATCCAATATAGAAAAGAGCCCAATCATATAGAGTGAACCAAAAGTTACTCCAAATTAAGTAATTGAGCATTTTATTGAGCAAATGAAGTGTATTATATAAATAATTTGATGAATTAAATTATAAATATTTTTTTAAAGAAATGAACGATGGCGAGTAATAACCTGAAAAAGGTCCTCAAACTGAATAACCTCAGTTAGGAAATACAAACTAAATGTAATAAGAGAATCAGAATCAAATCTACACGTTCAAAGCACCTTGGCTAATCTATGCCATGGGATTTCAATCAAAACCAACTCCACAATCTCGTATTGCAATTGGTAGCATGATTGAAGATATTCAGAACGAAGTTAGCTTTTATTATTGAAAATAGGTTTACATCTTACAATTAGACAAAGAATAAGAATCCTTTTTCAAGAAGGCTAAATTCAGTCATAGGTATGCTCCCACAAAAGTATTATGGATTCCTGATGTTGAAGGCAAGTATCCAGATCTCCTAGCAACAAGCGGAGAAAATCTGAAGGTTTGGGAGTATGATGACTAAAATGCACAAGTGAAGATTAAATGGGACTTAAAGAATGTATCATAATTAATTATCAACCATAATTTTAGACTAGTGATTTCAATGCTCCCTTGACTTCCTTTGATTGGAGTTGCAAATAACAGAATTACATTGGAACTGCCTCAATTGATACTACTTGCACTTTATGGGAAATTGAAAAATAGACTGTCTTCACCTAGTTGATAGCACACGATAAAGAAGTCTATGACATCTGTTTCAGTGTGGATCATCAGATCTTTGCTTCTGTGGGAGCAGATGGCAGTTGTAGACAATTCGACTTGAGGTTCTGATCTCATAATATTTCAATAGAGCTTTAGATCATTCTACAGTTTTGTTTGAGACTGAAAATAACAATCCCATCGTCAGATTGGCATGGAATAAAATGGACACCAACTATCTAGCAATTATCGAGATGGATGTAAATTATGTGACCCTATTGGATACGAGGTATTTATTTAATCTTTATTCAGACAACCACTTCTACCATTGGCAAAATTAAAAAATCATAAAGACTATGTAAATGCCATAGCCTGGGCACCTGAATCAACAACTCATCTTTGTAGTGTTTCTGATGATTCTTCTGCTTTGATTTGGGACTTCTCAGAATTATAAAATAAATAGAATGACCTTAATTCTATTGGTAATTTTATATTGATAATCTTGTAGATCCCTTATTAGAATACAAAGCAGAAAACGAAATAAGCAATTTGTCGTGGTCCTTAACTAAGGTGGATTAAGTGAGCATTTGTTATAATAAATCGTGTTAAATTTTAAATGTTTGATATTAACCTAATATAATTTATATCTTAATTATGCAATATTAGTTATAAAGATTGCCAAATATAACTAACAACAATAACTAAAATTTTGAATGAATCTTAAAAAATATTGCCTAAAATCAAAAACAAATAATAACTATAGTTTTTATAATGATTAAATAATCTATAAAATTATTTGTCTTTCAGGGAATTTAAAATCCTTAGTAAGATAAAATAATCAATAATTTTTAAAGAAAAAATAAAGTTTAGAATCTTCAGAATCAATTTTAGTTAAGCCAAAAATTACTTAATTTAGAATTATTATAAGTGCTATGTAATAAGAAAATAATTTCTTATATGGTCCAATGTTTTAATGAAGAGAATATTTCTTTCCTTCCACCTATTAATATTGATATTGTTTTCCTATATAAGAATTAAAAATAATATATAATTTTCTTAGATTTATTTCATCTTAATTTACTTTTATGTAACCTAAGGATAAAAAGATTATTTATATTTTAGTGAGTTGATTTCGACTTACTTTTTTTATTTTTATTTTTTTAGTTCAAGTGCAATTTCATCCCTTAAATTGTTGTATTTAATCTGTGATTAAATATAAATTTAGTTTTTATATATAATAGTACAGTTATAAAAATAAATTGATAATACAAATTTGATAAGATCACCTTTTTTACTAAGTGAATTGATGATCTTATTTTTATTATTAAGGTAGAATTCTAAAAACATATAGAAATATGAATTACTGTTTGAATTGCGAATGTTTAATCAATGGAGATTAAAAAAAAGAACTTTTAATCTTTGGAGTTCCAATATTTGATAAACTATCTATTGTTTAAATCTTCCCATTTAGCAAGGGAGAATTCATTTAAATTTGGTTTACGGAGTCTATAACTTTCTGTTGTTTTAATTATTAAGTTTCAACAATTCCTGGTGAACCTGGAGAATTCATTATGGCATTTCTTCTGAATATATCGAATTTTATGACTCTAGGAATATTTAATAATTGTTATACTCTTCATTCAATGCATTCATTCTAGAAGCAACTCCTCCCAATTCATTATCTTCATCTATTGAATCATTAACTGAATCATCTGCCATATAATTATTCATCTCAGCAAGGAAAGGATGTTTTAAACAATCAGCAGCTGAAATTCTTCTATTTGGATCTTTCTCAAGCATTCTCCTCATCAGATCCATAGCTGAACTTGGAGCTTATTGCAATTATTTAATTTAAAAGTTAATTACAGCTTCTCTATTTTGTTTAATTACAGTTCCATAGCTTTTACCAGAGAATGCTTATTTTCCAGACAACAATATATAGAACACAAGTCCAAGACTGTAAATATCACAAACCTCACTATAATGTGCTTTCTAATCTTTCAAATTTATAACTTCTGGGGCAACAAAGCCTGGAGTGCCACATCTACTATATAAATATACAGGTTCGTTGACTTTAGTTGCCAAGCCATAATCGGCAATAACCACTGAGTCCATTTTCCTAAAATATAGTTAACTTTTACTTTTAATGTTTAAATAGAATGTTCTCCAATTTCAAGTCGCGATGCATAATATCTTTTTAATGCATATGATGTAACCCTTATAAAACACCTACCATTATTTATTAAATCTAAGAAGTTGAGAGCAAAGTCTTCTCTTTTATCAAGTCATACAAGGAACCTCCTTCCAACAACTCAAGTCCCACATATAGCGAATTTTAGGTTTCGTATACCTCGTACATCTACATTATATGTGTATGATTCAGCTATCTCATGATCTATAACTCATTTAATATCGCCTTTTTTCCTTGTTCTTCTGCATATGCTACTTACTTAGAAAATACTTTAATTGCCATATTTTTCTCATTCTCAATATTCTATGCCATATAAACCTATAAGTATGATTTTTGAGGATAATACTGATGCAAAATTTCCCTTCCCAATTTTCTTATACACTCTAAACATTTGGTGAAATTGCCATTGGTTTATCCTGTTGCTCAAATACTCTCTCCATTGCTTAATCAGGTTTTCCTCTCCATAATACCTCTCTTATAGTATTTTGTCATTCCCTATATCCTTTATTAAGCATATCCCTTTAATTTAACCCAAAGAATCCTCATTTTCACTTTTTTTTACAACTTTATCCCTTAAAATTTCAAATTTAATCTCAAAATCTAAAGGAACATATTTCTTTGGTCCTTTTTGATGATCCTACACATCAAATAAACTCATATTACTTTCATATATAGAATATAATTATTAAAACCTAAGAGATGGCAAGTTTTATCGTTCTCTTTTTTAAATTAGGATTGAATCACTAATCTATCTTGTTTCCATTTTAAATCTTAGGACATACTTTAATACAAATTACTCCTCATCTTATTTAATTAAATATATAATTTTTTAACCAGTTACAATAGTGATTTAAATATCAAAGTCATGTCAAACAATAATAAAACAAAACAAAACTAAACTAATTTATTATCGATCAATCTTCTTAACTTCAAGAATATTTTTAATTAAATTCTTATATAGTTATTCTAATATTATATAAATTACAAATGATTATTATTAAATACTCATGATTTAAATTATTAAATATTAACATTATCAATTAAAATGCAAATGCACATTAGATATTTTTGATCAAAGCCTTTGCATGTTCTTGTGTCTCTCTTTAAAACTACAGGATTTATTCAGTTTAAATCTTTGCATCAACAATTCCCTTTTTGAACACATCTTTATTATTAGAAATCACTCTATTTAAACAAGAGTTGGTTTAATATAGAATACAACATCTATACTTTCGGTTTTGATATATCTATTTGCAGAAGCTTATACTTAAAGTTTATAGCTTAATTAAACAAGGCATTTTATTGGTTAATTGTAATAGAGAAATTATTGTTGATAAAATCACTAATTTTGATTAATTTGATTAAAGAACCTTCATTTTATTTTCATTTCTAATTGAATAATTAACTAATCTGTAGGAGTGTAAAGATTTTTCATATCCTTAAATTATAAATTTTAATTAAAATGGAAATAATACAAAAATAACCAACTACGCTGATTTGGATAATTCAACTTAAGAATATAATTTATGATTCCATAATTAAATAATCATTTTTACACAGATGTCATGTCTTTTATATTCATCAAATTCTTAGTTTTTTGATTAGTCACTAAACTATATGGGGAACAAGGGGCAAAATAGATCTCGTTTAGATTCTTATCTTGAATCGATTTTTCATTCTTCCAGAAGTTACAAGTAATAGGCTTAGACTTTAAAAACTAGGTTTATTAAGACAATTCTATACATTATCCGTGAAATCAGGTTGGTTCATAAAATTTACGAATTTTTCATCAAACATGTATTACAAATTTTTATTCTTAACATTTATAATGCTTAATCCAAAATCCAGATTCACATCATGTCCCATCCTTATTAAATCATTAATAGCTTGTGTAAATGTTTTGAGAATCGATTCGATTGTTAATTTATCAACATAACACATATTCGAGAGTGTTTATGGATTACAAAATTATGTTGCATGTCCTTGGTTGTATATGCTTCCAACTCCTCTACTCTTGTTAATTTCATCCTTTTATGAATAACGAGATAGTTATTTCTGTAAGTATGGGTCAACTATAAAACAAGGCCTAATGTTTTGATATAATTTCGGTAATTATTTTAATTGTGTTGATTGCTTAATGGGAATAGCTTGTGAAGTCGGGCCTATGAATTCAAAACTAAATGTCCCAAAGTTGTGAATGTGCAGAGAATTGCCTTTGCTGTAACAATCCTATAGCAATTCTTTCAATGAGTTAATAACCAATAGAAATTAATCCTTTGTAGTAAGATCTCTGTAAATTGACAACGTCCTTTATTACTAGTGATTATGTCTGCCTGGGTATTGGATTGGATGTAAAAGAATCCTAAATTAATAACATTTATACCAATCAACTATTCCAGATATATTCATTAATAAATTTAAATAATTTATCGTTTCCTATCAATATGGATGAAGACATGGTAATTCATAAATAAAATTTATTTCTATGATTATGGTGAAAATTATACATAATGATTCCAAAATAACAAGCATCAGCATAACTAGACTAGCTATTATTGGGATTAATTATCTATTTACAATATTAGATATACTATAAACCAATTTAATATGATATATATAGAAAATTGACCTAAATTATCTCTATCATAATGATTATTGTAATTCATTTGGCAGATAAATCTATAATGATACAGATATTTTCAATATTTTCAAAGATATTAATTAGGTTCATTATAAAAATTAGTTAAAACAACAATTTATAATGACTGAATAATCATTTCATTAACAATATACTTAGCTCTATAAATCTATCTATACTATATTGATTAACTACTTCCGTAATTCTTCCTTTATCTATCATTTTTACATATACATAATAATAATAATTTGATAATCACTTAATATGATAATTCCTTTAAGTAATTGTTACCATTATTTTAAAAATGACAATGATTTAGGGATAATATATTTACTTGAGAGTAAGATTATTTAATATCATCCCATAAATTTATTTTGTCATGTATAACCAATTATAAGTCAGTCCGTTGTAAAATAATAAGAGAGAGATCCTTAATGGGATGCCAGCTCCTGTGATGAGTGCATGGCTGTTTTGGTTTCATCTCAAAATAAAACTATGTGTCCTACGCGAGCAAGTTGTATGATAAATTTGCAATTCGAATTAAACACATAAACAATTTAGGAAATGTTATATTTTTTAGAATATTATGTGTATTCACAATTAATTTAACTATTTTATTTACAATTCATAATTAAAAATGGGAAGAGGAAAGAATTTTTTTAAAGTTAAAAAGTACTTGGGTCGTATACTTTTAGTGTTAACACAGGTTATTTTTGTATGGGCACTGTATACGACATCATTTTATGAAAATTCATCATTATCAATCCTACATTATTTGAGGGCATCTGCTTTTTGTTTTTGTTTATTGCTGTAGGCCTGTTAGATCCGAGCTTCTATTTCGGACCCTGGAGAAGTTCGTTAGAAAAGTATTCCATTGAAATTGTTATTGTTCCATGAGATGTATGATCGAAAATGTAGGTAGTGCAATTCATGGAAGCCACCGAGAGCACATCATTGTAAAAGATGCAAAAAATGCATTTTTAAGATGGATCATCATTGCGTATGGATAAATAATTGCATTGGAGCTTTAAATTAAAAATACTTTGTTCTATTTCTGTTTTACTTACTTTTATTCATTTTAACAGTTTTGGGTATTCACACTATTGGAATTTGTGATTATTTCATGAGGTCAAAGAGAAAGATTTTATCAATTATTATGACGATGACTATCACAAAATTTTAAATTTATAGTATTCTAGTAATTATTTTCTGTTTTACAATAATTATAAGTCAAATGCTTTTGAATTAAATTACAGCAATCAGAGATAATTAGACAGCGGTAGAATCAATATAGGATAAATTTGGCAGATAACAATTTTTCGTTAATAACTTTAAACAAGTGTTTGGAGATTAAGAATGGTACCATTGGCTCTTACCAACAAAACCAAAATTAAAATTAAATTATGCTGAAATCGTGTATGCCTAAGAACTCGATAATTTTGATACTGAATTTGTAGAAGATATCCTATACGATGAAACTAATCCAGCTAATATTCACTTTGCAGAATTTATGTTGGATAACTATTCTAAATAAAAATAATGATTGAATATTATATTATTATATATTCTTATTGTTATGAAAGGAGGTGGTTTCAAGGTGAGACCCACAACTCGTTGTAACTCTGCCATAAGGAGGCCAGCCTAAGAATTAGCCATCTTGGATCTGTATTAACAAACAACCATCAATCCAGTTCCCTAACTTATTTTAACACCAACTTAAAGAAGTCTCAGACCTAGGCCTAAAACTGGCATGAGGGTTACAGATTAATATTGCACAGTGGCTAACCAAGAAAATAAGACAGAACATTTCCTCAGACATAAGACTGCTCAAGGCTCTTACAGAACAACCAAATAATCAACGAAAATTTAATTGGAAACCTTAGCAGATGGCTTACTAAAAAAAACTAGCATCACATAATTAGATACTGATGTTCCATAATAATGTGAACAGAAATTGAAAACTCAACCTATAGATCTTTTCAAGTATAAGCATTCTCTACATTAATAATAGGATCTCACGTTCTAGTTCTCAATAACAAGTGAATGCCAATACCGTATTGCATCAACAAATTTCTAATTTAGATAGATACTTAATTTTGACTACTCTTGGGTAAGGTTCCTATGCAACCGTTAAATTAGCAAGAGATAAATTGACAGAAAAGTATAATTCATTTATATAATTTAGACTAATTGCAATCAAGATTTATTCCAAAGCTAAATTATGCAACTAACAAAGGAAATAATAATTGAAAAGAGAAATCCACATTCTCAAATTATTGGACCATTCAAATATCATCAAGTATGTCAATACAATCGAAACCCAAATGGATATCAATCTAATCGTTGAATACGGTGGTTCCAAGAGTTTGCGATCTTATTTAAAAGTATACTTGACCCTTTCTAATCCTAGCAATTTCCCAATAGAAGACTTGATGAAGAAGATGCAAAACTACTATTTAGATAAATTGTAAAAGCTGTAGATTATTGTCATTCTTTGAATATTGTACATAGAGATATTAAACTTGAAAATATACTCCTAAAAGATAACAATGAGATTAAATTGATTGATTTTGGATTCTCAGTCTTAGTTAATAGAGATTGCAAATTAGGAGTATTTTGCGGAACTCCTAGGTAATAATACTTCATTTACAATAGTTACATGGCTCCAGAATTAGTCAATAAATAGGATTACTTTGGTAAACCTGTTGATGTCTGGGCCTTGGGGGTTCTGCTGTATGTTTTATTGACAGGTCATTTTCCATTTAAAGGGTCCAATGATTCTGATCTATATGGATAAATTAAAAAAGGAATATACCAAAAGGTTAATGCATCCCCTCAATGTCAAAAGTTAATTTCATAAATGTTAACCATCAGGGCGAGCGAGAGAATCACAACTTTAAGAGTATAAAAAAAATAAAATTATAGATCTTGTAAGACAGATGGTTCAATTCTTGATTTTAATTAATTTATGTAATATAAAATTCGTCTGCAGGTTGCTAAGGGTCTCTAAGAAACCTATGGATCAAAATAATCACAATCAAGTTAATTACCTGATAATCAAGTTCAATCCTCATAGGCATCTTCTTCTGCTTTTAAAACATCGATTCCTTAATTTTCTAAAGAAGAAATTGAGAAGCATGATCAGACCTTGAAGGAGCAAACTTAAATATACAACGAGAGGAAAAAGAGGAATGGATAGAAATTTTAGCGTTTGACTAAGGAATAGTAATTGTAATTGGTAAAGCTCATTAAGAGTGATCCTCAATTTTAAAATCAATTGGCTGAAGCCATAATTAAGCACACTGAAATTGCGTAATTCATAAAGAAGGCCAATACACTTAAGGTGATGAAGTCATTAAATAAAACAGTAATTGAATTTAAAACAAATATGACAAATAAAATATAAGCCATATTTCTAAATCATCAAAATTAAACTTACAATAAGCTTAAATACTTATTAAAAGAAAAGGAGATGCTCATGATTAAAGTATTGGAATAAAAACTATCAACATATGTTGAAATCAAACAAAATTTCAAGGAGGCTTTATTAGCATAGTTGAAAAAAGTATTAAAAATGCAAATAGAGGAAAATTGTAGGAAATATGCTAAGACTTTGTCATCATAATTATAGCTGATGTATGAGGGAATCGCATAGATAATTGGACAACACGTTGAGCTTAATAAGGATAGTAGATTTGAATAAGAATTATGTCTGCAAATTTAGAAAGTCAAAGATTACTTTGCCACTAGTGAATAATAATACATTAAAGTATTTCTATTATAGATGTATAATTATAGCGCCTGTAAACAGATATGAACGATCATTATATAAATACAATATAGACTATCATTTAGGTTTAGCAAAAACTTAAATTAAATTGAATTATAATTTTATTATGAAAACTCAATAGTGATATATGTATTTATGCAATTAAACAAACGTAGCTATCCAAAGTGTAAATTACATTTTTCTATATTTCTTCTATTAAAGAGATTTTTTACATTTGTCTAGCTGTTTAATTAAAGAAGCAATATAAATCCTTATTAATGATTTTTAATATTAATGAGTGGCTAAATTGATTCAGAAGAAGCATTGTAAAAATCAAAAGTATTATTTGAACGAAAACGACTTGTCACAATATCAAATGCGTTGCAGTTGATGGAGAAAAATGCCAAATAGTATTTAGAACAATTTGAGCAATCTCCAGATTATAGATTGTTTAGAACTTAATTTAGATAATATCAACATACATCTTAATTAGATTAAATAGTCTAATTTCAATTGTGCGATTTGAGTGATCCAGATATATCATTTTATCGATAGGCAGAAAAAAAAATTTTGGTTTGTTATAATAAAATTCGTGATTATGCGCATTTTTAATAGATAATGAAATACGATGTATAGATGAAATTAAATGTATTAGTTAACTTTTCTTTATGATGATTTAAGAGCCAAAATAGATTGGTATGATTGCTCAATGTTATCTTGTATGAAGATCAGAGGATTGAATATATCTGGGAGATGCAAATAGAGTGACAAATAATGTTTTATTGATGAAGTAAGGACTTCTCTGGAAAGAAGTGAGGTTTGTAAAGGTAAATATGATGAGTACTTTGAAAAATCATTTAAATAGTGTGTAATGGATATCGCTCCAATAAATAGTGTTTAGTAAACAAAAAAAACTATATTTTTCTGATCTAATTTATATTTAGAGTGTAATAAAATTAGTTTATAGTTTTGCTTATAGTTCTTTTTGAAGAAATTAAAACTAAATTAATAAGTGATATTTTAATGCTCAATCATAGACATGTTTAAATCCAACATCAGTCTCACATGAAACAATTCTTTTTTCTAATGTAGATGTAACATCTTGTAATTTATCTTTATCACTTTTTAATACATTTAGTTGAGCATCCAAAAATTCACTATCGTGTTAAGCATCTTAAGATTTTTTGAGTGTCTCATTTAACACTCTTTTGGCCTAAAGTTCATTTGATTAATAATACATCATTTTGTATAAAAGTAGTAAGATCATCACTCATGGTCCCATGAGTATTCTTTACAGTAGCAATGTCCATTCTTAGATTAGACATCTCCTTTTTGCTGTTTTCGAGGTCTTTTTTCAATTCAACCAAGTAATTCTAAAGTAATTCGATGGATTACTTCCAATTTAATGATATGATCTTTCACACTTAATTAGAGACTCTCCTCAATTGACTTCTATCTCTTGAGCATTAGTCTTTGTCTTTCTCTTTCTGGGTCGAGCTCCTTATCAGATTCTAAACTTTCGTTAAGCATATTAAAATATTAATATATATCATTATGTGGCCCCTGCCTTCTACATACTTTAATACTGTTTTTCGTAATCGCTGGGTGATAGTTTCTGCGCTTATTAAATCTTCTCCTAAGCCTTCTGCTATCTGGCTATCGAATTTTGAAGTTCCATCATAGCCAATTGTTCAAGTTATTCTAATTCCTAAATTTTTAAATCATATAACTCCTTTTCTTTTCCTATTCTATCTTTTTCGTTTTCTATTTCATATCTTACTCTCTCTCTCTTCTACTTTAATTTGGCAACAGCCAATTAAGTCGATTGCCTCTCCTCTTCTTTCACTTAAATAGCCTTAATGCGACATCCTTCCTGTTCTAAACTTTTCTATAATTAAACGCTCTTGAATTCCTACTTTAATTGTTCTCTAAAAATCTTAGCTTCAGACTTCTTTTTGTTTAACTCATCCTCCTTTATTTTCTTCAACAATTCTCTTTGATGATGAGAAACAGCCAATGAGAATGGAGGTGGCTATGCTTATTTCTATTTCATTTTATTTTCTTTCTAAGCATTTTATTTGAAGTAGATGTTACCTTCATTTAGATTTCTACTCTATGACGATAAATTTCTTCAGCTCTCTGTTCATCCTATTGAATGTGCTTCAAAATCTTCTCATGCTCCATTTTTAATTACAGTATCCTATTTTGGATCTTTTATGCATCAGTCTCTGCCTATTTCTTTTGAACCAGAGTGGAAAATAATGTCTTCTTCTCCTATGGCACCTCTCCGGAGGACATACTGTATAAATATATTAATAATTAATAATATTTAGCTCGCTCACGTTTCACATTTTCAAAAATATTGGAATAACATACCCATTCATAAAGAGATGTAAGAATATATTATAACAAATATGTAATTATTTAAATTTTATGTCATTTTTTCTATTATTATTATTATTAACCCCATAATCCGTAATTTTACTATTATTGTTGTGGGTATTAGGCATATGGGTATTATTATTATTATGGATATTGCTATTATTATGGATATTGTTATTATTATGGATATTGTTATTATTACGGATATTATTATTGCTATGGGTATTGTTAGGGTGGTTAATTTTATGGATTTTTTGCTAAAGGATGATTAATTACATTAGATTATTATGGATAATTAGGTTATGGGTATTATGGATATTAAGGTTAGTTTGGATATGGAGGGTATTGATATCCTGATTATTACAATGGCTATTATGGTTATTATGGCTGCACTGGAGGTTAGTTTTTCTAGGATTATTGGTATGTTTATTATTGATTGAATTATTACACTAATTGTTCTGATTCCAGGTTTCGTGCCATCAAGAAGTCCTTGACTTTTCTATCTTATTCTTCTAAATGCATTTTTAATTGCCTAAATATAAAAATTGATTGTACTCATAGAAGACAACTGAATGGTCAATGTTGTCAATTGCTTATTAAGCACTTGCAAAGATATTAGTCTATCCAGATTATTACACCTATTCAGCTGATTGCTTCTTAAAATTTGAGAGTTCTCTGGCAATTCCGCAAACTTAAGAGATCAATTCTGAGACTTAGTTCATCTTGAGATATGTATGAAATACTTACATCGTTGTTAAATTGTTCAATAAAACCTTAAACATTCTAAAGGGCAGCATTGAAAATTTAATTTTTGGGGACTCCATCATTTAATCCTTGGACTGCTATCTTAGAAACATTTATTTCTTGCATTGCTTGATTATACTATTGGATCAAGAACTTTAATTAATCAACAATAGAATTGACTTATTAATCTAAGTTGGTCAATTGTCCAAAAAGTTAAGCATTTTGATTTACGAAATCTGAATTATTATTACTTTTAGGGAGTTTCTGAATGATGACTTGATCACTTTATGCAGCAAGTATAACTGTTTCTTTGCACTTTTCAAAACCACTTATCACATCAAAGTCGATCTTTTATGCTAATGAGTATTTACCCTTGAGGTCTTACAAGGATTTGAAATATTGTTAATTCAATTATGTTGAAGGACTTCTTGTCCATTTGGCACCATATTTAGTTCTATTTTCCTAATCCTGTTGCTATTCCCCCAATAATAACTATTCAATTTGACCTAACAATTAATTGCAAGTAATAGATGCTTATTTAGATTGTTCCATTATCTTCTCTATTCCGCTTAAACACCCTCTAGTTCTTATGTATGCAATTTTTTCTTAGATGCCTTGAGGTATTCCTCCTTAATCAAGTTGTTTTTGTTGGGCCATATCAATAAAATAGGTGACATAGGTTTCTGCATATGCTTGATTTTTTTGATCAAATAGCAATCTTAAGGATTCTTCAAGGGAGAATTTTGTTTATTCCACAAACATTTTGATCTCCCTAGACAATTATAAGGCTTCTTCTGATATAAAACCTGAAAATTTATTTGCTCCATAAACTGGTTCTTTGAAACTTGGAGGTTCAAGAGGTTTAAGTCTAATTTATTCCATCAAAGGGGGGTATGGCAATAAATCTTAGGCAATTAGTTACTCTTTGTATATTTGTTGATTCTTGTAATTATATTCAGTAAACAATTAAGTTAATTGTTAATTCAATTACTTCAATTGATCCAGTTAATCTGGTGGGAATGTCTTGCTGGCATTCTTGTCATTAATGATTGGTAATAACAATTATTGAGCATGAGTCAAAAAGCCCAATGCTTTTCCCATGTTTTAGCCTCTAGATTCATCCGATATTTTTCCATAATGAAACACTCCCATCTATATACACCCAGTAACAGTTGTCCATATTTGATTAAATTGAATTGTGGGTAAAATTTGAGAAAGAACATTCTATAATCATATAGGATTTAAAATACTTTTCCAATTTGTTTCTAGTATTAAGAATTCATTCCCTCAACAGCCTTCAAAGCGATTGTGAATTCCTTTGCAGCCTCAAAGATTGTCCCACAAACATTATTAAGTCCGAAAGTCTTCACTTGTGACATCATATTTTGATATAAAGCTTTATAGGCCAATCCACAGAACTATTTTAGAGGTTCATAATTACAGCATGTTCCAGAAATTCCAAATTTAGAGTTTAAATATCATACAATTAGGATACTGAATCTTTAGATAATCCATGAATATTTTGTTTTAATTGTTCCAATGCCCATAACCCATTTCTAAGTTTGGTATATGCAGCCTTACGATCAGGGTCTGTATCTTTTACAATCTTACTATTGGCTTGGTAGTAGTAAGCGATTATCAGATTGTAATATTAAGATATCAATTCTAATCTACCAGAATTCAATTGACAGCTTCTTTTCTAAAATTCATAGAACAATATATAAATACATGGTCATAGCTGTCACTCCAATTGAACATCACTTATGGGGATCTTTAATCTCCTTGTTCGAATCTTAGATGCTTGAATAGCAAAGAAAAGTTCTTCAGATATTCAAGAAGATTGTTCTCTAGGTTTTCTGATGTCAAAGGATCAGTAGCAATACTCAAGTTGATCTTCTCATAATCCAAAATTTATCTCAATTTTTAGGTTTTCTCTACTACATCCCTAATCTATAATTTATGTATAATATGGTTACTTCAGTGAAGAGAGTGGGTTCTCCATAGCAATTAAGAATTGCCTACTCGACTGGCTTGAGAAGATCTGCAGGTCTTGTCTATTTAAGAGGTAAGTTGAATAACATATTATGGAATTTTTATTAATATATAAAGGATTCCGCAATTATAATAATTATGTTATGGGCACAATGAATTAGATAAAATAGAAACACGTAAAATACCATATTTATCATAAACACACAAAATAGGACTCAGCCGAAAATAAAAGATTGTCATTTCTAAGTATTTCAATCTTTTAAGAGGATAACTCAAAATACTTAAATGATTCTAGAATGTGGAACCATATAATGATCTTAGGGTAATAATAATTATTTCCTAACAATATAGAATATGATTTAAAAATTAGATTATCATCTAATCGATTATTTAAAATAATTGTACAATGAAAAATCATAATTATAACATCAATATCCACTTAATATTATCACCAATCTTTTGAATTATTTATATACCCATAATAATGAGTTCATCAACACTATCAAAGATGTTCAAATGGCAATGGTCCCGTTTAGAATGGAAAGGAAAAGGACAATTTCAATAAGAAAAAGAGAAGGTTAGGACTGAATTAGAATGATATAAATCTATTAATAATTATTTAAATTTCATCTAGTAACTGGTCAGACAAGCAAAACTACCATAAAAATATTGCAAGCATCCTTAAAATATTCAAGCAATATTGATAATATTAAATATTTATATATAAATGTTTTAAAATTAGTTTTAGAATACACCGTTGTTTGAGATATTTGATTCCAAAGGTATTTCTATAAACCATTTAGATGTACTAAATAAAGCCAACAAGGAGAAAGAGAAGCATTACTAACAGCTATTAAAAATTACAACAAATAGTTTTGTTAAAGATTTCGATAAATAATTAAAGAGTATTAACGATTCTTAATATCCATAGACTATATTATTGAATTGCAAGGACAGAACACAAAAGTCCATTTCCCAAAGGAAGGAGATCTAGGATTAGTCTAACAGTTTTTATGTCTCTAAATCTATGTTCCATAGACATAATAATGGACAATTGAGTTTTCAATTACTGATACCTCTAAAACTAAGCGCCATGTTTATTTAACATAGAATTGTAAATAAATTGAGAAAAAGCCATTCCACATAAGATATCCAATAGAAGTACCAAAAAGCATTTGGCTAAACCTTTAAATAGATCTACATTCATTTATTTAAGGTTGGAAAGGAATGACATTCAGATCCTTAGATTTATTTGTCATTTAATCACCTTGCAAATTAAGAAAGATTTTTACAATGAAATAGGCTGATACTGATGGGTATGCTCCTTCTTATTATTTTAGGTCCATCATGGGGAAACATGGCTTTCCAATTGGATTTGAACATCAAAACCTAATAATTTAATATTAGGACAATAATTTAGAGACTTCACAAGACAGTTGCCAAATGAAGTATCACATGTTCTTTATGATTTAAGGATTACTTCCAAAAAAGCAACTGGATTTTCATAACAATCACAGCAAAGCCAGTAAAGTTAGAAATAATAAAAGTTAACTTAGGAGAAAATAACCAGGGCTAATATTGTTTATGATGATCATCCAACCCCCAAAAAAAAGACTCAACAACCACAATAATTGTCATAATAATAAAAATAATTGATCGTCACTTCCAGTTCTAAATCAAATCAATAGGATATTTCTTAAAATGAATTTGACATGAGTACTAAATTGTCTGTTAGAAATAATAAAATTAGCCAACAAGCTGACAGTGTTAGAAGGAATGACAAATCTGTCCAAAAACATAGGGACTTGTCAAGTAGTAAAAAATAATAGAGTAATGCCAGAATGGCGCATTCATTTCCTCGTAAGCCACCTTTGTAGGAATAATTGAACTAAGATTATTACATCAAAACTCAAAAGTTTACTACCTTTAATGAACAGAAACAAAAAGATGATGAAATCGAAGAAAACATTGAAATAGCAGTTGAATAAAAGGCAGAGGAGATTATTGAGGAAAGTCAAAAAAAAATTATAACCGCAAATAATTTTAATAAGAGAAGTCTAAGTGAACTTAAAGGGGAATCTAATAACCAAAGAGTAACTAATTAATTAAAAGTTAGAATGATTAGCAATTCGAAGATAGCTTAGAATAACCATTTAAGAATAGTGTCACTACATTTGCATAAGAAGGTTACTATGCAAATTAACTAAAAAAATATACAGACTTAAATCGACCATTCACTCCAGAATATAACTCCGATTTCAAATTTGGACAATCCAATTATTAATAATTCTGATTTAGTTCAAATTTTTTATAATATAAAGTTTTTATTCACTTCAATGAATTTCTCCTCTTCTTAATTAGAATCCTTAAGTTCGTTTGTCTTGATAAAAGTAAATTATTCGTAAGTTTCAAATTTCTGTAATTTATTTATTGGTGTATCTTAAGGAGGTTCTTTTGTAAACATATCATCAAAATGTCTCAAATCTTTATGCCCGAAAACTTTGGGTTTAAATGGTGGTTGAATTTATTTATTGTATAATCTATCCCAATCAATCTCTCTAAAGAATTCATGATCTCTGATCTCCTAACTTCCGTTGACTCCCAATCTTTTGGTAGGCTGATTAAATTGTATAATTTACATCATTCTATAAAAGTCCATTCAATATTGATCTAGCAGCAGATGAAAACCAATCCTTCATTTCTATTGGTTTCTCAAGTCTATTTTTGAACATTTATGTTTTATCTTTTGAATAAAAAGGTGGAGCACCTGCAAGCATTTCATAAAGTAGGGCACCCAAACTCCACCAATCTACACATTTGTTATGTCCTCCACCTAATAAAATTTCAGGTGCCAAATACTCAGGAGTTCCACAAAAAGTGTTTGTTTTTTCATCATCCTTTAAGTTGATTTTAGATAGTCCGAAATCTGTAATTTTCAAATGTCCTTCCATATCTAATAAAATATTCTCAGGTTTTAGATCTCTGTATATGATATCACGTTGATGTAAATATTCTATTGCTAGAATTAGTTCTGCTGAATAGAATTTTGCTCTTTCTTCCTAAAAACGAAAAGCTCTTCTTAAGTGAAAAAACAATTCTCCTAAAACAGCTACAAATACAAAAATACCTCCAATCAGAAAATCCATAATTAGATATAACTTAGTTCTTGTTTAGAATGCATAATGTAATTATACGATAAAAGGGTTCTTAACATTTTCAAGAATTGCTCTCTCATTCTACGTATGCAATCTCTAATTTCTCTTTTCAATCATCTCCTTTCTTAAGATTTTCATAGCATATAGTTTATTCGTTTCCTTATGGGTTACCAACATCACCTTTCCAAATGATCCCCTTCCTAAGACTTTTTCGAATTAAAAATCAGTCAATTTAACTATGGCCTCACGGTTATCATCAACAAACACCTACTCACCAGTCTCCTCTATTTGTTCAAAGGTAGCTGTCGGTGCTTTCATAAATTCGTCATTCATTTATTGTTCGCCTTCTTTGGTAGAAATGCATAATCCCATGATATCAAATTAAAATTATAAAATGCTGAATAAAATAATGCTGGTTTTCTTAAATGCATCATAGTTTATCATTCAATTAAAACAATTTCAGAAAATATGGATATATCTATTGAGCAGATAAAAATCGTTAACTAAGCTACTGGCAAATTAAGGTTACATTGTTGATTTGAATTAAATAAATTTCAAGTCAATCTGTATAAAGTTGAAAGGGAATTTAGTATAAATTTGATAATATACAATAGTTAATTTATTAGAATGTTTATTAATTATTCTATATTTAATAATTTATATATGTTGAATATTTGTTAAATATGCTTCATTTTCATTCCTTTAATGTTGTTATCTATTCTGATGAATTTGAATCTGTTTTTGCCTATAATTTGATTGTTTTAAAGTAGTCTTCTTCAAATTCGATTGACTAAAATATTATATAGAATACTTTTGATTCTTGTTTAGTTGTTGGTTCTTGGAACCAGAATACATAAATTGTAATAGAAAAGGGAAGTTGAACTTAAACTAATACAATTAATAATAGCAAAATGTATTGAAATGTATATGCTTCGCTAAGAATAATCTAAGTAGAATGCAATTTATACATCTAAATAAATGGTGCAAGTTTCAGTAGGCCCTTGGGCTAAAAAATAGATATCCTCTATGAAGTATAATAATTAACCCAAAAATGTCACACAAACAAGGACCCTTATAACACATGATCATACCAAAAGTTTATTCTTTATCGATTTATTTTTCTGCTATTTTCTTCAAAATTGACAAAGTGGTTTAACATTGTGGATTTTATTGCTAGACTCTTTTTAATGCTCACATTTAAAGAATGAGCAACTGCTATTAAAACCAAATCCACTATAAAACCAATCATTCTTATAATATGAAATATCTATTCTCAAATATATTTGATTACATATACTTTGACAAAGCCAATAGGATTTAGATATATTTGATACATAATCATACAGATTCCATATCAAAAATATAGTGAACAGTGAAATCAAGCAGATGCAATAGATTTTCAATTGCAACATTTTATGAGGCTGAAAGGTTTTAATCTTCACAGTTTTCCTAGCAAAATAGAATACAATGTAGGTCAAAAATGCATAATAGACATATAACTAAAAAAAGTAAAAAACCAACAATGTTTTTTATGCCACATTAAACAAAATATTACCTATTATTAGAAAGTATTTTACAAGTTAAGCACAAGATTATTAAAATGTAGATAACATTTTTTCTTTTTTTAGCCTATCTAAATTATTTCTTTCTTCTTATCAATTAGCATATTCCAACTGCTAAGACAGCTAATGCAATAACTTCAGAGACCCATAAGCTTTCGATATTTTTATATATAATTACGTAATGCAATATACTCCAAAATCTTGGCAACAAGTCATTAGTCCATTTGCATTAGTTGCCATATTAGCACAAGAAAATTAAAAATTAATTTTTGTAATATAGAATAATGTAATCAACTTAATTTAGTTTTGATATCTTAAAATTGTGGAAGATCATGTTCCTACAAGTCTTCATCAAGTGAGTGTTGACTATCAATGTCAGAATCAGATAAAAAAGCATTCAATAGTTATGGTTTTTTCATTTCTGTTATGTATTGTTCATTATTTAATTTCTTAGCATTTTCATCATCAGATTCGTCATAGTTCACATCGGACTCGTTGGATCTCTGAGATTTGTACCCTTTCTCAACTTTGTGCGATTTCCCGGAACTCTTTCTGGATAAATTCACCTTTTAAATTTCATTGCTTTTATTTAATCTAGCTGCAAAAAACCTTTTTATTTAGTCTTATATATAATAGTAATACCTCATAATCCCTTGATAAGCTTCAACAGGTCTAGGAGCATTATGATCGCCCAAAAAAGTAAAGATGTATTTTTCTCCCTTGAATGCTTCATACAAATCCTCAATATGATTCTTTCCAATCATTTTGTCACTACTCGCTCTTACGAAATAGGCAGCACATTTGGAAGATAATTTTCTAATATACTGCATAGTGTTAATATGTTTGGGATCATATCTAACTAGCTTCCTTACCTTTTTCCTTAATAAATAAAACACAAATCTAACACCAAAGGTTGGAACATGAAAATTGTCACCAATATCAATGCAAAGTTGCTTTAGATTGCTAAATGGAGAATCCAAAACTAAAGTATTTAACTCAGGATATTCGGCTGCAGCCATAATTGCAGTTACTGCCCCCATGCTTCTACCCCAAACTCCAAATGGACCTAATAGTGGGTATCTTTGAATAGGTATCTATATTTACTTCTCTTTGATATATTTTAAAATGTTTAAAAAGTCTTCTTTTTCATACCATCCAAGGGACACATACTATCCATCTGATATTCCACAACCGCCAAAATCAAAGTTCACTAAGCTCATACCTTCTTAGGCTATCATATTGGCATAACATGAAGATTCCAATCTAGAACTTGAATTTCCATGAAGATATATTATGCACGGTCTTGCCTTATCTTTTAAGTATACAGGACTATATAAAGAACATTGTAATTTTAAATTTTGTTGTCTTGAAAATACTACAAAATCTTCTCTGTAAATTAGTAATTTATTTACAAGCATAGTTGTTGGTCCTATTTTAAAATAACTGTTTGTATTATACCTAATTTTGAAGGGTCATATATTTATCTAGGCGGACGAACAACAGCATCCACTAGTTGATCAAAATAACCTCTTTCTTTTGAACTTTTCAATTTAATTTCTGCTGTGAATGGTTGATTCATAATTTATATATAAAATATGTGTATTATAGTGATCAAATTAAGTCTTTTGAACTTTATAGTTTTATCTTTTACTATATCTTTGCCTGCTCTTGAGTAAGATTTAATGATTTATTCGATTTATGTGCTTTTTAATCTTTCACAGTTGCTTCATAAAATTCCATAGATTTTAACTACTAGTGTTAGCTTCTCAACATTGGTAATTAACTAATATTAGGAACCTGATATTGCTATTGTAGTCGTATTTAAGGTTTCAAGATTTTTGGAGTTTGTTAGCAAGACACCAACAATGGTAATGATTGCCTAGGGATTTGCCCAGTGGTGTTATATTACTTATGAAGATCCTGTATTTATTCTTATAGGATTTTGTCAACTATTACCAATTTGGCTCTTCTATATGCAAAATTCATTATTGTTATTCTAATGTCAGAATTATTATTGTTCAAATATTTCCAAATGTAAAATGCTCCTCTTTTTAAAACTATAATTTATAAATTGTTTTTATACAATATTTTTCAGGATATTTCATAAACTTTTTCTTCAACACGGCATGAGAACACCACATATGATCAGTGTCTAAATCTATTATAGGTTGATATATATTTTTGAGATCTTTTCTTAATTTTCTTTATTATAATCTTAATTGATATTTCAATTCCTTTTCAGGATTTGGATTAGATTCTTGAGTTTGCGAATACATTACTAATTTATCAGTAACCGAAACACTACGATTAATAATTTCTGGCTATTTCATTTATTGTTACGTATTTTCTCGAATGATGACTTTCTTTCTCAAGAGTAGCTTTGGCTTCACTTCCTCTGGTTCAGTCTTCTCGATTTTACTCTCATTAGTTGTGTCATCCGTTTTCTTTTCTAGTTACTGCTTCATTTTCCCAATGACAGATGTCGAAGCTGATTGAATTAACAGTTGGAATTCTTCCCTTGATCTACTCACAAGAAACTTGATCAATACGATCGCGGTGGACATCTGTTTTGTTTTGATCGGTTACCTTAAAATCAGATTCTTAATTCTATTGTACAAAATGTATGCCATCAAAATTATTTTCAGCCATAAAGAATTACTTAAACATTGAAAATAAATCCTTTGTATCCTTCTGATTGAACCTTATTATGTGCATTTCAGGTCTGAATTATTTTATTATTGTTTAACTAAATCTATATATTTACATCCTTTCGGGTAAATTTACCATTAGAATTTTCGACAATGCGTCGATAATCTTATTCTCCTCCTCAATTCTTTATTTGTCGTTCTTCTTAAGTCCAATTATTTTGAATCCCAATTATCTTAAAGATTATTAAACTTTTGTAAATTCCAAATCAAAAAATATTTGATTTGCAAGTACTTACTAGTTTATAGCATGTAATAATCTAATGTCTTCGCTGCGTTCAAGAATTATTTTCTGTAATACTTCTAGTTAGTTAAATGTAATATCCATATTAAATTTTTTATAATTAATATCACATTTCATAATTTTTATAACTAAATCTTATAATTATATTTCATTCGTCAAATATTACAATATGCATATATATATAATTATAACTGATTCAATTATTATTTAAGACTTGGTATATATATCGTTTGTATATAATCTGATAATTAAACTTTAAAAATATTAATTCAAACAGAAAATTAATAGTTATGATGGTTATGAAAAGTTATTAATTTTTTTGAAAAAATAAAATTTTAACTTAGTTCTAACCTCTCTTATCGTTGTAATTTAATCTTAAAGTATAAAATCAACTTATTAAAATATATTCATATCTCATATTAAACTTTACAGTTATGAGAAGATAAAATGTTATAATTTTGAATTTATTTATTGAATCAATTTCTTTATAGAAAAATAATGAGAGATAGTTTTTTAGATGTATGAATATGTTTTGTTAGGTTAGTTAATTACATAATTTGTGTAGTTTAATGAAAAAATTATATAATCAAATTGCTTATCAATTAATAAGATAACTTAAAATCCTCTTCTGTATTCCTTAATATATATTGGAATTATTTTCGATTTTTGTTAAATACAGAAAATAAAATAATATATTAAATTTAAATAAATAAAAAGTTATAATCCAACGGGTTTTATAACAAAATTCAATTTTATGAATCTTAATTTAATATATATAAAAGAGGCTGTTTCCAAGTTATATAAATTGGTGGATATCGAAGTTTAAATCTAATTAATTTGACTAATGGTATTAATTTATTTAATATTTGCTTATGAGTGTCTCAAAAAAATATTATAGGAGTAGATACTTAAAATGGGTTCCTAGCCTGATAGAAAAAGCCATTTAATTAAAACCTATTTCAGTTGTCAAATAAATTCGCACACTTCCAGATCTTCCCATTATAAATAATTTAAAAATAATGTGTTAAATATTTGAGTATATCAATACACAATGGCCAGAAGTTACTCCTTAATGAGCTTCAAAATTACAAAAGTCATTAGTACCTACAGAGCTTCAAATGCTAATACTAGAATAACTTGTAAGGGAACTTTAATCTAACGAATGTTCATCAAAGAAATAATAAAGAATTATGTCAAATATCAAAGTAGTTTGTAAATATGACACCTATTCCATAGATAACTTGATGGTTTGGGTGCACTGAGAAATCTAATTAAAAATGCAGATGACTTAAGTATCAACATTAACAAGGCATAAAATATTGAATTCTTTGTCGGATCGTTGAGTGATGGTCATGGAGAGTTTGGATCTTAAATTTCTTCTTATTTGCAGAATTTTATTTGGAGGAGTGATAAAAATTGTTTACATCAGTTCCCATATTATAGATTAATTTGACCTTAAAAGGAAGTCTAAATAAGATATATTTTAATTAAAATTGATAAATCTATTATAGCAGATTGAACTAAAATTAGTATAATTATGTTTATAATATAATTTAGACTGCCAAAATATTATTTGATTGCAAACTAAGCGGAGCCTCACTGCTTAGTGAAATTATAGTTAGTAATGTATTATATTTTTCGAATTGGGAGACTCTAAAGCTTCTTACTTTTATAAATCAGAGTAGTTAAATGAGAATTCAAAAGATATAAGAAAATTTGTTTAAAATTTAAACTAAATACATGATACAAATAGCGGAAAGGAAGTAGATAGGATAAGGAGGAAGGGAGGAAAATAGATTAGGCCATTTAAAAGGATAAAAGGAAGGCAGTTTGAAAATTGGGTACTAAATAAAATTATCCTGGCTTCAAGATAACAAGATGTTTCGGAAATTCAATAGGGAAATCCATAGGAATTACAGCTAAAAATGATTTTAAAGAATTTAAAATCCCAAAATAAGGGTATCTTCTTATGGCAAGTACGGGATTGTGGGAGAAGTTGGATATTTTGCTGATTGATAAAATCTTAGATGATAATTACCCTCCTTAAAACTTGGGCTGATGTAGATCGAGTTATAAATAACTTGAGAATAAAATCAAATGATTTTGGGATACTGATGGATAAGGGTCTGCAACATTTATTTAAGCTTAGTTTACAAATCTTTAGAAGAATGATTTTATTCAGATATGTATATAAATGTTAAAATCCTAGAAAATAATTGTCTTCTTTCAATTTGAATGATTTGGGATCATATAATTTATCGAGACTAATAATATAATAATTTTAATGTAAAATAATAATATTACCTCCTATAATCTCAAAAAAATGTTATCTCCCATTAAAAGCAAGAAAACTTAGGACTTGTTTTATTAAAATCAAATTTAATCCTTTGTACATTTAAAGTCATATATGCCAATTAATCCTTTAAGATTACCTTAACGAAAACACAAAAAAGTTGCTAATTTAACATAAATTGATGACATCAAATGTAAATGTTTATGAAATAAGAGCTATTTTAGCAGAAACAATAAATAAGAAAAACACTCTCTAATGGTTCAACTTTGTAAACTTCTGAATTACCTGAATATTTAGGAGTCTATACAATTGCAGAAGAAAATGAAGAGCAAGCAAAATTCTATAGTAAATAGCCAACTCCCTCTTATGTTCATTATCAAAATCATACAAAGTAGGTAATGAATTTAATGAAAAATACTCATAAATAATTATCTCCAGTGATTGGAACAAAAAAATTAGAAGCTAATTTAGTAGGATCAATAGATTTCAATCAATTTACAAGGTTGATGAAGGCAATTTACTATCCTACAAAATAAAATAAAAAATAAGACATTATTAAAAAAAGGGCTGTATCAGAAAAAATTTTCCAAAAATAAACTTAATGAATAAAATTATTGAATATAAAAAATTTAAATCTAAATAAACTTAATGTTGAATTTTTTAAAAAAGTTATATAATTATATTAAATCTTTAATATAATAATTTATCATAAAACTTTTAAGATAAATTGTTTAACAATTAGTTTTCTTCACCAGAAAATTTAATACTGTTCTCTTAAGATTGAATTCTTCTACAATTTCTTACAAATTATATCATCTTTATGTATAATAATACTAAATTTCTGGTATTTTTATAATTAATTGCAATATATTATTAAAGTTCTTAATTTATATTCCAACAACATATCTACTAAATTTTAAACATTTTAAATAAGTCCTTGATGAGCGAGCAAATTTTGCGTTTTAGAACTTTTTTATTTTTATTTTATTAAACGATCGAAATTTTTGGAAGTTGAATAAGCTTCTTTTTTACTTTTAACATTCTTTTTGAAAAAACTCCAATATTAATAATTGAATAAGGATCTTTTTAAAGCTGATTATGTTGAGCATCTAAAGTTTGGTTTTTCTGAGATACTAATTAAAATTGAATTGATTCAGCTACCTATAATATTTCTTTCAAAAATAAATAAATGAACTTTTTAAGATCGGCTGATTTTTTTGGAATTCCTTTTGTACAACAAATAGATTTGAAGTAATCTATATATAAAAGTGCCTTTGGAGGATTTGTTACTTTACTAATATTCTCTGCTAGTGTAGCTTATTCAATATGGGTACTTTATCTATGGTAAATTAATTAACTAAGCCCTAAAATATCAAACTCAATCTATAAGTCAGACTTCAAATTGCTTGACATGGATTATGATATCATCAAATTATACTTTTGGAAATTCGATTAAGAGATGATTGATCCATTTGAGGAGAAAATTTTAATACCTTTAGTGATGTATACAACAAATTTCAGTTTCACCGATTTAGAACCCTTGGAAATGTCAAATCAAACTACAATTGATGGGAATAGTAAGTTTATCATCCCCAAAATGCGTTTAGCTTTTTAAGAATTTAATGGGGAAATATTTACAACAACTGAAATGTATATTTAGATAGTTAAGTGCTCAGATATATATTTGAAGCCAAATGAAAAATGTGCCTCTCAAGAATTGATAGATAAGTTCTATAAACAACCCTTAAATGTTGCAGTTCTGCAAATTCACTATAAGTCGTTGAATTCAAATGACTGCTCTGAATAAACAAGTGTACAAGAATTTTATATTTAATTGGAATAATAAAATTGTTACACATTAAATACTTTTTTATAAAGTAGTTTTTACGAAATTAGAGATTCCTTTCTTTTTGGCTCTCCAAAATATGTTGAATACATCAACGGAGCATTAATTTAACCATAAACTAATTCTATTGAATATTGTAGGCTTGCCTATGATAATGATGTCTTAGGATTAATTTACATAGTGATGAAAGGAAATCAAGTCAAAACGATATTTGAGTATCCTCATGCTGGAGATTTATTGGCAAACATTGGATCTATAGTATCAGTATTATTTATGATAAAATATTTAATTATAGTGATAAATTAGTACTTTTTGAATAATCAGATAATTAAATAGTTGATTGAGCTTTATTATCCGGAATATAAGAATATTACAATCCAGAAAAATTGGAAAAGACAAATTAAATTAGTCAAATATTAAAATAACTAAGTAGATCTTAAAGAATTTTAAACTTTTAATGAAAAAATTTATGATTAAATGAAGTCAAAATTTAGTTTTATCAATCTATTATATGAGATATCCAGAATGCAACTTCTGATAAGATCAACAAAGAGTAGAGAGGAATTTCGAAAATCTCATTAAATTGGTATTAAATTGAATTTTTCAAACGATAAAGACTTTAATTTCTCAGCTGCTAAACCAAGTTATACGCAAAGAGCCTGTTCAAATCCATTATACTTAACTGATGAAGAGGTAGATATACTATCATTAAATGAACGTTCAAGAGAGATAAATTACGATAAAATCCCAGATGAATTATCGGAATAAAATGATTTTTATGAAATTAATAAAATAACTTGAAATTTAAAACTGATAATTAAGATCATGTTATTTTTACGTATGATATTTTATTTATTTAATTAAATTCTGAATTATATCTATAAATTCATTCTTTTGAAAATCAAAATGAGAAATCTTATTAATCTTGAAATTATTAAAATAAGGAGTTGCTTAAATAATTAAATATGATATCCAGATATTTATCTTAAAGGCTAAATTAATATTTCTATATTTAATTATTATCAAATTGATTCTTCTTTCTTTGTTAAAATAATTTTCCCAATTTTATTTCATTATTATAATTTACAATAAGAATAATACTGATGACCCCTAAAGTTAGAAAAGGAAAACCACATAAAAAAGCTTCTCCTATTAAGAGCAAAGATATTAAAATAATAGTTATTGATAGTTTCAAGAGAGAATAAAAAAAATAGGAAGTGAAGAAAAAGGGAACCAAAAAGTAGTTAAGCAAATTATAAAAATTTCAAGCTCAATTGATTCCTCAAAATAATGTAGATTAGATTAGATTACAGCATATCTCATGTAAAATACAGTGATTTACTTTAGCTAAAATTTAGTAGAATTACAGAACTCAAAATCAGTCATATTTATTAAAAATAAAGAATTAATATGATTAATATCAGTCTTTGATCTTAAAATATACATTGTTAACTGAACTTGATGATTTTTGTCATACTCATGATCTTCTAAGAAAAACTATTATAAATACCTTCATTAATTAGATTAAGCTAAGTTTCAATTTTCAAAATAAGAATCAATTTCAAGTTATTACAATAGATCAAATGATTTCGATATAATTAAAAATTAACGCATAATCTTATTAATTAGAACTATATAATTTACTAAAACCAATTTTTAGATCTAAAACTGTGGATTAAGCTTTCATAAAATTAAAAATAATGTTGCAATAAAGATATATAAAGAAAAAGTTAGAGGAGAAACATTAAGTCTTTGAAAGTTTGAAGGAATAAAGTTTAGAAAAATGTTTTGATAATGAAATGGGTAATTTGCATTTTTCCTCATTAAATTACGCTTAACTTTTAGAAATATAATAAAAACAAGAGTTAATATAAAATGCAAAGGCAAAATAAGATTAACCATTAATTTTAGATAGTTTTTTTAAAAATTCTAATTTGCAGAATCCTAAATAATAATTAAGTTCAATTAGACAATTCTTAATTAAACCAATTGCTAAATAATAGATTGAAATAAGTAAAATTTCTGTGAAATCTAGAAATCAAAGTAAAGAATCATGTTATTCAAGAAATGAGTCTTATTTAATGCCTTTTTAATCAAATATATAAAACAAAAAAGCTTAACCATATTAAAATTTAATTCAAGAGTTTAGATAATAAAACAAATAGGTATTTTAACCTAATGTTAATCAAAAATTGAGTAGAGCTTAAAGCATGAATACATCTTTTGAATTACCTTTTGATTTTGAATCATAAACAAGTTGTACTCCAGCTAATGCTAAAAAAACTATGTTAGTCTAAAATGGATAAAATAACAAGATAGGTTTTGAGGTGGGATGTCGAGAAATAGATAAATATAGTTATAATTCTAGGAAACAAGTTAGAAATCCAAATATAAGTGTTAATAGGAATGACTTTAATCAATCTCAATAATTTAATTATCATAATAGAAGTGTTGATTTTAGTAGATAATTAGGATTAAGCAATTTATACAATTCTAAGATGTTTAATGTAAATAACAGTTAAGTAAATGGAAATAGCAATCTATAATTTTCAAAAGTATAATCATAAAATGCTAACAATGATTGGTTAATTGAATCACCATAAGGCAGATCAGTTCTTTAATCATAAAATACATGGTAATAATATAATTGGATAATATTTACAAATGAAAATAGCAATTTGAGGTTTAATAGATAAATCAACATTTAAAATTTGAAATTATTAAATGTTTCAATTGAATCTACTTTTTTTGATGATTTTGAGTATATATTATTGAGTGATAAGTTTAAAATATTGATAATGGAACAAAAAGACTTAGTTTGCCCCGAAACCCATATGAGACTGGGTAAGGGGGATGAAAATGGAGCAATTCAGGCTATGATTAATAAAATGAAACTTTAAATGCATTAATTTATGCTATAATACAATAGTAGATAAGTAATTGTTTTGATTTAATACTAACACTAATTTTTTTTGAGAATGCTAATCGAATACATATTTCCATAATTAGGATAATTGTAAGAATAATATAGGATAACACCATTTTACTAGATAGAGGAGTTGCAAGAAATAATATTTGATTTAATACAGACCTAAGAGAATATTAGATATGATAGATTGATAAAAGTATCAAATGATCTTAGCAAATTTCGATCAAAAATATAAAATATTGAATTTTCTAATTTGGTTACAATGAGATGCTTGAATCAGTTATATTAGACTTTAGTATAATAATTAACAAATTGATGAAATTAATTTCCATTTTAATATTACTTTTAAAAATAAATATTAATTTAATTCAAACAAGAATTTGATCTATTATCAAAAAACTTAGAAATATAGAACAGAATTGAGATTAAGTATAATCATTGATATTTTAAAACATAACTTAAAATTTTACTTATGTACTTGGCTGCTAAATCCATTTTCTAATCTTAAAGGAAAGTATCGATCTTCACGAGAATTCAAGTTATAAGTTATAATATATTTTAATTAATTAACTATTTTAATGATTTTTTAAATTTATAATAATTTTGAGATGTTTGAAATCATGAAATATTATTACATAAATTCATATATATTATTTTAGTAGCCTCTCTTCCTCTTAAATCTATTGGTCCTGTTTTTACTGGCACATTCTCCCTTCCCTTAGGTTAAATCCTTCTTGCTGGACTGACATATATTTTTTATATAAGTTTTTGAGAATCCATGGGTTTGGGTGATGCCATTCTGACCCTTTGTTCTGGTTTTTACATAATATTATATTCTGTGATTCTTCTTCTTGGTGAACCACATCTCAATTACTATTAAGAGGGATATGATCGAAGAGGAGATCTTGGCTGAATGTTTTCTTAGAATTCTACTAAATTCAACATGTTGCTATATTTTTTTACGAATGAAGATGTAAGAATTTGACTGATAGGAGGTCTATGATTAGGATCTAGAGATAATAATTGAGAAATTAATTAGAAAGCTTCTTTTGATACTGATGGTTTGATTTTAGGCTGGCATTATCTGATGGCAACTGAAATTTCCTTAAAATCCTTTCCTTTAAAAGGTGCATATTTATGAAGTAACTCATATAACAATATTCCCAATGACCATAAATCAATTTTGTAATCATACATTACTTCCATTACTATTTCAGGTGCCATATATTCATAGGTTCCACAAAAGGTCTTTCTCTTTTGATGTATATTCTCAGCACACCAGCCAAAATCGCATACTTTCAAATTAAATTTTTCATCTAATAATAAATTTTCTGGTTTGATATCTCTGTGAAATATATTATTTTAATGCATATATTGTAATGCAAGACAAGTTTACACAAAATACTTGCATGCTTCTTATTCACTCATAGGTGGATTCTTTTAAATATGAGTAAATAAATTGCCTATATTTAATTTAACGATATTACCATTTTCGAGATATTCGATGACAATAAAAATAGAATCATTTTCATAAAATGAATCATAGAGTTATACTATATTTGGATTCTTGCATTTTTTATGAACTCTGATTTCTCTTTCAATGCCTTCGCTTTCACATTGATTAGTTATTGTTTCTCCAGGCATCTAAACATTTTAAAGACAAATACTATTTTAATTGCATATTTTTTCTAGGTTGGTTTATGAATATATAAATTCACACTTCCAAAACTACCATTTCCTAATTTCTATATGAATTAAAACTCATTCATTGTAGTAAATGTTCCTGAATTGAAAGTTTAGATTTGTTTGGCATAACTAGACATTAATAAAATTCAGAATTTTTTAACGGTATAAATATTAATTTTATTATAATCAATAACAATCGATTTTCGCAGTATTCTTAATTACTACTTATACAGGTTTATAGAACTATCAATCTAAAAATTAATCAACATTTAAGCATTAATCACAAGATTATCAATTCTTTAACAATGTGGGAAACCGTCAATTTTTCCGGGTCAATTTCCTTACTATTTTTATCAATCATTTATCTAAAAAGTGTACTCTATCTTTGTTTCTTTATCATCAATAACCTTAATAACCTATTGTGTACTTGTAATCGAAGTGGTTATTTGTAAAATGGATGAATAAATACTATAGAGACAACTACATTTGATTCTTTTTTTATAAATTCTTAAAATACAACAAAATATCGGCTCAATTCTAATTTCTTTGAAAGAATATGTTGATATATTTGAGAATTATTCCAAATAATTGAAAATATGAACTTCTTCAAGAAGTATTGTTACTGAATTATTAAGACCTAATAATAGTGTCGCTAATTATACTTTAAATAATTTATACAGAAAAAATCTTTATATTATCTGGAAAATTGATAGGAATGAATGAGCACAAAGAAGTCATTAGGAAATAAATTGGAGATTATTGTTTTGATATGAATGATATTATTGGAGAAGGCTATTCATCCAAAGTCTATAAGGGGATTCACATGGTTACTCAATAAGTTGTTGCAATAAAGGTCATTTCCTTAGAAAATTACAACTCACCAATATAGAAATCTCTTCTTTAAAATGAAATCAAAATTCTGCTGCAAATCGACAATCCCAATCTACTAAGAGTGTATGAAATAAGTAGAAGTGCCAATAACACCTATATTGTGAGTGAATATTGTGAAGGTGGTAATTTAGAAGTTTTACTGAAACAGGAACCAATCAAAATAAATAAGGCTATTGACATTCTCACATAAATTTGTAAAGGCTTGTTAGACTTACACAAAAAAAGTATCATAATAAACTTCTATAAATCTAGATATCATACACAGAGACATTAAACCTGCAAATGTATTAATATAAGATGGCATTTTTAAACTTGTTGATTTTGGCTTCGCTCTAATTGAAAATTAATACGATAGCATAATCAAACGATACAATGTTGGAACTCCTATGTACATGGCCCCTGAAAGTTAATTGTTCAACCAATATTCAGAAAAAAGTGATGTATGGGCTTTAGGGGTTATGCTCTATGAGATGCTATATCAGACAGCTCCAAAATTTAAGTTGAAGGAGATGACTTTTTTATAAGAAATACAATAAAAGTGCTAAACTATCGATATCAAATATTAAAATCTAATTCTTAAACTATTTGAAGGTATGCTATAATTGGCCTCTGAAGATAGGATAACAATCTAGTAGATTCTCTCAATAATACAAGAGAATCAATTATCTTAATTATCTGCTTAAAAAACGAGTTCACAATTAATTAAACTTTCCTAAAAGTCAGTTTCTACATCAATTAATTCTCCACTTTAATTTAAAAGTGCAAAAACCCCAAATGAAATAAGGAAAAAATACGTCTAAAAACTCTTATCAAATAATAAGCCCCTATCTTTCGATGATTAAAAGTTAGCCAATTGTCTTAGGGTGAAAACTTAAAAGGAATAATAGGAAATTGAAATCACTTAGTTTACATCTGACGATGAGTATCCAGGTAGGAATCTCAAAACTAGTTTGAATCAACCAGCATCTAAATATAGCCATAAAAAAAGCGACTCGGATATCAATATTGAATTGATTGGCTAAATTAGTACTGATTGTTCGATTCAGAAATCTCCAAAGTAACAAAATCTCTTGAAATAAGTTAATTAGGATGTTGATATACCATTAATATTGACACCTACATACAAATTTTGTGAATTTGTAGAATAGGCCATATTGAACTTTCCTAATTAGGATAATGATCTAATGTCGAAGTTTCAATTTCTATTAAGAAAGCTATTGGCCATCAAAGCCAAAGTATTCTATACTTTTGCCCCAATAAAAATTAAATCATAATTGGATAATTGGATAAATCAACTTCAAGACTATTACAAGAAGATCTAACATCAAATCAATTTGAATTTAGATAAGACTTTTTAAATATTTTTTAATCCTAATCTAGAAGATTAAGGCAAGCTCTTAACGATGTATATCATGAATTTGGCCAATTAAATGAACAGTTAATCAAAAGAAATACAAATTATAATTGGAATTTTGGAAGAAAATTTGTAACATCAGAATGATCCCTTCTTATTTGCAAGAAAATGGATGTTCCAGAAATCATGATATTATTCGCCAGATTTGAAATTTGATTATAATTTATAGATTACCTTTGATAAATTAAATTAAATTTTCCTTATTAAATATTTCTTTGAAAAATGGACTCAAATGATTAAAACGATCTAAAAAAAAGACTTGAATTAAAACGGAAAATATTGTAGGAATAGAAAAGGGCAAAGGAAGAAGAATAAAAGAAAAAAAAGGAAGATGAGGAACAATCATAATAAATGAAAAAATAAGAGTAATAATCATCTGAAAATATTGTTAAAAAATAATCTGATAATGTAATAAATGTATTGGTATTTACAAGTAATCTATTATTGACGATAACCTTAAATAGTAACTTAATGAATAATAAAAATAGAAAGAATAATAAATTAAATCTGAAGCACTAAGAAAGTAGAGTGAACAATCAAATTAAATTATGTCATTATAAAAAAAAGAAAATTCACAATCCACATAAAATAATTAGAAGCCACAAAAATAAGATGATTAAAAGGTGATATAGATTACTAATAAGCAAATCAATAATTAATAAAAAACTTTTGCTTCTGATTAAAAAGGAAAAAATAAATTTATAGAAGATAACAATAGAAATTAAAAGGAAGAATTATAAAAAAAAAATGATGAACCAAAGCCTGATTAAATAAGATAAGATAAAGAACAATAGGTTTAAGAGGAAAATAAGAAATAGTTATTACTAATCAATAAAAAAACAGATAATGAGAAGTAAATTAGAGATTAAAAGCATATCAAAGAATAGGATGAAAAAGATAAATAAAATAAATAAAGACTAGAATCTGAAAAAATTGAAAAAGATAGAATTGATAGAGAAAAAAAAGAAAAAGAAAGGCTAGAAAAAGAAAAATAAGAAAGATTATTAAGAGAGAGGCAGGAAAAAGAAAAATAATTAGAAAGGGATAAGTAGGAAAAAGATAGATAGTTGAGAGAAAAATAAGAAAAAGATAAATAGGAAAAAATGGAAAAATTAAGATTTGAAAGAGAAAAATAGGAAAAACTAAGATAAGAAAAAGAAAAATAAGATAAATTGGAAAGAGAAAAAAGGGAAAAGTAAGAAAGACTAGATAGATAAGAAAGATAAGAAAGACTAGAAAGATAAGAAAGAGAGAGACAAGAAAAATATGATAGAGAAAGAAAAGAAAAAGAAAGATAAGAAAGAGAAAGATAGGAATAAAGAGAAAAAGAAAAATAATTACTAAATTCTAAGCGTTAATTAGAGCGTACACAAGTTTCGCAGAAAGATTCGGATTCAATTTAGACTAAAAAATAAACTTAAGAAAGGATAGAATAAGAATTTGACAATTCGTAGCAGTAAGCAAATTGTAACATCTACGAAGAAGGCGAAATAGTCTGTCCATAAAGAACTACAATTGTCTCAAATATACCTTTATCCAAAAATGTAGAACAACAGCAACCGATAATAGAAAATAGAATAAGGAAAGCAGGATAAAGGCACTGTAAAATAATACTACAGGATTTAAGGGAAAAGATTTCTAAATATAATTCAAAGGACAATAAAAAGAAATAAAAAAGACTTAAAAAATATAAAAAAGCAGTCTTTAAATTTTTATAAAAATTACCTGAGATAAATGATTAATAAGAAAACAACACATAAAGATTTTTAGAAGTTTTCAATTATTTTGATAATATTATTTGATTCATATAGTATAATCTATTATTATTACTAGATACTAATTTTAATTGTGTTAAAGTAATATATTTCTTAATTATATTTACCTAATTTTCAACGAATAAATGGCAAAAGAATTTTAAGTTTTGAAGTTAAATTCTCCAATCAATCAAAAGAAAAAAAGCACATAATTATGCTTTAATTCACTTGGATTCTTGCATTCTATTTAATTTGTAAATCAAATGGAAAAAAGTGATGAATTAAAATAATCACATTAAGATTTGATGAAAAAATATTATTAATCAAAGACATATGAACAAAAATAGGCAGCTCTATCCACTATTTAATCACAAAAAGTATTTTATTAATTTATAAGACTTTGACTTAAAAATTTGAGAATATTAATGATAAGTTGAACCTAAAACTAAATAGTAATAAACAAAGAGAAAAAGAAAATTAATTTTTTCGATAACCTAAAATTTCAGAAATTGATCAATCTATTAATTAAATACCTAAAGAAAAGCCCTTCTTCAATAAGCAAATTGATATTATCAGGCTCCACAACCTAAAAGAATACGATAAAAAGTCAAACACTCAATCTAAGGTTGTATCATCAAATACTGCTCTGATGGATAAACGGACTCTAGATCCCAATATAATGCCCCTTTCAAGCTTGGTTAGAAAATCATTAAAATAAAAAAATTAACCGTAACTTTTATAATTAAGCTCAAATACTTTATTCCTTAAGGATGAGATTTCAGGTAAAGTCTGCTTTAAGTAAAAATCTCAAAGCTAGTAAGAAGTGTAAAGACATGTACAGGATGATTTAGAAGATACATTAGTATAAAAGGACGAAATTGAAAAAGAAATCAACAATTGTTCACCATAATTTTCTGTGAAAAAATGCTTCTTTTCTTTAATGCAAGGGTGTGTAGGTATTTTATAATCTTAGTGTTAGAATAATAGAATAGTAAAACAAGATCTTTAAGCAATGAAAAAGGAGTGGATATAAAAGGGTCCAAAGTGTCAAAAAGCAATAGAGCACATACTTAAGGAAAACAGGAGTAAAAATAAATGAATCGATTGTACGAATATATTTTAGAAGGTAATTGTTGATATTTAAATCTGTATTTATTAAAACTCTTGGCAATTCCAGATATTAATTAATAAATTTATCACATCTAGAATTCTACATTTAAATAAAATCTCTTAAAATAAGATAATATTGTTATTAGTAAAATTAGATAAGGGAAGATTACTTTAGTTATTTTATTAGAATAATATAAACTTTTAATAAGGGTTGCTGCCTATTGAGGTAATTTATCAAAAGAAAAGTATCTAAAAATTTCTTTTTAAAAAAACATATTAATAGTAATTTCAAGTGTTAGTATTGAAAAAATATTGTATAATTTTATCAAAATTATTTTGAACTTAGTAAGCAAAAAATAAGGTTTATTAGGGAAATATGTATTGATTTATAAGGTAACATTAAATAATAATTTTATTAAATTCAATTTAGTTTGATGAATAGATTAAATGATACTAATTATAATATTTATTTTGAATATTCAATAAATTCAAAAAATTCATAATTATTTTAGCTATTGCACTTCTTGTCGCCATGATAAACTAAATTCATTTACTTTAGACATAAACTCTTCTTAAAAGTTCGAATCTCTATTAATGTGTTACAAATCGATTAATTTAGGTTTAGGCTTCTCTATTTATTCATACTCTTTTAATTGTCCGTATACGCTATTTTAAATATCATTTTATTTTAGGGTTTCTACAGCAAGTTTCAAATCTTCATTTTCCTGGAGGATTGGGATCTTGATTTGCTTCAACATCTCGAGATTTTTGGACCAAAGATGGCATGCCTGCTGTTCATACTATTGAATAATGCGAAACATTTGGCTTAAGAGATCTAGCAAATCTGAGACTGTGGCATAGCCTGAGGAATGAATACTTTCTGTTAACTTTGAATTGATTTCAATTTTTAATGAATCGAATATGCATGACCATTTGAAAAGGATGTCTATCTTTATGATATGGGCATCTTTGGTGGAGAATACTAAGGACTAGCCTTTCTCTTGTTTTTGTTCTTTCTAGATATGTCTATAGGAACTAATGAATACCTTAATTTGTAATCAATAAGTTTTTGAACAAGGATGTTTTGGGAAATTTGATTCATATTTAATTTTATTTTTAAGTAGTTAATATTCATTTCTTTACTAATATATTATAAATATCTGATCCAACCTTAGGATTTATTTTTGGAAGAATTTGTTTCTTACTTCGATTACCACCTTAAGATTGTTTCAACTTTCTAATAGCTTCATCAACATTAGTAAAGAAGGGTTTCTCTTTTTTTTATGGACTTTTGCTATTTAATTTCATTGAAAACCATGCTACCAGTCTATGATTAAACAGGTTCGCCATTAGAATTCAAATAGGAATCCATCAACTTATCATACGAGAGTGTTTTGAGAGCAAATTGTCGAAGATCCTTTTGATACTAAAATTTAGGCAAGGTTGTTGGATCCCTGACATCACTACAAGTTTTTAATTCTAGTTATAATTTTGAGACCATTTATTTCTGAGATAAATTAATATAAATACTCTGAAAATTCTCCATTTGATGCCATCGAGAAAGGCTTCTCTGATATGATCGTCTGTAGGATACGGTTTCGAGTTTCTACAAACTTCAGCTAATTAGAATTGACTCATTAGATTGAAATCAATAAGAGAAATCACAAAACAAGTAGTCTACATTCCTGTGACTGCAGTGTATTGACTAGGCCTATAATGCTGTAATTCATAGTCTCCAATATACTTTCCTGGTCCTATTTCATCAATTTCTATTTTTAGATTTCTACTCTGTTTATTGGGATCATATTTATGTTGAAATTAAATCAAACCATTTTTATTGATATTAAATGGTATTGTACGATAGAGTTTGACAGAACCTGTTTCTACTACATAAAAATTATTCAATGTCTATCCTTAATTAATGAATGCATAATTAGATTGAAATGTTCGATATTCCATCTTACTAGCAAGTCTAATTTTATCTGGAAAATTTAAAGAAAGAAATGGTTCTATCACATTGAGAAGATTATATGCCTTTTATGTATTAATTGTACTTTACTTAATTCGCTTATTCAGATGAATGAAATTTCATATATTTATTGAAATCATTCCTATGAAGAACCATCAATTCAGTTTATTTCCCAACTACTATTGTAGCATTTCTGTCTGAATTAAATAGCAATGCCAATTCACCAAAACAATCTCCTACACCTGAAATACCAACTTATTTAATTTCGTCTAAGCCAGGACTTTTAATCAAAATTCTAGCTTCTCCCTTTAAAATGATATAAAATTTATCTGCTGGGTCTCCCTACCTAAAAAGGGTTTGCTCTTAATCATAAACTTCCAATTGTAAATATCTGCACATCTCTATAAACTCCTATGACTTAGTACTGAAGCATAGTAATATATAATACTTTGTAAATTGAATGAAAAAAGCAAAACTTTCTAGTATGTTTCTAATATCAATTAACTGTTCATTGTTTCTTTCATCAGAGGAAGAGAGTAAGAAATCTCTAATCTATAAATACTTATCTTAGAATAATTGTTTCGGATTCATTTTATATAAAAATTAATGAAAAATAATACGGATTTCATTTAAATGATGCTAGATCCTAATCTCAGCAAAGAGTATATTAAAGGTATCAAAGGAGACTTAAATAGAAACTAATCTCTAAATAATAAATTGAATATCTAAAAATTGCGTAAATTTTATAAGACTCTCAATAATGCTGATGTATTATAATTGTATAATTAGTTATTAAGTTATTGCGCCAATAAATTCAGTTGTATACACAGAGCAGTGAGAGATGAATTAAGAGACAGATGTAACACACCCTTAACTTAATTTTGGCCAATTTTAGCAAATATTATTTAAAATAAAGAAGCTAATCCAAAATATTATACGGAATTACTCAATATTAAAGATTTTCCTAAATATTTTGAAGATACTATTTAAAAGGATGTTGTTCGTACTTCCAGCAATTAAGAGATGTAACAAAAACTAACTAATGTTTTAACAGCCTATGTTATAAGAAATGCCTAAATCGGATATTGTTAAGGATTTAATTATATTGCACATTATCTGTTATTGAATTAAAGATACTCAGAAGAGGTAAATAATTGAATTTTATTTAAGGACGCATTCTGGTTTTTATGCCACTTATTTGAGACTCTCTTGCCTGTTAATTATTATAATCATTTGTTTGGAGTTCTCAGTGATGATGAAATATTACGATAGATTCTGTAAAAAGAGAAACCTCATTTGATGGAACATTTTAGAAACTTATCTGTAGAAACAAGTTTGTTCACAATTCAATGGTTAGTTTGTTGTTTCACATTTCACAATAAATTAACAGATACCATTTTTGATCTTTTATTAATTGAAGGTTCTAAAGCATAAATTAAATCTGCATTAGTTTATATCAGCCTATTGGAAGATTCATTGATGTAGACAAATGATATTGGCAGTCTTATAATGACTATCGAACATTTTATATCAACATTTTAAGATAGATAAATCTTCATTGAAGAATATAATAAAATATATGTGAATAATAAGCTGTTGTAGAACATTAGATAGGATATCTCTAATTAAGTAGTGTCCACAGTTTAATCAAGTGATACCAAAAGAGTGACATCGCTGAATGGATTTCTTGAAGATTTAAAAAAATAGAAATGTTAAGTGACTCACCCCATTTGCATATATGAATTAGAGACTTGGAGCAGAAATAAGAAACATATGGATAATTTGGTTCTTAGAGTTGGATTATTAAATAAAATAAATATTGAAAATAAGAGACAATCACTGAAAAATCCTGAGAGATTAAACATTTAACTGATCGTTAGATAAAATCATATTTGCGATAAAGATGATGGATTTTTGGTTAGAGCACTATAACACAAAGATACCTATGATATCTAATTAATTGATCTTGGCAAAAAAATATAATAAACTCAAGTTCCTAATTCACCAAGAGGTCGCAGTCCATTTAAAGATTTATTATTAACTCCTATTAAGGCTTTGAATAATGCATAAAATTTGGGATAAAAGTTAAGAATGAACCCAATAATCTACAAAATAGACAATCTTCCACTTTCTTCAAGCACTTTTGCTTTGCCTGTTAACGTAAGAAAGAAGACTTAAGGATGGAAGACACAAAGAGGTCGATCTCCAGAATAAACCAAGATGCTATTAAGAAAAATGAATGTGTATGGATCTCCTAAAAGAAAACTTGAAATGAACATTTCGAATAATTTTATTAATCAGTCTACAGATGTTTCATAATAGTATCCTACTACTTTGAAGGAGTGCAAATCAATTAAATTCATTGCATAACTTTCCAGAAATACCAATTTAATAAATATTGACTTTTATCCGGATTAATAATGAATATTTATATTCTATAATAAATGAATAAATTGTCTTATATATTAATACATCTATAACTCAAGCTTATTAGTAAAAATTAAACTAGTGTTTTCTTAAATAAATGATATACTCTTTCTGGGTTTTTAGAATCTGTTGAGGAAGAATGAATAGGACTTGCAATTCTGTACGGTGAGTTTTATGAACTTGATTGTAAAGAGTAATTATTGCTTGCTTCGATGGTTATAGATTTATGTATACGTAAATAGGAATTTAGGGCTGGAGCAGGTAAGGCGAGCTATTGTTATTGTTGGGTTGATCTGTTGAATTAAAATAGATTTGGATCAAATTAAAAGCAATAATCCTAAAATTCTAGAATTTATTTTTGAACATTACATTAATTTTATCTGGACAAAAGAAGATGAATTGGACTATTGCAAGAGTATTAATGATACGGAGAGCCTACATTGCTGTACTGGGTATTGTTCTCATTATACGGAACGATATAGCTATGTTCCAGCCTGCTCGGAGAAGGTTCTTCGCAGGAGTATTTGTAAAGGTCTCCCATTTGGTATGCTTAATAGATTTTGGAGGATGTTACTTAAATTGGGGATGTATGAGACAATCTTAGCCAGGAGCAAGGAAAGACTATCAAATTTTCTATTGAATTACTATTACATTTGATTTAAACCCTATGATGACAAATGAACATCAAACCTACAAAATGGTTTGACTAGAACGAGTGGCTTAAACATTTTATTCCATGGAAGCTGAGAAATCAACTTCCATTTAAAATTAAGTTGTTTGAATTTCTCGGACAACCTTTTTCATTTCATCATGTTCTTGCTTATAATTGTCAATTTTCTGAATATTTGTGTTTTTTATCTCGATTTTATTCTCAGAATCATCCTAATTTCTCCTTCTAATGTATTGAAGCATGCTTCTAAGGAAGTGAGAGTATTATCTTACTTAAGTCCTCTTCTAAACCATTGATGTCTAAACTCGCTTTGTCCGTAGTGATTTTTGGTTTTCTTAAAGCTGTACATGTTGAGCTATCTAGTATGAAATGGAAGATAACCTCAGAAAGCTGGGATAGTTTTTATGCTTGAAATAGTTGGCAAGAACCTTGGATGACAGCTCATGGGAATTCAGGACTATAAATGCATTGCCTTCTTGATTCCAAGTAATGATATGGGATAGAGATGAGTTCTGAATAAGAAATAGTAGCTAAAATGGTATACTTCAAGAATTTCGTATGTTTTCATCAAGAAAGAGGGGACATTGACTTTGAGGGCTGGAAGATCATTGATGTCTTAATTTGACATTAATATTTTTATAGGAATTTTTAAGAATATGCAAGCCATTAAAATAAAATATAGTTGAATAATAATTTAAAATATGAATGACTGTGATTATAATAATGATAAAGTTTGTATTCTAATAATATAATTAATGAACGAAGCGCTGAAAACAATAGTTAAATTTTTAGAGCACTCTGGTCTTTAATAATCAGCCCGCAAATTGAAGGAAGAAATCAGTAAATATCACTAATTCAAATATCTTAGTAATGATGAAAAATGAAATTGACTGTGAGAAAAAACAATAATAAATGCTAATGAGTATAAATATATCAAATATTATAAAGAAATAATCTGTTAAGCTTTGGACTCAAAGAAGAAAGAAAAGAAGAAGCCAATCATTGATAGATAAGCAGTCCGCAGGAAACCAAAAGTATTCACATAAGAGTAGACAGAACAAATCATGGAAAAATTTATGAATAGATTGGTGTCAAAACCAAATTTATTGGAAGATGAGACACTCAATGAGAAGATTGAACGTTATTTTGATAATGCCACATTCTAAAAGATGGTGGATTAAGCAGATGTATTTCATGACATTTCAAATACTTCTATTTCAAATTCGATCCTCAAAAAAAAGAGAACTGAAACAAGTGAAGAATAATAATAAGCTCCTTGTTTTGGCAATTGTAATAAATATAGTTCTTACAATTATTTTAGAGATTCAAGAGAACGATCAAATAGTATTTGGAAAAATCTAATAACCTTAGAAACATTAAAAATAATAAGTTCTGGAAAAATCACCTTCAGTCGATGAGTTGTTTACAGAAGAGGATGTCTCGAGATCTGCTGCTAGACATCAACAATTTGAGGGTATTGATACTGCTAAAATGCCATCCATCATAAGACCTGAAAGTGGATGCAACGATTCCTCTTTCTTTCTATAAAACTCTTAGTCGTTTGTATTACATGATATGGAAGAAAATAAAAATATCTTAGATGAATATAATGATGATGACGATCCTGGATTTGAATTCTATGAAGTTGGAGAATAGAATTTCGTTAAAGCGGCTAAAAAACTGGGCAGAAAAATTTGGATTCCCTTAAAGAGCTATGGCATAACTTAAGTAGAAAAAGGATGAAGTGAATTGTGATGACGAAGATGATAGTGGCGTCTTATTGAAGAGTTAATAGAAATCTTAGGAGGAAAGTAGGAAAGGATACATTTATTTGCCTCCCACTATGAAACATCCTGAATCTACAGATGACTTTTATCCTGTAGAATTTGATAGAGTCATCTATGATTGTTTCAATCTCAAAGTCATTTTTGATAGGGAAAGAACTGGGTTTGAAGAAACCAAAGATTTTCCAATTGTAATTAATTCAATCATTGCTGGAAGGTATCAGATATTAGAATATTTGGGATCAGCAGCATTTTCAAAAGCAGTTAAATGCTTAGATTTACAATCATAAAAGGAAGTATGCATGAAGATCATAGAAAATAATAAAGATTATATGGATTAGAGCATAGATGAAATTAAATTATTGAAATATATAAATTGCAATGGAGATTGTGATGCTAAAAATGTGCTTAAATTATATGATTTCTTTTATCATAAAGAACATTTATTTCTAGTTACTGAATTACTTAAAGATAATCTATATGAATTCTATAAGTACTACAAAGAAACAGAAAAAGTCAATTATTTTACAGTTGGTAGATTATAAAAAGTAAGTAAATATCATATTTATTTAGCTAACCAAATAAATCTTAATTGCATTAGATTATGTACATTCTCTTAAATTGATTCATTGTGATTTAAAACCTGAAAACATATTAATGAGATCTATAAGCAAATGTGAATGTAAAGTGATTGATTTCGGATCTTCATGCTTCATCCATGATCATCTATCTAGTTATGTTCAATCAAGAAGTTATAGAGCACCTGAAGTTATCATTGGATGCAAATATGATTACAAAATAGATATGTGGTCATTGGGCTGTATCCTAGCTGAATTATGGACAGGATTTGTTTTGTTTTAGAATGACACTGTATAAGGCTTATTAGCTAGAGTGATTGGCATAATTGGTCCATTTCCTGAATATATGATGAAAGAGGGCAGATTAGTTAATCAATTCTTCACTAAGGAGAAACTACTCTATTAGAATGCAATGGAGGATTAATAACATCATCAAAACTCTGGTTTAATCTAAATATTGGTTCCCAAGAAATCAAATCTAAAGGCTAGACTTAAGACTGATGACATGTTCTTTTTAGATTTTGTTAAACAATTATTACACATCGATCCTTCAAAAAGGTATAATAACATTTGATCAATAAATTAGACCCTCAGCTAAGGATGCCCTCAATCATCCCTGGTTTACATAAATATAATATCCTGATGGATTATGAAATATAAACCAATCTATAAATTAATAAATCATTCTTCTTTTATTCGTCACTATAAATTTCCAAATGTTTCTATGTGCGATCAGATGGAATTGTAATTGAAAATGCAATCATAAGAGTTCCTAGGAAACTCTCTATATTTGGCCACAGCAACCTCATTTGTAAAAACATATCCTAATGGACTTGTGGTACCAAAGACTATGCCAAATAGTAATCTAAGGATGATAGTTTCATTATAGGACTGGCAAGACTAGTGTAATAGACTAGTATCATTGAAAGTCCTGCGAAAATTGAAAATGAAGTTTTTCGACTGATTTTATCTGTAATATAAGCACAAATGCAATTTCCTATAACCACTCCTCCAAGAAAGAAGATCCTAGTGTTGAAACTTGAGTTTATGATAGTTGCCATTCCTTTTGCAATATTGCCATCAAAATGGACATAAAAACGTATTCGACACCATCACAAAATTCTATTAATCCTATAATGCTAATTGTTCTAAGGTAATAAATTCGTGACCCAATCTTCTTTTATAATATTTGATCAAAGGAAATCATATGAGAATATTGTGTTTGATTAATATTTTAATAAGTAAAAGTAAATTGAATTTTTATTCATTTCTTTTTTATTGTCTTCATTTAAGCTGCTTTTGTAGGTTTTAGATACCTCTTGCTTATAGTTTGATTAAATTGATTTTATGAGGATGGAGCTTATTCAAGCATTTAAAGAGCCTTGTACTCATTTACAAAAATGTAGAGTAACTCCAATTTGCTCATCCCTTCATATGGAACAGCAAGTTCTGATTTATTAAGGGAGAGTAAGAAATCAAGGGATTAACTCATTCCAGATTATTCTGGATAGCCTTGCATCAAGATTTACATTAATTCTTCTAAATGTGAGCGTATGATGGCTTTGCACTCTAATTTTTCTTGGCTTTAATAGTATTAATTTTTGGCTAAACGAATTCCATTCAACACAGTTTACACACTTGGCAAAGCTTTGGAGGACATCTGAACATATTGATCTTATTTGATAGGATAAGCTTCAACTGATACATCGCATTATTCAACGGAACTATTTAGGAGCGGATTATTAAGTTCCTTCTTTTTGGCAATAATAACATTCTTAACTAATTCTGCCATTGTATGTTCATCGACTTAACCAGCAGCTATGTTTAAGAGACAATCGAAATCGATTTTAGTGACTGGCTACTAGGAGTTGATTTCTTCTTTTAAAAGGAAGGATTCATCATTGGCTTACAGGTCATCAGCAGTTTGTCCAATCTGATATATGTCTTTGATTGATTTTGGAAGTTTGATTCCTGTAGTCTAATCAGGAAGTGGTCTTTTATTGATTGTCTTGAAATCGTAGTCATTCGAATCGATTTGTTTGATTTCTTTAGCAGGTGCTTGATTTTGTTATTTCTTTTCTGTTAATTGATTTTGTTTGTTTTATTATCTCAATTGATTAAGAAAGTTATTGGGTTGTTTTTTGAGAGTTAGAAAATTCTCAGATCTTTTGATTGCTTTGTCTAACTAGTTATGCAATTAATGCGAAAGATTGACATTATTGATTTCAGGTTTACTAACAATATTCAATTGAATTAATGGTTGTATCAGTGGTTTAGCCATAAGATCTAAGTATTTAAAATGCTATTACACATATCTTAATCAAAATCAGTTTATTAAGGACGAACAACATGAATCATCTTCTCTTCAATTTGTGATTAATCCTTAAGTTCTACATCATTGGAGATAGTCAACTTCTATCGTTCTATTTGTTATATCGAATTATTTTGATAGATGTTTGATTTAGAGAAGAATTGCTATAACTTGTGCATTCGAAGGTCGCTCATTTATTATTAAATTAATTTTTGTGGTAAATGCAAGGAGTATTACCTACATAATGTCGAGATTTTATGAACAAACAATATTGGTAACGATTCTTCAAAAAGATTAAGAAAGAGGGTCAATAGAATGAATTCTTTGAGTGGTATGGCAATTATGATAGCTACAATCATTTGTTTAAAAAATATATCAAAGTGGAAGACAGTGTATTCCATGCAGGTTGTGGTAAATCACTGCTCTCTGAATAACTCTATGATAATGGCATATGCAAAAATATCACAAATGTTGATTATGAAAAAATTGTAATAAAAGATTACTTAACCTTATTAGTCTTTAGATTAGATGCGCAAGAGATCTGAGAATAAGAGACCAGAAATGACATTCTAATGCATGTCTTTGACTGAAGAAATCAATATTCAATCTGAATAATTCGATGTTATTCTAGACAAGGGAACTCTTGATGCTATCTTTCCAGATGAAGAAACACCTTAAGTTAATACTTATATAGCAAATATGCTCAGAATATTAAAGAAGAACGGCAAGTTCATCATTATATCTCTATTACAAGATCACATTTTAAAAACTCTATTGTAATTGTAAGTCAATATCCAAATTTATGAATGCGTAATTGAGAAGAGTAAACTTTATCCATTTTTTATCGTTATCGATAAAAGTGAATAGAAATCAATTCAATTCTATTAATTACAAAAGGAAGTTCAGACTATATCAATTAAATAGACATAAGAAATAATAAAAAAGATATAATTACAGAATCATTTTGTTACATCAATCCATAAACTTAGGTAAAGTCAAAGCTTCACTTTAGATATTTGGGATAATAATAATAAATAAACTCCTAGATATAAATTAGATATCTATGATAATGATGACAGCAAAATCTTACTATAGAAAACTTGTGGATGCTTTATTGTTCCCTAAGGAAGAGAGTAATCTTTCTTATTTGGAACTGAACAAGGACACAAAGAGTTAATTAAACAAATGAAAATGTCAAGATGTGTAATAGCACGTATGAATCCAGGACATAAGTTCAGCAATATGAAATAAGTGTAATAAGAGTTGTCTGAACCGATGAAGTAATTGATACCTAAGGGTTGCACTAATATTCCTTGTCCATTTTTAACAGATGGGGATGAAATTGGAGAGAAGAATATAATATTTGAGGCTGATGACTGCATAGTTGAAGAACTAATTATTGATGATATTAAATATAGGAGACTAATAATTAAGAGTGCTTTAGATTTAATTTAATGTGAAGCCAAAATTATCAACAATAAAGTGGATAATTCATATCTAGATTTCGAAGCATATGTTGCCATAGTTGCAGGCTTGGCATTTAATTAAGCAAAGGAAGTACTTATTTTGGGAGGAGGTGTTGGTTTGTTGAGTAGATTCATAAATCAACATTTTGGAGTCAAGGTTACCAATATCGAATTAAGTGACGATATTGTGAACATTGCAAAAACATTCTTTGATTTCGAAAATACAGATTCAGAGACTTTAGTATGTTGTGATGCACTTGACTATGTAGATTAAACTCTCGAATGTCATCAATATGACACCATCATTGTTGATATTAATGGTAATCTATATTTCTGATTGTTTAGCATCTTAAGCCAATTAGTTGTCACCACCTAAATAGTTCTTGTCTGCTGAATTTCTTAAGAAACTTAGAACATTACTTACACCATAAGGAATCATCATAATCAATGTTTTGGATTCTCAAAAAGAATTAACTCAATTACCTTGGGACCTATATTATTCTAGGAAGTGTGAGAATGAAATTAATGAGATATTTTATTTAATCAATGCATAGAAGGAGAAGAAGGAAGTAGATGGAAAAGAGATTGATGTTATAGATAAACGTCTTTTAGATGAAATAGCTCAATAATTGAAAAAGTCTATGGTCAACTTCTCCAAGGGCAAATGGGATAATTCTATGAATTTGGCTTCTGAAATTGATAACATCAGGCTTAAACATCCGATTTTTAAGACTCAAGCATTTTAAACTCAGGATGCATTACTTGTGTAGGATGGAGAAATTATCAATAATCGCAAAGATTTCTATTAAGAAGACTTGAAGAAGGTGTAAAAGAAGAAGCATAATAGACGTAGAAAGAATTGAGTTTGCTTCAGTTTTTATATTTTGTTGATTTTATATATCAAATTTTAATAAGAAAGAGAATTTCTTGTAAAAATTTATTTAATTTAAAAAAAGATTCAAATGGAAGAGAGCACAATTGATTGGGATAAAGTAACAGCCATGGATAAGTATGCTATTTCATATCATTCAAGTGAAACCCTTCTTCAGTTTGCAAACGATCTATATGAAGCTCTTCATCTCGAATAAGCAAAATCTGCCTATTAGTTGTACCTCAAAAGAAACCATAAAAATATTGAAGCCTTAGATCAATATACAGATTGCCTAGAATAAATGGGTCTGGTAGAAGAATTACAACAAGCTCTCACTCCATATTTGAATTAACAAGATTTAATCACGTATGTCCACAAATTAAATTCACTAGTTCTTATGAACATTGTTACAAATTGTTGTTTAAATATGCACAGACCCAATAAGGCAAATAAGCCATTCAGATATATGAGTATGGAATTTAGCTAGCTTTGCAGAGGAATGCTTCTAAAAGGGATATTGGAGATGCTTTCGCTGCCATAGCTGAAGTTTATTAAACTGATTTATTATAATTCAAAGAATCAGAATAAACTTGTGTCGATGCAATAAATAATGCTTTCAAATACGATCCACTGAATTTAGATGCATTTCTCTAATTGGCTAATTTTCATTTAAATAAAGAAGACGAAGAGGCTGCCAAGAAAGACTTAAGGGTTATCTACGAAAAGTTGGAACATGAAATGGAAGAATATGACGAAGACTTTATACTTCAAGTTGGAAAATTATTAGTGGAAGTGGAATTATTTGATTAAGCTATTAAAATATTGAGAATGCTGGTCGATAGAAATGCTGAAGATCCAGAAAGCTTATACATGCTTGCTTTTGGGTTGTGGAAAGCATAGAAATATGAAGAAAGCTTAAAAATAGTCAATGGGATTCTTTAATTGCCTGATGCAAAGGAGGATTAAGTATAAATTAATAATTAAAATAAATAGGAAATTTGGACAGCTACTTTAGAGTTAAAGGATCAATTAGAGAAAGAAACATGGATGGATGTTGAAGATGAGGAAGAAAATGAATTGTAAAAATTGTAACAACTAGAATGATCTTCTTTTTTAATTAATGTTTTATAGTATAGTATTGATTTTTATAATAATTAATATTTATATGAGAAATCTATTATATAAACAATTAAATATTCTAACACATTAAATTAATCCTATAATATTAATGTAACAATTTCAATTTAATGAATAATAGTCCATACTTTTAGTATAACAATTATTTAAACCATGTTAATTTATGATATTAGATTGTTAAATTCGTAATATTAATCCTACCCCGTACTTAGAAAAGCGCAGGATGTTTTTAACAGGACTTTGAGACAAAATTATACGGACGCCAACAGAAGCAGCATGGTATGAACCCGAATTTCTAATCTAAGTCGCTAAAAGGATGGCAGCGGAGAATCCTGACATTAAACTTTTAGATTAATATTCAAATCCATCAAATCCCTTAGCTCATTATGAAGGAAGAGCAGAAGAAATTCTCTGGGCATGTGACAATAAATTAGATGCAATTGTAATGACTACTGGCACAGGAGGAACAGTCACTGGAATAAGTAGAAAAATTCATGAAAGAGTACCTGGATGTCGAGCTATTGCTGTTGATCCTTATGGATCAGATTTGGCATTGCTTCCATAGGTCAATAAGACAGACATCAAATCTTATAAGGTTGATTTCATACCGAAAGCTCTAGATAGAATATTACTTTAATTTTATATTTCTAAGACTTAAGTTGATTGTTGGATTAAGTCAAATGACAAAGATAGTTTAAGCATGGCTCTTAAATTGATGGCTTAAGAAGGTCTTCTTTGTGGTGGTTCTTCAGGTGCTAACGTTTGGGGAGCTCTTGAATGGGCTAGATCACAAATTTAACAGAATGATAGAGAGTAATTTTAAGAATTAACTTTAGATTGTCATTATTTTACCAGATAATATCAGAAATTACATGACGAAACACTTAAATAAGAATTGGATGATTGAAAATAGATTGATATTTTATGATGAATTGAAGGAACCAGATCACCCTTTATCTGAAAAACCAATATCAGAACTTAATCTTCCAGAAATCATTCTATTGACTGAGAACATATCCTGCTGTACCTTTACAAAAAGATGGCAAATTTTTCTCCGTTGTATTTTAGAGAAAATTATTGGCTGGAATAGTTGATAAAGTTAAATAAAGTAATTTCTTATTGGTATTATTTTTAGGGAGATTTGGCTAAAAAGGTACAATCCAAAGACTTTGTTGTTGTTCCTAATACATTAGATTAAAATTATTAGAAAGGATTGCTGAAAGACATGAAGTGGGGTTAATTGAAAATGGGGTTAAATTGAGATACGCAACTTCTGGAGAATTCTTATAGATATTTTGATAATATACTAAATTTAATTTAGAATTTCTAATTTAATAATAGATCTGTTTATTTAGAAATTTATTAATAACAATAATAATAATTCAGTTATTTATTCAATAATTTATTGTACATTATATTTGCTCTTTAGTTCTATTTTAATCAGTTTCATATACTCCATTTTTAATTTTATTAATTGTATAATTGTTATTAGCTAACTGTTGTTCAAAAATCAATTCGTAAATTTATCTGTAATCGGTAACAAAATATAAATTTAGACCTTTGATAAGTTGCTGTGGTAAATTTAATGCATCTCCTAAGTTAGCATAAGGAAGTATGATATCAACAATGTCTAAGGTTTTTGCAGCAATCAACTTTTGTTATAATCCACCTATATGATTAAAGTATTAAATACCTATTTTACAAACTTGTCCATTTAATGAAATTTCTCCAGTCATTCCTAAGTTACTAGGCACAACAACATTCATAACTAAACTTAATAAAGCTGTTGTAATAGCTGTTCCCGCAGAAGGACCGTCCTTTGGAGTAGCTCCTTCTGTAAAATGCATATGAACTGCAGAATTCTACAATTTCTTTTTCTATTCTTCATTCAAGAATTTAAATGCATTGATTTTAGCTAGTTTAAGAGACTCCTATAAAACTAATTTGATATTTCCGGAAGCTTAGATTTATCCTTTCTTTTCTGTTTCACTTAAATCAAAACAACTTTCTACAGTTAAGACATGTCCAATCATTCCACCTACTGTCAAGATGTTGACTTGTCCTGGTGGAAATTTCTTAATGGATCTCTATTCTAATTAAATATCAAAAGCAGGAGGACCTAAATATTAAGATATCAATTCTAAGTTTTGATCTTTAGTCAGGTCTAAACTTTAAGTGGTAGGATCAAATACAACTTGGTTCAATTCATCAACTTTATCGCAAAGATTAGGATTAGATGCTAATATATTAGTAGCATGTTTTCTAGCAATCTTTTCTAAGCATCTTTTCAATTCTCTGACTCCACTTTCTTAGTAGCACCATGCTTTAATGATTTTAGTCAAAGCCTATTCATCATATTTAATCATTTAAGCTTCGATACCATTAGTTTCAATGCTTTTCTTAACCAAGAAATTGGTTGCTATCTATAATTTCTCTTCTTGAATATAGGCCTAGATATCAATAGTTTCTAATCTATTTTTAAGTGGTTCTAACATCTAAAGGGTATCATTAGATGTAAGAATGAAAATAACATGTGAAAAATCTACACTGATATCCATGTAATGATCAGTGAAATTATGATTTTCTTCAGGATTCAATATTTCCAATAAAGTATAATAAGGATCAGCACCACCTGAATGATGTTTCGATACCTTATCCAACTCATCTAGTATGAATACAGGATTCATAGTATTTGATTTGATTAATTCTCTAATAAATACCCCAGGCATCGAGTCTACATAAGTACGCTTATGCCCTTTAAAGAAGGTAGGATCTGCAACTCCAGCACATGAAATAAATCTTGAAGTTCTCTTAAGAGCTTTAGCAATGCTCTTGGCTATTGAAGTTTTTCCAGTGCCTGGGGGACCATTTAACAAAAGGATAAACCCCTTGGCTTTTTCCCCTGCGTTTTTTAATTTATTAACTGATATCATTTCAACTATTCTCTCCTTGACTTTCTCTAAACCTTCTATTTCTTTGTCAAGGACATCCTTTGCAAATTGGATATCCCATTGAACAGGCTACTTAAATTAAATAAATTACAGAAAATTTTTGAAATGGAATACTGAAAACTTCATCCAAATAAGAATTGATTTTATGAAATTCTGAACTCTGTTTGTCTAATAAACTGAATCTCTCGATTTCACGTTTAACTTTTTCTCTTGAGGATTCATCAGCAATTAACGATAATTTATCAAAGTACTTTTTTACTAATGAAGATTACTTTAAATTAATTGTAGAAACATGTACCTTATCACCACTAAATTATTGAGTTCCAGCAGTCCCTCCATATTATTAAGATTGACTGGCATCCTTCAAATAGTTTTATCTAATGTATTCTGTTGCTAATTTAGCTAAAGTTTATTAATGCAATTTCAAAAGAGAGGAGTCTGCTTCTTTGAAATGCTTATTCACTAAATCAAGGATTCCTGACATATTCTCTAGTTGTTTTCTAAGAATAAAGAGTCTGTCAATATAAGTTTGACTCTCCAACAATTATTAAACAAAATTGGATGTATTCATTTTCAGATTGTTAGTGAGTAATTTAGAGAGACCTGCAGCAATTTAGAATACTAATTCATCAACCTAATTAGGAGTGAGTTTTTCACTAGAATCCAATAGTGAGTATTTAACTTCTGAAAATACTTCAACCCTATCATATTAGGCTAATTTTCTTATTTATTGTACAAGTGAATTCACCATTCGAATTTCATGTTGGATATCAATTATTTATTCTGCTTATGTTAATGGCCTATCTTTATAGGGTATTCCTTGAGCAAATATTCCATCAGGTGTCATTTCTATTTTAGTGATTTTGAATCGATAATTTTTCTAAATATTTGATTCTCATACTTGTTTTGATATTATGTCTAAATTAAATGTGTTGCTCATTGGATCATTTATTAAAATATTTCCATTTTCCTTTCCTTATTCCAAGAATTTTAATTCGGCATTTAAATTCTTTTCGACAGATTTATTTAAAGCTATGCCTATAGTAAAGATCTCTCCGTTGTCAGGGGAAATAATGGAGTAAAGGAGTGGTTTAGTGATTCGCTTCAAATTTCCAATTTTGATCTGACAATTCATAGGATTATTGGGAAAGATCGGCTGAATCGAACTGAAAAGACAGAAGTCAGAGGGCTCTACTTTAGAATCTATTTCACTCTAATTTGCCTTGTAATTCTGCAGGGGAATGGTTTTGAGCTTGCCATTTTAGAAATTGTTTGAATCTAAATAATAGGTACTATTTTATACGTGCACTGTATTTAAACATCGACTTTTAACCCAATGCAGGGGAAATTCGTGATGCCCAAAGTTGAGGACGCCTAAATAAGATCTTGCTTAAACTTCTCATTATTTATTATTTTTTAATTAAGGTTGTGTAGTATATAATCAAAGTATAAAATCATATTCCACATATTATTTATTTATCTGAAAGGGGGAACTTGATTTCCTTGTGACTATATATAAAGAGGTTATAATCATTCAAAATAAATTTAGTTTGATTTTTTAATTCATAATTAAAATTATGCTTAGAAACAACGGCTCTGTTGCGAATATTCAGTAAACGTAATCTACGACTTCGTTGCTACAAGCATTGGTCAACTCACGACCTAAATCGTCTTAAAAACGAATCCCGTCTGCCAAAAATACCATAATCTAATAAAAAAATATCCAACGATGTGATCCTAAATTGTCATTACCTGAACCTCCAAAATCAACACGTACTCTTGACAGCGATAAAAAATAATAACCATAGCAATAGAAGAGACTCACACTAATACAACGAACAATGTAAAATAAACCATAAGAACGCTAACGAATCGACAGTTCAGGATAAAAAGAAGTGCCAAAAGAAAAAGAGGAGTCACAGTAAACTATCCCTGACATTGAAATTCCCAAATAAGTCACTGTATTTGCACTTTCGGAGTAAGATTAAAACACGTCTGAGGCAAAAGGCACGACTCCATTCGTGCCTCCTCAAGCCTCAGCTCCTTTATCCAAATATGTGATGCGACTATCCAAGGGTGCTAATATCATACCTAAAAAACAGTAGGATCGAAAAAGGATGAACAGTCCAGTCAGGAGAGCCACTAAAGAAAATCTTTATACACCTACTCCTACTATGAGCAGAGATACTAAAATGAGAATGAGGAGTGTCTCTCCAGATCGAAAATTGATGCCTAAACAAAGCTTAGGACCTCAATCCCCTTTTAATGATTTTGAATACTATATGAGTTTCCTAAGATACTTTCATAACAAATTAACTAAGAATTAGATAAAATAACTTTTTAACCAAAAAACTAATTAATACTTTTTAGACATTTACTAAGATCATTTTTAGCAAAGTTATCATGCACTTCAGTATTGCAAAGATATTGTAAAACCATCATTAAATGCTATTGCTAATAAGATTGTCAACTTACCAGAAAATAAATGTAATTTCTTAAATTTATGTAGTCAAAAAAACTATCGTTTTTGATTTAGATGAAACCTTAATTCATTGTTAAGAATCAAATGATGATCCATCTGATACTGTTTTAACCATCAAATTTCCTACTGGAGAAACAGTTCAAGCTGGAATCAACCTCAGACCATACTGTAGGGAAATGCTAGCCATACTGAGTCAAAAGTATGAAATAATAGTATTTACTGCTTCACATGAGTGTTATGCTCAGAAAGTCATCAACTACATAGACCCAGACAAAAAATGGATCCATCATAGATTTTTTAGGGAGAGCTGTGTTGTTGTAGATGATGGTCTCCACATTAAGGATCTAAGAGTGTTGGGAAATAGAAATCTTAAAGATCTAGTCTTAGTCGACAATGCCTCCTACTCTTTTTGCTTTTAAATTGAAAATGGTGTTCCAATCATTCCTTTTTATGACAATAGTTCAGATAGGGAATTACAATATCTGACTACTTACTTACTTGAGGTGATGCAGGAATAGGATATCCCCTCGAAGAATTTGTCGAAATTTAAAACCAATTTATATTAGGAATCAACTATCGAACATTTATTAAATACTATATGATCTATATAATATATCATCATTATATAATTTAATGATTAAATTTTATATGAGTACTATATCAAAGCTAAGACCAAAAAGAAATCTAATTACAATAGTATTCATATTCTAATTTTAGAGTGATAAAGCAGCCGAGAGACTGACAGAACTTATGAAGTTATAGAATAATCCAGCTATTGATGCAGTCAAAATAGGGGTAAGAAAACGTGGTTGCAACGGATTAACTTACACAATGAACTATTGTTCTGAACCAGAGAAATTAGATGAGGTGGTTGAATCCAAAGGTCACTTGTATTAAATACTTTAGGTGTGAAAGTCGTCGTTGATTCTAAGGCTGTAATGGTGCTTGTAGGAACTGAAATGGATTATGTAGAGGATGACATTAAAAGTGAATTTGTATTTAAGAATCCAAATCAAAAAGGGTAATGTGGTTGTGGAGAGAGTTTTCATATTTGACACTTATAATATATAATATATTTATAATATCATAATGAAATAAATATTAACATATACAATCATTTTTAAGAAGCTGCAATTGTCATTAAACGCGAATATCGACTTCAATATTGAAATTAAAAGTCTAGATAAAAATGTGTCATTGCTTAAATACATGAAGATTAATCATTAATATGAATAATACATGGAGGTGAAATGCATAGTTACAAAGGTTAATCTCAAATATGAAGAAAAAATTGTAAGTTTGAAGACATTATTGTATATAAGAGAAAATTAAGTATAGTCTTAAGTGATGGAAAGAGTAAAAAGATTGCCGGCTTTGTATAATTTGATTTGTCTGTTGCTCTCAATCTAAATATGAGATAGAAAGAATATACTTTAAATCTAATTTAATGTCCTGACACTAAAGCTTTTGTTGAATTCACCTTGCTGATCAATTCATTGAATTTCGTGAATCCCGATAGCGATATAGATGTACACAAACAACTATAACAAAAAGTCTATGACCTCAAGAGCCTTGAGCCAAAACGAAAGCCAGGAAAAAAGAAAAATAAAGGTTGAAAATGCTTAGCTGGAAAACGAACTAATTAAAGTAAAATAAGATTTATAGATTGTTGAAGCTTAATATTAATTTTTAGGTAGTCAATACAAATAGCTATAAATCTAATTAGACGAAAAGACAATTGAAAATGCTGATTTGCAGTACTAAGTCTAATAATTATGCAATTTAAATACTGTTTGTATTGAGAAAATCAAATATTATGAAAAACTCCATTCTGAATAACCATAATCATAAAAATAAAAATGAATTTTCTATATTATTTAATTAGAAAATTTAATAAGAATTGATTAAGCTCTAACCTAACTTTGCAAACTTATATATCCATATGAAATCAACCAATATCAAGATACAAATTACTTAATTTTTATGTTTAGAATAATGTATATCTTGATATGATATTTTAATCATCAATAAATTAGAGCAATTGAGATTATCTAAATTGAAAAATCTATATAAATAAGAAATCTGATTAGTATAAATCAATCTTTAAATTTTTGCTCTTTTTCATTCAAAAATTGATGAAAACTAATAAAAGCACCATAGATTAATGCTCTTTTCTTTGTGGGAAGTATAACAATTTTGGAAAATTTCGTTTACTTATTATTTCTATTTTTAATAACTGCTATGATGATTTCATTGGGGTTTGGCTTATTTTTTTATTTATAAAGCTTAATTCAAAATCGTAATTCGACAATTATTGTAAACTGTAATCCGATCTTGTTCATGACATTTTCTTATGGATAGGAACAACTGAAGCTAATCTAAATTTAGCTTCGGGCTTATTTTTCTTTATCGTTACTTATTCCACTATTCAAATTATTAAGCTTTATCGCACATTCTTTTATTGTAATTTCTTAATATATAGTCTTCTTCTTCTTCTCTAAGAATTAAGCTTTGCTTTTTCAAATATATCATCAATTATTAGTTCTACATGTTTCTTAAATCTAATTTTTAGTATTTGAGTAAAATTAGCTGATTTTAATGTGTAATATCTCCACTTACAATTAAGATAACTCATTTGTTTAATTCATTAATTATGATTTTATGCAAAAATACAAATTAAGTTTAAAAAAATAAATATCCATTAATTAATCATATAAAAAAGAATAGTAAATTCATCGTAAATTTCTAAAAAATAAGCTATTGTAAATAGATTTTTTAATGTATCTTCATTAAATTTTATAATAATTTTTAATTAGTACTAAGATCTTATGTTTAATGATGATAGTTAATTTATAAAATAATTTATCAGGATAATATCTTCAAAATATACTGTACAAATAATAGAGATCAAGGAACTAAACTTGAAACTATCTTAATATTTAGATATGGCTTTATTTTAAGATAAAAATTTGACTAAAAGGATTATTACAATGTTGATAAAAATAAAATTGCAGGTACTCTAAAAACCCTAATCCATTCTATAAATAAAATAAATATACTTAATAAGTATATCTTATCTCAATAAAGTATTTTTATTAAATAGAAACTGTATATAATGACGAAAAATTAATTAAATCAAATTTTTAAACCAAAGTATGCCGATAAGCCTGCTGGTCGAAGTTTAGGGAAGGAATTTTGCTATTGTGTTTTCTTATTCTCATTGCTTTTATCCTTAAATAACTATTTAAAGTAATTTAAGTTTTCTTCCTAGCGTTATTACATTACTATCATGGTATCTAATTTTTTAATAAGGGAATGTCTATCCTAATTATAAAACTCATATTACTTTCATTTTATGATTATCTTATTAATATTATTCTAAATTTGCAAATAACATTTTATTTTATATCTCTAGTTAATCAGATTTACTTTAAAGTTATACAATTTGATAAGAAAGCTTGTCTAATTGATTTTCTAATTGTTTTTCCTTTAAAAAAGCACTTGCATTTAAAATAAAATCATTTACTCCTACTTTTCTTGGAGTTAAGGAGTTACTATCTGTTCTATTCCTCTTTGCCCATATTTAACTAACATGACTGACGTGGCATGATTTCTTTTATGTACTTTTGATTTCTTCATTAGACTTTCTTATGCTTATATCCTCTGCTCTAGCCTCTTTATTTAAATTGAATAGATTCAAATTTTATTATACTATTTCTCTATAACTTTAAGATCCTCCTCCTATGGATCTGGAAATTTGTTTTACTTTTTTGGCTCCAAAAATTTATTTATGTTTATCAAAATATCCATTTTCTTATTTATTTTCTAACTTCGATTGAGTTAATTTTTACAATAATTCTTATGATAAAATATTATCCTGTCGAAATTTTCTTGGCGTCTTTATATGATAAGAATTGCTTTTTTACATAATATTGATTTATTTATTATTAATATAACAATCAGAAATTTAGGAAATCAAAAGCATTATCTTTTGGGTTAGGCTATTATTTTTATTTTGGTTATTCTTATGTAAACTAGGTTTGTTAAAAAATGTTGTATTATTATTATTGCATGTTAAATTGTGCGAAAGCTTATGAATAATTAAATTAACCACCCACAGGTTATTATTATAAGTTATATAAATTCTATTGTTGCCCATATTAAACCTATTGTTGATTTACAGGTTATTATTTGTATAACTATTGAGGGTCTTATAATAATAATGCGTTTAATTGAATTTATTCTTACTTCTATTATTAAGGCTACTATTAATAAGCTTACTATTGCTGATCCTTTTTGAGAAATCCAAAAGCATTCTTTTTTTATTATGGTTATTATCCCGATTATGATTAAGTATTTAATATTTCATCAAAGCTGATACCCTATTATTACGATTATTATTATTATTATTATTATTATTATTATTATTATTATTATGATTATTATTATTATTATTATTATTATTATTATGATTATTATTATTATTATTAGTTTTGGTGTTGATTTTAATCATAATTTTATATTGACATTTCACTAAATGCCTCTAATAAATCTATTTGTTTATTTTTTTATTAATTCTATTATTATTATAACTATTATTAAGGTTACTATTGCGCTTATGGTTATTTTATTTTTAGAGATTTTAAATCAAGTTTTTATTGCTATGGTTATTTTTATTAAACTTCATTAATTCCTATTTCTATGAGATTCGGTTATTACTATACGACATTTTATTATGACTTAGGAGGTTCACGAAATTCAAATTAAAATTCCTTAACAAATTAAGATAGAAATTACCTTTTACTTTTATGATTGTTATCCATTAATCTCTAATAGAGTTTACTCAATTGCAGATTATAATACTTATTAATCTGTATTAATTTTTAGATAATTCTAATTAATTTAAAAGAATTCTCTATAGTTTTGATATTGCTAGCTTATAAATTGAATCGCATATATGCATCTCTAAAGAATAGATCTAAATTGTTTACAATTTAAACTTTCCAATTTTCTTCACTATAGAGCTTATTCAATAGTATGCTACCAATCAACTATTCTTATAAAGTCTAACAAGCTCTTCCGAATTCCTTAAGAACGGAATCACTTTATTTCAATTTAATTCCACCTAATTTAGTAGCTTCTTCTACCTGATGGAATTCGAATTCGCTAAACTAATATAGAATATAAGTACAATCCTCCAATTTCTAATTCTTCGTAGTTTAATAGTTATCCTTTCTTATATTCTGTCACTCTGCTTAATTAAATATTATTATTATAGGATTAAGGTGGCAGTAGTACATCAATATTCGCTTTATTTTCATTTTACTTAGGTGGAGTATCATTAATTAGATTGACATTATTAGTCGGCTTGTTTGACAATATTTATTGTTATTATTATTAGGGCTCTTCATCATCCCAGCCTAAAGCTAATATAATTTTTAACCTCCTCCCGGTCTCCCTTTTTATCTTGGTTAAGTAGTTTGAGGTAATTAAACAGCTGGTATTAGGGGAGGTTGATAAGTTCCATTTTACTATCCAAATAAAGTATTCTCTATTTTTATTCCTGCAGGCACATCATCTTGAGGTTGCTTTCTAAATTTATTTAGTATCGATGACATTTTCAATAATTTAATCAATTAGAAATAATTTTAAATTATTGATCTATGATAGGTATAAGTATTAAACAGAATAATTTTTTAAGTTCACTATTAGACAATAAAACTAAAAAATAATCTTGACCTTAGATATATAATCACTTTTTGCTCAAAACATTTGCAGGGCTTTATTTTTTTTGCTTTTTGTTTCAAATTTTTTAGAAACATTAAATTTTCTTCTGGTTAAATATTTCAAACTTTCTAAAGGAGCTTTTCCGATTGTATTCATCTTTTTAGTCATATTGTTCTGAATTTTTTATAATTAAGAATCTGAAGGGTACATTTTCGAGAATTATTCCTAAGCATTTTCCAACTAAGTTTATAAAATGAAAATATACTTAGGTAATAAAATCGCCAATCTAATTCTTTACATCTAAGCTTAGACTATGATGACTGAAATTGTTAGTTGGATGATTTTATTTACTTATTACATTTTAACTTTTAAAGTAATGTAAATCTTCTAATCTTCTATCATCTCGAAGCGACACAAAAGATCCAGGTTTGATTTCTGGTAAAGTGCCTTGACTGAAATGATGCAAAGGACCTATTCTCTTCCCAACTTGACCTCCTTAAGTAGGTCCATTTATCGTGGGCAATTTGATATCTTTACTAATACTACGACTCTTAATAAGGATTTGCTTAGAACTTCTATTCTCAACTGAGGATGGATGTTGTTGTAATTCTTTTAATTGCTATTATTATTGCTTCAAGACTTTGGGATTTGGAGGTTAAGGTATTCTATTTTTATAGAGCATTTTGGTTGTTTTCTCAAGAAGCTATAAAACCTTTTGGGATTATTCTTTGAATTTCCTTCCTTGTTTAATAGTTAATTCATCCTTCCCAAAATCTAGATGAAGGGCTTGTGGTATTTATTATTCAGAACTTATCGAATCTCGATGCCTTTTCTTCTCTTTTTCATATTATTTGTCTATTTCAGATTAAGCATTTTTTTGATTTATATCCGTAATTAATTTATCTATTCCAGTATAAAATTTTTGATTTGTTGATTTGCCCTCCTCTATTTCCTCGGTTTTCTAATGAGCATTTTCATCAAATTGAAGGTATCCAGAGATATTTGGTTTCGTCCTGTACTTTTATGTTTTTGCAATGTACTTTTTACTTTTCGAAACAATTTCTGCATAATCAAATAAATCATCATTATCACTATCTGAAGGACTACGTTTGAATGACTTAAACACCTTTTTCTATGTTTTTTTCCTTTATTAATCATTAAGACTCTTGAGAAACTGTTTAACATCAATAAATGTATCCATATTGGCAAAATCCTTCATTTTATTCTCAAAATGCTGCTCCTTTGATATTTTGTTGATTTTCATCTTTTTTCTCTCATTTTATAGCACTTTATTGATATTCTAACTTACTAGCCTATTTTCTTTATAAGATATTTTAAATTACTCTTTAGTGTATCCTCATCATCATAAGATTCTTCTGTCCCAATCTACTTGATCCCTTTTTTTTTTTCTAATTAAGCTTTAACAAATTTATAAAAATCTTCTTCAAAGTCAAGCATAATAATTAATATTCATAAAAAATCATTATAACATTCTTATCATTCTCTATACATCATTTGGATAGTGGTTAACATAATAAAAATAATTGTACACAAGAATGTGGATTATCAATTCCTTAATAGTTTTGAATTTTTATTATATAAATGTATGTTGGAAATATTATAAATCACAATATGACCATTTTATTTTCATTTCTAACAATAAACTTATTAAAGTCATTAGTTTTTGAAGGAACTGTTGAAATCCATTTATTCTTTTCCAAACTATAAATATTAATTAATATATTACGTTAAATTTGAATCTAATTTTTCTTTAAGTTGCTCAAAAGAGTCAATAATTTCTGATTGTCTCAAATTAGTTATAGTTTTATCATCTTATTCAAGTTTAGTAAGCCAGTCATTCTAATCTATCACATTTATTTGAGGAGGTTTATCTTCATCACTATCATCATCTGTCATATGATCATCCAATTCTTTTTCTGCCATTATTGTTGGACAATAAAATTCAATTTATTCATCAAAACCATAATCATAAGCCAATTGCATATTTTTTTCTTAATAAAAGAATTGATCCAAAGGAAGTTCATACAATAAATTTAGATTTTGGTAGCCTGGTGTTCTATTGATGAATTCTTGCTTTAAAACCTAATGATTCTAAGCAATATCAGGATCCAGATCAGCCCCAACTCCATTCACTTTACTAAACATAAGAGGATAGAATGTATTCAAAGGAGTACCATCATTAAATTATTGATATAATCTTAATGTCTTATTTGCTTTAAGTATTTGATAGCTTTCCACTTCAGGAGGTTTAGAATATATGTTCCTGACAATATTATCATTTTAAGTTTAAAGTATTTAAGTGACAGGACCCATTATACCTCTAAGGGATTTTTCCTCTTCCGCTCCATCCCTTAAAGGTTTATCAATTACAGGTGGATGATACACAATTTAAGGAGGTTCCCACACTTTATATTACATGATTTCACAATCATCACTTGGCAATTCATCAAAAGGAGCTAGATCATCAAAACCAGTTTATGGTGTGATGGTATATTTAAATTATGAGTTTGTATTGGATTCTGAATATTGAACTGGTAATTTCAATACTCCAAGATTGTCTGAGTTGAATTCAAAGGTGAATTTAACCTGAATAATTAATTAAAATTCATACAAAATCTTTTTTACCGACACCTGAATGCTCTGCTTTTTGGCAATCCAAATTCACTAGTTATTTGACTTCTGCTCTTGTTGTTGCTCCTTTTAAAAACGCCTTTAACTTCGACAATCTTTTTTCCATTCTTAATTTATAGATAATTCTGCTAGCTGCACATACAAATTTTCTCAAGTTCTAAATAAGTTTATAATAAGTTTTACAAGCTTTTTGATTTTCATAGTGTCATTCTTATCTAAATCCCAACTCAATTAATTTTCAGGGAGAATGTAATCAACAACAGTGCTATCAGCATTAATCTATAATTTATATCTTGTTGTTCCTTTGGCTTAAACATCATCTAGATAGTTATTAAGATATTATTGTCTTTCTAGTAGAATGTCATCTACTTGAGTTTCAGTTATTGGTGGATCTCCGACACATTAAAAAAATCTCATTTCTTTTTCCTTATCCAAACTTTGGATTTGATTAAAATGATCTAAATATGATTTTTCTAATAACTTTTGTTATTTAATACTTTACTTGTCTGCCTTTTAATTTATCATTTCCCATGTTTTCAGTAGACTCTTGTTATTGAGAAAGAGATCTTTTTAATTTATTGCTCTTGGTCATTTTCAAGGTTTTTGATCGTTCTTATATTTGATTCTCAACCTATTCTGTTTCTCCAGGTTTTGGACTCTGTCCAACAGGAATCTCTTAAGTATTCTATAGAAGTTTAGCTCTAGAGGAATTGGTAATAGATTTTAATTTTTTCGTTGAACTAGGTCTCATGGCTTTTTTGTTTTCAGGGAATCTACCAGATCCCATAATTTTTATACACAAGGGTTCAAAATCAAATTAAGCAATTTTAAGCTAAAATTTATGAGGATCTTATTACTTCAACTTCCATAATTTCTGTGACATTCACTTATGGACAATAGGTAATGGAAATATCAATTGCTCCTTTGCCTGGCACAATTCCTTTGATTGGATCAATTTTGATGTCTTGACAATCTTTTGTAATGCTGAATTCAAACTCGAAATTCAGGGGCACTTTACTTTATATCGGATAGCTCTATTGTAATAATCGTGGTTTACATATGTTTATGACTCGCCTATGTCCAAAGTGCCAAAGTCAATTAGACGAGGAAATAATTCTCTTAATCCATCTCGACTGAGGGCAGGATAAGCATGTATAGGTATAAGCAAAGTATCGTCTTGAGTGTTGATTCTTATAACATCGTAAAAGTATTTATATTCTTAAGGTTTGAATTAAACATAAAGCTCTTCTGCCATTCCACTGGGAATAGCACCTTTTTTATCAAATTTGACATTAAATATTTCTGATTTTGGAGGAAACACATAGATCCTTTGAGGTTGTTTATTTTTATTGATAACTTTCACTTTAATCTCATTTAGTTTGCCAATTTCAAAACCACAAAATTTAACTACTGCAGGTTCAACAATAACATTTTAATTCTTTCCAACTTTATCATATTCATCTTATTCACTAATTTAAACAAATACATTTTTTCTCCATAATATCCTTATTCTTAATTATTGGCATTTTCAGCAAATTCGTGGGTACTTCTATAGAGGTTACACTTTACATTAATTTATATATATATAAATAATAAAATAAGTTTTCCCAAGCTTCCATAATTTTAAGAATAAAAATATAGAGATGTGAATTGAAACTCTCTTTTAATTTATACATATCAATGAAGCAATTTCAATGATGTTTTTTTTTCTCTTGTAATGAAGTACGCTTGATTTAGGAATATCTCTCTTAAATCTATTGATCCTTATGAGGATCTAAATCTAACTGTTTTAGCATTTAAGTATTTAATGAATCCACTTGATCATCAAAAATCAAGCAAACCCCGTCTTTAGTTGCAAGACATTCTGTTTCCTAAGGTGGAATATACCTAGCAATATAATAATTAAGTATACGAATATTATGGATAAACTTTGTTATTTATATCTTTCAGTTCTCCTCTAAATAAGTAACCTCCAAAAATGAAATCACATTTTTGATTCTAAGTTAGTTTCTTCAATTTGCTTTTTGTTCTGAAGAAGTCCAATAATCTTTTGATTTCCAAATTGACCAATGGACCTGCTTAACTTTCAAACATCTTCCTTAAGTATTCTAGTATAAAAATAAGAATTACCTATAGAATTGATATAAATTTTAAATTCGAACTCGGGATTCTTTTGCATGAGTTCTCTAAGAATCTTTAAATTCAAAGAATAAAGTAAGGAGTCAGCAGTAGCCTTGGCTGTACTCATGCAAGTACCATCCCCAATTAAATTAGTGTAAGTAATCAGTGATCCAAGACCTTTCTTAATTGAACCTCCCTCAAATTCATCAACCACATTTCCTTTGCTGATAATAAATATATTTTGACATGTCATTCCTTACTCATAAATTATCTCGTCACATGCAAATCTTTTTTCATAAGAACTTTTGATTATGTTATCCAAATCAGTTGAAACAAGCCCTGAGAATATTGGGAATTCCATAGCTAAAACATGAAATGAAGGTAAAACCATTTCAAATTAATGATTTTCTAAATCAACTAATCTATTATTGATTTCCTTCTTTAATAATTAATATTCCTTTTCATCTACTAGTCCATTTTATTGAGTGTCATCAAGATAATGTCTTTGATGAGTTAGAATTGAATGAGATGCTCTCTTTGTTTAAATGGCTCTAACAATTTCTGGGAATGTATCATTCAATATACCCAAATAACCTTCAGCCTTATCAATCTCTCTTGTCATTTCTTCCATTACAAGTCTCACTGCATCCTTGCCCATAGGGAAACTGTCAGTTAAGTGTAAAACTTCACCCGCACATGATAAAAATGTAGTAGTAACATCATAGACGAAACCTAAATGCTTTATCATATACTCTTTAGCAAATGCACCAATTAATGGTATTTCTTTAACTTTAAAAAAGAAATTGACACTGCTAAAATTAAGGAAATTCTTGTATAATTAATCCCAAATATTTAGTATAGATTTTGTGTGATCCAATCCAATATCACTAGATTCTACTAATAATCTTACAGTATCTTCTTCACATAATCCATATTCAAATTTATCATAATATAATCCTTTCAGAATTCTATAGATTCTATATCTTACTTCTCCAAAGATTTCCTAATCAGTCAATCCTTCATATAAATTTGATGAATTGGCTGCAACTTTATTACTTCCAACCATATATTTAATCTCTGTCTCTAATTTTTCAATTTTCTCTATAAATTTAGGTTATCCAATTAATTAATTCACTTAATTCCAATCAGCCATACTATAAAATTGATCAGATTCTAATTCTCTCATTTTGTCCTAAGAATTTACTATCAACTCTTCTAAATATTTCTTATAAACTTTCTTTTTCACGACAGGATTTTCAATCATTTCCAAATACTACACAAGTGCCTTGCAAGTTGTACCATTAACTAAATTAGTTATTGCAGCCATTCCTGCTGCATAAAACACTGATAAATGTCTAAATCTTGCAGGTAATTCTTCATCACAACCAACCATAAGTGAAAGTGTCAAACCAAGAGCTCCTCTTAAACCACCGTAAACTAAAACAATGAATTCTGGCTTGGAGATTGGATAACCAAAACACCTTAAAAGTGGCCAAAATGTTAGGATCATAATGAATCTAGCCAAAATCATAAAAAAGTAAAACACAATCATTCTAATGTAATCAGATTTATGGATAAATGTTTCTTCAATCACCTATGTTCCAACAATGATTCCAACCAATACAAATACTAATGTATCACAAGAGTATTAAACAAATCCCCAAACAGTATGGACTGAATGCTCAACAGAAGATCTAATCCTAGTTTTACCAAATGCACTCCAAAACAATCCTAATCCCACAACTGCTAGCAAACCACTTGTTTTAAAAAAGCAAAATTCAGCCCAATAAAAGGTCAGATAAGTAAAAACAAAGGTTAACCAAGTAACTTCGATATCATCTCCTAAGATTCTCTTTGTCCATAGCGCTGCCAATATACCTAATACCAAGCCTAGTATTGGCCCTACAAAGGAGTTTCTTATGAAATTGATGACCACTTAACTTGCAGTAACAGCCTCTCCTTTTCCACTTTGCGCTTTTGAAAATTTATTAAAGAAGATGAAAAACACCATTGCAACACCATCATTTAGCAAAGCTTCTCTTAAATATTGTAATTTAATACCCCTCAATTAAGTGATTGAATGCTAAACTTGCACCCAATTCTTTAAGTAATGCCACCACAGCCACTGGATCTGTTGCTGACAACACTGACCCAAGTGTAAACGCTTAGTACCATGTCATATCATTATCATCATATTATAAAACTAATTTAAACACTCCTCCCAAAAGAATTGCTCCCTAAATTTAGATTCAATAATACCCAACCACATCCTGGACCTGCTAACAATAGAATATTCACCATCTGATACTTAAAAGTATACCAATCGCAATTAAATGCTGATTCAAAAAGCAAAACTGGAACAAACACAAAAACAATCAGATGAGGATGCATTTTTGATAAAATACTTGCACTTTCACCTATATAACCTAAACTCTTCTAAAGCAATCCTATTAATATGCCTAATGATAATATCATAGGTGAATAAGGAAATCTACTCAATACAATTATGCTTTACTTTGTTTTTTTATTGATTTCTCTCAAAATCAACCCTGAAACAATTCCAAGAGTAAGAAAATAGACTATGTTTGCAGATTTCTCCATAGCATGTTCATCTCTCCATAAAGAATCCTTGGGAGCTTCTAATTCTTCTTCACCGCCTTCAAATTCATGTTCATGTTCAGCCATAGAAATTAATTAATAAAAATAAATTATTGAACCATCTTTATTTAAAATATTTAATTATCTTTTCATCTAAAATTATTTATAAAAGAATAGAATTATTACAATCACGTTACAATGTAATTATTGATTCCAAATATTCCAAATTGAACTGGAGAATTTAATAAAATACATCAATAAATGTTTAAAGTATATTATTAGATTTGAGAATAAACATATATAATTAAATACAAAAATGTAGAATTTTTACAATTCACCATCTAAATACTGATGTTGTAATTGTCTTTCAAAAGTTAAATTTTTATAAATTAAAGATTTATTGCTATTTTTGTATCATTTTAAATATACGGATTTAATGTTATCAATCTATAAAGGATTTCAATTTATCAATCTTTTGTTCTTCTGTCAAGTGTATCCACTCATGATAATTTATATCGTAAACCTTGTATTTGCTTGTGGCACTCAAATGCCTCTACTTATTAATAAATGTATACCTGCTTTACATGATATGATTTGGATTTATCGTTAATATCTTTCCATTTAAGTCTTCAACAAAATGAACAGGATCATTGCATGTTAAAATGATGTCATCATTGACTAAGTAATCTACATCATAAATCATAACTCGTTCAGCTCTTGCATTTTTATAACTTAATTTATTTAGTAAATCTTAAACATCTTATTCAAGGTTTGTTAAATTCCTGGATATAATATCTTCTTTGATATTCAATATATTTAATTTCTAAAAATTTAGGTAATATTCAATGGATTAAAATGATTTTTTGTGATCAACAAGTTTTTTACTAATTATATAGTCCTTCAACATATCATTAAATTGGGGAGCGAAAACATTGCCATCCTCTGGTTTTAACTCTAACAATGGTTTATCAATTATCTCTGGATACAAATTATACATAAGCTAACAATATTGAAAGCATGATTTTGAGGTGAAATAAGAATTTTAAGATGAATTTAATTTCTCTTAGAATCCTTTCAACAAAATTGATATGACTTGTTCATCAACGAAACCCATTCTGAGTAGATTTGATCTAATATGTAGATCGTGAATATATTCCAAATAATCCACTTAATCTTTTTATTTGATAAAGTTTTGTAGAACGAAATCACTTAACTTTTCATTATGTATATTCAGTTTGTAGAGACAATGCTAAAACTTAATCAAATCCTTGATTGAAAGCGTTTCCTTGTCTTAATCGACTTAGTTTATTATTTCTTGTACCATCTACTCATCATACAACAAAACATTGCTGAGAGATAACAGTATTTAAGAATTAATTTCGTATGAATTCTTAACCATTTTTTTTCTGTATTATTTGAGACATTCTAACGTAATTTTCTTAGCTTTATCTCCCTAATTTCTACGTTCATGAAATGTTCCCAAAAATATGATGTAATGAATTAATTCGTCAGTTGAAATTTTTTGTAATTCATCGACTTGGAATAACTTTACATTGTTAAGTAGTTCCCTATAGAGTTCATTTGGCTATTTTATTTTAAATTTCTTGCTTAGATAGTTTTTACTAAAAATTAATGCCCGACTCATAATTGTAAATTTTATTTAATCAAAAAATATTCAATAACTTTTTTATTTCTTGGGCAGAGAGAGTTTCTTTTTATAACAATTCGAAAGCAACTTTTTATAGCATATCTTCATTATTAATTAGTAACCTTTTAACTCGGGCATAAGAATCCTAAATGATTAATACTAATATTACATCTAACACCTTCTTAACCTACATGTCTACCAAGTAATCGAATTAAGTGCTTGTCCTATTCTCACTGCTCTAATCGATTGATATCAACAATGAATTTTCATTCATTCCAAGTTACTTCACATACTAATAAGCAAGAGTAGTGGCCTAAGCCAAATCTTAACTACATCCACTTGTGATTTCATCTCTTCCCAGAAATAAATCTTCAGCAGCTCTTCCACCCATTGCTACATCAATTTAGGCTAAGATAGTTTTTCTTGTTTATGTCGTTATATCAAACTCAGGGATCATGGAAGTCTAAAATAAATATTTATTAAATCTTACATAGCCCAATTACTCTCCTCTTGGTAGAATAGAAACTTTATGGAGAATAGGAGCACCATCTGTCAATAGATTTGTAACTGTGTGCCCACCCTCATGAAAAGCAGTTATCAATTTATCTTTTTCATTTATCACTTTTTGTTTTCTTTAAACTCCCATCGCTGATCGATCTATTGCAAACTCAAAATCAGTGGAGTTAGCTTATTCCCTTTTATTTTTAATTGCATTTAAGATGGCTAAATTAACAATGTTTTAGATCTCAGCTCCACTAAATCCAGTGGTTAATTAGGCTAATTTTAGAGGATCTACATTTTTTTTGTTGTATTTGACTTTATTTAAATAGTAAGCGAATATCTTCTATCTTCCTTTAACATCTGGCAAGGGAATACTAATTATTTTATCAAATCGTCCTGCTCTTTTCAATACCGGATCAAGAACCTAATATGAAATCATTATTTACTTATTCAAAATTAGTTGCTCCAATTACAATAATGCCATCATTCTATTTGAATCCATCCATTTCTGTTAAAATTTGATTGATAGTATCTCTGGAAGCTGTGGGATCATTCATCTTTCTCCTTCCTCCTATACTATCTATTTCATCAATAAAGATAATGGATGGAGAACTTTTTCTTGCATTTTGAAATAGCTCTCTCACTCTTTATGCTCCAACACCAACAAACATTTCGTCAAATTCTGATCCAGATTTTTAAAAAAAGGAACATCCAGCTTCACCAGCCAATGCTCTTGCTAATAATGTTTTTCCAGAACCTGGAGGTCCTACTAATAGAATTCCTTTTGGCAATTTAGCACCTGATTATGTAAATTTATCTGGATTCTTTAAATATTATAATATTTCTTCCAGCTCCTCTCTGAATTCATCAATTCCTAATACATCTTCGAATTTTGTTGGTATATTTTATTCTTATTGTACTTTTTGATGATTTTTAAGAACATTTAAAAGGTGTTCAATTCTTCTAAAATTTTCTTATGGTAGATTTTAATTATATTCATTATTTCTATCCTATTTATCTTTGGAATATTCTTATTCATCCATCTTCGTTTATTATTCCATTTTAGTTTTATAATATTGTAGATATTGAAAAGCTATTAGGAGTAATAAAGCAAGTTAAAATTGTGTATAAAATAGAGTGTTTGTTCTGTAATTGTGATATTTTTATTATAAATATTTTGTTATTGACTATGTGTATAAAGACTAGAGTTAAAATGATTGATTTCTGTCAAGACTATCATAAAATTAGATAGCCTCTTTATAGTTTTCTTGCTAGTTTAAATATTCCATATAAGAGAATGCCTTTGAGTAATCATTTCTATTATTCATAAAATCTGATTTCAATTTAAGCAGTGTCTGATCCTACTAATCCAACTTGAGATGATTGTTATTAAATTTAAATTGTTGTCCTGGTATTTAATCAGAGAGTTTGATTAACTCATCTTTAGTAATTTAGTTTCGATTGAGAAAAGAAGAAAAGGATTCTATTTTAAAGGAATATTGTACTTTGATAAGCTTATCGAGGTGTCATTTTGTATCCCAATGCCCTCAAGATCTTGGATCCGCGCATATTTTATAATAATTAATATTTAGCGAATCTTTTGCAGATAAGGGGATTATAATAATTTATTGAGATTTGAGTATGATAAATTAATTATTTAATATATGTAATAAATCCGTTTTAAAGGTATAACTATTATATTTATTAAAAATGAGAATGTATGCCCTATTTGTGCTGTTGATGTACGCCACAGCATTGAATTTCGAGGCATCTTTGATGTCCCACACTTTAGCAGAAGTAGACGCTTTAGACACTTCGCAATTGAATTGTTAAACTCCACGATCTCATTTTGAAGATTTGGAATAAACTTTAACTCAATGGTAGTAAGTTTTGGAGAACAAGGAGCGCATCCCTTCACATATTGAGACTCTAACATAAATGAAGCATCTAATTAAACATAAAAAGTATGAGCAACTAGTTGAAAAGATTAAAGATTTAGATCTCATTTCACCTCCTGTACTTTCTGAATTATAAAACAAATTATAAGGATTGCAATCTCATGGTAAATAAATAATTCAATTTTTATAGACAGACATGAAAGAGAAGAGTGTACAGAAACTTTAACAAAATTGTGTGCTTATCTTATTAAATAAATGAATAATGTTCACTAATAATGCCAATAATCACCAGTTACAGTCATTAAAGTCAAAGGTAAGATCGAGGATCTCAAGATTATATAATCTGGATGCTAATAATCATGTCAACCAACTTGTCCAGATGAGCCTGCTCCAGAAACACCCTCAGAAGCTCCAAGCGAAGAATTTACTGAAGAGCCAGTTGAAGAAGGTGTTCCTCCAACAACTCCTGATGATGAACCAACTCCAGATGATAAACCAACACCCGATGATGAACCTACTCCAGATGATAAACCAACCCCAGATGAGCCTATAGTACCTTAAGACGAGGAAGGTCCAACTGATGAACCACCTGTTAATCCAAATACCGAAGAATCACCTGATTAACCAACAGTGGCAGAAGAGGGAACAGAAGAATGGACTATTCCAGGAGAAGAACCAGAAGAACCAAAAGCAGTACCAACTACACCTGATTAACCAGAGGAAGATCAAGAAGAATCTTCAAATCCACCTGTCTCCCCTGAACCTCTAGTATTCCCAGAGGAATAAGAAGAATCATTCGGTTTTGAAGAAACTCCTCTTCCACCAGTTTCTCCTGATCCTTTAGTGTTCCCAGAAGAAGAGGAGGAATCATTCGGTTTTGAAGAAACTCCCCTTCCACCTGTTACTCCTGATGTTGTAGTATTTCCAGAAGAAGAGGAAGAATCATTCGGTTTTGAAGAAACACCTCTTCCACCTGTTAATCATGATCCATTAGTGTTCCCAGAAGAAGAAGAAGAATCATTTGGTTTTGAAGAAACACCACATCCACGTATTTCTCCACTGCGTTTCCCATTTTCAGAAGAACATGAAGAGATCGTTTTTGAAGAAGAACAAGAAGAATAAGATCCAATTATTTGCCAATCATCTGAATCTACAGATATTATAGAGTTGACAGCTACTTAAGTTGACCCTGGATTTAGTAGCACACTTACAATTGCAGGTGAATATGGTTTTGGTTTATACTTCTAAAGATTGTAAAAATATCCAGCATTTGCTGAGGGTGATGAATTCCATTTAGCCAGTTTATAAGATAATGGAAACACAGTTTTGGGAGTATTTGTAACTAATACAGGTGTTAAATGTGTTACTGTTGATGGATCTACACATTAATCTACATCTGTATCCAATAGTGACTTTGAAGGTGAATGGAGCTTTGTATTCATCAGTCATGGTTAAGGAGTTACTGGATGTGCAGTCAAGTTCTTTGAAGAATTACCAGCATTGAGATCAACTCCTGCTTCCCATGCAACTTACACTAGTTTAGACTTCAAGGTTGGTGGACCATAAGATTCTCATCCATCATTCTAAGGAAAAGTATATGGACAGTTTGCATCTTCAGTATCAAATCTACACTTCAACAGTTAAAGATAATATAATTTACTTGTTGATTCATGCAATAGTCCACCAGAAGTAGAACTTTGTGAATTATATACTGATGAATTAGGAGATTATCAATTCTATGGATTTGAGGATACATCTGATGAAATATTTGAGTTTTCAACTTGGGATGCTGGTTACGCTGTTTCTGGTTGGTTGAAATGGGAAACCTTAGAAGATCAAGATGTTTGGCACACTGTCTTCAGATTATCTGAAAATGCAGATGCTGATTTGGAAGAGATTAAATTAGGAGACAGAGATTTGGCTGTTTTTCTTGGTAATGAATTGGTTGGAGGTGCATTTTAATTTTCTACTTACACATATTCAGGATCTGGTAATCCTAATTTATGGGATAATATTTAATATACAAATACATTGGGTTAATGGCATCATATTTACTTTGGATACAACAGACTTTAAAGAATAGCTAGTTTTACACTTTATTTAATGGAAGACCAATTGATTGGAGCAAATTAACTTCTTGATGCTCGCCATTATCTTGTTCCTTGGAGGAGACTTTATATTGGGTAATGATGGTTTATACCCTGCCTTTCAATGGGTAATTCTATAATTGGCGAGTCAATCGTTGTATTGGTGACGCTGCTCGTGATGTTGTACTGACACCAGATGATATCCCTTTTGGATATAATCCTCAACCTGTAATTCCTGAAAGTCGTGCAGCTCCATAAATTGAAACTTTTGCATCTCCTGAAGAAGAACAACCATATTGGGGAGAAGAAGAATAAGAATTTGTTCCTGTTACACCAGATGCTGTTCCAAATGTTTTCCCTGAGGAGAAGAACAACCATATTGGCCAGAAGAAGAGGAAGAGTTTGTTCCTCCTGCTCAAAGATTTGCATCCCCTGAGGAAGAACAACCATATTGGGGAGAGGAAGAATAAGAATTCGTCCCACCACCTGTTAGTCCTCCAGTTATTCCTGATGAAATTTAACCAGAACCATTACCTGAGCCTGAACCATAACCAGAACCTGAGGCTGCTCCTGCCCCTGCACCTAAACCAGCTCCAGGACCAGCTCCTCCTTCTGAACCTCAAGTTCCAGTTGTCAAAGAGTATTAAATATTTGCTTATGTATTTTTAGATGTGAAGCAACAATTGATGTCACTAAAGAAAATGCTGCAGATATATTGTGTGCTATCTCAGAGTATTTGGCTTAATTAGCATCTGGCCATGTTCCAGAATTAGGTATCAATCCATCAAGAGTTTGTTTCTGTTTGCAATATGATGATAGTAATATTAGTGTATATAATGCAATAGGCGAGTCCAATGAATCCTTCATGCAAGTCGAGGCCATTCTTAAAGAAAATGATGCTTTTACTATTAATAAATTAGTTGCCTAAAGATGAATTTGATTTAAAATAATAAAACATCATGAATTTATTAATATACGTGTTTCTAATCTCTTTCGTCAAATGTTTTGAATCAACATGCAAATACTTACACGTTTCAACTGACATTGATAAAAGCAAAGACGATATAATCAAAGCAGGTGTACCAGCCAGACAGTGGGTATTGGAAGCAGGTATAATAATTCTATCATATAAATAGACACATTTCAATTGGTGAATAACTCCGTTCAAATGGACTACTTATATGTCTCTATGGACAACAAGATCTAATTAACATAAGACATGGTGCAGTTGGAATTTGATGATCATTATTTTGCAAACAGTACACTTAACATAGAGCATCATTAAAACAATGTCTTTTCATTGAAAATTGATTACAGATGTAAATAATACGGCGGTAGATTGATTCAGTATGAAGTGATATTTAATATACCATCTTGTGGATCTGCTAAAATTTATTGGTAAAAATTATGTGGAAGTCCTTTGATAAAACGCCATGGATTAAATGTGGATGCACTTATTAAGTCATACAATTAAACAGTTGTTAAGGATGGAGAATTGGTAAACAAAGCTTATTGGGACAAGGACTTTGATAATTTTGTTTTCACAGTTCCAGCCAATCTGAATTACTCCATCTTTTACGTTTATATGAATCTAACTAAGAACAGCGATGAAGAAAACATTTTGAATAAGGAGGAAACAAAAGATTTCTTTAAAGAAGTTGATTAATCGAAATCAGAAGCAGAAACAACATAGGAAGAATTTCAAGTTTTGGAAGCAATACTAAAATTAATACCAGAAGTGCATATCTCTCCTCCATATGTTGATGCAGATCATACTATTACGAAACCAATTATAAGAGGCGATTTATTTAAAGGTGGAGTTGTAACAGATGAGCCCTCAACTTTAATTGTAGAATACAACTGTGTTGAAAATGGAAATACCACTATAGAATTAAATATTCCTTTGTAGTATTTCTAAGATATTACTATGGTATTTTAAAAGCAATGTGTAGTTTCCGCATAAAGTTCATTGTAATAGTTCTTTAAATATTATTAGTTCAACTTTATCATTTTTATTTTATTTGATCTGTTTTGCAGTTGCAGGGTTTATGCTGTATACATTTGAAGTACATAAAATGAGTTTAAGTGATATTTTGAGAACCTTTCAACAACGATAGAGATTCAATTACAAGGCAACTGGAAAGGATGAAGATATTGAATCTGAATTCAAAATAGGAAGATTAGTTGATAATTAGGAAAGTAAATATGGTAGCATTTGATGTTTATATATATATAAATAAGCTAAGTTTTTGTTGATATTCTTATTATTTAGATATCCATCAATAAATATATATATATATCTGCTTTACTTTTTATTTATATATCATTAATCATCCTAATCAACTGGTAAATTGGTTAAATCTAAGTCATTTCCTGTTATTTTTCTGTAAGCATTCAACACTTATTAAGTTTCACCTTCAAAATGGGATTATGGATCGAATGAACTTGAAATGTAGATGTTATCCTTGGATCCATCATCAGTTGGAACATAAACATCAGAAACCTTTTAATATTTATAATTAAAATTACAGTGACGAATTTCTCCAAGACTGGTCCGACGATTTCAAATGCGGGTTCTAATTCCTTTTCTGGATTATTGGTTTCCACATTGGTACTCAAAATGGCAATGAAGAATCCTTTCTTGCAAACATTATGAACATCACTAACCATCATAACATAAATATCTAATCTAATAAAAATAATATATCTACCATTCTTTCTGCCTGTTTATCTTTATGGAATGATAACTTGAACTGATGGTAAATTCTTTGTATTTGGAATTGGGTGATTGAGAATGCAAATGCATCTGACAATCTTTCCGATAGATTTAACTTTATTTGATAATTTTGCTTTTAATGCATATGATGGATCAGCAATAATCATCTTGCAATTAATTTATTCTATTCCCATCAACTCCTTGACTTTCTCTGATTTTAATCCACATACCTAAATTAAATATTTTTTTATACTTTTCCTTCTCCATCAAAGAGCACTTCATCCAAATCAGCATTCAACATAAATGTACCACCATTTACAGCAGCCATTCTAGAGAATCCTTCTGGAATACCTCCCAATCCGTAAATTGGATAGATGAATGGACTATCACCATATCTTCCAATACTATCCATATACAATTTGATCTTCTCAATTGTTTAAATTGCTGGCTTATCTAAGAATAGATCATTTGAGAATAATGCAACAGCATGACCAATGAAATCAATTGTATTTGGCTCTAATTCGAATTTCTTAAGCAATTGAGCACATGACATTTGATTCAGATTCAAACCTATGATATTAATTCACATTTTACCATCATGAGTCTTGGGGTTGCTTGCTTCATAATTGGACACATAAGCCAAGAATTTCTAGCATCTTCTCTTTTCAAACATTCCCATCAAGTCAGATTTAAGGGCTTCTGAAGCTGTTGCTGGAACCTAAACTTCTTATATTAATATTTACTTTCTCGATTTTGCCACCTCCCTTGCTAAACAGACCTGGCTCCTTCATTTGGAATACATATGTGCCATCAATAGCCTTCCATTCCAAATAACGAGCCACCTTGGTCTTAAGCAAAATTTTGACAAGCTATCCATTTGCCATCACAAACTTGGGAATCAAATCGATATTCCAATCTCTATTCTAACCTTTTCAAATTAATAACTGATACATACCTAATTGTTATGGAAATTGTTATCCGGCCTTAAACAATTTCCAAAGGTTAGTTAAATTTAGTGATGCACCTTCTCCTCCATAATAGGGGTTACGATCCATGTGAAACACTCTCTTGCCTTCCATACTTAGTAATCCACTAAGAATGCACTCAATCAAACCAGTTCCGCACACAACGACATCATAATTAGGATTTATTGGCTCTTAAGTATCCATACTTAAATACAAAATATTTATTAAAAAATACTCGAGCCCCTCGAACCTAAATTTCTATCAAATGACGTAGAAAAAATTAGGAGATTCCAAAAAATGACAACCTTATCAAACCAAAATCCAGAAATACTGTGTAATACAAACACATTTAATCCATTACTACTTTATGGAATATAAACTGAATTTCTCAGAATAAGCAACTTTTAAATATTCATATAAATTTTTATATAATTATAAAAATTACTCTTTTCATTTTTGAAGATTGCCAATTGGATAATAAGCAGTACTTCTAGATGTTGGCCAACGAATGGATCTGTAACTTTTTAGGATTCTATCTAATTGTATGAAATATAAAATATGTATTGCATAGTTATATTTAGAAGTATATTCAATAGATCAATACATATTTATGATATGTCACTTAAGAATTTTACAATTAGAATAAGAGATAACTTTAAGAATCTCATTAAAGGAGAAATTTATATTTAATATCAATGTAGCTAATTTTCAATTTAACTAACTCTTTAATCCTTGTTTTTATATTCAGCTATTGGAAGATTACTTTTGATTTCAATAAACTTAATGCCTTTAGTTTTTATAAAAATGTTTTATAAGTTTATATATAAATAACAATTAATTAAAATTAATTCGAGAATATGAAAAAATGTGTAAAAATTGATTTTATATTTGATGCTTTATGTATATGTCATTCAAATATAATTTCCCCGAAGGGCCTGGTCTCTGTTTGCTGATTAAACCAATTCATGCTGGAATCTTATTCTAAGGGTTGTTGTGAAAACTCATAGTTATCTAAAAAAACAGGGTAATAAGCGGTGAATGATATGATAAAATTATTGTAATAGTCCTCTAAAATTTTCTTGGGTACTTCTTCAACTTCAGTATTATTTATAGCCGCTTGTTGCCCGGCTAGAATTATAAAACTTACAATTTTCTTAATTATTCTTCTATTTTTTGAATTAAATTCGATAACTGATTTTTTTACTCTTGATTTGGATTAAAGTCGTTTATTATAGATATCATTTAAGATTCGACAAAGTTATTAATCGTTTTTGTGATTGTCAATTTCTTATTTAACAAACTTCGATATTTCAGCTTTTTCAAGTTATTTACCTGCCAACTCTTGTTAGAGAAGGCATTTGCATACAATATAAACTTCTAGATCTTAATATAAGTTTTTATGGCCTTATTTTTTATAAAGCGATCTAATTGTTTCTACATTAATGTTCAAGTCCTTTGCAATCTCGCTCAAGGTCTCTTAGTTTGACTTAAGCCTCTCTAAAATCTCAAGCTTGACTTAAAATTTGATTTTCTTATAAGAACCTCTGAAGTTCTTTTTACTATTTTAATTAATTGAACTTTATTTCTGATTTGTGTTTTAAGTACTCATTAATTATATTAAATAAATTAATGAAAAGTCCTGTCAGCCATTCGAAAATAAATAGTGTAAGAATCGTCAGAATATATTAGGGATTTAATAAATAACATGAAATATGGAAAGCAGAATCACTTTATTCCATTTATTCAAAATAATAGTATAGATTTTTATGAATGGAGAAAAATTGTAGCAAACTAGAAAGCGAACTTTAATACTCTATTTATCTAAATAGATCTTGTAACATATGGACAAAGTTAGCAGAATTGTATGATAATTCAACATTTGTAAACATCTAATTAAATAAAATCTGATTTGGAATTTATTCTTTTGTGAATTTGTCATAATTATGTTATGTATTGGCATATAAGGTCCGTATGGACAGAAGGATATTAAAAAAAGAGCATGGAATAAATTAACTGCAATTGACAAAGTAATTGAAAATAAGCAGATAAAGGAATTATTACTAAATTAATAAGCACTAGACTATTGTACTTAATCTAAAAGACTTTTCTATTGAAGAAAAATAGTAAATAAATGGAAAGAGTGAACTTAATAATAATTAATTAAAGTAATAGAAATGGAAGATAGAATCTGAATACTTATCAATCCATCAATGATCCTAGTGAAGTAATGATATTGTGAGGACTAGATGCTTAGATTGTAATGAATCAACATTAGAAAATAGTATGAAGAGTATTCCTCAACATTTAGGAATTAGAGAGCTGATGTAAAATCATACTGAATTTAGTTATTCTGATTGGAAAGAGACTCTAAGAAGGATTGATTGTAATATAAAAGTTAATTCATTGAAATTTGTATCCTTCAAATAAACATTAAACACTTTTTCTTCTGATGAGAGATGCGGCGTCTTCTTAAGGTTCGCTATCAGCAGAGATTTAACTTTGAAAATCGAAATTTCCGTCTATGCTCTAAGAACTTATTCAAATCTATACCCCAGGAACATATTATGACTTGATTTCTTTATTGATCAACTTGCCCCAAGGATATCCTTTCAGCCATTGGTGCTCAAAAATCTCTTCAATTCCATTGTGGCCTAACCTTTGTTAAGGCTTTCTTATGAGTAGCTATAGAATAAATATTTAGAGATTACTCTATTAATGAAGTCCTGTGCTTTCGGAGAGAACCTTTCATCTTTAATTTAAACTTATTTGGCTAGGATCTGATCTCTAATTTCTTATCTATTCTTGCCATTATATGGTCTTTTGCCAAGGAGTAACTCGTAAGCAATAACTCCAAGTGCATAATAATCGACAGGAAATGAATGGTCGAGTCTACACATAACTTCAGGTGCCATGTAACCAGGAGTTCCTGAGGTATCACTAGCAGCAGAATCCTTATTTAATCTAGCTACTCCCAAGTCAGTTAATCTCAAGAATCCATCTTTATCGAAAACTAGATTTTCAGGTTTAACATCTCTATGGATTATGCCATTTTGATGTAAATATTAGAGAGCCAATAAAATACAACAGACAAAAAACTCTTTAGATATAAAATAATGGGGTACTTGTTTGATCTTCTGAGAATCTGGTGTTTCTACCAATATGATATCTGAGGTCTCCTCCTCTGAGTAAATCCAAGACCAAGTATAAGTTTTCTCTGTCTTAATAAGCATAATGCATATTCACTAGAAAAGGATGTTTGAGATGTTCGAGTAGATACTTTTCATTCATCACAGAATTAACAGACCTTTTAGAGATGATTCTAATAATCATTCAGATAAAAAGATACTTGGATTTCAACATTTCTTTAAGCGCATATTCTTAACGATTGGCTTTCATTTCAACTCTCCAAACCTTTCCAAATCCGCCTTTTCCAATTACATATAGAAATTTGAAGGAATGTCTTCCGATTACTATAATAATAGATACTAATAAGTTTACCATTTTCCTTGGGAGGCGAGGATTCAAGAGATGTCTTTCTGGTCCGAGAATTATTAACCATTGTGGTTGAAGTAGTATTATTGATTTATTTGCCACTATAATAACTGTGATGAATGACATGATTTGATTGTTGTCTTGATATTTATTTTGAGATGACAGCTTATTATACTAAAATAGCTTTCTGATCAACTGTTCTTTTCGAAACTGGTGAGCTTTCATCAACCACCAACGAATTTTTGATACTCAACATTGAGGATGATCTTTTTCGAGCACAGATTAAGCAACTTTTTTGATTGCATTGACAAAGAGATTCCACCTTCTTACTAATCTTAAACTTTATCTTCGACAGTGGGTTGTGTTAAGAATGCTGAGCAGGCATTATGTCTTTTAATGAGACATGCATATTATTTAATTATTAATCAAACTCAAACAACTAAAAACTCTTCCTATAGAAAATATGGGAACTGAATCAATAGTTTTTTAATTAGAATCATTAGTACACTATACCTTTTAATATCTAAGTGATTTTTTGATTTCTTACCAATCCATAGACATTATAAAGACTTTCTTAAAATTCTTACTATAAGAGAAAATAATGTCACTTCATATTTAGTGATTATAGGGAAATCTATTTAAATATAAACATTTAATTATTATAAGATATACTTAATAAAGTATTAATAGATTAAGTAGAGAGACAGTAATTTAAGTAACTGTGACACTTTTAATAAATTATTTACTATTATTCTTATTGCTTTCTATAAAGTGAATTTGTTATCAAATATTAGATGTTATAATCTATCAAAGTGCTTATGAATAATTTAGAGGAAATGCCAAATAATATGATAATTTAATTATAAAAATAAAAATAATGTAAAGAGAATAGGCAGTTTAGATTGCAGGATAATTATATAATTATTATACAAAAAAAGGGAGTTTAGACAGTAAGTTTGACTTTTATGCTGTTAGTTTAAACAATGATGGCTAATAATTATAAGATGATGGGTAAATAATCTCAGATCTAATAAGAAGATATTGAGGAATACAAATAAGTTATTGGAAGCGGTTAAAAGAAAGATTTTGAATAGTTATGTATCAGATATTTCTGCAACACTCTTCCGATAGTGAATTAATAAAAGAAATAAAAATACTCAAAAATTGCTAATGACAGATTAGAAATTGCAAGGAAAATTTTCCGTAAATTTGATGCAGATAACTCTGGTACTATAACTTCGGATGAAGTTCGAGGATTATTAATTGAAACATACAAGTAAGTGGGGATAAACAACTATCAGCCAACAGATGAAGATCTGAAAGAGTGGATGAATATGACAGACACAAATGGAGATGGATTAATCAGCATAGAAGAATTTGAAGATTTAGTAATTCGGAGTTTGTAGAGTTCTGGAATAGAAATATATTAGAAATGAATTGTATTTATTATAAATTCAGATTAAATTGTTATTTTCTTCTGGTTATTGATGCAACTGTTTAATTGCATCCTTTTAATTTTTGATATGCTTTCCTTAATCTGGTAATGCTCCTATAGACAAGCAAACCCCAATTCCTGCTAATACTAAATAAATAATATCAACATCTCTCATTCTATCTTTTTCTCCCTTTAAGAAAGTATAAACAAATCCTGATAGCATGGGTACTGTTGCCATACAGATATTTTCAATGATTCCCAATATTCCCAATGCAGTAGCTCTTAATAATACAAATAGAATACCTAACATATTATCAGGGACAGTTGATTACAATGCAGGCATCAGAATGCTTGAATAGCAAGCATAAGACAATCCTAAAGTTATCAAACTTCACATAGATAGAAAATATAAATTACGCAAAAACGGACATATAGTTGGGATGTGTAGAATGAGGCATATAATAGAGTTGTAAATGCGATAAAAAGAACATTAGAGTCGATACAAAAATGAGGACCTGGCGTTTATGAGAAAACGTGTCACTGATTTTTCCAATGATTGGAGAGGATAAAGCTATACATAAGATAGAAATTTAATACCTGCTACAATATATCCAACAGTGACGATTCTACCAGCATGCATAATACTAAATCCGAATCTCTCGTGATAAAACTTATTAGCATTGTCTAAGAAGGGAACATAAGCTGCCAACATCAGTGTAGTGATTAGACTCATTCTGACAAATGGTTTACTAAGCTTAACTAATATAGTTTGGTCAATTACATTTAGATAATGAAACCTCCTCGTCTGGTTCTTCTGCCTAACAAGTATCATACTTTGTGTCTAAATATATCATTAGTAATCCAGATAAGAAGGACTATGATTTAGGTTTATTGAATATACCATAATGCACAATGATAATCCAAAAAGTAAAGGCCATTCTAAAGAATGAGTTTTCTCAAATAGATATGGTGATAAAAAGGAATTCAATGCTGCTGCCAATTCTGGAACTGTTAAAATCAACCCCATTGCTGTTCCCAAACAATGTGGCATCCTTCTAGCAATCACCTTAAACACACCTATGTGTAATAAATCACTTGCTATTCCAAATATTGCCCTCCCTACTAACATCATATAATATTTTTAATAGCATCCACCAAATGCTATAAATAATTATGAGAGTCCAAGCATTAATGAAAATGTAAATACCTATTTATTGTATAAATTTTACTCCCCATCTTCCTCCCATCCTATCTATCATGATACCTCCTCCAATAGATAATCCAATATTTGGAACTGCAAATATGCTGTACAACAAATTGAATTATGTTTATGTTAGTTTAAACTCTTTTTCAATCGGAATCTCAAGTGCTTGGGGTATGTCAAAGGCATAGTTATTTCCAACCATTAACAATATTGCCAAACCTATAATTAGACGATCGATCATCCGTTTTTTATATATATAATATTAAATTCTTAATAGTATTAAAAAACTAACAAATTTTAAAATATATATTATCTTTGTATGTAATCAACTCAAAGTCTTGGTTTAGCAATCTATTTATTGATTGTAAAAGTTCTAAAATATTTATTATATTTATATACTCTAATCCTTCATCATCTTACATGAATTCAGTATGTGTTTTTAGCATTTTTTAATTGTCACTTACTTGTGGTATATTTGTATTTGTGATTGTCAACTATTATCCAGTATCATAGTCTTATTAGAAATATCGAATAGACACTCTATTACCCTTCTCCTATTTCTTTGTTGTTGGACCCTTATTTTTTACAAGTTCCATAACTGATCTTGCAAGATTCTAGAACCTCTTTCTTATTTAAGCACTTTTCTTAGTTCTTTTGTAATTAAAGCACTTGACAATCTTTTACGATTTTAATATAGGGAATAATGATGTTAATTTTGAATTTATATTGTCTATAATTTTCTCCGCTTATGAAGAATTTAGCTTAATCACAAGTTTGGTCAGGTACAGCAAAAATTGTGCATTTATTGCTATTAAAAAGACATAACTGCAGATTTCAATGAATTTCAAATTGTATTGTTCACTTTAAACAACTAAAATGCTAAAAATAATTGTAGTAAGGCAAACGATATGCATATGACTTTCTAAATTGTTAAATAAGGATGCTTTATAAGGTTGAAACTTTTCTACTAATTGTTAATAGACGATTATTATTAAAACTACAAAGGTTGCTTTCCAGACTATTTAATCCTGGAACTACAATAGCACAATTACCAATAAGAATTTTTATATTAATTTGCAATACTCCCAATAATAATATTTACTTTTATAATTTAAGTACAAATAACCAAACATCATTTTCGTTTTTAAAAGTGTTAATTATTATTTTCTCTAAAATATTGCGACAAAGTCCAATACCAATATGATAAGAAATAATATAAATATTGGAATAATGAATTGCAAAATCCATAAATAATGTTCTTGTGAATCAAATATATATGTGACATCAGCAAGAACCCACTTTTTCCCTCCTATTACTCTATATGAGATTAAAGAGATCAAACAGGAGAATATACTTGGAGAATAATAGAGTTTGCAATATTATAGAGAATTGAAAATTAAATGATGCCGAGTTTCACTTTCTGTTCTAAATACAAATAATATGAACACACCAATAATTATCAAATAGAGGATTGGTGAAAATATTTAAATTATGGCTCTAATATAAATGATATTGAAAGTAGCTTCATAATTAGACCATACACAATCTAATGAAAAGGATATTGACTCTGTAGGATTTCCTAAAAAGTTTATAATCGAAGATAATTGAATGGGAATATTCAATTGCAACATAGTCAAATAGAATATTATCTAAAAATAATGAAGAAATATCTTATTGCAACTAATAGTTGAAAACCAGAATACTCTAAACAACTTGTTAAAATCACTCTTTATACAAAAAGCGGTTATTCCAATGGCTAAAATATTCCTAGATTTTATAATTAATTAAATACCATATGTTTAAGATTATGTAATAGAAGATTGTATATCTCTAACTTGAGCATTATTGACAAGAATACTTAAACAAATTCTAAAATTTTTCTGAGCCTCTAGTACCATAAATATCACACTGTTCACATAATGCTCCTACATATCCAATTTCACAACTAGCATCTCCTGTTTCCCAACCTCCTTTGCATTTAGTCTACGAATAGGAGCATTACAAAATATCATCTGAATTCTAATGGTATCTCCAGAAACCTTATCTGAGTTTCAATTATCCTGATGTTACTGAAGATGTTGTAAGTTCGTTTCTTTTTGAACATTTAATAGATTTGATTATTACAGAATATAAATCTTAAGTGTAGTCACAAGCCTTACATTGATCACGATCAAAGATTTCTCCTATTTTACAAGTGAAAGTCTTGACTTGGAATTGGAGTTAGTAATTTTATGAATTAGTTATGGTGTTACTTAAGACTTTAATACAATTGCATTTGATTTTTAATAATAAAGGTTACTCAGTGTATGGTGTGAAAGTAAAAATTTGATCATCAAAATCAAAATCTTAAGAAGATTCATTGAATTTAACTTTGATTTAGATTTAAGAATCATCACTAAATATTGTGCAGTAGAAATTGCTTAGATTTCTCATTATATCATTTTATCTATTCAAAGCAACAACCCTCAAAGTTTAATTGGCATTTATATATTTATTCAATTTCTGATCAAAATACTAGTACTAACCAATTTATTATCCTGATGGAAAGTATATGTAACTAGTAATGCTTCCATCAAACATAGAATAATTTTGAATCTTTATTTAATCTAATTGAATTGATTAATTATTCATCAAATCTGTAGGGAATAAGATATTCCTATAATTGTCAACAGTAATTCCTAATTTTGATGGAATTTCAACAATGTCATTTCCAAAATAGCTAGCTTGGTTTGCCTTAAAGGTTTCGTGCTCTATGAATATAGGCAACTAAATATTTGTAAAGACTCCTCCACCTTATTCAGCTTTATTGTAATAAATTTAAGACTGTTTAAAGACTATACTCTTGCCTTCATAGTAGACAGCTCCTCCTTTGTATTTTGCTGTGTTATTAATAAAATTTGACCTTAAAACAGTTATTGAAAATTCATAAGTATTCAAACAACATCCTTATAAGGCTGTATTCTCTAAGCAATAATAGTTTGATATTAATATATCTTTTGACACTATCTTCTCATCTGGCTAATATGATATTGGTTGTATAGTTATGCAAGAGTTTAAACATAAATTTGAATGACTGAAGAGTGTATCCATAACTATTTAGGATACATTTTATTATTTAATTAAAGCATTAATATTAATTAGTTCATTTATTTGATTGTTCATAAATGTAATGTTTCTAAAAAAGATTGATTTCGTTGTAATTTATTGCACAATGTTTATTAGGGTAGATGCAGATAATTAGGATGAAAATATCAATAATTCTTAGGAACATTCTATCTGTTTCATGAAATCTGTCATTTATGATATTGAAGTACAATCATTAATTTTAGTAGAGCTAAGTTTACAGATCTATCTGTTACTCTTATAGTTAAAATTGTTTTATGTGTTGAGCACCTATATATTTGTTAACTGAATGTCACTATAGCTTACAATATTAATTAATTATTGATTAACTATGTTTGCATTGTCAACTAATAGATTAGCTAAAATAATTTCAGAGGATTGTTCCACAGATATTATGCCCTCTTATATTAGATTTACAAAATATGAATTTTTAAATTCAATAGAACACATTTTCAAATTTATTAATTGCCTTTATTTTGCTAAAGTATTATCTATCTAATTTTAATTATCAAATTTTAAGTTTTCAAAGTATGTTTAATAAGCTGATTACTCAACTATTATTTCCTTTAGACTTAACTTGCAAGGCTATTCATTTGAATTGATAGAATTATCAAAATATAGAATTGATCCTAAATCTGCATAATTATCTTTAAAAAAAGAATTTTAAAATTCAATCTGTATTTTTTGATAAATTGAAGATTTGATAAAAAGAAATCCGCCTAGATTTTACGTGAAAACTTAGCTCACTGAAATGTTGATGAATTACATTAGTATTTCCTATGATTGTATTTCTAGATATATGGCAGCTCCATAGGATAAAGAGTTATCAATCAAGTTAGATAAATTACTAAATTAGCAATTCTGTATTGTTAACGTAGAAATATTCTAACTGCTTATTTGAAATCCTCCTCCATAAAATCCTTATGAAGTATTCAAATGCACATCATTTACTACAAGAGATGATGTTTTCAAGTATCCATTGCCAGATTGAGTGTAAATTGATGTGATAGAAGTTGAAAGATCTTTTATAAAATAATTTAATGTTGTGTAATTCATTACATTATTATTATTAAAAAGAGTATAAGCGATGTTTAACTATTGAGTGTTGATGTAAAGTAATGAAACAGTGGAATTCAATATTAAATTATACTCCAAGGAAGAAGTAATTAAAGAAAAATATCCTCTTGGAGCAATTGCAACTATGAGTAAAGATGATGCAATTTAGGATTCCTCCTAAAATTCATTCAATAAATTCCCTTGAAATATTAATGAAGAGAAATGAATAACAATTTAGTTTTAATCGATAATACTTATAAGTCCGAGCGAATTTTAATTAAGATTCTTTAAAAGCAAATTTCTTTCAAACTTTACCTGATTGATTATAATTAGTTTTTACAGAATCTCTTAAATTAAATTCATCTTTTGGTCATATATAATTTGTATAATTCCTTGATTGTATAAAGTATTATTTGAGAAAATCGAGTTTTGAATAGTAATTTTTCTCACTTCAAAAAAAGAGATGAGAGAATATTCCTATTAAAATTTGGAAGAATCTAAACAGATAAAACTTAAAAACTATTCTCTTTTTCTTTTAATTATTTGCAAATTATCAATAATTACTTCGATTGAATTCAGTATTGCTATTTCTGGCAAATCTTCTTCTCTTATTATTAAAAAGTTAGTGATTTTTATTAAGTTACAAGACAATAGAATTTTATTTTTTGAAATATCAATTTCATTTAATAATTCTATTTAAGTTATTTAAGAGTTCTAAATTTAAATATTCAAAAGTTAAATTTAAATTGGTTACTAGTTTTCCTGATTCACATAGATTAAAGGAACTTCTTTTTCATATTTGATAAGATTAAAACTTATCTTGTCCAAAATGAACTGCGGTTCATTAATATAAGAAATGCCACCTTAAAACAAAGTACTATAGGATTAGAGAGTTAGTCCAGATAGAGTAATGTCTTCTATTTCAATAAAATTATTTAGAGAAAATAAAATCGTATTTATTAAGGTTGAATCTTATATGAGGGCTTATTTCACTTAAATTTAATAGAAATAATTAAGATTAAAAAATATTGTGGAATCAATAATTAATTAATTTAAATCCAAATTTTGCATCAAAATATTATTTAGACCATAAAAAGAGAGTTTAATGTATGTGGAGTTTTTAACAACCATATTTGTGATTTTTAAGTTTGAAATGTTGATTTTGATAGAGTTTTAATTTAATATGTTAAATAAGATTATATTTATAAAATCACAATTTATAAATTTAACATTATCTAAGGTTAATTAGGATGGTTGTTAATTAGTTTTAATTAAAATAAATTGAGAGTTCATTTCAGATAAGAGTAAATTTATAATTTAAATGTCTCGAAATTCAATAGATTATTAACTTCTCGCAAAAATTATAATTTATTACTATTTATTCAGGGATCCAAAATTCACATTCTAAAACGTTGTTTTTAGGTTAAATTTGGAATCAATAATTATCGTAGCTATGAGATTAGATGATGATATAAAGGATATATTAGAAATGATAATTTCAGTAAAGCCTAACAAATAAAAATTTTCAAATATTAAAAGGTCTGACTATTATGAGGAGTAGAAATTCAATTTAATTAAGCTATAATTAATAACAATATTACATTGCGGAAAACACATTTTTGCTCATACTTTATTAAAATTATCCTTCCTGAGGAATTTTACAAGAATGTTCAAGACCATCAACAATTTCAAAATTATAAATTAATTCTTTAACCGTATTTTTATTTGCATAAGAATAAAGCTTTTCATTTTCAAAATAAGATAGATGATCTATTTCACTGTTGGAAGAGAATAAATCTTTTATGTTTATTTAATTTTTATAAGAAACAAAATCATCTTAGCAGTATATTTTGACATCTATTGTTATCGATTTAAAGCATTTTTATTGATGAGGGTTAGAACTGCAGTCTTAAAAACTCTAAAGATCTTCATCATAAAAATATAAGTATGAAAATCCTTTAATACAGATATTCTAATATATTTGAGATTAGCTTGTATAATAAGGATTTATAGCAGCTACCTCTGATTAGCTTCTTTTAATGCAAATTTAGCAATAGGTGGGACATTCCAAACAATTATCATCAACTACTGAAAGAATCTTGCCCAAATAAGTAAAAGGGCAAGATTGACATACGTTTTCATCATTAATTTTAATACATGATTCACAATATTAAGGACATGATTTTATACATTTTCCATTATACAACTCATAATTTTCTAAACATTAAGTGCATTATACCATATATTATTCTTTCTAAAATTTTTAATTATAATCATTATAAAAGTGATTTTGATTGCTTTCTTCAACAAAAAACTTATAAAATGCTCTAAGATCTTTTCGAAAATTATCGTTATATTACTTTAAATTCTATGTACACCTGAAACAATTAAGTTCAGTAGGACATTTGATACAGACTCCGGTATAAGAGGCATAATATCCAAAATTACATTCCAAACAAACCTGATTAATATCATTGATTTTGAGACACAATATACATTTATCAATTAATGGGCAGTAAAGAAATTATTCATATATTTTCTAATTGATAAGAACTTGATTGTAAATGATTAGGCAAATATATGTGCCGCTATAATCAAAAACAGATTGCTTGCACATTTAATATTGATAGAAAGTATAAACACATTAATTAGTAATGAGAGAGTATGTAAAATAATCATCCATACATCTGGCACATCCAACCCTCACATTTTCATCAAAGTCTTGAGGTTCAAAAAATATATCCATAGTAGTTATTGAATGATCAGTCTCTAAATATTGATAGCCATATAAACAATAATCAATTTTAATTTCTAAACAATCTATTGCATTGAACATTATATAGTATTTATTCATATCTATGCATTCTAAGCATCTTAGGAAGTATTCTTTTTTCTTAAGATTGAAATCAATCTAACAAGTTTTGCAATTCAAACCACACCTTGAACACCCTCCATTTACAATTACAGAGCTCTCATCCAAACAGCTATCACATTGTACTTTGTTAATTGTTTCATCATAACGACATCTTTGACAATCTTGTGGGCATTCAACACAATTTTATTAATCTAAATCAAAATAATATTAAGAAAGGCATTCAATACAAATTCCCTATTCATTCTATTGTGAACAAAAAGGAGGATTAAGTTTACAAGCTCCATTAATAAATTTAAAATTTGATTTACATTTTACAAATACATACTAGCCTAAATGTTATGCTCCTATTAGCTTATTACATTCAGATTCAATAGGAGTACAAAACCCTGCACATCCATCGCATAATTACATTGAAAATGGTTAATTGATCAGATACAAATCTAGAAATTCTTACTCCCTTTGAGCTTATCTAAAAGAAAAATAAATTTAATTGAAATCCCAATTACACATTGGGTTTTTGAACCATTCCTTTTAATTATTTATGCAATCTAAACAATTAAGCTGTAATTTTCCAAATGGGCTAATTATAATGATTATTATAATACCATGGATAACATGAATTCATAAATTCAAAATATCCTAACTAGCATTTTATTGCATCATTTTCATTTTCTTTTTGTAAGAAAATCACAGCAGTTTGATAATTTTGTACAATCGATATGCAATCCAGGCTGTCCAATGATTCTATGTATCCAATACCACAAGCACATAAGTTTTTAAAGGGCAAGAATACTCTATTATAGATAGGATTGCAAGACAAACATTAGTTCTCATAAGGACCGACACAGCCAAAGCAAGTAGGATGGCAATCTCTATTAAACTCAAATTTATACTTAAAATAAATGGTTTTAACCCTTGATAGCTATGAATAAATTCTAATTTTGCCATCTAGCCATTCATGAAGGTTCTGTATTTATTAATTCCTGCTATTTAGATACTCGCATTAACATTGGAAAATTAGTAAGGCTAAAAATTAGGTTAAAAATTCCCTCCTACAAAAGTTTAATCATAAGAAAAGTAGAGATGAATAGATGATGTATAATCCTTATTTCCTAACTGAAATTATAGATAATGCCAAGATATTAATTGATGATACACTTAAGGTTGTCCTCCATAGATACCAGCTTCGTATCCGCAATAAAAATAAGGTTTGTAAATGTTTGGATTTTAGTTAAGTTAAGTATTTATAGTGAATTATGTGCTTAATTGACCACTGGTTGAAATTTGATACTGTAGTGATAAGATTTCATCTCCTGGGTAGACATTGGAGTATTGCAATTATGAATAGCTTATACTTGCAAGTATAAATCCATAATCTTCGACTTATTCGCTTAATTTTACCCACCCCTAAAGTAAAAATGAGGAACCTTCCAAAAAGATTATCTTTTTTAAATAGTTATTTCCATTAAAATATTGATCATCTACTAATAGAATTCTTTATTCTTAAGGTTTGATTCTTTCAAATATTCCACCCTCAATAATCTTCTGATTAAACTATTAAAAATTACTCCCAATCTAGTCGAACACTTCAATTATTTGAAATTCGGATTATTTTGCTGTAAAGGGTAGCAAATTCATGTTTTATACCTATGATAGTAAATAATAAATTTACTCTTCCATATCCTCCCAAAAAACTGTTGACCACTTAAGGAATTTAGGTTGTTAATTGAAACTTATTGTAAATGAAATTATTGAAAGCTTATTCATTATATAAGTAAACTTCGATTGAGCTTTGAATAGGATCTAATGCAACTGCAGCATAGATCCAAATGCCTTCAAAATCATAATATTTATAATTAATCAATTACTCCTGATTTGTATTTATAATGAATTTTAAATTTATCAGGTTATTATTGAAATCTTCCATAAAGTATAATAAAATTTCAAATTAATCCCCTTAAGACAAACAAATTATATATCCCTTAACTTCTTCATTTGAATCTAAACCTTCAGTTAATAAATGAGTTGAGAAGATCCTTTTAAAGGCAATAAATTTAAACCAAATTCCATACCCTGTTCTTGTATTTTAAACTTGAGTCACTAATTTTTAATAAGGGTCATATTCGTCTAATAATTATAAAGTTTATTTGACATTTTAAGCCAACGAACAAAATGAAACTATAATGATGATTAACGCTCTAAAGTATTCGAAATATTTCATTAATGCTTAATGTTCTAAATAAATTTAAATAAAAATAATTATTTGAAAAAGATTATCAAATTAGGTAAATATAGCGCTAATACTTTTTATTTTTATTATTGAGCTTCTGAAAAGATAAGACAATTTATCATATATTAATTTAATATAATAATATTCAGTGTCTATGCTGAGGTTTATTTCATTATTTTTACAAATTTCTTTGTACTTATTTATCATAGATTTTAGTTTTATATAGCAAACAATTAGTGATCTTGAGGTTATCGATGAAGAATAGTCATTTTACAAGACAACAAATAAAATTCAATTAGATGAAAATAATAGCTATGGTTATGAATTTTGGTTCAAATTTAATCTAATCCCTCAACATTCTTACTAGGAAGTATTTGAAGAAGAATTAATAACAGTTCGTTATAACAACTAAGAATATAGCAATACTTTTTTAATTTTTTCTGAGTGGGATTCACACTCTAAGTAAATTACTGTTCTATACTTCCTATAATAAACATACTCAGGATATTGTACTCTCTATGTTATACTGTATGTTTAGGATTAAAAATACAACTTGTTTTCATAATTTATTGGGTATTAAAATTTCGAGGGAAGTTGGGTATACACTCATTTTGGTTTCTAAAGGAACACAAACATATTTTAATGGCTTTACTATTCTTCAGAAGATAGATTGATCTAAGGGTAGGTTTGGCCAATTGATGGGGTGTTTTAAGATTTAGCAGAAACCACTAATATAGTGGGCGGAAGTGGAAAAATTTAATTCTCGAATTAAGAGCTAAATCTTCAGAAAATTAGAGGGAGGTTCACTCCTGTGATTTTTACCAAGGGAATTTTATATAAAGAAGCATTGCCTTGGTACCTAGCATATATTCATCTTCCTGATATCTGTACTGGAGCTCTATTTGAAATTGTATATGGAATTTAATATTTGGACGGGACAAATTACTTAGAAAGAGTTATGTTTTTGAAAGGCAAGAAATTTATTATAAAAGGATGGAATAAGCTAATTATTAAAAAGGTAGTATATTGATAAATTGTAGAATTAATACTAAGATTCACATTTATAATTGATGAGAATTACTACTAATAAAGTCTATACAGAAAATAGTAATATTGGAGATAAGTTATTTTAATTAATTTATATCCTGAATACAGATTTAAATAAACAATCAGGAATTCAAGTGAATGCTTAAAGAATCACTATTCCCTTTTTATCCTTCTACTACGATTCGTATTTCAGCAGTTTTTTTTATAATGATGATCTTATGTTAAAGAGGTTGTCTAATTGGGTCTTCTTTAGTTTTGAATAAGGTGGCTAAAAATAATAATTATTCAAAATTTTCTTTACTTATGATTCGTTCAGTCTGTCGTTCGACTTCGGAAATTTTTACTATCCTTACACTGTCTACTAATTAGCTGATGTTCCACTTTATATCCTTATCGGAGGAGATAAATTTTCAAGTCGGTTCTATTATTAGGGATATGTGTAGAATTTATACATCTAGACCTGTCTATCTGAATAGGACTTGTATTAATATTATAACCCTTAGTAGGATTGTAAATATTGTTTTATATTATAAGATTGCCATCCAATGTGTAAAACTTGTAATGGACCTAATTAAAATAACTGTTTAACTTGTCATGACTATCAGAATAGATAATATTATATTGGTAAAAATATATGCCTTTGCAAGTTTGGATTTTCTGAAGTGTCATATTCCTATAGCTGTAAAGACATTTTTAGTCAGTATAAGAAGGAAATATTAGGAGAGTAATAATCATAAGAATGCTAGATAAATTTAGAAATGAACGGTCTGTAAATATGTTCGAGTTGGTATGTAGTATTATAAGATATGTTAGTCCTGAGATCAATTATAGATGCTATGATTGTATTTTGAATCCTAATGATTGGATTTCTAATCCTTTGTGCACAAAAGATATTGTATATTCTAGTTTAAGCAGTTCATCAATGTTAATAAACAAAAGAGAATCTAAAGACTATACACTTTATACATTAGATCTTGAATTTGGATTTTCACTTTGCGAAGGTTGTGAAAGACTATGTGTTGAAGATGAAGTTGGGTGTAACCATATATAAGGAAGGACTCATTTAAACGAAAAGGTTATGGTAAAATGCAAAAATGAGGGGTTTTATTTTGAAGATAACAGTTGTCAAAGATGCAAACCATAATGTTTGATTTGTGTTTCATTAAATCGTTGTTAAACTTGTTTGGATGGATATTATCAAAAAGACGGAGACTGTTTTCAATGTCAAAAAGAATGTACAAAATGTTTATATAATGATTAATAAAAAATATAATGCACAACTTGTGTTGAAAATTATGGATTGATTCAAGGCTCCTGTTAAAAATGCGGATCACATTGTATTAGTTGTGAACAAAGCATAAACAGGATAAATTAAAATGTATTTTTAAGATGCTTGATTTGTGAAGATAATAAAAAATTCATGATAAGTTATGATTAATTCAACTGCATTGACAATTAAATTAATCATTGTAATTATGGGTTCATTTATTCATCAATTGATCGAGTTTAAAATACTTTAATGTTAGATTAAGATTTTATTACATTAGACACTGCAGTTTTTGGATGTGCATAATGTGAAGAGTATTATGAATATGATATTCAAAATTAACTTTGTTAATATAATTATGTAGAAAAATGCAAATAAATCATTCTAGATTAAGGACAATAGATATGCTTAGTTTTTACAAATTACATAATTATTTTTCCATATTATCCATCCAGGGTATATGTCAATGATTTCGAGTGCGATAGATAATTAGATTAATGTATCTAATGCTTAAATCTTTCTAATATTTATTATTGTCTTTTTTGTAAAACTGGTTACTATGCAGACCAGGAAGGCTTATGCGTAGAATGCCCAAAAAGTATAAATTGTAAAAATTGCTATATTCAGTCAAAAAAATATAAAGATAATTGGAAAAAAAATATTAGAGCAACGTTTGAATATTTCTATATGAACTATTATGTAGATTAGTCGTTATTCACAAGGCTAAACTCTAAACCAGATGATGAATATGAAATATTGTGTTATGATTGTTGGGAAGACTATGAGTTTTACAATGGGTAGTGCATTAAAGCTTGCGATTGTGTTTCCTGTGTGAAAATAGATTACTAGAATATTTGCGAAGTCAGCCCCTACTCTCAAGATTACACATCTCTAACTGTAATTGAGGGTAAAATCATCGATTGTTCAACCTATTGTTTGTTTTGTTTTCCATTGCTTTAAGAAGAAATTAGGCAGATAAATCCTTACTTTTAGAATTCTGTATATTCTTACTATTCTAATAAATGCTTAATTCCAAACTCCAACTTCAATAATTTGGTTTATGATTCTTATCTTAAACAATATAAAAAATGCTAAACTCATTCAAATTGCTAGATGGAAATAACCCTCAACTATTTCTTAATTTGCCAAAATGAACAGACAGATCAAAAAGAAGATTCTCCACTATTGATTACAATAGAATAGTTATTTTCTATTAGTAATGGATAGCGATTTAAGGAATTCCAAAATTAGGTTTTTTATGAATATGCTAATGCCCAAATGATAGAAAATATCATCATAAATATTGAAGTTTAAGACTCCAAGTAATGCTTATTACCTCAATTGTCTTAATTGAGTAACGAATTTTTTACAAACATTTTCTCAATCAGAAATATAAAATTACATTTGTTCAGTTAAAACTCAGTTGAGTTTGTTGTTAATGAGCTTAGTATATCAAGTTTCTAATAGATCCAGCTTGAAAATATATAATTTAAACCGTATTTTCAGAGAGCATTCAGATTATACATAAATTCTTTAATAAAACAATAAATAATCCTTAAGAATTTAAATTTTACTAATTAGAAACAAGTAAATTCATTCTAAATACAAATTATGTATATCAATAATTTAGAATTACATAACGTTAGATTTAACGAGATAGAGACTAATTATTCTTATGGATTAATATAAATAACTCAAGCCAAATCTAATAAACTTTATTTTAAAGATATAAAACTATTAAACTCCATATTATTCCAATCTGTTTTCCTATATTTAAATTATGTTACACTTTCAGAAATCATATTTGAGGATTTATAAATTGAAACTGAATTTCAATATTCCTCATTGCTCCAATATTTTAATTCAAGCGAAAATGATATTAAGATGTCTTATGTATCAATTTAGTCAAATTTAATAAATTGTTAACTATGGTTACATTTTATGTAATAAAATAAAATAGAATTAAATCATTTTATCATTTAGTCGTCATACTTTGTTTAAACTAAATTACTTTATTTAAGAGAAAATACCTAAGTTTCTGATATCTAAGCTTTTCAAAATTAATTTTAAGATCAATCAATTATATTATATTTTATTAATGGATACAGTGAAGTTAGTACAAATCAATTAACTATTAAAAATGTGTTGTTCTAAGAAAATTTATGTTATAATAACTATTGTCTAATATATGCAGTTCAAGAAGTAGAAGCATCCCTAAATCAAATTTTATTAGAATAAATATATATTTATTTTAATTCTAGATTATCTTAATGGAGTGTTGAAAATGTTGAAGAGTATGAAACCTTAATTTATTTATCTCTTAAAACCATAATAATAGATGATTTAGAATTGAAAGGAGACTTTATGTCTTAATTAGATAAATAAATTCCAATCAATTAAATTCACATCAATAATATAGTCTCACTTCAAATTACATCGATTAAAATAAGTAATATAAATCAACCAAGTGCCTCATATTTGTACCAATCTTATAAATGTTCTAAGTTATAATAATCATCTACAAGTAGTAAACCTATACTAATGATTCAATCATTCCAGAATCTCAAATTAAATTTTTTCGATATTTATAACGTCGTTAATTTCAACGCACCAATTATCAAGATTTTATCATAAAATTCATAAGTTTAATAGTTGGATGAGAAGATACTTATTCAAAATATTAATTTCACGTCCAATTTACTATTAACTACATAATATTTTAACTCTAAATCAATTCTAGAAATATCAAGTCAATAGAAGCAAAATATTTAAATAGAAAATTTCATATCATCGTATAACATCCTACATGAATACATTTAAGATTATAGCATATCATCTTCAAATGTATTACTAATAGAATCTCCGTAAAGTGATATTACAATGATCAATTCATATTTTACAAGCAATACTGTTATTAATTCGAGTAATACTCAACTCTAAATTTTTTGTAATACTTTGCAAATTATTAATTCAACCTTTATAAAGCATAATCAGATGGATTAGAGTATGATTGATGTAATATTTAATAAATAGTTTCTTAATGACATGGATGTTAAGTATTTTGAATAACTTTAAAATTATTTTCCAATTATTTCTTAAACAGGAGTTGGTGAATTTCATTTTAGGAATCTCATCATCTAAAATATAGAGATAAACTCAACATAGGGTTATTAAGGTGGAACATTCTCATTATATCCAAAAAATCAAGGAGTAATATAAGTATCACAGTCAAGATTTATCAATATAAAATCCTAATTTTCACTTTTTGATACTAAAGGAGGATGTTTTTACATATCATTGCCTTCATTTGAAATAGATATTGTTATTAAATAATGCACTTTTTCCAATATTTGGACATAAAACTATGGAAGCATAATTTTTGTTGAATCGGTTATTGATCATCTTATCAGTCTCAATGTAGTGGATGTTTTCATTAAAAATGCTTTTAGTTTGTAAGGTTCAGTCATCTATTTGAAGTAAAACAAAGTTGATTTGAATTCTATAAATCAATTAGTATTTTAGAATGTTGAAATTGTATAGGAAGAGGACAATTTTGTTGGCTATTTAGCCGAATACATGACCATACCTGATGATTAATAGAATTAATTTTTAGAGAATAGAAGTCTAATTTATTCAACTTATTCTAATGTATCTTTAGAAAATTTTACAGTATTGAATATATTTTAAGAAATGATATTAGAATGTAATTAATGTGAGAAAATTTTAATTAGAAATTTATTCATTTATAAAGCCAAAGAGACATTAGCTCTATTTTCAATTATTTCAGATTAGAACTAGATTTATATTTATTTTTCTAACATTTAATTTCTTAATGTTAAAAATTAAATTGAACTCTTTACAGATTTAAATTGTAATTTAAAAAAAGAACTTGTTAATCTTGAATCAGGTTGTTATTCTTAAAATCAAAATGAATAAGTTAATTTAAAGAATAATATCTTATTTTATTATGATGATGCCTATTTATAAGTGCTTGGGAGGTGCAATTTCAACAATATTTAAAGATAAATCTAAAATTAATAATCATTGATACATATATCAATTTAATCAACAATTTAATAATAGATAAAATTTGTAAATTGTTTATTTGAATCAATCTAAGTTTCAAATGCAATTATTAGAGTAGCCATCTAAACTATTCCGCCAAATTTTATTAAATTAAAATATATTTATATTTAAAACAATTAATGTGGATAGAATGGATGTATTATTTTGGAATCAAATAGAAATTAACTCAGCAGATTACTATCTGAAGAGATTGCAAAAGAATTTGAAAGATTTGATTCTCAAATTAAAATCGATTAATTGTATTGTTATAATAACAAAGCTTCGAATGGAGTTTGCTTAAATATTTAAAACTTATCTGTATACATACTCCTATCCTAGTTTTATAATAATACAGCATCTGAATATGGAGGAAGCATTTACTTTAATTCTAACTCACCAGGATAATAGTTGTTATTTAAATTTTGTCAGTTTTATAATAATTAAGCATTCATCGCTGGCGCTATTTATTCGAATAATATTATTAATAACAAATGGATAAAGGAATATAATTATTTGGATAAAAATGGCTGTAAATCCTTTGGTTCTACTATTGTTTATCCCCCCATGAAATTAGGGGTTACTTTTGATAACTACAACACTATCTATTATCCAATAACATTACATGAAGGCTAAAATATTAAAATAGATCAAATTTAATTCAATAAAAAATTGGAATAAAATTATTTTAATCTTCCTAGTGGGTGTGTGTTAAATTCATATTAAACTGTAACAGAGGATAACCTATATATAAACAACAACATAACTTTTCGTTTAATCGGATTCGATTCGAATGATGAAATTATGAAAAACCTTGAAGATTCATCTTGTAGCATTTACGACAGAATCGTTGATTTGCAAAAGGTAGATGAAATATTTTAAGTATCCGAACTTGTTTCGACTTCAGTGAACATTAAATCTATTAAATTTAATAACAATTCTAAAGATTATAATTTAGATACTGTTGTATTGAATAGCAAAGCAATCAATAATATTACTAATACTTTACAGTTGATCTTCTTTTGTCCAAGCATATAAAGTATAATATTCAAATAAACTGATAGCATAAAAAGTGAATTCAGAATATCCTTATAATATCATTTCTACTCACAGTCAATATTACTTAGAGATCAACATTGTTACATTAGGTTGCCAACTAGGTGAAATTTAAAATCAATTGACAGGGGCATGTCAATAATGTGATGCTTCTCAAGGATTTTATTCAGTTTTACTTAATTAAATTTTATGCGATGTTCAAGATGACACAACAACTGCAGAAGTCAAACCTGCATCCCTTAAATTACTCTAGGTATTTTAATAGAACCTAATAAAATAGGGATATTGGAGACCTGAATATGACAATAGATACATTACTTAATGTTCCAATAAGGTAGAAAATTGTAAGGGAGGTTGGGATGTAGGATATAATTCCTGTGAGGAGGGATACTTTGGTGCATTATGTGAATAATGTGACATATATAATATTAGAGGAGATGGTAGATATTCAAATACAGAATCTTATTAATGTGGAGAATGCCAGCCAGATTATTAATCTGCTCTATATGCTATTCTATTGAATCTTTGGTATTAGTTTTAAATAATTAAGGAATTTGTTTTCTATTATATTCTCTGTCAAAAGTTCCTAGACTTCAATTTTAAATTAAGTGAATAAAAAGAATCAAATTGCTGTAAGTACCTTTCTCAAGATTTTTATCAATTACTTCTAACTACTATTTGTAGTGTCAACCTTCCAATTGCCAATTCCTTATTAGATAACAATATTGTTAGGGTTTATGGGAAATCCTGTTAGAGTCATCTCTTATTCTTTAGATTGCTCTTTAGTAGATAAAATCGCTATTGATATCATTTATTTTAGGATGATTTAGTAAATCTTATACCCGTTTATTTATCTCTTTATTATGTCAACAGCCTATTTAATTTACGCTTTATACACGAAGAATAAAATCAATTTTAGTTATTTCTATATAGCCATATCCTATTTGGTGTTGTATTACAGTCCCTAAATCTTGAGTAGTTTGATTAACCTAATGTCTTATAGAGTAATATCGAACATCAGTTGGGTGTAAGCAGATGTATCGTTTTAATATGATACGTATAAGCATTTCTAATGGATTTATATTTTATGCACTCCTCTGCTTATATTTTTGTTGATCTCAATCAGTAGTTTATTTTTCTTACTTTTCAAAAAGCGAAACAATTTAAAGAAAATTAGATCACTCTTATATTTGGGATACTTGTATTTGGAGTATAATACAGGTTCTTATTTCTGGGAGTTCGTTAAGTTAATGCTTAAGATATTGATTGTAGTGGTTTTAACATTTTTGCAAGAAAGAATTATCATTAAAGGATGCATTTGCTTTTTGATACTTGCATTATATAAGTCATGTATTTCAAGGTACAAACCTTATAAGTTGAGAAATATCAATAATATAGACCAGTGGGCATCCTTTGTGTGTTTAGTGTCTATTTTACTTGGAATGTTGCTCCGTGTGGCCTATGAAATTTAATTAGATATCTTCCCACAAATTATCTATTTTTTCTTAGCCTTTCTTAATATAGCCTTTACATTGTATTTATTAAATTTGATATTTCAATCTTATATGAGACAATATTCAGAATAATTAGACGAAGTAAAAGAATTTATTAAGAGAACATTTCCTTAATTAGATAAAATTAAATTGTGCAAAAAACTATTATAAAATTCTTCTATAGTGAGGAATAAAGCAAAAATGGATTTGAAAAGGATAGCTTCAAGTGTAATTTAAAAAAGTCAGCAATTTAATAAATCTAAGCTACTAATGTCTAAGCAGTAATAAGCAGCATCTATTGAATCAAGAGTTCAACTGTAAACAGTCGATGATTAAATGAAAACAAGCTTATAATTACTTTAGAAAATTGACTTAAGAAGAGCATTTTTCCATAGACAAAGCTTATAAAATATTTAGAATGAAGAAACTTGATTATTTATTAATAATTTATCAAAATAATTAGATTCTTATATTTCAACAATCTATTATGGACAAGACAAGGTCTATTTCACAAAATTGTTGTTATAGAACATCTTAATTTATCATTCATTTTTTTGATGAGAAAGCGTATAATTATAATTAAAATTATTATTAATGCTTGCTAAATTATTATATTTGTATTCAAAATCTAATATTTATGTTTAAGACTTTATTCATCCCATGAAGTAAGAATTAATTATTTTAGATCAATAACAAAATCATCTAAAATACATTTTCAAGATTTCAAGAATTATTAAATTATTTATGGAAAATCAACTTTAAAGTTGGTTTAACTAACATAATAATTTTTTATTACTTTTCAAATATCTAAATTACAATCCCAAGCATTTCTGTAATCTTGATTAACAAATTATTTATAATCTTTGAATTTTATGTAATTCCAAAGAGATTGTTTCGAAATTTCTAATTAGATGGCGGAAATTAAATGATCATCTATTCAATAGTAAAATAATAACAAGCCTATAATATATATGGCTATGCACTAACATTTGTACCAAGATTTATTAATTGAGTAAATAATATTAATAATTAAATTTTCTTAAAGGATAGGATAGAGAGGTTACAATTTCCCAAATGAATCTTCATCAATTGGATTACTTGGCTTTTCTTCGAATTTCACATAAAACGATAAATTATATAATCATAATAATTGTTGATTTATTGAGAAATTATTAAATCTTAAGGGATTAACATAGAAGCAAATGACGTAATAATAATATGAATAAAATCTTTCTAGTTGGTTTGATTCTTAGTGTAAGCCTCTGTCAATAAAGAACAGTAATTGATAGATTGCAGGGCACTTAGGTTGTGGAGGAAGGAGAGAAGGAAACAATATACAATATCCATTATTTCGAGGATGAGAACCCAAAAGAAAAATATGAACAATTGATGAGCAATTTATTGAATTTAAGTAACCATTTATTTAATTAAGACCAAACCCAACTTTTAAGTTGTAGAAAGAGTGAAAGTCATGAGTTTTTCGGTATGTCATTCCAAAACGTTGGAAGGTTAAACCATGAGTTAAAGAATATAAAACTGAAAGAATATGATGATGATTGCTTCTCTTAAATGAGAGTGAGTTACGAATATAATGATGCTGAAAACCAAGTTTAAGTGACCTTCGATCCAGGAGATTACAAAAATGGAAAATAATGCTCAGAATTTTATATGATTGGAACAACTTTGAATTACAATATTGTAAAAGTTAAGAAAGGTAATATATTATAAAAAACATATATATAGTATAGAACCATAAGGTGTACTTCCATTTTAGAAATGAAAAGCAAAAGGAGGCTTTTAAATTGGTGGGAGCATACATCTTCAGAACCTGTGATCATTTTGATTATTGGATCGGAGATTTGTTAACTACAATTGAATTATTTTTTGGAGGATTTTCAGCAAATCCTTTTTTGGGTTCAGTTTTCGGTAGTGTTCCACCAGATTGGATGGTTAGATCAAATATAGAGTTTATTGAGAGAGCAACAGGATTTAGATGGAAAGAGAGACCCAACGTTGATGTAGAATGGTCAGAAGCAGAGATACATTAAGGAGACTTTTTGGCTATTACAAGATTTGATGGATTAGATTAAATTATAGAATGGGGAACAGGAAGCAGATCAGGACACAGTGCTGTTATCTTTGAAATAGATGGTGTTAAATGGGTCGTGGAATCATAGGATGCTTGGTATTGGCCTAAGAAGAATATTCAAAAGAACAGATGGGAAGATTGGAAAGTTTATGCTAAGAATGCAGGATTCAATGTTGCCATATTGCCATTAAGTCCAGAGAAGAGAGCACAATGGAATTAAGAAGGGGCTCTTAAATTTTGGAATTTTATGGAAGGATGTCCATATGGTTATCACAATTTTATATTTGGATGGATTGATACGCCAAAAGATAATTATCCCTCTTTATTGAGTGCTGAATTAGCTACTTATATATTTTCATTCATTGAGAAATTTGCTCCTAGTATTTCAAATAAAATGGTTGGTGAAGGATTGAATAAGAGATTAGGAACAGAAGGTTTGACAATCCCAGAAATCACCATTGAAGCAGCAAAGAGAGGAATTGAAATTGTAATACTCTTATTTCTAAATTAAGGCTGAATTATATGCTATGGTTGAGAAAGATAATTGGATTTACAGTGATGGACCAAGTTAAGTATGTTCTTCATTTGTTATCGGATTGTATAAGGCAGCTGGTTTATTTGGAGAATATCATATTGAAGCAACAGAGTAATTATTCATTATATCTTAACAGATTTACCCCCAAAGATGTTTATTAAATGAACTTCTTTGATAAAAATTACGTAGTTCCCAAAAAATGCAAAGATAATGATCCCGATTTGCCCTATTGTTAAATCATGGGAACTCATAGAATGGAGTTGGAAGGATACAATACAATAGATCCATATGAACATATGAATGAGAGATGTCCAAGTTAAGCTCCAGATTATAAGAGACCAGCTGACTGTTGATTTAAGAATAATATATATTAAATTAAGTATTATTATTTTATTAATAAATGTTAACAGAACTTATTATTGAAATTTGTGAATGCGAAAGAAGAACAGAAACTGTCCGTAAATTACTTTCCTAATTATCCTAATTTGAACCTTATGCTGGTAAATTGTTTTATCAAGTTAGAGCATTCAAAAGAATGGACAAAAGTAGATGTGGAGAAATCTCTTATCAAGATATCATTGATTTTATGCTTGATAATGACTGCAGTCTCACAAGTTTAGAAGCATCCTATTTACTGTAATATTTGGACTTCAACAGGGATGGAAGAGTAACCTATACAGAGTATATTTGTACTTATCATAAAGCTTTGCTAAACAGATACTACCAAAAACTGATCTTATTCTTAAAGAAACAGCTGCTGCCAGAGATTCATACTTTGTATTAGCCAACAAAACTCTACCGAATGAAGTTGAATGGGGATTGTTCAAAATACTCCATTAGGAGTTGTCTAATTTCAAACATCTGAAAATTGTCAAAGAATTATGCAAGGAATCAGTCTAATAGGCATTCTAAATGATAGATCATTACTAACTAGGGTATTTCACAGCGCAACAGTATTATATATATTATATTTTAATCATAGTTTGGAGAATTATTTTAAAAGCAATTACATACAATATGATAAGCAGGATATTAGTGCATTCTTTCATGCTTCAGATAGGGATGAAGATAATAAAATATCCATTGTGGAATTCAATTATGTCATTAAGCCTTTCCATCCCTCTTAAATTTTGAAGGACAGGGAGAGGGCTTTTTATAGCACTCCCAAAAAGTATCGTAGAATTGACAACTCCCCAAAACCATAGAATTCATTCACCAACGTGAGATCAAAATAATTCATTTATAAAACTCCTGTTAAGGCAGATCTATCTTAGCCGGACTTAGAAGTTTAGAAATAGCATTTGATCTAACAAAGCGACTTCAATTTAATTGATTTGTTTTATTAACAACCGAAGGCTACTCCGGAAATGAAGTTTAGAAAATTTTGCAAAACCATTCTCCCAAAGAATGTCCCTCCAAATTACTAATCAAAGCCGATTAGTGCGAAGACATATTAGATGATGCTCAATATACTTAGATAATGATAATTGTGATATTTCTATATATAACAGAATTCATTTTTTTTTAAATTGATCGGCAACTACCTCTCCGATTTTCTCTTTTGCAGCATTTTCAATGGAGTTTGATGATTTATCCCATACGCTTTTGACTTTGTCATCTATCTAAGATAAAAATCATAAATGCGATTAATACGAATGAGAAGAATTGCTCTATCTTCTTTTCATGCTAGTATATAAAGGGCTAGATTGAGTTATTGAATATTGCAGCTGAAAATTTAAAGTTGTTATAAATCAATCCGATTGCCAATGAAACTAAGACTATGTCAACTAGCAAACTACGTTTAAATATTTAAATACTCATTCAAAACTATTTCAAGAACAATATCTAAAAGCGATATCATCCAATTTATGCACCAATATTTTAACAAAGTTTGTTGTCCCTCCTTATCCTTATTCTTCAGTACTTTGAAGGATTGTATTAGTGGATATATGATTCGGATTGTATGCCTATTAAATTAGTATTGATAAATTACAAAAGGAAATTCATCATTTCAATATTTTAAATAATTTAATAATGTTCGACGAATACAATGAGGATTAAGGATTTGTTGATTAACCTCATCAAAGAGAGGAGTACGAAGACAGTTACCTGTATCGTGGAATAGATTAATATTGCCACCTCACTGAGATACCCAAGTTGAACACCAAAGTGTAAGTAGACAGATACAATACCTTGATGGAACAAGATGCGGACACCAAGAACATTCCTAAAACATTTGGAAACAATTTCAAGAAGTTTATGGATAATCAATTATAATTGAGTAAAGACTATTTCTTTAAGAACCCTATCCCAAAAGAAATGGTTACCTTTCTCAATAAGAAAAAGACTGGCAAATAAGCGGATTATACAATCCAAGATTTTAGAGAACTTTTCCAAAATAAACAATCGAATGCTTGGTTTTAATTTTACATTGAAAACTTCTCTTTCTTAGATCTGGTCAACTCCAACAGGATAGATGATCCCGAGAAATATATCAAGTTTATTGAACAATATTTAGCAGGGGCCAGAGATCCATCCAATTTCATTTCGAGTCGTCCCATCAAAAATAGCAAATAGGAGAAGAAGAAGTAGAAAAGAGAGGAGAGAATCGAAGTTCAATCGATTCATTAGGGATATGTGTTGCCTCAGATTATTGAGGAGGAACAAGATTAAGCTTAACATCAACATCAAAATGATTATGAAGAATCTAATCAAATACTCATCAATTACGGCAGAGAGGTTGGTTAGAACCCGTATTAGGATTGAAAACATATTATTAAAAATATTTAGTGATATTAATATAATGGATACTAGATAATTCGAACAGAAACCATCGGTTCAAAGTTATTCTTCATTCGACTCCTACGTCATTCAAGATGAACATGATGGAAATCTCAGTATTCATCAATTAAAAGAAAAGCCATTCTTCAGTTTCTAAGAAGCTAAAGATCAAAATGCAGAAGCCAACTTAAATACTAATGGTAAAAATAACCAACACAAACAAAAATAACCTTACGAAACAGTACTCCCTAAACATATAATAGGTTCAGGATTTACTATACACCGAAGAGAAATTGGAATTGCCATCTTAACAACTTAAACAAATTCCTAAATTACAATAAAATTTTGTTAACATAAAGTTATTAAACTTATCCTAAAACCAGTTAACAACTGTCCCTCCCCAAATCATGTAATTGTTTACTCTTTCTATTTGAATAGGCGTATGACCAACCTACAAAAATTGATTTTGAGCAGTAATCAAATTAATGTTTTGCCAATATTCTTGCAAACCCTCAAATACTTGGAATATTTAGACATGCAAGACAATCTAGTCAAGGTGTTCAACATCAATCCCCCAGAACTCAAATATCTAAACTTATCCAACAATTACATAGAATAACTATATTTCCCTAATCTTGAGCATCTGTGTATCCAAATGAACTGCTTCACTGTTGTGCCCAAAGGGTTTCATAAGGTGCTCTATGGAATGCAGTACTTCGAATTCGATTGGTTCAAGTATTGCAAGCCTGCTTTGCCAATGAAGATTAATTTCGAGAAGTACTAGCACATCAAGGATAAGTTGATATCCATGTTGTAGTCCACAAGTCTCACTTTTGAAACCTTCGTTAAACTGTTGAGTATCTCAGAACCTAATTTCTATTAGACAGACTATAAGTAGTTATTTATTTGACTATCCTCTCTAGATACAGGAATTTATTTTTTTCAGCAGGATCATCAAACGAAATAGGAATTCTCTATAGTCTAATCTAGATAATACCTGAACAAATCAACAATTTAGATTTCGATCAAAATACTCCTTTGAGTGCTTGTTACAATGAAGGTAAAGCGAGGTAATAATATACTTTAATAAAGATCAGTCAAAGTATTAAGAAGTCTGGGTGGCAAATTTGCTCCATAATCAATCCACGTCATTTGTTAAAGAGTAGATTTAGCCTTTTTCAAAATACTTCTCAATCTTAATGAAGAAGATAACTCAACTACACACCATACTGATTTGAATCTCATTCATTTTAGAAATGTGGATGGCAACACTCCTTTACATCAGTTGTTCATGAATTACTCAAAGAGTCCAGATGCTAAAGTAATGGCAGATGTACTATTGTCTTTGGGAGCTGATCCAAATGGTGAAAACAATGAAGGATGGACTCCTTTGGATTTGGCTGTTAGAAAAGGCTAAATCAATTCGATTTAATACGCTGTAGAATACAATAAGAGATTATTCCAATTGAGATCACATCAATAATTATTCGATTTCCAAAAAAAGTCAGGTTAAAGTGAATGGTCTTTGGGTCATGTGGCTGCCAGTGTTGGCAATATAGATATATTGGAATTGCTCAGTCAGGTATTGATTTTGTATATGATAGATTAACATAGATATATTTTAAGTTAGTAAATGCAATAGATTACCAAGACATTTGGCAATATAAAGTTTGACAATGTTGAAAAATATGAGAAAATTGGAAAAAAGATGGATTATTAAAAGAGTATTGCATGATTCAGTTTCAGTGTCACAAACAGAGAAAAATGTTTATCAAATGAAAAATCAAATTGAAAAAAATATGACTAAGAAACATTAGAATATAGCTTAGAAACTCATAGAGAATGAGGATGATAATATTGATATTGATTTTGATATAGAAGATAACTCTTTTAGAATAGCTAGTGAAAGTTCTATTAAAGATGTAGTCACTGAATCAGCACCTATATTTCAAAGATTAGCTAACAAGGAAGTCACCAGAATGCAATTAGAAAAATAAAATATGTCTACTCTAGATACTACTGATTTTGCTGATCATCTGCCTGAAATATAGAAACTCCTGAGAAATCATAATTATGAGGTTGCTCTTCAAAAACTGAAGTATGCATTATTGAGTGACATGCTACCATTGTCTGAAAGATTAAAGTATAAGGATTACATATAGATGATTCAATTTAAAATGAAATATTCAAAAGTGGAAATGCAATCATATTTAAGGAGTAGTCTGAATCTAACTTTGAGTGAGTTCCAATTCAAAGGAATTCCGTTGGATCAAAAATGTATTATGTGATTATATTTAATATAGCTAAACTGATTAAGGAATTGGTAAGTTTAAACAAAGATCAATCAAGGAATGAGGCTTCAAAAATTTAATTTCATATAGAAAAAATGCAACTTGTATGTTAGAATCCGTTGCTGCATCAAGATTTACTCGCAAAAGATTTGGCTACTATCAATGAGTTGAGATAGAAATTGAGCAATAATCTTATTTATGATATTGCTAATTATGCTGAATCTATATATCAGTTGAATGACTAAATCTATTATTGGATAAATACGAATCATGGGAGATGTGAGAAGCTGTTGATCAAGTCGAACATTCCGAACCTTGTTAATTATGAATGCTTATAGAAGATGAGATTCGTCAAGAAGGCGAAATCTAGGGACAAAGATTATGACAACATCGAACAAGATATGATAGAACCAGAGTCATCTATATCTTCGTATTAATAATTTACTTACATTATTACGCCTTTTCAAAATAGCAAACGATTCTGAAATTTGTTAATTTAATTTTATTATTCTATAATTTATACTTTTATTTTTACAGCAGAATTATGAATTACCATCAAGAAGTATTAAAATATGGATTTAGTAATTAGAAATATCGATTGATGAGAACTCCACTCCCATTCGATTGAAATGGACAGGCAGAAATAAGGCCTGTTGCGGCGACACAATATTTTACACCAACCAAAGTGCTAAATTTCTCATAGTTCTTATGCTGTTGTTTATTGAAGCCATTCTATATTAGATGATTTACGTAAAATCAATTCTAAGCCTTAGATGAAGATATAATATGTCGAATTGGTTCTATCACTCCTATCCATCTATTTATTGATTGCTACTTATTGTACAGATCCTGGAATTATGCCTAAAATTGTAACATATCAGCATATATGTAGATAGTTTTATAAACACGAAGATGACGTAGAAAAACTGTAGATACCCTAATCCACCAAGAAGAAGGAGACACAACATATTATCGTCAGATTGGAGACTCACACAATCAGACTAAAATTTTGTCCCACTTGCAAAATATACAGACCCTCTAGACTATCCCATTGTGGGTTTTGCAATAATTGTGTATTGAGATTTGATCATCATTGCAATTGGATTGGGACATGTATAGGAAGGAGAAATGTAAGATCTTTTTATTTTTTCTTGCTCGTCCTTAACACACAGCTCATTTTCGAAATAGTCAAGCTCTCTATCTAATAATCGACTATTTGTATATATTGCATAGTTCTGATCGTGGCCTTAGCGTTGGTCACAGTCTTAACCTTTGCTTTGTTTTGTTATCATACATTTCTGATTTGCAAGAACTAAACAACAAATGAACATTTAAAACACACTTGGACTTTGGAAAGCGGAAATCCATATGATAAGTAAGAACATTTTATTATTAACTTAGGGGTTCAATCTCAAAAAATATCTGTAATGTATTACTAAGTCATATACCCAATCGATTGGTTTATTTAAACAAAAGATTATTTTCTTAACACACCCTCAAGGCAAAAGAAGATAAAGAATAATAATAAGTTGAGTTGACGAAGGTCAATTCATCGACTGATTGATATACATCATTTATTTGGTATTATTTTACATCATTTATATTCTAAATAATAAATTACAAGAAATCAAACATAATAATAATCGAATTCAAGAGTATTCTGAATATATCATTGTTTACATAAAATTATTGTTTAATAAAAATCAAATTATTTTATTATATAAGAATGAAGAATATGAATAAGAATTTAGTATAAATGAATTTAATGCTACTCTGATAGACTAAGTTCATCTCCAATTTTAGGTTATATGAACATTTAAAACATAATTTACAAACTTTGCATCTTAATTTTTAAAGTAATTATGCTTGTATTTATACTAATTTTGACACTTAATATATTTCTATTTCATTAGATTGTAATTTTATGAATCTTTGATCTAACACATTAATATTTTCTTAATTCTATTTGATTTCATCTTTTGCCCTCTTATTTTATAGATTAGATTTGTTAACTAGAAACATTTTAATTGTATAATTAATCAAAGATTTTCTTAAGTATTCAACTTACCAATGAAAATGCTAAAATAGCCCTGAAAATAATCTTTATTTAATTTAATCAAAATCAAATCCAATCAATATATATATTTTCATTCTTGAATTACTTGATACTTAACTCACAATTTAAATACAGTTTATTAATTATTTGATAAGGAACCTCCAAGTAAAGATAATTGCTTTAAGAATACTAGCAACTATTATTTAAAAAGCCTGTAGAACAAAGTAATGTTATTGATTCTAATAATATATTTACTTTGGTTATATTATAATTAAAATTATGAATCCAGAACCTATTACTTTTTCATCTTTGATTGTGCTTAATATGAGTGCATTCCCGAACTTATCCCTATACTCAAATGGATTCAGCACATAGAATTTTAATTTGAGATCATTTCACCAATTGAAAGGTGACTTAGATTAAGATTATTAGAATTGCGTTTTCAGAATACTGCCAGTTCTGAATTACAAGGCTCACGATGATCTTTTGCGATAATTCTAGGATTCTAATTTCAAGAACTTAGAAATGTATGAGTAAGGTCAAAGAAGAAATAAAATTTAAACCACATTGCTCAATTTAGAAAACGAACTAACTTCAAATATCTCTCTAACAAAAAAACTAGCAGGCACCCCTTTGGTTTTTAGTTCATCAATATTTCACTTAGTTCATGTTTCTTCATTGAAATTCTTAGCCTTAGATGATCAAAATCTGGAAGCATTATAATTTAAATTAATTGACTTCCCAAATAGTAACACATTATTAAAATTCAATCCTTGTTTGAATTTCCAAAAACTAAGAACCAATTTAGTGTATAGCGGAGACGTAGTATGTATATCTGCAAACAAGCAAGTGTGCAATAGAACAGCAAATCTATTTACTGATTATTGGGGATTAAATTATTATGAATTGCAAGACGAACCATAGAAATACGAGGACGAAGTCTGTAAAGCTAAGGTGATAGCATCTGTTGAGGATTAAACTTAATGGAGAATCAAAATATTTCAAAATCAACAAGAAAATGATGAAGCCTTATTCGTAGGAGACGTGGCCATATTTCATTTGCCAGAACTGAACGTAACAAATTCATAATCGATAGTTATATTTGAATGCAAAGAAAACCTAAGACATCCAAGAAAAAGTCAAAGAAATCTTAGATCGCAATACTGTCGTCGACATCAGCAATATAATTCAAGACAAAGTCATTTATACAAAATAGCAGACTCTCTTTCCAGGATAGCAAGCTGTGATGTCAAGATAAGTAAGTGAAGAAGTGGGTAGAAGTGAACCAAAGAACTATAAATCAGATTCTCAAAATAGTCATATTTATGAGAAGTAGCAATCTCGTTCCTCTCAAATTATTCAGGCCTCAAAAAATATAAAAGAAATAGATAAGGCTCTCTATTCAGAAATTAAGTTATATTTTAGCAACTTTACTGGTAACAAATCAGATAAAATTACTATTCCCTTTAGTGCTTATTGGAGAATAGAATCCGATAATTTCACTGGAGGGGAAGTCAAATGGGATAAGTGCTATCGCATTAGACATTTTTAAACTGGATAATACTTGGATGTCGATATAATGAGATAAGTAATACTTACAGAGAAGGTGACTAAGAATACCTTATTCTAATTTGTGGCTATTAAGAAGAATTCTAAATACGTGGATAAAGAATCCTATTTCTTAATTAAGCATTTTCTGACTGGGACTTATTTAAATATTAGAAATGATCCTGTGTGCACAACTTAAGATGTTAATTTAATAAATTGCATTAAATTCAGGAAAACTGATTATGAGGATATCTGGGAAAAGAGATTCTTAGTATTTTTGGTACCAATTTTAAAGGAGGCTATTTCATATTTCGAAATTCTTCAGCCTCTTACAAGTATTGCTTTTATGAAGAAAAACGAAGTCTAAGAGAGAATTGAATTTTATTACCTTTTTGAAAAGCTCAATTCTCTACTTGAAATCTTGAATCAGTTTATGTATAACAAATTAGTGAGTAACATATAAACAACTCAAGATTTCTCATTTGTTTCCTAAAATAGATAGGACATTATTAGAGAGGAGAATATCTTACCTTTGCTCATCTGGTTGATATGTAAGACATTCCCTAATCCAGATGAAAAAATAGAAGGATCTGAACAAAACCTAATTAAAGATTTGTGTGGTGAGAATTCATTTATTTTAAGAGTCTTAACTATGATTCAACAAAAGATGGACAAATCTAATGATATAGAATATGAGAAAAAGGTTTAGAAAATGAAAGAATAATTGGAAGATAATCATAGAAAAAGGAAAAGACTATTACAATTAAAACTATTTCAAACCATTAAAATAGCATGTCATAACAATTAAAGGAATCAAGAGATTTTAATGAAGTTTTTTAAACATTTTGAAAAGCATATAGCACATGATTATGTATGTACAACAATTAGTTAATCCATTTCAAATAATTATCAAATTCTGAGTATGCTCAATAAACAGGAAATCCCATATGATATGAAGTCTACAATGAATTTCAACAATATAGATCAAAAGAATTAAAAAAGTCAAAGTACAATTCTATCAAGACTATTGGACATCATTTCTAAGAGTGATCAACTTCTACCAGAATTGTTACATTTTCTGTCAGAAACTTGTGAGGCAAATGGAGAACCTGTGTTTTCGAATTAAGAATACTTATTAAATAGCATTTAATTATTGAATCAAAAGGTAAGGAATGACAAAGGAGAAGAGAAAGTTTATATGAATTTAGAACCCATACAAGAGAAGGAAGGAAACTATACGGAATTTTATATTACATACAGAACTTCAAATAAGACCTATGTCACTAGAATGCTACATGATTTTTTGAATGATTATAGATAATTCAAAGATGTTGATCATTTTTATGTGGTGTAATACAACTATTTAATTGAATAATTGGCTTTTTTTTCAAATATTTGTTTTCATCGAAATACTGCAGCAAGAGAATTGATCTCAAAAACATTTACTTACTCCTTTTTATTATCTTATGCTGAATAAAATAATCACCAATAAGGATTCATGAGTGGAGAGCAGAATTTTGTAGATGAATAGGTTAGAGCCTACTTTTTCAGAATGATTCGAACCTTGTATATTGATAGAGAACCTTATACAACAACCCCTAAACCAGAACTAGTAAGAATTTAAGAGGAAAAGACTACTCAAAAGACTTTGTTTTTATTTGATGAAACATCTAGTTAAAAGTGCGAAAAAGGAGAGTTTGATATTTAAAAATTGAAATATAAGATGCTCTAATATTTGCATGAATAGTCTGTAAAACTTGAAAATAATATAGAAGAAGAAACTGTTTATAACTTAGAGACTCTAGAAATCATTAAGATATTAGAATTAATGTTAAAGTTTGAGTTGTTTTGGAAAAGAGACGTTGAAGGTCCCATATAGAAAAAGAATTCAAATAAACGAGGAGCCTCCATTTTTAATAAAATATCAGAAAATGGAGTGGGATTAAAGGAAATTGATAGGTTGATTACAGCATTATCAAAGATTTTGGAGTATGATCATCAGTACTTCAAGTGTTTAGCAAATGCAAAAATCAAGAGGAATTGGTAAACAGATAATGAAAAAGACAAAGGCTTTATGAAATTCAATATCTCTGGTATCAGCCAAGTATTTGAAAAAGAGAGCAAGGAAAAAGATGAATAATAACAATCTAATAATAATTTTAGGTAGGTTAAGTAATAAGATACGGAAGTTGTAAATGATTCCTTGTTTAAGAAAATGAAAAATGTCAGAAAAGTACTTTAAAGATATAATAATAAAACATTCACCCTTAGAGAAAATAAAGAAGAAGACTACCAGGTGTTGATCAAGATATAGATATGTTAAATATTCTCCTATTTAATGGATGTCTCATAAGATTATTGGATAGATAATGCCTTAGAGTTCTATAAATCTCTATAATAAAATAAGTAATTAAATGATGAAGTTAAGGAGGAAGACTTAATTAAACTCTTTCCTGAGGAAATATTAATGTCAGGAGAATAATGGGTTGATAAACAAGATAGTGAAAAAAAAGCAAATAAATAATCAGCCCCTGTCTTAAAAAGCTTTGATGAAGTCTTGAGAAGACCATTCATAGAAGTATTGCTAATTGCATTGTATTTCTCAAGAAACCCATAATTAGAGAATTAGATTGTGGAGTTGATCTAAAGATTTGCAAGATAAAAAAAAGAATTCTTATAGCATTTTGAGAATATATAGATATTAGACACCAATGAGTCTCAATAATTGTTTAATGTGTGGGTTTAAATGACATCAATATTAAAAAATAATGTTTAAAGGAGTTAAACTTGGATAGCAGAAAACAATAGAATAATGCATCAAACACTTTAATGTCTCTGGAAAATAGATAGCATATTTTAATAAACTGAGAGCGTTTCATTAAAATTAAAATAGTAAATATTTGAACATATAGGCGGTTATGAAGTTTTAATAGAGTTAATAAACAAAGCTTTAACTGTCATTGACTAAAAATCATTCCCCCCTGATCTAATATTATTACTTAAGCATACCATGAATATTATGGCTTATTTTGCCAAAGATAATGAAAGAAATTCCTTAACAGTTTATAGAAAAGTTGTTAAGAAAATCATTTAGAATAGCAATTAAAATATTGGTTAAATAAGCTTAATTTGCTCATTATTTGAGAAAAAGCCAACTTTGTATGGACAGCTTGGATAATAGGAATATGATTATTTTATACAATTGATAAAATAACATGGAAGATATCCAGAATTTCTATAATTTTATTTAGAAATTATAGAAGTTACTGAAATATATTCCAAAAAGTCAGTTGACATGTTTGAAATCATCATTGAAAAATTAACAGATCCTATGGGCTTATAACCTGATCAAGATAATTACAATCCCTTATATCCATTTTAAGACTCTTACAAAATCACTGACTTTTTTGATTACACTCCTAACAAATAAAAATATTAATTTTACTTCATCAATATCATATCGAAATGTCTTTCAAAGAAAATTAGAGCCTCATTAATTAGTCAAGCCATTGAATTTTTGAAACTGCAGGATCTTCTTGAACACACACTCATAGTAACCTAAAGAATTTTGGGATGTATAAAATAAAAAGAGAAGCCTCATTATGAGGATATCTAATTGTAAAGTGACTATTGGAACATTATTAAAACTATGGTATTTCATAAACCAGAAACACTTGATGAACTTATGTTTCCATATAATTCTGAAATCTTAAATAAAATACTTACTGATGAACATAAGGCGATCAAACAAAAGGATAAGTTTATACCTTAGAATTTGAATTACTTGTTCGATTCCTTATTACCTGTTGTAAATAGATATAACGAATTGTTGCAAAATGCCTTATTATCTTCCGAGAAAGATTAACATTAAATTAGCGAATTTGTGTCTTTCTTTTTAGAAAATCTTGATAAAATGTTCTTTTTGGCTCCAGCAGAATTAACCAATAATAAATAAAGATTAAAAACCATATCCGATTTAGGTTAAACTTTCAATATTCAAATTCCAATCAAATTTTTTTAGCTAGACCCTAATATCTCCTAGGATGAAAAGACAGCTGATATGTAAACTCATTATGCACAGTCTTAAGAAAACACTTAAATAAGTTAATTTCGTAAGAAGTATTTTGGCTAAGAATTTGTCAAAGATTTAGTTAAAAAGGAATCCTTAAAGTTATCAAATTCCATTTGGACTATTTAAAATATGTTTAAAGATGATAGAAAACAAGAAGTAAAGGATCTATTATTGACAAACTCAGATATTATTGTTAAAATTCTAACTTATTTGGAATTTTGGAAGACAAACGGAGCCAGTAGAGAGAATATCATCTTTATTCTCAAAGTATTATCTGCCATATTAAAAGACACAGAAAACGAATTATACGAGAGGCAAGTGTTATTTAATAGAATGAATGTCACTTAAATATTGATAGTTTTATTATGTGAATCTGAATTAGAACCAGTTTATATGGGTACTATAATGTCATTTATGATACTACTATTAAAAAATGGAAATTAAAATGTTTAAAAAACTGCTTATGAGTATTTTTTATCAAACACACAATGTGAGAAGTTTTTTAAATAACTCAAAAATGTATTCGATATTCAAATATTATCAATGAGTAGAGCCCATAAATTAAATTATTAGGAAAATAAATTAGTTTGTAAAGCTTTGAAATTAACACAATTATTTTGTGAAGGACACAATTAAGATCTTTAAAATTATATGAGATCTTAAAGTAACTAAAAGAATAGTTTTGATTTAGTTTCTTAAATTGTGTTGCTAATTTCTACTTTTTAAATCTCGAAAGCTAATTTCGAAAGTGTCTTGCAATGTTTTGAAACTCTGACAGAACTAATCCAAGGACCATGCAAATAAAATTAATAAACTTTACTAAAAAGCAGTCTTTTAGAACATGTTGTATTGATTTTATCAGAAGACGAAAAAATATTTGAATAATCAAATGAGTATTTCAAATACGATGGTGAGAAGCAATACAGACTGGCTATTCATCCAGGATAATTGGCCAGACTGAAATTTAAATGCTTAAATTGTTTGGTATCATTATTAGAATGTTGTGACCCTCAGAATTCTGATATTGCAAGATTGGTAAGAGTTATTCCTTTGAGCGTGTTAACAAACAATCTTACAAGAGTGTATAAGTTGTTTAAAGAGTAATTTGGTGCTATTTATAAGGATGAAATTTTTAAAAGAGCAGAGCATGAAATCACAAATGATGAGTAAGCAGTAAGTTAAGAATTCATCATAGAAAATGGATTTTGCATATTTTTGCTGATGTAACAATTCCTTGGAAATTAAAAGGCTAAATAAATGTTATATGATGATAATGAGATGAATGATGTCTTAAATGAGTTTGCTGAAAATAACAATAAGGAAGAGGATAATGCAATTGCAAACATATTCTCAGGCTTAGAAAATATTGCAAAAATGGGTGGCAATCTAATAGGATAGATAGGGTTGCCTTAGAAATCAGAAGAGGAAAAGTTATTGTAAGAGAAATTAGAGCAAAAAGAGTTAACCAAGAATGCTATTAAGTTTTTTAGATAAAATACATGCTCGATTGATATGATAAGGGATTAGAAACTTTACACCATTTATTTTCCGAAATTACCAATTTGTAAATTGCCTAAAAGTGCCAGACTCGAATTTCATGATTAAGTTGATCGAACAAGTAGTAAGACAAAATTAACATACTTGATGGAAAGAGCTAATTTTCTTATAAAGGTTATGGAATACGAAGAAAAATTGAATTAAGTATTTGCTAAAAATCCTATTTTCGCATTTTTCGCAACATCTGGAAAACTTTGGGAGAATTGTGCATTTGTAACAACATTAGTCATCAATCTAATAGTATTATTAAGTTATTCATAAAAATTTTATAATGAAGGTCAATCAGATATCACAGGGGATTTGATATATGAAAGATTGTTAGATCCAAGATTATTAGGATAGACAGATTTTATATGGACACCTATATTAATTTAAGGATTGGGAATCACAATGTTAGTGTTTAGTTCATTAATAGTTTTCTTCTTTTTAGTGAAAAGAGCACCTCTCAAAGTTGATCACATATGGGAAGATTATTAAAAACCAAAAACAGTAATGAAAATGATTTGGGATGTGAGCATAAGGGGAATAAAAAGTTTAATTATTTTATTATAGGACTCAGACATACTGTATTATTGTATCTATATTATCGCTGGGATTGTTGGGTTGACAGTTCATCCATTTTTTTTTGCGTTTCACTTGATGGATTTCTTAAAATTGGAGCAATTAAAAACAGTATTGGATGCAATATGGGGTCCAAGGTAGGAAATAGGTTTGGCACTTCTATTATTGGCTGTGATTGAATATTATGTTGGAATTCTTGGGTTTGTCATATTTTTTAATGATTATCCGATAGTAAATGGAACAAACTGTAGAATACTACAAGACAATGATCATATTATATGTGAGAGGGGATGTAGTACATTGTGGCAATGCATTTTTATGAGTTTTGATTTAACATTCAAATTCACAGGGGCTTTAGGTCAAGGGATTATGGATTATGACACTATTACAGAAATATCTTAGGATTATGATATGATTGTAAATGGTTGGGATAGAGTAATCTACTCATAAAATGAATATGATGGAGTCGATCATAGTTTCACTTCGAATTACTTTAGTCGTTTTGTTTTTGACAATGCTGTCAATATTGTGTTAGTTATGATTATGCTCAATATGATATAAGGTATTATTGTTGATACTTTTGGTTCATTGAGAGAAAAGCTTCAAGAAAGAATCAAAGATCAAACGATGAAGTGCTTCATATGTGGTATCACAAGGGAAAAATTCGAAAAAAATGATGAAGGAGGAGGCATGGGCTTTCAAGAACACATAGAATAAGAACATTACATGTGGAATTACATTTATTATATTGCTTATTTGAAGCATAAAGATGAAAATGATTATAATGGCAACGAATCCTATATCAAATCAAAAATTGATATTAAAGATATAAGTTGGATGCCAATTAAAAGGTAACCAAAAAATACATTATTTTTAGAGCAAGATTTGCTGAAGAAGATATGGATGATTAATAAAAAGGTAATGAAATCTAAGAGGTAATTGAGATGAAGATGAAAACCATGAATGATTCATTAGAGAAGATCTAAGATAGAATAAAACATATAATTGATATTATCAATAATCAACCTGTAAGCATGACAGAAACATACCACGCATGAATGTTATATATATTTCAAACTAACTTAATTAGTTTATTCAAGACTACTTATACTTATTTTATATGAATAATATTTTATTATTCTTTTTTAAATATAATGTTAAAAAAATAACAATATATTATATATTTTTATATTTAAAACCATAATAGATCATTTTTCTAATTTAGATCTGAATAATTGATAGAAACGAGCTGGATAATTTAACTAACTTAATTTCTATAGGTAAAGATATTAAATTGACTAATATATAGTCTTTATTTTTATAAAATAATTGGATTTGTATACTAAATTAAATCTACCTTAATAGTTCTCGAATAAGGACAATTATTGGAGTCTAAGTTTAATGATTTCTAATCATCCGGACGATTTCTGCCTTTACTTAAATTTTTATAGAAGATCAGCCAAAGGAAAACTATGGATATTTAACTTAAATTATATAAGTCTAATAGAAATAATTTTATTTAGAAAAATTTATTTCATAATAAATGCTTTTGTTTGAAGTTCAAAATTATAAGATGAACACTGTAGCAGTTCAATTTATATATATTTTCATTATTCTATTATTATTTCTATTAAGAAGATTCAAAAAGTTTTATGTTTATTCATTTTTAATTAGAATAAATTATTCTTATTTTGTTCGAGTGGCTTGAATTATTGTTTTCCTTTGACTTTAGAGTTTATCCATTTGGAAATATAAATTGATATTAATACTAAATGCATCTTGAATATAATTTCAAAATTAATATATGTGATTGATTTAGTATTTGAACTATTTGAGGGATCAAATCAACATAATGTAAATCTCTTATCACTATTACAGAGCAATTCATATGTTTTTTTGGCAAATGTTTAGTTGTTAAATGGGTAAAAATTTTAGCACAAATTTAAAGCAAACTTAATGCATGATATTTAAGAAAGAATTATATATTGGATATTAGTATAAGGTATAAAATATTCTAATTAAAACAGTAATCTTCAGAATTCTCATATAAAAGGATAATAAATACATATTAAAATCATAAATATTTATTTTTTATGATGAAGAACGATTACGAGCCTATTAAGACCCTTCGCAAAGAGGAAGGGAAGCTAAAGATGCAATTAATAATTCTTAAAGATAGTAACACGCCTGAATATTTCATATCCCTTCATCTAATGAATATCAATATCTCTCATTAAGATTTGACTAAGATGAGAAAATTGAAATACCTAAATATTATTCAGCCTCAGAATTACTATGAAGAAGGAAAGGAAAAGATTTTAATATTTCCAGATAGTGGACCATTAAAGTTGACCAATAAATAATTGGCCCAAAATTATTATAGAATTTTGCTTTAGTTAGCGCTAAGTAAGTCTTGTTTCTAAATATAGCTTATGCTGAATTTGAATAACGATAAGTTAATTGGCCTCTGAACGAATTGTCACAGCTATACTATGCAGGAGGGATATTATATATTTCTTTGCTAGATTTTGATTTTACCAAGCCCATCCACAACCAAAGTCCTTTTTAAATCTTTAGAGACTTTACTCTCAAACACTTCTCCTAATACATACCTAATATACAAAATTTATTTTAATAGAATTAGTTCAAGCCAGTAATTGAATTTCTATTAGAGAAGAATGGTGACTTACATAAAGTTAATTATATGTATCCGCCGTATGAAAATGTCTTACTGTTTCTTCTATCTTAGTAAAGTCCAATATAACTTCATTCAATATATGAAATGGGTAACTCAGTGGTAAAGGGTTTCAACACACCAGAATCCCTTAAGATCACTTATACTAGATTAGGAGATCATATAGTTTACAAATCAACCAGATATCAGGCAGAAGAACATAAATAATAAATCTAATAAAATATTCAAAGGGAAATTGAGTTAATGGAGTAAGCTTTTGATTCGCAATATGCAGTCACATGTTTTGCCTATATTAGGATTTTTGAGTATTCTTTTCTCTTGTAAAAGAAATTCGTGCGAACATTAGCATAATTTTTAACCGATTGGTGCAAATAAACTGATAGAGAAGAAAAATAGACAATAAAGGACGTACTCCTTATCGCAAATAGATTTGCATTAGGTATTAATTAAATTTATAAAGCCCTTAAATCACTAAAATCATTCAACATTCTGCACAGAGACCTCAAGCCTGAGAATTTATTTTTAGATCACGAACAGATTCACCTGAGCTACATATATATTGCTGATTTTGATCGTTCCAAATAATTCCAAGGATAATTGGGTGACGTTATGACTACTTAAAATGTTTAGAATACTCCAAAGTATGATCCTCCAGAAACTACCTAATCCTTTTATTATGACGTCTATTAATTCGGTCTCATCATATTGACCATAATGAACAAAGGCAAGTACATTGGAAATGAAATAACAGGATCAAGATATTTCTCCCAAGAGGATCACAATAAGTATTATAGCAAACAAGCCATCAAAAATGCTCTTAGTCATACAAAATACTCTGAATAGTTTATTGACATCATCTCTCAGTGTTTATAGAGAGAACCAAAAGAGAGGCCTGATATCTAATAAATATACTCAATTATTAATCCATTATATTTAGATACAAAAATATAGAAGGTTCGACAGACTTAACCTGCGAGTGAATCTCCAGCATAACAAAATATTTAACAAAGTCGAATCAAAAGTAACCCTACAGATAATGCAATGTATGTACCTATTCTTCCAACACCAAATCAAGATGAACCTTCAAATTTTTTTTACTAGAACAATGTTGATAGTGGGTATTAGTAAGACCCTTAATAATATCAGCAATATCCATAATATTGGCCTAACCTATAATAGATTCCTTATCAATAGTAATAATAGCCTACTTTTTAATATTAGACTAATTAATCATAACAGAATAATCAGCCATAATACATTGATTATTCATAACAGAATAATCAGGCATAATAGTATCCCAATAATTAACCCCCTTAACAGCCAATTTAAGGATTTTTTTCTTCACATACAGGAAGAGTTATATTATATAGTTAATAGTAACCGAATCAGCCTGTTAATTATAATTAGAACTAAAATAATGAGCAGAACCAATAGTAAATGTATTAAAATTATAATCCCTAAAATAATGTAAACTAATTTAGATAATTTAACAACAACAATACTCAACTTCAAATTAATAATCCTAATCATAATTTCTAGGACAATGGAGTCCTGAATTTGAGTCATTAAGATTCTCCTACTTAAGTTTCTCCTACTTAATATCAGCCCTAAACCCCAACATAAATTCAACTCCCCTCAAATCCTAAAATAAAAATCATATCCATGTATTAGTTTCAATATATATTTAAGGTAATCTCCTGGTCAAGAAAAGAATACTCCTTATTGATAAATAATGATTGTGAACAATAATTAATTTTATAAATTAACACATTTATTTTCAATATCAATGTTCTTCCTAAGAAAAAGCAAATCCTGTGTAGCCTCTTTTAATAGGACTTTTGGGAACCTAGGAGTTATTGATCTAAAATTGCGTATTAGGGGAATGTTAATGCAATTGTTGTTCATCTTGCAATTCAATGTGCTATTTTTAAATTAGCATATAAACTTTATCATGTTAAATTCCAACCTGAGCATACTAAGACCACTAAGCTAATTTCGTCAGAGCCAAATCAAAAACTGAAGTTGCTCCAACAACTAACAGTGATGTCAAGTAGAATCTCAGATGAGAAAAGCTAGCGCTTTGGCTATTTGACATGTCAGATTTTGGCATTTTCTCTGAAACTACGATAAATAAGAGGAGATAGATGAAAACCGATCCGAAAAGCCCAACAATAACTCCAAAAGAATAAGTATTACTAAATAGGATAATCTAATTTTGATAGCCGAATTGATTACTTTGATATTGCTATTCAAAACTGAATACCCTAAAACAATGGCGCCAGTAGTCCATAAGCCAGCCATCATGCCATTATAAATAGATGAGGCTTCGTAAGTCTGGAAGGTTAGGTACGATAAGATGCCAGCTTAGATAGTGCCATTAATGACCCAAAACAAGAATATTTTGACGTTGAATAATTTGTGTTTGATACCAATATCGTAAAAACTAGGGTCTACAATAGAGAGATAGATTTACTTGAAGTGAGAACATCACCAGAGAACTCTTCATCGAAGATGGCATATAATACTATAGGAAGACTAGTGAAAAATAGGTTGTAACTTTAATAGAGTAACTAGTCATAAAACATAACAGCCGAAAAGCCATTATTTACAGCCCACCAATATTGAGGTAGGACTAGAAGCATATTTTTATAAAAATTGTAATTTACAAGAGTTGAGTTTTTCCTATAACTCTCTCTTCCATGATAAAGGGTTAATCTTTTAAGTATTCTGAATTCCCCAACAGCATAATCAGAAGCTCTAGCTGCTTGCTAGCCTTCTACTCCTTTAATTCCAACTCCAATATGAGCAGCTGTAATCATGTTGACATCATTAGCACCATCTCCAATGGCTAGAGTTGTAACATTAGGTTTATTTTATCTAACTAAGGAAACAATCTCTTATTTTTATTTTGGTGAAACCCTACATGCTACTACAGCCTCACATCTTTCAGCAATTTACATTACTTTTAATGAAAGTTCTGGTTTCATAGCTATTATCAAAGCGTTGCCAGAGATCACCAATGCATTTTTATTATTGTTTTGGCTTTTTTGGATAGCCTTTTCTAATTCATTTCTAATAACTTATTCATCATTTCCATCAACTATGATTTATTATAAAGAATCATTCAATAATTAACAGGAATAACCAATATTGATAGCAGTTTCTATTTTATCTCCGGTCAATACCCACACTTTAATGCCAGCATCTTTTAAGTATTAAATAGTTGGGCCTACTTCTTCTTGTAATTTATCTTCAATGGCTGTTCCCCCTATAAGTTCTAATTCTTATTCAATTTTTGCTTAGGACTCCATCATCAGATTTTCTCTATTTTGTATGGCTGAACATGCTTGTAAATAGCCTTTTTCCCACTCTTTATAAATGGATAAGGGCAATACTCTCTTAGTTAGTAGCAGAGTTCTTAAGCCAATCGATGCAAACTCCTGTAGATCGTTCCAAGTCTTCTCTTTCAACTAAGGAACGACAGGTTTCATAAGAGGTTCAATGACAGAGTCAGCTCCCTTTGTTAACAATATAATTTGATTGGCTTGATCTTAAACGATTACAGACACTCTCTTTCTTGTACTATTGAATTCAAGTACATGCAACAATTGGTAATTCTTTATGTCGCCTTTTATATTGACCACCATACTGTTTGAATGCATCCAATCCTTCGAAAGTATATCCGCAATATCTTGCAAAATTAACTAAGGCTAATTCATCAGGAGATGATGCTTGATATAAGAGTTAGCCATTCTTATTTTCAGTCACTATAGTATGACATAATGATAAACAAAGTAAGAACTCATGGAGTGGTCCCTTTCCTGGAGTTTAATTCAAATCATTAAAGAAAGCTTTATCTCTGAAATCAACATTTGAAACTTAAGCTAATTTTGACACTTCTTCATTTGTTAATGTGGCTTCTTTTCCATATGACTTTTTATTGACTGTCAGACATTTGAAATCCATTTGGTTCTTTGTCAATGTCCCTGTTTTATCAGAAAATATGTAATCCACTTAACCAAGTTCCTCATTCAGATTTGAAGACTAGACTGCTGTTTTTATATCGTATTCAGCTGAATAGGTCCCTTAATCCATGGTTATCAACATTCCTTAGAAATACTTAACCATTTCTAAGGAGACCAGCAATGAGATTGGGACAAAATTGGTGAATATAAGAATCCAATTACCCCATTTTATCTAAAATAAATTTATAGAGATTACAAATAGATTTTTAGTAAAATTATGTTCTGGATCTGTAATTAAAATATCTAAATAGGATAATTGGGAATTATGAATCTGTTGCCAGGATGAATTCAAATAGCCTCCCAAACCACACATGATCATCTGAAAACTAATCATATTGCATTTTTACTTATAATAGAAATATCACAATAATGAACCAATTCATTGTTCTTTCTAAATGACTTCGTTTAGGCTAAGCTTTAACTGAATTAAGCATGATCTTTGAGTCATGTCCGTTATAACAAACAATTCCGTAAATATAATTGACATTTCTTAAAATACAACCTCTTAATATGAAATTCTTTTCACTAAGAGGGATTTGTTGATTATTAATTTCAGCAGATCCAGTAAATTGATATAGATATGGATTTGGTCTTTCATATTTAACTGTCATCCTCAAAGCCAATAGAGAATCTTCACTTTGTTCTTACAGTTACTTTAGATTTTTTTGAATATTTTTGCATTTTAGATTGGTTTCTCCATCTAAATTTTTAGTCTCAATAAACGCATTGCCCTTCTTATCTGATGTCTACATCAATAAGATATCAGCTGGTATTTGTTCATCCTTCTAAACCTTGATCAAATCTCCGATCCTTAATTCACTCCATTGAGCATCTCTTGGTGCTTCATTTGTGCGTATCAAATAAGTCTTGCGAGTGTTTTCAGCATTGTCTGATTTGCTTCTCTGGTAATCTTCAATAAAATCCTTTATCATCGATATGCACACAACTATTGATAATGGACCCATAATCACAGGTTAACCATTTGTTATGCTGATTGCTGAGATCATCTGCATAATCGCAATGACCAAAAAGTAGACATTAGCTAACTTTGAGAACTGCTCTATCAAATTCAATGGAATGAATGTAATAATCGATGAATATTTCGATGTTGTTATTTTGTTGTCAGGCACAGCCATGTCTGGAACATTAGATACAATCGATCTGTCTAGACTATCATTTGTAATAAGTACCATTCATTTAATGAGCAGGCGGCCTAACAGTTATCAAGCCCCATTTTTTAATTGTTCTTTCATTGTTGTATGCATGAGAATCCATTTAATTAATATATTATTCTAAAAAACGATAATGAGAATATTGGTTATTGTGGTATTAGCCCTCACAGTGATGGCAGCCCAAAAAAAGAAGAAGTACATTTACAAACCACCTCTAAATTAGAGTCACACCAAACTTAATTCATATGGACAACAAGGCATATTAAAAATCACACGCAAAAATTGAATATGATGTTGATTCATTTACTAGTCCCAGAACTTAGTAACTCAAGACAGCCTAGAAAAAATAAGACAGCAGCTTAAAAAGAGCCATCCTACACAGCCAATAGACCACTGGATTTGTCCAAATTTAATAGGAAACAGATCAATTCATCCTCATGAACCAAGATGAAGATGTACCACAAATTCGCAATATTTAGCTCTCTTCCGAATTAATGACTGAGTAACAAATCCAATAAGCTTTATTAACAGCCGAAGACTTTAACAATGTCCCCAACATTGAGATGCAAGCTGAATCAAACTACTAAGCTCCAGATGTAGCTCAAGATGATGTCAATGAATCCTATTATATTCCAGTTGTCACCGAAGGAGATGGCACATTAGAGGAAGTTCAGAACTCTGATGAAGAGCCCCAATAAAACCCAGATATCGAGATGCCTTCCTTGGATGAAGCTTCATCATCGTTCCTTCAATGAGAAATTTAATATCCAACATGTTTAGACATTCAAGATATATAATCATTATTTTTATACAAATTTTATATTCTTTCTTGATTAATTAGTTCGGATTTTATATTCTAAATACAATTTGAGAATACCAGTTTATTGGATTTCATTAACTCTCTTAAAACGTCTTAACTACTATATATAGTAAGCAAAATAATTGATGATCCTATTGAAATATTTTCGCAATATTCAAGATTGAAAAACTAGCCGTTACTACTTTAATGAAAACACGTATTTATTTAAATTGTAGGACAGTGTTAAACAAATGACATATTCAGATCTCATAATAATATGGAAATACTTATCAAAATAGGGTGTTTTAACTTCTACAATTTTGGAAGATTTTAACATCAATTTTTATTATAATTTGAATATAGTTATTACTTATAATTTATTAAACTTAAAGTAATAAGTAAAGATTCTATAAAAATCCCATAAATTTATTATAACATCAATTTTAACAATTATGATGACTTTTATTGAAATGTAACTTATTGGTAAATGAAGAAAAGTCTTTAGAAATATTGATAAATTTTATTGATTATCTAAGAAAGCCAAAAACTTAAACTATGATGATTTCTCATTAATTTAATGCTCGCTTTGTCTAGTATTAAAAGATATATTATAATTATTATATTGTTTGAGTATTGAGTGATTATTGCGTTTATTCGCTTGCTTTAAATTTAAATCAAAGTTAATGGTAAGATTTATTATTAATAATTGAGAAATGAGTTTAGAGAGAAAGTCCTTCTTCGACTTCACTTCCCCTTTTGAACTGAAAAGGCCAATTGAAATATTTTAAAAATCCTTAAAGGATCAATTTTATGTTCTCAAAAATAACAAGTTCAAGTTGAAGACCCTGGTGCTTCAACGTAATTACTTGATCAAATTTAGTTCTAAGGTATCATCATATGTCCTATATAAAAGAAACCAAGCCAAAAGTACTTTAATATAACAAATGCTTTGCTTGAATTAGTCAATCACCCTCAAATGGGAACAGGAATTTCAATAAGTAAAAACGGAGAAAATTTTACATTCTATGGTCTAGTGGACAAATGGTACACCAACTTAAAAAAATGGTGTGTGTAACCTAACTTTTAGAAAGAGTACTGTATGATTAAACTTATCGGAAAGGGAAGCTTTGCTAAGGTATACATAAAAAATTGATCAATTAGGTGTATAAAATTTAGAGACTAGGTGATAAAAAAGAATTTGCAGTGAAGCTATTTGATAAAACCACTTTTAAAACTCAAGATAGACCTGCCTTGCTCAAAGAAATTGAATTAATGAGAATAATGAACCATTCAAATGTAGTCACTATTCTTGAAACTTATGAAAACGAGCAATATATATTTATAGTACAAGAATTATTCAACGGCGGAGAACTCCACCAGGAATTGAAAAAAACTCAAACCTTTTCAGAATATGGAGCCTTCATAGTTATTCAATAAGTGATAGAGGCCTTAAATTACATACATTCCCATGGAATCATCCACAGAGACATCAAACCCGAAAACATCATTTTAAGAGAACAAGGAGCTATAGAATAGGTGGTACTAGCTGACTTTGGTTTGGCTGATTACTTCAGGAAGGATTGCAAATATATGTTTACTAGATGTGGTACTCCTGGTTTTGTTGCACCCGAATTATTGCAAGATAAAATTTACGATTATAAAGTCGATATATATAGTTGCGGGATACTTTTATACTATTTGCTCGTAGGCAAAGGGCCATTCGATTCAAACAACTATGATCAGACAGTTATGGCCAACTTTAATGGATGGGTAGACTTGACAAGGTTTCAATTTTCGATTGAATGTCTTGAATTGTTAAGAGGCATGTTGGACCCAAACCCTCTCAAAAGATATTCGATAGATCAAATTCAACAAAGTTAATTCTTTAGAAAACATTCAACAATTTTCCAACAAATAGGAAGTCAAAGTAGTCTGGCCAGCATACCTTCCTAAAGGGACTCACCATCAATTTCTCCCTAACAAAGTCCAAATCAAGAATCAAAGAAGTCCCCAAGCGATTTAAAAAATAGATAAGTCAACTCTTGTGTTTCGCCATTACAATTACCAGTTAGATTAAATACAACCAGCTTCTCTCCATTATCAGCTCCTTTTGGAAAGCCAAGAAATATACAAAGAATACCCATACAAATATGAATAAATTATATATATCGAGTTATTAAATAAATAAAAAATATTTGCTTCTGTTAGAGTATCAAAATTCACAATGTATTATGTTATTAAATAAAATTTAAATAAATATACACGTTGGTTTTGTAATTAGAAATATTAATAATTAAGTATTATTATTTAAGTTAAAAAAATACACATATAATTCGACAAATTTAATAATATATAAAACATCTTCTCGAAGATATTAAAATAACTGATAATATAAATTTAGATTAATGATTGGAGTAAATTTGATTAATAATATGAATATAAAGAGATAAGTGCCCTCAACTTCTTTCTTCGATATTTCAAAAGGCCCTTTGTGGTAAAACACTACTGCCTCACGCAATATCAATGAGTCTATCTAAGAGAATTTTTACATATATTCTGAAAAGCAAAAAATCTATAAAATAAAGACATTTTACTTGTAAGGTCATTTCATTTTCAAAAGAAAAAAGAATGTAAGAATATTTCATTCTAATCTAAGGGTCAAAATCAAATTGCTGATATCCTCAATGCTACTATTTGTGAAGTTGAGCTTCCCTTTTATGGTGCCGGAATAAGAATTATTAAAGCAGGTCAAATTATCGAAATATATGGCATGACAATAACTTGGCTTCAACAATTGAGGTTTTATTGTATTCAGTAAGACTTTGCAAACAAATACTCCATCATCAGATTACTTGGCAAAGGCACATTTGGAAAAGTATGAAATTATTTTTAAATCTTAGGTGTTCAAAATAAAATCTAGAATTACACAATAAGACTTTGCTGTCAAAGTATTTGAGAAAAAGGCCATTTCCAATTATTAAGATTATCTATTAATAACAAAGGAGCTTCAAATAATTAGAAGTCTAAATCATCCAGGAATCACCAAATTTTTTGAAACCTATGAAAATGATGAACATATTTTTTTAATATATGAAATGGTGGAACAAGGAGAATTATACACCTTCATTAAAGAAAAGCATCTTTCAGAAGAGGAAGCTTTGTTGATTCTCAAACAATTATTATAGGCCCTCCTTTATATTCACTCCAAAGGAATTTTACATAGAGACTTAAAGCCTTCCAACCTTCTGGTAAGGGATAGAAACACTTTATCAATAGCAATTGCAGATTTTGGGTTGGCCGAATTCTATAGAGTCGATGGAAAATATATTTTTACAAGATGTGGGACTCCTGGATATGTTGCTCCAGAGGTATTACAGGACAAAATTTACGATTATAAAATAGATATTTATAGCGCAGGTGTCATTCTTTTTATGATGCTGAGTGGTGGTAAATCTCCTTTCAATAGCACTGATCCAGAGGAGAGATTGTACCAAAATTATAAAAGTCTTGTAGATTACTCTTTGGTTTCAAATATCTCTGAAGCAACTTATAATCTACTACAAAGCATGCTTGAACCTGATAATATCAAAAGGATATCAGCAAGAGCTGCTTTAAATCATTAGGTTTTTCGAAACAAAAGAACCAGTAAGTGCACTATTATGATCAAGAAAACTCCAAGAAGCATTGATAAAATTACAGCTCCAAGAGTCATAATAAATACAAATAATAATTTAGATAAATATTTATAATTATCCCCGAAATTATAAAATTTATCATCGAAACCTTAAAATAATATGAAATAGGAGGCTATAAGAAGGGGATATTAAAAAATGCAAACATTTTCACATAGATCTCCCCAACTATCGCCATTGCAATCTTAAACCAAATTCGAACCATTCCCATGAAAAATATTGTATTAATTTATATATTTTAATTCATATAACAATATCATTCTTTCTTTAATCATACTTTTAATTGGGAATTAAAATTTTAATTTTTCCTTAAGTAGTTACATATATATATTATAATAATTATCAAAAACTCACTGAAACTGAAATAATTTAGTATAATCATAATATTTTAAATGAAATTATTGTTTTATTAAATGTTATCCTCCTCGACCATATTTTAAAGTACTTATTTTTTAAATGAATTAATTGTAATATTTTTAGCTATTATATTTTATTTTGATTAACAAATAATGATGAATTAGTAGACCAAAATTACATTAATAAAATTCTATTTTAATAAAATATTTATCTTATGACCATACTTGATAATATATATTTAAATTATGTAATAGATAATAATTTTAATTCATATATCACTGACAACTTGCTCCTCAATTTGTTGACTTTTTTGCCATTTAAAACTTTAACTTGAAAAAAGCTTGGGACCTTTAGCCTGTTTTGATTATTCTTTTTCGTATAATTTTTACATTATTCTTTCAATTTCTCTAGCTTATGGTCGTTATTATGGATCTTCTTTTAAACACTACTTAATTACATCCATAAATTCTTTATCATAATTGTATTATTAAAGTTTTCCCTCTATGACTTAAGGGGAATAATATTGATTAAAATCAAGACAGATTCTTGCTCCTGGATATTACCCTTTATTGGCTACTTCGTATATTGTTAATCCATATTGCCATATATCAACAGAATGGTCTCTTAATTTTCGTTATTCTGGAGGATTATATTCTGGTGTATTGGTTTGATCAAAATAATCAATATCTAAGCCTTAGTTGTCTTTTTATTGAATTATGGATCTATCAAAATCAGCGATGTGAATTTGGCCGTAAAGAATATTTTGATTGGTCAAAAACAAATTCTCTGGCTTCAAATCTCTGTGTTTAATTCCTGCAAAATGCAAAAGAGCTAATCCTTTAATGAACTAATAAGCAATTGCATAAACAATTAATTTTGTAAAATAAACAGATTGATTTTAATTCATTAATTCGAAATACTATCTCAGATTCTTACAATAATATCTCATAAATAAATAAGATTGATCCAAGATCCTTATATATTTAAAACAAGCAGCTATTTCATGATTAACTTCAAATAATTCCATTAATTAAATTTCTCTTGTGATATTGACTTTAACATCTTCAATATCTTGATCCTCTTCTCCTTAGATTTTTGTGGATTTAGCTATTATATCTTAAGTCAAAGGGAAGCTGAAAATCTTTTCAAAAACTGGTAATTTTTAGAATTTGTAAATATGAGAATTTGCTTGATAGTCAGCCAATTGTGTATAGTTGGACACTTTAAAAATGTGTTGGAAAACTTTAAAATATTAGGCATTTTCATAATCCTTAACTATTAAATTGAAGGTTGACAAAATGGATTCAGTGAAAGATTCTATTGTATTGGCTTCAAAATGAAATTGATCAATTTCTTAAATTTCATTTAATTGAAAGTTATTCCTAACTCAATATTAATATATAGAAGTTACTAAATTGTTTTAAGTAATTCAAGGATTATGTATCAGTTGATTTCTCATAATAATGAAACTCTTGCATATTGATAAAAACTATTCCGTCGATGAGTACTAATTGATTTAGATTTGTAATATTGAAAGGAATTTTTCTCTTCGCCATTTCTAAAAGGGCTAAAGTTTATATATATATAACAGATTTACTTATGCTTAGTTAAACCATGATAGAAACCTTCGTATTCTTATCCAAATGTTTAATTGATTCAACACTTAACTAGTAATTTTATAAAAATGGATAGACTATAATGAATTAATCATCCTCATGATAAAAGTCTTCTTTATTTATAATATTTAGTATTTTTATTTATTTCACTAAGTAAAACATATCGATGATATCCCTTTATTATTTATTAAAAGGGTAGTAGGCAGCGATATATTTTTATTTAGACTCCTGATCATTTTTCTTGACAACAATCTAATATTTGTTATAAGGTTTATCTTGTTTGGAGAAGTCATTAAATTCTTGGAGGATATCATAATCAGCACCGAAACTGATTATTTTTATTGATTAAAACAACATTGAATTTATATTTATAAATCATTTTTGATATGAGAAATTGCAAATAAATAGTAATTATAATCTAATTATGGAGAAATCAAATTTGGTAAAAATATTATCACTTGCATTTAACACTATATATATTAGATATATTAGTAACATAAAATATATATTTTACTAAGCAAGATACATGTAACCAAAAGAAATTCTATCTGGCTAAATTATTGATCATAGGAAATTATTTAAAGAACTATTGTTGACATGTAATAAATAAAAATCTCAATGAATTCCTATTACTTGATTATTTAATAAAGTATCTCTATTGAAAAAGGATAAAGAAAATTTTAGTATTAAGATATTAATGATAAACTATGATATATTTCGAGTAGTCTTTATCTTTATTATATCATAAGGTTATTAAGTATTATCTAATGAAAATAGATTATTATTATATCATTAAAAACATAATTGTAAATCCTTACTATGATTCGTCATAAATCCTCTGAAACAACCTCAACACTGCAACTTGACAATATGACTTTAGCCTTTGGTTTTCCACTTTATTATCCTTTAGATTCAATCTTTTTTACTAATTCCATATTTTCTATGACTCTGCCAAAAACTACATGTTTTCCATTTAACTAAAAACCCATAATATATATTTAATACCCAATTAGTATCAGCAGTTGTAATAAAGAATTGACTTCCATTGGTATTTGGCCCTGCATTGGCCATTGAAATGCATCCAACTTCATGATTTAAGTCTAAATTTTCATCATCAAATATTTTTCCATAAATTGATTCTCCTCCAGTACCATTTCCTTTAGTGAAATCACCTCCCTAAATCATGAAGTAAGGAATAATTCTATGGAATGGTGAACCCACATAGCTTTTTCCTGCCTATTCGCCAGTACATAAAGCTCTGAAATTTTCGACTGTCCTAGGTACAACATTCCCGAACAAACCGAGAGTGATTTCTCCTTACTTCCTGTTATCAATAGTAACACCTATCTTCACTTTGTGTGTTATTGTTTGCTTAGATAATTGAGATAGAACGCCAAAAGATAATAAACAAAGAATAATAATTTTCATAATTATTTGTATTTATAATATCAATAGATTTCATTTAAATTCCCCCTAAGAACAATCATATATCATTATCAATTATTTTTTATTTAGCAATAAAAGCTTGAAAACTATTATATATTGCCAGAGGTATTAGTGTAACCGCATAAATCATAACAAATAGAATAATAATAAAGGGTAAGTTAACAATTAGCAAAATAATCTTGAGAGGATCTTGACTTTCGCAGATTGGGTCAATCTTATTTACAAAATAATCAAGTATTTGAGGTATCTAAATAAAGATCATGGAATAAACTGAATATAAGACCAAAATTAAAGTTGCGAATAGAAATTAAATGATTATCTTAAATTTTGGGATTTACTTTTATTTCTTTCTCAATTCTCTGTATTTGTTCACACAATTGTCACATTTGCGTTTTGAGAATAATGTGATTTTGGTTTCAGCTTTGCAGTCATAGCAAAATAGTCTTTTGCAAACATAGCATTCATATATATTAGATTTCCATTCTCTATATAAATATTTAATATAATACTTAAATTTCTTGGAAGGCTCATTGATATAACAGAAATGTGGTTAGCAGATACTATTACAACAATAGCATCGAAAACATTTGTGTTCTTCTAAATAGTTCTTTAGCAAAATCTCATTGCTGCATTCAAGTCCAGGATGAACTGTTCTACATTTAAAACAGAATTGAATGTGACACAATTAGCATTTGCATTAATTTAAAGAGATGATCTCCACATTTCCTTAAATATAACTAGGCCAAACGGACCAAAATCCAGAGCATCTCTATCCAATGCAATGAATTTATTTGGTTATTGGTATCCATTTTATCAATTAAGGAGGTTCAAGATATAAAAACATGAGTTGATAATTAATATTTACATTACAATCATATTGGAGGCATTTTACTGTAATATCAAAATTATTTTAAATGTAGGATGATATACAAGTTTCACAAAAAAAGTGATTCTGATTGCACACTTTGATCAGCATTCTAGTTTGATAGCATATTTAGCATTGAGAAAAAGAAAAATCAAATTAAGATGTAGGAGTCATTGTCAATTTACAATAATAATTATGAATAGGACTTTGAAACAGTTTGTATTAGGTAGATAAGCCATATTTAACTTTTAAAAGAGAGATTTAATCTAAGCAATTAAAGCATACATATAGAGAGTTAACTTTTTTAAATTTAGAACTGATTATCTTTTGACAGCAATGACATTCAATCTAATTCTGATTTTTCTTTATTTTTTATTCAATCATAATCTGAGATTCATCTACCTTTGTTGAGAATTATTAAGGTTCCTAGTGAGGATTCATATATATAAATTAATATTATTAATTAATCTTAGGAAAAGATGTAAAATATAAGCTCAAAACTGTTTTGATCCAATAAAAGGATCGGATATATTTTAACGATATTGTTTTATAGATGGGATCTTATTAAAAAATAAATGGAAGATGGAAAATTCAGAAATTTATGTTGATGATCTTAGAATACCTAAACCCTTAATAACACCAATTATTATTATATATTCAGTTAAACTTATTAAGAAACAGAAATCTTGGAAAGGTTCTAGAAAATTTTAGAAGTAATCGAAAAACTAAAACAGTAAGATAGAGCAATATTCTTATATTAAAAAATGCGGTTTGCGAGTTTAGAATTTAGATAGATACTTGAAATGAGAAAATTGATAATTATATTTCAATGTATCAAGTTAGATTTTTCAATTAAGAGTGTTATAAGAAAGAAAATAGTTTGCTATATGAAATAGTAAGTAAAAGCTATTCCGATATTGGTTGAGTAAACAAAGTAACAGTAGGAAGGAAAAACCTATTTATAATAATTTAAAATGCCTGAACTTTCCGAAACTCAAGTAGAACATATGCATATCTAAGTGAGAACAAATAGGAATTAGGATTATCGGTGTTCATATTCAAATCTATAACAGTTAGTTGGAAATGGTAAATAGACATATAATTTATATTGTAATAAAATGAATATTGAATGAATTTAAATATAAAATATATACCAGGCTCGACAATTTATCAAGATGATTTAAGGGTGAGATAATTTAGATAGTCACATTAAACAAAATCTTAATGCTGTTCGCATCCGCCAAGTAACCGTTCAAATTTTGAACTTCCGAAATGTCACAATATCGAAATAGATTTCTCTAAGTTTATTTAGCTAAAGAATTTGAGGCCGTCATTATAAATAAAATAATAGAAAAAAGAATAATAATAGAAATAACTTAGATTACCTTTGTTATTGAAGTAGGACAAGCCAACTCTTGCGAAAAGGAGAAGGAGTCTTAATTTATTTGTTATATGATGAGAACGATTGAAAAAATGATTATAATACAAATTTTAGTTATTATTTTTCTTTCGTTTTTTAAATTTTGCTGAGTGAGGATTTCATTCATAGTCTCTTAGTTTTTCAATCAAATAATCTATGACTAAAACTTATTTATCGAATTTCTGAGTAGATGATTTTCTTGAGCTTTATGAATCTGATTCTAAGTCATTTAAATTGAATTCCTCAAGACTATCTAAAGAGGGACTTGGCAGAGGTCTAGAATAATATTTAATAAATACCTTGTTTTTAATGGTGAAGAAGGAGTAAAGCTTGTTTTGAATTGAAAAAGGTTTTAATTATCCATAAAGATGACTAACTATTAAAAATATATATTTATTTAATTTCAAATTGAAAATCACTAATTAAAATTTGTAATTTAATAGAATTCTACAAAATTAATTTGAAAAGATTATAATTCTAGGATATAACTTTATCATATCAATATGTAGCCAATAGAAATTGATGTATTAGAAATTGAAAAAAGAACCATTTATTTTTGATTTCGATGATATTATAATAATCATAATAATTTATGACTTAATGTAGGCATGGACAACTCCGTTATTGGAGGTGTGATTGTAAAAGTAACTAATCTTTCACCTTATGGAGGTATAAAACTCTTGAAATAATAACCTCTTTCCGGTTTGGTCAATTTACAACCTCCCTTGTTCACTAAGTTTGTTTCAAAGTTCACTTATTGATTGGATTCATTCTTATAATAGATGTAACCAATTCTAAAAATAGTAAACAATAAATAACCCTAGATTTCCATTATTGTCCATCTTCATAGTGATTCCTGGCAATACTTCTTCCACCTTATTGTTGGATCTGACTTGATGCATCATTGTCTAAGAAACAAGATTTGGATCCCTGGGAACTTCCTTCAATTACACATATTGTTCTCCATAAGTGCTCAACACAACTGAATGTTCATTCCAAGATGGTACATGCCATTTGATTTTGATGTATAAAATGTATTTACCAGGAGTGAAATTCTCTCCTACTCTGCCAACATGTGTTTCAATGTCCTTATAGAATTTTCCCTCTAAGTATTCATATCCATTTTGTAATTCCTTTGCTAATAAGAGTCTAACATAAGAGTATTCATATTTCAATTCAGGTTGAGATCTATATTATCTTGTAGATTCTTAATGAATGGCAAAGAAGTATTCTCCTTCTTTTTTAATTTCGAATTCGAAATACACTCCCTTGTTCCTTCTAACGTTGAATCTCATAGAGTTATAAATGTAATCAGTTTTGAAATATCCACAGAACACTGAAAAGAAGTATTTGGTATAATCATCTAATGACATAAAAAAGATTCCGTCATTTTCCTTTCCAGTATTTCCAGCCTACTCTCTTAATTCAGGGGTCCACAAATCTGATTCGTCACTCCAATCACCCTTCCATTCTTTACGTGCCCATGGATTTCTTATCTTAAGTAAATGAACTTATCCTCTTTAAGGATGATTTACAGTCTTAACATTTAAGATAGAGTATGCATGTCCTGGTTCTAATCCAATAGCAGAGTAGTCAGCATTTTTACTATAAGTACCAGTCACCATAACACACTTTTGTTTAACGCAAGTAATGAAATTTTCTTTGAAATTTGGCTTGTTTGTTAATAAAAGCCAAACTGGACCTCCTGTAATTGTTTTGATAACTTCTCTGGGATCTCCAGCATCAATATTAGTATAGGACCCATTTACTTTTGCCCATGATTTCTCTAACAATGACACCCAAATCTCTTTATCAGCATTTTTGGTAAAGGCAATTTTGCCATTTTTTACTGGTATATTATCATCTATAGGGATAACTTTCCACTCTCCATTAATGCACATCTTAACACCATAAACACCAAATTTGTTTGCTCTCTAAATAGGGAATAGGTCTTTAATTTGATCAGGCCTAAATAATTAAGTGAAAATATATACCATTTGCATGCTATGGAACTCAAAGTTGACATAAAATAGCAATCACCTAGATCACCTTGGCAAATATCTCTATGAGATATCCATTTATTTAAGCCAACACCACTTTTATCATGTTGGGTATCTATTGAAAAAACCTTTTGTTCTCCTTAAAAGAGTTCTTATAAACGTTTCCAATTATTGGCACTGAATTTTGGTCCCAAACTTGTTACATTTGGGGGGAAATCAGGATCTGTAAATATCTCTTATGTTTATTAGCATCTTTTTTAAAGATCAGCCAATTCCTTTACTCCTGGAATCTTAAAGTCAACTCCCATAAAATCTTTAAATCTTTCATCTTCTTCCCTAGTCAATTCTAAACTAATTGTTTATTATGGTTTGGGAATAGTCAATAGATTTGATGTTTCTAGAATCAATTAATATTCATACTTGATGGGGCTTCCAAAATGATTTATGGATCACCTTGAGTATTTTCAAAAACAATCTCCTACCATTTTTCAAACAGACTGACAATTGCACTTTCACTTAATGGATTATCAGGAAATTCCTCTCTGAGCTTTTTGAATTGTGCATCTGTTATTGCCACGTAAAAGAATTCTAATAAATTTCTAAATTCAGGGTCTTATAGTTCTTTATCCTTATTTTTGTCATAGAAATTATACAATCTCTATATGGGCACCTTCTTTTCTCTCACTCCTCTAATGATATTCTTTAACAATGGTAAAGAATCATAAGAATTTTATGATCCTCCTCTCAATGTAAATTCTTCATCATCCACTATTTATTGATAAATATCCTCTGTTATTCCTGCAGGGCTTTTGAATTTGGTAATCACCTTCAGATAAAAGTACTTTATGTCTTCATTAGAGATATTTGGATCGAAAACTTACACTAGCTATCTTATCTATTCTAAATTCAAAGCCTAGGTCTTAAATTCATGCAACAATTCCCTTGGGCTTCTTAGCATAATAAATTAAGATAGAGCTTCTTGAATTAACGAATCTGAGCTCATTTTAGATATTTTATTAAATAATTAGTAACTTAACATTAATTGGATATGAATTCCATTATTATTTTATGAAATAACTTAAATAAACAATCAAACTATATATACAATATATATCCTAATAAATTTTATATCAAAATTTGATATCCGAAAATACATACTTAACATAATTCGAAAAGTTAATTTATTTAAAACAACTCTTAAAAAGTAATAAATTTATAGAATACGCTAATCATATCAAAATAATCCCTAATCCCTTTTTTCATTTAATAATCTAATTTTTGTGTTGGAGAAGTAATACTTTTCACATTGTTTGGCAGAAAAGTGAATTTAATTAACCTAATTTTCTTCTTCATCCATTAATTCAGCTTCATCTTCATCATTAAAAACAATGCTGTCCTTAACAACCTATAAGTTCTCATTATATATAGAATCATCGCTATCTTCAAACTAACCGTCTTTCATTTTTGATTTATTCCACAATGGTGATGTACATTTTATGCTCAGAAACTTCTGATGTTTTTTATGTCCACATAAATTAGTCTACGTTGAAAGTATTAAATTATTTGTTAAACTTGGAGGTAATTTGAACCATTCATGCCTTAAAGCCTCTTAAGCTGTGGGTCTCCTCTCAGGATTCTCATTCAATAAACTAAAGACAAATTACTTTGCCTTCTCAGTAATATTGATTTATTTTAATTACAATTAATTTACCTTTGCTTATAAATTATTTTAATAAATTTCTTATGTTGAATTGCCTGCAAATGGTAAAGTACCTGTAAATAAAGTATATAAAATAACTCCTATTGAATAAATATCAATCTTTTAATTGTAAGGCTAATTTCTTAAGACTTCCGGTGCTATATATCCTATTGTACCACATTTTTCCAAATATTAAACTTCATTTTTATAATATTCAGCCAATCCAAAATCAGCAATTGCAAAATCTGTATAATTATTTGAATCTTTTAAAATTAAATTTTCTGGTTTCAAATCTCTATGCATGATTCCTGTTTAATGAACATAGCCTATGATTTTTAATAAATTTGATGCAAAATCCATGACAAATTATTCGTTATATTTGTATGTTGGTGATCGTATTTAATCCAACAATTCACCACCATTTAAACATTCTAATATGATGTAGATCTTCTTTTTATTTTCAAATACTTCAAATAGTCTTGTAATACCATCATGATCCAATTACCTTAGAATTGATATTTCCTTAAGCAAATGAGACTAAAATGATATACTTATAATACCAAGGAAGATTCCGAAAATTTATTTTTTTCAAATTACTTAGTTGCGAATGTCTATCCTGTTTTTATATTTAAAATTCTAAAAACCTTTGCTTATGATCCTCTACCAAGTAATTCACATTTTTTAAATTATTTTTTGAAATTTCTTTAAATAGCATAATGCTTTAAATGTTCAAACCACTTCAACAAGGATTCTATTTTACCCTAAATTAGAATCTTTTTTCCTTGTTTTTACATTAAAATGAAAGAATCATGTAATTAGTTTGCTTTAGATTCATCATAACTTATCTAACAATTTTCAAAATTAATAAATTTATTCTTCTTTATAAGATATTGGTTGAACAAATAATAATGCTTTTTGATTCGAAATTCATCCTACTTGTTTGAAAATTTTAAATGCTCGTCGCTTTTTGTTATTTTTGCACTTTTGTTGGTAAGATAGATTCTAAATTCCTTTGTGATTAATTAGGGTTCAAATTTTTCATCTTGATTCCTACCATTATCATTGATTTATAACATAGAAAATTTTAAATAGTAAATTTATTAAAAATTTACTAACCAAAAATATAATGACCATTAAACTATTATTTATTTAATGGAAAGAAACCTTAAATATTAGTTACAACATAATTCTAAGATAATATTATCAATTTTCTTATCATTTTCTTCCTCCCTTGATACTTAAGTGATAAATTTGTAGTAGACTGGCTGGAGATTTAGTATATTTATAGAAATCATCATCGTTCATTTCCTCAAAGTTCTCTTCTATGCTTCCTTATCTCAATTTATATTTATAATCTACTTAGGTTTCCTCCTCTTGTACTTAATCTTGAATGTCGTCGAGAATGCTTATACATTCTGAAGCATTCTTGGATTTAGAACTGTCAGAGAGAGTAATCTTAGAGCAAAGGTTGTTCCATAAGGGAGATTACGAAATAATGATATTTTGCAATTCAGGTCTTTTTTTGATGTTTAAGAGTGGTATATTCTTTAATGAAAGTGAAAAATATTGTAAAGTTTCCATTTTAGGTAAATAAAACCAATCATGTTAAAGAGCCTAATAAGCAGTAGGTCTTTGATTTTGATTCTATTCTAAAAGACAAGTCACAAAATCATATGCATGAGTACTGATTTTGGCCATCTTTAATTATTCAAAGTCAATATTGCATTACAAATTGCTCTTAATGACTTCATTGGTATCCTTACCACCAAAGGGACTAGAATCAGTGAGCAACATAAACATAATCACTCCTACAGAGAATACATCAACTTTGTAATCATAGATTTCATTTCTCAATATTTCCGGAGCTATATATCCTATAGTTCCACACCTTGAGAAGATATATTCACCTCTAATGTTATACTCATCTGATAATCCAAAGTCAGCGATCACAAGATCTGTGATATTGGCTTAGGATCTTAATAATAAATTTTAAGGCTTGATATCTCTGTGTAATATTTTATTTTGATGAATATAATCCAAGGCTTATAATAAATTTTTTATTAATTCTTGCACAACGGATTCACTATACACCTCTGCAGAACTAATTGCTTATAATAACTCTCCTCCTGGCAAATAGTCTAGTATTAAATAGAGATGTTTGGCATTTTCGTAAACTTCGTTTAATTTTATGACATTTTTATGTTATAATTATCTCAGTATCTAAATTTCTTTAAAGAGACCTAGCTTTGAATATCAATCATTCATTACTTTGTTACTGATATTATTCTTTTTAAACACCTTAACCGCATAGACTTGGTTGTCTCTCTTACTAAAAATTTTGTACACTTTTGCATGGGCTCCTTTCCCAGTTAATTTAATAAAATCGTAATTCATTCGAAAATCATTTTAGATCGTATATATCTTAATATAACCATACCATTCATCAATAATGTCCTTACTTCCATATAATAACAATGTCTCGTAATTTGTACTCAATTCTAATCCATAATACTAAATTCATATGATTTTAATACATGTTCCCTCATTGTTTTTTTGAGAATTAGGTTTTCTAAATTTATGTGTTTATTTTTTGATATTAGATACTAATTCTGTAAATGATAATGAGGTTTCTAGATTAATTCATCCTATCCATTGATGGAATAAATTTTATTTTGATGATGATCTTAATTTAATGATCGTACAATTTGAAGTACTTGATGTGCATTCTCTCTTTTCCATAATGCATCATTCCTATTTTGAATCTCATAGAAGTAAGAGTTATTACTTTAATTCATTTATTTTATATTATTATTCACTTAAGAAATTATAATTTTGATCTTTAGCTGAATCATTTATTCTCAGTACTATAGCATTTAATATATGAGATAATGATTATTGTATTAATATATGGAGAATACAAAATGTCAGCCAAATCAAATAAAACACTACCAAAATATTTGAAATGATTGATTACGTATGTTACAATAATTTTAAGAAAGTTAATTTAATTAAATGGATAATATACTCAAATATTGACAACGAAAATAACGAAATCTCCACTTATAAATTTATCTTTATTCTATAATCCTAATAACTACAAAGATATCCCTTTTTAGAAGTTTTAACAATAGTTGAGTGTTCAAAGGATGAAATGGTAAAGTTAAAATATTGTAAATTTACAATATTCACAATAATTATTAATTCATATATATTTAATATTATAATTAATAACAGAAAAATTGATTAATTTAGAATGCTCAGGATTCAAAATCGCATTAAACATGATAATGCTGAATTGCTGGCTATTATAGATAGATGTGCATGTATGATATTTTTTGAAGTTAGAAATTATGAAAGAAGACAGGTTGACTCTAAGGCAAATGATAAAAGACAATAATTCAGAAATTATTTCATTAGTTACAACATATAAGAAGAAGAATGGTATGAATTTTCATTCAATATTGTAGATCTAAGATTGTTATAATAAGAATTAAGAAAGTTGTTGAATAAAGTTAAAGGCAAATAATAATAATAATAATAATAAACTCAGATTTAATTTAATACTAGAACAACAAAAGAAAACTAACTAAATATTTCTCAATCTAAAACTTCGCGAACTCCTTCAAGATAAACTGCAAGTATTTAAAAAAATAGAAATTTTGTAAGTCCACCTAAAAGATCTTTAAGCAGATAAACTAAATAGTCAATAATCCCTAAATAAGAAAACTCTCCAAGATTCAATGAGGATATTAAATAGAATAGTCCCACTTCTCCAGAATTTCATTTGTATATAATTAAAATTAACCTTTAAGTGTTTCCCCAAATAAAATTGAATTGCAAAGATAACAACTAGAACAATTTGAATAAAAACTAAAGCAATATACTTAAGGTGATAACTTCTAAAAATTGTTTGATCAATAAGAATACGCAAAAAAGAGAGATGATATTGTTCTAGCTAGTTTTTAAAATGTATTTAATTGTTGTTAATTATTAGTTTACAGTTTAGCATTCAGAACCCGATAAGGATTAGAATAAAGACAAAGAGGAAGAACTATCATCATAAAATCTTCACAGAAGACAACATTCATACATGTCAATGACAAAAGAAATTGGAACTCATTAACATCATAATACTGAAATAATAGAAATCAAGTTATCTACATAATCAAAATAAGAGCCAAAATAGTCATTTGAAAACTCTTACAAGGATTTTGGAAGTGATTCTTAGGTGTATCAGAATAAACAGAGATATGGAACTGGAAAATATGATTAAGATACTCTAAATAGCATTTAAGTGTAGTAATAAGCCTAAATTGAACAAGAAAAGTAATAGCAATTTGAACATCAAAATGAGAACATCTATCAATCTTAATTATTAGACAAATATGAAGAGGATGAATATGTTTAATTTTAAAATACTTAAAACGAGAGACAATAGACATAATAATTTGTAGCTACAAATGATGAAGATCAATATAAACCTGTGATTACTGAAGATGAAATAATGAAGAAGTATGCAGATTTGTTCACTGCACCTGATTTTTTGAAGTAATGCAGAGCTACTTGCTAGACTCAGAAAACTCTTGATTCATTTGCTGATAGTCGAAGCCTTAATTTCATTGTTCCTTGTTAAAGTATGGTCTGTTAGGATGTTGAAACAACTAAAAAGGGGAAATATACATTGTTATCTTAATTAACGGCTGAGTAAATATTTGATGAGATTTTTCCTGAATGTTCTTTATAGAAAATTAGCAAGGCCTTTTTTAGGTTTAAGATGGAGGTTGTATTTTAACAATTGCAGTGTGATCCTTCATAAGAGGAATTAGATGAGTTGTTTTAGTAGGTTGATATTCAAAGAGATGGATTTGTGGATGTGAATGAGATGGGACAGTTTTTGGATAATGTTTGTCCTTAACAAGATAGATAAGTTTATAATCAAATTGATGTAAGCAATAAGGGATATTTTGATGAATAAGAATTGGGCTAAAGGTTAAATAAGAACATTGCAAGACAATACTTCTCAGAATTAGATTTATTAAACACTAATAAAATAACATATTGGGAATACTACTTGAAGTAATATATCATATTAATATAGACGTACTACAAATATTGGACAATAAGTTATTAATATGATATAAGAAAGCTTAGATTGATTAAAAGTTTAATATAAAATTATTAAATTTTTATTATATCGTTAATGTTGACTTAGAAAGAATCATTGGGAAAGGAGGAAGATTTCAATTTGAATAAATTTCGCGATTCTTTGTATCTTAGAATGTCCAGTCCTAGTACCTTAAAAGTAAGTACCACACGGAAGGAGGATAATTCAGTTAAGAAATCTTCCAAATCTACTCTCTATACTGATTAACAACATAGAAAAAGGTGGGTTAAATATCTATAAATAGTGCTCCATCATTCGATGAATTACTTAAATCTATGAATAATGGGAATGCGCATGCATAATTATAGAATGGATCAAATCAAAAAAAAAGTATAAATGATTCATCTAGAAAGATGAGTGGCTTATAACATAAAATAGAATGCTTTGGTAACAATGAAATAAACTAGTTAACCAAATTATCTCAGCCGTAATCCCAATTTATAAATTTTAGATTTATCAGCAATTAGCCACTCTACTAATCAACTAAAGCTTAACCTAAAAGAACTACATTCTCAAGCAGCATTACAGAAAACCCTGTTTTTAATAAAGGCTCAGGGAAAACACTTTTGGATAAACTATCCTTAAAAGAATTGATAGAACTTAGAAGTAAAGTTGATCATAGTACTTAATCAGAAGTTCACCAACTATCAGCTAATTATGTTTAAGAGTTAGTAAAGCTGTCTTAAATTATCACAAAGCAAGTTAAAAATGTTAAATATTGAAATGATATATCTATCTACATTAATATAAAATAAAAATCATAATGTTTTTAATCAGTCCTCTACCAATATTATAAGAAATAATAGCCAAACAATGTTCATTATAACCTAAACAACTATTTTGAATTTTTGTATGGCCCTAAGGATTTGTATTATGAAATCATTAAGTCTACAACTTCTATTAACAAAACTATTGATACTACCCATAGTTGCAAACGCAAATACACCATTATTAGAGATGAAACTAAACATGATGCGAAAAAACTAAATTGAGCCCTCAAAAGAGATTTAGAATGTACATAATTATGAGATTAATAAAATAAAAATATAGTAATGTTCAAGAACAACTTCTATTCATATGTTGGAGGTACAAGATCAGACATTGCAATGAGTATTGAATCATACTTTGAAGTGATGGAGGTCCTTTTGGATTAATACTTAAGTAGAGAAGTAATGAATGGCTTTCTAAAATCCCTAGATGTTGTTCAATTTCAAAAACTGCAGTCAAGTATTGAATGACATCGTTGTCTCTGCACCTTTGGCTTTCTTGCCATTTTCACTTATAGGAACATAATGGTTGTTTGCAGGAGCCAATAGAAAAGGAGCCAATAAGGCTTATGGACCAATCCTTGCATCTGTTCATATGTTGGTGTTATGGAAAGCATATACTGCCCCAATTCCGAATAAATTGTTTACTAAAATCATTGCAGATCCAACTGTTGATGGATAGTACATTAGGTATAAAATTATTAATCAATTAAGAACATAATTATCGGTAATGAAACCTGGGTTGTGGTAAGTTTTAAGTAGAGAATTGTATCACAAGGGGTATAGATACCCAGAGATGTTGGAATTCAAGACAGCTACCGAATTCCCAACTGGATTTGTTAAACCATATTGATGGCACATAATATATAAAATATATCCAATAATTTAATACAATTATTTTTTAATATAAAATATTTAAGTAAATGCAGACAGATGAACCATATGTGACTAATTTTTATATCGAATAATAAATAAAAATATTAAAACCACATCCTATAGCTATTAAATTAAGTGTCGATATTTTACAAAACTACTATTAATTGTAATAGGTAAGATATAACATTATCAAATTTAATAGAGAGAATCCATTAGATCCTTCCAGTAATCACTGCATAACATTTATGACTTTTTCCGACAAGACCAATTCCAAGGATAATGGGAGATAAATAATTAAATAAATATTTTACTTGACGAAATTTTAAAAATTGAAGAAAGCTCTATCAAAAAAATATCCTTTCGACGTTCTGTCTCTAGGAAATCATTAGCAAAGTATATTTTCTTACTTTACAAATTTGAATAGATCTTTTAAAATGCTATCTTCAAAATTAAGGATTAGTATTGATACATTCAGTAAAATTTGGATTGACAAATAAAGCACTCCTAATCAATTGAAATGGTCTTGTTTATGTATTAAAAACATACAGAAGTACTTCTCCTTTTACTAAATAAAGTTAATTGAGACAAGATGTTGAAAGAGTAGTCAGAAAACAATAGAAAATGTTTATATGCAGAATTTGTGAGTCACAAGTGCAGGCAAATGACATGACTCAACATTGTATTCAATGTGAAAAAAAAGCTGAGAGTAAAAAAAGATTGATAGAGTTGAATTTAGAATTGGCAAATTTATGTGATCAAGCATATCACACCAAAAGAAATGTTTAAGTGAATTTAGCAATCAAAAAGTATCTACATTTATAAATATTTAGAATGAAGGATAAAAATAAATAAAGACAGTATGCGAATAAATAATTTAGAAGAATATAATCTCTATATGATTAGGAAGAAGATGAAGATGTTGAGGAAGGTGAATATCAATAAGAACAAAATTATATTGCAAATATAATGACATAAATCATTTACTTTGCTGAAAAAACACTAAACAATTAGATAGAAATTGAAGACACCAAATGTAATCATTATTTGTAATTAGTGACTATTTTGCTATTGAATGATTTAGTAAGTTCTACTGAATACATTGAAAACCAGGATGCCTTGAATATAATCAATTCAACTCATAAATGTTTATTGGAGAGACTTGAATATCATAAAAAGCAACAAGGATTTAACAAAAACGTTAAAAAGCAATCAAACTAAAACTAAGATTAAACTGAAGATAAAATTAATAAAATAAGAAGAGCATTTACTAAATCAAATTCAATTTCTTTTAGGCTTCCAAAATTCCAAAATAAATCATCCTCTTCTTTACAAAGAATATCAACTGATCCAATACAAGAGGAAGAGGATTCACCTACTCATCTTAAGGTTAAATCATCTTAAAAAATTATATCTTAAAGGAGCAGATTTAGAATGAACTCCTCCATTTTTAAGATAAGTGATGGCTCTGAATCACCCAAATCTCTAAAGAATATACAGCAATCAATAAATCAATCTAAATCAAGTAGTTTAAATAATCATGAAACTAACTAATCTATCGATTCTAACAACACCAATAATAAGGTTGATTCATGTTACAAAAATTCAAATACTGAACAAAAAAATGAATTAGCCTAACCTTCTCCAACTTAAAAAAAACTTTCATCATTCAAAGCTCAGCTTTAAAAATTAGCAGTTGAAATAAAATAACCATCCTTATAAGAAATTAGTCATAAAATAGAGCCCTTAAATCTATCCATTAAGGAAGGAGAAAACTCATCAAATTTATCAAGTATTGACTCTGGAAGATCTAATTCAGCAACTAATAATGATTTAAATTTATTAGCATTATAAAAAAGATAGTGCAAACAAAAATAAACGAAAAAGTAGAACTTTCACTCATAAGATATTGAAAAAATGCAGTAGTGCCATAAGATTTAACATAGAAAAAGTAGATTTTATGAAAATTAGATGTGTAAATCTCCTACAGTTTTGCATGATTATTATAGATTAAATGATATTCAAATTGGTAAGGGATATCATTCAGATTCAAATTTAATTAAAACAACAGGTCATTCATAAAGTTAAACATCAAAAGTTGGAATCAAAGATTTTGAATTCATTAAGCCATTAGGAAAAGGTGCTTATGGATGGGTATTCCTTGTTAAAAAGAAAGGATCTGGAGATTTGTATGCTTTAAAAATAATTGATTGTGCTTAAAGGGTAATATTTTGAAATGATTTAGAATTTGGAAGCATTTCTTGAATAACTCAAAGCAGAAAGAAATATCTTTGAAATCCTTAATAGCAATTTTGTAGTCAAGGCCTACTTCTCTTTTGTTCATGAACAATATTTATGCTTTGTTTAGGAATATATGGTTGGTGGAGACCTAGCAACCATTTTGAAAACATACACTGTATTACTTCTTAATATAAATAGGCTTTGGATGAATTTTATGTTCGTCATTACATGGCTGAAATAGTCCTAGCCTTGGATCATTTAAGGATATAAAATATAGTTCATAGAGATTTAAAACCAGAGAATATTCTATTGGATTGTCAAGGACACGCAAAACTTGCAGATTTTGGCCTGTCTGAATAAGGAGTCAATAGCAGATTAAAATTAAGGGATAGTTTAAATTCATTCAATACAATTGAGATACCAACGTGTGTTGAATAAATGATTGATCAATAAGGTTATCAGACAGTATACAAATAACTGAGAAAAGTAGAATCTATTTTGGTAGATAAGTTTGGAAGTAAAACTAAAAAGTATATTATTCTTCAAAATATAGAATTGTAGGTACTCCTGATTATATTGCCCCAGAAATAATTTTGGGGACTTCTGCTAGTAATTTCAGTTGTGATTATTGGAGTTTAGGAGTTATTATGTATGAATTGCTGTGTGGAATTACTCCTTTTAATGATGATACAGTTGATAAAATATTTGATAATATTCTTAATATGAGATTAGAATGGCCTAGAATTGGTGATGGAGAAGATTGCATATCTGACTAGGCTTATGATTTAATGAGTAAATTATTAGAACCTGATTTTAAAAATCGTCTAGGACATAGATCCATTGAAGAGATTAAGAACCATCAATTCTTTAAAGGTATTTTAAATGAGTTATTGAAAAAGGAATTTCTTGGAATACATTGTTAAGTAAGCCTGGTTTGATTGTTCCTGAATTGAACTGCGAATAAAGGGACACAGAGAAAATGATGCAATTCTTAAAAAAATTAGAAAAAACAAATAAAGATAATGAGAACAAGAAATTAACATAATAATTAAATGCATAATTACAGTTTTTAGAAAGAATTGACCTTCTTAAGTAGAGAAGTATTCAGGAATCAGAGAGATACTTGTATTAGAATATCATTAATTAGGTAATAAGTGAAACTTGAGGAATCGAAATTAAATACATAGATTGATACTTTGACATAATTTTTTGCTAAGATTTATTAAACTTATTCGTCGATGTAGTGAATATATTTTGCATTAGTAAAATCATCATTCATCCTTTGTTAAATTTACTATTTTGTAATCCCTCCCGCAGTTTTCTCTGAATTTCAAATATTTCATCCTCTCTGTATTAACATTAAGATTAGCTGGCTTTTGACTTATGACTCTTTCAAAAGTATCTAATCTTTAAGTCTCGCACCTTCTTTTACTATTCCAATCTTTAGATAGATGAAAGGATAAATTCATTTGATCTCCAATTAATCCATTTGTATTATTAAACTCAAGGCATTCATTCTAATTCCGATATTTATCATAACCTAATAATAATTAATAAAGTTAACTTAAATTTCTTTGTCTAGTTTAAGATGAGGTTTCATACTTATGAAGATTATCTAAAATTCTTTTTTTTCTATTTAGAAAATTTACATCCTATCTCAGTGACTTAAATAACTCTTATTCCTACTTAATAGATTATAATTCTTTTAATCTTTGTTTTGGTTCTATTGGTAATCCTAAATCTTTAGAATAATCTAACTTATCAGAAGTGTATTGAAAAGAATAGTTTTTCTGTTTAAAATCATTTCTGATATTTTCGAATATATCACTATGAAACTGAGTTTACTTTTATCCAAATATCTTTTAGTTGCAATTAATATCTTCTTTAAATCTTGGATAATGCTCGATAAAAATATAATCAGGTTTAGTAGGTCCTCTCATTTTTGGATATAATTCTGTTTAATTTAATGATGATTTTTCAAGTCTCTTAGAAAAAATTGATGTTTTTAAGAAATTATCGAATTTAGTAGCAGGATTGTCTATTCTATCATAAGCTTCTTGTACAGGTTTGTAACCTAGATTTCTATATTACTTTGTAAAATCTAAATAAGAATTAGTTACTTTGTTCATAACAATTATTTTATATAATAAATTTTAACAAATAACAATAATTATAAGATAAACTTAGAAGTAACATATGTTTTCTTACTTTGATAAATAAATTCTTGTGATAACATGTAATTAGACAATTTTACGAATGCTTGTCGGATTTGTATTAAGTTGATATGAAAATACATTAACATTGATTATTTTAAAGTAGTATGAAAATTCATGCAAGTAGAGAAATAAGGATTTAGTTGGATAATATTATTAAGATGATATAAAGATTTAAAAAGTTGAAAAATAGAAAGAAATGAAGAAGGATTTTTATGGAAAGAGTTTAAGTTATAAAAAGATTGGGATTATTATAAAAACATCAATATGAATATATTGCATGTAATTCAATTTATGACTCTTATGATTTTTTATGTGAATATAAAAGAAAAAGATGGACAACAAGTTAATTTTGGGTAACAGTAGATTATGATTTGATGAATGAGAAAAAAGCGTTGGAGAACTGTACGAAATAAACTATTCGGCTAATTTTATAGGAATCAAAATGATTGAGCCATCTAATTCATACATACAAAATGACCAAAAGATGGATTAATATTGGAGATGATTCAAGATTAATTTAGATATCATATATCTTTATCTAGAATATTTGCCTATTAGATTATTTTGATAGATTAATGAATAAACATACATATTAGTTAGTAGGATGCCTTATCTGTAGGAGAAATTATATATTCAAATTTGCAATAAAATAAGAGTTATTTATTCCAAGTGTTAAATAATAACCAATTCAGCTAATCATTATAATAATGATTATATTGTTATATATATCACCTTCAATATTCCCAATACTTTAATTTTAATGATAAGCACCAAAACTTAGGAGAGAACAAAAAAATTTTGTAGCTCAAAATATTAATTCATATTTGATCTGCCTATGTCCTTAAAGAAAATTTGAGCAAATAAAATTGAGCGCTCAAAAAATTGATTAAATCTATAAAACTGTATAAATCAAAAATAAAAGTATAAATTTAAAGAATAAAATGAGTGAAATTATTACGACAAATAAAAAATAACATGGCCTTAATATGGTGATTCTTAATGATGAAGGAGACAATTTTAAGAATGGATATTTAACATTTATATAGAAGCTGAATTTATATCTTAATCATGTCATTTAAAAAAGAAATAAATATTTTTGAATTTCTGTTTAGTTTAAACTAGTAGATAGAATTGAGATTTATGAAAAGAGATTAATTATAAGTTTAGCATTAAGTAACTAAACTTCGGTAATAGGGATAAAAAAATAAATCATCATAGATTGCCTAATTCAGAAATTAACACAATATTATAAGATGTGACTATGAATTCTTTGTATTTTATACTAATATGTTTTTTAATTATCATTAATTGGAATATTAAATAGATAACTTTATATTGAGAAAGACATAAAAAATGATTTAAATGTATTTTATAATTTATTTAAAAGAATAAAGATGTATTATAAATAAGGGATGACGACATCTCAAAATATGAAGTTTCATCAAAAGATCAAAATGAAGAGCCTTAAATTAGAGAATTATTTAGCTTCAAATAAAATGTCTATAATCTAATTAGTCTAAATATAGTGAAATTATAATTTTATTTATTGCATAATTTTTACATTAATGTTGTCTGTGATGCTTATTATTAAAATTATGAATAAATCAAATATTCATTTGTCATAAAGTAAATCAAATATTGTTTTGCCGTGCAGAAAGTCATTTTAAAAATAACTTTTGCCTTAAGAAGAGGATTCAATTTCAAAAATTGAGTCTTTTGAATCAGAATCTCCTTTAAAAGAAACTAATAAAGAATAGGGAGATTTTGCAGATTCCGACAAAGTTTAATTATCTATTTAACATGAAATATTCTCAAATGAAAAATAGTCTAAACAGAACCATAATCTATGCAAAGGTTTCGTTTATCCAAATCCATTCAAAGAGTTAAGAATTCCATTTGATAAAATTTAGTTTATTTTATCGCCCATTTAAAGAGAGGGAATTTTGTAATGTTAAATTCGTAAAGTTGTGACGTAATCTCCAAAGGAGAATGCGAAATATGAATTAATTATGTTTGATTTACCAATTTTGATAGCTGAAAAGGTTCATACTTTATTTAAAAAGAAAATTATAATTAAGTAGTCAGGTTTGAATTACTTTGCTGGAAAATTAAAATGGGATAAATATGGTTAGAACTTCATATTTATGGATAATAAATTAAGTCCCAAGAAATGCTCTTCCATTAGTATGCATAGATTATGCACTGGAGGAGCTAATTACTAAAAAACTGGAAAGTAAAAGCCTCATAAAATTAGAGTAATTTAATGATTGAGAATAGGTGTACTTACCAGAGATAGATTAAAGTAATTAGATGCATTAATACCGAATAGAAAAGTGCAAATACTTTGATAAAAAACCGAAATTTTTTTAGGAATTTTAGAACAGAGAACCAGAATATAGTAATGAAGCAAAATCTTTTGTTTTGCCATTCTACAATAGAGCCTTGATAGCTTCTTCTAAAAATTTATAGTTGTGTCAACAAGATAAAAATTAAGTTTTCTTTCTTTTGGGAAAGATTGAAAAAGGATTATACAATCTCGATTTCTAATGGCCAATATTTCCTTTGTAGGCCTTTTAAATAGCAATGTCATGTTTTGTAACTAGGGCCTCGGATTGATTTAATAATTAATATTTACATTATAATTAATACAGCTTTAAATGTTCCTTAATCCTTAATTGATAGAGGATGCTTAAGAATCTGCTAACTAAACCAATTAATCTAGTTAAAGATAATAGCCCAAAGGAAGATCGAATGTGACTAAATTCTAAGTAAAAACAAAAGAAGAGTAGAAATAAGAAAGTAAACCATTGAGTAGAATTTAATAAGTAAGAATCATAATAAAAGATTTCAGAAAGAGGTAGAAATACAGAAGAAATAGATGGAGTCTCAAATCAAAGAGAATGATGAAATGGTCGAAAGTTTAGTATAATTCGATTCGGATCCAGAATAGGAAGACACAAAAAAATATGCAAATCCATTATTAGATGATCAAAAATAAGAAGTGGAATAGAAGGTATAGAACAGTGGAATTATTTATAGCCTGAATAATATCCAATACCAAAGGGCGCACATGAATTCAAATAGCAAATTGTTTTATAGAGTAATTAACAATACAAGAAAAACCTAGGTCAAAATGAATCTACTTATAATCAAGATTTTGATATAGAAATAGAGAAAGTAAGCATCAAGATTTATACAAGTTTTCTATAATTGGAAATAATCACAATCAATATTATGAACCAGGACAAAAGTTGACTTAGGATGATTCATTACCTTAACTTGAAAAGTAGAATCACAAAATTAAATTTGCTGAAAGTCTATATTAAGAAAGCAGACCCTAATAAAATGTTGTTGAAGAAGATTAGATTATAATTTAAAAAGAGATAATTTAAGAGGAGGAGAAAATAATATAGAACAATGATAATTATCAGGAATTGTAGGAGATAATAGTTCAAGAGGAAGACGATGAATTGTTGAATCAATAATAAAAAGAGTAGGAATAAAGGAAAGAATTGAAATAATAGCATGATAAAATTTAAATGGACCTCACTAATGATACAAATGAAGTTATAGAATAAAAAGAGAATATACCTGAAGTCCAATAGGTTCCTTAAGAATAACCTAAATAAACTTGTCCATATCCAAAACCACTCGCTTCAGTTGAAATGCCATATGGAAAGAAGCATTTTCTTTTGAATCCTGTCCCTAAAGGAGGAATGATCTAATGCACAATCAAGAGAGATCGAAGTGGAATGAGCAGATTTTATCCAAAATACCATCTTCACATATCAAATGGATTTTTGTATCTGATGAGTGCAAAAAAGAGAGCTTACAATAACACCAGCAACTATATTATATCTATGTCAAGAGAAGACTTAGAAAAAGGAAATAACTTTATAGGCAAGGTCAGAAGTAATTTCATGGGAACTGAATTCGTCTTATATGATTCAGGATTGAATCCAGATAAAACAAAGGATGAATCAAAACTTAGATAATAACTTGGTATCGTTTAATATGAAAGCAATCTTCTCGGATCCAAAGGACCAAGAAAAATGGTGGTATCTTTTTCTTCTTAATAAGGTTTTAATGCCTAAATTGGATGCAGAAGATAAATTCCATGTTTTCAAACCAACCAATTCTAAAGAGGGAATATTGAAAGAATACCTAAATAACAATAGAGATCATATTGTAACGTATGTTAATAGGCCTCCATAATGGAATAGTAAGCATAAGGCTTTTGTTCTTAATTTTTACCAAAGGGTAGATAAGCCAAGTGTGAAAAATTTCCAGCTTATTGTTGAAGGCAAAGAAGACAATATTTTACTGTAATTTGGTAGAGTCGGAGATGATCTCTTTAATCTAGACTTCTAATATCCTATTACTCCTTTACAAGCATTTTAAATCGCACTAACAAGTTTTGACTACAAAATTGCATGTGAATGAAATGTTTTGTCAATAAATAAATTAACAATTATATATATATTCAAAAGAAATGTAAAGTAAATAACTAGATTGGATTTGTATCGGATGCAAAAACCTCAACTATTCCTTCAGAAAGTATTGCAATCGTTGTCACACGTTTGCAAGAGATGCCCCAGGAACTAAATTTATTCCACTTGAATAACCCAGCATTATAGATTCACTCAAACTTTAAGAACCTGATCTAACTGGCAGTGGACATAGCACTGCTGATAGTGTAGGTAGCATTGCAAATGACCATACTGCATTTCATCAAGCACTTTTCCTAGAAAACTTGTCACACACTAAGTAAGAAACGGTCAAAATCAACTTCGATTTTATGAAATCATGTAGACTTTGTGCAACAGAAAACTACTTTTATCAATCCAAGTGTAAACAGTGTGGGTTTTAAATTTCTCATTGATTTGACATCCTTTTTCAACATCTTATGATTATTCATATGTATTTCTTGTTCTAAAATTTAAAATCTTTAAATTAACTAAATATATGATCTCTTTATAGCCCAGATTCTAAGACTTTTTAACATTAACGCTCTATTTGGAAGCTGATTGACTTTTTCTATTTTAATTTTTATAATTCATTTGTTCCTAAACAATTATGTGATCCAAAGCTACATATTTTATCTGAATTTACAAACTTGGACTCGTAATTCAATTATACATGATATTGATGTTTAGGTTAAACCATTCTCGAACGATAATCCAAATAATCCATATTATATAGACATAAATTAATTAAATCTGATAAATTCTTACATTTTACCTAATATTTAATAAATTTGTATTGCCAACCGCATAATTAAATTTTTCATATATAATCACATGGCTTCTCATTTATCGAAACTTTAAAATTATTGATTTTCAACATGTTTCAATACTTTAACTAACTGTGAAACTTAATGATATCGTTTATTATATAAATAAAAAATCTCGCTTAAATATTTTTTATTTTATAATCCAAATATTAAAAAATCGATTGTTAAAATAGTTTTAGAATCTAAGGAAATATAATCAAAAAACACTTTAAAAATAGTTTTAGAATTTTGATTTATTTTTAAGATCTTTCTTGATATAAAAAATTAAAATCTTTATTTTAATAAATTATTTTATTTAGAAATCTTAAATAGAAATAAAGGCTTTAATTTTTGATATCAATATTATTAATAATTAATGGATACTTAGTCAAAAACTTTATTTAAATCCAAAGATATTTTAAAGAATCAATTTATTATTATAAACAAAAAATTATTCAATTATTAGAATGGCAAATAATACTTATATGTTCATTATATTATTTGTAATAAATATATATATTATTGATTGGCTCAAACAAATAACTTAAATTATATCAAAACTGATTAATAAATATCAGATTTAAGAATAATAGATCCTTAATTTATTTAGATCATATATATTAACATATATCTCAATTAGTTTTAGAATTCTTTCTAAACCAAGGAATAAAACAACTAACCTCAGATTGATATTTCTTATAAGAAGGTCTCTTTTTTAATAAATGCTACTCCATGTTTGGAATTGAATAGGCTAAAAACATGATCTGGATTCCAAGTGCCCCGATTCCCCAATACCAATATTGCATTCCAAATGATAATACCGCTATGTACATTCCCCACCAAAATAGACATTCTCCAAAGTAATTAGGATGTCTAGAATATTTCCATAGTCCAGTCTCACAATCTCCTTTTATTTGTTTTGTTCTATAGGGATATAATTAATAATCTGCAATCCATTAGATAATCACAGCAATTATAGATATTAGTAATCCTATTTCATATAACATATTGTGCTCTTAGGTTTCCTTAATGGTGTAATATAGGGGTATGTATCCCAAATATACAATGATCGTAGGATAAATGTGAAATGAAACTAAACTGAATATCCAATAAATAAAACTATTATTTATTTTATTTTTAAATTCTTCATACCTAAAGTCTTCATATGTAAGACCTAATTATATAATTTAACAAATTACCTGGCCAAAATCTAAAATAACTTATGTCTTGCTTTATGCAATAAAAAAAGCAAACTATGACTGGCCACCATGTTTTACTATCAAAACACCAATATGCTGTAAAATACATAGGAATTATATGCCAGTAGAGATCATAAATTGAGGAATTTCTATGTTGAATAAGTTTGAATGACTTACTTGATTAATATGGATTAAACAAAAACAATCAATGTTGCTATGAGATCGACAATGAATTAAGAGATCAATTAATCCTGGTAGAAGGTTTCGACAAATTTCGAAAGGGGAATCCTTTAATAGATTGAACAAATTTACCATACTACTCCACATATGATGTATGGGATAAGCATATGTTAAAGTGATTGCTAGTAAGAATATTTCATTAATTTTAAGAATATTATTAATCTTCTTTTAAACAAAATTTAGAAAAGATTTAAATTACAGAACTAAATATCAATCTATGCACATATTTAAAATATAAATTATAATTCTGATGCGATGAGCCAAGTAAATAAATTATGAAAAATTTATAAAACACTGCAAATTCAAATTGTTAAATATGAATTACAAAAACAATCATTATTTTTGGCTGAAATCGATTCTTTTCCATCCAAAAATTTCCTCATTAATGTCCCAATTATCATAAGGTTTTCTAAAGATAAAATATAGATAATTACCCAATTCTTTTGTTTGTTATGAAATATTGACCATTTTCTATCTTCATTATTAATCTTCTTGCATATTCTGGGCATTCCCATCCTGCCTCTTCGTAATTTTGTTCACCAATATCAACATACTTTTCTTCCAAATTCACATTGAGAATAACTCCAACATGGCCGAATCTCTGTTCCTTCGAATATGGATATATTATGAGATCTCCAAACTAAGGTGGTCTAAAGTAAAACAAATAACTAACTCTTTAGAGCCATTTGGATAATTGACAAATGGGAATGTTCCTTCTTCCTTAGTGCAATCCTCAATTATATCAAGTGCCCAGATGTTATGAGCATGAGGAATATCAGTAAAGGCAGCTTTAAATTTCAATGTTAGAAATCTTCTAGCATATTCCACACATTGATATCTAATTAGGATTTGAGATTTACTTAAATCCAATATATACATCTCTTGCTAAACCAGTCTCTTCTTTGGGCCAATAAGTCTAATACTCATGGATTCTATCTCTATCAAACACAAATCCAAGGTTAGAATAACCTATAACCCCAAAAGGTTACCCCATAATTGCTCCCCAAGTTGTATTTTGCATAAATTATATTAATTCAGTTATTTATTCTTTTATACTTTTATATGCACAGCCATTTTCCTTTTTTTAACCAAATTTACTACTTTTTTTAAGTTCATCCCTTCTATCCTCTGTTTATAGATATGGATTATTAAAGAAATAAATAGATAAAATAGATATTCAAATACTATAGAAGTTAGCTATATATTCTCTAATAAACTCAGAAAGATATCTCAATAATAAAAAGAATTCATCCAATTTTTATGAAGACTTTTAGTATTTTAAATGATTTCAATTGATAATTTGCAACTATGACATTATATATAATCACTACACTTTAATTCTATTCAAAACGCCGTGATTATCACAATGGCCATCATGAGGGAAGTGTAACATTTCATTTACTAAATAATCAATATGACCATTATGGATGACAATTGGATGACCGCAATTTGGACCATGAAAATGTAATACTTTAGATATAGCAAATGGAGTTTCTCCACAATTTCCACCATTGCAAGCCAAACAACAATTATTAACAAGCTATTTTGATTTACAACAACATTGTTCTTATTTACAATCTATACATTTTATCAAATCATATTATTTTTAGGAATCAAAATGCTGATGATCTTTTATTGGCGCACAATTTTATTATTATTATTAATCTATCAAATCGTGCAACTCAATCCTGCCAGTTTCTAAATATTATTAATCAAATATTTACATTCATTATAATTATATAATCGTCCATTAAATAATATATCAATGTGATTAGAATGAAAAATTTAAGGATGTGAAGCTGTAAAAAATATTCTTAAATCTGCTGAAATTTAATTGATTTCTTAGAGATTGATGAATGAATCTGTATTTTCTATTTTTTTATGAATTTTCTAATGTTTTTTTAAACTACTCTTATAAAGAAAAGTTCTATTGCATTCACACACAAAACTCTATCGTTATATTTTATGCTTATTTTGATGTTATTAATAATTTTAGTTAGTTATGAATTGTTTTTAACAAACGTCACAAGTGAAAGGCTTCTGTCCTTTGTGCTTGAATTAGTGTCTTTTTAGATTTGAAATTTGGGAGAATGTTTAATTGCACTCTGAACAGTTATATGGTTTTTCTCCAGTGTGAATACGATCATGCTTTTATAAGGAGGAATATTATCTAAACTATTAATTACAAGTCACACTAGTAAATTATCGATAAAAACTAACCATTTATAGGGCTTTTCCCCTGAATGGATTAATTAATGTTCTTATAAAGCCCGCTTTTATTTAAAGGCTTTATCGCAAGCATCGCAAATAAATTCTTGCTAATTCATATATATATATTAATTAAATTAAAATTGATTATCCCACCTTATGCAATAAAAGTATTATTCAAAGCAAATTGATGGTGATATTGCAAAGACCTTTTGAACAATAGATGTATATAAAGTCTAAAATATAATCAATTTTCATTGTATTACGCACTTCGTTCAGCCTCATTTTGATTCTAAAGTTCCTGCTTGAGTGCTTCGATATTAAGGAACTTAATTCCCTTCTTCCTATTCCTTATTGTTCTGATTTTTCCTTAGATGAAGATAATACTAGACATCTAACCACTATAATACGGTGTCTTCTTAAAGAATTTATAATAATCATGGATAAGGTCCTTGCCTTTATATGAACTCGATTCCAAACTAATGATGATTTAAATTCATACTCTTTTACTCCATATTTTAATTCGACGGACAGTTTAGTCAAACTAACTATTACGTCATGAAATAGATATCCCATTAATCCCTGTTCATCTTCATAAAGTGGGATGTTTAAAGCCCTCAAGAAATTGGTTTTATTGGCGGGATCCAAAAGTTCCTTGACTGGAACTCCAAAACATATTGCTATCTCTGAAGATAACTTCCAAAACTACTTATAATTCAGGAACCCAGTTCCCTTGGGATCATATTATGCCCAATAGTTCAGCACATCATGTAATTGATATTTAGATATTGCACTCTATTCTGATTTCACATGTTCTTCATATGCACCAAGTATCGAAGCTATAAATAAATTGAGTATGACTAAAGAAAAAAGTAGATGGAAACTAATATAGTAAGCATATGCCCAATATGTTCCGCATCCATTGAAACCATGTTCTTAGTAATCATAATAGTCCTTAATGTAGATACATGCGAAGTCTGGTGTTCTTCTGTGAACCGAATCAACCAGCAAGGCCCACCATTATTCTGAACTTGCTACTCTAATTAATGAAAACATTGCTGTCGTAAATTTTCTAAGATGAAGATCAAACCCTTCTATATAATTCTAAGGTCTCAAATAACCTAATAGATCCATCCCCAAAGAGGCATAGATAAAAAGAAACAAAGCCATAATGAATATCATAGATAGAGCAGAAGGTATGACTGAAAATATTGTATTAAATAGTTTCTCTAACTCTGGAAAACGCCTAAAAATATATAGACAAGTACCTAATTATATAGTAGTTTCTTAATAATTGAAATGCTACTGATATTGCTGTGCAAGATCTCAGAACATAAAAATTGTCAGACAGTTCCTGGAGGATGAATAAATCAAAAAGATTAAAAATGATTCCAAAAAAATCTATGATTAAAAAGACATCTCTTTTTTACCACTATTTTACAATGAATCTGACAGTAATTTCAACTGCAGATATCAAAATGCAATATTAATTAATTTCTATTAAGATATTTCGAAATATCTTATTTTGTCTTGTATAAAATAATGATAGAATGATTGTATTTAAGGCTATGATTGTATGCCAAAAGTATTTCAGTTTCTTACTCTCTGCAATAAAATAAAATAACTTTATCACCTTGTTCTTTGGTAACTCATAATTAACCCTAGGAGTAAGGTAATGTATACTGTGTTTAATCTGAAGCCACTCTCTTTGGTTGCCATTTAATTCTGACATACCTTAAGCCTTTATTTTAGTTTCCTAATATGTATTTACAACCAAACTGATAAACATATTGAGCATACAGATATTCCCGATAAAAAAAAACACTTAAAAATATACAGCCCACCATCTATTATGATTGTTTATTGGAGCAAGGTCTTTTCCCCTTGAACTCCATGTATCTATTAGGATTGGAAGCCAAGCCTCTGTAGTTGCGGTAACAAACAAAGTTAAAGCACTATCAAATACATTATCAAATCCCAGTATTTTATTTACCCATGAACCACCATTATCCATACAATCCCATTTATCCTTTACTTTGTATTGCAATTCACTCGATATTGAACAATAATATAGGCCACCTTTCAATAACTTTGTTGCAAATATTCCATATACAAGGAGAATTACAAAACAAAATATACTTAATTGAATCATGGTTAAAAATGCTTTCATTAAAGCTTAAGAAACATAATTGATATTCGAATTTAATTCTGCCCCTATTCTTATGAATTCCAAAATTCTCAAACTTGAAAAAAGGTTAAAGATTAATTGATTGTAATTGAAGATAGCCACAATGTCTATTGTTGTAATTATAAAATTGAGTGCATTGTAAGGTGACTTTTGTAAATATGAATCCTCTCCAATGAATAAGCCATCAGAAACAATGTTTAAAAAGATTTGAATGCAAAATAAAATGGTATTGACAGAATGTATTGTTTTTAGGACTGCAAACAAATCAGATTCAGGATTTAAAAAAGGAGTGAGCAGCATAGTTCTAATAACACATATCAAGACCAAAATAATTAAGAACACTCTAAAGGGTAAATTCTCAATTAAGGACTTAACACGAAGTCTAATTGGGTTCTTTTCAGAAAATATAAACAATGTTTTATTCTGGAATTCTTATTGATTTACAACAACATCAGATTTAATTACTTATAATTTGCTTTCTTGTTATTAATTGTCTTGGCAAAGGTTCAAAAATTCATCAAGATTCTAAAAGGAAGCCTGTCCTTGTAATTAATTTATCATTGAATTTGTCTTTCTCTTTTGTCCAATTACTTTTAACTCTTTTAAATAAATAGACTCCTTCTTCTTCTCATTTCTTTTTTATTTCACTATATTTAACTACAATTTCGATACTGTGTTCTCAATCTATGTCTATTTAATAAAATCATACCTACATTTTCTTTGTAGAAAATAACTTTTTATAGTCTATTGGTTTCAAACTTGTCTAAACGCTTTCAATATGCTAGCTGAATTCATTTAAAAAGACAGCAGTTAGTAATCTAATAAAGAATATTTATCCAAAAATCACACTTATAATGTAAAACACGATTGATGCTTCAGTGTGTCTACCATATTTATACATTGTAATGTGCCACTCTTCATTATAAAATATATTGACTACTGCCATTATTGAAGATCCTAAATCATTATAATATATTGTCATGTTATTTTCTGACATTTGGTATTACAATAAATGTTTGCCAAAGATTGACATTAAAAATATTAGACAAATCCATAAGAAAAGTATTTTCTTAAGTGCAATTAAAGTACTGATTAAGGATCTGATCAATACAGCAATAGTATAAAACACTTTAGCAAAAAATAATGATTTAAATATTCTCAAGATTTTAAGTGATTTTATAAAGGCGATCTCTCTATCATCATTATATATTAGCGGTTAATTAAAGGTGACTAAATAGAAGATTAAAAACCATTGGGATAAGATTATCAAAAAATCGAAAACATTAATTCTCTTTGAAAAAAAATCTTAAATTCCTTTTCCACAAAATTAAATCGTAATCTCTAAAAATGTATAAAGAATGCAAATAAAATCAATCAACTATAACTTCTCATTCAAGATTTATGGAATACCATCATAATCAAAGGCAATACCAAAAGCAGAAAGAAAGATAAACAAAGTATTAATCACTAAAATTTTTGGAGAGTTTAATAGTTTATTAATAAACAATTCCTATTCAGCATCCTTAATATTTACGTTTTATTCTTCCCTAAAATAGATGTTAAAATTAGAAGTTTAATTTCCTTTTTCTTTTTGCTTACTAATAACACTTAGACGATTTATCAACTATTATTGATTTTTTTTCTTTATCTCTTCCTCAATCTATTATTACTCTTACTTTAACTTCTTTTAAGTATTTTTAATTGAAGATTTCTCCATAAAGGATTCATAAAACAAAGCCAAAAGCAAATTGGACATAATAAAAGCCATCAATAGAATCATAATCAAAAAATAAGTTGCAGTTACATATGTTGTCATAGCTTTCCAAAACTAAAATTTCATAAATGTTTACCATAAACGTTGTCCCAGACCAACCAGTCACATTTAAAAATGTAAAGACAACTAATAAGGAATTAAAAAAATTATCAAATCTTGTAAAATTCCAAGTAAAGGCTTCTATATCATTTTCGGTTTCATTTCTAGGCAAATCATAATCCAAAAGACTTCCACAATAAGTATTTTCTGGACATTCCCATATTCCACATAACTTTTATATATTTGGATCGGCTATCCACACATTATCTATAGGATATTGAGTCAATCGACATCTTCTTTCAGTTAAACCTATAAATAAGTGCAAACCAATGATTGAAAAATAGATCATAACCAAAAAAATGGGAATCAAGACCTGTTTTACTCTTAAAAAGCTGCCAACATAAGCATTAAATTAAATCTTTAAAATCGATACCTCCTCTATAAATCTAAAAATTCTCAAGAACCTTATTGCTTTTATTATTTATGAAATCTGCGAATCATCCAAAAACAAACACCAAGTAAAGAGAAATGCCATAAAATTCAAGAAATTCCAAATATTCTTCAGGTATGATTTCTTACTTAAAATAAACCCACTTGCTATTGATTTTAAAATGATATCTATTCCTATTATGATATTAACAATGATTTCTATTCCCTCGCTTATTATAGATTCCTCCATGCAAAATGGTACAATTCCAACGATTGCTACGATCAGAAATACTTACTGATATTTCCTTGATTATAGCATATATATATACTTTGATTTTATGGTAGCAATAACTTTAATCCGTAATGGACTATTGATATCAAAAATAAAGAAAGATCTACTTGATTGCTATTCGTCCTACAATATCAAAGTTCCTAGTTTTTCAGGATACTTTAAGCTTACTAAATCCGGGCGATTCAAAAGATTTTGCCAATCAAATATCTCTCCTTCTGATATTAAAATTTATTCCAATCTCATAGATTGAATAGAATAGATTGCTTCATCTACTTGGGATTATGGCAACTCCTTAAATTCAATACCCAACTTTTTTAAAGTGGAAGACATTATTTATTTTTAACATTAAAAATATAGATTTTGACATTCATCTAAATCCAAGTCGAACTCCAACATTATTTAATATTAATAATTGGATTCCGCCCTCAAGATCGAATAGCAACTAGAAGAGTGTAACAGGACATGTCTATCAAAAGTTCCCATTTTATTCTTAGAATCAAGTTCTGAGTTTTAGAGAATTCTTTTTTCTTTATTGGGTAACTTATGATTCTTTAATTTTTTCAACTTCTATCTTAAACATGTTCCCACCTCTTAAATATTAATTATTTACTTTGACTTTTTTATCCTTTTTAATATTACACTTTTCCACTACAATGACAATTTTATATAACAGATTTGGTTCCTTTTACTTTGCATCCATATCAACATCTAAAACATGATTTGAAGCTTTACTATTTGCTAGTTTGTATTCATTTTTCTTCAATTTCCTATTCTCATGTTAGTTTAATTTGAGATAACTAATTTATGAAAATAAAAATTTAGTTAATAAACCTAATTTATCGAATTAATCAGCTCTCCTTATTTAAGCATTAAAGTAATAACTATTCAACTCAATAAATTTAATTAAATCCTTAATGGCTTCTGATTTATTTTTTATTTAACTAAATTGAATTTCATCTTATACCTGATCTACTATTCGGATAGATAATTGAAGCAATTTTTAATTGTATTGATCAATACACTATACTTTTGTATAAAGTTGAATAGCAGCTTATAATTTCAAGTCTCAAAGTAGTTGATTTAAACATTCTTTCAATTCTTAACTTTTTCTTGTACTTATCGATGATTCCAGAATTTCTTAATGTTTGGATCATCTTTCGTACCATCGATGTGTAGTTTCTTTGCTCCTTCACTTTTCCCATAATATATCTAAATTAGGGATTCCTTTCAGTTAACCATATAAGTGGTTGCTCCATGTGAATATCAAATTTGCATTAACCATTTACTTTCCCTAACATTTCCAAACCTTCAACATACCTATTTTCAGCAAGAAACATGGCTTTGTCAATGATCCGAATAAATTGACTTTAGAAAATTAAATCAAATATATATATAATTTTAAAATGAACTTGTTTAATAGAAATCAAATCTAATTAATAAATGCTTTCAGAATCAATTCATAGCTAATGTTATCCTAAACTCCTGGCTTCAAAAATCCTCCTGATATTTTTAATTCAATTTTTGTTTCTTTCCATTGTCCTATCTTCTTTAGAGCTTCAATAGAGGCAATAAATTAATCTGGCTGAGGAGGTTTGAAAGTAAATGTTATTACAACCTCATTTCCTGGTTATATGGCACCTTTTTAATTATCACACACAAAGTATTTTTCATCTTTCTAGTAAAAATCATAGGAAATTAAATATTACAGATAGTATTACTTCATAATTAACAGGTTTCTCCATTTTTGGATCTAGAAGTTTGCAACTACCAATCACTATTTTTCTAGAGTTATCTTCTTCTTTCAATTTCTCAAATTCAAGCATAATCTTATTGTTTAAGTAGGTGTAGACCTTTTCCTCATCCTTTAATTTCAATTAATCAAAGGGAAATTCAATTTTCTTGTTAATTTCATTGATTTAAGGAATCAAATTGTAAGGCTAATAAATATTTACATAAGCTTAACGATTATAGCAATATCCCCAAATGAACACTCTCTTCTCAGATTTCTGATTAGGTACATGAACAGATATTAGATCATAAAATTTATCAGACACTCGATCAGGTTTAAAAATCACCTTACAAGTAATTTCTTATTAAGCATTGACAATTGCCTCTTAAGGTATAAATTAAAAGACTTCAGTTCCACAAGAATTTTGAACTCCCCTAGCCTTGCTTATTAATTAAAATTTGATTGGGAAATTTGAAACATTCGTTATTTTAAATGTTCTTTCAGCATACTCTCCCAATACTACTCCTCCAACAGATATTAATCCATTTTCTGGTACCACCTTTACTTCTGGTCTCACACCTATTCCTTTTAATTTCGCTGAAACTGCTGCGTGATCACAATATAATTTTAAAGTCTCCTCGAATGGTTGATCTTCTGTGGGTTAAAATTACACAATTAAAGATTTCTTATTACTAGGTTCTATTGTTCTGAGAGCATTTAAAATTGTAAATCCACAAGAGATTGGCAACATCTGCATTTTCAATTCAGCCTTGAATGGAGTTTGATTGAAAACAGTAAGCTCTTTTGTTTGTCTAATTCCCACTGCCACTTCACCAAAATCTATTATGGTTTTACTCAAAAGCAAACTCTTTTGAATGGTGACAGTAGAAATTTATAAGTATATTACTTATTTTGCATTATCTGGCATATCAGTGTATTTGAAATAACATGGAATCAACCAAGAATAATGTTATGAATAATCTTATAGAATATGATGATACAATACTTAAATCTTCAGGTTTGTTGAATTCAACAAGAGTTCCTCCAAGATTTCTTAATTCTTTAGCACTATCAAACTATTTTTCAAATTCTTCTCTTTTAATTCTTTCCTCTTCTTGTTTTAATTTTTCTAATTCTGCTTGTCTTCTTTCATCTTCTTCAAGTTATTACTATTAAGCTTTTGTTAATTTCTCTGGTTTTTTTTAATCCTTTTTAACTTCCTTTTTGGCAGCCTTACCTTTAGCAGCCATTTCCTCTTCTTTTTTCAATTCCTCTTATTCTCTTTTCTTTCTTTCCTCTTCTTCATATCTAATTTTTAATCTCAATTCAAAATTGTTATTTGGATCATTTTCATATTTTTCTTTCAATTCTTAGAGAGTATAAGCTCCTAATTTTTTAAAGAAAGAGTCATATTCCAAATGTACTTATATTAATTAATCCCTTTAAATTTATTGAACCATCGGAGCCATTCTAAGACCGCATAATTCATAGAATGGTAAAAAGAATTCAATGATAATGTCTCTTTAAGATATATTTTTGATATCAATGGTGGTTGAATACTTTTCATCAATTTATTAGACTGGAATATCAAATTTAATTCCTGAAAATTCTAGAGGACATTTAGAGATTTCACAAGTGTAAGGTATTCTGATTTCTTTTGTTGATATAGTACCTGAAACTATTTTGCATTTTAAAATTCCTTCATCTTATCTATCACTAATTCCAATTACCTTCTAAGTTCTATATATTATATCTGTTGTAAATTTTTATTTAGGAAGTAAACGCAATGGCACCAAATCAGTTGTAATTGAAATCTCTTTCGGTAAAGGGTAGATGGCCAATTCTTAGGGTAAATCGCTTAAATTCTCAAATGTGATGGCTCTTTTTGCCCCTTATCCATCAAACAGTTTTCCAAAATCTAGTCTTGCAGGTGTAATCTGAAGAGTAGCCATAGTCATCTACGCAACAATATTAAAGGGAACAGGCATTTTCTAATCAGCTCCTATCAATTTAAAGGGAACATCTATAACATTATCCTTGAAAAACCTTTGACATATTGTTTGTAATTGTCTTTCTGCATTAAACTTGACCCAAATCTCAAATTTAGAATTTCCTTATATGTATCCCAATTTTGGATTAAACTCGAAGAAATCTTTAGTCTCTTTGGGAGTTTAAATTTAAATTTTCATGGCATTCTAACTTCTATTAAAGAACACAATCTTCTCTCTGTAAATATGGTTGAATAAACAAATTTGGAAATTATAAATTTGTTTTTCTACATAGATGGGTACTTCAGTGCAATAGCCTCTAATTTCAATTTGACAAGGGGGAGAATGCAAGAAGTTTTCGTAATACAGTGTGAGAGGCAATGAAAATGGACCAACTTCTGCTGGAATATATTGAATTGGTATTTTAAGCATGGAATATCCTTATAGGACATGTTGTCTTTAGAATTTAAGCTATTTCAAGTAGGGTAGAATGCCTTCTTCATCAAAGGGTCGATCTCTATTTGATTTTTAAGAGACTGATTCAGTAGCTATTGTTTACAAATCCATGCCTTTTGCACTTCTAATGAAAACATCTGTATCAAGAGCACCTAAATTTTGAATTTTGAGAATGAGAGTTGAATCCTCTCCTAAGATAACTTTGCCAAAATCAATAACAGGTTATTCTACTTTTGCAATTGCTTTTTTGCTTGTGCACAGAATATGAATTTAGAAGGGTCCAGTCTCAGCTTAGCATTACAATTAGACATCGATATCATCATTTAATTATGGAGTAAATCTAACTGTTATCGGACATGACATGCCTGCCGAAACTCTGCCTGGAGGAGTGTATATCAGTTCAAAGAAATCCTTAAGTCAAAATTATAGGTTACCCTAACAGCTTCTGGAAGTGGGAGTATTTTGAATGAATTGAAAGTGTAAGAAACATTGGTAAGTTACATTATTATGGTGTGTGGCTTGCCTACATCAAAATCCTATAATAAGTATCTACATCATACTTTGAAAATTATCTCAGCAGGTTTAGAAATGAAAGCCACTCCCTCAAATTTCCTACCTTGTACTATTTAATCTTTGTAAATGTTTTCTTTGTGACGCTGACGAGCCTTGTCAAAATATTCCTTCTCAAGAGGAGTTAGCTCCTTTAGCTTTATTATTCTTTATCCGAATTCGTCTTGTCTTGGTGACTCTTCCTCTTAATCTGACATAATAAATTAATGTTATTAAGAAAATCAATAAATTACTTTTCTATTTTCACAAACAAATTACCTAAGACATATTATGAGGTCTTAGAAGTTACTCCTAAGGCAACAACTAAGGAAATCAAATTGCAATATATTAAATTGGTGAAGTAGTACCATCCTGATAATGGTGAATCTGGATCAGAAGAGAAATTCAAAGAAATCTCTAAAGCCTATCAAGCACTTAAGGATCCAATTAAAAGATAACTCTATGATTCTGATGCATTAAATTTTGAATAATCTGGAGAAGCACATTCAGCAAATGATATGAATCCTGATTCCTATTTTTATAGCACAAATAAAAGGGAGTACTATTAAAATAAATGGTACAATTTTAGAAAGCCATCTTATGAAACACTACATTAAGAATAAACATACTAATTTGTTGATGAACTCACATCTAAAGCGATTATTGGCAGAGTACTTATAGTTTTAGGTGTCTATGCCATTTGGGATTTATATAGATTATATTCTAGAAGATAACATAAGAAGTTTTTAGAAACTCAAAAAGAAATACTTGATTCAAGTTTCATTCAGGCACCGTTGGAATAATATATTGATACTAGATAAACCGAGATGTAATTAGACTTAGATTGATAATATGACATAGATTGTTTAAGTATAATCAAAATATTTGTAAAAATGATAAAAATTACATATAAAGATACATATCATTCGTTGATTTCTTCGATTTAGTTTGATTGTTATTCTAGATCTTTAGGGTATTATTTTGCAAATTCAATTTAACTCTCATTAACAGTTTCTAAATTATTCTTCATACGACTCAAATAAGTAGAATCTGAATTGTTAACTCGCATAGTGTTAATCTCCAACCAAGGGTATTCTTTGATGAGTTTCTTTCTAGTAAATTCAGATCTGCAAAATGGACAATTTTTCTATCTCAATAGCCATTCCTCAAGACACATGGAATGGAAAATATGAAAACAAGGAGTTACAGAACAAATCTTTTGTAGTTTCGTAGTAGCCTTCTTCATTTATTCTAAACACACAGCACATTCTTCAAATTAAGATAAGCCTGGATATACTTTAGTGATTTTTTCATAGTTATGTCCTTTAAAGTGATCTTTAATAAACCTTAACGAGAAACCTCATAAGTTGCTTAAGTTGTACCTTTGTTATTGGCTTGGATGATTTAGCGATCTGGACTTTAGGCTTGCATTTGTTCCATATTTTGAACTTGGTCTAGATTTCTTCTAATGACCTCTTGTATTTGTTATTGGAATTATCGTTGTTACCGAGATTTGAGAGCTGATAGCCCGAAAGCAAATAAGAGCAATGATCCTACCACACATCCAGTCACAACAATGATAATTTTATTTCTTTCAAAAGTGCTTTCTTACTCCTCTTCATCTGTGATGATCTTGAATTGTAGGTTCACAGATTTAGATTGATTATTGTAGATTCCTATATAAATTACATCGACATAGGTATTATTCAATTTGCTTCTTAATTCTTATTGAATATTATTGAGTGCCAATAATTTCTAGCTGTTCTTCATAGTTGGGATACTCAATTACGGATTTACCTTTAATACAAAGCTATAATCTATATATGATAATACACAATTAAATACATAATTCGTCCTCTTCGTTTTATAAAAATAGATTTATGTCCTTAGAACTAAATTTGTACTGAAAATACTTCCAATCGTGCGAATCTAAGGTAAATGAGGAAAAAACGTTGCTCTGTATCTATGTGGATTGGAATTAGCAATATTATCCGAAAGCACCATCCAAACAGTGACATTATTCAGCTACACAGACAGAATCCATGACGTCAGGATAGTTGTATCCATTACAATCATTTATGCAACCTTGCACATGTTGGTTTTCCGAATAATAGATCTCTAGACTGATATGCTAGTATTGAGTTTAGTTTAATTGTAAACATTTTATATAGATTAATGCGACGTAATCTAATTGGACAAGCTGATTCTCATTATTTGCTAAGTAACTTTGATAGTCATAAATTTCAGCTCCCTTTGGGTTGTAAGATAAATCAAGATCACTTAGTTTGGTTGATTCCAAATCGCTTGGAGAAACTAAACAAAGTACATCGTCTTCTCTTTTGTCGAATTTGATTATTAAACTGTTCACTTTTTAGGTATAGTTTAGTTAAATCATCTATTGGGTATCTGGTTAGGCTGTTCCATAGTAATTGGGTAAACTTTACACAAGCCATAAGAATATGGTATAAATAATCATTTATAAATTAATGTGTACAAAAAAAATAGGGGTTTACTAAATGGATTTGACCATCAAATTGGGACGAGGAGCCTATGGAGATGTGTATCCTGGCCAAGACAAAAATGGTCTTTTTATTGCTATCAAATAAATAGCATTGCCCAACAAGGATGAGAAGGAAGTGGAGAAGGCTTTAAACATGGCCAAGAATGAGATTTCAGTAATGCGAACCATCCAGGATGTGAATGTAGTCAAATTTGTAGATATGGTGAGAACGTAAAACAACTTGTATCTGATGATGGAATACTGCAATGGAGGGAGTTTAGACAAATATATTTGCAAGAAATGTTCAAAGGATGAAAGATATTTGGCGGAAAAGGAAGCCAAAATAATCATGAAATAAATAGTTTCAGGCTACAATGCTCTCTATTAGCGTAACATTGTACATAGAGATCTTAAATCTGCCAATATATTAATACATGATGGTGTTGTTAAGATAGCGGATTTTGGATTTAGCAAATTCCTAGAAAAAACAGATGAATAGTTATTGTACACTTATGCTGGCAGTCCTTTGTATATGGCACCTTAGATTTTATAATAAAAATAATACACCAATAAGGCTGATGTTTGGTCTATGGGAATTATATTTTATGAAATACTTTTTGGCAAACTACCTTGGCATGCTATCACAATTCCAGATTTGATTAATAAAATTAAAAATGAAGAACTGCACATACCTCAATTTCCAGTTGTTTCAGATTTGATGAAGGAACTCATTAAGAAGATGTTATAGAAAGAAGAAGCAGACAGGATTTGTTGGAAGGATGTCTAAAATCATGCTTATTTTAATGAACAAATGGAGTTCGAATATTTAACCAATCTAAGAAATTCCTATAATGAGATTGAAGAAGAAACTGATGAGCTAAAAAAATCAAATGCCAAAAAGAACATTTATTTTCAATAGTAAAATGTTGTCTAACATGTCTATCATGCTGAACAAATATAAGACTAAATTTAGAATGCATGTCCTGGCATTCTAGAAGCTAAGTAAGAAATCAAATTAGAAAATCATAAGAAGAATAGAAACTTAGATTAAATGTACAAAAAATAAAAAGAAAAAGTATCAATTCAATCATAGATGCAATTAATTTCAGATTGGGTTGTGCATCGAAAGAATAAATCAGCATTTGTCAGTTTAATTAATTCTTAGCTATATGATTAATTTTAATAAAGTAACTCTTTAGACTAATATAATTAGATTTAAAAACTGTTTTAAATGAATAATTATTCTGGGGATTCTTGTTTCTATTAACAAAGTATCAAAATAGCATTCTTTTCAAAATGAAATGCAGACTATGCAGTGGTAGATTAGATTCTAACAATTAAAGATGTTCTGCTGAAGATTGGAAGAAGTTTTGTAAATCTAAAGAAGGACAGACTTCCCTAAAAGTGATTGAACATGATTTTCAAGTTATTAATCAATTTTGGGATTCCATTATACCTGAAACTCTTAAATCATTGCAAGGCACTCAAGATTAACTTCTATTAAGCATCCTTAAAGTCTGTAATAAGAATCAAATTGAAAAATAATCCTTTGATTGCATTTTCAAGAATGCAGCCAAAGCAGTTCTAGAAGCAGTTAAACTAAGAATAATTTAATAAAAAAATAATATTTCCTTGTAACTTTTAAGATTTGGATAACATTTATAAAACAGTTTAGACATGAATTAATTATTTAAATTCAAAGGGCCAAAACAAATCGATTTTTTCAAGTATTATGAACAAGTTGAAAATTTTACTACGTAATAAATTCTTCAGAAATTGAATATATAATTATGAAATCAAACTTTGGATATTAATCCAAAATAATATTTAAATGATCTGAGATATTCTTTAAAATTATTGTGAATCTATACTAGAGTCTTATTTACTCTTCAATTTCTGACTCATTAATAGAGAATATGCAAAAATTGTATTTTTTATCCAATTTATCTAAGTCTATGAGTATAATTTCCAATTAGACATAGAGATATTTAATTAAACAAAAGTATTTATTTCTTTAAAATAACTTCTCCTATTATAAAAATCAATACTTTTCCAAAGGGAACAATTATTGTAATTTTCCTATATTTTTTAAACCAATTAATTATGATAAATTCTTTAAATTTTTCCTGAAGAATAGATATCTTTTCTTTACAAGAATTTTATAGAATCATTTTTTAACTATTAAGGTCATATGAAATAGTTAATAATCAACAATGATAAATAAATTTCAATTTTTTTTCTCCTTTATGGATTCTTTCGATTATAACCCACCCAATAAGATCAGTAAATTAAACTTTTATAATAAATCGATTTTTTGTATTATTTGAATTGTTTTTCCCCCTAACTAAGATAAGAAGATCTTAATATAAAGTAATTTCGATAGCTAATTTTCTAGCGCAATTACTCAAATTTTAATAAATGATTTAATTAAATTATAAATATATTACAATTCCACTCAAAATCTTAAGAGTCAATTCATAAATAGAATGTCATTTTACCTTCTCATTTATTACTAATTTACATTTATAAGATTATTATAATTTGAACTTTCTTATATTAGAATTTACGCTTAGGTTTGTTAAATTTAGATTCGCAGCAATAAAATTTAATTAAATTGAATTGTCTCCTTTTTATATAAACATCTAAAATTAATCAATAATGGTATTTAAAACAAAGCATTTTTTATTTGAGCTAGATATCCTGAAGTTCATTTAATGTAATCGAATTTATAGGCTTTTTCATAATAAAATTAGTTCAGCTATTCAGAATTCGAACAATAAAATCTTCTCAAATTTTAATAAAAATAATTATCAATCAAACATTTCCACTAGATTATACTAATCTTAAGATTTTTGGCTAATAAATAATTCAGGACTATCAAGTAGTCTAGTTTCAAATATTTGATTTAAAAAGAAATTTATGAGGATTAACACAAATATAGGAGTGTCAATAGTTATGATATGCTAAGAAAAAGGATATTGGTATTGTTTGGGTCTTAATTGAGGAATCATGTAAAGTAAATAAATTGATATTAGATATATATTCAATTATTTTCTTTGGTTGTGGCTTCAGTGGGCATTTGGAGGAATAAATATGTAGCATTCATGAGTATTTAATATTTATTTATAAATAAGTTATTGCTCTATATTAATTTTAGAATACCCGTTTTTGAAAATTAGATGAATTGAAAGTATTTGTTATTTAACATAGTTAGAGGGTGGGCTGATTAATATTATTTATTTTAGAGATGAAAGCTACGATTGCAATCCTTTTATTGGTGAGCATAGCCTCAGCAACTTCAACTCATGATTAAATTATGGCATTACTTCAAACAGGAACAAAAGCTATGGATGCCATTGACACAGTCTTTGGTTTGTTGAATGACCTGATTCAATCAAATAAGGATGCTCAATTTGCTGCTGATTAAAAGAATGAAACAGATGAATGGATTGGTGCATAGTAATATCATGATCTAATTCTAGAACTATTGAACAATTCACTAAGATCAAGACCTTGAACTAAAAGCTATTCTAATAATCAATTGAAAATAGAGTGCAATTTGAATAAGAACTTTCAGACACAAAGAATTATTTGGCATGGAATGAATAAAGATAAGATGAAATTGCAAGAAAAATTTAAGTCTTATTAGATGAATAATGTTTGAGCAACTAACTTTTCGTCAGATCAATCAAATAAAACAGAGAAGCACTCGAAGTAGTCAGAGTCCTTAAGCAAGACGTTGCAGGGTATATCATAAATGGAGATTCATTCGAACTCGTCTAAGAGAAAGCTACTAGTGTCGCTGAAAAATTAAAGGCTTACAGCACTCTTTTCAATGAAAACGAAGTCAAATCTTTCCTCAGTTTAGCTTCTAAATAAGAAGATGGATCTGTATTAATCCTAATTTTATTCCTTAGGTTAGTAGAGGTGCCACTTTAGCTGAAAGAGTCTTGGCAGTTTTGGAATCACTTGAAGCCAATCTCTAAGCTTCTCTTGAGGCTTTGGAAGTCAATGAAATCAATGCTTCATGGGAATTAGCTGGATGGGTCTCTTTGAGTGAAGCTGAAGTTGCTAATTTGAAAGTTGAATACGAGAGAAAATAAGTTTATGCTGACAGACTCGCCACTGTATTTCATCTTATATATTTTATTTAGTAAATCTAAGCTGCCTTAGCCTAATAAGCAAAATCAAAGATTATCCTCTAAGAATCCCAAGATGCTCTTGACTAAGCCCAATCTGATTTGGAAAACAAGAGAGCCGACTATGCTGAAGCCAAAGCCAAAAGAGATGAAGAAAATGCTATATTGGAGCAAGTCATCATCATTTTCAAGAAATAAGTTGCCTCTTGGTCTGGAAGATGATTAATATATGAAAAACTATAAAACAATCAAATTATGTGATAATATAAAAAATGAGATAAAATTCTGATTCATGCTTTAGTTTCTGTTCCAATAGGTGTAGTTCTTTGTGGATTAATGGATACCCAACACTTAAGAATATCTCCTTATCAATTAGTCTTCACAATGTTTCCTTAAGAAATAGCCAGCACAAGATTATAAAGTGTTAGAATGCCATAATATAAGAAAAATATTTGGTTGTAGATGATAGACATATTAATCTTGAAAATCTATAATTAAAAAGGTATAACATAAAGAATGTAGAAGGATAGATTCCAAACATTTAATACCTCAATATTTCTAATAATTTAGATTCTCTTGAAATATTTGGTCCAGAATTATAAATTGATTAGATCTATAATTATTTGAAATTATATACAATATAACAAAAATTTGAAGATAATTATTAAATTATCAAACTTTTAGGGAAAGGTTCATTTGCAAAAGTCTATAAAGTGAAAAAAATTCATATAAATTTATAATCATAAGATAAATAAGAATATACATATGCCTCAAAAATTTTTAATAAAATTAAGTTGAGATAAAATCAAGAAGAGAACGAAGTAAGCAATTAAATAATTTAATAGATGAGTTTATGGAAAGAGATTGAAATTATGAGATTGATGAAAAATAAACATATTATCAAATTGTTTGAAGTTTTTGAAGATGAAAAAAAAATATATCTTCTCTTAGATTTTCTCTAAGGTAGAGATTTACTAAATCACATATATAAAAATGATAATGTATATGATGAAACTCTTGTTCTGAAATTGATGCATAATGTTTTAAATGGCCTATCATATATACATAGTCACAATATTATTCATCGAGATATTAAACCAGAAAATTTGATACTTAAACAAAAAAATAATATTGAAGACATTATACTTGCTGATTTTGGTTTAGCTGATTTTTATAATCCGGATGGTGATTATTTATTCAAACGATGTGGATCCATAGGATATATAGCTCCTGAGATGTTGAATAATGAAAAATATGATTACAAGGTCGATGTCTATTCATTAGGAACGGTTTTCTTTCTTCTATTAACTGGGTAGCAGGCTTTTGAAGGATAATCTTCTTAAGAAATTTTTACAAGAAATCAGAAAGGAAAAATCGATTTTAAATTGCTAGATCAAACCAATATCAGTTAAGCAGCTAAGGATCTTTGCATGAAGATGTTAAAATAAAACCCAATAGAAAGAATTTCCATAGATGAAGCCTTAATTCATCCATGGTTACAAAGGAGGAAATAGAATTTATATGTTGAACCCTTTAAAATCATTAAGAAACCCACTATTGTCCGAGGACTTAAAGATATAGTAAGATGTAACACTCCTCTTTGGATAAATAAGAGTTTAAAAAGTATTACTGATTCTTCTGATAATTAAGATTATTTGAGTAAATTTATGTATTAATTTTAGCCTTTAATGTAAGAGATTAAACAATTCAAGATTTTGTAGATGAGGAACTTTTAAGATAAAAACGTGGATCCAACAATTACGATCTAGAAGATGACACAATAGAAGAGGACTAAATGCCCTCATATAATGTCAATAAACATTTTCCTCTAGTAAAACAAAATAGCTTTCCATGAAATAATTACAAATATTGTCTACTTGAGGTTGAATAATTTCTATATATAAAACATGACATATATTTCCATAAAAAATCATACTCTAAAATTGATATTATGATATATTATAAATAATAGTTTCAAGCTATCATTTATCAATTTTTTGATAATTATCTTGAATGATTTGATATTCTGGTTTATTTAGAGTTTAAGGGAGAATATTATTGAGCATTATTTTTTTTATTATATTTGGCAGTAGTAGGTTCCTTGGCACATTAGTTAAATAAATACCTTCATAAATGAATTTTCCAGAAGGGATGAGTCGAGCATAATTTTCTGAAGATTTTCCATTTAATTTTTTTAAGTGGGAACCATTAAACTTTTCTTGAATTAAACTGTGTTTAGCAATTTAGCTTTGGAAGTATAATGTTCTATCTCAATTAATTATTTTTTATCAATCTCAAACCATTTAATATCTCGAACTGATTAGGAATTTAATGCGAATTACTATCTCATGTCATAGAATATTTTCATTTTTTTATTAATTTCAAGCATAAAAACTACTAATTCGTAGAATTATAAGGCTATTATACAATATAAGATTTACACTCTCTAACTTAAAATTATGAATAGGATTCAACCATATCTGAGATTTCATTTCTCAAGAAACCATATTCCAATAGACAGTCCTTATACACTAGGTAAGCTACATCTCTGATAATAAAAGAATTCTGGGTTTTGCAATTAAATAGGAATTTTAAATTTGGGATAAAAGCAAGTTTATAATTAAGCATATTTATAATTTTGAAGAGCCAAACAAATTATAATTTCCTGTTAAATGTTTCATCTTCATAGGGGTATTGATGGAATTTACAAGAATTATAGATATCCGAATTTTGAGTTACCCTTTATATGTAATTGAAATAATTGTTGGTAAATTCAGATTCATTTTAATGAATTTGTTCATAAAATTATAATTACTATATAAATATAATAATTACATCCGATACATTAAGGTACATTGAATTTTAAAATTATGTAGCAATCATTTACTAATCTGACATAATCTAACATGTTTAATTTATATTTGTAGTAGCTGCTGTCTTGGTTTATATATTTTGTCTGATAGGTTTGATCTCTATTTAATTATATTATTTACTTGATTTTATTCGCAATAATAGACGACCTTGTCTATAACTTAATATTAATCACTGCTCAAGATGATATGCAAAGCGTAGCATTTTTTGAGTTGTTCATTAATTGTTTACGGTTGATAATTTAGAACTTATTCTAGTTTTCTCAAGTCTGCGATTAATAATTTTGCATCCCTCAATCTTACTTATGTAAATTGTGGATCAAGTATTGAGAATTCAGAAGCCTGATTCTTGGATTTCTATTGAAATTAGGATGTTGATGATTTAGAGAATATTGACTTTATAAAATTCATTTATTAATGAAAATTGTAAAATTCAAATATATAAACACAAGGTTCAATGAGTAAATCCGATAGCTGTTTGTCCAGCTCTTTTGGCAGCTCTGCAAATATCATCTGCCAAAATTGTAGCCCTTCCAGAATAATTAGCATAGATCATCGAATCACGAAGAATGTTAGAGATGTACAATTTCATATACAATTTAGAGAGTTCATAGACATCTGAACTAATTCTTTTGACTCCCCCTCTTCTGGCCAGTCTTCTAATATCTCCATTAGAAATTAATCTGGATTTATTTGTATGTTGAGGAAACTTTTTATAGTCTATGTTTCGTCCTTATCCTTTGAGTTTTTAATTGTTCTGCCTGTATTTCATGGTATTAGATTTGGGTGTCACTTTTGGTGGCATTTGTAATAATTTGAAATTATATTTTTTTTACTGTTGATAATAAATTCATAAATGTAATAATTTATATATATATACAAATAATGACAATCAATATTCAGACAAAATTATGAGTAAGTAATCTATTTTGCTTTAAACTATTTTCCTGATTGCTGCTGTGTCTCACTCTAATAGATGGTTTATAAAATTTAACAATAAAGCTATCCTATGGACTATTTTACTTAATTAACTAATGAGTATAATTATTTGCATATCTTTCCATTTTATCATTGATTTTTTTAAGAGGTTAAGTTTTGTTCCTCGACCTCTTGGTCAGATCTTTAATTTTCTCTTTCAATCCATTATCAGTTTACTCCGATTTTTCAATCTATTCAGTGGGATTCTTCTTCCTTTGCATAAGCAATTGAATCTTCTTGCTTGGTTATCTGATGACTAAGTCAACCTTTTCTGGAGTGTGACAATGTGCCTTTTCCTAAACTGAGTGAGTTTTCTATCTCACAAAATCGACTATATTGCTTGGAGTTTACTTGCCTTGCATAGAGATATTATGTAATTTGTTTTGGATTCCAGTATGTACATCTTGAAATTATGAATAGTCAATTCTATTTTTATTGTAAGGCAATGAATATCTCAACTGCCTTTGTTATTAGATCTTTTCTCTGCTATTTGAGCCTCCAGTTGAACTTTATAATTATCTATATTCCATGGGTTAGTAAATTTATTGTAATTACGATTGTAAAACTTAATTTTTTTTGATGTGTTATTAAGTTTATTGCAAGTTTTGAGCATTCTATTTTGCAATTGGTTATTAATTTGATGAATATTTTTTCATTAGTAACCAATAGGCAGCAGTATTTGAATTATGTTTGTTTTTTTAAACTTGATCGATAACGTTGTTGACGTCATACCCCAATTCTGATAATTTCTTTAAAACAACTTGATCCTTGCTTACAAGTCCTTGTTATGGTTAAATGACCATTTTCTTATAGAACGGATGTTGTTTGATTTCATTGAATCCAATTCTCAACTAGGGATCTTTGGTCAATAATTATTTTAAGAGATCTTAGGCTACAGGGGAAATGTTTTTTGGTTTCTCATAATCCTCATATTTAATCATTTCATAGAGTTTCTTCGTGTTCTCATGTTCAAAAGGCAAGTAACCACATAGCATTGCATACAAGATGATACCACAACTCCAAATGTCACTCTTTTGCCCTCCATACAGTTTACCATCTACTAAATTATAACCTTGTTACATAGCATTTCAGGTGCAGCATAACAGGGGGATCCACACGCAGTTTTTAATTGATCGTTATCTTTATAGATATTGCTCAATCCAAAATCGGCTACCTTCAAATTCCTCTATTCGTCCAATAGCAAATTCTCAGGTTTCAGATCTCTATGGACAATCTTTTGGGAGTGTAGATATTCCACTGCATTTATCAACTGAATAAAATATTTTGTGGCTGCTGGTTCGGATAACCTGATTAAGAGTTTAACTGTACTGATTCTTCTTCACTATATAATCGAACAATTCTCCTCCCTTTGCATATTCCATTACCAAATATAGATTTGTGTCTGATTCCAATATCTACTAATTTATTTCATATGTACCTCATATAGTTTGATGACATTCTGGTGCTCCACTTTGCGCAATATTGCAATTTCCCTCTAAACTCTTATGAAATCAGCATCGCTTTCAATTTTCCGCTTCTCCAAAATCTTTACAGCCACCTCAAAATCAAATTCAATTTTACATATTCGTCACAAATTGTATGATAACCTAATTTTACTTTACCAAAGGTTCCTTTTCCGAGAGTGCGATCTCTAAAATTATTATAATTATACCTAAAACATAGTTTTAAACTTATTTTGTTTATTCATTGTTAGACATATTTCTATATAATAATACAAATTTATTATTATAAATTAAAACCCATACTAATTACTTTACATTTTTCACCTCTTACTTCTAAATTAAATAAAACCATAACAATTCCTCATAATATCCCACTAAATTAATTGATCAAACCAATTTTTCTATTTGATTCAAATTTCGAACTGCCATTGAAATTTTAATTTTTCCATAACTCACATGATTCAATCATTTTAGAGTTATTGATATTCCAATTACCTTGGTTTTAATATTCTATCAAGGCAAAATATAAATTATATATCTACTAAACGATAATTAATTAACAAATAAATGTAAAATAAAATATTATTGATAAATGTATGGTAGCCAACTCAAAAGCTGATAAATAGCTCAATTTAGAAATCATCAATCAATGTATTTGCTGGGCTTCCCTAAAATCTTTCAAAATTAATTTACATCATCAATTGAATGAATAATCTGGAAAATATACACAATTGCATTTGTGATCGCAAAAAACTATTGAAATTACGATTATTTTCTTAACAGACTCTAAATTTGTGGGTTTAGCAATAATCTATAAAAAATTCACTATATTTTTGATGATTGGGTGATTCTTAAGACGAAGCCTTTTATACCTCAAATATATAAAAATTAATATGCTCTCTTCATGAATCATTAGGGAAATAAAGCTATGGCTCAGTTCACCTAGGTTCAGATGACAACCCATAAATTTTAATAAGAATCAGAAGCAGAAATTCAAAATGAGGTAGAAATATAATTTGAATATATATATCTAGAATATGTGCAAATACTGTAAATCACTTACGTGCCTTACGTCTCTTTCTCTTAAGTCTTCGCATTCTCTTCTTTCGCCACTTTTCTCTCATTATTTATTTATTTTTAATATTAATATATTAGAAGATTTAAATTAAGTTTTAAATTGCTTTCTTAAATTAAATCATCAAATATCACTTTATAGCCAATAAAGTGATCGTTTTGATAGAATATTTTATATTAGAAATATCTCAAAATACTAATAGACAGATTTCATTATAAAAATACAACGTCATCATCATTAAGTTTATTGCTGCTTTCCTCCAATTAACCACTATAATCTACATATTCAGGTGCAGAATCAGATAGGAAAATAAAGAAATCATCAGATGATTGTTTTATTTATTTCATCTAAATATTAATTAACTAAATTACATTTCTCCAAAATTGTAGTAATTCACTTTAATTTCGAATGTAAAATGATAGACCCATAGATGTATCTACATGTTTTTAGTTTAACAAGTGAATGTTTTTGCAGCTATAAGAAGTTCGGTTGAACATTTTATTTTCATTAATTTGATCCTTGTTTTCAGCTTCCTATACATAATGTGGATCCAAATAGAGGTAATGATCATTAATTTTTCCAAGTATATAGAATGCTCGTTTCGGTGTACCTCCAACAATACCTTAGAAATACGGTAGCTCCATTATTTCATCTAGAATTTTCAAATATTTTTAATTAGGTTCATCCAAACCAATTCTAGTTAAGACAAATATCGCTAAACTGTTTTTGCCAATGAGTTAAGTCTTTTCTAATTGTTCCTCCAGATCTTTGTCAGTTTCAAATTTGGCTTCAAACATTCTATTCATCAATTAATCAAGAAAGAGACAAGAATCATTAAATACTGACAATTTCAGATTTTCAGATGCTAAATTCAAAATAATTTATAAAATTAACCTCTAATAGGTATAGTATTATGCAATAGTTCAAGGAGAAATAGAATGTAATTAGGTCTATACCACTCTCCTGGATCCAGGTTGAATTCTTTTTTTGCTAAATAAGCAATTTTTTAAATGCTAAATGGACAAATAAAATTATGGGCTTTTTATTTATCCTTACTATTTTAGAATTCAATGAACTCCTTATTTTCTTATGAGTCATTATCGGCAAAGGCCAATATAATGTTATCATAATCCTCATCTCTTTTATCTCCATGGTTTTTAAGATGTTTCTTTAGCATTTAAGCCATGGCCATTTATCCAACTCTAAGCATGCATCCCCATCCAGTATCTGAGATGTAGTTAGATTCTTAAATATAATTGCTGAATTTACAATATAAAGGCGGATAGTTTCTCCTATATGTAATCCAAATAGTCTCTTGAACTAACTGCTTAATTTTGTTAATGCGATCCTTCGATTAAAATAAAGTTTACTTCAATTTCAAACTAGTCAATATCAATTCGATGTCCTAATATGTATATTGGGTGATCTGAAGGAACGTTCTTGTTATTCAAATATACGCTTAGAATGTATTTCAAGTTATAACTACAGATACTTTAAATTTCCTTACATCCAATCTGTTATTACTTCTTTATAATTTTCTTATCTCTAATCCATTTATAAAATAAAATGTAAATTAATATTACGAATCGTAATTCATTCTCTAACTTATTATGACATATTTTCAAGCTTTAATACTAATCCTGTGGGATATTTACATAGATACGAGTTTTATTGATACTCAATATGTAGTTTAGAGAATACTTAATTTATAGTTAATATTTAATTAATTATGGCTAATTGGAGTTTAAAAAAGTATTTAGAATTGGCCAAGGGCTTCTAAGGACGTGCCAGAAATACTTCCAAAATAATGATGAACAGAGTATAAAAATCCTTGCAATATGCCTATGTGAGTAGAAGACTTAGACCAAGAATTCTAAGTAAGTCTATTATCATGAATAGGACGTGAGTGGATTTAGGCCATCAATGCTGGAGTGAGGGAACACAGAATAAGTTACAGTCAATTTATTTTCGGATTAAACCATTCTAACATATAATTAGATAGAAAAATTCTAGCTAATCTTGCCATCAATGAACCATTTTCCTTTAAAACTGTTGTGGATGAAGTCAAAATATAAAACAGCATGAAAGTAATAATACATTATGAATCAAAAGGAAAAACCTTATGATAATGTGTCACTTGACTAAGCATATGAAAAAGGCTTAATTGCTAACAATGTGACTCAAACTTGGTTTAAGAGAGGTATAAAGGAGGGACATAAATTGTATGGATTAAAATAAGAATTAACTCCAGAAGAACTCAAGAAAATAGAAAAAGGCGAATGAAATATTTCATTGCACATAAAATAAGATAAAAATATTATCAAAATCATGCATTCATTAATTTCAAGAAATCTTAGTGAGCCAAAATATCTTAATCATTTCTTAAAATGACCTAATTTAACATTGGTTGTCTTGGCTTTCAAAAATCAGCAGCTTTAATCTAAATAATTAACTTATTCATTTACATCCTAAGCCTATTTATTTTCCATATTAATAATCAGTTTTGAGTTGGCTTTATGATAATCATAATTATATTTTTTCATCTAATCAAGTAGAGTTAATTTTGGTTTCTTGTCTAATTCATCTTTTAACCAATAATGAGTAGTTAATGAAAATTTATCTGTTTTAGAAATAGATAAAATCGAGCATCGTCCATGAGAATATGCCTTCTCTCCTAAAGAACTTGATCCTAATAATATCATATTCTGGGCTTTAACAGTTTCAAATAAAGTGATCGCCCCACATGAGTCAGATATCAAAAAGGCTTCTTAATAAAGTTACAAGAATTCCATTTCTTTTGTGATTTTTTCCATCTCAAAATCCAATAAATATGTTGTGTCCTACATTTTAGTGTATCCATCTCCACCATGCCCATTCATAAACATCAATAGTTTTTGCTCTTTTGATAAAGTTAATCTTCTTGATTATGGAGTCTTAATTAAATGATATCACTTACATATCTATTATATTTATTACGCATAACATCTATCCAATATTTAATATTAACATCATTTCTCTTAAAGTCCAAATTTACATTCTTATGCAAATTTGGCTCTCTTTATCCATCATATGCACAAGCCACTCCAGGCACATTATTCTTCCTATTACAAGCTGTATCTTCAGGAATCATTAAAGAAATTTGATCATCATTTATTCTCCATTCTTTCAATTATTGATAGATCATTAGAGAATTAATAGCTTGTCTGTAATTGAACCAAAATTTTGAAGTTGACAAAATGATGTACTAGTTCTGAGGAATTGGTCTATAACATAGTATAGCTGTGAATAAAATGAAAATTATCATTAATTATAATAAGTATTAAATTCATTATATAAAATTAGTAAATTTTGTTAAATATATAGGTAGAATATTATTATAAATTTATGTAAATTTTTAAGAACAAATTTGATAATTTTATAATTGTATTTCAATTCACTTGATTTATCATTCTTGATTCTATAATCAATTAGTGATTTATTTCTATATTATAATTCAATTCCTTATATTTTCAAGGGTTTATGGTTACAGTAAGTTTTAAAGATTCTTCTAATATATATGGTAATATAATTTAGAAATTCTTCATTATCCATAGAAGCAATTTAAAATGTCTAATTATCATCATTTATATTATAAAAAAGTTCAATCAATGACAAGAAATCTTGATATAAAATATAAATTTAAGAATCTCTCTATTTAATTATAAAATTTGACTCAAAAATTCTTTTTATATTTATGTATCATAGCTTTTTTTTAAAAGTAGGAGTTTCTTAATTTTTATATTTCACAAATTTAGCTTCGAACTCTCATATAAAATCAATGATTTATCCTTAAAAGAATAAAAAGGATATACGTCTTTATACTGATAATTTTAAAATTTCTATTACATTACCTTCTTATTCCAGCGAATTTAACTTGTAATGTAATGATATTTATATTGATTAGCGTTAAGTTTGCTCTTAATTTGATCACTCATAATCGAAGTGAGTTCTTAAGACTTGATCTCATTCAGCTATTTACTATAATATCGAATTCTATCATAAGATTAGTAAAAGTTTGATGTTATTTTTAAATTGTATGTTTTGTTTTTATTCCATAATGAATTTAAAGTGATATCAAAAATGTTATGTCTGTTTTTAATTCGTTGTTGTTTTTAAGTGCTTTAAATTGCGATCTTTACTATTACTGTTAATTAATCCTCACAATGGCTTAAGAATAGTGGACAATAGTTGGGTCAATGTATGTGGAATATTAAACAAAAATTTGACAATCAACAACATACACTATTATGGAATTGAGGATAAAGTTTGCATTATTTTTGTGGAAGATTTTCATAGATAAATAAATTTAAAACTTATGAATCTCACTTATATAATTTAGAGATTTGATTTTAGTATTATATTAAAAGGGTATCTGGATTCTGTTTCTTTTTTAAGCTTGAAGTGGATAATGAAAAAATCAAAAATTATTAATTCTTGGCTTTGAATTTGATAATTATAAGAATTGATTCTGTTCAATTTAGATTTTTTGAGTATGGGAATATTTGTATGTTATATTATATATGCAATGCTTAATATGTAGTCTATATTGTTGTTTAGAATTACTAAATTTTATTAAACAAGATCGATGTAATTTATTGTAGCAGGAAATAATATTTTAATTGAAAAATGCAAAATTAGATTGATTAGGGATTACTCTAAGAACATGAATAAAATAATGGTATTGTTGGGCTTAACTGATTAGTTGAGGGTATGGAGAATGAGTACGTTGATAAACACAAATAACCGACTTAAATATTTGAGATGGGGAAGGAATACTTTAAACAGTGCCATCAGTTATTAGCTATTTACACGGCTCTTAAATTTATTGCTGCAATTACTTTAGTATATTCTGAAACAAAAATACTAGATTACTTTGAGAGAAACTATATATGGAGATGAAATACTACAAAAGAATTACCATGAAATCTTTAATGATGCATACTTAGTATTCTGGATGTACATTTCATGTATTGATGTAATCGAAAATTAGGTGCTCATAGTCTTTTTGCCTTCATCTATTATATTTAACTCTTGATGAAGATCGATAATGAAGTTAAATGCACACAAGTAGTGGAAGAAATCGGGCAGATGATTGTGATAGAAATCCCTGAAGGTTACACCAATTAAGAGAGGGAGGCCTTCATAAACGATTAAGTTCAGATCTAGAATCAAGAGATGATTTAAAGATTGGAGATCGACGGACAAATCGAGGAGTCAAGAAGAATCAGTCTCATCGCAACAGAAATTAAAGTTTGGCATCCTAATATATTAGAAAACCCTCTTATAAAATGAAAGGCCCTTGAATATTTTAGGAAAGGGATGCTTCGTCTTATTCCAATTCATTCAATTATGGGGACTCATATTCTATTTCCACAAGAAGAGTACCACAGAATCTAACGAGGATCTCAAATTTTATTCCTTGTACAAGGGATATTTGTTTTCTGTATAATTATGTGTAAATGATAGGTTGTATTTATGGGAATATATTAATATTTAGAAATCTACATCATAACTCTATTAGTTCTAATTTTCCTCCCAATTCTTCTTTTTTATAGTCTCTACGACTGGATAAAGAATTATTGTTAGAAAAGAAGAGAGAGAAGGAGAATAGACGATTCCCTCAAAGAAAGCATGTATAGTTTATAAGAAACGGCAGAAGGTAAAGATATATTTGAAAGGTAGGAGAAAACGAATGCGCAATTTGTATGAATTAGTATGAGGAGAAAGATAAAATAGCAATACTTCCATGTTCCAACAAGCATCGGTTCCATTCAACATGCGTTAGATCTTGGTTGGAAATTAATAGCAAATGTCCTTTATGCAGAAGTGATGTATTTACACTGCCAGATGAAATTTTCTGATTTATTTTAACAAATGTAATTCACACTTTTATAGTCATCCCGTTCAACAAGGGTTATTTACTCAGAGATAATTATTATGTTCAGTTATATATATCATTATTGATAAGAATTATTGTTATTTTAAATTAAGTTAGAGAATGATAAATCTGAATGAGGAATAGAAAATACAACAGAACAAACTAGTCAATATATTTGGGTAGCATGCAAAATAAGCAGTTATCATCTTCATTATGAATGCACTTTTAAGAGTTTAAGAAAACGATACCTTCTTTATGTCCATTACCTTGTATTTAACCATCATAATGTTTCTATTTAATTGTGTGGCAGCAGTATTCCTGTTGTGTTTTAAGAGAGAATTTCCAAAGATTGAATACTTCCTAATATACACTATGAATGTCTTCATGTTTATAATTCTCCTTGTGTATTCACTCAATTACTTTATCCAAAAAAAGGAATAAGACCATCTGCTTCAATTGTACTTAAAAACCTACATCATGATATTGTTGGGCAAGGTATCATTGTTAACCTATATGAAAGGAAATAGAAATACTGATAATCAAAATATTCCCAATTGAATTAACGAATAGATCAGTTAATTGTTTCACTTCATGTATAATCGCTATGATGATTTTATCTCATGGAGACAATTATGAATGCCAAAACAAATACTCAATGGTTCTTTTATCACTCCTCCTTTCAAATATTCTGACATCCATATTCAATATAGTTTTCACTCTCATTCTCTTTAATCAAAATAGATCTTAGAAGGAATTAAGAAACTTTGCTGAGTAATCCACTTTAATTTATGAATAGCTTGCTTTTGACAGTCCTATTCCTAGTACATCTTGCTTAATATGTACTGGTCTTTATTAAAACCAATGCCATAATTGAATAAGAATGCTAGTGTTTGAGTTTTATATTTCAATTCTAGAAATATGTTGCTCCAATTAATTTCATTTCATTCTTGTTTGTGATCTATTAGGAGGTGTATTATTTCAAAGAAGCAATCAAATATCAAGAATTGATTGAAAAGAACACACAACATAACAATATGTGTAATACTATTCAATTAATTAAATTAGACAGCGGAGGCATTTAGAATTAATAACCATTCAAATAAGGAGTTAGGCATTCCATTAAAAGTCTCAGTTCTGTTGTCAACCCAATGGAGGCTAGTCAGAGTAATTCCCAAGCTCCAAACTTTGGAACGTATGCTATTTAAGTTAATTAGAGTGATAACCAAGGATAAAAACTAGAGAAAATGGGAACTAGTCAATTTGGAGCTTCTTAACATAATTAAGGTATGTAACACTCTTGGGCTAATGTTTAAAACCCTAATCCCTTTGGTACAATTGTGAAAGAATAGCAAGACAGCATTGAAAATCAAAAAAGGGGAAGCAAATCTGTTGATGAAAGCTTAATTCGTTAAGAAGAGTCTCAGATTCCTGAAAATCTGTCTCAAGTCAATAATCCTATGGAATCTGGTAGTGTAGTTACTATTCATTGATATATAATTAAATTGAATATTTAAATCATTTCAGTCTATCAAAAAGCCTTGTTATTTTAGAATACCATAATATCATTAACTTGATTTGAGAATTGATTCGAAGAATAATTAAACTAGTATTTTTTTAAAAAAGAGGTATTTTAGAATGAAAATCTTTGGATTCCATCAAATAAAAAATGTTATCTACAATAAAAATTATGTATATTTGAATTTTATTCTCTGAATAATATATTTACGAGAATAAATTCAAATATATACAAAAATTTTACAAGTAAACAAATAATCTCATATTAAGTTTTATATAATTCATTATTATTAAAAGATTCTTTTAACTCTTCTAACATCTCCAAGAAATATGTCTTTAGGAAATTTAGCTTTTTGTTTCTCTATGTTCTCTCTATTATATTGAAGGCCAAAAGAAAACTACATGATTTCCTTTTCATTCAAATGTTCAGATTTAACCAAAGATCTTGGTACGTCTATCGTCTGTTGCTTTAATGGCGTAAAGTTTTGTCTCCTATACGGCTGAATTTTGTAATCTAGTGATTTCTATAAGTTCCTGATTATTAGCGAAGAATCTTCATTTTCAGAATTTAGGGCTTTCTATTCTAATTTTAGATTACTTGTTTAAACAATTTTTTTTATTCTGAGGAAGCACGATCCTTCAATCTTGGGAAATAGGCTGTGGATTAATCAACTTTTTGATTTGAATAATTGAATTCGAGATTTGATTGATCAATCTCGGTTTTAGCTCTTGATTTCGAAGCTGATCTGCCATTGATATTAGGTACATTAATCGATCTATAAATTTAATTAAACTATGTATCAATATCTTGACTATCTATAATATTTTGTAGAGTGGATATATAACTACCATGAAAAAGCAAAGAGCTTTTTTAATTGACATTTTTGTTTGAATACAATTTTAAGAGGGCCCCAAAATTAGATTCTTGGACTCTTCTTCTATTCTTATTACCTGTTAGCGTAGGACGATAATAATGATTATTATTCATAAATTTATAAAATAATGTTATCCTTACTAGAATAACAGAAATTTGATGGACCAACCTTTTGAGATACTATTTCAGATAACTACATTCATCTAATCCAATAAATCAAAGAAGGAAGAATAACATCTACATCTGACAATATTTATGCTGTAACAGATCCTAGAATGCATCTTCACTATTATATCAGAGAAGTATTTAACTGAATTTCAGAAATTGTCTCATTTTTTGAAAGCGATTAAATCTAATAAGAGGAGTGTATTGATTCTTAAGAATAATGGAGATTTATTTTAGCTTTTTTTTATGATTCTAATATTTTCAAAGAAAATTGAATATCGTATTGTAATATAATAAAACATTGTTATGATTGTATTACAATATGTCTGATATCTATTATAGTATTGCATTATTTGAATGTAGAATTAATATCTATTGATTAAAAATTTAGACATATAATCTTTTTAACCTCAAAAGAGAAGGGAGATAATTGAAAACTTGGAAAATTATTTATTTGAGCATATTTAAATAGAACAGAAAGCGAGAACTGAAACAATGACTGTTAGAAATTCAAATTAAGAATTATATATATTGTGCTTTCTTAATAATGACTCTAATTATTGAATAGATCAAATAATTTGATTATCAATTTTATTAATAATTAATATGTATAGTCAAAATCATAGTATATTCAACTCTCTGATGAAATAATTAGAACCATACTAATTTGATGAACCTACATTACCGCAATGGTAATTGTCTAGTATCAAATAGCCTATATTATCTCCTTATTTTGAAAATGCATCAGAAATTTAGAGTTCAAATTTTGAATTCGTGAAGGTATAAAATGGCCGTGCAAGTTTCAAAGTTACATTACCTGTAAAAACATCCTTAAAATTTGAACTTAGACCCAATCTCTAAGTGGTATGAGTTACTAATTAAGAGATCTTAGGGTTAGGGGAGGGAAAATTAATTTGTAAAACAGAACACAGCATTAACGAAATACCTTTAAAATAACCGTGCAATATAATGAAACCATTCGAATTAATTAATTAAGGAAACAAAGACTGTAAAATTGGAATACAAGTTAGTTGATTTTATTATTAAATATGATAATATATAATTTATAGATGTAAGAACTCATCAATGAACAAAGCTTAGGAGCAACTTGAATTCGATTAAGACTCTTAACTACTTAAAAGCTTATTAATGATAAAGAATTATTGAATTAAGATCAGAACCATCGCTTTAAATTCAAGCTAAACAAAAGAAGTTCAAGGAATGAGCTAAATAATTCAATTTCTATCAGGATTTCCTTCTTAATACTTAAACAATCTACCTTAAGACTTAATGCTTTTGTTTGTATTGATTTACTTTTTAGTATTGCAGCCAGGATAATGCTATATCAATTGATTATTTTTTTCTAAGAAACAAACAAATTTGCTTATAGTTAATTCTATTTTTTATGAATTATGACTCTATTTGTTTAATATTCTCTAACATCCAAATAAGAAAATACAAATAACCTAAATTAAAGTAGAAAATTTCAACTATGTGCAATAATAAATCGATTCTGGAAATAGTTAAAAATTATAACTGTATGAATTCATCAACTAAATAAGCATAGTAAGTATTCTCTTTCAATTCTATGATCAAAATATAAGGTTAAAATAATAGTTCATAAAAAAATAGTATAATAATGACCCTTAAAGAACAGCAAGTTAAATTGAATTCAGAAATTCAATTAGAAACTTAATAAACTTGATGGAATCAAAAATATTTGTTAATTGAAGGGGATCAATTAATATTTATTTATTTTATTGATATTTTTTGAGTAAATAAGGTTGTGAAAGTCAATTCAAATATTATTTAACAATAAGCATTGTAAATTAAATTTGATAATGATATTTTTCAATAAAACAAGAATTACAAGATAGTTAAAGCAAAAAGAAATCAGAAAAATTATATTCTTTGAAAGCGTAACCTCAATGATTTTATAAATATGAGTATGTAAAATCGTTACAAATATAAGGAAAGAACCACAAAACAAAGATTTAAGCAGATATAGATGCTTTATGGATGGATTAACAGGCTTATAGTAAAAATTCGGGAATTTAAAAATATTGAAATATCTAAACAAATATTTTAAATAATAAATTATCAATGGCTAAGTCAAAGAATGCTACCTCTCATCATAATGCCCGTAAACATCACAGAAACGGTATTAAAAAGCTTCCCAATCAAAGATATAGAACATTGAAAGGAGTAATTGTTAATTGTTATCAAAGTGCAACTAAAGATTCGCAAAAAATAGAAGATTTGCTATTAAGAATGATCCTTCCATCAAAAAGAACAAGAGTGTCGAAACTAGATTAGCCAAAAGAAAAGCAAATAAGAATATACATTGATCATGATGTACACATATAAATAACATACATTAAATGCTTCATATCAATATATATTATAGATGATTATTCATAAGTTGATCTTACTTTTGTGAATAACATCCTTTTTGATCTATTCACAATACCCATAGTGAAAACATAAGTGATCAATACCTTATTGCCATTTCTTACTTCTAGTTATCATCTTTAAGACAATATATCGATGTTACTTTAATATACAAGTTTCATTAGATTCACTTAAGGCTAATCATACACTGCGGTTTTATAATTGATAATTAAATATATGTATATGTATATTATTGCTCAACGATTGTTCACTGAATTGTATACTAAATTTAATCTTTCCATCAAAGAGAACTAAAAATTTCCAATCGTTGATAGCATTGAAACTACTTGTGTCAATGTTTAAGAATGCTAATTCAGTAGTGACATCATCTCTTAAGACCCATAATATTATTATTTGACTTCATGATTTATTGAATTTGGTTGATGCAAAGCCTAATTTAATTATTATTGAATTAAACTCAGTTCAGAAGTAACTGAGGCTTGCTTGTTGATTAAATAATCTATGTTTTAACTTTTCTAAGGGGTAAGAAGATTCTGATTGTTGGAGCATAATAGGTGCGATTATTGTGAATTGATACTTGTAAATCTTTGAGATTAAATATTGGAGTGAACTTCTGATATATCATTTTATTCCTAATTTTGACTGAGTCCTTATTCAACTATCTATTGAATACAGATTTTATCTTAGGTTTCATTAAGATTTTACTATTACAAATACTAATTTGCAATTATTGATGATTATATTTGTTCTACTGGTTAATTAGAACAATTAAAAGGTTCTATTATAGTGGTTTATTTTGATAATTCTTATTATGATTATTGCTATTGAGAAGATTTAGAAATGATGCCTAATTCTTTTTAAAGTTGTTTTTATTCATTTTCATAGTTTTATTCTTAATCATGTGGACTTTTTTATTTTTAATCAATATTATCTTTTTGATTCTTGTTTATAGGTATTTATTTAGATATCTAAGTAGCAATTTATTGACTGGAATTGGCAATATTATTTTTTTAATCAAAACTATTTTAATCTTTATTTGTTAATTTTTGATTTATATTAGTTACTTATTTCTATTAATTTGAATCCTTTCCTATTTATTTAGGTTATGTACCCTACTTCTTATGGTTATTATTACTTGAGCTTAGATTAAAATCATCATCTAATACAATAATGTGTTTGATTTTTTCTTTTTTTTAATGATGAGTTTGAGGTTATTTAAGCTAATTACTTGGTTAGGATGCATTACTTGATTTTGTAGTATTTGCCTAGTCTTTTCGAAGTTATTATTATGATTGTAAATTTGGTTATGTCGTAGATGCAGCCTATGAATTCTAGTTGGATTATGTAGAGGAATTATTCAATTTATTGTCATTTGATTAAGTGTTGCTTTAAATCTTCTATTAAGTTTACTTCTAAATTGAATCCTAATTTTAAATGCAAATTCTTAGAGGTTTTGATACTTGCTCAGTTTATTTAATTTATTGTAGGGTCCCAGTTCGTATTTTAGCTAGCTAGTCATTCTATTTATGATTTTGATTTTCTGGTTTCTCTTGTTAGGGTTAATTCAACTAAATATTATTTTATACTACTTCAGCTAAATTTTATTAAATTTAGTCGAATTATTTTAATAAGAAAAATTTGTTTTAGTATTTCTAATTTTAATTTTTACTACTGTTGTCAGATTACTTTTTATCTTAAGATTGATGATTAGAGATATTTGAAGTTTTAGAATTTAGTTTTTAGATTTTTTTGTTGGCTAAGTTTGACTTATTTGATTCTTTCTTTTTATGTTATTTTCCTTTATCCTTAGATTCTGAAGTCTTGTTCTTTTTTTTCTGCAATTCTGACGCGTGTTATTTGGAAATGCCTTCTTCCTTCACTTATAGATTTTGAAAACGTTATTATTTAACTTTTTTTTATGTAATTACCTCTATATCCTTCTCTTCTTCAGGTTGTATTTCAATCTGAACTTCAAGTCCTTCTCTTTCATCTAGCCACTGTTTAATAGTAAGTAATGGAATATTTCGTAAGTAGCTAACATATTTAATATCGACATCAGTAGGATTATCACCTAGCTATTCATATACTTATCTTTTCTGATCCTCCTCTAAATCTTGCTATAAAATCATTGCTATATTTTTGATTATATTTTGAACAAACTCTCAATTATTAACATGCAATTTGACTATTTTTTGTAAACCTTTTTATAATATATAAATATTTATTTGAAAGGTACTTTATTATTATTATCATTTAATTATTTGAAAAATTTATTTTCCAATATAGTATTACGTATATAAATGTACATTTAATTATATCTTTTGTTTTCAAAAGGAATACTGATAATTAACACTAGAAAATTACTAAATTAATTTTAAATCATGAACTTTCTGTCCATTTATGAAAGCACAATAATATAGAAATATATGGAATTAATTATTGAAAAATCAATAAATATATAAATATGACTTCTAAAGTTCACTCACAATTAAACGAATCTGACATCTAGAAAGTTAACTATCCTGATTTAGCTGAAGTCAGATACGATCAAAATAGTGACAAAATATTTGTTGGAATTCCAACTCAAAATCATTATATCCAAAATGGTATTCAAAAATTCATATTCAAGGAATCCCTATACCCAATGGATTTCTCATTACTCCCATTTATAACAATGAAATTCCCTGCACAAATGTCCCCTTTGATGCCTAGGGATCAGTAATCCCAATTTAAATGCAATGCAAATACTGCCGCAAGATTGGAACCACAATTATGCAACATCGAGCTGGTCCATAAACTTGGATCGTTTCATTTTTGCTTTTCATTTTCTTCCTCCCACTATTCTTTTTACCATTCCTACTCGAAAATTGCAAAGACAAAGTACATTACTGTCCTAATTGTGGATAATGTGTTGGGAAGAAGAAATACAAATTATGCAATAGTGATTGAAAATAGTTATATTCCATATTATTATACAAAAAATTTAAAAACTTAAGTGAACTCTAATCTAGTGAATCAAGTGATTATTACATATTATTAACTAATATTAAGACATTTAAGATTGCTTATATCATAAAACTGAGAAACTAATTATTAAATTAATTGATAATTTGATTTAAAATTTTTGATACTTTTATTAATTGATTTATCTAATCACCTAAGAAGATACTTTCATAAATTATTCATTCCTTTAGGTTGAATTATCGTTTATTTTTGTCTTGTCTCTTGGAATTGATATAGCTATTTTCTTTCTTTTAAATCGTTATCTATTTAATATTGATTGATTTTAAAGAAGTTATGAAAGTAGATCTTTGAAGATGACCACATTTAATAATGATATAAATATATAATGAATAAAATTAATAACAATAATATTTATATTAAAATAATGATGTAAAATTAATTATCCAAACAAGATGGAATTAATACAATTAGAATTGATTTCAATAGTTCTGTTTAGAGATAAGAGGAGGATTAAGAGTCAGATTAATCTAAGGAAGACATTAATAACTCATAATCTAAAGACTCAGAGAATGATAATTAATCAGAATTATTAATCAAGATGATCAAAAATACCTTATATATTTATGCATACTTCTGCATAAGTATTAGGATATTAAACCTGTTTAAGCCAAAATACAACTTCATTTGGAATATGTATGAGCATATAAAAAAATGATATCGAAATAACAAAACAGATATTTAGTCACATTAATCAGTTTTCAGGTTTATCATTTAATTCTTCAATTCCTTTAACATTAGTTCCACTATAATCATCACTTTCATCCATTACTACAATATGTTTATTTAATTGTTCTAACTTTGGTATCACTTCTTATAATTCATGTCTCCAAATAACCCTAAATAAATTAAGACTTTACTAATGAGAAAAGACTTCTTCTTCACCCTGCTATTGAAACACAAATGATAGACTAGAAACTTACTTTTTGTAAGATTTTGAAACTTTATCTTTTTCAATGTCAACATTGTAAACCGAATCCGAAGCTAATAGAATATCAAAAATATCAAGGCACTTTTCCTATTGTTTTTATTCAAAAATTTTCATTTTCTCGTTTATAATTTACAGAATATCATCTTTACTATCATCAGTTTATTATTTGATTTCAACAATCTCTTCTTTTTTTCTGATAGACTTAGGTTCATCTTATTTATTAATATCAATTTTCTGTATGCCTTTATTTACTTTAGGTAAATCATAAGTCTAAGTTAGTTATTAATTATGTGATTTATCTAAATCTTTATAAGATTTCAAAGGCGTATTGTTTACAACATCTTATTAAATTTAAGATTATTCAAAGTTTTATGAGGGTTTTCTTGAATTTGATAGTACATTATCTGTAAATTATTAATTTTAATTAACATTAACATCTCCTTTTTGTTTCTATTCAATTTATTTGTTTTCTTATTAAATTTATTTGTATTTTGGATTAGGTTTAATTGCTACAGGTTTTGTATTATCCCAGATGTCCACAGCATCTCTCTATTCAGGATTGTGTAATTGTTTATTTTATGATAGAGGATAATTGGATTCCTATTATGAGACAGATTAAGCCTATTAATTTGTTTCTTCTTAACAATTTTAACCGTCTTTTTCCTCATTGTCTTGATTTTCTAATTATTAAATTGCTGAATCTTCTTATTTGCCAGATTCCTGTTTTTATGTTTAGATATCTTCAAATTAAAAAGTTTCTTCATGAGACTTTTCGCTTAAGGTTTCTAAAACTTCCTCCTTTGGAACATCTAAATATGTTGGAACAACCTATCTTTTAACTCCATTATCTCCTGTTAGTTTTCTTGAGTGAACCTTTCCTTTATGTTTTTCATGAGTAACTTGTTTTTTATTACTATTTTGCACATAATGCTAATTTTGAGTTTCCTCATGTTATTAATGATTATCGGTTTCAATATTTTATTATTAGATTTAAACAGTCTGATGATTTTATTGATTATTTCGTATTTATTTCGTTTTATGAAATTATTGAGTAGAGGGGATATCTGGTAATTCTGATTAACTGGATTATTAAGATTAAGGATTGCTTGTTTCAGATACTGATTCATGTTATTTTTGTTGTTGTTATTATTATTACTTTTTTCTTGGTTTTGCTCTTCTCTGTGATGATTTTCTCTCTGGAACTTATTCTTTGCTGAAATCCATTTATTTAGGAGTCACTTCTTCTTTGAAATATACTGGCTCAGTTTTAACTATTTCATCAATTTATTGGAAATGTTCTTCCTGTTATTCTTCATTAATTTCAGTTTGCAATATTGGTGTTGAATGTCTTGATTGCTAGATTTCTTGTATTATTTAATCTGCTAAGAGTTCAAATTTATCATTTATGAATGGAATCTATGGTTCTTCTTTTTTCTAGTAGAACTCATTGTAGTCACTCATTTAAATTTCATAATTGTAAGGAATCTTTATTGTATATGCTTTTTATCTAATCCTATTGACAATATCTTCGTATTAATCAATCATAGTTTGCATTCTAATAAAATATATTTGCAGTACTTAAGGTCGTAGTTGTATCTATCATCTTTAAGAAAATTCTCCATTTATTTAAGCAGTCGTTATTGAATTAGTTCACTAGTTATAATTTATCTCGAGACAACTTTATTATTACTGATGACAAGTATTTCTGTTGCTTTCATAGATTTGTCTAACATAATTGGGATTCCTTACACTCAGTACGAATAGTGAACTTATTAGAACATAGAGATTTATTAAGTTATTCTTCATTATTAGTAGATTGGAATGACTCCAATTCATATAATGATGAAGGTATTTTACTACTCAAATTAGTTTTGTAAATGTTTTTTTATAGGAATGCATCAACTTTCTTTTTGAAATCAGCAACCATCATTTTGGTCTACATTTGGTTGTATTTTGTGTGATTAGGTTCATTATAGCTACTATAGGTCATAGAATGCACATACTCTTAAGGTTTGCTCAATTCCTTAAACTCGTTAACATTATAAATTGTAGAATGATGATAAAAGTTCTTGCTATCCTCTTTTTTGTGAGACAACGCTTACTTAGAGATTAATCAGCATGTATACCAGCTTCTGTTTTACTAAATTCTTTTGAGTTCTAGATGTAACCATTTCCTAAGAGAGACTAAACTATAACTCTCCTTGTACTTGAAAAATTGGCTGCCTGTAGCATTAAGTGAAGGTAATCTAAGATATCGATAAGGATTGATTCTCAAGTATTCCACGCTAAATTGTTGACTCATTTTATATATTTATTATAACTTTAATTACATTCATACTTTGAACCTTAAGATTTAAACTTAACTTAATCTCTAAGAAATTATAATTATTTATAGTTTTCGGACTACTCTAAATAAATTTTATATATATAATGAATAAAGAGATTACAAATACAATATTGTTGAACCTTATTGAAATTATTAAGTGATTTCACATGGATAGTTCTTTGTTATATTTTATGGTTATCAACTTAAAATTCATTATCATTACTATTATACATGTTTAATTGGAGTAATGATATGGAATTGTTTTTAATTATTTAATAGAAATTTTAACTATTCTAATCATATTATAGCACAATTTCCTTGATTTTCATTTAATTCAAATATTGATATAATTTTTTACAAATCATTATTATAGTTCTTCATTAGCAATGGTGTTTTCATTTTAATGTAATCTACTTTATAAATTATTCATATTTCTCATACCATTTAGGCAAGTATGAATTATAAATTAAATATTTACAAACTTTAGTCTTTTTTAGATACTATTATTACCAAATAAAATGCTGAATGATCATAGATTTATTATAAATTTCAATAAAATAATACATATTGATCCTTCAGTTTTATAGATTGAATAAGAACTATGGATTCTAATTTAATTATTAGTTTAATTATCTACGTGAGTTGATAGGGAAGTGGAATGAGAATTGCTTACTCATAATTAATTAAATTATTATGACAACAATAAATGAAATGAAAGACGCTCTGAAAGAAACTCTGGAATCACGTGGAGTTTTGCCCCAATTAAGGGCGAGAATAAGAGCAGAGATATTCAATGCTTTGAATGAAGACCCTGAAGATAAGCCTAAGCTCTCAATGGGTATGTTTGGATTTTGAATTAGAAAATATGATAATTAATGATTTAATCAGAGAATACATGGAATACAATCATTATAGTTAAACCACAAGTGTATTTAGTTCTGAAGCAGGAATGCCTTAAGAAATGCTTGATAGAGGATTCATTACAAAAAAATTGAAAATCGTAGAAGACAATAATTCTAAGTAAACTCCTCTATTATATGGTATATCAAATATTAAGAATTGAATAGGTCTTGTGTTTGGGATGAAGAAGGTGATAAATAATTAAGAAGTTCAAAACGAACCTTAGACAGGACCAAAATATCGAAATGTTTATCCTGAATCAGGCCAAGTAGTTGAATCCAATAATGAATATGAGTTTCAGGGAGGAAGGAGAAACATTTCTGATTAAATTTTTAAATGATAACCTCAATAATAATTAATATTTTTAACTAAAAATTCAAATAAGTATGTCTAAGAAAGGTATTGATTGGGTGAGTACTTTGAAAAAGTTTGTTGATTCCAAACAATAGAGAACTGCATAAGAAATAGATGATGAAACCGATCAATTGTTTCTTGATTATATCGAATAGGCAAGAAAGAAAGTATAATTAACAGTCTAATTTAATAGGAATAAGAAGAAGATCCAAGTTACAAGAAGATACCTAAGTTTTTCTAAAAGGCCTCAGTTACAAATGAAAATCAATTGAGTTTCAGAGTTAGACAAGAAGCAAGAACAAGGTTTTTGAATCATAAAACTGGAGAAATTTTAGATAAAGAGGATTTAGAGAAATTATGGACAGAACTTAAAAATAATATATCACCACCAGATGATAAGAAGGAAAGAATTAATTATAATTCATTTTTAACTATTGCTTCATTACTACCTATTAAATGCAGACATTTTTTTAGTGCATCTACTTTTTTAAAATTTGACAGAGATGAATATGGAAGGATAGACATTGTTGCATTCTTTCATTCAATAGTTAGGAAAGTCAACCTATTTCAAACTAGAATATAAATAAGCTTGTATGATTCCATTGGGTATGTATTATTATTTAGTATTTTCTAGAAATGGATATTTACGAGAAAAAGACCTTGAGAATTATATCTTTGAATTAATTCCTACATTTCCTTAGTTAGAGAAATTAGATGTAAATTAAACTCTTAATTTTAGTAAAACTTTTATCCCTTTTATGTGATCACAGCAGTCAGAAAGTTCTTCTTCTTTTTGGATTCTAAAAGAACAGGTAGAATATACATTAAGGACATGTTAACATCCCCGATCTTGGCTGAACTATATGAATTGAGACAGGAGAAGTTGACCCTAGAGGAATTAGGTCAGAATTGGTTTTCTAAGCAATCTGCCTTAAAAGTCTATGAGAGATATTTGAAATTGGATAATGATCACAATGGTTTATTGTCAAAATAAGAACTGTCCAAGTATTCGTGGGGATTAACAGATATATTCATTGATAGAGTATTCGAAGAATATCAAACATTCGAAGGAGAGATGGATTATAAAACATTCTTAGGTATTAGTCATTCTTCATGGAATAGATTTTGTACTTGCTATGGAAAATAAAAAGAGTTAATAAGCAATATAGTACTTCTGGAGGATCTTAAATGTTTATCATAAACCAGCTATTGATTCTTTTGTCATCAACATGTTTTTCAGGCCTATTATTTAGAAATTGGAGCATAAAGTAGATGTTTAATCTATTATCTAAGGATAAATTTGGTTTTAATGTTGAAGATGTTAAGGATGAAATATTCGATATGGCTAAACCAGCCATTTCAACTGCTATCACATTGACTGATTTATAGAATTGTGGATAAGGAGACATCATAATTAGTATGTTGATAGATGCTAAAGCATTTTATGAATACGATCAAAGAGAAAGTGGTTAATTACTTGAAGTTGATGACTATGAAGAATTTTGATTATTTATTAGATAATTTTAATTCAAATCAATTTTTAATATTAATTTATAAAATTAATATCTTTGTTGTTATTTTGTAATTATTACAGGTAATGCTCACAATAAAAATAATTAGTTTTTTAATATCTTTAATCAAATATGCTTTAATAGAGTATCTAAATTGAATTATCAAAAATACTGTTAGCCAAGATGTCTATAATTTTGCAATATTTAATTACATTATTTCATCATACGAAAGAAACACTTGGATAATTAATCTCAAATGTCTTTTCAGAAAATTCTGAATATCTGAATTTGATTATTAAAATAAAAATTAATAATTAGAATCTGTCACTAACGGAGGATATGATACTAAGAAATAGTCAGATATCCGCAGATCTAGATATATTATAAGAATTTAGGGAATTCGTGATTATAAATTATTAATCAAAATACATTCATTATTTTATTATTCAAAATAAGATTACATATATTACTATTAATAATTTGATGGATACAAAAAAATATAGTATAATGAAAGGTTCAAAAAACGGATAAGCAATTCAAAGATAAGATAAATTTAAAACAAATATTACAAAAGGATCAAAAAAACATAGAATTTCTTTTATTGATGAGATTGATAAATAACACTCTCTTGTCTAAATCCACGAAGTAGAAAATTGGAAAATTTATAATATTGAAGCACCAGTTGATGAAGTTAAATAATCATGCGGGTGTATAATCATTTGAAGTTATATCATAAATTCACTTCCACATTTCTCATTAAACCTAATAATAGCAACAAAGTTGTTATTCAATAGTATAATCTTAGTTGGAAATTCTCTAAATCTAAATGAGTGAGTAATCAGTTCATTCATAACATTTAAGCCAAGCTTTTACCACTCAAGACAATCCTGCATGTTATAATTTTTAGAAAAATAAAATATATATACATCTCTCTCGTTTTTTTTATGAAAATTTTAGAAACATACACACTATGTTATATATTTACATTGTTCTAAGTATTTGTAATTACTTGTTCCCTCCTAAGCTGTTTTATAGATTAGTTTAAAAATAAGAGGAATTAAAATAATTTATAAATGAGAATTATATAAAATAAATAATGCATTTTTCAAATCTGATATATTATGTAAGAGATTTATCTTACTTCCGCTCTCATATCAATTTAATTAATATTACTCAATAATATTTACTTAAACAAAATTTATAATATAAATGAATAAATATGAAGTCTTAGGAGTAGTGGGAGAAGGTGCTTATGGAGTAGTATTGAAATGTAAAAACAAGGAAACAAATGAGATAGGTAATCCTATGTCTATAATTAATAGTGGCAATAAAGAAATTTAAGGAAACAGAAGATAATGAGATTGTTAAGAAGAGCATTTAAAGAGAAGTAAAGGTGTTGAGACTATTGAGACATCTCAATATTGTAGAATTAAAGGAGGCATTTAAGAGGTTTAAAGTTAGGGCTATAATTATTAGGAAGGGAAGAATTTATTTAGTGTTTGAGTATGTGGAGAGAAACCTACTCGAAGTATTGGAGGCATCGCCTTCTGGTTTAGAAGTATCATATCAGATTAGTTTTAGCCTTTGTATATAAAAAAAACTATCTTTTAACTTCTGAAAGCCATCTATTGTTGTCATCAACATGATATAGTCCATAGAGACATAAAACCAGAGAATTTGCTTATAAGTAATGCGAGTGTGTTGAAGTTATGTGATTTTGGATTTGCCAGAGTAAAATAAATATCAATATTCAGTCGTTGACAGCCTAAACATAGGATCTTACTGATTATGTAGCCACAAGATGGTATAGAGCACCAGAATTATTACTAAGTTATTCCAATTACGATAAAGGAGTTGATATGTGGTATAGATTGTGCAATAACAATGTAAAGGGCAATCGGATGCTTATTGTGTGAATTAACTGATGGTAATCCCTTATTTCCTGGAGAGAACGAGATGGATCAACTATATTTAATCTAAAAAATGCTGGGACCCTTGACTCCTAGTCAATAAGAAACATTTTCTAAAAACCCTAGATTTTTGGGTATGAAATTTCCAGAAATCTCAAAACCAGAAACCTTGGAATAAAGGTTATTATTTTTAATTAATTGAATAGATATTTATGTAAACTACCTAAAAGAGCAATCAACTTTGTAAAGGGGTTGTTAAAGATGGAACCATCCGAGCGATTAACTTGTAGACAAGCCTTAAAACATTAGTATTTCGAAGATTTGCCAGAGGCGATGGAATTCATGAAAGAATTGGATTTGTAAATAGAGTAAGAGAAGAGACAAGTAAGTGCTGGAGTTAATAGAACAGCACAATCACCAACCAGTTAGTAGAATGTGATAAGAACCAAAGTATTAGAGATTTAATAACTAATAGACTTCTTTTAAAGTACCTAATTATTTGGGACAGTAATTAAATATGCAAAGTACAGCTTATGCTTACAATATACAGTAATAGGATTAAGGATAGTAGTAATAGAATTAGCAATAATAATCAACCATGAAGAAAACGGTAATATGTTGAGTTTAAGTGTTAGCAGTCGATTGACAAATTGATCCCATAGTACAAAGATACAAAAGTAGGGTTTGTTTCAGATACAAATAAAATTAAAATTTCAGGTTCTTAATTTAGTCAATAGCAATTTGCTATAGCCAAACAACCCTAATCAATTAAGATTTAAAATTTGAATATCATTTACAATTCAAACACTTTTAACTCTTCTCAAAAAAAGGGAGGTGCTTAAACTAAAAAATGAATATTATTTAATTTTTGAGATTAGGATAATTTAATTAAAATGAGTAGAGGAAGTCAAGGTCATGAATTCTATATCACACTCTTTTCCCCTGAAGGTAGATTGTACTAGGTTGAATATGCCTTCAAAGCCGTGAAGACAAGTGGATTGACATCAATAGGAGTCAAAGGCACTGATACAGTTTGTTTGATCACAGAAAAAAGAGTGCCAGATAAATTAATTGACGAGAAGTCTGTCACAAATCTATTCAATGTTTCAGAGAAGATTGGTGCTTTGACTACAGGCATTCCATCAGATGCAAGAGCTCTTGTTACTAGAATGAGATATGAAGCAGGAGAATTCAGATTAAAAAATGGTATTATCATTATTCATGCTTTTAGGTTACTATTGTCCTGTTGATGTTCTGTCAAAGAGAATGGCTGATTTAGCATAAACCAATACTCAATATTATTAAATGAGATCATATGGTGTTGAGACTATCTTGTGTTAATATGATGATGAATTGGGTCCATTGTTATACAAACTCGACCCATCTGGACATTACAGTGGATACAAGGCAACTGCTAGTGGAGTCAAAGAACAAGAAGCAATCAATTACTTGGAAAAACAAATCAAAAAAAAAGCAGATTTAAATTATGATGAAACCATTATGCTTGCTATATAAACATTATAAAATGTAGACTCTTCTTTTATATCTAGGTAATTTCATAAGACTTTAAACCAACTGACATTGAAGTCGGAATCGTGACTAAATAAGACAAGAAGTTCCATAAATTAACAAACGAACAAGTTGATCATTATTTGAATTTAATAGCAAATAGAGATTGAAAAAAATCTATTAAATAGTATTCCATAAATTAATATATTAATGTTAATTAGTCATTTTCATAGAGTTTCTTATTTCAAATTTCTTCCTTATGTCGATTTTACAATATTAAAATTTATTATTAATCTAGTATAAACCAAACTTGATGAATATAAAAGTCTTCTAAAATTTTATCCTTCTATTTATGCTTTTCTCATTGATTATCTGGGTTTCCTCATTGATTATCTTGCTTTCCTCACCATGAAAAAATGAATTACACATTCCTCATTAAAGTATGTTTATCAAATATCATATAATTTGAATCAGAAGAATAACTTATATATTTAAATGAAGTCGATTTTTATAATTTAAATCTTTTCTCCATTATCCATATGGAACATTCTTAGCCTATTAATAATGCTTCATAATTATTTGAGAGAAAGATTACAATAATAATTTGGATATCATAAATAATTTACATAAATATATGATCGATTATCTTAGAAGAGATGAGTGTATTGATCCAGGATGTATATTTAAATTATAATTAGCTGATAAAATTATAATAGGGAATAAAATAGAGAGGAAGATTTTTGAGAAAATAAAGATGCATCCATTAGAATATGAATGTCTAAAAAATTTAAAACTAATTTTATCTTAAATGCCTCCATTACGTTTACCAAAATAGTATGTCAATCCATTTAATAATTAACTAGCTGGTAGGATTCTGACTATTTGAGAGTTTTGGCTTTCCATGATTATGACATTGCTAAATCTGCTTAGGTTGAAAAAATAGATTATATAATAGGGACTAGTATTGCATTTAAGTTGGGTACACAGAATTGATTTATCAATCCAGCCGAATGAATTACTTGTAAATTTCATTTAGATTAGTTAGCTCAATGGAGTTTTGTACGTAAATGGATTTGATAAAGGCTTTAGACCAGTAATAATTATCAATTTACAAAAAGCACTAGAAGTATTATTAATAACATAAATACTTAGTACACTCTCCTTTAATTTTAATAAGCATTTGACTTTCTCCTTTGCTTAATAATTAGGGATGTTTTAATTTCATTTTATATTGAATCAGTTGTAATTATGATTGATGTTAATACTCATCATCTTAAAATTTCAAATAGTTTTTCAGCGGCATTATTGAATTACATTAAAAGTTCTCAGCTTAACTTTTATGGAAGAATACATAAAATATATATATTGCATGAAATCACCAAAGATATATTTTATCCTTACTTAAATGTTTTAAAACCTGAGTTCGAAGAGAAAACGATTGTCTTAGAAAAGAAGGATATCATTTAACTATAAAAATAAATAGATCCACAATAGCTTGAATAAAAATTTCTAGGATTTTCTAAAAATTTATAAAATAACTTTTGGTATAACCATAAATTTAATTATAGGCCACCTAAAAATCCTACAAAAAGTGCTGAAAATAATGTTTTAAAAATTTAAGTTGATGATAGTCAATCTAAATCTAATAACATAGTATCAATTTACAAAAATGAGAGCAACCAGAGCAGTTAATTTACACTTTAAGTCTATAATGAAGAAAATGAAATTATATCTTCAGAAATTCATCAATTTTAAGGTGATGAGTCGGTTTCAGAACTTCCAGAATACGTAAATCTATCATTTAAACATAGTATCCTGATTCAATTTTATTTGCTGAAAACTCAGGATAAGTCTCAATGGAATGTGTTTTGTAGGAGCTTACTTCTTCCTATAAAGCACTTAGCAGTATCTAAAAAGAAAAAGATAGTCAATTGTTTTTAGAATAGCGTGAAAATACTAATTAATAAACTTATAAAGGCATCATAAAACCTAATTGCAATATGGAAAGTTGTTAATTAATGTGATTTTATATTGAATTTTAACTTAATGAACTAATATTTAAATCAATATCTTAAATATAATTCATAGTCTATTTATTATAAATGTAGAATAATCAATTTCAATTCAAAAAGTAATAAAATTGTAAAAAGGTGATTTATTCCTTTATTTTAGACTTATATAATTCAACAAATTATTCAGACTACTTAATTCGAAGATATGTGTATATTGTTATTATAAGTTACTACCTTAATAACTATATTTATTATTTGGTTCTTTTTCTTAAATTATAGAAAATTTCTTTTTGATAAAATTAATTATATTCCTTAATTATTAACGTTGGAAGTAATAAATTGATATAACTATTGTTCGAATTTTGTAAATGATAGCTCGAATATGGATATTCATTCAAAAAGCATATTATTATTTAAATGTTGTATAATAAAATTTTACATAATGTATTAATATATCATTACTATTCCTAAAAACTTTAAATTAACTTATTTTCAATTCAATAAATATTAAGTATTTTATAATTTAGTTCAGCAATTACATCAACATTAATAACTATACTTATTAATTGATGAAAATGTCATGATGAAATTATTAATATGTGTAACTTGATTTGAGTTCAAATTATATGATTTATTGAACTAAAATGCAGGCTTTAAAGATTAAATTGAAAATGGAATGCATAGAGAGATCCTTAGGTTTCAATTAATAATAATTACGGCGTATTCAATTTTTATTTTATGAATAAGAATATGTAAATTGTTATTAGTAGCATTTTTGCTATTTGCGGACTTATTGCTTCACAAAAATTCCTTAGAAGATTCCGAAGATATATAGATTTAGTATTTTATGGAAGAGTAAATACATTTCCTCTCACTTTGAGCGAATCTAAAGAATTTTTATTAGAAAACCCATAATCAAAATATTTATACCTAACTGGACATATTCTGCCAGCAGATTAATAATAGACAAGGTTTCTTCAACTTTAATGTGGTACTAAAGATAATTTGGAATTTAAAGTAAATGAATTTTAATTGCTAGATATTCAACATAAGTATAATTATAAAATATCAAAAAGCGAAAGAAAGAATATTAAAATAAATGGTGACAGCATTTTGCTACGTGGATTATTCGACTATTCAAAATCTTACTTATATTAATAGGAAAACATGTCATTCATAAAAAAAGTAAATTGATTTCAAATTTAGATTTTAAATAAAATACCTATCCTAAATAAAAAATCTAGAATAGTTGAAACTCATAAAGGAGTTTAATTTGGATAGTTCACAACTATGTTATGTGAAAAAAATGGAGATAATTTCAATTTATTGTATCTCTCCAATTATAATTACAACAATATATACAATCAGATTCACAAAGATATGTTTAATGCTGCCACTGTAGCATAGCTTTTATTTATTCTAGTAAGCTTTTCATAATTGATATATTTAATTATTTAAAAGCTGTAATAGAAAAATGATGAAATTTAGCCTTTAGATCAACTAGGTCCACCCGTATTTAAAAATTCTATTAGTGTTGTTCTAAACAGTCAAAATGACTAGGACATATGTGTTATATGTCTAACAAGAACGAGAAGTGTAATACTGGAACCTTGTCTTCATTTTATTTTATGCTAAGATTGTGTGAATCAGTTAGATAAAGATATCTGCCCATTTTGTAGGATTAAAATAGAAAAAAAAATAAAGGTTCTATATAATGAATGACAAATATATATTAAAATCATTATCTAAGTTTATCGCTAAATTTAGAATGAGTCGTATAAAATGTTTACATCAATCCCTCACTTAATGATTTAGTTATTTTCTTCAATCCTAAAATCTAGTATTCTATCTTACCATCCTAATTAGATTAATAAAAGTTCATAGCCGTTCTACCTGTTTGTGCAACAAGTCTTTCTCTTGGCATTTTATACCTTTATATTAGAATTAATCAATTTACATTTATTCTAAGGATCCTTTATAAGCTTTGGTCTCTAGTTATCTCTTTTGCTACTTGACTGGAGGGAAGTAGGTAGTTTTACCTCCTATTTACTTACCCCATTCCTTTTGATTTAATAACTATTAATTAAAAATATCGATGGGATTCCTATTTGTATTAGAATTAAATATACTTTGAAACTCCATCTGGAATTTATGGCAGAGGAAGTTCTTACTTAGATGATTTAGGTGTATCTGGTAATCCAGTTACTATCAAATTTTCTATCATTCTAACATTTTTTAATTGAATTCTCTCTGTTTAAGACGCTTATTAGGAAGGTACTTCTTTTCTTAAAGGCTATAATACATTAGATCCAGTGTTGAATTAAACTTATTTGCCATCCAAGGGGAACTCAGTTTTTCCAATTTCACCTAACTTTTTTTTTAATAAAATTGATTATTGAGTAGTTTATTATTCATGATCAGGGACATGAATAGTTTCATTAGGCATAAACTAAGATTTGGCTGCTTATAATGTTTGGGCATCTGTTATCAGTTAATACTCAGCTCTAGTTAATCTGATTTAGGAGGCAAATTATTAAGCATCATCTCCTGAGAGTAGATTCGAGCCTGATAATTTGATTTATAAATGTTCTGCAGAATCACTAATTTAATGTTTTACTCCTTCCTTCATTTTATGCTCAAAGTACAACTTAACTCCATTATTCATTGTGAAGACTTCATAAGGAAATTGAGATGTTTTATCAATTCTTAAAGCTTTATCTCCTATCACTTCTTTTGTGGCATCTTTGCGTTCTTATAAAACCTTATGTGTTAAAAATATACTCTATTTGGTATCTCCTATTCAGGACATTAGGGCTTATTCAATTTGATTGAGTCTCTCTTTCCTCCCTTTTTTATGGGTTATTATTATTGGTCAGGCTTTGTAGGTTCTTTAAATTCAACTTTCAATTTTTGATTGGTAGGTTACAGTTTGTCCATTTTAACAGCTCTAGCTAAAAGTATTTTTCCATCAAAATCATAAGTATACTTTTGCGTTCCTCCATCCTTTTTTTCAATCTCAGATTACAAATATGTATTACCTAACTTTGTAATTTATCTTCTTTTTTTTTTTATTCAATTTCATTCTTCTTTTTCATTTCATATAATTTAGCATTTCTTAACTTTTCTTCATATTCATCTTCATATTCTTCTTAAAATAATTATATTATTTTAGATTCAATCTAATTTTATGGTTAAGGAGTTGTAGGGAGTCTAACAATAGTTTTCTTGGTATCATAGAGTCTAGATTTAGATATTACTCTATTGGGATCAGTTGTTAATTTCTCATCAATCTATTCATTTTCATGATTTTCTTGATCTATTTGATTTAGTATGATATAAATACCAATCATCATCTAAATTCTGTTTCTTCTCCATCTATCGCAAAATATAGGTTCCTTTTTATAGATTAAATAAATACTGGTTCTTGGTCTTCGATTAAATCACAAGATTCAACTTCAATTCCTCCATCATTTAATTTAGCATTCAACAACAGCTTAGTTTCAGCTTCAATTTCACTAATAGCATTAATTGGAATATTTCTGAGGATAAACTTATTTAATAATTGTGAGTCTTACTCTCTCTTATGCTTCAGCTATAGAGTTTTTTATTATGAGATTTGATAGCTAGCGACCAATTTAAAGCGATTATGCAAAAGTACCATAATTTTATATAACCCCTGGGATTTCACCATAAACCTTGAAGTCACAAGAGAATTTACTTGATCAATGTTAAAAAAGAAGGTCAGATGCTCATCCTCTGAAAATTCAATCATTTCTTTTTCTGATAGATCATCTGCCACACTAGCACTCATTATAATAAATAATTATGACAATAATAATTGTATTTATATGTATGCTTATACTCAAATCCAATGGATAAAGTGGGCATCCTTGTGGTATGGGTCTGCTAATCTTTCCAAGGGTTGATTGAATGTACCATCCTGTTTAATTATAAATAAGGAATACCCAATGTGCAATGTGAGTGGGACGACCATGCCACCTTTTAAGAATATGTAAACACCAATTTGTATCATTGTATAATAAATGAGCTGGTTATCTGGCTCTCCATGCAAGAGATTCTGAAATTCTATTCTAAAAGGTTGGCATTTCCAAGAAGTGTAATGCACTGCAAACATTGTGATATTGATTGATATCTTTGCTATAAGATATTTGTTATGATTTACTTAGAAAATCTATCACGTGCTGTAGATATCACCATTTTTCCATGATATGGAAGAATTGAAGTAAAGTGATCACTTAATTTGGCCAAGAAGATCCACATAACAAAAACTCTTGCATAAAAATTACGTAGTGGTAACTAATTTCAAATTTTTTATACTTCTCTCAAAACCAAATATCCCAAACCGAATCCTGACAACCATTTAGTAATTGTCCATTCTCTCCAATAAGTGTGATTGGGTTTGATGAAAATGTATTTGTTAACAAACTCTTCGCATGTATATTATTAAAATGGTCTGGACAACTATGAGATTTTAATATTCATAATTACTTTAGCCAAATCCTTCTTATATTTTTCACTTGCAGATAAGAAGAATTCCTTTTTACTCCTATTGAAGACAGGGGAAAAGTTTTCATCATCAAAATCCAATGATTTCAATTCAATGTTGGCAATCATTCTGTCATCATATGCATCCTTTTTAATTTGTAATAATAATCTACTTATTCCTCTTGTGTTGGATGCCACAATTTTGCTTTTCCTTATACAATAGGCATAAATAAATTATTAATAAATAATTATATGATTTCTCCAAAATAAATCAAGTCAATATAAGTATATATAACACTCATACAAATGGACTTTTATATTGATACATTTTTATTTAAAAAAATAAACAAAATTTATTCTTATGTTAGATATTATTCATAAAAAAGTAAAGTTGGATATTGAATAAATCTATATTGACAAATCCTGTCGAACCCCTAATCATCAGAGGGAAAACGAATCTCAATCAACTAAATTGTATTAAGACGTAATCAATGATCTCCCTATTACAGGAGAATGTGACTAATCATTCTCTTTGGATTCAGAAATCATTCAATTACTTAAATATTCTTAGTATTATGGAATGCAAATACTTTCTAAATTCGTTGACTCTTCAATCCTCATCGAAAAACTCAGACTCAAGCAGGTGTCATTGAAAAAAGAATTGATGATCTATTTCCTTTAAAATGTTAGAAATCAATCGCCATTGTTGCATGACCTAATCTATTTGGAAGCGGCTAATTTAGACAAAGACATTAGATCTGCTTCAATTGAATGTATGAGCAGACTTAAAGTCAATGATGATTAAGAAATCCTCAATTTAATTAGAAAACCAAAAGACAGCTTGGAATTGTTATCGAATCATTCAAAAGGACTGCTTGTATCAATCCTAGAAGATTAATATTACATTATCAGAATAAATGCGATTAGGGCTATTATGAATTTTAATAAACAATCCACTGTATTTGCCAACCATGTCTTAGAAATATTAATTAATATGCTTAATGATGAATGCGACTTAGTAAGAATAGAAGCAATCCAAGTCCTACTAAATTACCCTAAAATTGAATTTAATAGAGGAGATTCCAATGCAATTAAATTCAATTTGAATGAATAAAGTTTCAAATTAAGAAAAGCCATCTATGATCTTATTGGTTAATCCATATTCCCAGAAACTCTCCACGATATTTTTGAATCAAGTAATTATCCTCTTTAATTTTAGTCTGTTTGAATCTAACCAAATTCCCACAAGATTTTATATACATCGCCAATTCAGTCAGGCAGTTAGCCCTTAAAAACCCTAATATTTTGTAGATACCTGACATCATCAAAAGAGAAAGACTAACATAAGAACCCAACATTTACTAAGAATCATAGGATTATATCGTCAGAATGATTTATGCCTATTACACTACAAGAAAAGAATCTGATCCATTCTACTTTTCCAAGCATTTCGCCTATTTCTCTGATAAATATCCAGACCTCTTTTAATCCAATAAAGTCACTCCAGATGAATTTTATGCCTTTAAATTGTATAACGATTATTAGCAACTAATGAAAGAAGTCTTTAATTCTCTTAAAATATACAGATTACAAGAATGCAAATAAATCTATTCAGAATTATGTGCTAAATACGAATTTGACCAATCAATTATTCCTCCCCCTCCTTTAGAATACAATCATGAGTTTAGAGTGCCTAATTGGGAAATCACTAAGTTTCAGAGCAGATCCTTTAAGTTTATTTTGCCACTAGAAGGAACTAAATTCAAAGTTTATCCAGAATTTCCATTAACCTTTGTAATATAGGGGGAGTTCAGAAATTTGAAAATGCCAGTATCAAAAAATTATGCTATCTAACTCCTATTCATGGATGGAACAAGCGAACTTAATAAGATTTCTTAAATTGAGGATAACATAATTAAAGCTACTCTCGAGATGTAAAGAAAAGTGCAAGACATCTCTTAGGCAGCCAAAATACTCTTTGTTCAATTAGCAGATGGATTATAATTGGGTAACCCTATAAACATCTATCTATAAATCTGATTTTGTTTTTATAAATAGATTTAAATATATATATTTATTCATTCACCTTGTGTTATTCCTATTTTTAAGGTCATTTTAATATGAATTTTCTTAATTTAATATTTTTATGAATAAAATTGATATAATTAAAAAATTTTCGCTTGAATATTCGGATGAATTTTTGAAAAGAGTTGAAAATTAGAGTTTGCCTTAAATTATTAAGCTCATTTTTGAGAGTCCAATTGCAAAAATAGCTAAACCTATTGATTTGAAAAATCTCAAGCAATTAAACAAACCTACATTATTTGAAATTTCAGCTGTTTAAAATATAAGCGAGCCAAAAAAGACCCGGTATATGAACACTAAGGATTGTACCTTATAATTTATTTTCTATCCAAATATTGTTGCCATCTCTTTATAAAAACACCCTGAATTAGATTAAGACTTATTTTAATTGGAAGGAAAAAAAGTATATTTTCAAAATATAAATTTAGATATTAATTCCATAGGGAACAGAAATTTGTAGATCCATTTTGATTTTAAAATAATTCACTCTTATTAATGATTACAATTAGTTACTTTGATAAGAAATTCTGATTAATTTTTTAAACTATTTTAATAATAAAAAACACTCCAATTATATTTAAAAGTTCTCTTAATACATCAATTTTTGAATTGGTTTATTCATTCCCTAAGAAGATAGATATAAGTTAGAAATTATTCCAAAGTCTCTCCAACATTTTAATTTAAATTTATATATATAGCTCATATATTAAATACTGATTCCAGTTAATACTTAAGTCAAAGGATTAAATCGCAATTAAAATAAGCATTTATAATAAAAATTTGCATAATTTCTATTATTCCTGCTTAAGTAAAATTAGTTGCTTTACATTGATTAATTATGCTATTATATTTTTTACAAAAAGAGCCAGATGAAAGATGTCATAAAGATCATTTAGCCATTGAAGATCAATTGATTTGCTTATAATATTTTGATCTCTTACTTAATTAAACAAAAACTAAACTCTATAAGGCTTTGCTTCATGTGATGGCACAAAATGCGGTGCTGACAAATTATGAATCGGGTAGTTTTAATTCACTATGAAGGTACAATCATTTGGAAATTTAATGATAAATAGGATAAAATTATGATCTTATACTCAGGCTAAATATAGGAGTATAGAGAAATCTCAGAGGATGAATTAGAAGAAAAAAGAAAAAGCCTAATGAGATTATACAAATCAGATATTTTTATAGATAGACCAGGTCGAAAGGTTACTGCTACATACTAACAAAATGGTTCATTAAGTTTTACAATTAATGATCAGCCCAGACTACGTAGAGCTTAAGTTTGTGAAATACCCTAAAAGATTGAATTGAAAAGAACAAGCAGTATACGGCACAACCGCTTTCCTCAATTACCGCAATAGTACTTGCAAGCATTAAATACAGAATTACATTAACTTTTAAAAGGCATAATCTTACACAATGAATCCTACTTTTAATATTTATTAAATCAATGCGTTTGTAATACAAAACAAACTCATTCATTTCAAGAAGGGGAATTATTAAATAATGATCCTCTGTTGAAAAAACACAACACTATGCTTCTTGCACTAACTGATTGTGTAATCATTTAGATGAATTTAAGTGATTATTAAAATGTAGAGAACTAAATCAAAATTTAAAAATAATCAAAAATTTATCGACAATTAGAAGCAGGTTTTGTTAGCGAAATTGCTAAATCAGAAACTGAAATGCATTAACTAATTAAAACCTTAATGGGTAAATTTATAAAATTTAAATATAATATTAATAGTACTATTTATTAGAAAGGACAATCTTTGACATATATTTATGTTATTGTTTCAGGGGAATGCCAAATTAATGATGATAATAATGCTTTGGCTCGGGTGAATTAAGGATGTTTATTGGGAGAAGAGTCATTTGATAATGCTTAATATTAATACAAATGCGTTACAACAACTAAATGTAAATTATATGGAGTCAAAATTATTGACATAAACATATTATGTCAACGCTACAATTGGTTTAAAAATCAATTACTAAAAAAAAAGTAGATCAAATCGAATTGGTTAAATAGTAGATGTATAGACTAATAGAATAGAAAACGAATAGATTCAACCACCCTGAAATCACAATTTCATATATAAATTAATAAGATTCCAACTACTTCACAATAATATAATAAAACTCACAGGTCTACATAATCGTAGAACATATTTGACAAAAACTAATATTAAGAGATAATGTCTTATCGTGGCTAATATAGAAATTCTAGCAGGCAGAAAATAAAGATGAAACTACCAAAACAACATTAATCTTAACCTAGTTTTTCCAAAGATTTTAGTAATGATTTTGATATCGTACCTATGCTAATGAATTTAGACAAGTAGCAAAGTAATAATCTTAAAGAATTACTAAAAAAAGGCAAAATTAAACCTTATCAATAATTTCAAAATTAAAATCAAAAACCCTCTACTGCATAATTATTATCCATTCCTTGTAAGGAGTCCACTTTAAAAATTATGAAACGTATCCAATAATATTTAGGCTGATTAAATAATGAATATTTAAATTTTCACATGTCAAAAAATTATCAATAATTTATTAGTAATGATTAAAGACGGAGATTACACTCTAATGAAATATTATAGTTAAAAATGATATTAACTAAGGATTACAGAATTATAAATAGATTTTATTTAAGAAATTAAAAGGATATTAATTACTTCTATGTTTAAAATTTTCATTCTTTGAATTACTCATGTTAAGTATGTGGAGCTCTATCTACTTTTGCAGAGTTAAGAGCTAATACTTTCTCTTCCTTTGGTTCAGGAACTGGTAAACTTTTAGGATCGTAAGGCCATTTCTCTATCATTTCTTAAGGATTTTCTATGTAGCTACCTTAGCCGAAATTGACTTTTAATCCATAGAATTTACCCTAAGAATATTATATTAATCATACATAAAATAGAGGATGGGATTGATCTTTAATGACATTTAAATAGAATGCATTAGGAACTGCATGTTTAACTGACAAGATTTACTCTGCGGGTCCTTTGATTCCTAATACATAAGCTCTTGCTTTTCCTTAAGTGTATCCAAAATACACATAAGTCCATTAATAAGGTATTAAATCGAATTGATGTGAAACTGGTTCGAAAGAAGGGTCTTTAAGAGTGTAAGTGCATGCAACCAACTAATCAATTTTAGTGAAAACTGCTAATGTTCTATCTCCAATGTATCGTTCATCTGAGCCTTCATTATTTGTAGTTAGTCTAACAAGACCTCTTAAATCATCTGACATTTCAGGTTATAAAACACCATTTTGCATCCAAAATCCGAAACTGTATTCCAAAAGACCTACTTTATTTGTGAAAGCAAATTATAACTTGTCTTTCTTTTCGTTAACATCATCGGACAATGTTGTATCAATAATATTTACAGGCCATTTAAAGTCTTCTGCATCAAGAGCTGGTACTGGTAATTTGCGATGAAGTTTTAAGACCATATCAACAACTTTCTAACTTTCATTAATGAATGCCCCAGTTCCTAAAAAGATTCTTGGATCGAATAACCAACCATGGAATCCTTTCCTTCCAAACTCTTTTGCCCCCATAACAAATTTAGCATAACCTGTCAATGCTTTATGTTAAACTTAAAGTTCAACATGTTATGCCTTCTATTATTCTCTAAATAGAACCATGCCGTAAAATTGTCCACTCTTGTACGCAGCATATACATAAGTCCAAGTTCCTTCTAATTCTACATATGGTAATTTAGCATCCAGAGCATTAGAGGGTTTGTTAATATCGTATGTACTAAATTCATAATTGCCTATGGTTAGGTATGCAGCAAGTACTCTATCTCCTAATTCACTCTTATCCTAATCTTCCTTATTAGATGAGAATCTGAAAATATTATGTTGTGGTTATCTCTCTGTTAAAGTTGTTGGGAAAGAAACTAACCATCTAGTCCATAATCCAATAGAATACTCATCAACTGATTCAGCTTCTTAAGTAAATTCTTATACTATTGTTTTTTCTGTTTCAACAACTTAATCTTCTTTATTGAACCACATATACTTTTGATTAATTGCCAAAGCATTATAATTAAGTAATAGATCTTCATAACCTCTCTTTTATACACTCACAAATGCTCCAAATCCGTAAGAGGCCACCCATTTCTAAATTTCACCTTAGAATCTCTTAGTGAATGGATCTTTGGCGACATAAATTCCAGTATAATGTGGAACAAAATGCTAAACTCCTTTGAATATCAAAGGCTTGTCTTCCTCAAATAAGTGAACTAGTGCATGCACTTCTTATATGTCTTCATTATAACCCATGTAAATATAAATCCATGCTCTCTTATTAGGACCTAATGGAACATTTTCTTCTAAAAACTTAGCCTCATTCCAATCCTTCAATCCACTCAATGTATAGGTCGACAACTTAAGAGTATCAACACAAACAGATGCAAACAATGTTCTATCTCCTTAAGATCTCTTATCATTTAAATGCTCTCGATCATTATTAGTAACTCTGAATAATACTTAGCAATCATTAGCACTTTATCCACTTACTTCAGATGCCTTGAACCATCCACTAATTGCATATTCACCAACAGATGACCATGTTTCTCCCTTCAATTCAGTTCCTCCTATTTCATCTGTTACGCTTTCTAATTTACCAATTAACTCTTATTATCCATGCTTCTCTTTGTGGATAAATCCTACTGTAAGTGATTAATCTAATGCATAATTACTATCAATAGTTTTTTTGACTTCTTCTGCCAAACCAAAGAAAGATCCAGGTCCGAAGCTTAGAGCTATCTTACTTATTATTCCTTAGAAAGATGGAACTTCTGGTTCTCCACCAATATGTAAAATGACAAAATCTCCAAGTGGCTTATGTAAAGCATCCTAATTCTTGGCTGATTACATATCTTAACCATCGTAGACAAAGAATGATGCTACTTATTTAGATCTGATATATCCCATATAAATATAATGCCATTAGCCTTCGATTCTCTAATTAGGAATTTAGTGCAATTCATTAGGAGCATCATCATTTAAATCATAGGTTGAAAATTAAAATCCACTTTATATAAGATGAGAAGCCAAAATTCTATCTCCAAGAGCTACTTTTCCAACTTCTAATTTTTCATTATAAGTTAGTCTAACTAATTGCATTTCAAGTGGTAATCTATACAATCTTTCTGGCCAAGCTTACAAGAATCTGCACCAGAATCCAATGCTGTATTCTTACATAGATTCAATAGGCTTATCTGGTTAATCATTAAACCTAATTGTCTGAGGTTATCCAAGTATTTATTTCTCACTTTTTTCCCATTTGTGAATTTTCTCTTATGAAAATAATTTAGGCCCTAAAATGTAAACTGGCAACTAAAGGAAATTATCATTTCTAAATGCTCCTTCTCCAAAGTTGACTGTAAGTTAAGCCAATCTGCTAGAGTAATTTTCCAAAAATCCATCTCTTGCTACGAATAACAGATGTTTCGAAGCCACAGCATGTAAAACTGGCTCAAGACCTTTATTTTCATGAGTATCTGCTCTTAGATAATATTGGATCTTTCTCTCCTTCTTGGAGTAGGCAAAGTAAGCAAAAGTCCAAATCTCTAATTACTATTTAGGTATATTGCATTCGTATGGAATATTTAAAGTGTAATCTTACAATGAATAAGTGCTGAATAAGGCTGTTCCAATATGAGCAAGCATTAATACTTTATCACCGACATTTTTAGCATCATCTTCTCCTTTATTAGATGTTAATCTGTAAATTACTTAATTTGGTTTTGTTGCAGTCTTAAACCATCTAAACCATAATTAAACTGAATATTCTCTTGCTTCTTATTCAATAACAATGGGATTTTCAATTTTTAGATTGGTAGCATCTTGTTTTCCTGCAATAACTTCAAATTATTTTTGATTTGATATAATTTCTGGTTTTGGATCCTTATTCTTAATTCTTGCCAAAATGCCTTATTTATTATCAATAAAGGCTCCAGGTCCAAGGTTAAATCTCACTGTAGTTATTTGTCCATTGAAATTAGGATAGAATCTTCCTGCATGACCAACAGTTAATTACAAGTAATCTTACAATAAATTATGAAGAACATCCATTTAAATACCAGCTGTAATATCATTATATGAAGTAAAAGCGACTGCGTGTCCAACTGTTTAGGATATTCGCTTATAACTGAAATAAATATATGTCCATTCGCTTTCTGATTCAATTAAATATGGAATGTTTCCATTTACATTGTTGGATTAAGGTTGCACATTATAAGTTGAAAAATGATGAACACCTTTACCCTAGAGGATTAATAATACTCTGTCTCCAGGTTATTCAAAGTCCTTATAGTCTTTTTACGATGTCAATCTTGCTAGACCCATCCATTAGGGTTGTTAATACAAAATGCTTTTCTTACCATAATGCTAGAATCTAGCCCAAAATCCGTAACCATATTCGCTTACACCATGGAGATGCAATTTTTCACTTTGTTCAAATTGAACATGCAAAGGAACATCCTTTTCATTTGACCCACATTCAAGAACTTATTCATTATGATGAGCTTCTTATCCAGCCTATTCCAATTTAATATGATCAGTTCCACTAACAAATCCAAAATGAACCTTGATGTTCTCATCTGAATCGAAATTGCCTTCTCTATATGAACCTTCACCTACATTTATAACCCAAGTCTTCATGGATCCTTAAAATTTCTATTCTTCAGAGGAAATGATAATTGAAAAAACTGCTACATAAAAATGAGTCACTTAATCTTAATTGAATTTAGCATCAGTAAATGTGAACTTAACATATCCAAATGTTTTCTTCATTACCTATGAATAACCATAATAAATATAGGTCCATTAATCCCAGTATTCTCCTAATTGCTATTCTTATGTAACAACACCTGAGCAATCATCTCCTTTGCATGAATAAGTGTTAAAGTTGTATGATTAATCAGATCTCAGGATTTGTAAAGTCTATTCAAATTTACCATTTAGATCATCTAATTTCTTTTAAGCCATTGATGCAATATGGAATGTTTTTCCAAGTTTTTATGCTCCACTCCACTTTACCCACCCAGAAATACTATATTCTTTAATACCTTGAAATTTATCAAATTAAAACTTCTAACTGGGTTAATCAACTGGTGTTCCAATTAATTATTGAGTTTATCTGCTTATGGGACGAATTTGAGCTTTATCTGGAAGAGTGTTTTATGTGGATAATTTTAAATCATCTGCTGAACTTATATAAGATCCTGGGCCAATCGAACATTAGATCTTACATAATTATCCATTGAAAAGAGGAGCTGAACTTTTTCCAATAACAAATTCAACATATTCCAAGAGGAAATCATGCAAAATATCAAAAACTACCTCTTTAATTTCTCCTTCCAATCCAAACTAAACATATCCCTTAGCGATACCATTAGTACCCACTCTCTTATAACCAAAGTAAACATAATTCCAAGAACCTTCAATATTATCAAACTGAATTTCATCTTTGGCCTTGTACGTATAAAATTCATAAGCATCTTTACTTAATGTAACTGCTAGAGTTTGGTCTTTTTCTGTTGAAGGTCTCGTATTTGCACGCTTTAGTTTTCCATCTACTTGTTCAATTAAATAAGGTGCTGTACCAAATCTTGCTATATTGTGGACAGCTCCTCTTGAGGCTAAAAATTTGGGTAATGTTTATAACCACCTTGTCCATAAACTGAATGAATATTCACTTTAACCATTCAGTCTCAATTTATTATCATCATGCAATAAGATTTTGTCAACTATTGGTTATTCAGCGTCATATTAAGAGTCTCTAACAAGATTTGGATCTGCTGCATCATCCTTGTATTGGATTGGTTTAACAAGTTGATAAACTCCAACAGCTCCATCGCCATAGAAATATTATTAACCAAAGTCAAGACTCTATTTAAATGCTCCAGGTCCTAAATATATTCCAACATATCCAATCTTTCCGTTAAATGAAGATATTTATTCATCTCCTCCAATAGTGAAATACAATTTAGTTACTAATTTGTGTTGTATTGGGTCCAAAACAACTTCATCTGCTTTTCCTGGTCTAATTAATGCTCCATAAGTTTTTAATTTATCATTATCATATCCAAAATAGACATAAGTCCAAATCAAATTTGGAGATTCAACATTTTTAGAAATGTATGATGAACCTTTTGCTTTATTACCTTATATTGTGTAAGTATTAAAATAGACTGTGCTTTTTGCTCCTCCTCCATATGTATAATGTATTTCTAAGGCTCTATCTCCTAATACTCCTTTATTTGGTTATTTTTTTTGAGTTGATCTTAAATTAAATATTTAGAAAGTATTTTATTCGTCAACCTTTAAATCATCAATCCATCTAAACCAACCTGCTATGCTATACTCCTCTATGATTAGAGAAGATTCTTATGGATTCAATACTTAAGAATCTCCTTTATCATTGGCACTAAATTGTTTTGGAGTTGTTAAAACTTCCAAATCAGTTAAACTACTAACTGCTTATGGAGGATTGCTAACAGACTTTATCAATTCATTTAATTTTTACTCAGAGTCTATAAATGCTGGGGCATCTATATCATAGAAGATATTAGCAAATTATCCATTAAATCCTTAGTAAGAAAGATGTTTGCCTCCTATTATTAATTTAAAATAGGTCGGAGGTACATGTAAACATGATATTTCTGTTTTTAAGAGCTTACCGTTATTTCCATAACCTAATACAAAACCAATAGCAGACTTTTTAGCCAAACTGTATGAAAAAGTTATGAAATACCACATGCTTTCTAATTCTTCATTTAAAGCAACCACTGAATCCTTCACCTTTTTTTTATCTCCATGATCATAAGTTGAAAAAACAAAAGTATTCTCTAATAAAAAGATGGACAGCGTTCTATCTCCATAAAATGTGAAATCTTTATAATCTTAATTAGATGTCAATCTTGATATAAAATAAAATGTCTAAGCTTAACGAGAATGTATTTTAGGAGCACTTTCTGTGTATCTCAACCAAAATCCATATCCATATTCATCTGAGTCCTAAAGCATTTCTCGATCTGCAAATTCATATTACTCAGCTGGTTCTCCATCAAAGGCACTCGAGACGTATTTGGTTGACACAGGAATAATTATTTTTTCTTATGATGGTCTTGTGTTTACCTTATGTTTAGGAGGAACATATTAAGTTGGTTCATTAGGATTGTATTCATCCTTTAGAGAATGTATTTTTATAGAGCTATCTCTTTCTATTTCTTTAACTATTTATTTATTTTCCTTGTTCTATGTTTCTTCGACTTTTGTTTTTTCAAGTTTTAATGCGTCAGAAACAAGTTAGCTAGCCTCTTTAGGATTTTGCTCTTCCTTGCTATTTGTTACTGGATTTTATTAATCACTTTCGTGATTATTTGATACCTATTCTTTCTATTTTTAACTATTCTTATCAGATTCTAGACTCTCTTATGATTATTATTTCTATGGATTATCTTATTATTTTTCAGATTCTACCTGAGGCTTTTTATTCTGTTATTATTTCTATTCGTCCTATTCAGTGCCTGTTTATTCGTCACCTTCTTTTTTACCATCATTATTATAGCTTTCTTCATTTGAGAAAGAATCAAACTAGTCATCCCAAGATTGTATAATTAATGATCTCTAATTTTTAGTTTTTTGAACTACAGACGATCTTCTGAATGTATTATCAACTGGATCATATTCATAATATATAATTTTGTCATCAAATTCTTCAAAGTAAATATAATTATCTTCCTTCTGAGAATCGACTTAAAAATTCTCTTACTCTTCTGGTTCCATTTATGTATCCGAGCCTGAGTTGAAAAGAATCTTTTTTGAAATTGGTTTTTATGAGGTAGTTAATGGAATTTATCCTTCACTTTTTTATTATTCAGTTGCATCACTTTTTGCTTGATTTTGTGAGGATGGTTTTTGAACAACTGACTTTTTAATATTTTTTCCCAATTTAGCCAACTTTTATTTCGTTTTTTTGACAAGTTTTTTCACTAATTTTTTAATTTTTTTCTTCCCTCCTTTTCCGTCTGGTACTTCTTCTTCAACTTCCACTTCAACTTCTATGTATTCTTCTTTTCCTTCTTCAATATCTTTAACCTCTCCTTCTGATGCCTAATAATTACCATCAGGATCTTTTGAGTCTTCATCTGTGTAATCATTATTATCTTCTTAATTCAATGAGCTTTGAGCCTCTGCAGGAATATTATCATTCTTTAATTCTTCATCCTCCTTAATATATTAATCGCTTGTCTATGGGGCGGGATCATCAGTTTTCTATTCGTGCTTGTCTTCAATGACTTATTAAGGTTTTTAAGCTTGTGCTTTTTGTTATTATTTTAATTCTCTTTCTGCTTTTTATTTTGCCGATATTGGAGATTAAAGCTTTGGATTACTTTTTTTTACAACAACTTCTTCAACTACTTCAGGTTCCTCTTCTTATAAAGGTTATTGAGGTTTGGCAACTACTTATTAAGGTCCTTGAGCTTGAGCTTGAGCTTGTGCTTGTGATTTTTATTACTATTTTAATTCTCTTTCTGCTTTTTATTTCGCCGAAATTGGAGACTCAAGTTTTTGAACACTCTTTTTAACAATAACATCTTCAACCACTTCTGGTTCCTCCTCTTATACAGGTTATTGAGGTTTTGCATCTACCTATTAAGGTCCTTGAGCTTGAGCTTGAGCTTGTGCTTTTTATTACTATTTTAATTCTCTTTCTGCTTTTTATTTCGCAGATATTGGAGACTCAAGTTTTGGAACACTCTTTTTAACAATAACGTCTTCAACCACTTCAGGTTCCTCCTCTTATACAGGTTATTGTGGTTTTGGTCCTTGACCTTGACCTTGACCTTGACCTTGACCTTGACCTTGACCTTGACCTTGACCTTGACCTTGACCTTGACCTTGACCTTGACCTTGACCTTGACCTTGACCTTGACCTTGACCTTGACCTTGACCTTGACCTTGACCTTGACCTTGGGCTTGTGCTTTTTATTATTATTTTAATTCTCTTTCTGCCTTTTATTTCGCCGATATTGGAGACTCAAGTTTTGGAACACTCTTTTTAACAATAACGTCTTCAACTACTTCAGGTTCATCTTCTTATAAAGGTTATTGAGGTTTGGCAACTCCTTATTAAGGTCCTTGAACTTAACCTTGACCTTGAGCCTAGGCTTTTTATTATTATTTTAATTCTCTTTCTGCCTTTTATTTCGCCGATATTGGAGACTCAAGTTTTGGAACACTCTTTTTAACAATTACTTCTTCAACCACTTCAGGTTCCTCCTCTTATACAGGTTATTGTGGTTTTGGTCCTTGACCTTGACCTTGGGCTTGTGCTTTTTATTACTATTTTAATTCTCTTTCTGCTTTTTATTTCGCAGATATTGGAGACTCAAGTTTTGGAACACTCTTTTTAACAATTACTTCTTCAACCACTTCAGGTTCCTCCTCTTATACAGGTTATTGTGGTTTTGGTCCTTGACCTTGACCTTGGGCTTGTGCTTTTTATTACTATTTTAATTCTCTTTCTGCTTTTTATTTCGCAGATATTGGAGACTCAAGTTTTGGAACACTCTTTTTAACAATTACTTCTTCAACCACTTCAGGTTCCTCCTCTTATACAGGTTATTGTGGTTTTGGTCCTTGACCTTGGGCTTGTGCTTTTTATTATTATTTTAATTCTCTTTCTGCCTTTTATTTTGCCGATATTGGAGACTCAAGTTTTGGAACACTCTTTTTAACAATTACTTCTTCAACCACTTCAGGTTCCTCCTCTTGTACAGGTTATTGAGGTTTGGCAACTCCTTATTAAGGTCCTTGAACTTAACCTTGACCTTGAGCCTAGGCTTTCTATTACTATTTTAATTCTCTTTCTGCTTTTTATTTCGCAGATATTGGAGACTCAAGTTTTGGAACACTCTTTTTAACAATAACGTCTTCAACCACTTCAGGTTCCTCCTCTTATACAGGTTATTGTGGTTTTGGTCCTTGACCTTGACCTTGGGCTTGTGCTTTTTATTACTATTTTAATTCTCTTTCTGCTTTTTATTTCGCAGATATTGGAGACTCAAGTTTTGGAACACTCTTTTTAACAATTACTTCTTCAACCACTTCAGGTTCCTCCTCTTGTACAGGTTATTGAGGTTTGGCAACTCCTTATTAAGGTCCTTGAACTTAACCTTGACCTTGAGCCTAGGCTTTCTATTACTATTTTAGTTCTCTTTCTGCTTTTTATTTTGCCGATATTGGAGATTAAAGTTTTGGATTACTTTTTTTTACAACAACTTCTTCAACCACTTCAGGTTCCTCTTCTTATACAGGGTTATTGAGGTTTTGCATCTACCTATTAAGGTCCTTGAACTGAACCTTGACCTTGAGCCTAGGCTTTCTATTACTATTTTAGTTCTCTTTCTGCTTTTTATTTTGCCGATATTGGAGATTAAAGTTTTGGATTACTTTTTTTTACAACAACTTCTTCAACCACTTCAGGTTCCTCCTCTTAAACTGGCTCTTGTGATTACTCATACTGTTTATCTTCTGTATTTTGATAATCAACTTGCTCATCATTGTATTAATTATCGTCATCCTCTTCTTCGCTCTCTTATTCAATTCGTTAAGAATTTCTTCCATTATCATCATCTTCATCATCAATATTTATATTAAATGGTGTGTCATCTTCCTCCCCTTATGGACAAACTTAATCTTCAAAGGCTATTGAAACTTCACCTTCATTTCCATTATGTAAATGAACAATTTTTTCATGCCTCAACTACTTATATTTAGGATTAGACTAAAAAGGCTAATCTTAGTTTGCTGCTTATTAGTGAGATGATTAATTATCAAATCTTGGATCATTGGACTCTGGTTGATCAGATCTTCCTGGAGGGAGTCTAGTAGAAGGTTATCTAGCTTCTTTTGGCTATCCTTAATAATTTGGATTTGATTAAAATGGTTTATCTTAATTTGCTGCTTATTAGTGAGATGATTAATTATCAAATCTTGGATCATTGGACTCTGGTTGATCAGATCTTCCTGGAGGGAGTCTAGTAGAAGGTTATTCTAGCTTCTTTTGGCTATCCTTAATAAGTTGGATTTGATTAAAATGGCTTGTCTTAATTTGCTGCTTATTAGTGAGATGATTAATTATCAAATCTTGGATCATTGGACTCTGGTTGATCGTATCTTCCTGGAGGAAGTCTAGTTGAAGGTTATCTTGCTTCTTTTGGCTATCCTTAATAATTTGGATTTGATTAAAATGGTTTATCTTAATTCGCTGCTTATTAGTGAGATGATTAATTATCAAATCTTGGATCATTGGACTCTGGTTGATCAGATCTTCCTGGAGGGAGTCTAGTTGAAGGCTATCTAGCTTCTTTTGGCTATCCTTAATAAGTTGGATTTGATTAAAATGTCTTGTCTTAATTTGCCGCTTATTAGTGAGATGATTGATTATCAAATCTTGGATCATTGGACTCTGGTTAATCAGATCTCCCTGGAGATAGTCTTGTAGATTACCTTTATGAATCTTTAGGGTTTTCATCATACATAAGATTTTCTTAATACTATTTATCCTCATTTAGATCTTCTAGATAATTCGAAACATTACCATCAGTAATTGAAGATTGTTAATCTTAGTTTTCAGTACTTATATATTGATTCTTTTTATAAGTTGGATATGATTAAAATGGTTAGTCTTAGTTTGCTGCTTATTAATGTGATGATTGCTTATCAAATCTTGGATCATTGGACTCCGGTTAATCAGATTTGCCTGGAGGAAGTCTAGTTGAAGGTGATCTTGCCTCTTTGGGGATATCCTTAATAAAGTTGGATTTGATTAAAAATGGCTTGTCTTAATTCGCTGCTTATTAGTGAGATGATTGATTATCAAATCTTGGATCACGAGATTCTGGTTGATCGGATCTTCCTGGAGGAAGTCTAGTAGAAGGTTATCTAGCTTCTTTTGGCTATCCTTAATAAGTTGGATTTGATTAAAATGGCTTGTCTTAATTTGCTGCTTATTAGTGAGATGATTAATTATCAAATCTTGGATCATTGGACTCTGGTTGATCAGATCTTCCTGGAGGGAGTCTAGTTGAAGGTTATCTAGCTTCTTTTGGCTATCCTTAATAAGTTGGATTTGATTAAAATGGCTTGTCTTAATTTGCTGCTTATTAGTGAGATGATTAATTATCAAATCTTGGATCATTGGACTCTGGTTGATCGTATCTTCCTGGAGGAAGTCTAGTTGAAGGTTATCTTGCTTCTTTTGGCTATCCTTAATAATTTGGATTTGATTAAAATGGTTTGTCTTAATTCGCTGCTTATTAGTGAGATGATTGATTATCAAATCTTGGATCATTGGACTCTGGTTGATCGTATCTTCCTGGAGGAAGTCTAGTTGAAGGTTATCTTGCTTCTTTTGGCTATCCTTAATAATTTGGATTTGATTAAAATGGTTTATCTTAATTGGCAGTTTATTAATGGGATGATTAATTATCAAATCTTGGATCATCAGACTCTGCTAAATCTGATCTTCCAGGTTTTAATCTGGTTGACCCAGTATAGTCTTGTGGAAATTAGCTTTAACATAACTCTTTTTTATTCTAAAGTTCTTATATTTTTCTATACAATTCTTAACTATTTGGATATTAATAGCTCTAGTTTAAATATTATTAAAGTTGTCTTTCAATATTATATAAGTTTTTAATTATAGTGTTTGCTTTTGTAGCTCTTTCATTTTATGTAGTTACATAAGAAAATTCCCTCATTTATTATAATATTTCATCAATACTAAATTTTGCCCAACTACTTTATTTTTGAGCTAGAGAGATTTCCAAAACAGATGATGAAAGCCTTTCACTAATTTGTAAAAACATTTCTGTAAATAATTTTCATAAAATATTACCTTACTAAATTCCTTCAATATGCTTCACCTTTTCCACTAATTTAACTATTTATTCAATTATTTAGAGGTCGGTCTGTAATTTTTATTGATTATCAATAATATCGATCCATTTAAAAAGCTCTTGGATGACAAAATCGTAGAATCTTGGCTCCATTTCACAATTGAATCGATCTATGCTCAAATGAAATGCTTCTTCTAATTTTAATTCTTTTGATAATTTTTATTCATACCTCTTCCTAAAGTCATTTAATCTTTTGAATTAGTTTAGTTGGCAACAGCAACTAACAGAAGGACTAGAATCAATTATTTCATAATAAATTTATAATCCGTTTTTATGTTTAATTTTTGCAGACAAAAGGTACAAGTTTTTAATTATAAACATCATTTATTATTTTATTATGTTTAATTTGTGATGAAGGACAAGAGAATTAGTTTTAAAATATATTATCAATTTTAAGAATTTTGGGATTATAGAAATAATTGTATCTATTTATATTCTGAATATGTTTAAATATATCGTAGAATCTAGTTAAAAAGCAAAAGAGATTAGGAATGTTTTATCATCTAGTGTACCAATAGAAACAGATATTATTATTTTTTTTTAATTATATTTCTTCATACCAAAGAATTAGAGGAATCTTAATTGCATTCTTTCATTTATAATTGTTAATCATTATTATATTGATAAATTATACATTTTGTATTTTCCTAACTGCTTGTGTAGTTAAGTGTAATTAATGTTTTTAAAACTGGTAGAAACCAAGGTTAAAGGCTTTAAAATAGACAACAATCTTCAAATCTTATGCTTATTAAATATTAATATAGATTTTCATTAAATTTAATAGAGTTAATCACTAACAAAAGATGGATTTTAAACGTTATATATTTATTCATTTGTAGAACCTAGTTATAAAAATGTATTATATGCACAGATTAATTAATTCCAAATTAAGGTTGTGGTTAACAAATATCTATTTAAACCCAATTTACACGAAAAAGTAAAAATAATAACTGTTGTATCTACTACTAAATTTTAAGATTTTCAAAAAAATTAAATTGAGTGCTTCACCTATTAATTGATAAATCATTATATACTTGAATATCACATAGCTTTAAATTATCAAGAATTTATTAGTCCCTCACCACTTCTTAGAAGATTAAAGAGATCATTAAATAAAGATCATGGTACTTGAAGTAAAATTTACTTCTGATATTTTCTATATTGGTTATGTTTTCAAATAAGACAAACTTTATTCTGGATGAAAGTTAATCTTATTAAGAGTTTCCAAGAATAATGTTGATTTTTTCCATATGGAGATATCATATCATTTTTGAATGTAACACACTTATTAAAAAAATAACATTTTTTTTCTAAGAATTTTCAACACCAGAGAAGATTTCATGAAACTAAATCAAATTCAACACCTAATTTTAACAAAGATTAAGAAATTGGCATGTTACTTTATTGAAAAATATTTGCCAATATGAAATTAATTAGAACTAGTTTTAAAGAAATTTATAATCATCAAAGTTAATTTTTCAAAGTTAAAAATTTTAATATAAATATATTAGGAATTTGAGGTTACCGAATTGAATAAAATATTTAATCAACAAAATGGATGGAAGATAAATGATATAAAGTATTACAAAGACAAGGAAAAAATAATATGATTTAGGCGAATTAGATAAAATAATTTCATAAAGGATAAGTGAAATTAAATTGAAAGGAAAATAGAGCCAATAATGATATGGTAACATTTTCAAGGTTGAATAACGGCAAAAAAATGAGTTAAATTAGTAAAAGATAAGAATTATATCACAAACAGTGAGGAAAGATAATTAGATTTAATATCTTGATAAAACCTATTTTTATTGTTCTATTTAGATCTTTTAATAGAATAAATCAAATAAAATACCAAATGTTTTTACTTTGAGGGACTATGTTCAAATATTTATTATTTTTATAGAATGTTGATTTATACTAACAAAATAATAAAGGTTTTTAATAATTAAAAAACATGATAATGATGTTTTTAGGGAAAATTCTTAATTCTAAAATTATTGTCATTTTTTCAATTATAAAATTTTGATATTATAAATTGATTAGCTATAAGGAAAGCTTTCAGTAAAACAAAATTAAATATGTACTTTAAACCCTATTAATTATTTTACAAAGGCAAACTTTCATTTTATTTATAATGATTCTTAATTTTGTGATTAATAGAGATTTATATTTTGATTAATATTTATTATTAAGAAAAGAATAGTAGCAGAAAACTTCTTGATTAATTTTGTTAATATTTTTTTATTTAAATTCAAACAAATCAATGAATTGCAGCCTCTTCTCTTATTATGTTGAATAGACATTGCCAAATTATGTTGAATAGAAATTGGAGGAATGTTTTGTATAATTGAGTAATAATTAAAACATAATAATGTGTGTCGACCTGATATGTGAATAGATTGAATTTTGTCGAAAATTGTGTAATCGATTGTAAGCACAAAAATAATTATTAATATTGATTAAATTATTGGAACATCAAATCTATTCGATAAAAGATGTTGAAAAAAATAATACGTATCTGCTATCCTATTAAGATGTGTATGTATTTTAAATAATACTCAGAATGCTTTGTATAATGATTTAATTCGAATCAAAAAAATATGATGATAATTTTGACAATGATTATACAGAAAAGTAAGTAATATTTAATAAATTTTAGATTTAGTAACGATTTAGTTAAGTGTTTCTTAATATTAAGAACTAATTAAACAAACGAATTAGACTAATAATTATTAGAGATGTTTCTAAAATTATAATCAAGATCTGTTCTATTTTATAAGTATTTGACAAAATTGAGTGAACAATTTTAATTGAGAAATTGTTGTTTATCACTAAGGAAATTAAAATTGGAGTTAAAAAAAAAACAGAGAGAATAAATCATAGGAAAAAGACGTTAATGTGATTCAATCAAATAAGAATTTAAAGAAGACTGCTCCAATTCATTTTTTGAATAAAATGATTTTAGAATTAAAGATAAAAGGCTTTAAATGATAATGAATGTGAAATAACCAAAATAAGAACAACAATTGATATCATTTTAAGATATATTAAAATAGAAAGAAAATACAAAATTTATCAATACTACAGAATCCACATTGAGTCGGCCTTCATTAAATAAAAGAACAATAAATGGTGGCATCAATGGAAAATACAAAGTATTTAAATATATTTAATTTCAAGTTAGGAAATGAGATAAAAGTACTCAGAAAAACTACTTCTTCCAGCAATAAAAAAAACAATAAAGATGAAATGCAACCATATTAAATTTTATAATAATAATACTAATTAGAATTTTGCCGAGAGGTAAGTAGGAAGCTACTAAAATTATAGTAGAAGAAGTAAATGAATTGGAACAGCGAATATTTAGCTGCTGATACCGAATCTGATAGTTGTTTTAATTGATAATTTAATTCATAAACTAGTCGTTTTTGTTGTAAATCTAAGCCTTTTTATTGTGTTCATTTTCATAAATATATTTTAATGAAAACATTATTTCTTATTGCCTTGATTGCTATTGCATTCACAGCTAGAGTTTAAGAAAGAAGCCTTTCAAAAATTACAACAGATTTGAAAAAGAGTACATATGGAAGTGCTCTTCTTCATTTGGTTGAACTACATTCAATGGCTGGTGGTCCAGTCTAAGAGTTGATTGATGCAATCGAAGAATTAATTAATGATCTTGAAGAAGAACTGGAAGAATTAGAATTCAATTTCTAATAGAGAACAAATGAGCACAATTCATTAGTCATAGGATATGAATAAGATATTTAAGATGCTGTGATTGGTATTTTACTTATAAATTGTTAGATGTCAATAATACATAGGACACTTTAGATAATTTATTATTCCCAAGAAGAGAACAACTCTAAGTGAGAATCGAATAAATTTAAGAAAACTAAGAAGCAAATAGAAAAAATTATGATGAAGCTGTTCTTACAAGAGAATAAGAACATGAAGATTTTGAATTCTAAATTGCAGAATTGAATGATGCCACTACAGCTGTTGATGATGCTTTAGCCCTCCTTTCCTCATTAACAAATCCATCACTTCTTTAGATTAAGAGATTCTAAAATTCCTTAAAGAACATTGAATAAAAGATCAAATCAAGATCAAAGATGGCTCCAATGATTAAAGCTCTTATCACATTGGCTTCAAATTAAAATTTCTCAGATTAAGGCATTATTGGCTAAATTGTTGATACTCTTAATGAATTTAGAAATGCAATTGTTGACTCAATTAATGCCTAAACAGCTGCTGAAGCTGATGCTTAAGCTGAACATGAAGAATATCTTGAATAATTGGATGCTGAATATGCTGAATTCTAAAGACAAATCAACAGAGTTAATGTTGATTTGACTGCAACAAATGGTAAAAAATAAATTGAATTTATTTAGAGAAAATTGATTAATTAAGTGAATTTAGAGACTAAAGAGAAGCCGATAGAAAATAATACACAGCAGAACTTGAATTAGAAAATAACACCTATGCTGAAGAAACCGATATCTACACCAACTTAAAGAACGAATTTACAAGAGAACTTGGAATTAGTGAGCAAGCATTGTCAGTTGTTTAAAGTGCTGACTTTAGTAACATTTAAGTTTGAAAGGAATGACTTTAAGTTTCTTTTTAATATGCAAGAATAAATTTACAATTATAATTTTTTTCATTTCTAAAATATTTGATTTGATTTTTAATCGTGAAAATCTTATAATATCATCATTAAATGAATAATCATATAAGCTGTTGCTTATCAATCATGCTTTTATAAAATCTTTTAATTAATTTATAAATATCAATTTATTTTAACTTTGTTGCAACAAAAGAATCTGATTAGCTTAACTATAGAATTATGAATTTTGAAAATCTATTTTAGCAACACTGCAAATTACATTAGCATAGCAAGAGTAAGTTTTCGATCACTTTTAAGTGCATCAATCCTTGCAGTATTAAATTAACTATAGCCTATGTAAAAAAGCAAAAAAGTGATTTAGATAAGAATTCGTAAACCATCAAATAGGGCTAGGACCCATGCAATTAAAGGTTTAATGAATCATAAATTGCAATAAAGGATACATAAAATAAATAAATTAATAATCAACAACATTGCTTTAAATAACAAGTATATAACATATCTATTAAAAATTCTATAGATCTAAATACTAAATAAGGTGATTTATAAAGAAAATTTTAGATTAAAGAAGCAAAAATAACATTAATCATATGAGTAAAAATATAAATGAACTAAAATTCTATTTTTATAAATAATAATTATTGAAATAATAAAAAAGAAAAATGCAAATTAAACCACTGAGTAAAACTTTCAAAGGAAAAAATATGTTCATGTTATTTGAAAGAACACTTCTAAAAAATGTCTATCAATTGATTTTATATTAGGATTAAGAAAGAGAATAGATTTATATTCCGACTTAAAGGTCTTTTTTGCAAGGTGGTGATTTTAAAGCAAAAATTGCACAAGCATGTTGAACAATTAAATAAATATTGTTTATATCAATTTTTTAGAGAAAAACTTAATCACAGCAGAAGTGATGACAAAGTTCCGTAAGTCAATTAACTTATAGGCTAACTTAAACAACTAAAACCTAATCCATAAATCATGAGTACTAAAAATTAGGGATAAGAAATTAATAAAATTAAACTTTTTATTTTTTCTAAAGAATTCCAAAAAAATTCTAGTTTTTAAAATCACTGATTTTTTTTTGTAAAAATAATACTATATTTTGAGAATAATAATTATAATGTTATTATTATTGATTATCAGATGAAAGTAGAATTTATTTTATGTAATTAGAACGAGTTTAACTGATGAACATTTAATTCGAATTATTATTTAGAAAATAAAAATTCTCATACATTTTTAATAATAATTTGATGATAAATCATTATTTAATCATAAATTTATAAGGCCAATATAAATAGTGCAATTTACTTTGTGAAATAAAAATATACTCAAATTACTTTGCTGTGTTTTTCTTAAAGTGATATTAATTTATATGTAAACTAATTTGTGATCGTTATTCAAATTTTGAAGTGAATTTTATACTTTATCATTAAATGTTCAATTTTCTAATTTATATTAAAATTCTTACGCATTAAGAACAGCATCTTAAGCATCTCAAATAAATCCTTTGAAATTAATTATTTATTCACTCTCTTTTGTGAAATGATTCATTTGAAAATCCATTTCAAAGCAGAATTCGGTTTAGCATTGTATGTCTCTGGAAATTCAAAATATTTAGGGTAATGGAATCCTAAATAAGCAATCAGAATGAATTGGAATGAAGTAACACTTAATTTAAGCTTAGAATGATATTTGGGAAGTGGAAGTAGCGTATCATGAAATGGAATATAAATATTTTATTTCTCAATACGAGAGTGTTTAAACAATTTTGTGGGAATCAGGACCTAATAGAGTAACTACCAATCATGCTATTGATATATGGAACTACCGAAAAGTTTGCTTTTAATGCTTGAATCCATCAAATTACGAAGTTTATATTTCTGGATCACCAGAGTCTATGGGACAATTTTAAAAAAGAATCAGAATGAAAAATAAACAAGGGATCTCATAATACGTTTGCCAGTTAGACATTACAGATTCTTAGATTCAATATTAATATCACTTTCTGACTAAAAGTGAATTTTCAAGCCCTGTTTATAAGCTGAATTTAGAATAGGAATGTATAATTGTTTTCTTAATTTTAGAATCATATTATAAGGATGCCTTACTTGTTTATTAGGATGGACTGGCAAAGGTAAAATAAATGCTTTTTTAACTGAATAAAAATATTTGTTACGGATATGTCCCGTAGACAAAAGAAGATTATAGAACTCTAAAGAAATTTAATCTAAAGACAATCGTGGAATTCTGTAATACCTAAGAGAAAAGTTTATTGGAACAATAACATTAGAAAGATGACTGCCTTCATATGATAGTCAATCTTTACCATTTTAAACAAGAGAATTTCACTCAAAGATTGCTTTAACTTATTCAGGTTTTTATCTAAAAATACAAAGTAAAGAATTTAATTTAAAATAGTTTATTTATATCTGTAATAATTCGCTCTCTCATCTTAGAAAATATCTATAAGTCTATGAAAAACTCTCAAAATGCCAATGAAGCATTGAATAAAATATTCTAATGTGTATAAATCTATTCTAATAAGTAACAAAATATTATAATTCATCTTTCTTTTGTATCAGTATTTTATATATAATTCCAGAACTATTATTATTATTCATTCCAATTATGAACTTCCTTATTAAGTGACTCCCCTTCATTGTAATTCAATAAGATTTCTTATTCAGGGTCAATATTTTTTATAGCAAATATAGCCAATTGATATTATCCTAAAAAAAATGATAATTTTATATTTTACCACAAGTAAAAATTTGATTTGTTCTACAATTATTTAAATTTAGGCTGTTATGATTGATGAATCTGCTTTCATTTCCGCAAAATCTACTGTCTAATGAATATCTCTCATCACTTAATTAGTAATTATAGAATGAGAATGCATCATCAAATTAATCTCTTATTTCGTCTTCATCATCAATTATAGCCTCCCCTATATATAAAATAATTAATTCTCCTTTCATTATAAAGTGCTTTGAAAATAGTCCAAGTCCACTACAAACTGTAGATCGAGCTAAAAGGGTAGGTTTCACATTTTTTATTAATATTTATGTGTTGGAACAAATAAAGTTAGAATCAATTGAACAGCATTTACAAACTAAAGGGTCACATTCCATATTATCCTTTCTGCAAGAGCATCGGCTATCAAAAGAGCATCGATCCTTGCAATTACAACCCCGATATTTTTTAAGGCATAAATTGGAAGGACAATCACAATATTTTGAACAAAATGTTTCACATTTACATTATTCACATTGAAAATCTTATTTATGACAGCAGGATATATATAATGATGCAGATTTATATGGATTATTAATTAATGCGTTTTAATCTTTATCTTATTAGATTTCTTTTAGGGCTTTTATGTAATCTTCTCTTAGTTCGTTATATTAAAGTTTAGCTAAAAGAAAAATTGATAAGCAGTCGAATTTATGCAGTTTAGCTAAAATGCAAGGATCTTAATCAATTTTTATTGTTTTTTTCATATCAAGAAGATTTTGCGGTAAGTTGTTTTTTTTAATTTGATTATAATTGTTAGGATTCTTATAGCATTTAACACTGCATGCAAATTTCATATTATATTACAAGACATCGTTAACCCATATAATTTTCTTACCATTTACTTTATAATTCAATGCTTAGCAATAATCTAAGAGATTTCTTAATTAAGATAATTGATTATTAAATTTACAATTGCATTTAGATGAAAATCTTAAGCAAGAGTTACACAAAAATGCTTTATCTTTATCTATATATTCATGAGTTTGAAATGATTTGTATGAAAGTTACTAAATTTCGTTAAGGTTGAATTGTTAAATACAATTTATTTTTTGGAAAATTGTCGGTTTTATTTTGAAAAATTATTGATTTTATAATTAAAGAAAAATTAAACCTAACGAATAGAAGTTAATTTTTAATGATATATTCTTTTTTGATATTTTTTCTTTTATAAAGGTTTATAAATCTTCTAAATTTAATTGAGAAATATTCTATTGCTCTACAACATATAAATATA